CCCTAACCCTAACCCTAACCCTAACCCTAACCCTAACCCTAACCCTAACCCTAACCCTAACCCTAACCCTAACCCTAAATTGCGCCTCCAACTGCATCACCAACAGTACTACCGGGAATAAGTTAGTAGAATCTGGATACACAATGTGTTGCAAACATTACTCTTTTTCCACCTCTTACGAAAGCGCGCCCTGGTAATAGCCAAGTTACTAAACAGTGTCTATCCAATCCTCCCGGCATATTTATTGAACTTCAGATGTATACTATAGGATTGAGCCATCAAAACATCGTAAGAACAGCCTCTAAGATCAGGCGTTAGGTGGACAGTAAACACTGGTTGGCCTGAGATTGTTTGCTAGCTTGCTACGTCAATCTAAAGGTAGAGTCTTTAGGCCTTTCTAGTCTCTGCAACTGTATCAACAATATTTCATGCATCATTTCATTCAAATAAAAAACAACACCATCAGGTTCTGGGTTCACAGTATGCTGGATGTACCCAACTGCTAGGCTTTTCTCTACCATTAGAATTGCTGAAAAGGCAAAAGAAGAAAAGTCAAAGAAAGAGAAGCATAGGAGGAAGAGGTAAAGGAAAAAGAAGGAAAAGAAAAGGAAAAGCCTGCTCTATTAGAAAGCAGCTTTGCTTGCCCCTATAAACGCTTCTAGCGGGCATTTATTTTAGGCATTAGACCTGTATTCTATTTTGCCAAGCCGCAACCCGGTGTAACTAATAGTCCGGAATAACCTCTGTAATAGGAGGTAGGCTCAGGCCTCTTTCTGTCACTCAACTGCTTTACAATGAGTGTACCACTTCGAAGCAAACAGGGCTGCTGGACTTGCAAACTACGCCGCAAGAAGTGTGATGAGATCCACCCTTTTTGTTCGACATGCGAATCGCTCTCCATCCCGTGCTATGGCTTTGGCCCGCGACCCGAGTGGATGGACAATGGCGTCAACGAGAGAGCAATCATGAGTAACCTAAAAGACATCGTAAAGCACACCTCGAGACGTAAAGTCGGATCACAGCTGCCAAAGCAGCGTGATACAGTTGTCAAGATAGCGCCCAAGCTGTCCGAGAATGATGGCAAAGACTCCTTGTCTGCTCCGGGGCCCAAACTCCTGTATGCGGATAAGCTTCCTTTACCCAGTGATGCGCCATGGCAGGAACTTGGGATTGGCATGCGGCAGGACGAATCTATGGTAAGTACAATTTCCTCTCTACCGCGAGCTGGGGACCCTGATGCCTTAGTAGACACCCGCTTCCTCTGAGCATAATGATCCAACAGTAAGGACCAATTTGTCCATCTCGGCGGACGAGGCTGCTTTGTTGATGCATTTCCTTGACAATATATTCCCTTTACAATGCCCTCTGTTCAAACCAGGAATTCTGGAGGGTGGCCGAGGCTGGCTGCTCAATCTTTTACTCCAAACTAACCCTCTCTACTACGTCGCACTCGCCTTCAGTACATATCATCGCCGTATGATGATGCCCGCTGAGACCGCCCGTCCACTACAGGCCGCCGCTTTGGTTCAGCAGGAAAAACATCTTGGGCTTTGCATCGCGTTAATGAACAAGTCTGCCCAGAGATTCTGCGGCGAATGGAAAGGTTTGGGAATCGCGGTCACGGTTATCGAACTGGTGTTCTTCGAGGTAGCTACTTTCTCTCTGCCAATCTCGACGTTCAGCTTTTGACAGCGTTTATCCAGCTCTTCACCGACAACAGCGGTGCATGGCAGACACACCTTCGGGCGCTGTTGGGTATGGGTCTGCAAGCTCACGAGCAACATTACAATGGGCGCCTCCGCCTGACTGAATCAGCGAAACAAATCTTACGCGAAGACCGTCCCGTCTCGCAGAATGAGCCCACGGTCGCGGAAGAGGTAGCGTGTTTTCGGTTTGTAAACGGCACGACGACTTGGCTCGATATCATCTATGCCATCACGACGGGAAAGGCTCCAATTTTGCTGCCTCATCTCTCCAGTATACTCTCTTGCGACTCACAGTTTCAGCTGAGTGACATCATGGGCTGCCAAAATAGCGTCATGCTTCAGATTGGACGCATTGCTGCGCAACATGAGCAAAACATCCTGGTCGGGAGGGAGGGGCCGCTTATGTACGCCGCGATGAACCAGGGCGCGGCTGATATCGTGGTGGAGATCCAGCGTTGTCTTACAGAGGAAGCATTTGTGCGTCTCGACCTTTCGGGACGCAACTCTGCAGGCGTGTCTAGCACGATGCACGACCCAAGGACACTTATCACGCGCATTTTTGCTCAAATGGCGCTCGTCTATCTTCATCTGGTCGTGCATGGCTTCCGGGATCTGGAATTAGTATCAGGTGCAGCCATTTCTGAAGTCATGGAAATACTTCAAAGCCAGATCTCGCAGAGCCTGCTACCTGCTTTAGTCTTGCCGCTGTTTATCATTGGTGCTTCCGCGAGCGAGGGGGACCAGCCGTTCTTCCGCGACGCCTTTTCGCGTCCGCCGTTGCTGGAACCCATGGTTAAGCACCGAGCGAGAATCCTGCCGATTCTTGAAGAAGTTTGGAGAAGGAAGCAGACCTTGCCAGAGTTTGGGTGGAGCGACTGCCTCGAGCTCACCCCTGATATCCTGCTTCTCTGAGCCCCCGATGCTTGACAATTGCTTAGCCAAGGCAGCCACATCCTCTCAGAACACAAAGCCTAGTCTTTCCAGGGCTCGCTGCCTCATAGAAACTCATTCCCGAAAATTTCTTACCTTGCGCGTAGCGTGCCTTGCTGCTCAATATATGAGGTGGATTTATTAAGCCGCAGTCATTCTTGGGATTGGATTGGTTCGCCCAGCGGGTATTCAAATGATTGGACAGTAAATGCAAGGGTACCAAGAACAGTATTGGTTTGGATATCTTGTCTGGGGATCGTCTACCCTCTTCCTGGATTTCTAAGCTGCGCGGTTTCTTTTCTGATTGGTCGGTGGCTGCGGGTATTGTAGTGTCTGCGCGACACCCAGCGATTGGACACAGCTGCGCATTTTCTTCCGATTCGTTGCTTCACAGTATAAGCCATGACAAGCCATCGTGCTCGTCCATTTGCAACAAGATATCAACCATGCAGGCAGGATTCTTTATAAGGGATTCCTTTCTTCCCCTCGCTGCCCCTTCATTATAGCAATTATTGACCATTGTCTTGCATTTCCTTACGGGGAACTACTTTCCGCAAACACAGGCCCTCATCCTTGCATCCCAAATGATGAACATTGTCATCCTCGGAGGCTCATATGCTGGAATTGCCGCCGCCCATCAACTCCTCAAGCAACCTGCAAAGACTGGGGAGCTGAAGGTTACTCTTGTAACCCCAAACACCCATTTCTACTGGAATATCGCAGCACCACGCGGCCTGCTTCCTGGCCAGATTGCCGACGAGCAGCTCTTTCAGTCCATTGCCGATGGGTTTAAGCAATATTCGCCGGACAAGTTTGAACTTGTACTCGCTTCGGCAGAAAGCCTAGACGTCAATGCCAAGAAGGTTGTGGCGACTAGCCCCAGCGAAGGGAGCAAGACAATTACTTACGACGTCCTCATCCTTGCCACTGGCTCCAGTATGAAGGGAGCGGTACCCCTCAAGGGATTGAGCTCGACAGAAGCAACAAGAAATGCTCTCCGCGAGCTCCAGTCCCTAGTGGAAAATTCCAAGACAATTGTCATAGCTGGTGCCGGTGTGACGGGGTGTGAGGTTGCCGGCGAGCTGGGGTATGAGTATAGAAAACAGAAGGAAATCATTCTAGTAAGTAGTAATGCCATTTTCTGCTTCACACCGTCTTCGGCGACATGAACCCCTAACTTCTTGCAGCTCTCCAGCGGGCCTGGAGTGCTCGAGAGTAGCCCGGCAAGTGTATCAAAGCTCGCAGTGAAGGAGCTCACGAACCTGGGCGTCCATGTCAAGCTACAAGAAAAGGTCGCTGCATCCTCTCAACTGCCGGATGGGCGGCATGAACTCACCCTTTCCGGCGGAGATAAGCTAATTACGGACATGTACATTCCTACGTTCGGCCTGACCCCCAACACTTCGTACCTCTCCGCAACATTCCTCGACAACAATGGATTCGTCGTGGTCGACGACTATCTTCAAGTCAAGGGAGCTGGGCCCGTATGGGCTATCGGCGATGTGTCGGCCATGGAAGGATCGCAATACCTGCCAGCCAACAGACAGGCAAGCCATGCCGTCAAGAACATCATTTTAAGCATGAGTGGCAAGCCATTGCTTGCATACAAAGCTTGGCCCTGTAAGACACAATTTCCTATTTACTGGATTCTTTTACTAATTTTCCGTAGTCTCCATGGGCCTCCAAATTGGAAAACAGGCGGGGACGGGTCATCTTGGAAGTTGGAAAATTCCGTCTTTCCTGGTAGTTTTCATGCGGAAGACACTATTCATAGAGAGATTTGCCCCTACGGTCAATGGTTCTTTGTTCTGATCATCAAATTCGTAAAGAAATTTGTTATATTTAACAACTATCTTCGAGTCAAGGGAGCTGCCTGCAAGTAAAAATTATTATAGCAAATGTTAGTAACCAAAGTTTCTGGCCTGTGTATAATAATAATGCAACTCCTAACTCAAGTCAAGGTGGGGCACAGACCGAGTTGGTTATAGGGTAAATAGTGTTTCCGTAAAGCCAAACTCCGCCCCAGGCCAAGTATTTCACCGCTCCAACTAAGGGGTTTTCTCTTTCCTTTCGAGTTACTGCCATCCGCTCTCTGCTGTAAATTCTCGTCATGCATCGACGGTCTAAGCAAACGTCTTGCTTTGCATGCGTTGCATCTAAGCGAGGCTGCGACAAAGTGTTGCCTGTATGCTCCCGCTGTGAGGAGAAGGAGATCACCTGCGAGTATCCTGCGGTACGTCATCGGCGGGGACGACAACTACCGAAATCGAGCCAAGCTGGCATTGCCGACGATGGCCCTCGGGCTGAGGATAGTAGCATTATTGCGAATCAACTTGCAACAACTGACGAGCGTGGGGATATTCATCTTCTTTCTATAAATGGCAATAACTCGACCACGCAACTCCAGAATTCACAAAGCTGTTCAACGTTTACGGGCACAAATCTGCCGTCGCATGCTTCATTCTTGCCTGTCTTTCCTTCACAAATTGCGTTGGATATTGATCTGTCTTCTTCCAACCAGCTTTCACCTCCATATGACAGGCTGAAGTTTTTCCTACTTCCTTCGGCTTGGACAATTGCTTATCATTATGAACCGCCAGCTGCCTATCCTCCTGGCGATGTGCTGTTGAATTTCACTCGGGGTATACAGTCATGGCTTAAACGTTTCTTTCACCAGGGTCATAACCCTTTTATCCATCGACACCTCTATTCTAATACAACCATGCCACTGTGTATGCAAGATGCATTTACTTCCATCTCAATTCAAAATGCGATTGCAAGCAATGAGCATATTATTGACGACATTTTTGCCTCTCAGGTTGGTGACCTTGTCACGAAACAGCCAATTGAAGGTTCAGAGACGTTTTCACTACTATCAACAAGGGATCATATAGCACGCACACAAGCTTTGCTAATTCACCTTCTATTGGCTCTCTTCTCATCTTCAATCCCTCGCCGAGCTAAAGCTGAGGGCTTAATTGCAACGTTGCACCATTGGACGAATCAATTGTGGCAATCAGCAAGCCAGGACGCAAATTTCCATGATGTTATTCAATCCATATCCTCGGTAGATGGTGTCGGATGTGTTTCGATAGATGATCCAGTGTCCGACTTGTACCAAAGTTTTGTGCTATACGAGTCTACTCGTCGCACGTGGATATTAAGTAACTTTGCTACTGGCGTTTACCAAAGTCTCAGGGGTAATTGGGGTACCACCTGTACAGGAGATATATGTATAACTGCACGAGCCGAGTTATGGGATGCGTCTTCGCCAGCGCGCTGGGCTGCTATTGCAAAATCCAAAGACCCTTTGTTTGTCTATAGTTTACACGGTCAGTCTTTACTCAAGGACAGTGTTGCTGCAGAGGAAGTGGATGAATTCATGAGACATCTTTATACAATCATGTGGGGTATTAATAAAGTTGAAGACTGGATTGTACAAAGCGGAGATACAGTATCAATAATATATTAGGGCTGTAAAAGAGAATAATAAAGGTTTTTGTAAAGTCTTGCTATAAAATAAACTGCTGTACAAGGTTGTATAGAGTCATTGGAAGATCAAAGTGACATATATTCCATCTACCATGGTAATTCTGAACCGTCTGGCCCGATGAACTTTCCACGAATATTCTCAAAGGTGGAGCGGTCAACCTGTTGGAAACTGCGTTAGTTCAAATGCACATAGTATCTTTCTAGCTCGCAAAATGAAGTCACTTACAATTTGCTTTATTGCCTGCGCACTCTCCTCGACCGAGATCGCGTGCGCTGAGAGGTCAATTCCAATCTCTTTGGCAGCATCGAATCCCGCTGTCCCCATGTCTGATGCAACCATGCTAGCAACAAATGGATTAGCACGACTTCAGAGCAGATAGAAATATAAATCAATAGGATATACCTACCCAGGATGCTGTGCCCAAATCAACACATCCTCGCTCTCGAGCGCTAGCCACTTGAACAAAAAGTTTGCTAGAGCTTTGCTCGCTCCGTAGCCAGCTAGGGGAAGGATGGTATTCATCGTAGTGAGGCTGCCGCCCGCACTTGAAATGAGCACAAATTTTCCCTTGTTATCTGCTTTGGAGGAGCGCAGGAGAGAAGCCACGGCCTGGAAAAGTTCAAGCGGTCCGTACGCATTGACATTGATAAATTTCTGGAGTTCTGAGACCGGGGTCAAGGTTAGGGGGTCTGACATTCCAGCAATTCCAGCGTTTGCAATAACAACGTCGAGACCATGAACGTCATGAGTCGATCCCAACGACTTGATGCCACTGTTTATAGATTCTGTGGATGAGACATCTAGCTTGATGACAATAAGACTAGACCCAGTGGCTTTTGGAAGGGACTGAAGGGACTCTGCTGTGGGGTGAGACGGGTCGCGGACGGTGGCTACCACAGTAGTATTGGGCACCGCAAGGTATACAGCAACAAGTCCTTTGCCAATACCTGGGGGAGTTAGAATGAATCATATAAGAGTAGAGTATTCAACAGCTTTTTCTTTACCGCGATTAGCACCAGTGATAAGAATGGTGGTATTAGAAGACATAGCTTGTTGCATCTTTGGTATATTAGAAGACCCAAGAACTTAAGGACATATAGAATAGCTTGGTAAATGCTTCGAGTCTGATAAACAAGGAAGGGTTACCTTAAACACTACAACAAATATACAGCCATATATATATATATGTATGTATGTATGGTGCTGTATAATCTCCGCTCAAAGACAGCAAGTTTGTCCCGGAGATTGCAATAGTTCTTTAGCAGGCCTTATTTGTAAGCGATTTTGTAAGTCTGGTAATAATTAATCTGGTTGCTGCTACTTGGAATAGAAATATCAAGTTGTATTGTAGGCCGTGTATATTGCAAGCTGGGGCTAATATGCCAAGCTACTATCTCCTCCGCTGTAGTTCCGCAATTCCTCCGCTAATATACTTACACCAGGTATTGGGAAATATTATTAGCACCAATTGCTGTTTACAGTATGTTTTAATCTTATCTTTGTAATTCTATCCCACTTCTCGGCCCTGGAGGTAATAGACAATATTTCTTGTAATACCTGCATAGCTAGCAAAACTGGCTTTGCTATCTAGCTTTGAATCTCCGCCATCTCCGCCATCTCCGCCATCTCCACAAACTCTTCGATAGCAGGTTTAGTTACCCACGCCAGTCTATCAATAGAGCAGTAGCTGGCGGCAGCTGTCTACTAAAATTTCCAAGTCAATTCATCCGCCTTTAAATAGAGAGATAATACACTTACTACCCAACTTCAAGCCAACTTTTATGTCGCGCATATTAAAGCAAGGATCCTGATACTTATCGTTATGACAACATTTTGGGATCCTCTTCGGGAGATGCCCAAGCTTCAAGGCAAGATTGCTGTTGTAACCGGAGCAAGGTAAGTCCAAATGGTTGCCCTGCCTCCCAACACATCAGCAAACATAAAAAGTATCTATCGGAAGCTAACAGTAAATTGGCTTGTAGTAGTGGGATAGGTCTCGAAATGGTCGGATTTCTCGCTATTAAAGGAGCGAAAGTGTATTGTACAACACGATCTGAGGACAAGGCCAAAACGGCACGGGATGTGCTACAAGCCAAATACCCTGAGATTGACCAAGAAAAGGTCAAATGGCTATTGTTAGATTTATCAGATTTACAATCTATCACTGACGCTGCCGATGAATTGAAGAACAGTGAAACAAAGCTGGACATATTGAGTACACTCCAAGGTTCTACCTGTCATAATTCAATGTACTCCTAACACTATTGCCTCTCTAGTCAATAACGCTGCAGCTGCAACAACGTCTCATAATCTTGTGGCTGGTAGGTGGGAGTGGCATATGGCAGTCAAGTATGTTTTCCTTCCAGAGCAGACTCACTGGTTTATTGACGTTATTAGCTTCATTGGGCCGTTTCTTTTCGTTAACCGTGTTTTGCCTCTGCTCAAAAAGGCGACAAACGACTCAAACCCCGATGCCAGAATTGTAACTCTCAGTTCTATTGCCCACTCCAATATGCTCCCCCACAACTTCGAGTTCCAGTTTGACTCACCTTTGTGTCTTACAAATCCGGTTATATCATACCCTTGGCAATGGCGTTACATTGGAAGGTTCGTTTTCGGCTTTGATATGATCCGCTATGCAGTTTCCAAGGCCGCAGTTGTTATGTTTGCAAAAGGTTTGCAGAGCCGGCTAGATGCAGGGGGACTACCGATTCTGTCTCTTTCAGTACATCCCGGTGAGGTTGCTACGGAAGGTGTTATGGCAATTAATAACGTATTCATCAAAGCAATCGCCCGTCTAACCTTTCTCACCTCGCAACAAGGTGCCGCAACACCGCTATTTGCAGCAACTGCGAATAAAATCAGACAGGGCCAGGACAATTACAGAGGAAAGTTCCTTACGCCATATGGTAAAATTCAGGCGCCGCATCCAGTTGTGGAGGATCCAAAACAGCTGCAAGGACTGTGGGAGCACACAACTAAGGAGGTGAATAAACAGCTTATGGCTCTTGGGCTCCCTCCTTTGGATGGTTGGTAATTCACGACAGAAGTTTTTGGCCAATGCGGCGGGAGAGGGAGTGGGAACGACAGTGTTAATTTTCCTATTCGCTTTAATAGCTATATATATCTATTGATACATAGGCATTGTTCTTGCTTTGCTCTCCTAATTGTGCTTGTCCTTCACTCTTATTACCGTTAATACCAAAGTCCTAATCCAAGGACCTAATCCACTGTCAATTGTACCTGTAAATTGCCACTTTGTACTTGTTTGTTTGTTTTACTATTAATGTCTACTAAACAAAAATTGGCCCGAGACTGTCTGCCAGCTTGCTACATCTATATAAAGGCCGAGCTCTTTCGCTCTTCTAGCCTCTGGAGCTGCCTCAACAATATCTGACCCATCACTTAATTCAAATAAATAACAATACTACAAAGCTCCACGCTCACAGGGTCTAGGATGTGCTCAACTGCTAGGCTTTTCTCTGCTATAATGAGTGCTCCAAGCATTCTTGCCACGGCCGCCCCGTCGACGAAGATGCTCAATTGCCGCAATTAGATCGTCGCATGGCTGGAGTTACAGTTTTCGTTGAAAATGGAGTATAGGAGGATGCCATTGTGGAGCTGGGACGCGGAGATACCGCTGCCCCCTTGAACTTTTGGTAAATTCGCAATGTAATACCAGCTGTAGCACATATTTGAACTAACAATGGCTTTACAACACGCAATAGTCTCTGGCTTTGCGCTCCGTTAACTACATGCGCCTGTTCCTATACCCCACCCCTTCAGGGTTGTATTTCTTTGGCTTTATTGCTATTCCCATTGATGAATAAAGTAGGCTGCGGATAGGGTAGCATCTATTCTAGATTTGTCTCGAAGCTCATAAACTATAAAGTCATTAGTGTCATCAGCCAATATACTAGCTGTCCCCTCTTTTACAGAAGACAGAGTCGGGGTTAGGAAGGGGTAATGTGTTTCGATTCGACAAGTGACACTTTTAATCTAGTCTTTTTTTTTGTTTCCTAGATTTATGCGTAGGTGTATCTTTATAACCCAATCGCTATAATATCTCTTAGATACCGTATGTAACAATTGCATTGACGCGATTCCTATTAGTACTGCAAGGTAGCATCCGCAGCTTTCTATAGTCGTCCATTTGCTGGTAAAGAACAAGGTTTCCCAATATTAGTCCGAGCTTGAATACACTTGGAAATGAGCGCCAGTAACAAACGGATCTGAACGCGGATCATACTGCTCGACGCCTTCAATAGGTGCATACTTGTGAATAAGGTAGCACATGTTATTATAGGCTCTGCAAAAGAATTATAAGCAAGTTGTTATGACCCCATGTAGACACACTATAGCTGTCGGGATGAAGTTGGAAGGGCGAGTCAACTTACGTCTTTCTTCTGATACTTCCAGGCCGCATCGCTGAGTAGTTAATGGCGACCTTGATGCTGTACAGTCTGTTCCTGTCATCAAACTCCTCGACAGGCTCCGCAGCTGGAAAGCGCCTCAGATAGTGAGCCATATAAGTCTTTGAGCGAAAGAAGGTGTTCCTAGAAAGGTCTTTGTAAGAAAGCTGCCCATTTAACATGGCAATAAGAGCGCCTGGGTGGAGTGGAACAACGCACAATTCACTTCTCCAATTTCCGAATTCCATCTCGTTGTGCGCAAAGTAGGAGCTGGCGTCATAAATAACGCTGTCGCCCGTCTCCATATCGATGCCTCGATTTCCCTCCCACAAGTCGCCATGGATCAGGCACGGCTTCACAGGCTCATCAGTGCCACTCTGGCGCAGATTGCCCAGCAGTCGCGGAATCACGGCGTCACCCATCTGGCGGACAGCGAGCTCGAGTTCGGGCCAAGGCTCGTTTACTTCAGCGTCGAGGCTGCAGGCATGCAGGAAGAGGTTGCGGAAGAAGTCGACCCATTTGCTCTCCCAAGTGACACGGTGTGGGATGTTGCCGTCGTAGGTTGTGACAGGGAAGCCGAATTTGCCGGTAGGTGACTGGCTGTTCTTGTGCAGCTCAGCAAGATTGCCCATCAGGTCATCAGGGTCGGGTGCAGTCGTCACGTCCATGTCGATGAACTGAGAGAGGTAGAAGTAGGTGTCTGGGCTTTGAACTTTATAACGTCCGTAGCCATATGGTGTGGGAATGAAGTCGGGCATGACGCTGTAAATCATCTTGGAAGATACGTGCTCGCCTCCAAGCATCAGACGACCATGCTCTCCGTAAGCAACCTAGACACAAAGATATTCGCAGAGTCAGTTGCGAAACGCAAAGTAGTTTAGCAGTGGATGCTAGGAGATGGAGGTTTAATGGTCCTGACTCGGCTCGCCTTTCATACCTTGAGAAAGAAGCGCTGGATGGACCCGTCGGCTTTCTGAGCCGTTACTCTCCCAGTCACGGTCCACGCACTGGTGCCGAAACTCTCGACTGAGGTGAAGGTAACATCCTTGGGCAAGGCTGAATGCGAGGTGTCAGCGATGGCTTGTCTACTTTGGTAGCATTCAGTGGGAAAAAGAAATGTAATTGTACCTTCGATGACTGCCTCATCGAATGGGAACACTCCATCGAGTTGGGACAGAATATTCTGAATCAACGGAGCTTGGATAATCCCCTCTGTTCGATTTTGTAACCCAGACTTGCGAATCAAAAAATGTGTGAGCATTGGATTGTCCGGACGGATCGGTGGCAGAGATGGACTGTTGCAGAGTTTACCTCGACTTCATATTGGTCCAGCACGGCGCGCTCAGCAAGTCCCGAGTCCTGCACGGCATTGGGCTGTTCCACGATGGAGGATGCCATTCTATCAGTTGACACAAAGATCCAAGATGGCTTGGGGTTCTTCCCAGACTGATAAGAGAGGACTTGGCTCAGGACTATTAATTCCGCGGGACATGCCTACCATCTAAATCCTCGTGGTGCAGTGCACATCATTGTCAGATTGCCGGGGTGTTATCATGTCGACCCCGCGCAGGCTGAGAGCATGCATGGGTGGGAATGAGGGGCTGAAGAAGATGGTGATGTGCTAGACGATATGAGTGGCCTAAGCGCGTGACCGACCAGGCATAAGCATCCTATTTTGTTCTCGGAGTCGGGCAAACTGCAGTGGTGTACGTCTCACACTGACTGTTACGGCATAGGTAGTACAGTAGTGCGCATTCTCAGCCTCATAATTAGGTCAGTGAGGTAGCATAATAATGGCGCATCGGCTGGAAAGAAGCCGCCATATGCAGCTGTGCAGGACTGCAACCATGCCTCTATGAGGCTAACACACCACAGCATCCCATGTACCACCTGGGCGGCACCATAGAAGGCCGATGTGGACAGTAGGATCAGGCTGCCTCGTGGTCCCCATTTTTTCATATTGTGTTTCGGTCTCCCGCAGGCTCTGGGCAAGCGACAACTTGATGCGGTTGTGACTCAAGAGATTCGAGTCGAAACTTGGTGATAGTTTGACACCATGGTTCGTGTCCCCTCTGTGCCGCTCCAGTATACTCCATTATACACGCCTGTACTGACCAGAATCTGGAACCACAATATAGTTTCGCAAGCCGTTTACATTCCCGAGACGACACCGGGATGAAGTGGTCGAGGCCGACCACAACACCAGTGACGATGAAAACATCCGGCCGTTGGCTCTCGAAAGAATTCCGTCGTCGACAACGTCCACAATAGCCGATCGCTCAGTAAAAGATCCTCTGGGCCTCAAAGTGGTGTATCGGCCGCCAAAAGAGCGCAAGGTGGACATTATATTTGTTCATGGTCTTGGCGGGAGCAGTCGTATGACATGGACCAAAGACCACAACCTGGACAACTTCTGGCCCCTCACGTTCCTGCCTCATGAGCCCGAGATCGGAGATGCCCGAATCATGACGTTTGGATACAACGCCAAGTTCAAGCCGGGAAGCAGCGGGTCAAGTACCATATCTGTGCTGGACTTTGCCAAGGAGTTGCTCTATGACCTCAAATATGCGACCGATGAGTCGTCACCGGAGCTGGAGGATCTCAGACTGGGGCAGAAACCGATCATATTCTTGGTCCACTCGATGGGCGGGCTCATCGTCAAAGAGGCATACATGCAGGGCAAAGACGACCCCGAGTACGCGGCTATCATCAAGGCCATCTCATCCATCATCTTCCTGTCGACACCGCATCGTGGAACAAACTTAGCTGAGACACTGAACCGCATTCTCAAGGTCTCATTAGTCGCCAAGCCGATGCAGTTCATCTCCGAGCTCACATCAGGGTCACAGACGTTGCAGAAGCTGAACGAGTCGTTCCGGCACGTTGCTGAGAAGCTTCAGATTATTTCGTTCTATGAGACTCGCCCGACGCCAATAATGAAAAGCGCCACCAGCATCATGGTCTTGGAGAAGGAATCTTCGGTGCTCGGGTACCCTGGTGAGATATCCAAGCCACTGGATGCGGACCATAACGGAGTCTGCAAGTACGATGGCCCGGACGATCCGCGCTACATCACCATCAGAAATGCGCTGAAGAATTTGGTTGCCAAGTCCAATCATAAGGGTGCGTTTCGTGATACATGTCTTCATCTTTGCACCATCAGAATGCTAATGTGTCTGATGTAGAGGGGAGAGAACACACGGCTCGTCACGCGAGCTCCGATAGCAGCAGTAGCAACAACAGCGATTTCAATGCTCTAGACCGAGACCGCCACCGAAGAGGATCGAGACGTGCGTCGACGAAGGAAGGTAAGCTAAACAGAATTTGCTGAAGATTGAGTAATGAGATGATCAAAGGTAACATTTCTTGTGCTGGACGTGGTAGAACCGACAAATGCGCCTGACACAGCAGAAGTCGCAAAGGCAAACCTCGGGGACTATCTCTCCTCGGCAGAGTCGCCAAACCAAGACTTCAACTTCTTCCGTGACCGCTGGACTGTTGGAACCTGCGAGTGGATCTTCAGTGACCAAGCCTTCACATCCTGGCTCGAGGATCATCGAACGAGTCCCCACGTCCTATGGCTCCAGGGCAACGCAGCCGGCGGCAAGTCCATCATGTCGTCTTTTATAATCGACAAACTTGCCCGGAGTGGTCTGCCGTGTTACTATTTCTTTTTCCGCTTCAACGACCAAAAGAAGCGCTCCATAGGCACCCTTCTTCGGTCACTCGCTGCCCAGATGGCCTCCTCGATCCCTGCCTACGCATATAAGCTACTGGACGTGGCTTCGGTGACTACCGATCTGAAAGCGGCTGACTTTCGGAGTATCTGGCAATGGTTCTTCAAGGACACTTTGTTTGCTCTGGGAGAGGAAGTTGGACATCCGATATACTGGGTGATGGATGGGCTGGATGAGGCTGACACGCCTTCGTCGCTGATCCGCCTCCTGGCCGACATGGATGCAGCCGCTGTCAAGATCCCTCTTCGCATTCTCATTGTCAGTCGCAAGACTCACGACCTCTCATCTGCCTTTGTGCGCTTGGGCAAACGCATCGACATGGACACCATCTGGATTGAGGGCCACCCACAGGATCTTCTCGCGTACGTTGAGCAGGAGATGGACTTTACCGAGGACAGCGAGTACCGCGATCAGGTCGTAGCCCAGCTGCTGGAGCGTACGGGAGGAAACTTCCTGTGGCTGCACCTGGCTGTGCACAAGATCAACCAGTGCCACACAAAATTAGACGTGGAACGGGCGCTTGAAGATCTACCGTCAGGTATGCACGAGCTATATGATCGGATGGCTTTGTTGGTCCAGAACCAGCCAAAGGCCAGTGACCGTCGCCTGGGGCAGAGTATTCTCGGCTGGGCTACATGTGCAAGGCGGTCTCTCAGCATTGAGGAACTGAAAGATGCCCTGGGAGGAACAAGCGATATGCGCGAGATCGTCGAGATTCACCGGACTGTAGAAGACCTCTGTGGTGGCTTTGTTGTGGTAGACAATGAGGGCAAGATTGCCATGCTCCATGAGACAGCGCGCGAGTATCTTACCGGCTCGGCTCTATATGAGAGCTCTGGACGACGGCCATGCGCAATTGACCCGCGAAGGACACACGATCTGCTCTTCAAGAGGTGTATAGCTTGTCTCACAGATCCATCGCTGCGGAATCTCATCAATCGCGGCGAGCCACCCGCCCTTCTCAACTACGCCATCAGCTCGTGGTACATTCACCTGTCGAAGGGGACATGCGTCGACCCCAACCCCGAGATCCTCGATGTTGTTGTTCGATTTCTTCGTAGCCCTCACGTCCTTGTCTGGATGTTCAGCGCAGCGACTCAGAACGAACTGCGGTTCCTCGTCATTGCCTCTCGATACCTGGCCGGCGTGGTGCTTAGCCTGCGACAGATCCAAGATGAAGGCGAGTCCTTGGCCCAGCGCCAGGCCACGGAAGTCATCGAAGGTTGGGCAACGGACTTGATCAAGATCGTGGGCAAGTTTGGCAAGAACCTGACGCGGGACCCAGACTCAATCTACAGGCGGATTCCACCGTTCTGCCCGTCGCCATCCATGATCTATCAGCAATTCGGCAAGAAAGAGAGCCGGACGCTACATGTCTCCGGAGTAGCGACCACAAGGTGGGACGACTGCCTGGCGCGCTTTTCCTTCGAGTCCGGGGCTGTGGCATCGACGGTATTAAACGCTGGGAGCCGGTTAGTGATACTCACAATCGATCGAAGGACCAGCACGATCGCCACCTACAGCGACGCAACCTTTGGAGAGCAGCGGCGTATGCAGCACGCCGAACGGGTTCTCATGATACAGGTGAACAAGCTGGGGAGTCTACTCGTGAGCTACGGCTATAAAACGACCAGGATATGGGACATTACGACGGGTGCTTGTATCAAGGTGGCCAACAACCCAGCCACGCTGCCGCGACCTCAGGCCATTGCCTTCTTCCAAGACGAAATTCTTATGAGTAGCGAGGACCGCTGTGTTCGTTCTCTGTCCATCAGTGACGAATCTAGTGTTGAGTGGGAGCTCAAGTCGCGCGTCGAGGAACAGGGCCAGGTATTAGACGGTATCATAGCCAACGCTCCCACCTGCGCGGCCATTAGCCACGACGGGCGCATGGTTGCTTACGGATATCGAGGGCATCCCATCACCGTCTGGGAGATTGACCCCACGGTTTTCTACAGCGAGATTGTGCTGGACTCAGATGGTGCGATTGACATGTTGGAGGCGTCAAGTATGAGATGGCACCCTCTGCGTTACGAGATCTTCTGCCTGAGCAGTATTGGCGTCCTGTTCAAATGGGATCCAGATTATGACCAGGCTGAGTTTACGACGCAATCCGGCGCAGACAAGCTCAACATCAACCCCAACGGATCTCTTGTGGTGACTGGGGACGCGAGGGGCAACATCAAGGTCTATGCCAGTGCAGATCTCTCGCTGTTATGCCACTTGCACTCGCAGGACAACATTGTGAGTTTATCCTTCAGCTCGGACTCGCGGAGGCTGTATGACGTGCGCAGTCTTTATGGAATTGTCTGGGAGCCAAGCACTCTCGTGAGGCTGGCGGAAAAGTCCGAATACCCGGAGAGCAATACAGACCTCGATTTCACGGGCGATAACGAAAGTCTGGCGAAACTGTCGCTCTATTCCGAGCACACTTCAGCTCAGTTCGACAGCGTCGTCTCGCTCGCCAGACAGCCCGTCGGGTCCCTCTACTGCTACGCTACCGAGGACGGCGTCGCAATGCTAGGAGAGGTTGGGAAGGGTAACGTGGGAGAGCTGGCGCGCTCAGCGAGCTACTTGGCCATGGAGCACATGGTTTGGAGCGAGGATGGGCGTCTCGTCGTCTTGAGCGATCTCGGGGGGCGGTTACTGTTCAAGCGGGTCACGCGGTCTTCCAACAAATGGAGCATCCAGCACGAGCATGATCTTGTCATTCCACCCTCGCACGGGCACATCACACAGCTCGTGGTCCATCCATCCGGAGACCGACTGCTTGCCGCTACGCCGACGACGCTGCACTGCGCCAACCTCAAGACATGGGAAATAAGTGCCAAGCCATGTCCCGTTGGTGTTGAGCCCCAGATCAAGTGGGCATGCCATCCCACGATGCCCGACTACATTCTCGGGTTCTCGAGAACGCGGGTGCGCATCGTGTCTTGGGCAACTCTCGATGAGTTGTGCGTCAGAACCTATGCGCTTCCACGGGCAGCAAGGCAACAAGTGCCAGCGCCAACGACTGCTTCACACGGACTTTTGGCTCGTGCCAGTACCCTCAAGTCGGATCGAGATAAGCTTGGGCGGCTGATCTCGGGCCAAGGCTTTCCTCAGATCCTTTTCGAGACACATCTGGCCGGATCAGGGGAGGCGACCCGCGAGTTCCTCGTCTTCGAGGCAGCGGACATCACTCCAACCCCGGGAAACGCAACGACTGGGCTTTTGTATACTACCTTGCCAGAGCATGTGGCCTCTCGCATACGGGAGCCTCTCGCTTTCCTGCCGCGAGGCAAACTTGCCTACCTCGACATCGATTCCTGGATCTGTACATTCCGCTTGTCTATGAGACCGAGTCTTGGCGGAGCCCGGCCGGTTGGATCATCAATATCATCCTCATCGTTGCAATCTAGCGGTCCAACCGACTCGCAACCCGGCCGCCGACTCTCGGAAACGCTGTCTCGTAGGCGCGGGAGCCACCAGATAACAGGTACAGCTACGGAGAGAGTTGCAGCGGCAAGACGGCATGGGTCGGAGTCTGCTATATTAACCAACACTAGCGGTATAGAGAGGCATTATTTCTTACCTGGAGATTGGGCTACAGCAAATGAGGCATATCTCTGCGCGATGACGCCGGACGGGACTCTGCTATGTCCGCAGAACGGGGGCATAGCATCAGTTCAATCAGCGACACTGCGCAAGTAGGACAGCATGATATGAATGCATATTTAGTGTACTCTACGAACAGGATACGCTGTATATAACGTGGGGAACGGTAAGTGTGGCATAATACATATGGAGAATAGGCGTGAATTGCTAACTAGAGTTCCAAGTGAGGGCAATGCCATAAGATGGAGAGTAAGTGATTCCTGTCACAAGCCGTGCACATAGATACACATGACAGCAAAACTGTCATTGCTTCGAGACCGCAAATCCAAGAAAAGACCTCACGTTATTTGCAATAAAATGTATATCATATTCGGGAAGCAGGGGTTATATCGAGAAGTCTATGCAGCCCTAGACTTGCTCTAGGCAGTACTTTAATTGGAGGAATGTACGGATGCGGGAAGTCTGATTGATCCCGCACGGCTCTAGTAAGCCGGGAATAGGATATAATATAAAGAGAGATACCCAGAACAGATGGTTCAACAACACAGACAAGTAAATTCACATACATGTTCATCTAGCCATAATAAAAGACTCCTCTCTGCGGGGGCGAGCCTCTCGCGGCTAGACCGAATGATCCCTTGTCACTATTTCACACTACAAGCCCGATGGTAGCGTGACCAACAAATTGGGAATCGAGAAATTACGACATCTGGCTTTGTGACAAGGTGTCAGTTCCCGGTGTATCGACAAACAACTAACGCAGCTCGTTTACACAATGCATGCTATTGGGCAGCTAAGTTCCGAGTACAATGCATAGGCGAGCAGTTTCCATATGGTCTCTATTATTAGTACATGATTCTACTTAACCTACCGCATCTATTACCCTTTTCTATTCGCTATTGTCTCTCCAGTCTCATCATAGCTCTCCTCTTTCCATTGTAGTAAACAAGCCCGACTCGAGTACATCTCTACAATTGCTCGTCATACAGACCCCTCCTAGGCATGTCCACAGAACCAAAGCTCGAGTTGGGCGCACCGAGGCCCAGTCCAATCCCAGAAGAGCCTTACTCGGCTTTCAGTAGCTGGCAAAAACGCTCGATCGTGATTCTGATGGCCTCAGTGGGCTGTCTCGGCACACTCAGCAGCTTCGTCTACTTCCCCGCAATCCCACAACTGGCCGACCATCTCCACGTCTCTATCGCTGACATTAACCTGACCATCACCGTGTATCTCATCGTGGCGGCGATTGCCCCGACGATCGTTGGCAATTCCGCCGACACAATCGGTAGGCGTCCGACCGTCGCCGTCTGCTTGGTTATTTATCTCGGTGCGGATATTGGGCTAGCCTTGTCGCCATCGTTCGCTGCTCTACTATGCTTTCGCATCTTACAGGCTGCCGGGATATCGGGGACGTTTGCCATCACTTTTGGAGTCCTCGGTGATTTGTTCACGCCGGCGGAACGAGGGAGCACCTCGGGCATCATGTCTTTTGTTCTCAACACCCCTCCAAGCTTTGGCCCCGTTCTCAGCGGATTGCTGATGCAGCGGTGGGGATGGCGTTCGATCTTCTGGTTCCTCACAACGGCGTCGGCGTGCTTCTTGCTTGTCATCGCCCTATGTCTTCCTGAAACTTCCCGATTAGTTGTGGGAAACGGGAGTGCATCGGCGACTCATGGTCTTTGTAGGCCGATCCTCCCACTTTTACTGGCTAAATCTTCGATCGGCGAGCAAGTTTCCGACGATGCATCAAGTAATGAGAGAACTGCGCGCATGAGCTGTTCCAATCCGCTGAAGACGCTCGGTGTACTGAGAAAACCTGCAACGTTCCTCATTATCTGCGCAATGGCCATATACTACGCCATCTACTCGTCCCTTCAAGCTTCGCTATCAAATCTATTTAGCACCACATACAAGACTTCGAGTTTGGTCACCGGCTTGATCTATCTTCCATTTGGTGTCGGATGCGGTCTCGGAGCTGTCCTCTCAGGTAAGAATTACAGCCCATGATTAGTCTCCATTCACTCAGATCTTCATTTCCAGCGGTCCAAAAGTGAGTCGGCTCATATGAGCTGACAAGGTTTAGGCAAAGTACTGGATATAGAATACCGACGGACGGCAACCAGACTTCATTTTCCACTGGACCACGGAGCAAACCATGACCTGGCTTCCTTTCCCATCGAAAAGGCTCGTCTCGGCAGCCTGGTTTACGCTCTGTTGCCTTGCTGCCTCTGCATCGCTGGATACGGGTGGTCAATCCAGTATGAGTTAGTGAGTTCAGGTCACCGGGTGTGGCCTGGTTGAAATGATGTGGGCATTGAAGCTGACTTTCGAATCGAAGCACATGGCGGTGCCGCTTATACTACAGTTCCTCATCGGCCTTTCTGTGCAGGGTATTTTCACAGCCATAGGCACGCTGCTGGTAGATACGCACCCGGGGAAACCAGCAAGTGCACAGGCGGCCAACAACTTGATCCGCTGTGCAACTGCAGGTGCAGGACTGGCTATATTCGAGCCTACACTTGGGCAATTGGGACCCGGCTGGACTTTCGTAGTTGCTGCGGCGTGCGGTCTCGTGGCGGCCACGCTGCTGTTCTGGGTCAGGGAGTCCGGTATGTCGTGGAGAAGACGCTCTCGCCGCCGTGAAGCCAACGAAAACGGCTCTCAATAGCAGGGTGGATTAGTCTACTCAAGGCAATCGAGTTCGATTCAGTTCCAAGATGCGTCAGGGGTCAATCCTATGCAGCGCGCGCGAAATTGTCGCAGCTGTTGCAAAAGTAATTAGTTTCCTTTAGTTCCAGACAGCGAGCCCTGAAATTTGCAAAGAAGGATACAATCTGGGTGACCCTTGTCAAAGGCGCATTTGAGAACTATACGCCACTTAGCATTGAGCATATGGAACTTGCAATAGGTTTACGAAAAATCGCCCAGTAGGTGCTTTAGTAATTAGGGCGATGAGAACGATTCTAAGCCAAGATTTGACTCCTCTACGATTTAGAATCCAAAAGATGTGCGAAGATTATTGTTGGACGATGCGAAAAGCTTTGAAATGATGTTATTGGTAGGTGGCTATAGTCGAGGAGCAGAAGACATAATAAAAGCCTACTATAACCGTTTCCTTAATTGGATGTAGCCTGCGAAAATACCTTTGCTCTATAGTTTCTCATTTGCTAGAATTTGGCTACACTAACGATTCCAAGTCTTGCCTAATTGTAGCACAGATGCTATGAACAAGGCTATCTTCATTCTCCTCGTCGATGCCCAAAGCTCCTTGTTGCCAAGTTACGCTATATATCAAGTTGCCGCCTTTAACACTAGCGAGATTGAATGCCATTACAGAGGAGCTGACATGTCCAGGCTGTGCAAACGCCATTTTCGTAATTCTAGCTGTCTCGTCGCTATTATTCGACAAGTGATTTTCAGCATCGAAAGAGCCTATGTTACTCACTTCGTATGAGCTGTCTCGCTGCTTGCCAATCCTCCCTACTAACCATTTCCTAATGCTCAACAAATATCGGAGCAAGCCAATTGGTTGATCTGAGAGTGCTGAAGCTGCTGCCATGAGCTTGTGAGTATTCGCGCAGGCAGCAGCCCAAAAATCATCGGAAAAGTCGCCACGTGTGTCGTCGCGCGGATGGCTCATATACAAGCCTGATACGAAATTACCCATTTCGTCAACTGGAATGCCGATGGATGTCCGCATATTCACTGCCGTCAAAGATGCAAAGTTTGTATATTTGCGATCGGGGATAGCCCTGCTCAGTGCCCGGCTCACAATGCCGTGAAAAGTTGCAGTCAACTTGGCATCGTGGTCTCTTGCTGCACGGATTGCTGAACTAAGGATGTGTTCTTCGATTTCATATACCACAACCTTTGTTCGATGAGTCTCTGCATCGAAACGGGATAGTGAGCCAGTCCAAGTGCTTGTGTTGACGGCGGAAACAGAAACCCGTAGCCGCAGTAGTTTTGTGACAAATGCTGGCAAAATCATCGCAACGAGGGGTGCAATAAGGTATGACCAGGATATGGGCAATCTTTCAGGCGTATCAAACGGTGGGGGTAGCGGCCTTGGAGGTATTTTGACCAAGGGATCTACCGATCGTGAGGATATTGGGCACTTCCTGAATGCGTTCAGAAAGGTATGGTGGAACACGACTCCTGTCCAGCCATCTCCAATCGAATGCGAGTAAGAAAAGGCAATGAAGCAGCCCGTCCGCAGTGGGAGGACAGTGATTCTCCATGGAGGAACACCGGTTGGAAATGGCTTATCTAGGTCGTCTGCTAGTACTTTCTGGATTCCGGTCAAATCATCACTGGACGCGGTGTGATCAGCCATGACGACGTGTTGTTCTAAGTGGATGTCCAAGACGTGGTGGTAAAATGCCTTGTCGGTATGCGTGTCACCAATTGCGACGTGGAGATATGCATGCTCTTCAATGCACTGTCGAAGTGGTTGGTAATATGAACTTGGTGAATAAGCATCCACGTCGTCACCAAATTCATAGAGAGCGCCGACAATCACAGCATGATAGAAGCCCAAGTCCTCGCGGCTTATTGAGCGCTGTTCATTGCCACCTATTCTTGTCTCAGATTCAGCCAGTGCAAAAGTAATCCAGGGCTACATACTTGCGAATCGCAAAAACTGCTCGTGAACGGCCATGACGTAATGTATTAGGGGATATGGACCTCGTAAGAGAAACGACTGGTGTGGTTCAATCTTTCTGCAAACAGTAAGAATGTGAAAGGTAATAAATTAAATAGGAAGTAAGATGTGTTATGGGAAATATATAACACTCTCCGGAGTAACTACACCACGATAAAAAGACCTTGTACTATCGACCACTGTTTCTAAAAATGCTGTACCAAGCGGGCTACTTCTTGCTATTATAAGTATTAAAGCCAAAGATATATATTAGACAATCACAGGAATCTTAATGCACTAATATGCGAGTCACGTTTCCAAAAAGGGACGACTTAATAGCGGTGTTGTAAGCTTCGGCGACATCTTGCCATTTTCGGTAAAGGCAAAGACACTAACGATCCTTTTTGGAGGGAGTCCGATTCTGCGTTGGAAGCTTTGAGGAATTTAGAATGTCTCTTCTCACAAACAGCCATAAACCTTTGGTCCAGCTTTCACGTCATTGCTGTAGCGGCCTGCTCATTTTGCGACCAGTTTTTCTTTGCAATCACTGCGCCCCCAAGTCTCGCACCTGAACGGTTAGCCTGATGGCGAAGCCTCTCAATGGTGCGTGTAGCCGTTGTCACGCCAAAAAAATGAAATGTCACTTTGATCTGCCTGGAACTGTGTGCGCCAGTTGTCATCGACTAGGCGAAGCATGTTTCCCAAGGAAAAGGCAGCGCATGGGACGTCAGCCCCGTGTGAAAAAGTATCCATCGGGAAACTCGTCTATCATGCGGTTTGAGTCGACAAGCCAATACGACTGGGAAAGGCAATCACCTTCTGACTGCGACAAACTCTCAGCTCCTACGGCATGTTTTCCTAGATCATCAGCTAGTCAGGATGTGGGTTGGATGGTGAATAAACGATCTACCATCTTCATGAGTGACAAAGGCATGCAACTGGCCACATCTATTGTGCGCACACCCGAACCGCCTGGGGCGGCTTATCGCCAAGTTTACAACATCCTTGTCAACAAAGACTCGTTCTACGAGCTCCATCGCCAATTTATGTTAGGGCGAGAATATGCCGATGAGTTCCAGGCTGCAGTCCTAGTATTGTTCAATCGTTCCCCTCACATTTTGTCTCCCGCTTACTACGCCGTATTGGGTCTCGCTGCTTTCCGCAGTATTTGCAGCAGAGGACTACACGGTTTTGATTGGAGCAGGGGGGCTGATTGCATCCGATGCTTAAGGCATGCCTCACTCTTCATAGCTAATGTAGAAGATGCTGCCGTTTTCCTGATGCTTGGCCAACTTCTTTTGGTTTACAACCACCTGGTTCCCAGCTTCTGTGAGCAAGCTATCGAATGCGGTGCACTTCTGAGCGCCAAGGACTGGTACCCAGCTTTGGTTCTACGGCCAGAGCTGGATTCGGTTACCCTTTGTTTGGTTCTAGTGGACACAGTCAAATGTTTGATTGCTCGTGAGTTGCCTGTTATGCGGCTGACCGCTGTCGACCGAGGCACATTCGACAGGTTCATTGGCGCTTGCTCCTCTTTTCTTCCTCTACTTTATGATCTATGTGAGCGGAGCTATCAAGTCAAGATGAGCATAATTCCAAAGGTTTGCGAGAAAGAGAACCTGGAGGCAATCGATCCTTACAAGGACATTGAAAGGGAAATTAGCGCTTGGAAGCCTCTGCCCCACGAGCCTCGTTCTTCGCAGCACGAACTTTTTGAAACGGATGCAGCGCTGGCGCAGGCGAGTTTATACCGCATCGCGGCGTTGCTCGTCATACATCGCCTGCGCTTTCCCATCGGTAAAGAGGACAGCACTGCGCGTCGGTATGCGGACTGCATATTAACTCAACTGTCATTTATTAGCACGTGCTCGTCTGAAGGAACGGGGATTGGGCTGGATTTCCCACTTTTGGTCGCCATGATGGAGCTCCCTAATCGAGGTGAACAAGTGTTTTGGGCGTTGGACAACTTTAGGATCCGGCAAAACTTTAGCAACCTTGCGCAGTTTGTCAAATCGGTCTGGGAAGAGTATGATTCAGGTTATGATGGCCTTTGGCTTGACCTTATACCCCGCAAGTTACAATTGCCAATGTTGCCCTAGGCTGAATATCTCTTATGCACTTTAGTATTGGACTGCAATCAAATAAGCTGATAAACAACTAATTACCTAAGAGAGGAAAAAAATAAGTAAAGATAGAAAGTAAAGGTAGAAACTGCAGTTTATCAGGGTTTATACTAGGGGGTCTAAACCTACTATAGCCACCTGTAAATAATATCAGTTAGTGGTTCCGCGCCGTCCTAGTAGCTCGGTCCGATATTTCCTAATTGAGCAGCTGGAGAAGCCCCCCAGTTGTCCCGCATCGAGGTCATGTGTAATGCCAGTTACACATCTTGGAGTCCAAACTCGATCTGCCACACATGTAAAAAACAACAGCTCCCTACAACTTAATGCACTGATATAATCATCTCGGTTCGGCATTACCTTTCTTGATTAAGTTAGACAATTGTTTGACCATCTTTTCCAGATATAAAAGCCTATCCGTCGTAGAAAACCCAATAAGCAATACAAGGTCACATTTGGCTATTCTCAGTTCTAGAAGAATCACAAAGACATATTCAGCTTTGCGCATTTACATATATGTGTAAGTTTGGCAACCATTGGTTATGTTACACACTGCTTTTATACATGGCACAAAGCTGACTGGCCCTATGTATACTACCTGGCTAGAACAATGCCTCGCACATATCAGTATTTGACACCCGAGGAATGCGCTCACTTTATTGAGCATGGATGGCTGAAAGTTGAAAATGCAATTAAGCCAGAGTACCTCCATGGGTGGATGGAAAATCTCTGGACTCGGCTCGGTTATGACCCAGAAGACAAGTCGACTTGGAAAGAGACCTACATGAAACTTCCACGTCACCGAGAAGTTCCCGTGTCTGAATTCTGCCCTGATGCATGGAACAAGATTGTTGAAATTGTGGGTGGCGAAGAAGAGATTGATCCTATTCGCGAGCGTTATCATGGTGATCAATTCATTATAAATTTTGGCAATGAGTACTGGAAGACCCACGAAATTCCTCCAACAGAAGCAACGGGATGGCACACCGATAATGATTGGTACCGCCAGTTCCTTGATAGCAGCGGAAATGCGTTGACAATCATTCACTGCTTCACAGATATTCCGGAACAGGGCGGTGGCACGCTTATAGCAGAGGATGGTATTCAGGGTAAGTGTATTACAAACGTTATATTTACCCTTTGAGATGTTTCATTCTAACAAACTTGCATTGTGTAGGTGTTTGCCAATATCTTTATGACCACCCCGAAGGTTTCGACTCTCCCTTTGAAGATGTGTTGTACAAACATATACCCAAGTGCCAAAGGTTCTCTCACATTGTCGCAAAAGCTGGCGATGTATTCATTACTCACGGATTACTTCCACACACAAATGGGCAAAACCATCTCCATTATGCACGTGTGATTACAAATCCTCATGTGAATCTTGTTGAACCATACAACCTAAATCGAGGAGATGGCGACTATGTAAGTTCTGACAAACCTCGTCTCCCTGGCCTTTGGGTTACAATACCCAAACTTGTTGACTAAATATAATGTAGACTTTATGCGAACAGGTCATCCTTCGTGCACTAAATCGAACCTCCATCCCAGAATATAAACCCACTCGTCCGAGGCTGGCTCATTATCCTCGCACCGCATACTTTAAGCGTGCTCGCATCACTGAGGAACTTCAAAGGCTGATAGCTGCGGCTGAGGAGAACGGTTTAAGTCCCGAGAGTGTGGACAGTATTTATTTGAAAGGCGAAGATGCCATTGCGGAACACGAAAGGCGAAATGGATACGACAAAGCATATGGTCCAGGTGGCGTTATTCAACGGAAAGAAGGTGGCAAGTTCGAAGATATCTCTACGGCGGCCAGGCAAGTTTTCGTATAATTGAGATAGCCACTCCAATGTCATAAGCTTGAATGCTGCTAGATTAGAATACCTATGAGAATAGCATTCCATTAACTCCGAGCGTTTGTAAGATGTCATCATATGGTTGCAGAAATTCTTGAACGATAAAACAATAAAAGACATGGAATATGAGACAGAAAATGTATTTGTGACAAAGCTTTCACGGGTAGACTTTGTCATCTTGATTGCGCCAATTAGAACTATATTCAGTTTCTAGTTTCAGATGTTAGTATATCGAAGATTACATGTCAACCCAGATTAGGCATTATAGCCGATACATCGGGGCCGCTTTCTACACAAGATTGAGATAGAGACAGAAATTATACTCAATTATAATTTGAATATTGAAAAACTCCCCGCTCAAAGCTCGGATGCTAGAAAACTCCACAGTCACGACGATTGGCAATTGAATCTATTCATTAGTCCGAATCCTGTTAGGCTATGTGGAGGATAGGATTAATCGCCCATACGTCACCGATGACACAAAAGTTGACGTGGAATAATCGTGAACCGTATTCTGCAAACTAATTGTCGCAGTAGTCGGCATTCAGTCCACGGCTATAGGCGGAGCAAAGCCGACGCAAGAAGCCTCAGTCTCTTCGGGAAGGCGTTTATCGATTCCGACTCTGAACCCCTACGTGTACCTTCCACTGTCTGAGAAAATACATACAATGTGCTTCGGAGTATGGTGGCCATTTCAAGTATATAAGAGCCGTGTATGACATATCAATATCTCTCATACTCTTGACATAGAAAAGCCTCATTGCACAATCTTCCAGCTCAGCTCACCATCAAAAGTCATATATTGTCTACTGCTACAACAAAGGCAGTCACCATGCCTACCCTACAGACTCCTCAGCTTAAACAGCTACATACTTCATTTGGAGCCGAAATCCTGGCCTCAGCTTTGCCAATGCTGTGACCACCGATTGTCAAAAGATGATGTTGGATGCATTAATCAAGGTAAATAGTTGGCTTCTGTTTGTCGAAAAGTTGGTAACTATACTAACCTTTCCCTTCATTCGCTCGACCAGTCTTACCGATGAGAATCACGTTGAGTTATCGCATATGTTCGGTGAACTCGATGATGTAACGCCATACATCAAGCTAGGACGCCCGAACCGCCTCAAATACGATGAACTATTTGACGTGAGCAAATGTCGAAGAGGATGGTACCATTGTCTCCGACCAGAGTCCCCACGGCGCAGCCAATAAAGGCAATTGTCTCTTTCACGTAGACTCTAGCTTCAACCCCCGTCGTGCTGGATACTCTCTGCTCCTTGCCCACGAACTGCCTCCTCCAGGTAATGGGGGCGGTATTGAGTACTGCGACACCAGACAAGCATACGCAGAGCTGGACCAGGAAACAAAAGATGAGCTTGCTACAAATGACTATGTTGCTGCCCATTCCATACATCATTCGAAAAAGGTAGCCGCTCCAGATTGGTACGCCAATATCAACCCTGAGGATTACCCGATGGGCCGTCATAAGCTGGTTCAGCTTCATGAAACATCAAATCGGATGAATTTATACATCGCCACCCATATTCATCATATCGAAGGCTTGACCTCGGAGAAATCGCAGCAGGTTTTCGACAAGCTCTTCATGCACTGCACTCAAAATAAATACCGCCTGAGTATTGATTGGCAGTGCGTGGGCGATTTGGTTGTTTGGGATAATACTAGTACTATGCACCGGGCGGTAAACGGGCCATTTTTGTACAAATACCGCCGCGACATGAGGCGTACCACTGTGCACGATAGTTCGAGTCAGGCCTGGGGCTTGAACGAGCATACCAACCGTCGCCAAGGCCTACCTTAAGATGAGAGTAGATGGTATTTGAATAAGGCAAACTCAACTGTTGGAATCACAGCACTCACTGGATGATTTCCTTAGTCTATTCGTGATTGCTTTATTTGCTTCTTCATTTCCCACCCCATCCTGAAGCAGGGTTAGGTGACACCAGATACAGCATTTCCAAGCACGCGAGACCAAGTCCATTTTTGCGTTTTGAATGATACCGATGAGTGGCACTGCAACATGTAATTAGATGTATCAAATATCTCTTTGTAATTCACGTGAATTTACCCTACAGGCTTTCAACTAGCTGTATCAAAGAACGTCAGCAAGTACGCCCTACATACAACAACTGACCAGAATGTTATACACTTGAAGCATTGCATATCATAATTACATCATGCTTCTGTAAATAATTTTGTATTATTTTTGTGACAATAGCCTTCTAAATTTTTAAATTCCGATGATACTATTTCTGCTACTCTCAACATTGTTCATATTTGAGAGCAGGTAAATTGAAATGAAGTTGCGATAGAGACAATGATGAGCGACATCAACTAAAATCTCATGTCTATGCTACTTTGGAGATGAAAGTTCATGGAGCCTGGATTCCAGTCCGACCCGTCTGTCTCAAACTGGAAGTGATCTGAACAGGCATTCCCGAGTCATGAGGTGAAGCTAAAAAAACGTTCTGTAAATTTGAACAAGTCTATTGGCTGCTCCACATCGGCTTTGGGCGGCACACTACTCGCATTTCTGTTGGTCTTCAGAGTGCGGGGATAGCACTGCATGTACCTTGGCATCTAACTTACTTGGGCAGCGTAGCCGTCCACAACCGACAGTACTTGTAACGTTCGTGGCACCTTTACACGTTCGGGTCTTCTGCTCTTTTCATTCCGTAACTTTTCTAGGTCTGGTACAGTCTTGTTATTCCCACAGCCGTTGAGTAGGAACTTCACAGATATTATTGGCCTTCCGAATCGTACGAGATGACTTCCAGTACTGGGAAAAGGTCATACCGCGCTTGCCAGAGATGCCGGAGCCGTAAGACAAGATGCGATTTGTGAGTCATCTTACCTTGTTCAAGCTGGACACGAGCTGATATGGACCAGGGACAGCATTGGAGAACCAAAGGCACCCCCTTGCTTCTCCTGTTATCGTTCTGGAAGCAAATGTGTCCTAGCTTCTTCCCTTCGTGGCAGAGCCTTCCGCCAATACCGAGGACCCAAAGTCGGATCCAAGACGCATCAAGGCCATCACCACAACGTTGAGTTTCAGACTCAGCCCATCCTACTTCCTCAACAACCATCTATAGAATCAGATTGCGACTCTCCTGATGCGCCCATCGACGATTCAGAGGAAGAATTATGTTCCGAGCTCAGAAATCCGGCTGATGCTTTACAAATTCTCGCACGATCTGGGGAGACGCGCCAGGATAAGCCGCCATCTTCTCCTTCTGCAGGCACATCACCGATTCATGATCCAGTGAACACTTCCCGAAATAATACCCACCCTTCTGGACGAAACGTTCAGGCACAGCCAAACCAGCCTGCTTCGAACACGAAACTTGAACATTATGAACTAGTTCAGCGAGGACTCTTAGGGCTGGGTCTCGTAGCAGATCTCCTAGAAATGTTTGCAATCCGCTTTATTTCTTGTAGAATCGTTGTAATTGCTAATCATTTTCTAGATTTTCGCGAAGATATCATCCATATTGTCCAATTGTTCCAAGTTCGCTATTGTTAATCTCTGGCACCGAATGTTTCAACAGCGCCGATTATCTCCTTCTGACCATTATTTTAACTATAGCATCAAGAGATGAGCCAGAGTATACAGTAACTCATCGTCACTGCTGGGAGCATACACAGCGGCTATTATTAGATGTGTTATTAGCACAGCCCTGGACGCAAAGTCCTCAGACCGTCCGTGGTCTTCTCTTGTTGGCCGAATGGCTCCCCCATGTTCAATTAAACCATGCTAGTACTGGTGAACCGGACAGCCTGTTTGCAGAAGGCAGAACTGCATGGACAATGATTGGCATGGCGATAAGACATGCCTATCTTCTTCGTCTAGACCTCGCAGCCTTTCGGAAGGATAATATTCGCGAAGAGAAGCATGGCACTGACCAAGAAAGGCTAATTTGGACTCGTAAGTCTACACGTATATAAAATGCGTTGAGGTGATTTACTAAAAATGTCTCCTATAGATATTTATATTGCAGATCGGCAGATATCCGTCCGCCTCGGTCAGTCCTTCTGGTCTCGTGGACCCTCCCTTTCGTCCAATTTCACTGCCAAGGACTTTCCAAGCCTTCAGCATTTACCAAACAGTGAAGGGGTCGATTACGCAAACGTATTGCATTCTACACTTGAACTAACCCAGATTCTTCACAATGTCCAAGACCTTCTTTATTCTTCCCGTGAACGAACTCTAACGTTAGTTTTTGCCGGAGACTACAGTCGCTATTTGGAAGACTTTCAAAAGGCGGCAACAGTGTGGTATGATACATGGAACCCCTTGTTAGTAACACGGCGTGCAAACAATTGTGTAATGTTGATGTATGAATACCTGTGTCTTTACATCAACGCATTTTCCTTCCAGGCTGTTCTTACAAGGTTGTCACGGACACGAAGAGCTGCGACAGATAAAAAGGAGCTTCGCCATGAGGCACAAAACCAGCCATTCCCCAAGGGCCTCATGGCTTCACCCGACTGTCGATGGATCTACGATGCGATCTTTGCTGCTATTAAGATTCTGAAGATTATGAATGAGCTCAACCCTAACGATGAGATGCGTTTTCTGCCGTCTCGCTACTATCTGTAAGTGATGTCAAACTTGATACAACTCCGTGTTTGTTCTGTAATCGTGCCCTAATACTCATCAAGTTATGGAATCTATGCGGCTGTCTTCCTTTACAAGGCGGTATTTTCTGGTGCATATTCCGGAGACGAGCAGAAGAGAGAGGTTGCTACTTTAGTACAAGGATTCGCCACTGCTCTTGATTCGGTTGCATCCATCAACTTCCACGTCTGTTGTAAATATAGCGGAATGCTGAGAAAGCTGTGGGCACGACGTGGACCCAAAATGACCGCGGAGGATGTGCCGGGCTCTCCAAGCCGAACTGTGGAAGATTACACAGAAGAAGCAGCCCATAGAAGATCTAAAGAACCATCAAGCTCTAAGAAACAGCAGCCTTCGGATACCCAATTCACTCAAGCCGACTATCTGGCGAGTTTCACAAATCCGGATCTGGGGGTTTTATTTACTGGAACAACAGCAGCCGAGGATACTTCCTCGATCTTATTGGATGACCAGCTCTTTGGCCCATTTATACCTAATGTAGAGAATATTGGCAATGGTATAGTATATAATGATACGGGAAAGCAACTCTTGGCAGACTTGCCACTAGTAGACATAGGATTAGCAGGATACCAGGAGATTCCTTGGAACATCGATGCCTACCTAACATAGCGAAAGTGTATAATTTTCAAGCTCGAATTCCAAATACTATATTAGGATGTGCTAAAATTACAAAAATCAACTGATATCAACGAGTGGATGCTAATTTACGTAAAACCAGATGTTAATTCAAATGCACTGAAATAAGCCTGAAAGCTAATTAAGCACAAGCATAAATAATCCTACATACTACAATATCCCAGTCTATAGCAATTATATAGGGTTAATAGCTTGATGTAACCTTACATCCTCTCCAAACAGACAATACAAAGTGTGAAATAAGCTTAGCCTTATAGCATAGTCTAATTCTTTTCTTTTCCTAACGCCAGATCCGGGATTGGGGTGGTGGCCTAGTGCAAGTTGTAAGCGCGCTTGAGCAATAAGCGTATTCCATATTCCTTCAACACAAAGCGTATTCACGTACATGTTGGGCGTATTCGCACAGACTCCGAGCGAATCTCAAGTTTTGATAGACCTACAACCCTTGCAATAGTATGAAGTTGGGATATTGGGCATAATTACTTGCTGCGAGTGAGGTGTACTATTCTCCTGAAAAGTATAAAGAGGCCAGAGAGAACTACCTTGGTTCATTCTTGCTTTCCATCTCTACACAAACACATCTACATTTTTTGTCTACTCCATTGCTAATACTTGCCTTGGCCTCTGTCAAAAAACACCGCTGAAATCAACATCAAGATGCGGTAAGTTTGATGACTTGATACAAAACCTTCCAAGCTAATATATATAACAGCTTTACCATTGCCACTACCGCTTTGCTTGCCTATGCTGGCGTTAGCATGGCTAATGTATGCACTCTTGTTGGCTATACCTGGGAAGACCAGGACGTTTTCAGTGGTATCGCCGGCGAAGCCTATGGCGATGAGGGCTTCGAGCTCTACTACCAAGGAGGAGTCCATATTTCCGGTGGAACCTTCAGCAGCGATGGCAGCGCCTTCAACTCGGTAGCGAAGCATACAATCGACCAACATTATCTTCATACTGCCGAGTCTATTATTGTGAGTTTAGTTAAATTCGTCCCTGTATCGTAGGACTTTGACCACGGAATGTACCGCTTACGACAGAATAGTGGACACCTTCAATGAACGGCATTGCTATGGTAGGATGCCATCTTTCTTATGAAGGAGTAGACTATGACGGATATAGTCACGGGCCATTTAATCCTTGCGGCAGCAGTAGTCTTGGTTATTCCTGCTCGTACTGCAATGTCGACTTTCAATGCGAGGGCAATCTCCCAGCCCCTAACTAGATTTCTGACGGCTGTACACCTCACTGAGCAGTATTATATCAACTGGCTTATTATATTGTATTGAGTTGGAATTGATAGTGCAAAGGTTCTTCCATAGCTGCTGTGCAATTATAGTTGTACACTATGGTTCAAGCAAGAACAAATAAATCCAGCTCTTTCTACCCTAAGAAATCATCAGATAGTTGTGGACAGCTTCAATTTCTTGGAAGTTCAATTTTGATCCATACAACAATTTGCTACTCTTCTATTCCGTTAATATATCAGTATCAGTAAACCTTTTTAGTTATTCCACTACCTAGAATTCAGAGATCAGAGCAATAGTAAGAGAAAAAAGATTTTGCAGGTTGAAAGATTATGCGTCGTGGACATATTAGATGGGCCAACAGAAACAGTGCTCAAATTGATCAACATATCTTGAGCACCCAGGATATTGGTGTCTGTATTTTGAGTTGTAGAGCAACAGTAGGGATCTTTGAGTCTCGTGAAAGTTCCACAAAACCTAACTTGAGCGCAGCAAGGTAGGAGAACTTGGCCAGGATCTTCTTTTGCTCAACAACAAGCCCGAGCTCCTCAAAAGCGCTGTGCCCGGGACTGAGCAGAAAGATTACCCGTATAAGTACTCTGATGGAGCAGATACAAATGGATTGAATCTTGAGATTGCCATCAACCGAAAGGTGAGCGAGGAGCTAATGAAGGACCTGGGTGTTATAAATGTCATTAGATACGCACCAATCAGTTCACCAACCACAAGCGAGTCTATCAGGCGCTAACTCTATTGTAGGTTAGTAAGTGAAAGACATTCAGGGAGCATTATTGAAAGCGGTAAGATAGCACATCGAGAAGGTGTGGGATCAGGTCAAGGAGCTCTAGACCGCTGTCAATATTTCGCACCGTGTGCGACCCCAAAGCCCAATACTGGCAGATCTTTTACAACATCTGGTGAAAGAATATGTCTGTAGAATTTTAAATGCAAACCATTTTCTTTTGCGAGGTCATGACAGCACTCGAGAGTATGGAGAAGAACGAGCGTGGAAAGGTCAATGCACATCAGCTAGGCGATCTCAAGGACGCCGTAACCGGCTTAGCAGACGTGGAAATCAAGCAAAAATTAAAATGTAAATCATTTGCAACATAGTCTAAGAACAAGGTCGCGACACCCGTGGGGCAGAAGTTGGCCGTCGTCAGCAAGGCTATATCCCCTGGTCCCCTGCTACCAAAACAATAGTTCGCTTTCCGGGCAGGGTTCTTCTGCTTGGGCTTCTGGCCAACAGCAGCTGAGCGCCATGGATGATAAACTGGAGAATTTCATGCCGAGGGTGACTTCATGATGTCTCTGCTCATCGCCGAATCCATGTCAGTGAGCGTATGACTGACCCGAAGCATCCTCGCGAGGTTCTAGGCTCAGAGAGGGCGGGCCCAAGCCATCACTGGGTGGATGGCTTACAAGGCCATATCCAAAAGGGCGAAAATTGGGAAACAGTACGGACTTTCTTTCATCTTTACCATGAGAACCCGTGGTCCCTAATTTAGGTGTCTTGATGATGTACGTACCTTCTTCTGGAGACATGACCAAAGTCATCCGCGTAGTGGAAGTAAAATAAATTTATGTACTTGTTTGATCTATTTTCTCTCTCCCTCTTGTCTTCAAAAGGGGTATATTGAAGGAGATCACTGATTATTCAAAACAAAAGCTTTACATAGTGATTTGTTTTTGCTTTTTCTAAATCATAAGCGCTTGGAAGCGACTGAGGTGCATGGAAAATACAGGCCTACTTTCCCTGTATAAAACCAGTTTCAGTTCACTTTGGGATGCATCAAAGGACTGTTTTTTGTTAAGTAGATTGTCTTTGAGATTCTAGGTTGAAGGGCAGCTGCTGCCTTGTGCGGACCGCTTAGTATTGGAGTCTTGTGGATCTTAACTGCGTGATTTACAATGTAGTTCAGTTATTGGAGTAATCGGGCCGCGATGTACATGATCTAGTTCAAGCTGGAAACACTGTTCCCAGTCGAGGACTTTTGGCAGCCTAAGCCAAAGTAGTAAATATTTTCGTAAATAATACCAAGTTTTGATATCTACAAGAAGTGGTGTAAAATTCCAAGTCCAAAATCTTCCATTCAAAGCAGTATTATTTTGTATCAAAACGTTTCAATGTTTAGCAAATACAGCCTACACGTCTAGTCTTCCAGCGGCAATAATCAAGCCACCCAGCTTAATATATTCATCACAATTTCCTGTAAACAGACTACTAATGAAGAATAGCAAATTGTTCGAACAATGCAGCACCTTTGTACCCTAGGATTTCAAAACTCCCTATCCACCGTTGAATCAGGTTCGGGTCATTCAAGAACTCATGTGTGACAATAACCTTAGCATGAGTAATCTCATTGCCGACCAACAGCTCAATATCGTAGCCGCTAGGCGATCCAGTGGTGGGTGTTGGTGGATAAGTTGAGTTGGCTCCAAACGGACGAACCTTGATGCCCTCGCAAGCCGCGTTCAGGATTCTGCCGTTGCGGGCGACGTAGCTACTTGTGTACTCGGTGCCGTCGACCGCAAGAAAGTCAAACCAAACAACAGAGTAGGGTCCTGCTCGGCCATGGCCCCAGTACCAGCTGCTGAAAGTGGAACCCAGAGGCACGTTTCCCCAGTTCTAATAGGGGGCAATCAGTTAGTTAGAGAACTGTCCGCCTGGCAATTAGAAGTGAACTGACCTTATCATGGTATCCGGTGCCGGAGAACTCAACGGCGGTTCCAGACCAATTGAAGTAGACAGTTGAATTCGCGTCAGGCATGACGTTTACCCAACCTACCCCTGGTGCTAACAGCAAATCGCCTCCGGGGCTTAGATCATCAGTGCAAGGCAGATGCGGTGGGGCAACCTGTGAGCATTTTAATTAGAAAAGTAAGGAAACCAGCGTTGCAATCTTTGGTTGCTTTGACTTACCCTGTTTAGAATAATTTCTCCAAAGATACCGTTACTTGGTGAATCTAATCGAATCACATACTGGGACATATCCGAGGATCCAACCCAATCACCTATGCCCCGGTATTCCCCAGAACTCCCGTCACCAATGGTTCTGATCCTGACATCCTCTGCTTGGAGCTGGATATTTAGGTCTGTACCGTTCTCAAAGGTGTATGTAATAAGAACTTTGTTAGGTGTCGCGCCTCCATTGAAGGAAGCGCCCGCGGTGTAGAAAGTTACAACGATTTCGCTCCTATGGTCCCAGGAAACAACATCAAAATACCACCAATCAACAGTCGTGTCATTAGATGGAAACACTCTCATACCATCTAAGCCGGTCTGGCCATTTCGAAATTCAACAGTACTTTGTACGTCTTTAGCTGGCAGGGGCACATTGGTGACTGTTGTGCTTAGATCGGGCTTCACGCCATGACCCAGTACACCAGCCGTGAAATGCAAGCAGGCATAGAGCAAGACCTTTGACCACATTTCTTGGCAATATATATTGAACGTGTGCAAAAGATAACGGTGTGGTATGATGGTTGAGATGTAATAACTGAAGTTGTCTGAGCGATTTAGAGTTGCTCAGTCGTCCAATATATACTAAGGCTGTTAAGATTGATTAGTATATATCTATTCCACTGACGCAATTCAAATCCGCAACTATAGGAGAAACTTCACAGATAAACTCCGACCTCCCGAAGACAAATAGCGGAGTTGGTAGTCTTTGCTACTTTTTCTTTTCCAATTACAAACAACGCATTGCGGAAGTCAGATGCTGTAAGTGGTAGTGTTAAGCAAAGCGACGCTAAGTCCAAAAGAAGGGACAAATGCGAGCCGCGCGGCAATTACCAAGTCCGCACATGAATTATATTTAGCAAGACTTTATAACAGTGGTAGTAAAAGTTTAATAATGCTGTGAAGCGATCCCGAGGCCGGTGTTATAGCAAGCTAAAAGGATAGAATAGCAACATGTCTAATAACAATCCACAAGTTTTCGCATATTAGTTATTGTCATATTCTTTGTAGATTCTATTAACCATCTGCAGAGATAAATGCGCTAGAAGGGCCACTAATATATTAATCTATCTATACACTATATCACACTGATACTACTTTGCAACTCTTAATAGACATGTCTCCCTTTTACTTTATTAATAGTTTTCTCTCTATTATAATACTTTCTAAGACTGTCAATTCCTCTTTATCAAGATTACTCTGTGTAACCCCAGACACACAGTGATGTTCTAATACCATTAAGGTTTGCGGAGAAAAACAGGAACCGCGATATGAAAATTCACACATAAACTAAAAGCATAAACACCATTTTACCACTTGGATAGTAGACACTAGTGTCATTGTGGTGTACGAAATTGGGAGCTGTGTGCTGATCATCCGAGACTTCCCTATTGTTCTTCGCAGACCTTGGCAATATCTCTTATCTTTTTCCCTGTCGATTCATAATCAGGCTCCTACGTGCTCTGGTCCATCGCTTTGAGATCTGTGGACACATAATAATGCCTTGGATAGAAAACAACAGTGATGAGATACGGAAATGTCATAGACGCCAATACTCTTGGTAGCGTGTATCTAGAGCCTCCATTGTGTCATGTGCGAGATTCCCGAAGTACAGATACTGTTAACTTTCTAAGCCTTTATCAGATCTGAACAATCCAATCGTAGGGATGGAGGCTGCATCACTGAGAAGAAATGGGTCATTTGGGTAATAAGCTTATTATATAAGAATGGGATTAGTGTCGAGCTTGCAGGAATGTACTAGCTTTAGACCAGAGATTGATTGAAATACCGGTATTGGGATTAGCGATGTGTATCATTGGCAAAATTAGATCCGACACCGACCAAATATGAGCAAATCACAAGAATCTGTAAGACCTCGTATTTCACCAAATTGCCCTTGTAGGTCTAAGTGAGTTCCCAGGCAACCACATACTTCGAATTATACCTGGATTGGCATATAAATTCCATGCTTTCAAGCCCGGATAGGCTAAACATGCACTCCGGATCCAACCCGAAGAAAATTTTTCTTGCCTAGCAACACTACTACTCTGTGCTCCATATAAGGTCATGCGACTGGTTCAAAGTTAGGCAAATGATAGCAGGTATATCAATCTAATCAGATAAAAATACTGGGCCTAGTGTCGAACGCTATTCAGGATAAACTATAGCAATCCCTGCTTGTTCCACATTAACCAAAGGTGAAAGTCCGTAATGCCAAAAGTCCGTAGGTGTACAGTAGGATAAGGTAGCACTAAAAGAAAATCCTTTCCCATTGCTTTTCATTTATTTTAACATACTCTATTGTTGTTTCAGGTCTCAATATCCGTATCATGTCTACAGAGGATAAGATTTCCCCAATCAGCGCTCGTGTCCCGGAAGCGGACTGTGCAAGTGATGTCCTCAAACCTGGAGCCAATGTTGGCGATATTATCCAGTCCAAGGGCGTCACCCGCATGGAAGCTGTATATCGAGAGACCAAGTCAAATCGAAAATTATTCTGGCTTGTGGGAGCTTCCGTTCTTATCTGTGCCTGGGCTTACTCGCTCGATTCATCTACGACATCTTACTACAGCGTCGATGCCTCATCTTACTTCAAACAGCACAGCTCTGTCTTGGCCACCCTGTCAATTGCTACCAGCATCATAAGCGCCGTTTCTAAACCCTTTATTGCAAAAATCTCTGATATTACGTCCCGTCCATACACATATCTTTTAATACTCGGATTTTATATCATTGGCTATATAATCGCCGCCACATCCAAGACAGTTTCCGCTTATGTTGTTGGAGAGGTTTTTGTTGCAATTGGTGGTTCCGGCATTGATCTCACCAATGATATTATTGTTGCTGATTTAACGCCCCTTGAGTGGCGCGGCTTTGCCAGCTCTATGCTCTCTACCCCGTTTATCATCAATACTTGGTTTTCAGGCAAGATTGTCAACGCGTTGGAGAAGCGTGATCAATGGCGTTGGGGATATGGCATGTTCGCCATAATCATGCCGGTTGCCCTGGGCCCTGCGGTTGCAGCGCTGATTTGGCTTGATCGGATGGCTAAGAAAAAGGGAATTGCCAATATCGCGTCCAGCAACGCTGCACGCCGCACTGTCAATAGCAGCGCGGACCAAGAGGATCAGGAGAAAGCCATCAATACCGTTACCACCCCTGTGGCCGCCGACACCAAGCAACAGTGGACTCATTCATTGAGGACAAATCTCGAAGAAATTGATGCATTTGGTCTGATTCTTCTTGGCTTTGGGTGGTCACTACTCCTACTACCATTTTCGCTCAAGACTTATGCTGAACATGGGTGGCGCAACCAATCACTCATCGCCATGATGATTCTGGGTGGTCTTTTTCTGATTGCATATGTTGTCTTTGAGATGAAGTTTGCTCGTGTTCCTAGTGCACCGCGTCGACTTGTCTTCAACAAGACATTTATAATGGCAATTATCATCGATTCCTTTTACATGCGTGAGTGGATCTATTAGGGTGGTATGTACTGGACAATCCTACTAACCATCTGTCTCTAGTGGCCGGAAACATTCGCAGTCTCTACTGGAGTTCATACGTCTATGTCGCAAAGCCATGGAGCTACCAAGATTGGGTCTATTACGGCAACACCTTGACATTGGCACTGTGCATTACTGGCCCGTTTGTTGGCCTGGCCCAGCGCTGGACCCATCGCTATAAATTGATTCAGATTGTGGGTCTTGGCATCAAGATCATCGGCATCGGCATCATGTTGGATGGGCGTGTTGCAGCTATCAGTACGGGCGCGCTTGTCATGTCGAGCATTCTTGTTGGTATTGGTGGCTCGATGTCTGTTGTAGGATCTCGAGTGGCCTCTCAAGCTTCCGTCCCTCACCAAGATGTTGCTCTCGCCGTGTCGTTGCTTTCTCTGTGGTCAAAGATTGGCAGTGCTATTGGTTCTGCTATCGTCGCCGTCATTTGGTCCAATCAGATGCCCAAGCAGCTCCGAGAATATCTGCCTGCCGGTACCTCTGAAGCAACTGTGAAAAAGCTATTCGGCGATATGCGTTCTCTGCGCACTGCATATGACTTTGACGACCCCATCCGACAAGGCGCTATTACAGCTTATCGCCATGCCCTGTATTACTGCATTACAGTGGCACTAGCATTGGCTTTTATCCCTCTTGTAGCGGCTTTCTTTCAGACCAACTACTTTCTGGGCAAGCAACAAAATGCCGTTACGGACGTGGGAAATGATGGTCTGCCGTTAGACGAGAGAGATCGGAATCCAGACCCTTTACCGCCGCCTGGCAATAAGAAGGAAGCGTTCCTACGTTTTTGGGCTGGCAGCACTTGATTTTGCTTACGCTTTATTGTTGCGCTATTGGGACGGTGCAGGGTCAGCGGAAAATACGGATCAGCGTATGATCACAGAATTAGGCATGTCAAGCTGATACGTTGCGTAAAAGAACGAGAATTTAATTGATATAGTCTTCTACTATCGCTTCATGTGACTGCTCTAACTTTTAGCAGAGTCTCTGCGTTCTTGTATGCAAACTTTTCCAAGTTTACTCCAGTGAGCAAGCCGCTCCTTTGAACATCCTCCAAGAACTGTAAGCCAGTCTCATTCATTGAGAATGGGTAGTCGACGCTATATAACACCCGCTCCATCGAGGTCACTTGAAGCAGACAGCCAAGTGAGGGCAGCGAAAACATACCGCTCGTCGTGATCCATATGTTGTTATCCCAAACTTCTTTGAAGCTTCGCTGTCTCCCCTCCCATCTAGCAGTCGCGATAAAAACTCGACTTAGCTGATAAGGCAACATCTCTCCCATGTGGCCAATTACAATCTTGATCTTAGGGAATCGATCAAACATTCCGCTAGCGAAAAGCCGAAGGATGTGATGGCCCGTCTCGGTGTGCCAACCCCAACCAAAGGCACTCATCGCCAGAGCTACGGAGTCGCTGTAGTTGCCTCTGTAGCGCTCCAACATGGAATCACTGGCAAATGTTGGATGGATGTATATCGGAACGTCTAGCTGCTCTGCTTTTTCGAAGACGCACCAGAATCGCTCATCGTCGAAAAACACGCCATTTACATGGTTTTCGACCAAAGCACCCACAAAGCCCAAATCTGTCACACAGCGCTCCAACTCTTGACTTGCTGCAATTGGGTCGCTCATCGGAAGCATAGCGAAGCCTGCTAGCCGACCAGGATTTTTCCGAACAGCTGCTGCGAGCTCATCGTTGGCCAACGCACACTCGTCTCTAGCAAAGTCTCCAGGGGCATGGGAAAGAATTTGTAGAGAAACTTTGCCCTTGTCTAGGTCTTGAATGCGTCTCTCACCTATATTTGCGAGTTTATCGTTCAAGTGGTTAGGAAAGTTGGAATACAGCTTGCTTGCTTCCTTGTTGGTTTTGACAATGGTGGCCGAGAAGAAATGCTCCTCGAGAGCGATTATTGGGATATCAAGCATGTTTCTTGATTATTGTTCAAAGGCCCGGCGAGAAGCAACCCGTATGGAGGCAAATCGTAATGGAAACCAGGACATACAGTAATAAGAGCGACTGAGGATGTACTACTATGTCTACCCAGCATAACAGGCGGGCTCGATGCAATTTATAGAACTAAGAGCAAAAGCTACGTGTTTATGCCCATGAAAACTAGGCAGGAATCGTTTTCTATCTCCGAAGTAGACCGAGCAGTTCGTTTGTCGAGATATTCCAGACCTAGTCGTTCTTGCTTCAAAATACGCACGTTTACTAGCTTGGGATTGGTCTCTTCAGTAGTGGAACGGCTATCGGGACCACGCAACTCGGCCTTGACTCCTCCTAAAGCCATCAGCGCCAGCAATCGCTTAGGGTCTTGTAAATTGGCAAAACATTTCATTACAATATAAGTGCCGCTTTAGAACCTCGATACACCTCAGACACCATAAGTTGCTCGTGGTGCTTCCCTCCTGACAACATGATTACATCTAGACCACTGGGCGACATAAGTTTATCTAAGCCATCAATCACACACGGGACTCAACGTATTGGTCATCATGACGTTCAAGAAGTCAACCGTAGCAACCTGAGCAATTGTCTGTATTGAAACCCGATTCATAGTGCCCGCTTCAACAAACAATGTATCAAACTTTTGGCCGGAATTTGGTTCGCTAACTCCGACAATTGATGCGGGTCGCAAATATCGAGCACCTGGGCATCGATTTGCTTGTTGTACTCATCCGCTAGACTACAGCAGGAGAGCGCCAACCTATACGGTGCCAATCATGCTCCAGCCCCCTTCTTGACGAACTTGAAGGCCATGGCTTGATGCCACCCGCGCAACACGCGCTAGCAATAAAAACTGATAGTCTAGCTACAGCTGCTCCGATGCTTTAGTTTACTAGATACCATGATTGAATTGAAACTTTTGCCAAATAATCTGAAAGAAATGTATAAACAATAGCATACAGATCAATACTGTTTTATGTATAGCCGCCTGTTCTTGTTAATAAGCTGCACTAGAAAAATGGGTCGTTTACAGGAGTAATGCTGAAACTAGAAACCTGGTTGCAGCATCGCTGTTTACGGGTTATAGAGTTAACGCCGAGCAAACACTAGGCTTCGGCTTTTTAATCAACTAATGTTGTAGTCTCTTATAGTGATGACAGGCGGCGCAGGTGCAAGTGCGAATTGGGTTAGAGAGAGCGGCGTACATGTGCGGGCGCATTACTGATCTTGAGATTCTCGAAAAAAGATACCCACGTACTCTCTGCTGGTTTGATCTAGGAGAGTACACAGGTGGCGAAGGTTACGACCATGGAGACGATAGCACAGCGAGAGCGTTCGAGTACCGATTCTATTACAGTATCCTGTCCTGTCAAATTACTGTTCCGTTTAATATTCTTCTTGACACTTCTTGAAGAAATGAATGTACATGTGCTGTTCATCGTATTATAAGACAGTTCGACTTGTGTAGAATAACAAGCTAATCCTAACTACAGGTATCCAACATATACTAATATTCGTACAAGAGATAAAAGCAACATCTAAGTTGCGTTAACAGCTTGAAAGCAATTATGTCAATTATGAACACTAAACTTTCGAGCCTACACCGTTTTCTTTCTCTACTGGCTAATTCGCCATTGATGTCATCTGCTGTTGATGACAGCTGTATGTGTTGCAAGAGCTACTGGGATATATTTCTCGCAACGCTGTGGCAGATCCATGCAACGTATCCCTTTCCACTGCTTCCTTACACGGAGGAATACGGGTATCGCATGGTCCACCAACAGTTAGCCATGCGAACCCCTTGGCCGGGAGTAAATTCAGACCAGCTGTGCTAGCAGCGTAAGCAAGATCACTCTTTGAAATCAACATCTATAAGAACTTCACTCACCAGCCCTCGCCCGAGTAGTCCATGAAGTTCTGAATCGGATCTAAGCCGGGCTCATCCGGGCAGGAATCACGCCCAACAGGGCAGACATTCAATGTACTGGCAGACTCTTGCGGAGTATCTGCAATATAATCGCCAGGTCCATCGCAGCTGAGACCATCGAAGGTATGTAGAAGAGAAAGCCAATGTCCGACTTCATGGACCGCGATCTGTCCCTTGTAGGTTGTCCCGTCGTTGGTTCCTCCTGGAACCGTGTAAGACACCAGCGTGCATCCATCGAGACGAGCCCAAAGCGAGTCACTAGTTATGTTACTGGTAGGCAAGGTGCATGATCCCCAACCCCATTCTGTGGGATCCATATTGGTAACATAATATAAGTTGAGTGTGTCATAGCCACCTTGTTTAGTCTCAGCCTTGATTCCGTTGAAGTTATAGTAATCAAATCCCATTGCGTAGTCGTCATTAACAATTCGAGTCGTGTTCTTGAGTGTAAAAGTAATACCGAGGGGCGCGTAGCTTTCGACAAGAACGTCGAACTGAGCTTTCAAATCATTGTCGCTCAAGATATCTTGTGAGTTTGTTGTGTTGACAAACGCAGTCATATAAACCGGTATCGTAATATTAGCCGTAGCACCGCTTTGACGAGCATCAACAGCATCGGCAGTCTGTTCCAAAGCCTGCAAAGCAGCTACTGAGGAAAGAAATTCTGGCGAATTGGTTTGAGTGCCACACCAATCTCGCCCACCAAAGTATGCCGATGCGCCGAGAAGAAGACTAGAGGCGAGCATGGCTGCAGCTTGTTGTAAAATGTGCCGAGATATACCAGTTGGTTTAGCTGAAGCCTAAACTTGGGTTACTAAAAGTTATATCAGCGGGCGATAGTATTTCGATTTGGTCTGAGAAAGAATTGTTCGAGACTTCAGCTTGGAATATTTATATTTCGCTCCTCAACTGTTGTAATGAACAGAAGAATGGGATGAATGTGTATTGTGATAACTTCAGAACTAAGTTGGACCACTGTGGTGCGAGAACAGATATACTGGTAAATGAAGTTACACTCTAATAACCGAACATCCTGACGTCGTTCCTTCTAACATTTACTACTCATAGATAAATGAGACAGATCCGACAAAAGACTTCCCATTGAACTTTTTTGATGGAGCTCGAAGGATCGATTATACCTTGCAAACATTCACCAACTTCCTCGTATGGCTTTAGCTTTTCCCAAAGCGCTTTAGCAAGGAAACTCCTGTTCTAACATAGGGTGATTCCCTACAGCAACCTTCCAGTTTGAAAGGTTGTAGGATCAATTCCATGCCCTGGTACAGCAAGGTATTCAATCCTCATGCTCACTTTGCAAAGTCGCTCGGATACAACGTTTCCGCCTGCTGTTCGTCTGATAATGAGCCAGATCTCTCGGCTGAAAAAGATCATCAATAGGACAAATCCAATGATAAAATACTTTCTTATAGAAATTCATGCTAGAATATATACGGCAAATCCCACTATAGACTAATCGCTGCCCCAACTACATATTTAAACTATAGGTAACTAGGTACTTGACCGCTACGTACCTAGGCATATCCACCACTAAAAACTGGTCACTAAGGCTATGTTGTTTTTAAAGTGCAGACTAGAAGTAAATAGAACAATGGGAAATCCGCCTTGGCAAGTATTCTAACCATTGCTGCGATTCTTGCGCACGTAATTGTCATCTGTAGCCTTTAATACCACTGAGGCAGCATGCGCTGTTTTTCAATCCATCAGGCAGCTGTGGCGCCCTGCCAAGAAAGCAGCGTTTCTGAGGAACCCTAGTCTCCGGCAGCGGAGCAACAGTATCAGCCACTGAACATTATTACAAGCAGCAGCCATGTAGACCTAGAAAGTGTGTCCAACAGTCCGTAGCCCGTTCGAAATAAATCTGTGTATATACAGATGAATGAAATAGTTAAATAAAGACCTTAGTTCTGTGATTGAAAAGTCGGGGCAGGCCTCTTATGCATACACAGCACAGCCAGATGATCCACACAAACAAGGCAGGCTACATGTAGCTGTTCCCTGATTTGGCCTGCATTGATACGCCCCGAATACGCTTAGAATACGCCATATGGGAGTCGCTCGCATAAGCTGTTCTTATACGCTCCCCATACGCCATCCAAATCAATACCAAGAGCTATAGCTTCTCAGGACCACCTATAATAAGAGTTAATTGCAATGAAAGGCTTAGGACGTAACTTCAAACTCGTCAAGTTACGATCGTTAGTTGTCCTCTTTATTTGTCATTTGCTTACAACTGTCGTATGTAGCAAAATTATACGCTCATCCGCTCTGTTCAACTTCTTGTTATAAATACAGCAGATTGGATCCCAACCAAGGACTAAAAGATGGCCATCATAGAGCACCACGTAGCTCACCTCCCTTCTCTATCGCCGGATTACGCAAAATGAAGCTATTGCTCGCTCTATGCGCGATTGCGCAATCTTTCCAGCCTGCTCTAGCAGCAGACTCGGTCGATACTTGTGATGCCTTTTGCCAAGGTCTTGCGCAAACGGCTGTCACGTTCGAGCGTTCACAATTTGCTGATCCTGATCGTACCTTTTACAAGGTCCCCTCAAACTTCTCGAGAAATCTCGCTCCCGGAACGATCCTCGCTGTCGAGCATGCCACAGATTTGTCCAACTATCTCGTTCCCTCCAGCTTGAGCATGTCGCGAATTATCTACACGTCAACTGACCTCAACGGGACAATCCAACCCACGTCTGCTTACATTCTTTGGCCGTATATGAAGCCCGCTCGCTCCGGATTCTCTGCAGTGGCATGGGCGCATGGCACATCTGGCAACTTTGCGCCATGTGCACCGTCAAACTACCGCACTTTGCAATATGAGTTCATGGTGCCTTTTGCCCTTGCAATGCAGGGAATTGCTGTGATTGCGCCAGATTACGTCGGACTGGGTATCGGTTCGCTCCCAGATGGAACTCCTATCCCACATCAATACATTGCTTCTCCTGCGCAAGCCAACGATTTGGCAAACGCCGTCATCGCCGCACGATCCGCGTTCCCTGAGAGCTTGGCAGCTAATGGTCCCTTCGTTGTTGCTGGTCATTCCCAGGGCGGAGCCGTTTCATGGGCTTATGCCGAGCGCCAGGCCAAACATCCTGTTCCTGGTTACAAAGGCACGCTTGCAATCGCACCCGGCCTCCGCTCAATTACATGGTTGAAAGCTGCGCTCGCTCAACTCGCCGCGGGTGCGCTCTCGCCTTCATACGCCGTGTTAGTCAGTATTCAGAACAAGCTCATCGAGGGTGTCACTGCGGTTTATCCTGCATACAACTATAGCGGTCTAACAGCCGCGAGCTATGATGTCTGGAAGAACGGCGTTGAGAAAGTCCAGGGTTGCTTGGCGACCGACACCTATGTGCAAAGCGCTCTACTGCAGAATGGTAACTTGACGCTTGATGAGCTTGCCCGCCTCGATTGGCCAGAAGACCCGATCGTGCAAGAGTTCACGAACAGGACGAATATTGGAGGCAGAAAATTCGCAGGGCCTCTTCTGGTACTAGTAGGGGAGATAGACTCAACAATCCCATCGGAGTTAATCGAGGAAGTGGTCGACGAAACGTGCAAGCTATCTGAGAAGTCATATGACAATGAAGAACTGCATTTCATGAGTTTTGGTCAAATGAATCACTTTCCGCTGATCCAAGCAAGTCAGCACGTTTGGATGGACTGGATCAAAGATCGCTTGTCATCTGGGCCGAAGAACGACAGGAAACTCGCAAAGCCAAAGTGTAAAAAAACAGTAGTTCCTGGGTTCCGGACTAATTCAACCGTGCAATCAATCACTCCGAACTGGTTAGTTGCTGCCGCCGACCCTTCCAAGGAGTGGGAATACTCTTTCTAGTTATAGATATATTAATTACCTAGCTGAGGACTATTATGGATATCAGATATTTAGAGGAGTATGTGTGTTATTTGGACCTTTATTCCATTGCTATTAATAAACTACTATTCAATTACCTTGGCAGCCGCTATGGAGAGGCCGGTGGTCCGATCAATTGTATATTTTATCTACGTACTATGCTACACTATCGTCGGCAAGGAAGGACGATTTGAATACCGTATTGTACGTCAGAACTGCTCCTGAGGGCTTATGCAGGCTGGGCATCACGAATGTCGTAATGATTTGTTGAAAGCGTATTATAGTCAGGGTCAGATTCCGAGTATTAGTGGTATGGGTAAGTAGTGGTACCACTCTAGCGTAGAAGCAGGGTATTCGCATTGGAAGTTAACAGGTGAGAGTAAACTGTGGTCAATTAGTTTACCTTTCAATATTTAATACAAGTTTGGTAACATACAGCATGCTTTTCAAGTTTAATGTATGTGATTTCTTTTTTCTCATCCGCCGACTCCACGTTCAAGTACCAGGTCCAAAGGTACAGAAGGTCGTGACGGTTCGTCCTTGACGGCAAACTTCGACTTCGATCGTATAGCGGCGCCGTATCTGTAGAATATAAACGGCATCGGCATCAGTAATACACCAACAGCCCCGATAAGTGACGCAGCACCGCCCACACCAAGTGCATTAAACATGTAGTCTGTGAACAATGGAGACGCAGCCGCACAGGCGGAACGCAAGACCGTGTTTGCCGCCAGCGCAGACGCAGCATATGCTGTGTATGTGTCAACAATGTAGTTGATAAAGACGACAAAGATGAGGAGGATGGACATGGCGAGAAAAGTGCCCGCCACTGTTGGCACAGCCCAGTGTTCAGAGTTGTACTCTGCCGTCCAACCAAACCAGAATATTGTCACAACAAACATGATACCACCGACTATGGCGCCAGGTAGGCGATCCTCTGGGACATGGGACGTCTTCTTCTGATCACAGCCACCGCGTTGAATTCGCGTGCTATGAATGAATAGGGCGATGCCGCCGAGGCAGGCCCCGATCACTACGCCCAGCAATGGCAATTCGCCATCACCAGCGTTCCACCCGCGCTTTTGCTGGAACACAATAGGATATATGCTAAAGAGCATGTAGAGTAGCGTATAGACAATTGAGTAGTAGACCGCGACGAAGAAGCTAATTGGGTCCAGTAGCAATCTCCAAGGCCTAGTGAGATCGCGCCTGAAGATGGCAGCCAGCGAGCGATCTATGCTCTCGACAGGTGCCTTTATATCTTCTCTACGAGTCGTCTTCCGTAGAAGCCGAGCCTTTCCGCGCAGAGCCATCGCGGGAAGCGTCTCAGGGATGGTATAGAGTAGCAATATTGTGGGGGCAGCCATCCAAATCAACACGTAGAACGTCCATCGCCAGGTTTTGGTCAGTTGCAGGAATCCGCTAACTATTGGGCCAAGTGCAGGGCCGACAAAAGTCATTGTAGCAAAGAGGATCATTGCGTTGCCACGCTGTACGGGATTCCATATATCAGCGAGAACGCCAGGCGCATTCGTCAGCGCGGCACTGGCTGCTGTTCCAGTGAGGAAGCGGCCGACCAGAAGCCCCGCAAATGTAGGAGTAAAGGCGCAGAGAAAGCCGAATGCAAAGTAAAGGGTGAAAGAAATACAAAAGATGTTGCGACGGCCGTAGAACTCTGATAAGGGGGCCCAGAAGAGCGGACCGGCGCAGTAGCCTAGAAGGAAGAGAGTGGTAACTAAGCCGATCACCTCCACCGAGACATTGAGGTCGTCGCTGATGCCCTGGAAAGACCCAGAGGGCGCCGAGGAGGCAAAAGTTGCATTCATGACGAGAGAAATGGCGATGGCAGTGATGTAGCATTTCCGTGAGAACGAATAGTTATATGGGTTGTCGGGATCGCCTGGACCAAACTTGAGATGGTAGTTATCGTCAAAGACGAGATTGTCAGTGTGTCGAACAGACCCCATCCTAGACAGAAAGACAGTGATATGTTAATAAAACACGAGAGGCGTGATACTTTGCTGGGCAGCTAATCTGTCTTATAAAATCCGGAGAAGCTTCAGTGACAGTTCTAAACGGCTTCAATTGAAGGCAGCTACAAGCCCAGACTTTGAATCTCCCATAACAACCGAAACAGGAATACGCATGTGTGTCATTGGCGTTGGTTGGCGTTAGCCGCTAAGTTGATTACTGCATTTGGTAATTTCTTACTCGGATGTCCTCGGATTGGCCCGCCTTGTTTCGGGACATTGACCTAGGAATCGGAGGTCTCTGTCCAAATACGGCAACTTTGCATCAGTCCGAGCCGTGTGCTACCCGGAAGGGTCTTGAATCCGCAGATAATAAAACCGCAGCAAGACGTCTTGACATGAGAGCTGCTTTTAGGAGTACAAAGCGCCTTATAATCGAGAAACAGGCTTATTCGAGAAGCATTAATATCTCTTTTGTCACCGAGCACTCTTTTTTCCAGCTCATTGTCAGCATGAAGTCTCCGATCGTTACAATGTGCTTTTCTGAGGCAACCCAGAATCGTCGCAGCATACGAGCCCTCGACTCAAAGACAACAGTTCCCGAGGAGACACTCATCAAGCTAGCCGAGAGCGCACTACTTACAACCCCCTCTGCATTCAATAGCCAATCAACGCGGCTGACAATCCTCATTGGCGAAGATCACCAAAAGCTCTGGTCTATCACAGCCGATGCTTTACTAGCAAAGATTGGGCAGGACCGCTGGAACGGCGGTACCAAAGATCGCATTGCTGGTTATTCTGATGCCTACGGAACGATTCTATTCTGGGACGACCTGTCGTGCATCAAAAGAATGGGAGAGAATGCCCCAGATATCTATAAAGACAAAACGGACGAGTGGGCGCAACAAAGCAATGGAATGCACCAGTACTACATGTGGGTTGGCCTTGAGGCGTTGGGAATGGGAGCGAATCTGCAGCACTACAACCCGCTTATTGACGACGAGGTAAAGAAGGCGTGGAATATACCGTCCAATTGGGCGTTGACTGCACAAATGGTGTTTGGTGTAGCTAAGGAGGGTACTATTTCGGAGCCGCGACAACAAAAGTTGCCACTAGAGCAGAGATTGCTTGTATTTGGGGCGTGTGCAAAGATATGAGTGGGAGTTCTTTGTGAGAGTGGGTTTGTTAACAACTGGGGTTGGGCACTGGAGTTATTACAAGCTTGTATCAACTAGGACTGCAGCCAATATGGAAATTGTTGACCGTCTGAATAATTGTCTACTTGCCATCTTCTACGAATATTAAGAAACACCAAGAACATTGATACTGATAATACATGTATTTTATGCCCAGTGAAGCAGTGTACATGTACAACGAGGCTATGGCTTTCAGTAGTGGAGGTAGACAACAACTACTAGTCCAACCCATACGCAGAGACAACGCAGGGCCACACGGGCTCGAAGCAAAGGAGCAGCTTAAAAAGTTGCCTAAACATGTCCCTTTCCTCCATTCAGTAATGGCGGTCTTCTTCTTTGAGTGCTATCGTGCCTTGAAGCATCACGTGACTCGTTCCTGATTACCAATCGATGAATATGACGTTCGTCTTCCTATCGTGAATCCTACCTACCCATAACTAGAGCAGATTGAAGTTTAGGACATGTATTCGGCATACTAGCCCTATTTTCATCGGATAGCACAATTGCGGCATATATCTGCTTGCTGCTGCGTGAAAACCAGGACTGCCTTGAACATGTTCCTGAAATTCTCCGCAAGACGCTCATCAGCCCGTAACCAGATCCCAGCTACTTCTACTACGCTAGGGACCCCCAGCAATAAAATTCGAAATGATAATTCAGATGCCAACGTCACTTCCAGTGGCACTCTTGATTCTAACCCTCATACCAGGCGATCAAGGACGGCCAGAGCTTGCGATAACTGCCGTAAACATCGCATTAAATGCGGCGAACAAAGACCTTGCCAGTATTGCTCGCGGACCGGGAAGAGCTGCATAACTACGCCTCAGTTGCATTCCCGATCCTCATCACGGCCTAACATCATGAAAGACGACGGGTACCGATGGCTAGAACAAGATATTGTAATGCCAGATAACAGCTCGGGAGACGGAGTTGTTATCCCACCTTCTTCATTCCTGGCCGCTTCGCAATGGTCGTCCTCGAACCAACATGCAGATTCCGACATATCATTGATGACGAGGGCGACAGCGGCAACCCCAAGAATCCACGATAATGATGCAGCTCCGCAGCTGGCTCCTGAGATCCAGAAATTCTTGCACGCTTGCTGGCAATCATCGCTACCTACTTCTTCCCCTACTGCGCTAGACTCTCCGTTTCTACAACTCCCATCTCCTGAGCTCCCCAGCGACGAATGCTCCATCAATACGAGCCTGCTATCAGAAAGACAACGCAGCTACTACATGCGGTGTTTCAGACACGACTGTCATCCCCTCTTCCCAATTATAGGAGAAAAGGCATTAGCCGAAGTCACGGCAACATCGTTAGCACCAATCATCTCTCATGATAGCTCAGTGAAAGGCGCGTTTGTCGATGCCATGATTGCTCTGGGTATCCAACACACTCATCAAACTGGAGTTAACCAACGTATGCTGGGCTTGCAGCAACAGCCTTGTGCCGACAGCGATTCATCGTCAAAAACTGCCACCGCAGCTTGGCCCGGCTTTGAGTACTTCTGTTCCAGCCGCAGCCGCTTGCGAGACGACCCGCATCACAGCTTGGAATCGCTCCAATGACATGTGCTTCTGGTTCTCTACCTTATCAACGGCCAAGCATACCGCGATGCTTACAATCTGGTTGGCATCACTGTTCGGAAAGCCTACGCCGCGAAACTCCATCGAGTGCCACCCACACATCTCTCCGAGCCGATGAGGCTAGAGCGCATGCATCTGTGGTGGATGCTCTTCTACCTCGACTCTAGATGCTCACTGCAGCTTGACATGCCTGCCGCCATCCAAAAGGGGCTCGTCACATGTCCCATTCCAGCGGTAGAGGATCTTGCTCGACATGTTTTCACTGGCGCGGATCAGTTGATCCTTTGCGCATACTCGAACCGCTTGATTCATTTGGCGAATGTCATGGCCAACACTGCCGCTAACCATTCTGGTGATGGCAATGGCGACATGTCATCGGACACTTTAAAGCAGCACGTACTTCGGGCTTTATCCACCATAAAGACCTTGGAGTCCTGGCACAAGCAGCTGGCCGAAAACTTCAATCTTCCATGCCCCTTTAGTAGCTATTTCAAGGCTGAGATCCTGGCCATTGAAAATGAACCAAGAAGTCTCCCAACATGGCTTCAGCGGCAAAAGGCTTTCTTGGAGCTTGCTTATCACAACGCGTGTACGCTGTCACTGCGAGACTTTCTGTGTCACCCCCTGGCCACCTGTAAAACTGCCACCGGCGACGGGGATGGAGAATCGGCGGTAATGCTATCGCAAATTCGGGAATGCATTACTAGCGCTATCGAACACTCCATGAAGATTATAGATCTTGTGTTTAACCTCTGTTCCATGTCTGATGTGTTTTACGGCTGGTCAGAGATACTGCAGCCGATGTGGAATGCGACAGTAACACTCATGGCTTCCATTTGTATCAAGACATCGCTTTCGTGTAGTGGCAGTGAGATATCCAATGCTATTACCCGTGCGATCTCTATCTTCAATCTCTTTTCCATGTCTGATCTAGCTGCCATGTCTGCTAAGAAGCTACTTGGGTTACTTGCAAGCTACTTGCAGACAATCATAACCAAGGAATGTGCACTTAACAACAGCACTGGGGTTACTTGGGATAACTTCTTTTTGCCTTTAGAAAAACAGGATTCTAGAGTAATGGAAGAGAATATATTATTCTTTAATCTATAAATATTACTCATTATTAAGTGGTCATATGGGTTTACCCTTTTTCATTAAAGACAATGGTATCTGGTATTTAAATGAGTATATTGATGACTTTACTGTCGTAGGCATGGCCCTGGAAGCAGCATTATTTATGTTTAATGGCAAAAGGGTTTATTGCTCTGGAGACAGCTTGATAGAAGAAGTGCGAGATTCCTGCAAGGATGTTCACTCATATGGCTTTCAATGGTATACTTACGGGCCAGGTGGGTATGATTCATTATGTTCCAGAGGCGTAGCGGAAGAATAACGACAGACTAGGGTCCGTGAACATGTCTCGAAAGACATACATTGAGTAATGGAAATGAGGACGTGACGGAATGTGTCCATCGATATAAGCGTATACTCAACAGAGCCACTTGCACTGGGAGTAAACGACCTAGCTGCAGTGAAGCTAATGGCTGATTTTGGCTTACTGCTGGCTATCAATACTTCTTCTTCTCACTACTAGCTAGTTTCTATCAATGCCCACGTAGGTAGCTCTATACCCCTAATCAGAGTGGTACCACCTTACTGTCTCCTAATCTTTAATAGGAATCTGTGCCTTAACCCCAGCCTGAGCTTTTGACTCTTCCAAATCACAAGTTAAACCGCTACCTCTTTTAGTATGTCCCCGTGTAAGGGCTACAGGTCTCTACGGCTAAATTCTCCCCTGCAATCCTTTAACGTAGCCGGACGATCCCAGTCACATTCGGCCATCCATAGGTTGCAACCAATGCTACTTCGCCACCCAAGACCTGGTAACCACCACGCAAGATGCACGAGGCACATGGCACATTGGGTAGCAGCAAGATTTCTATATCTTAGAAATTTGCAAGTACTGAAGTTAAGTGAACGTGATCGGCCAACTCCAGTGACTAGTGCAAAAGAACAATTGTCAAATACGGTGGCCTTGTACACACTGCTCTGCATTTCTTATGTTAATGACTTATTCAAATACTTACCAGAAGAGCAAATTAAAACTGCGAAGTCAGCAGACTGTACACATTAGGTTGTTCCAAGCGAATGTCGAAGATCGCAAGAGTTCATTTTGGGCTGGTGTGGTTCGGGGAAATGTCTGGTCATTCGGCCTACGCATAGTGCTCTAGGCTAATCCAATACCTTAGTAGCGGAGCACCCAAACCGAAAGAAATCAGGTGTAAGAAAGATTGGCTAGCGTCTATTACTCCAATATCTTTATCCCGTCATATTGGTGGTACCAGGTTGGCAGCAAGCTATTTAGCCGGCCAAGCAACAAGTTCATTACATAGGTAGGCATGGAGGCTACAGTATGGCCCTTGTCCGTATCACCATTTCCATGGACAACGAGCTTGACCGATATCAACTCCGTTTATGTTCAAGCCTTGTTTCAAAAGGGCTCAATATGATTCTGACGTGAACAATTGAAGCGTGCAATCCGGCGTACTGAATAAACTAGCGTGAATTACCCCATATTCGAGAGCTTGCGAGCAGCGGAAGCCGGAACGCTAGCACAATGCGGGGTTGACTCCAAGATGATGAGCTTGTTCCTTCGTGGGTCCAGGGGGGAGCATAGCTGGGCTCGGCATTGGCTCGCTTCTAGGACAAGCAGCTTGTATCTCGTGGTGTGTGTCTACCATTATAGCCCAGGCTGTTCATTGGGTCGCAAGACAAGATAATCTAGGCTGATCATCGCCTATTGGGTCGGAAATGGGGTGCCTGCTTCTATCTACGCCGTTGCTGCAAAGTGCCCGTTTCCCCACGCTTACCATTCCTCATTCTTGGATGAGAGACCCAGCTCGGTGTGACCTAACCCGCATGTTATGCGCTCGGCCCGTCTTCCCCCCCTTGCCCGATCTCGTTCAACACTACAAGTAAAGATATACGACAATATAAACAGGATGGAGGCAGCCTTTCCAGGCACTGACGTTTCTTCTGTCTGCTTTTCTCTTGCCTTGTAACATCCTCTTCTTCTTCGTCTGCAAGGCTACTTCTCGTGTATACATGCTGTTCATGCCTAAATAACACCAGCGAATGCCAGTTCAACATGAGTGACCCCATCGACCCCAAAATGCCGGAGTCCAAAGCGCATGGCGGCACTCCAGAGGTTGACAAGGAGGTGCAGGTAGAGAACGTTGGCGATAAAAATATTGACGAAAAGGTGGACCATGATCACGATGAGAAGGCGGACTACAAACTCGATGAGAATGCAAAGATCGCCGATTACAAGGCGGATGCCATCGAAGCAGAGAATGCAGAGCATAATATGACCGTGCTCGAGGCCGTTCGAGCGTATCCCATGGCTTCCTTCTGGGCGTTTGTTATGTCTTTCACAATTGTAAGCTTTTAAGTGCTTTGTTTCCGTTGGCTTCTCTGTTCCCCCTTGAAACTTTGGAACTCGTGTGAACCATGACTCGCAGCCACATGTACTAACACCGGTGTCTTTAGATCATGGAGTCGTACGATGTCTTTCTCTGCAACAACTTCCTCGCTCTAGGTGCTTTCAGGGCAAAGTACGGCGACCCTGTCGATGACAACCCGTTGAACAATGTCGTTGCCACCAGGTGGCAGTCCGCACTCTCTGTGTCTGGGCAGCTCGGTGCGCTTGTTGGCGTCTGCCTCGCTGGCTCTCTCACGAGTTGGTTGGGATACCGCTATGCAACCTTGACTGGCCTGATGCTCTTGAATGTCTTCATCTTCGCCTTTTACTATGCAGAATCAATGCCCGTCATCTTCGCGGCCCAGATTCTCGAGGGCATTCCCTGGGGCATCTTTATTGCCAATGCGCCGGCATACTGTAGCGAGATTGTGCCTATCCAGCTCCGAGCCCCCTGCACCCAGATGCTGCAGATGTTCTGGGCTATTGGCAGTATAGTTGTTGGCGCTGTGACCTACAGCTATCAGGGACTTGACAGCCCTCTATCTTATAAGTACGGTTGCAGAGATCATGGTGACAGACATCCAAAATTGCTAACACAAAGGGGTTTTTTCACAGGGTCCCGATTGCTCTTCAATGGATGTTCCCGACTCCGCTAGCCATCCTTGTTTTCTTCGCTCCCGAGTCCCCCTGGTGGCTTGTTCGAAAGGGACGCCTGCAAGAAGCAGAGCACGCTGTAGGGCGTCTTGGACGGAGATCCAGACTCAACACTGGCGAGACCGTAGCCATGATGCGCCGTGTCGTTGAGCTAGAGGCCACCTCTAAGCCACCCAGCTACATTGAGCTGTTCAAAGGCACGGATCTCTATCGTACTCTGATTGTGTGTGGTGTGTACGCGTCCCAGAACCTCACGGGCAACCTCATCGCCAACCAGGCCGTTTACTTTTTTGAGCGTAAGTCGGCGTCACTATCAAAAAAACATCATAGATTTATGCTAACCCACGCGTAGAGGCGGGCATGAGTAACAAAACTGCCTTTGCCCTGGGTCTTATCACCTCTGCCTTGCAGATGATCTTTGTCATGCTTTCTTGGATTCTCACCACGTACTTTGGTCGACGCACTATCTATCTCTGGGGATCAGCTATCAACATCATCTTTCTCATCGCCCTCGGTGTCGCAGGATCGGTCGGGAAGAGCAATGCGAGCTCTCTGGCTCAAGCCTCCTTGGGACTTATCATCTCGGTGCTCTTTACTTTGGGACCTGCCCCCGCCTCATGGGTCATTATTGGTGAAACATCAGCCATCCGTCTTAGGCCACTGACTACTGGAGTGGGCCGCGCTTCATACTACATCATAGAATTTCCATGCATCTTTTTGGCAAGCTGGATGCTCAACCCCGAGGTGGGACTCCCTTGTTACTTTTCTTCGTTCAATGACTGACCTAAATGTGCTACAGGGCGGAAATCTTGCTGGTAGATGTGGCTATGTTTGGGCTGCTACAGGTTTGGTCTGCTACGTCCTGGCATACTTCTTCTTGCCTGAGATGAAGCATCGGTCCTACCGTGAGATTGATATCCTATTCAAGCGTAAAGTTCCGGCTCGGAAATGGGCAAAGACCGAGATCGATGTCGATGACGACGAGTAAATGGAAATATGGTGAATTAGGAATTAATGTTAGCCAGGAAGAAATAAAGCACTCAGTGCATTTACAGATAACTGTATTGTTAGCCAATGAAACACCCCTGACTTTGTATTCAATCTTGTTAGCCCTTCATTTTCAAGTTTCAGCTGTTACAGCGTCCAATACGAAACATTGGCTAAATACAGAGTACGATACTGGAACATGGTATACAGTAGTTGATATAAAAGATACAAGTAAACTAACCTAATGTTTAAACACTGTATACCCAGGTTAGTAACGTATATTGCCAGGGGCCTAGCAGTCAAAGGTTACAGGAAAATGGTAAATCGTGATAGTTAATGTATGATTTAATGTATTTACTTCAACCTTGCCAGCCAGCACTCATCTTCAGCTGGCTCTTTTGCTAGCTGCCTCATGCGGTGAAAGCTCTCATCTTCAAAGCCGTAGTCTAGGAGCCCCAACTCTATTGCCAGTTGTGCATAACGAATTGTCTCCCAATACAATCCATGCGTGCAGCTCATCAGCGCTGCATACCAATACGCTGAGCCTGCTGGAGCGTGTAAGCGCTCTTGCTCGTAAAGGCTGATAAGTGTCTGTGCCATTTGTAGTGGTGCCGATTCCCAGTCTTCCAGACGGTCGTTTATTGTTGTAATCTGGTCAAGGCGTTCGTCAGATGCGTGCGCTAACTCAGGGTGAAGGCTACATAAGCTGCAAGAGCAGTCGAATCCCCAGAGAGAAGATAATTTTTTGAGACGCTTTTGGCGTGGCATATGAGGATCAACATATGTTATGGTTATCTCGGTACCAGGAGTAATATCTGTAATAGCGTGCACATAGTGTGTGAGAGTTTGTTTGTCAAAAAAATAGGCTGCATTAGGGCGACAGTCGTGGTTGAGACGCTGCTAGTTGTCAGCACATGTATTGTTTCCGTTTGCTTCTAGAGTCACATAAAGGGCACTTACAGCTGTTTCGGGAAACACAGCGTAATATGTGACTTCGTTCAGTTCAAGTACAAACGCATTAGTGTCAATCCGATCGCTCACTGGATCTGTCACTGGACGGCCATATAGTGCGGAAAACATCGTTCTCGTTTTTAGTGGAAGGTTATTGACAGCGGCATGTTCCAGCTCCAGCCACTGTTCCTTTTCCAAGTCTCCAAAACTCTCTCCATCCAGCATCAAGATGGGAGTATGGGCAAATATCCTATCGCCGCGATGCAGCGTCTTATTTGCAATGAGACCACGCCCTCTTCCGGGGAGCTCTTTTTCTTCAAACGCTGGCGAAAGTTGCTCATTGACGCCCGATAATGCGTCAGCATCGGCAAAGGCTGCTAATTGCTGCAGACTCTCAATGCGACCGGGCGTTGTTAAGATCGATATACCTCTGCCGCCTGCAAAGCTGCTGGACGAAAAGGCACAAAAGGTTTCGGTGTTATTGCGACAATCGCTCTGTGATGTCCATGGAGATGATGAATTTGTCGCGAATACAGGACTGAAGTTATCTTGACCAGGGGACCTGCACACTTCTAACCGATTTTGCTCAGAAGGTGAGAGCTGAAGTAGAGACGGAGAGCAAACGTCTCCGGAAGTGAAGTGCTGCCGGAGGGCTAGAGCCACGGTTGTGAAAGGCAGTAATTCTGGAAGCATAATGAACTTCACTGTTGGTCTGTAGATATTCATCATAAAAAAAGAGAGAGAAGGAACTTAGCCGGCCTACCGGCTTTTAGAGCAGCGACTTGGATACTCAACATACCACCAGTGATCCAACAAATAGGGCTCTTGGCGACGTGTTTGTTTACTAGGTAGGCTAGCTAATCGCCAATAGGCAGTGAAATGTTGGTCATACAGCGACATCCGGGTACAGATCCATGCGCCGCGTGTGCTTTCTCGAGAAACCCGTATTCCGGTCTGTTAGATGCAAACCACAATAATTACTCTTACGCGTACGTGTCATGTTCGATAACTTTATTAATAAGAATAAACTAAATATAGATTCCGATAAATAACATATTACTGACGCCTTGAAATGATACATGGTTTTGTTGATGTGTCCAGAGTTGCCTGGTCGGGCCCACTCCAAGTGGCCAGATGTTTGTTTTCGCCGCAGATTCAGAAACAGTCCAAGTAGGCCTATGACGGCATTGGATCCTTTCGCCGCAAAGCTTAATTTCTTATGGACAATCTCGGGAACGCTGTCACTTGTATGCTTATTTTGACCTGGTTGTCTTAGTTATACCTAGATTAGGTAGACTAAGCAACCCTGCAAATGCCAAGATCAGTATGACTCTAAATCACAGGCCTTTGTCTAACCACTGGCTTGACATTGAGCAATTTTTACCACGGAAACGCATCATCGACAAAACTTCATTCAGTTATATACACGTGTCGTCGCCGTGGTGTTACAGGCAATATCTCGGGTACGTAACCTAGCATCTCTTAATGGGCCAACGGTGGAAAAGAGTCGAACAAAGTCGAAAAAAACAAGAATTACCGTTCTCGGACTTCGACGCGAGCGTTTTCTAATTGTAAACATAGCAGGGGAGGATTTGATTATGTGCCATGAATGTGGCATTACAAATACCAATGCTGTCTCCCGTCGCCGGATTCTAGCGGTTACACTCGTTGCTACCCCGTAGTAAGCACGAGAGTAACCATGTGCCTACCATATGCGGTGAGATTACTAAATGAACGAACTTTATACGAGCTTCTTGCTGCTGGATTGCTCTAAGAGACGTTCTGGTGACCGTTGTACAGTATAAATGCACAGCCTGCATGTATTTCCATGCTATGCCTCCTTCAGGAAATAGCCGATCTCATCCACTCGCCTTGAAGTATGCACTGCAAGGCTTTTTCGTTACACGCTAAGAGGATCTGAGTCACTACCTAGATGATCTGTGCTTCGCGAGGGCAGGTGGAAATGCCTCGTCATCGCGACCTACCTGGACAAGACCACGTTGATGTATTTGATCCACTTAACTGCGGTCTTGAGCACATGCCCAATTCCTCTTTGACAGTCGCTGCTTCATCGATATAAACTAAACAGCTAGTCCAACATCCAAGGACCTCTTTGATCAAATTTGAATCGACACAATCACTCCGCCTCTAGCACACAAAATCGCATGACACTCTCCCTACAGAAACAAAAATGAAGGCCTCCATCGCTCTCCTAGCGGCCACTGCTGCCAGCAGCGCCCTAGCAGCGTCACTGAGTGGCACCGATCCTGAAAAAAATGCACGCGAGGTTGTTATTGGAAACTTTAAGCGCACAGGAGATTTTGCAGTGAATACTCAAGCTGATCCAAGTCTCGATATTGGACAAGATGATCAAATAATCATTCCGGATTCAGAACAAGGAAAGGGCAAGGGCAAGGATGATGGGAAAGGAAAGGATGATGGGAAAGGAAAGGATGATGGGAAAGGAAAGGGAAAAGGAAAAGATGACGGCAAAGGTAAAGATGATGGAAAGGGAAAGGGGAAAGGCAAAGATGACGGAAAAGGCAAGGACGATGGAAAGGGAAAGGGAAAGGGCAAGGATGATGGGAAAGGAAAGGATGATGGGAAAGGAAAGGGAAAGGGCAAGGATGATGGAAAAGGCAAGGATGATGGAAAAGGAAAGGATGATGGGAAAGGAAAGGGCAAAGGAAAAGACGATGGAAAGGGCAAAGGAAAAGACGATGGAAAGGGCAAAGGAAAAGACGATGGAAAGGGCAAGGACGACGGCAAAGGAAAGGGCAAGGGCAAGGATGATGGAAAAGGTAAAGATGATGGCAAAGGAAAGGACGACGGCAAAGGAAAGGGCAAAGGCAAAGAAAGCAGCCCCTAATATAATATATGATTCTAGTAGTTTTCATCACCTAAACTATCTAGTCAGTTGTACACAAATCAGTTCCATGACACGAAACATTTTAATTAAATGCATATGTTCACTCTTGTTCTGGTATCCTAGCACTGGCTCTACAAATCTTATTGTTAGACACTGAGGTATTGTCCCTCCCAGCAAAATTAGCTCTTGCATATCAAACTATTAGAATAGACTTTAACACGAGAAATATGTGCCTTATTAACGCTTTCCACATATCAGAGCTTATGCATAAATCATTCTCCTGGTTTATGACAGCCTGTTAGGGTAAGGTATCATGCCCGTAATAGTGCTACGTTTACTATTATACCAGGTGCAGCACCTTATAGCATCGGATGTTCCGGGACTGTCTCTCTCAACTAGGTAAGTACATAGCTCAAAGCTTTTTTGTTTAATTTTTGATTAAAAAATAAAATTCACCTCTATTGCAAGTAAGCCCAAAGGTTTATAATGTAGAGAGTTTAAGATTAAATTTGTATACCCGAACATGTTAACATATTATCTTCACTTCATATCATTGGCTCCAACAAATGGGCACAACTAGCTATTCCATTCATTGACATGATTGAGAGCAGTTGGATCCCAAACAACATTGTACACGAATTTAATAGGCGCAACTCTCGCAGCTACTCAACACCAACAAATCATTCTCAGTGAACTGTGCATTATTCAACCCCACGACTCATCCATCCAACTATGCTATATCATTGTATCTTGCTAAATATGAACTTTTGATTGAGAAACTATGTAAATTCTTGGTTGCGCTTGACATAATTTTCTGTGCTTAGCGAATTTTTACATGGTATCTCTATATAGTAGTTTCTCTACCTGAATCCTACAAGAAAGTAAAATCCGTGGTCTAGCAGTCTTGGTATTCTGCGTTGCAAATCTGGTGTATAGTGGCTGATTTAGAACTTTTCAACGATCTGAAGACTTAATTTGGCAAGGAATTCGCGTTCTATGTGATCATATTTCCACAGACACGCATTTTAAGTTTTATAGCAAACAGTGATGGTCGTGATCTACGCCTGGCATTAAAAACCCACTCTGTCCCAGTTCCAAACTCCGTCCAAAATGCCGAGGTTTATGTCTAAAATCTCCGGATCATCCGCCGCTAGAGTGTTTTCTACGAATTGGAGTCCCTCGTCCGACTCAGTATGTAATCGCCTACTTAACCCGTTGATTGAATGAAAGAAGTCGTCGCTTGGTTCAAGGCCGTTATTCAGAGATTGTGCGGTGATATCGGCTTTGCCAACGCTCTCCAGCTCTTCCAGTATCGTCTTCTCCAATGGAAATAAGTTGATCCTATTTTTGAGTGCTGATAAAATGCTCCATGTGATATCACCCAACTTTGTGAAACCGCGCAGCCGATGCGAAATATGTAACGCTTGCCCAATAGCGTATATGACTTCCGATCGTCGAGGGATCATTGTGCCGTTAACATCGTGTATCAGCAAAGAGCATAATAGTGCTGCATTGTCGAAAGGACAGAACGCTACCATGTAGTATTTTGCTTGCTGCGGAAAACAAAGGTCAAAAGTGTCTTTGCTCACAGACATGGCTTTAAGACTAAGGTTGACGATCTGGTGTATCAACATTGTAGTTTCAGGATCAAGCCCAGTTTCGACATAATCTTTCGCCGAGAACAGTTGGCATGAAGTCAGAATGGACCTTACAAACATGACTTGACTCATATAGCCTACACAGTGAAGTTGTAGACGCTGGAATGGAATATGTGGATAGTTTCCGTCCCAGCGCTTGTCTGGGTCAATAATATTGAAAACCGGTGGCAGAGACAGCATCCATGTTTCCACAACGGCGATTTTGGATTGAAGATTCGACCTGTCGACACGGTCACCTTCTCCAAGCTGTTTCGCAAGTTGACACTCCAATATCTTGGCAACAATGTATGACGGAACATCTGGATCGGCTCCAGTCTGGTCTAGGCCAGGATTGGGGAGCGGAACAGAGACTTCTGATTGTATTATTGGAGGACGATTAAAGCTTGCAGTCATATATCTTGTGAAGACGATTGTTAGCTATGACACATAGAGTAGAGGCCCGGGAATCAAGTGGCCAGTGTCAGCCAGCAACTAACCTATCCCAGGTGTAAAGGGCACACCATAGCCTTCGCCGGATTTCCAAATCAAATTCGTTCATTTCATGAGACAAAACGTCCGTATGAATTCCTTGACGTATTCAAAATCAGTGAACTGGTGTCTACATAGTCGAGCGGGAGAACTATACCGATTTCTTGGGATTGCCTGACAGCTGCACCAAGCTCATGCCATGACCTGACAAAGTCAGCCTGTCCCTTATGCCATGTGGCAGCAAGGAAAAGCTGCTGCGCATTGAGAAGGCCACCGGTTCCTGGAGACAAAAAAGAACTAATGATCTGAGCAGCATCGTGGTACGTCTTGCTCAAACTTTGGATGGAGTCTCCTAGGTCTAATTCAAGCTGCGACGAAGCATGTGGCGACAGGAATTGCGTGGAGTTGGCACAAATGCGAAGTATCAAGCAAGTGAGTCCCAAAGCTAACGGGTTGCGCAAGCTTTGGGCATCGCGGCGTTGCGACCACCAGTCGACGTAGACCGCCATGAAAGACGGCTGATGCAAGATTCCATAGTGGTAGTTGACATTGTCGAAGAAGTTTTTCAGAAGCATATCCGTATACGGCCGTGGAGAGATGGCACGAGAGGCTTGGACAACTGGCTCTGGAAGAGACTCGGTAGACTCCACGTATTGGGTCTCCTGTGCGTCGAATCGAATCAGTAAGGGCATTCTACATAGATACTTCTAGAGCCTCAGCAAAACGACCCACCATGATGCTTCCAAAAAGTGTATCATTCTTCGCGAACATGTAACCTAGCATATGTACCGCAGATGCTGAGCTTGTGCTGTTCGAGGCGTCGTCTTGCGACTCAGAGACCGAGGTGGAGGAAGCAATCGAGGGTGTCTCCTTTGGCGCCCTTGTTTGCGTCTCATTTAGCCTGAGTCCATCTAGTGGCATAGAATGAATATGCCGGTAGTTACAGAGGCTTTTTGATCACTTACCGCTGATGCTTTCGAGTCACCTGTGAGAAATGACACATGTGTGCCACCTTTCGGGTCGTGCAGTGATTGCATGGCCACTGACGGTCACACTTCTTCTTCATCTTCCGGCACTCGACGCACGCCGTGACCGTGCGACCTCGGCAGCGTTTGCTCGAATTCCTCTTTTCCAGATCCATTGTGGGTGTCACGATCGCGTATGTCAAAGCTACTGATACAAGCCCCAAGTTTGTTTCTCACAACTACGTGTCCCTCGGCCGCTATATAGCGGGAAATTTGATGGTTATCGGGTTTTTGTTAATTGCGCTGGGTAAGCTCGAGTCTAGCGCTAATCTGCTGACTGATACTCCGAGCGGCAGCGGGAATCATCAGCATCGTCGGAAAAGCAGTAAAAGAAGATGCTGGATATCGCTGTTGAGATGTATATAAAGGCAATTATGGTAAGTGATGAGAGGAAACAAAGGCCACTTCGATTGCATCCAATAAATAAACGACAAGCACATATTCCAATCTTACAAACACTACCCTAACTCATCGCTACCCTTCATCTCTCTTACAACGTGCCAACGGGCGTCCAAAAGACTCACATCAAAAGAATAAACATCATTCCAACATCATGGCACCTCTCGTCTGGTTTATTACGGGAGCAAACGCCGGATTCGGCCTTCTTCTCGCAAACCTAGCATTGTCCAAGGGCGATACTGTTGTTGCAACTGCCAGGAGCCTCTCGAAATTTCCACAGTCTCTTGTGGAGAACCCCAAGGCCCATTTGGTCGAAACAGAGATAACCGCATCAGCTACCAGTATAACTGAGCTTGTCGACGCGGCCGCTGCCAGACATGGCCGTATTGATGTTCTGGTTAATAACGCTGGATATGGTCACATTGGCGCTGTAGAAGAAGTATCAGACGAACAAGCTCGGTACCAATTCGATGTGAACTTTTTTGGTTTGCTCAATTTCACGAGAGCAGTGATCCCACACATGAGAAAGCAGGGATCTGGCGTCATTGTGCAGCTTTCTAGTGGCGTGGGTATTCTCGGCGCCCATGGTGGTCCGATTTACAGTGCTTCCAAGTTTGCTGTTGAAGGACTGAGTGAGGCTATGGCTAACGAACTTAAACCGTTTGGCATCCGCGTTCACATTATTGAGCCTGGCATTTTCCGAACCGACTTTTTGAAGCCCATCTCCAATGGTCAGAATGTGGGCCGCCATTTGGAAGGATATGTGAATTTGGAAGAGATGCTCGGTGGTTTGCATGGGAATCAGCCAGGGAATGCAGAGCTTGGTATCCAGCGCATGTATGAGGTTGTCACTGGAACGGGACTGGCCGCTGGGTTGGAAGATCAGCTCCGTTTCCCCTTGGGGTCGGACTGCTACGGGATGCTTGAGACGAAGCTTAAGATGCTGAACGAGACTGCTGAAAAAGTAAAGCACGTTTCTTTAAGCACTGATTATTAGATGTTGTAGATGCACATTTGAATAGATGGTATAGCTCACATTTTAAAGCAATTGCTGACATGAGTTCTCTTTGACTTTCGCTTTGCATATGTGGCGCTCAAGATTTGTGATGTAACAGCAGATTGCCACGGGGATAGGTAAGGCTACATACCCTAACCCATCGCCTAATGAGCTAGCAGTAGCCTTGAATATCGGTTGCGTCCGCGTTATGCAAAGCTATAAAGCATCTAGAATAGCTCCGGCAACGAACTTCAGTGGCGCTAAGCGAAGGGCACGATAGAGCTGCGTAAGAGGATACTGTAGAAAAGGTTCCTTTGGGTGAGGTTCACTAAATTGAACAAAAACTGATGGAAGACATCTTCTGACAGGATTGACATACCTACTTTGAAGATAAGCGGCCCTGTCGAGTAGATATGTGTAGCATTAGCGATAAAGCAGCTACAAAAAAGAACACCAACGCGCCAACTATTAGTCTACCTCGCCAGCCTAACTCCTCTGAATGCATGCACTGTTTCAAGCTTTCAGCATCTTCATAGTCCCGACAACCAAGCTGCAGAGTAGGATGCGCAGATTAAACATGGACTAGCCAAGCCATCATCAGATCTTAGAAGCATAATAGCAACGCTGTTAAACTTGCGACAACTAGATAAAGCAGAGAGCATGAAGGCAAGCTATAACGACGACGTCTTTCCTACAGATGCCAACTGAATGGCAATCTCTCGCAACTTAGTCTCCAGGAGTACATGAGCTCCACTGGTCGGCACCTTGCCAGCATGCATTGTCCCAACATTAGATAATACCGATAACACGCAATCGCCATCGTCTTTCCACCACAGAGCTCCTGTAAAGCCCAAGACGCCGCCAAAGTGGCCCAGCCATGTGTTTTCCTCAGAATCTTTCATTTTGAAGAGACAATGGCCTATTTCAGAGGCCGCATTTGTAGTTGGCCGCCACATCTTCATTGTTGCTAAGGACTCTCTACTGAGAAGTCTGCCATCGCGGAGAGCAGTCGCCAATTTGACAAGATCAGAGGGCGATGAAAGGATGCCACCGGCTACCCATTCAACTGATAGGTTGGATGCGGTGCAGTCTATAAGTCTGCCGTCATCAACCTCTGGCAAGGCAGGATTCATGGCTGCCGTTTTGCGATACGATTCCGTAGCAAAGTGGTATCTTCGTGGTATGTCGCCCTTGCTCTTGGATTCGAATACCTCCAGGAAAGTGTGCTCCATGGCAAGCGGCTCTATAATTCTTCGACGGATTTCTACCTCTGCGGTGTTTTGAGTGATACTCTCAATTATGAAGCCCAGAAGCTCGTAGTTGGCATTGGAATAGTAGTAGTTACCACGTTCTGGAGCCGTCAGCCTGGGACGCCGGAGATAATCTAGAGGCTCGCTTTTGCTCCATTTGTGAGCTGGATCTAGTTCGCTGCCACGACTAGCCCTGATGCATTCAGGGTCATCTTCCCAATTATCAATACCGGTATGGTGGGTTAGAAGGAGTGTGATGGTTGCTTCCGCGGCGTTGTCGATATTCTTGTATATTTCTGGATCTAATAGCTGGCCGACTGTATCTGATAATCGCAGTTTACCTTCTTCAATAAGCTGGAAAATAACGACAGCAGTGAATAATTTGGTAATACTGCCAATCCCAAAGATATGGGACAGCTCGATTGGTTGTTGGCTGTGCAAATCCGCCATACCGGCTGTGAAAGTCCACAGCCCGCGTGTTGAGCCTATTGCTGCGGAGATACCAGTGACACCGGCACCTATTGCTTGATCAAATATTGCAGTGATCTTGGCAATGCAATCTGCTTCAGCTATTCTGTCGGAAGCCATTGATATCGTGTTACTTGACTTTGGTAGCCGTGTCGTATTGCTTGAGCGGGTTGAGAGATGGGCTTGACCAGCTAATGAAAGGAATACTATGCACCCGGTGAAGAATGTCCCGCGACAGTAACAGCAGTGAAATGTTATCCTTATTATGACTGTCTGTTATTTGATGTATGGGTAACCCAAGATGAACGAGTGACGTGAAGGAGGGGTAGAGAGGAATATTTCTGTATTTAAGGCCTGTTCTAATAGCTGTTCACCTAATGCAGCCTCGCCGGGGACAAGTATCCACTTCGCCCCTCTGTGCCGCTCGAGATATTGGCTAGACGTGTTAATTACGAACACAAATGCAACGTATATGTGGTTGAATGCTGGGAAGGAATAACTCATTTAGCGATGAATAGAAGAAATGTCCTAAGGAGCTAGGTAAAATGAAGCATTTGGATTAGAAAACCTGTAGTTTATATTTGATTCCTCAGAAGGCGCCCGTAGCGAGAGGGCGCCTGTACCAGGAGGGCGTCGTCAGCAAAAGATATTGATTAGTATTTTTGAAATATAATGTTAAGAACATAATGCCTTGGTGATTCTTTTCTTTTGCGAAATTGTGATATAGATTACTCAAGCTCTCCTATATTGCTCAGAATGGCTAGGGTTATGAGTGACTGCTCTCAAACGGTCCACTTGCAGCTCAATCTGTAGCGCTGCATGTGACCCTTCTCGATAGTTTTAGACAATGACAAGATGCAAAGTAATTATTTATTTTGACTTTGGAAGCCATTAATTCTGACTTTCATTGCTAGAACCGTACATAATCCCATATACGACGTTACAATTAATCAGCAGTAGTAGTGAGTTTTTATTCGGATTATTCTTTCCAGTGAATACTATCCGTATTACATGTATCTAGTAAAACCCTTGCGAGATTCAAACTTACTAATCCATGGCATAACTCGAACCACCTTCAACAACTCGGACCAAGAATTCAACTTCAGCTCCTTTATGAGATCTATTGTCATTAAGCGGATCTCATGCAAGAGACTTGTATCAGGATATGCAACTGTACAAAGCGACAGGAGCCACAGTTGCAATACATGAAGACTCGACGATGTATGTGAAGAGACTGTGATACCCTGGCGTAACAAATCGACAACCTTCGAAACATATGGTGTAGACGGTGCGGGACATCCCTGGGATTGTTGCTTGAGGATAATTATGAAAAGAGTAATACCGAGTCGACAAGCCGTGGAGATTCGTAAGTTTTGTTTTCCAAGGTCTCTTTCAGGCGTTGAAAGCAGACGATGTGCTGCTGGGTTAATCAGATAGCCTAAGAAGACGGCATCATCCCACGCAGCATCGCCTCTTGTAAATAATTCGGATTCTATACTTTTTGCAATCCAAGTGGCTTCTGTCAATGCATCGAAGAGTGCTCTATGTGCAGCATATGACTCAAGCTCCCTGACCAGGTTCAATAGATCCCAAATTGTTTCAGACATTTCAGAGTGACGGTGGACAGAGACAAAATCGGTTGGTAGAGTAAATCGTGGATCTTGCTCAAATATCAGAGCCGCTGTTACATCAATCCTGTTTATCATCAGCTTTGTTATTCTTTGAAGGGGGATGTTAGGACGCACCAAATAATCATTAGTTGAATATCTGGCTGTTTCGAGAAACTGGATAATCCACCTCTACATTTCACCATGACGTGCAAGCCATCAAAGTGGCATGTCACTTGACTCAAATCTTCCCATGCAAACTGATTAAAGATTTAGCCCACAGCTCTACCTATTGTGAAGATTTCAGACTTACATTGTAACAGATAGAGTCAATAACAGACAAGACAGTGTCATCGGATAAGGCTACCTTTAGATTGGAGCCGGCTAATCTGTTTCTAATACGGCTCAACACATCAGTGAACCCTTTGAGTGCCACTGTGATACTTTGCTCTGGACTCAAGCGGACTATCTCTCGCATACGTCGACCGGTGAGGACCTTTTCAGAGAAAGGCGCGTCTCCGAAGGCGAACGGAAACAGGAAGCTTCTACCAGGTGCATCTGGTGACTTCTCAGCCACATAGCATTAGGAGGCAGTGCGGGAGAGGAATCATCTACTTACGATCAGGTTTGACATTCCGCATTACAGCATATGCCAAACTGTAAGCCGGGAGTTTACTCGTGCCCACCAATCCTCGATACAACGCAGAGAGGGGATGCTGTTCAACAGCAAGACTTTGAAGAGCCGTGTGCTTCTGGCACTCTGACAAATGCTCATTGGAGATATTCAAAGCGGTCTCGTTATTCTCAGTAGCAGGAATTATTACCGCAGGGGCTTTTCCTAGAGAAATATTGCGCGATCCAGTGGTGCCAGCCGCCTTCTCATCATCTTTTCTTTTCTCAGGGTGACCTTTGTGCGAACTAGCGCTAAATATGACTGCATTGTTTGTCTTATCCCTCGAATCGCCCTTACTCAGGAGGTCGGCGGTATCCAACCTGGAGCGGCGCTTTCGAGGTAGCTTGCGGTGCACTTTAGTAACATCGCGCATGACATGTTGTCGGATCTTCGTTTGAACAGAAGCCTCTCTATGGCGACCGTCGGTTGGTCCCGTAATGTTGACGAACAACAACGTGCCATTTGCTGGGACAGGATCTTCTGTGTTGCCTGTAGCGACACCGGCCATTTAATCCGCGGAGATTATTATTCCCAGTTGCAAAGCGGCTACTAGCAAGGATCTTGGCTGTTCAATTGGCCAATTCAGGGGCCGTTTGTCGGCAAATACTTGTTGAGAGAAGTGATTAGATGTGAGCAAATATAGTGAAGCTTTGGGCTCGATAGCATTGTACAGGAGAGATGGTGAGCAAAGGCACCCAATGCCCTCATTCGAAATTGAGACCGCTTCGTGTAGCATTATTCAGCTACCTTGGTCGGAAACCGGGCTTGGTAAAGCTAGCCGGCTTCACTTTAAGCTTGAATTACGCGCTTTACCAAAAGTGGCAAATGGATTCTCCCGTCTTCAATCAGCAGCCTTGGAAAACGGCGTTGTGGGAGCGGGATATGAGTTGGGGTTCTTGTCGTATAGTAAGTCATGGGATAATAATGGTGCAATTAATTGGGCAAGTGGATGCCGCATTTAATGAATTCCATGGTATCTCAGTTGACATGCCCATATCCCAAAACGCCGAGATCAAAAAATACCCGTACCCATAATTTGGAGATATGATTTGGCTTTGCCTCTGTTAAGTAACCATTGAGACTTTAGAACAAGTAATCGACGACTTTGTTACCAAATAAGACCATTTTTTCCATTCTCTGATGGGTATTTCTTTTACGATTTGTCATATCGACCTTCATTTCTCGATTTGGTGGTTTGAAGTGTTCTCAGCTCCCGTATAAAAGCCGTGGCTGCTTCTGCCCTTGCATTCCTATCATCATCATCGTCCACACCAGCTTTTGCTCTGGTCATTGCATCTAATTCTTTCCTTGTCAACATTCTCTACGACAATAATATCTTTGATCTTACACTCATATCCAAGACGACCGAATTGGTACACTGGTCACATAACGAGACCACCATGACTGTCGACACCGCCTCCAGTGCCGCGTCTGAGTCTTTGGCTGAACCCAAAAATGACAATGAAGTAGAGATAAGCCCAGATGCGAAGAAAATTGCTTTGGGTAATCACGATAATATGGCAGATATTGAGGCTGCAGTGAACGCAAAGGACAACCAATTGTCCGGCTTCAAATGGTTTCTTGTCTGTGCTTGCGTTTATGTCTCGGACTTTGTCTACGGCCTCGACACTACCATCGCAGCCGACATTCAAGGCGCAGTAACTCAAACTTTTGGAACTGTCGATCAGCTTGCTTGGCTCGGCGCCGGATTCGCCCTCGGTTCCACTGCCGTCATTCTTCCTGGCGGTGCCTTATTCAACTCATTCGACCAAAAGTGGTTATATATCGCCGGTGTAATGCTTTTTGAAGTGGGCTCTGCATTGTGCGGCGCTGCACCAAACATGAATGCTCTCATTGTTGGCCGTGTTATAGCTGGCGCGGGAGGAACAGGCATATACCTTGGAACCCTCAACTTCTTCTCATCTCATTTAGTATCGCCTGAGCAACGTGGAGCTTACATCTCCGGCATCTCGATTGTCTGGGGCCTCGGCGCTGTACTTGGTCCCGCTATCGGCGGCGCTTTCAGTATTAGCAAAGCAACTTGGAGATGGAGTTTTTACATCAATTTAGTCCTTGGTGCAATCGCTGCCCCGATTTGGATATTTCTGCTGCCATCTGTACATCCCACTAACGGGATCTCCATCAAACAGCGCCTGCTTAGGTTGGACTTCCTCGGCTTCTTACTGAGCGCCGGTGCTTGGACCATCTTCGCAGTTGTCTTCATTGCTGCTGGCAATAGCTGGGAGTGGCAGGATAAACGAACGATTGCACTCTTGGTTGTGTGCGGCGTCCTAACGTTAGCATATATTTTCCAACAGTATTCTTGCTTTCTAACGACGCCTGCGACACGATCGTTCCCTGGTCACTTATTGCGCTACAAATCTCATATTCTTCTGGGGACAAGCACGGCATGTGCTATTTCGAGCCTCTATGTCCCGGTGTATTACATTCCCGTCTACTTCCAGTTCGTGGAATCCGATTCGCCGTTGAAAGCTGCCGTCCGAATTCTACCCCTTGTTCTCGTTGCCGTTGCTGTCAGCTTTTCAAGTGGCAGTCTTCTCGCGAAAGTCAAGTTTTATAAGCCACACTATCTTGTCTCTGGCGTTTTGATCACTCTAGGTAGTGCGCTGTTTTACGTCTACATCGATCCATCCACATCACCAGGTGTTATATACGTCATCAGTGTCGTGATGGCTCTAGGAATTGGTCTCACTTGGCAAATCGGATACACCGTTGCTACTCTCAAGGTATCGCCTGAAGATATTGGGAATGCCATCAGCCTCCAGAACTTGGCCCAAATCGGTGGAACTACAGTCGCCTTGGTCATTGCGGGACAGGTTTTCCAAACCGCTGCTTTCTCCAATTTGAGCAAAGCGCTCAGCGGCCAGGGATACAGTGCTGCGGAAATTCATGACGCGGTGGCAGGAGCACAGAGCGCCTTACTAAGTCAATTGGAAGGTGAACTGAGAGACCATGCTTTGCTTGCTATCACAGACGCAATCCGGACCAGCTTCATTCCAGTTATCACGGCTGGCGCACTAATCTTAGTCGCGGGCGTGTTCATGGAGATGGAAAGGCTTTTCAAATAATTATGCCGACCCTATGCCCCGATTTCACCAAATAGGGTCTAACATGGACGGCGATATCTCCATATATACAGTTCAAGTTCACACAGCTAGAAAATTTCAACCGAACCAGAGTTTTAGCTTTATGAACTATTCATTATATCAGTATTGAAAGAGACTATGGTTAGCGTAACTACATTCTTCCTGCACTGCTCTAGGCTTTAACAGACTGAAGTATCAACTTCTTATTATATACTATTTGTAAATATGATGCACAGTTTTGAGGTCTTGGCATTTTAAGGTACACGTCTAGGGTAGCAATCCAAATAAATTACGCTCCAACATGGTGCCGTTCTAGAATGGGTTTTAAAATCCAGCGACGTGATTTGTGGAGGTACAGCGTTTGTATAGCTCTTGATTAACATTACACTGACGCTTGAAGAAACAAGCGATGGACACAGAAACCAATAGTCTCCGATAAAGAGAGAATCCATCGTTTTTGGTATTCCTGGCTACGGGCCGGTAATACATCCTGCCAAGGTTGATGGCACTATTATAGGTGCTCGGTAATATAATAGTCGAGAGTAGTGGGATCACTTATGGTCACAAAAGGAATGTTATTGCTACAGGTTGATGGTATAATAAACACTGAAGTTGTCAAAAGGAAAAATTCTAGAAGAATTTTGATGCTTATAACCTTGTATAAGCGTCACTTAATAGTTTTGAGAATGTTGAGGAGCAAGAGGGATTTGGGACAAAGACTGCCGTTCAAGCATGCTCTAGCCGATCTTGCCAATAGGCTGTACTCTCTTGGAGTCCGAGACGCTAAAGTCAGTGATTTATCAGCGCCCCTTAGGAATTGGGCTGAACACAACAGGTCGCGCTACGACCTATTACGAAGTAGTGGACTTGACCTTTCTCAGATATCAAAGCTGCTAGGATGCACTAAACATGCACCAACGCGTCCGAATATCTCTACACTTAAGATAGCTGCTTATCCAGTGTAATTTAAGTCGATTGTAACTTGTGGAAGCTACATATAGACTTTTGCCAGCCAATATTGCGCAGCAGAAACTCAACAAAAGATAGATGGTGATTAATAGCTCGCATAACATATCTGAGCCTTGAGCGAATTCGAGAAAAAGGGGTTGTGGTTACGAAATTATTGTACGAGCTTATCAGCTTTTGACTTACAGATAACACATGTATTGCGGCAAAGAAACAGGAGTTATTGTAATGCTTATATAAGATTAGACTTGACTCACTTGCCGTGATCCTAAGCCGTTGCCGGTCTTCCCGCGTACTAGCTTGCCGGTCTTCTAGAAGCTCACTTTGTTCTTTTGAACTTTTCGTAGCATGGCAATAACCTATGGTTTTCTTTCGTTTCTGTGATTTCCATTTCCCCCTCCTTTAACTCACGGACGGCGCCTCCAAGTACGAGCATGGCTCAGGCGTTTTCTCGTAGTATTCCCATACAAAAGACGTATATATACATTAAGTTCAGAAATAAAGTCCATGGAGATATCAGAGGCCGCGGATATTGATAAGGCGAATGAGCAAAGCTGAAGGGGCTGGAGCCTCTTGATTGTAAGGCGTAGCGTGGACTTGGGAATATATAAGTGGAAACAGGGGTTGACCTCCCTCGGTAGAATGTAGCCGATGCCGAAGGAGGAAACAAAAACACTGCTGCACTTCATGTACAAATTGTGGTAAAAGACTGGCGATGTTTTTTTGCCATCGCATGGCCCGAAAGAATTGCCGATTCCGACCCTGACACGTAGTTTTCGGGACCCCGTCCCGCTAATCGGATTGAAAATTGCAGCCGGCCGTGCCGTTGCACACAGCCACACAGATCTTGGGTATCCGTAATCGCCAACCTGAGTAGTACCTAAGTGGGGCTATTGAGATCTTGGGAAAGCTATCCGTAGATGCATTAGAGTGTAGGTTTCAGGCACGCATCTCTTCATTCTCATAGGTCGGTCAACAGAAATTGTATATGGCTTTACTAGATGCGTAACATGATGGCTTTGCTATTCTCGATAAAGTCTAGATTTTCTGGCCTTGACCGTTATGATTTGCCGAACATATTACCTTGTTCCTGGCAAGTCTACATCACTTTGTCACAAACCCTTAACTCTTTCCGAGTCAAGAAAAAGGAGGCACTGACTGGGCAAGCTAACAATCTGGACCTTGAACTTGGATACAATACTCAGAAGAGCCACATAACTCGTATTGCGTCATTTGGTAATAAATGGACCCCAACTCTGCCCCTTTCTCGTAGAGTCGGCGATAGCGAGAAGCGTATCTCTTACATTACGATTACACAGAACAACAAAATATCCCTCTATCCACTGTTGATTCGCCCCTCATCGTGGATACTCAGCTGGATAAAGGGCCCAGATAAAGATACAATGAATGTGATACATCGGAAACTCCGGTGCCTACCCATAAGGAAGCTATATATAACACCCTCAATTTCACCTATATGTCTAGTCACTCTGAAATGTCATGAATGGAGTGTGTGTTGTTGATTTCCTTGCATTAAGCTAAGAACTAGCCATCATGGATCACAACGGCCTTTTTAGCGACTCTGAGACAGATGTCTCTGAAGCCAAGGAGCACGAAACTCGCACCGCTCCTCATCGCAACATGCGAGAAGCCTCCAGTGCTGAAACTCTCGCCTTCTACAATGCGGACAACACACCAAAGCCCCAGAAAACTTCAGAATGGGGCATGACCCCTCAACTGGTTCGACAACAAGAACGTGAAACCGCAGCAGGCTTCAAAAGGCGCGAGCTCGGTGTCACCTGGGATAATCTCACGGTTGAGGTCCCCGCTGCTTCGGCCGCTATCAAGGAAAACCAACTGTCTCAATACAACATACCGCAACTTTACAAAGACTGGCGTCAGAAGCCGCCTATGAAATGTATTCTCAAGGACAGTCACGGCTGTGTGAAGCCTGGAGAAATGCTACTGGTCCTGGGTCGCCCGGGATCAGGCTGTACCACCCTCCTCAAACTACTTTCCAACCGTCGGCTAGGATACCATTCAATTAAAGGCAATGTCCGGTTCGGCAACATGACTGAGAAAGAGGCTGCTCAGTATCGAGCCCAGATCGTGATGAACACCGAAGAGGAGCTTTTCTACCCTCGACTGACGGTCGGCCAGACGATGGACTTTGCCACCAAACTGAAAGCTCCTGCTCATCTTCCGGACGGCACCAGCTCAGAGAAAGACTACTCAGCTGAGACCAAACAGTTTCTTTTGGAATCTATGGGAATCGCCCATACGTTTGAAACGAAAGTTGGCAACGAGTTTGTTCGTGGTGTGTCTGGCGGTGAACGAAAACGTGTATCGATTATCGAATGCCTGGCTACGAGAGGGTCAGTATTCTGCTGGGATAACAGCACCCGTGGCCTTGATGCAAGTACAGCATTGGAATGGGCCAAGGCTCTTCGCGCCATGACCGACGTCCAGGGCCTTTCGACCATCGTCACCCTATATCAAGCTGGAAACGGCATCTATAACCTTTTCGATAAAGTCTTGGTCTTGGATGAAGGAAAGCAGGTATTTTACGGCCCAGCTGCGGATGCGAAGCCATTCATGGAAGACTTGGGGTTTGTGTATACGGACGGTGCTAATATTGGTACTGAATTTCCCATTCTCTTTAATTTGATGCTCAACACATTACTAACTAATGCCAAAGGTGACTTTCTCACCGGTGTGACCGTACCTACCGAACGAAAGATCCGCCCTGGCTTTGAAAACACATTTCCTAGGAATGCTGATGCCATTTTGGCAGAGTATGAGCGATCTCCACTTCGCAACTCTATGGCATCGGAATACGACTATCCGAACTCTCAAGATGCGCGCGACCGAACCGAATCGTTTAAAGAGTCTATTGCCTTTGAAAGAAACAAACATTTGCCGAGAAATACTGTTCTGACTACTAGCTTCATGACACAACTCAAAGCATGCACCCGCCGCCAATATCAGATCCTGTGGGGCGAAAAGTCAACCTTTTTGATCAAACAGGTCCTGTCACTCGCCATGTCTCTCATCGCCGGCGCTTGCTTCTATAATTCACCTGACACATCTGCTGGCCTTTTTACCAAAGGCGGCGCCGTCTTCTTCTCACTCTTGTATAACTGCATCGTCGCTATGTCCGAAGTTACAGAGTCGTTCAAGGGACGGCCCGTCCTGGTTAAACACAAGTCCTTTGGCTTCTACCATCCATCTGCATTTTGTCTGGCGCAAATTACAGCAGACATTCCTGTATTATTGTTGCAGTGCACTATTTTCACTGTTGTGATATACTGGATGACCGGGCTCAAAGCCACCGCATCCGCATTCTTTACGTTCTGGGCCATTCTCTGGGCAACTACTCTGGTGAGTGAAAGCTATTGCATGTATTTATAATATCTCTAAAGCTGACCAAAAAAAGTGCGTTACGACCTTATTTAGAAGTATCGGCGCCGCATTCAGTACTTTCGAAGCCGCTTCGAAGATCTCCGGAACGGCCATTAAGGGAATTGTCATGTACGCTGGATACATGATCCCGAAGCCGCAGATCAAGAACTGGTTTCTGGAGCTGTACTATACCAACCCATTTGCGTATGCGTTCCAAGCAGCCTTATCGAATGAATTCCATGACCAGCATATCCCCTGCGTGGGCACCAACCTCGTCCCTAGTGGACCTGGGTATGAGAATGTTGATTCTGCCAACAGGGCCTGCACTGGAGTCGGTGGCGCTTTGCCGGGTGCGGATTATGTCACTGGTGACCAGTATCTATCCTCACTGCATTACAACCACTCTCAGCTCTGGCGGAATTACGGTATTGTTTGGGTTTGGTGGGCCTTATTTGCCGCCATCACCATTGTCTGCACATGCCTTTGGAATGCCGGCAGCGGCAGCGGTGCTTCGCTACTAATCCCACGCGAAAAGCTCAACAAGTTCCGCGCCTCCGTGGACGAGGAATCACAGAGTCAAGGAGCAGAGCAATCAAAAGAAACCACTGTTGGCAATGGTGCGGGAGAAGTGGATGGCAACTTGTCTCGCAACACTTCCATCTTCACTTGGAAGAATCTCAAGTATACGGTCAAAACACCATCGGGTGATCGTGTGCTCTTGGACAATATCCATGGATGGGTCAAACCAGGTATGCTCGGAGCACTGATGGGCTCCTCTGGCGCGGGTAAGACTACCCTGCTCGATGTCCTCGCCCAACGGAAAACCGACGGCACTATCAACGGTAGTATTCTTGTGGATGGTCGCCCTTTACCGGTTTCCTTTCAAAGAATGGCTGGGTATTGCGAGCAACTGGATGTCCATGAGCCCTTTGCCACGGTCCGTGAAGCTCTCGAATTTTCCGCGCTACTGCGCCAGCCTCGAACAACTTCAAAAGCCGAAAAGCTCAAGTATGTCGAAACTATTATTGACCTTTTGGAGCTCCATGATTTAGCAGATACGCTTATCGGCACTGTTGGAAATGGTCTTAGCGTTGAGCAGAGGAAGCGTGTTACTATCGGCGTCGAGCTCGTGTCCAAGCCAAGTATCTTGATCTTTCTTGATGAACCTACTTCTGGTTTGGACGGCCAATCTGCGTATAACACTGTCCGCTTTCTACGTAAATTGGCTGATGTTGGCCAGGCTGTGTTGGTCACAATCCATCAGCCTTCAGCTCAATTGTTTGCACAGTTTGACACTCTCTTACTGCTCGCACGTGGAGGTAAAACGGTTTACTTCGGCGACATTGGCGACAACGGAAAGACTATCAAGGAATATTTCGGGCAATACGGTGCCGCTTGCCCCGTCGAGGCCAATCCCGCCGAGTTCATGATTGATGTCGTCACTGGTGGCATCGAAAGCGTCAAGGACAAGGACTGGCACCAAATTTGGCTCGAGTCTCCAGAACACGATCAAATGATTACTGAACTCGATAACATGATCTCCGAAGCTGCTGCTAGGCCTGCCGGGACTGTTGATGATGGTTATGAATTCTCAATGCCAATGTGGGAGCAAATCAAAATTGTGACACAGCGCATGAACGTTGCTCTATTCCGAAACACCAATTATATCAACAACAAATTTTCATTACATGTTATTTCCGCATTGCTCAATGGATTTTCATTCTGGCGAGTTGGTGGTAGCGTATCCGACCTGGAACTCAAAATGTTCACAGTTTTCAACTTTGTCTTTGTTGCACCTGGCGTTATTAACCAACTTCAACCGCTTTTCATCCAAAGACGGGATATCTATGACGCGCGAGAGAAAAAGTCAAAGATGTACTCCTGGGTCTCCTTTGTTATTGGCCTGATTGTGTCTGAGTTCCCCTACCTCTGCGTGTGCGCGGTCCTTTATTTCGCCTGTTGGTATTACTGCGCGCGATTGAATGATAATTCAAACCGCTCTGGTGCGACATTTTTCATCATGCTCATATACGAGTTCATCTACACGGGTATCGGCCAATTCGTCGCGGCTTATGCACCCAATCCCACATTCGCGGCTTTAGTGAATCCTCTCATTATCAGCATCCTCACCCTCTTTTGCGGCATCTTCGTCCCGTATAGACAGCTGAATGTCTTCTGGAAGTATTGGCTATACTGGTTGAACCCCTTCAATTATGTTGTTTCGGGTATGCTCACTTTCACCATATGGGGCACCGGGGTTCACTGTAAGGAGGAAGAGTTCGCCGTCTTTGACCCAAGCAATGGGACATGCGCCGACTATCTCCGCGATTTTATTGCCGGGGACGGTTGGCGGATCAATTTGACGAACCCAGATGCTACATCGGGCTGCCGAGTCTGCGAGTATAAAAGTGGTAGCGACTTTTTAACAACTCTCAACATCAACCACTACTATTACGGCTGGAGAGATGCAGGAATTACAGTGATCTTTGCCATCTCGGGGTACGCACTGGTATTTGGTATGATGAAGCTTCGGACTAAAGCGTCAAAGAAGGCCGAATAAGCACTTGGAGTCTTGGACAGCATCGTGCAGGAAGACGGCAGAGTCTAGGTTGAAAGCGCTCAGAAGTAAAGAACAGACAGCATGTGTTTCTCAGTAGAATTAGAATGATAGAATATTAGAGCATTACTAGAACATAGATTATAGCATATCAATATTAATATTATACATGTATTGGCAAACTTATTGTGACTGTGTCTGGCATAAATATTCCCGCTAGAAATTACAGCTTTAAATACTATCTACTACTTCACTAGTCCATGTCCAGAGCTTGTGAGCTATCTCCTCATTTGTGGCAACCTTGTCCTTGTTGACTTCACTATTACTCATTACTCCCACTGGCTTGTAATATGCTCCGTTAACAAGATCATTTCGGTTTGCTCCCGCGGCTGTCCACAATTGATTAAGGGCGCCCTCCTCCGGCGTAAGAATGGCAACGCCTTGGATCCAATTTGCAAAACGTACGACAGCCGTGTCTAAAAAGGACAAGGTGTTTACCAAATCTGTTCCCACAACGCCAGGGTGAACCGAGACCGCCATCAGCTTTGGAAAGCGACGCCCAAGTTCCGCTGCAAATACAAGATTGGCAAATTTGGATTGGCTGTGAGGCATTCTCTGTCAACGCAATTCTCTCAATCACTCGAACTCGAGCAGGTTGATAAAGAGATGTATTTACCCGTATCTCAACAGCCATACAGGCATTCCGCCCTTTTCTGTGCGTACTTTGTCATATGAAACGCCACCCGATGGGTGTCCTCTCCACGCTTCCGATGTTAAACATATGACTCGAACGTCAGAGTTTGGCATCTCCGCAGTTCTAGTAAGAACTGGTAGAAGTCGAAGTATAATCATGGCATGAGCCAAATGGTTGATTGCGAAATGGATCTCAAATCCATCTTTGCTTACTGCTGGCGGTACTGCCATAACGCCTGCGTTGCACATGAGGATATCCAGCCGGTCATGTGCGAACTTATTGATGCCAGCCTTTACTGACTCAAGGGAAGTAAAGTCCATCTCTAGAAAAGTTAATTCCACGCCCGGGTTTTCAGCTTTGGTATTGTTTATGACAGCCTCGGCCGCTTTCTGGTTACGACCAGTGAAATAGATGTGCTGGGGCGCATGTTTTGCAAGAGCCTGGACGGACTGCTTCCCCAAGCCGCCGGTTCCTTCAGTGACAAGTGTTAGAAGTGGTCACTGGGTCGATAAAGCGAGATAATAGAGTAAACACACCTCCAGTAATAAGAACAACCTTGCCGCTCAGAGACGGGATGTCTATTTCAGGATTAAAATCGGCAAAGCCGCCAAGACGAGGAGGCATGTTGAAAAATAAAAAAAATTCAGTACGCCGAGATGCAATGTAATAGTCATAGACATTTAGAAGTTGAGAGCAAAATTTACAACGTGTCTGGCCGCACGTTTATATAGACTGCTCGAGGAAGACACCCACATGGAAAGTCCGCTTTCACTGATCTTCCATGCTCGAAATTCCGCCAGGCGTTTCAGTTTACACTGTCTTGGCGTTACCAAAAAGGGTGTTAGCGCGTCACGGTCTTGCATTAGCCTGGTATTACAAGCTGGCTACCTCCTCCAATCATATTCCATTAACCGTACCGAGTAGTGGATCAACTTTACACACTGAGCTCTTGATGCTTAATTTGGTAATTCGGCACTGACGGACAAATGACCATTCCCTTCATTGTCCCCTTATTTCACATCTCCATAGGCTGTGGACAACTCTTTACACCTTCTTCCACTTTAGATGGCGATTCTAGGACGCTGTCTTAAAGCTCTCATCCCCATAATCGGCCCCTTATCAATAATTGCAGGCACGGACGTTGCTGTCAACTAGGTACCGTATTCACGAGAGTTCCCTGAAGCACGGCCCATTGGCACCGTCAAATGCTTAAACTTAAATGACCGGTTTACCTATATGTGATTTATCTGATCAAGTTGACGATTAATGAATATGGACCGGGACGACTGGAGCGGAGTGACAGATCCAGCCGAAAGAAGGAAGCGGCAGAATCGCCAGCGTCAGCGCCTAGCACGTAAGTACAGCACTGTTCTTCAATATTGCAGCTATCAAATCCCTTCAAAGATACTCAGGTCATGGGCGGTCTAAAAAGACTATGCTGCGCTACTTGGTATGTAAACTGATTCAGCACCAGGTGAGAGAAAAAGGACCGCCGCTTTTGCAAAGCTTACGTCCAGTGTCGGTTCATCATGGAATGGTTTCGGCATTCTGATTTCGGGAACATCACACAAGTCCATGGCTGGAAGCCGAGATCTCGCCATTTCTTGTTGTGCAAGGCGTGATCTAGTCGACTTTAATGTTATTGAATCGTTCAAGGCAGCGAAAGAGGCCTGGAAAGTACAGAGATCCTCGGTTATACCACCTCTCATGTTTTATACAACTGCTGCGACTTTTGGACAGCCAACGCTGCCTCTCATGTTTCCACTGAGCCCAGACCATTGTCTTCTCACCATGGTCCAGTACAATGTTCAACGCGCGTCGCTGTTCAACATGGCAGTTCTATCCCTTCTAGAGCATCTTCCTCTAGAATGTGGGGGCACCCTCAACCTTCCAAGCCTTAACATTGATCCGCCCAGCTGCGTCCCCCCTGAGCTTCTGCCCACTGCTTTGCAGATGGCCACACCTCATGACTACTGGATAGACATATTCCCATGTCCCGCCATGCGAGATAATTTGATTCGCCTCTATAAGCAGTTTGATGCTCATGACCTTCAACGCGACCTGGCGAAGAGTCTGTATGAAGGCTTTGTTGACGGAGAGCAACGCGGTTGTATGGTCTGGGGTGAGCCATGGACGGTCAACGGCTGGGAAGTTAGCAGAGGATTTGTTAGAAAGTGGGGGTTCTTGCTCAAGGGCTGTTCCGATCTTGTTGCATCAACGAACCGCTGGAGGGAGTCTCGAGGCGAACATCCATTAGTCATAGAAGTATGAGGGAAGCAGAATCACCAGGTGCATTGGATTTTACTGTTGTCGCGCACAATTGTTAATACAACATGCTTACAAGGCGTATTACACAACTAAAGATGCCTCTTTGCTCAAAGTCTCCCCAATAAAGCTCCAAATGCTTTGTAATTACTACTTTAACAATTCAAAATGCCAGGCTCCAATTGTATAGCCGTTTTATAATCACAATTGTGCATTAATAAGTCTAAATTAATCGTTCAGAGGTTTAGATTCTTATTTCCTTGAACGTATGTGAACTCCAACAGCTCCAATAAGCCTAAAAGCCCCTCCAATAGCTTCAGTCCCTAATCACGCTACACGCAGGTACATACATACCTATAGCCCTAACAGCCCCAACAGCCCCAACAGCTCCAACGCTCCAACAGCTCCAACAGCTCCAACTCTCCGCCTTACCAATTGTATTCATACCGACAACGCCAATTAATGTTATACATGCTGGTTTTGACACTCTAGATTAATAATGAGATTTTATCTTATTTATTATAAAAACATGTTCCCCTGCGAGCATTTAGTTTGTCCCTCATATTATATTCGTTCATCTTCACAACAAGCTCATAATCACTCTATTAGCGCAACTTTGCACCATGGCTTCCAAAAACACAGTTTTCCGTTTAAACAGCAGACAGGGCATTGTCGATCTTGCCAAGGCCGAAGAGGACATTCCCAAGGCCGCAGCATATGAAGTTCTCATCAAAATTCACAGCGTTGCACTGAACTACCGAGATGTAGCCATTGCGACTTCCCACTATCCGTTCCCTGTGAAAGACAATTTGATTCCACTCTCGGATGCTGCTGGAGAAATTGTTGAAATCGGGACCAATGTACAAGGGTTTACAGTCGGCGACTGGGTCATTGCAAATTTCAACTCCGCCAACTTATACGGGCCGATGAAAGACTGGACTGGCGGCTTAGGAGGTCCAGTGGACGGTGTTCTTCGGAACTATCTGTCCATCAATGCCAACACTGTCATTAAAGTTCCCAAAGAGTCCTCCTTGAAGGCTTCCCAGTGGGCTTCACTTGTCTGCACTGGCACCACTGCTTGGAACGCACTTTATGGAAATGTCCCTTTGAAGCCGGGTCAAACTGTATTATTCCAAGGTAGGCTCACCATATTCAAGGAAATACACAAGCACACTTAACTGATTTGAATAAAGGCACGGGTGGTGTTTCCATCACTGGACTAGTCTTGGCTAAGGCAGCAGGAGCAAAGACAATCATGTAAGAAGCCTTCAACCTGCCAAATGTTATGATACACGCTAAAATATTCTCTTAGAACCTCATCTAGCGATGAAAAGCTAGCCTATGTGAAGAAGAAGTTTGGCGCTGACCATACAATCAACTACAAGACTCATCCTGAATGGGCCAAAGAAGTGCAGAAAATTACCCAAGGAAACGGGGTCGATTATATTTTTGAAAACGGCGGATCCGGGACTATTCAGCAAAGTGTTGAGTCTATTGCATTTGGGGGCGTGATTGCCATCATAGGCTTCTTATCCTCCGCTAAACAGGAAGAGATGCCGAATGTTGCTGGCCTTGCCCTCTCCAAAGGATGCGTCATCCGTGGAATCAACGTCGGATCGAAACAGTTGCTTGAGGAATGCGTGCGTTTTGTTGGTTCCCACAACTTGGACATTCCAGTGGAAAAGACATTTCCATTTACAGAGGAGGGTGTGAAGGCTGCGTACAAGTACTTATCCGAAGGTCAACATGTTGGAAAGGTTTGCATCGACCTAGAATAGGGGAGGCAGTCAGAATTTGAGATGCCGCCGAGACCTACTTGAACGGGCAAGACCTACACATCAGACTATGCTATGTACTGAATAGAATTCTCATAAAGCTTTGCGTATTCAATTAGACATTCGCCAACGTGCACCGTGATCGCCCATGAGGACTCTTCGCTGAATACTTTTGACCAAATTTTCAACACGGCTATACTCATTTGGCGGGGGCCTTGACACCAGGATGATGTATCTGTGTCACCCCAGTCTCCAGAAGCAAGGGCTTCTTTGATGACAGATTCAACCGACGCAATTATATGATGTTCATAGGCTGTGTTCGAGTCGTTAGGAATATGCTGCGCAATTATGGATGGAGGGAACTTCATGTCATATATTTGTAGAGGCTGGATCAAAGAAAAACTCACGTTCTAGAGCATTTGTCATTTGGCAAGTAGCAATATCCTCCAGCCACTTGGAAAGGAAAACTGCACTCTCCAGGGCGCATGCTGCATGCTGACAGCACCACAGAATTGACTGACTCTTAGCCACATGATCAATGCCAAAGGCTACTGGCAGGCTGAGTGCGTGAACTGTGTACAATAAAGCGCTTGTAAGATTCGAATGGCGTCGCGGAGGGGCAATTGAGAACAACGCTTTTGCTACGGTTATCGGATTGCGTGTTGCCAACCGCATGCTAGGACCCGTGTCTAGATGAGTTCGGACATAAGCCACTGTGAGGAAAGCAATAGAGGTGAAAGGAATGGGTCCATGCTCGCTGCTCGGATGCAAATCTCGGCCTGATGCGCGCTGCCAGATCTTAACCCATTTGGAGAGTGCTGAGCTGTGATTTGATTAGCACTACTTACTTTCCGACTTCTCTTTGTAAAGTGTTTGCGCCACATCGTTTGCGGTTCAGCTTACTGAATTTGACCTATTTCGCGATCACTCAGACTGGGTCCAAATGATATTTGACGCAGTAAGTAGATGCGTTGTACGACTCCGTGAAGCAATATGAGATTGCTAAAGGCGCAATACAAGTTTTCCCGTTTAGCTGCCTCGGGCGTTACGAGAGACTCAAATGCATCTTGAAAGCCGATGGGATTGCACATGTTCGTGTGACGAGATGCCGCCCATTCTAGCTCATTTGTAGTTTCCCACATCTTTGTTGGACAGGGGAGGCAAAGCTGGATTTCTCTGGCGAGTAGAGATGGCGGGCGGTTATAGATTAGAGTATGTATGTTGAGAAAGCAGAATGCCAGATACTTAGTTCGACGTTCAGCTTCATATGACGACCATTCAATCCAACTTTGCTCGGTAGGGCTCTCGCGCTCCACAAATCCGCTGGCTCGCATACACTGTACCAAAGGCGAGTGTAACTCGAACCCTTCAACAACAATAGAGGCATCACGAGCCCAGCTGGAATATACGAGGAGAAATACCAAGGTCTGGGTTGACTGCATATTCAGAATTCGGTTGATTGCATCCGAAAATGGTATAGTTGCACACTATTGGTGAGAGTTAGTACTCGACTCGAATGATGTATAAACATGGGCACATACTTCCGAATACAAATTATTCACTTTCAGTCTCTGCAAGGCGATGGATCTGGCTGCTCGATATAGCTTCTTTGATAGGTTTTCTTCCATTGTCCCCACTGCACCGAGTGCCGCCATGGCTAGAATGAGTTCAGGGATGCAGTGCCCTACTTGAAAGGTTGGGAAGTGTATGACTGGAAAATGAGAGGCCAATGAGGTCCTCCAGACATCTATATGCCTTATGAGCGTACGGAGCGATGGTAGAGTAAAGTCATCGAGAAGACTCTGAAACGGGCGAAGACCCTCTTCAAGAATCTTCAAATCATCCACAGTCATCTCGAGAGAAGCCATTTTAAAGGAACTGATAGACGCATAGCCTATTATACGATTAGCGAAGCCATGACTATGGCCTAGCTTGCTCAAATATGATGATTGATTCATGGAATGACTTACTTTGTCTCGGAATTGAAGTTTTTTGAGCCTGAACAATATCATGTGGATGTAAATCTCTGCTAAAAGGCAGCGGTCCGGCAGTGCTTTGGCTATCATTACCAAAAGTTCCAGGCTCCAATGATTGAACTTCTGCACCTGTTGTTAAATCGGAATCCATATTGAGAGAAAATGGAGAGTTGATAAAGTCCAAAGGCAATCCTAAGCCTCCCATGAAGGTTTCGAAATTAGTCATGGAATCGGTAAAGGTTGGACCTTGGAATACAGCTACAATTAAATTAGCTTCGACGCATTCTTCGGAGTCGGGCAACCTTGGCATTTTACCTTCGGAGGCGCCCATCGCATCAGTACTTGGCGCTATTAGCTCTGAAACTTCGTCATCCTCTTGTGAGGTTCGTGAAGGGGCCACTCCGGGTAATGTAGCTGATGATCCACCACGATGCGTGTCATTTGCCTCGCGAGGGCTTAGGTGGGCGATTTTCTCATGCCTACGCAGTAAGTCTGTCCGCGTGAAAGCAGCTCCGCAGGAGCATACGAATGGCTTTTCTTTGGTATCTACAGCTCTATCTAGTCAGTATGCCCTCCGAGTTATCAAAGTCAAGCTATGCGTACGGGTCCGGCAATGCCGCCGCAGATGCTCCGGCCGCTTAAAGTTGCGGCCACAATAAGGGCACGCGTGGGGATTTGGCATTTTGAGCTTCAACAAATGCGTCAAAATGAGTTGAAGGCAAGTTCAGTAACAAACGGAACTACATTCCGCGTAAAGCGCTGATAACTAGCAGCCAATATCATTAGGTTGGATGCTTTCAAGGCAGCTGTAATTTTCAGCTATTCTCAGCTGTTCTCACATAGCCAGCTTACAAATCAATACAGACTGCCATGTACACTCCTACAAGCTGCTGCCCGTAATCATCTAGCAATTGCCTAAAATCCCCCACTTACTCGCACAGTACTGATTACAGGTTAGCTTCCACCTAGATCACTTTGAACGCGTTTTATCAGTATTGAATAGCAAATTTATGTATCTTTTTTTTCTTTAAAAAAACTGAATACCTGTCTTTCCTTTGAAGCCCTGTGATATTTTGCAAAATTATTACTCGCGGCTGTGTCTTTTGTTAGATGAACGCGCTTGTTGCTACATGGTAGAGATTTGCGGATGGAAGAAATAAAGATCCTTTACGGTAAGTATGATACATGAGGCATAATTGTATAAATGGTAATTATATTTTTATGGGCAGTGGGAGTTATTGACATAAAGCACATTAGAAGCTATGACAAAGCAGATAAAAGTAGTAGCAACTTTACAGCTGTAGCAGTAATTTAGCTTTACGCCATACAAATAATATCGCAACTTACGTATGTGAGTCAATACTCCATATCCACCCCAGGTCCTGACCCCCAAAGCAATTCTCGATCGATGATTCCATGTCATTCAGTTGCATGCTAGTGTTTGTATATGTGTTCCCTTCGGAACCTAAACCTAGGTGCAATTAGCAAAACTTTTGACTGGGGCGTAACTGGTAGGTTTCTCACCTTGTTCATAGTTGAACAGCGCCTGTATCATCGATGGGTCTTCGCCGATGTCAAAGCGCAGCATGTTCTCATCATCTATGAAGCTGGGAGAATTTGTTGACAGGGCGATATTGGTCAAGATATCCTTAGATGTTTGCATGGGTGAGACCGTGGGTTGATCGCTAGCCTGTATATCCGCTTGATGGGGGCTTCGTGGCAGTGGTACCAAGTGCTGATGATTAAGTGATATCTGATCGTCCATGCTTCTAGATTCGAAATCCAACAATTGCTTTGCTTCTTTTTCAAGTATGAGAGACAAAAGTGTCTTTAGTATCCCGAACCCCTGTTCAGCAATAATACTCTTGGACTTCAATTGGGTTTGCATTTCCATGAGCCTTCGTAAGCCCATTTTGGATTCGTGGGACTCTCGGCTCAATGGTTCAAGACTGGTCAGAATAGACAATGTTACTCCCGCTGTGAAGAGATGCTGCGACGCAAATGATACAGCGTATGTATCTGCGACCTGCTGAAAGATGGGAAGCGAACCAAGCAACGAAACCTGGAATGCTGCATCTCGGCATATCTGAATCGATGTCTTTAATGGATCTATTGCTTGCCTATCCTGTGTTACAGAACTTTGGCTTGTCGCGTGAGTAGTGGCGATCCGTCCGTACGAAAGCAAGGGTCGGTAGACTAGTATTCTCGCGTTCTCAAATGCGAGCTTAAGCGCTAGAGCCTGAAGTTGGAAGAGACGATCTTCGAAACGGCGATCTGACGAAATGGGCAAACCAGAAGTCGGATCTTTCATTACCTCGTTGAATGAAAGCCGTACCGGCAAGCTCTGAGACCATTTCTGTAGTCTTGCATCTAATCTTGTGATTGTTTCTACCAATTGTTTCAAGTCATATTTGTCATCCCGTCTCTGGGGTTCTTCAGAAGACCGATGCAAACCATAAAGATCAGCCAGTACTGCCTTGACAATGATAGACAATTGCACCATAAAGTATTTGTACGAGAGGAGGGTTGGTTGGCTGGCTGCACGGCGAAAGATGGAATCTCCTGGAGAACCTAGCGATCTTACAGCATATGGATGTAAGGGCTCAACGTCGCAATCTCTATCCGATATGCTGAGCGGGAAGCCATATAGCATCGAACAAAAGGTCTCTATTTCGTATATAGCCCACCAGCATCGTTTTCTTGTTTCTTGAAGTCTTTGTATTGGATTGTCCAAATCGGGTGTAGAACTGCCGGTCGATGATTGCCGATGTAAGTTCAGGGCTTGGGCAATTCGCAGGCCACAACCGCAAATTGGCCAGGCAAGTTCTGGTTGCCCATGGTAGAGGTAGAAGGTCCCTAGCAGAACGCATGTCTGAATTGACTCCAAGGAGCCTAGTGATACGATGTCGAGAAGTCTGAACCTCAAAGCGTCAAGAATTTCGTCCTGTAGCGCAAGTTGCTCAATCCCACCATCTGCCAGCTTCTGCTTTTGATCAAAACTGGTATACTGTATACTGACGGCGCAGACAGCGAGAAATACGCTGACATAACCAAGCCGAGATTTGTGTTCGTCAATCTTTTGCCAGTCAGAGGCGTAAAGCTGCTGAAACTGATCTCTAAATTCTCTCTGGTGGAAAACTAGTACAAACCAATGGATCTTGTCAAAATAATTATTAACTAGTAGCGTAGCAGTCCTCATGTCTGGAAGCAGCATCATCAGCTTGGCTTCAGTCGAAATGAGCTTCTTTAGACGTGTTTGGCTTTGTTTGGGCCAGGTACTGCCTGATGCGCCTTCTCGAGTCCAGTGTGTGGCAGAGAGAGCTGAAACATCTCGCCCCTCTGGCGCTACCGTGTCTTGATGATCGAATGCCTTTGGACATCTTCAGTTATAACGCTGCAGAATTATCGTTCGAAAGCCTACCTCTTTTACAAAGGACATGGCCGCGGAGCTTGAAGCCCATGGCGACTGTGATGTGGTGGGGTCTGTATCCTCAGCTTCGCTGGGCTTATTTGAAGCCTCGTAGAATGTGGGAGATGAGGCTGTTGTTGCTATGGCATCATCTTCAATGGCTTGAGCTGAATAAGTAACCCGCTTCGTCGCCTGGAGGCTTGAGCCGTCGCCATCGACTTTACGAACTTTGCTGACGACCTGGTTTGGCCTCACAGGCTTCCAAATATCGGGCGATACAGCCGAGCAATCGACCCCAGCTCTTTTACAGAGAGTGCATGGGCGATTAATATCACACTTCAAAATAAAAGCAATCAGTTTGCTGTTTAGGTAGTGTTGACAGAGTAGCTTGCCTTGAGTTTCTGGCGCCGGCATCGTTGACAAGCCCTAGAAACCTTTTGGACCATCTCACCAAGTATTCAATGGTAATAATTAATTGCACTGGGCCGTAATGGTCTACTCAATAAGAGAATTTTGCAGGCATAGCATTGGTGAAATTACAGTCATTTTTCTTGACTACACAATGTCGAGTTCAAGAGGACAAATAGGGTGATATGACGTAGAATTTGACACACAAGCCCAGAGTGGGAGTCAACAGCTAAGCCTTTTTAGGAACATTTTCCCACCGGAAGCAATTACTACTTGTGAAGATCGCATCTTTCCTTTTAAGGATAAGATTCCGGGAGTCGTCGTCCACACACCTCAGCGTGTGTACTGGTCCAATGTATGGCCACCGGAAGGCATTAATTCTGATTCTCTTGTATAACTCTTTTCGGCGGATGCCTCCGGTCATATGGATCACCCGGTGGAATAGGCACCCCTAACGAGACAAAATTGGCGGCAGTTGGACTGTATAACTACTTCTCGTATGCTAAGACATTGATATAAATTGTCTGTCTGTATCAGCTATCAATCGCACATGGAATTTTTTTCTATCAATCTCCTAAACATTTCTGCTTAAAATACTGTTTCAACAGAATCTTGCCTCCGACAAATTACTCAAAAAATGGATAGCAATTTGACTTCGACGAATTCCATCACGGTGACTTTGCACCAGTTGGCAAAGATGATAGACCACTCGCTCTTACACCCCACAATGACTGATGCGGGTATACTTGAAGGCCTCGCGATTGCCAAGCAGTATGGCGTCGCTACAGCATGCGTCAAGCCATACCTCATTCCTTTCGCCAAGAAGGAACTTGAAGGATCGAGCGTTCTAGTATGCCCAGTGATTGGCTTCCCGCACGGCAATAGCACCACAGAAGTTAAGGTGTTTGAAGCAGACCGTGCCGCCGCCGCAGGAGGCAAGGAGATTGACATGGTCATAAACATCGGAAGGGCTTTGAGCGGCGATTGGGACTACGTTGCGCATGAGATTCGGCAGATTAACGAAACGGTCATTAAGCATGGCGCTACCCTCAAGGTTATTTTCGAGAACGACTATCTCGACGATGAGCATATTGTTCGGCTTTGTGAAATTTGCTCCGAGATTGGTGTCGCGTTCGTCAAAACGTCTACAGGATACGGTTTTGTTAAGCAGCCAAATGGGCTTTACTCGTACGCCGGAGCTACCATTCACCACCTGAAACTGATGAGGAAACACTGTGCACCAGAGGTTCAGGTCAAGGCAGCTGGGGGAATCCGGACATTGGACGATTTGCTGCACGTTATGTCGCTCGGCGTGACGCGGATCGGAGCCACGGCAACGGTTGCCATCATGAAGGCTGCAGCTGACAGGGGAATAACGAATGAGCCTACGACTGTCGAGTTCAAGCCTATGGCTGAGCAGCGGCTCGGAGGCTACTAATAAACACTAGGTATCTGGTTGCATTTTATAGTCTTCCCTCTTTAATACAAACATCCTTGACCTTTGTCCTCTGCTGAAAGCTTTAACTCTTGATGCGCATTCTTAACAATGAGATAAGAGACCATTTTTGCATCCGAACTCATCATGTACGATGTTAATACTGGTTATACTGACTATTAATAACAATTGCTTACTTTATGTGGTATAAAGCTGGATGGGGTAGAATACCCGGTGCTGGCCAGGCAGTCTTTTGCTATTCCATGAGACCGTGGACTATCTGGCTTATTAGCTATAGCCCGATGTATCTTTGGATTACGGAAGACTCTTAATTGCCTCCAATGCCTTTGATAGCACCTGAAAAACGATCATCTCCTATCCCTGCGTAAAATTGATTTGTCTATTATGGCATGTATCTGATCTATGGTGCTAAATACGATGAAACAACTGAGAACAATGACCTAATTGAGTGATCTGTCAAGGGAAGTAGAATGGAAGTATAAAAGGCATGATACAGGCTAAGACTGGAGATACGAGATATACTCTCCACCGCCAGAGAGTTTAGACGTATTCTTCATCCTCACCTTTTCTAGGGTTTACTGTGTGCAACTAATCACATCTTACCATTTAATACTGTCGGACCCGCTACATACCGCAAGATTAACCGGTTTGAGTGTAGTATTATTAATAAAAATTAACTGATGCGGCAATTGCCTATCGCCATGAACCTATGTCAAGCTGGCGTATTTGCTAATATGGCAAAGTGGCAAAGATTATAATGGTGTAGTATTCTGTAATTTTCCTCCAGAAAGGTAGCACTTTCAAAGTATAGTAAGGCGAATTATGTATATATATGTATGTACGACAATATATGAAGAATAAGAGTGCGAGAAATCGAGTGGAGTAACCTCTGGGAAGTAAGCTAGCTCTCGGCTTGCAAAATAGACAGGTTGGCGGATTCCTTAGCGACAGGAGTGTGTACGCTTGCACCGCATAACTATTCAACTGGTACATAGATATTCCAGTCATTGGTATTTTTAAGAATGTCTAGAAGTTAGAGAGTGGTAGCAGACTGCTAGCAAAAACTTTAGAGATAGCACATGCTAGATCAGTATTGAAGCTGCAGAATGTTATATAGGAATTTAAAGGTCTCATCTGTGCATTCGTTTTGTGTTAAAGACCGAAAACCATAAGTACAATCTAAAAGACCAGTATATGGGTGGTTCCTTACCTAGTGGTTGTACTACCTTATTACATCCAGCGACTTGTAGATAACCTTAAATCCTTTTCCTATTATACTCCTGTATCTGCTTTATGGAACTTGAAGTGGAAGAATCCTGTCTCCTTGGGGTAATTTCCACTTGCAAACAATAATTTGAAAGATTTCGAGCCCATCTTCAGCTCACTGATTCAGTCGAGCGGTAACAATGCTGGCGTGCTTTTCAATGGGAATGACTACGCAAAACCGTTTATTCAGTAGGCGACTCTCTTGTGATCCAGGCCAAAGAGGCAGAGCAGGCTGGAAAGCCTGAAGATGCACGCGAACTCTTCCTTTGTGCCGCCACTGTCTATCGCACCGCTCGATTCCCTATCAACAGCAGGTCTCTACTATCTACAAAAGCATGGGAAGCGGATAAAGCAGCATATCTAGCTGCTACACCGTATCTCTCTCTATTGTATTGGGAAGTTGAAATCCCTTATTCGTACGCCAGGTTTGCTGCAGGGGAACCGGCAGAGGATACCATCCCAGTAATTCTTACGTATCCCTTGGTCGGTAATTTAGCGGGCTATAAATTCGGTGCTACTTCTTATTGTGGGTTTGGACGGCTATCGGACAGATCAAAGACAATTCAGCTCCGAGCACGCGCGCCGCGGCTTTGTATGCCTTACTGTCGATATTCCGGGCACGGGAGACTGTCCTGCTGCCCGCGTGCTGGACTAGATTGATGAGAACCAAGATGAGTATGGCTTTGACTCACCAGCTTTGACTCACCACGTATTGTCGTCCGGGGGCTTAGCACCGGGGGCTACTACGCCATGCGTATCGCCCACACACACGCCAATCGCCTTCTGGGCATCGTCTCACAAGGAGGCGGAGGAGATCGTATGTTTGACCCAGAGTGGATCCGGGCACAAAACCACTTGGAGTACCCGTTTGCATTGACAAATGCACTTGCATTCAAATTCGGCTATGGATCTGTGGAAGAGTACATTGCCGACGAACCTCGGAAGAAGTTTGGCTTGTGTAAGAATGGAATCTTTGACATCAAATGCACTAGACTATTGCTTATCAATGCGATGGAAGATATTATTTTTCCAATAGACGACTACGTTTTAGCTCTTACAAGAGATATAATATTGAGGAGGCAATATAGCTGAACTGGAAGCAGGACCAATTACATATGAATGGATAGATAGACTTGTAAGATAGCAGTACCTGTGTTGTGTACAAGAGATACTGTAATATATTGTAGTATCAAAAATGTAATTTCAATTACTATATAACAGTTGCTTTAGGGTAGAGCATCTATAATGTACTAGCAAGAAGATAAGATGCTGTAATACCTGGTTTAAATGATTTACAAGGAACTGCTATCGAAGGATTTAAGTATATTAAAGGGTTTCTTTTGTATATACTAAAGTGGAATTAATTTCACTCCTGTGTTATTGCCATTTACTAATAAATGGCATTACAGTTGCATAATGGTCAAGTTATAGTTGGACATACATACTAGTAGGGTTACAAGGCGACTCCCAAAAGAACAATTAACCCCCAGATCCCCTCAAAGGTACGCACGCACTATTTTCTCATGAACTTCATAATGTTAATACCAGTGATCGGTTACCAGTATCAACATATCAACAAGCATAGAAATTCGTACCGGAGCGCCGGGACAAAACTAGAATTCCGTAGGGAAAATTCGAGTGCCGGCTCAATACCTTCCGCCCAATATAATATTCCGCGCTTGGTATTTAATTAAGTATCGAGAATAGTACGAATACCTATAACAAAGACAGGGTTCTATAGCTAAGAAGCGATGGCATGGCTGTGTTTGTGGGTTTGGTTACTAGTTAGTCCGAGACTCCGTACATGGGGTCAACAGCAAGGTGAGATCTACGTTCAACAACTCCTTTAGCTTACGCTCTACCTTAATTTGATATTACGTAGGAAAAGTGCTGTGTCATAACTTTAAAGGCTATCCTAAGAATTCAGGGGTTTTATCCGGATTCAAATCTGTGGATAGCCTCGGCCCAGGGGCAGGTATCCAGGTGTATATAAACTAAAGGATGTTCTCTTCCATACCTAAAAAATTCAAAGAGCAGTTCATCACCATTCAAGATGTATCATCTAACCAAAGTCTCCTTGATTTTTCTCGCTTTCATCTGCCAGCGTTCGGCCAGTACACCTGTCGCCGTTTCATCCTTGGCTCCAATCCCACCAAGCCAGGATTCGTTCTACATACCACCACATGGCTTCGAGAAGACCTCTCCAGGACATATACTGCGAAATCGAACAGTACCAGTTGCTGTTAATCTCCCCAACAATCCTCATTTGGCAGGCTCTTTTCAATTTCTTTATCGCACGACAAACACTTTTGGTGATGCGGTAGCTGCAATGACGACTGTCCTTGTTCCGAAAAACGCGGATTTCGGGAAACTGGTCTCATTCCAAGATTTTGAGGACTCAGCTGATATCGATTGCGCACCATCCTATATCATACAAACCAGTCAACCCGGCCAAACTGCTTTGTTTATAGAATTGGCCCTTATGCAAGGCTGGGTTGTGGCCATCCCAGACCACGAAGGACCCAAAGCATCCTACCTTGCGAATATCCAGTCAGCACATGCCGTACTCGATGGCATACGCGCAGTTTTAGCCTCCTCATCCGTAACACATCTATCGAAGGATCCTGCGATTGTATTATGGGGCTATTCTGGTGGTGGTCTCGCCAGTGCTTTTGCTGCAGAGCTTCAGCCTCAATATGCACCAGAATTGAAGATACTGGGGGCCGCTGCTGGTGGTATTGTCCCTAATATCACAACTGTGATTTCCAGCGTTAACAACAAGACGAATTCATGGCTTATACCAGCTGGAATCATGGGGCTAGTGCATGAATATCCACAGCTTGGGCCAATTATTGATGCGCATCTTATTCCAGCGACAGCCAGTTCTTTCAAAGCAACAGAGCATGTTTGCTCTGAAGTCCTGTTTGGAAATGAGAATATTCTAGCCTATTTTCGCAACTTTGATGCTATGATGGCAAATCCCACCCTCCTCTCTATTCTTGCACAAAATGGCATGGGCAACAACGCGCCAAAAATACCAATGTTTATCTACAAGGGAGTGCAAGATGAAATCAGTCCCATTAGCGAAACTGATGAACTGGTAAAAAAATACTGCGCTCGTGGTACCAGCGTATTCTACAGAAGAGATATCTTGGCAAATCACGAGTTAGATGCTGTTCTTGCTCTCCCGCCTGTACTGTCTTGGCTGAAAGACAGATTGAACAGGGTCTCTGTCAATAATACCTGTTCGACATCAACTGTCGTATCATCCTTGTTTGAGATTGATGCAGTCAGCCAGGCAACACAGGAGGTCATCCTGGCGGCCATGATTGATGCTATTACAAGCTCCAACTAATAGTGCTGGATGTCCTAGGGCACTTTAAAACCGCATTCCATAATTAAAGGTTGCTTTGATTCTGTTTCTAATCTGAATGCTTTGGTGGATACACTCTTAATTATCTTACTAGAGCTATATATTTTTAAATTTTATACTATAGTTATCAATCAAATCCTGTCTTATACGCAGTTAACAGAGACAAGGTTCTTACAGTTACTAATGCCCTTATTCATATAGTAAGATAGTAGATGTTAAACTGGTAAGTCGAATATTCCATGGGTAGAATTCGCCGATATAAATTGGTTCCATTCTCTTCTGGGCAAAGCTACTATTTTCTTAGTATCTAGACATCAGCAGCTTGCTTCTATATTCCTATTCCAGTAATATCTTCAACTTATTGCCGTTTCTAGAGCTTGCGACCCACTATTCGGGCTTCACTTTGTTCCTAGCTAGGAAAAATCTCACCTAGGTACAATCTGCATTGACCCATAATGCAATCACAGTCAGGAGAGCTTAGCAATTACCAAGCTTCTTCCCTTTTAAGACAGCTACATCGAGTATTAAAGGCTTTATATATATTCAATGAAGCGTCCGCTACGCATTTCGAACCACGTCTTTGTTTACAGTTCTCATCATTGGCCTATCGGCACATAATCCCTAGCAGCTGCACTTGGCGGAAGCAGGCCCAGCATTACCTCTAGCTTATTGCCAAGCTCGAAGCTTCTATTGCTCTACACCATGGCTTCAACAAATGGCTCAACAACTCCGTCGACGCCTTTGGACGAGGAAAATCGCAACAAGCATGAAGATCCTGAATCAGCTTTGGCACAAGGCCAAATGGAACAACGCCAGCAGCCACAGGGCTCATTCTCCAAGCATGAAGCCTCACACGTTTCTGAGCGGCCTGAAGTTTCGGCCGATGGAGATGAAGAAACCTCTGAGCCAACTCTGCAAACAGGCTGGAAATGGTGGTTAATCTGCTTTGGTGTCTATTCAACTTGTCTCATGTATGGGCTTGATACCACGATCGCGTCAGTGGTTCAAGCTCCGGTTGTTGATACGTTCAAAGAAGTCTCTCAGGTCGCATGGATTGGCGCTGGCTTTCTCCTTGGATCAACGGCGGTTATTCTCCCCTACGGCGCCATGTTCAATACCTTTGACCTGAAATGGAATTTCATTGCCGGAGTCATTCTGTTTGAAGGAGGATCAGCTCTATGTGGAGGCGCCCCAAACATAGGTGCCCTCATTGTGGGCAGAGTTATTGTGGTGTTGGGGGTACCGGCATCTTTCTGGGAAGTCTCAATTATATGACAGCCCTGACTCCTCCGAAAGTAAGAGGAACCTACGTCACCGGCGTTGGGTTCTTTTGGGGCATTGGTTGCATTCTTGGTCCTATCGTTGGCGGTTCTTTGTCAGACAGCTCGGCAACGTGGAGGTGGGCATTCTATATCAACCTTGTCATTGCCGCCGTGACAGCGCCAGTGTATCTCTTGGTGCTGCCCTCGTATAAGCCCTCTTCTGATCAGTCTGTCATGATGCGGCTTGTCAAACTGGACTACCTGGGCTTTGCTCTTAGTATCGGCTTCTGGGTCACTTTTGCACTAGGATTTCTATCCGCAGGAGGAATCTGGAAGTGGAGCGATGGACGCACAATTGCTACAATCACGATGTTTGCCGTTTTACTGGCAGCTTATGCTTTGCAGCAGACTTTTTGCATATTTACCACACCGGAGACGCGTTCATTTCCCTTGCATCTCTTGAAATCGAGAATTCAGATTCTGCTCTACATTGAGGCAGCCGCCGCCATGGCTGCTATTTACGTACCAATCTTCTACATCGCCATCTATTTCCAATTTGTGCGGAATGACAGCTCGCTTGAAGCTGCCGTACGCCTGCTGCCCTATATCATCCTATTCATTATCGCCAACTTGGGCAGTGGTTACCTGCTTCCCAAAGTGAACAGGTACATTATCCTTTACGTCGTCGCAGGAGTCCTCCTTACTATTTCCGGATCACTTTTATATGTCTACCTCACCCCGACGACAAAGCCAGCTACAATCTATGGACTCAGCATCATAGAAGGAATTGGCGCCGGAATTAGTGCCCAGGTTGGCTTCTCCATAGCGACGCTCGAGTCGGGTTCTAAAGACGCCGCACACGCCCTAACGCTTCAGAATCTGGGTCAGCTCGGAGCAGGCGTGATTGCACTCGTAGTTGCTGGCCAAGTTTACCAGACCACTGCCATCAAGGGTTTGACTGAAGCACTCGCACCGGCCGGCTATACGGCTGCTCAAATTGAGGATGCGGCTGCAGGTGCGCAGAGTGTTGTCTTCCAAGACTTAACGGGTGATCTCAGAGAGATGGCCATTATAGCAGTTACAAACGCTATCCAGAGGGTTTTCATCTTGCTTATTGTTGCGGGCGCTGTCTCTCTCATCGCGGCTTTGGGTATGAAACGACACAAGTTGTTCAAGTAAAACAGCGATGTTTGCACACCTGGAGAGCAAGCTTCAAGCGAGAGATACAAGAGCGAGGCAACATGATTACAACAAGACTGTTTAGCAATAATGTATTTGGACGAGGCCCTGTTTCATAGATGCTCGGATTAATCTAGTCAAAGTAGGTAAATTAAAAGAGGTTGGCGTTTATGAAAATTAATCGAAGGAGATATATAGCTATGTGCAAGAACTTATAATCGGTTTATTTTTATAACTCAACAAACGCATAAATCATCATCATAAGAATGTGTGAATAGTTTTCGCGACCGCGGGAGAGCGGATAGGAGCCAGCTCTTACATGCTTGTCTGTCAACGACTGCAAACTGTATGCCCAATATAAGAGATATATTGATCTTGTACATTTTGTGACAATAGCAAATGATTACTAAACTTTACTTCTATACAGATAGTACGCGAGTGAACTTAAAATTAAGAAAACACGAATACGTGTATCCATTTTGCCGCGCGGTATGGACATTTTATCACATAGGGATTTGCGAACCAGCTGTTTGCTGATCCCGGGAGCTGTTTAGTGCCGCCATAGGTTATCTAATTAACATCGGCAATGGCTGCTTATATGCGCCCAAGTGACGGCGGCTGTTGCCGGTGGCTGCACGTAGGTATCATAAATATCAGCCGGCCCGGCATTGAGGTCTTTAGGATAGAGCCATTGAAAAGGGCGGAGTTGTAGTCTGAAGTTTGGCTGCCTGGCATGAGTCAAGAAAGAAAAAAGTGTTTTATGTCATTCCTAAAGACAGTAATGAAGATCTATCCCGATGAGCGACTAATACCGGAAGATATTTTGCGATATCCTTGGCTAGATGCGATGGCTTCAGAGTGGATAAAACAGTACCTAATGATATAATATTGTATCCGTACGAGTGATTTTATATACACAAACTACTACAAGCTACAAAAACCTATCAGGCAATTGGTCAAACTACTACTTCAGGTATATTCCGATTCGGGCGTCTTTATAGTAGTAGTATCTCCTTACTGAAGACTTAGTGCCCAGAAATACAAGCAATCTTCTCTAGTGGAAATATCTCGTTGGATGATTCCAGGCCAATAAGCACTATAACCACTCGCGTTCATAGGCAAAGAGCGACACTACACTTCCAAGCGAGTACTACTTGGATGTACAAATTGCCAATCCCGATTCCAAATCATTTTAGCCTCCATCCTTGGGCATAAAAACGCAAGTATTCCTATGCTACAAACTGAGTCTGCTCTGTTTCACCAGCGCGTTCTACCTCTACGAAGTCTATAAATGGACGAGCTACAGAGCCTTCCACACAAACGGCTTCGAGTCGGGGTTGACGTAGGCGGCACAAACACTGACAGTGTGCTCATTGATCTGGCGCATCCATCAGAGCCAGACAAAGCAATACTAGCGTGGCGCAAGACACCTACGACGTCGGATCCAAGCGATGGCATAAAGACTGCACTCAGCAGCTTACTTGAGTCGACGAATAGAAAATCAGACATTGTCAGCGTGGCAATAGGGACCACGCACTTTATTAATGCGGTTGTAGAGCGAGATGCCAATCGACTCTCTAGGGTTGCTGTGTTGAGACTGGGCTACCCCTATAGCAAGTATATGAGGCCTTGCGGTGACTGGCCGGACGACTTACAAAGACTCGTGCTGGGCCATTATGCTTTATTGCGGGGAGGGCTTCAGGTGAACGGAAGCCCCATCAGCGACATTGAGCCAGCTGAGATTCGAGCAGAGTGTGCGCATATCAAGCAAAAGGGCATCCACGTCGTGGTTATCAATGGCATCTTCAGCCCCCTCGACTCCGCAGAGAATCAAGAACATCTTGTAGCTGAGATTGTGCGTCAAGAGCTGCCGGGCTGCGATGTTGTACTCTCCAGCGAGGTTGCTAAGCTTGGGTTCATCGAGCGTGAAAACGCCGCGATCTTCAACGCAGCCATATTGAGATATGCGCGGCAGACTCTACATTTGTTTCAACGGCCTTTGAAACAACTAGGTCTAGATTGCCCGGTATTCATAACTCAAAATGACGGAACAGTCCTCCCGGGGCAACTTGCCGCAAAGTTTCCAATAAGGACATTTTCTGGTGGCCCGACCAATAGCATGCGCGGAGCTGCTTTTCTTGTAGAGAGGTATTCATTGGGTAAACGAGGCGAGAAGAAGCCAATCATGGTGGTCGATATTGGTGGCACAACGACCGATGTTGGACTTTTGCTTCCTTCGGGCTTCCCAAGGCAGCGAGCGGCCTTTAGCAACTTGGCGGGAGTTCGAATGAACTTTTCTTACCCAGATGTCACCAGCATCGGTCTTGGCGGAGGGTCATTCGTATATCGTGATAAAGGCATAGCTGTTGGTCCAGAAAGCGTCGGCCGCCGACTTACAGAAGATGCAATTCTATTTGGTGGCGCCATTCTGACAGCCACCGACTGTGCCGTTTCCGCGGATCCTACTTTGGCGATTGGCTCGCCGGATGTGCTTGCGGCACGTTCCAATCTAAGCCCAGAAGAGATCTACAATTTCCAGGAAGCCGTAAAGTCAAAGCTGGAGCGGGCTATAGACTCTATGAAGACGTCTCCGGAAGACCTGCCCGTCTTGTTGGTTGGTGGTGGCGCTATCCTAGCCCCGAACAAGCTGAAGGGCGCAAGCGAAGTTCTTCGGCCGCCATGGTCAGGCATCGTGAATGCCATCGGGGCCGCTATGGCTGGCTTGAGCATTGTGGTCGATACCATCAAGACGATTGGGCCCAATACAGAACAGCAGTGGCTCGAGGAAATTAAGAAGGTTGCTATCGACAAAATAGTCGATGCTGGCGCCCTTCGTTCCTCGGTTCAAATTGTCGAGATAGAGACACTCCCAATGTCGGTAAGTTTGTTTGAGCTACCTGAAATGCTGCATGGCCATAGACTAGGAACTAACTTGGTTCACATTAGTATGTCGAGAATAAGGCTCGATTCATTGTTCGTGCAGCTGGTGACTTTAATTATAACGCTCCAAGTATAGAGCTTACAGGTAATGATATGAGCCATTCGGGCAACTTAGTGGATTCGGCGGACGATTTAAACAATTCCCAGTATGGGCGCAAAACAGGCGCTGGTGATTTCTCCGGGACTCCAACAGAGGAAACTAAAGCATCAACTGAATCCACTGACGACTTGCGTTTGTACAAGCCTAAAGTCGCAGACCGAGTGTGGTATCTGAGTGAGACGGATATTGGCTGGATTGCCACCGGCTGCAATATTCTTGGATCAGGAGGCGGTGGCTACCCATTCCCAACCGCTATGCGCCTTCGCCAGATGATACGCAATGGCGATGTGATTCGCGTTGTCGACTCGCGTGATGTCGACGATAAAGCCGTCGTGGGGGGAGCATGCTTCGGCGGTGCGCCCAATGTCTTTTCTGAAAGACTTCCGGCTGACGAGCTACTCGAGGCTCAGAAAGAGCTGATGCGGCTATTCAAAGACCCGATCACGCATCTTAACTGCTTGGAAGTTGGTGGAGCAAATGGCATGCAAAGCTTTGTGGTCGGATCCAGCTCGAACCTTGATCTGCCGACCGTCGATGGCGACTACTGTGGCCGCGCATATCCCGTGTTATGGCAGACAACGCCGTACGTCTATGGTGATCGCCAGCCGGTGTACCTCCCAATGGCACTGAGCGATGGCAACGGAGCCTCGGTCATTGTCTCCCAGGCCAAGTCAGACAAAGTCGTCGAACGACTCCTGCGAGCCGCGCTTAGTGAGCTCGGGTCTCTCGCCGGTGTGGCCGTTGCACCCGCTTCAGGAGTCGAGTATAAACGCTGGGCTATTCGCAACACCATATCGCAATCATGGCGGATCGGAAGGGCTGTGCACTTGGCTCGTCTGTTGAATGGTCTCGATACGATGACGGAGTCGATTATCAACGAGTGCGGCGGCCCCGATGCTGCCAAGGTTCTGTGGCGCGGCAAGATTGTCAGTGTGAAGCGGACACTTCGTAAAGCCCATCTCTACGGCTAGTGCGTTATTGAGGGTGAGGGGGGAGACAGTTTCAACGGCCATGTTGTGATTCCATTCAAAAACGAGAATATTGCTGCTGTAAAGACGTCTCCCAGCAATGAGCCGACCGAGTCGCTTCCTTTAGATTCCGAAGATCTTCAAGGCGAGATATTGGCCATTGTGCCGGACCTTGTCGCCGTTCTAGATGCTGAAGATGGTGAGGGTATTGGTACGCAGGATTACCGGTATGGTCAACGTGTTATCGTCATAGGCATTGCTGCTAGCGAGCAATGGACTGGTACTGAGGAGGGTATCAGAATCGGGGGCCCTGAGGGATTCGATATGGGATATTTGAAGTACAAGCCGCTTGGAAAATACTCAGCTCCCAAGAGCGTTATTGATGAGTATAATGTCTCATAGATTACTTTCAGAAAAGAAGCATACCATCTACTAGTGGGCTATTTTCAGGTGGATGAAGCGATTGCTTGGAAGAAAGATTAGAATATCACCGAATACGGAAAAGAGAAGAATTCTTAACATGCATCTTGACGAGTGTTCTAATAAGCATTTAGTACTGAAATCTTAAATGGCTTTGCGAACTAATAAAGGCCTTCTTATCCTTCATCTTTGGTGTATTGGAAGGATAATCGGGACAGTTGCGCGTATCAAATGCACAGAGTAATCACACACAACTAAAAACAAACATTCAAATAATATTATAAAGATAATAATTATATTAAAACTCGCTTTTCTGGGTGTTGTTTTGTGGTAGTCAGTAGCTGAACAATTGACTTGAACTACTGTCGCGTTATTGATATCCAGAAAAGGGTCTACTTGGTCTTTTATGGAAGCCACACGTGGGCGAGGAAAGCACTGTGATAAGCTCGTTCATCCAACACCTGTTGTCTCATGGGCATTTACTAGTAGCTAAATAAAGAAGTAAGCACCGATGAAAGGCGCCGAAGAAGTGGACGAGTTATCTGTGAGGCGTTGGTTGAAAGCCTCTAGCTTCTTGGCTACAGCACTAGCTGAGGCAGAGCATTCTGGGCGGCCGCCATGCCTCACGTTCTGGGAACCGAACCGGGGCACGTGCTACGGCGTGGCAAAGAACAAGATCTTGGCAGATGCCCAAACGTGGCCGATGGTGTGAGAAAAACATTGTTCTTACTACAATACACAGCATGTGTAAAAGACTCTGAATCGTTTCACGCTGCTAGCTCTTGAGAATTGCGATCAATAGATGAATCTAGCCGTAAACCAGCGTAGCTACAAGAAACTGCTCATCTGGAAGTAGCTAGCGCTAGATGTCCGCCAAGCTTAATTATTAAGTTTATGCAGCGGTTCCCCAGTAGTCAACCTTACTGCGGTTAAGCTCAGCAACTTGCCAAGCTTGGCAAAGCCAACAGTCGAAATCTTCTCCTTGAAGTGTTCAAGCACGTGCTCGTTCAGCCATGATTCATTTCATGTTAGTGCCCTCACAGTCTCTTCTTCATGGTATTTTTCCATGTATGCACAAAGTCAAGACTGGAGCACCTGCTGTTCCAGTCGAGGGACCTGAGCGATGTAAATTCGCTCTGCACCTTCTTGTCATCTCCATATGCTTCTAGGCCATCCATATTACCCTCTTCGCTGGATATTCACGCGATATCCCCCCAACTTCGAGATACAGCAGGCTATGGGGCCACTTCTGGAATCCCTTGGCCAAAGTAGCAAACCTAGTCAGTGGGCCCGGGGGCTACCCCGATCTACCGTTACGGCGACATGCCCAAGCCCACGTGTGTTTTTTTGACAATCTGATAGGAAGAAACACCATGCTTAACATCTACGCTGAAGGTGGTCTCATTCAACGGCGTCGTCCGTCTGAGCGATCCAAAGTTCCACCATTGCATTTGCCAAGCAGCTATTGCCTCGGGTCCAAGAGAAACTTGATGCGATACGCCAACATGCCTTATTTTTCTCTGCGATATTCGTGGCTCTTTTGTTACTTCGGTGCCTGAAGCGGCAAAGTCTACAATATGCTACTCCACTCTCTTATTCTCTTCTTGTAGGCTCTACAATCCGGTGGCGCCAGTGAGGCACGCAAAGGGCCATGAAGTTGGACCGAAAGTTGACACTTCAGGTACCCGGCGCTGTGGCCTTCTTTCGGCTACTGGATGCACACGTGCAAACAATAATTGCATATGTATGACTAGTATAATACCTGAGACACGCCCTGTACCATTGTGTTGAGATTCTATCTCGGTTTCTTTCAATCATCATTCAAACCTTCTGAAGATCGGTCTGGTTACCTCTTTGAGCCATTCAGACACTCATCTGTCAATATGGTGCTCCATCAGTATGACTACATCTTTGCCATTGGCACTCTGTTTGCCATGCTAGATGCCTATAACAACGGTGCAAGTGCGTATTATAAGCATACAGCTTGTTCATCCCTCCAACAAATGAACGCACGAAACAGCATGATGCTCACATTATATGCCTCTTTTAGATGATGTTGCCAACTCCTGGGCTACCAGTGTCTCTTCAAGATCAATCTCTTACCGACAAGCCATGGTCCTCGGCACCGTCTTCGAAATGCTAGGTGCCATCACCGTCGGTGCCCGAACTGCGGATACTATAAAGAACGGCATTATTCCAAACGCCGCCTTCCAGGGCGACGCCGGTGTCCAGATGCTTGCATTCACATGTGCTCTTGCCGCTGCATCCTCTTGGGTGATGTGGTGTACTCGCCACTCTGCCCACGTTTCCTCTACATACTCGCTCATCTCTGCCGTTGCGGGAGTCGGTGTCGCAACAGTAGGCGCAAGCCAAGTCCAGTGGGGATGGAACAACGGCAAAGGTCTCGGTGCCATCTTTGCTGGGCTGGGAATGGCTCCCGCCATCGCCGGAGGCTTCGGTGCTTCTATATTCCTTCTGATCAAGTTTGTTGTCCACGTCAGGAAAAATCCCGCCAAGTGGGCTGTATACACCTCTCCATTCTTTTTCCTCGTTGCTGGCACAATCTGCACTCTGTCCATTGTGTACAAGGGATCTCCCAATCTGGGCCTGGGCAAGAAGCCAGCATGGTACATTGCTGCCGTGACTATGGGCACAGGCGGAGGAGTTTGCCTCCTGTCTGCCCTGTTCTTTGTCCCATTCGCGCGCGCTAAGATTCTGAAGAAAGACTACACCGTCAAGTGGTGGATGTTCATCCTCGGTCCTCTCCTTTGGAATCGCCCAGCTCCCGCCGATGCTGAGTCTGCAGCTGTCCCCGACTACGCTGTTGTCCAAGGAGAAGAGCACGTCCATGGATCCAGCCGTTCGCTGCAGACCGAATCACTCGATAGCGAGTCGCCGAAGAAGACTGACGCTGTTCTGGGAGAAAAGAATCTTTCAGCCGTTGAGGCTAATAAGCCCAGCTACGAAGAGCTTGCAAAAGCAAGCGAGGCCAAACTCAATTCCCGCCTTTACGAAAGCCAAGGACCAATTGGCTGGGCGATGCGCACACTTCGCGACAATCCCATGGGCCCAGGCCAGGTATACGAGAAGCACAACGTCAAAATCCTGGCAAAGCGCATCCCGGCCATGATTGTTTGCGGCCTTCTCTATGGTTTCTACTACGATATACATGCCGCCCAGACTGGCACTGAGGGAACCCCCGATGGTGATCGCATGAAACGTGTCTACGCCAACGCCGAGAAATATCCCAACGAAGTTGAACACACATACTCTTTCGTCCAGGTTCTGACAGCATGCACTGCTTCCTTTGCCCATGGTGCCAACGATATTGGCAACTCTGTCGGGCCTTGGGCCGTTATATATTCTGCTTGGAAAACTGGCAACGCTGCTGCGGCAAAAGCACCTGTTCCCGTTTGGCAATTAGCTGTGTTGGCTGCCATGATATCGATTGGTCTCATCACCTACGGTTACAACATTATGAAAGGTAAATACCACCTAAACTTCCATTTTTGTTTAGGATTAGCTGCTAATTGTGTAAAATAGTCATGGGCAACAAAATTACCTATCACTCTCCTTCTAGAGGCGCTTCCATGGAAATGGGTGCCGCCATCACTGTTCTCGTCTTTTCTCAGTACTCTCTGCCCGTCTCTACGTCCATGTGTATCACCGGCGCAACAGTCGGAGTTGGTCTCTGCAACGGTACTTTCAAAGCTGTCAACTTCCAGCGAGTTGGGCTTCTGCTGTTTTCTTGGATCATGACTATTCCAGTCGCGGGTACTCTTGGCGGTGTTCTCATGGGCCTCTTCCTCAATGCGCCGCACTTTGCGCCTTCGTAGGAGAGCTTAAAAAGCCAGCGAAGAAGATTTGGCATACTTTATTTAATAGATTTTTTGAGATTTTTTGGGACCAAAAATAAAAGTTATGAACTAAAAAGCACTCTAGTTACTTAACTTTGCTCAACTCTAGCCCCGCCATGTGATGAATGTTTTCCGTTATGTTTCATTTGCCAAAAGAAAACGTTCGACTCTGGCCTAACAATGAATGTTATCAATGTATACCAAACAGTCCTTTCTATAGTTTTCATTGTTGTTCTAACGAAATAGCCGGTTCTCCGTAATCAGCTCCCCCGCGATTTTCTACAAGCTAACATCACCATCCCGCACAGATGAATTGCAATCTTCCATAGAAATGCCAATAATTAATCACAGCGCCAGGCAACTTGCTTTCTCATCATTAGCAATTGAAGCTACCAGATTGATTCCATAGACCTTTGTGGGGTTAGATTTGTTTTTACTCCAATTAAACTTGCATTGCTTAAACTCAAGGGGCAGATAGACGTGTGCGGTGTATCCAACTACGGGCGTCGATTACAAATCCGAAAATGGCGCTAGAGCCGGAATTACACGATTGCGAAAAGCCACCAAGTAGAGTAACAGGAGGGCGTTATTGGAAGTCAGTCACAGTAAAGACTCTTCCCATTAGCAATATTGAGTAATACATGACAAATGATACATGTAAACTTACTTGGATATGGGTATGACAATGAGTGTTGCTGCACTGGTTGTGAGACGCGGCATACAAATATCACGATAAACAACGAGATTGCTTCATATCACAAGAAGTATTCAACTGGGCTTCACAAATTTTGCACTTTGAGTCATAGAAGCAATTACATACACAAAAAGAAAATGGCTAATGAAGGTTACTGGCTTGTTGGAGTTGGAGAGCCACCAAAGCTTGGTCCTGGAGACTTGCACGAGCCCGGAAAGGGGGAAATATTAATACAGGTTCGTTTATACTTCGATACGTGAGCTACTGGATTCATGCAATAATACTAATCTGGAGAGCAAGGTGAAAGCCGTAGCAGTTCAACCTGGCGAATGGAAGATGCAAGAGGGCCTTATTCCAATCAAGGTTCAATATCCAACCATTATTGGCCGTTAGATTCCCTCTTATCTGTATCTTCGGTTTCATTTCTAATAATTGACAGTTTCCGCATCTGGCATCGTTAAAAAGACTGGTCCTGGAGTGACCCGATTCCAGCCAGGTGATCGCATCTTGACAAATACTACAGGCGTCCTACGGAATGATAGTCGCTTTGGGGCCTATCAGAAATACTGCCTCGCCCCGCAAAATCTGGTTTCAAAGGTACGTTGGCTATAAAAGAGAAAAAGATTGAGATTAATACTAATCTCTATAATACCCAGATTGGTGATGTGCCATTTGATGAAGCTGCGAATGTTGCAACGTCTTATGCGGCAATGAGTGCTCTAGTCCTTCATCTCGGGTTAAACAAGCCGCAGATACCAAGTGCTATTTCGACCGGTGAGAGGATTCTGATTTGGGGAGTGTCATCTTCAATGGGGATATTTGCTGCACAGTTGGCAAAGCATGCTGGCTACGAAGTTGTTGGCGTTGCATCTGGACGCCATCGAGAGCTCGCAGCGCAGTATGGAATCGCTCATTTCGTGGACCGTACAGCGGCGGATGTTGTCATTGTAGCCTCTTCATTAGGTCCATTCAAGGCTGTCTTTGCAGCGGCTGATTCCGCCGAAGACCAAGTTAAAATAGGTGGAATTTTAGCTGCTCTAGGAGGAGGCTCATTCTTAACCACCATGGGAGTCCGCGCTGGAGTACAATTGCCCAAAGGCGTCACTGGGTTTTTTACACAGTATATTGATGACTACTTGGACGAAAAGAACCGCGAGTTCACGGAGTGGTTTTGGTGGAACTGGTTAGAGGCTGCCTTGGAGCAGAAACAGCTCAAGTCTATCCCTCTTACAATTGTTGGGGGTTTAGACAAGACAGGAGAGGCCTGGAGAATATTGAAACATGGCGAAAATCACGGCACTAGATTGATCATTGAGCCGCAATAAGCAAATGCGAGTTTTGATTGTGTAGCTATTGAATGATGGGCAGATTGTACTAAACGAATAAGATGGCGCTCTTCACGAGTTTATATCTGACAATACAGGAACATATTTAAAACATTCACTGCTGGCGCAAATGGCCATCATAGGGTGATTTGCATACGCGTATTATCAGCCATCAGTGGCGATCAATCAAGAAGCCACACTGCCCGCTATTATTACGTACAGTAGCAGCGAGAACTGAAAATGCAAAGCGCCCTCTAAACATGTGGGTCGCGCGGCCAAATTTGCGTGCTCTTCCAAGCGACAACGGCGATGGATGTATAATCACTTTTCAAATCTCCATACCGTTTCTTCAAGTCGTAAAGCCACTCTTTCAACATGACGATACCCTCTTACAACGACAGCCATGTCAGCATCGACAGAAATGGCATTGTTGAGAACAGGCACGTTGTCCACGCTGCCGTCGTGGATTCCACGGGACAGCTTCTCTTTAGCCTAGGGGATCCCTCACGGTTTACTTTGCTGCGTTCAGCTGCTAAGCCTGCTCAGGCGCTGGCTGTCGTAGAAACCGGTGCGCTTGAGAAGTTTGGTTTCGATAACGCTGATCTAGCCCTGATGTGCGCCTCACATAGCAGCGAGGATCGTCATGTTGCGCGGGCCCAGCGAATGCTGGTGAAATCGCAGCACACCGAAGACCAACTGCAGTGCGGCGGCCATCCCGCTCTCAACTCAGCTGTAAACCGCGCATGGATCAAGCGTGATTTCGAGCCCACAGGCATCTACAACAACTGCTCTGGCAAACACGCAGGCATGCTGGCGGGAGCCAGAGCCCTGGGCGCCTCGTCAGATGACTACCACCTTTTGACGCATCCAATCCAGGCCAGAATCAGGAGAATCATAGAGGAGTTGACCGGCTTAAGCGAAAACGAAGTCAGCTGGGGGGTTGACGGATGCAACATGCCAGCACCGGCACTTCCTCTCTCTTATCTTGCAAAGCTGTATGCTTCATTCGCCCAGGCCTCTGACGCGTTGGCAAGCGGCGATAGCATCGCTCCCAGAACGCAGCGCATGGGGCAAATATTCAACGCCATGTCCCAAATGCCCGAGTTGGTTGGCGGCGAGGGTCGATTCTGTACTCTTCTCATGGAAGCTTTTCAGGGATCGCTGATTGGCAAAGTTGGGGCAGACGGCTGTTATGGCGTTGGAATGCGCGAATCTGAGATATCGCGAAACTTGGGAGCGGTGGGTGCTGTTGGCATCGCGGTAAAGGTTGAAGACGGCAACTTGGACATTCTCTATGCCGCAGTTGCTGAAATCTTGGAGCGGCTGAAGATTTACAATCAAGCAAGCAAAGAAAGTCTGTATGCATATCACCACCCTGAAATTAAAAACACAAAGGGCATTGTCACAGGTACTACGAAATATCACTTTAGCTTTCGGTCCACCGGCTGGGCGGTTCTGGCTTGAATAGTAATTGGAAGTACCGAAGTGGGCAATGCAGAGATTTCGCATCTCTATTCTGTTTTCTGCAAAACTCTAGTAATATATACTAAATCTTTTATACTTCTCTGGTCTTGAATAACAACCCATAATAGGTTGTTCATGGGCACGTGCTGGTTCAGTACAATCACAACCTGTATGCTTATCTTACACCGCCAATAACTGTAGGTCTTACATCTTGTATCCTCATAAAGCAAAAGCCCGTATCATCACAATTCCTATGCTCCATGTGGCAAAGTCGATTTTCGTAAATAAGTACCTACCGACATCAGCGACTGGTCCGCGCGAAGTAGGATAGAGGCGACACGCATTTTCCTGAATAGGTAGGTATTATCTGCATCGCGTCGTTTCCAAAAGGTTAAAATCGGTCATGGAGCTATATACAAATATTGTTTGTATACGAAGTAGTATTCATTGCTACACGACATATCAGGTGGTCCAGTGCGAGAAGACGGTGAGACAATGTATCCATATGAACGTTAAAGGACATTCCGGGTCTTTTTTCAAATTTAAAATTGGAATGGCTATTGAGGGGTGTTCATTACAAACATTATAGAATGAAGAAATAAAATAAAGTCTCAAAGCGTATCGATTTCTTATTATCGTATTTGCATCATTGGATGGCTGAAAAGGTTCCTAGTATGGCTTGCAACCTCGATTCCACTACAGACGGTACAGTAAGAAATTTTTGCCGTGGTAAAATCAAGGTTCCTCGGCAAGATAGCTTGGTGGACGGAATCGGTGTCTTCGGCAATGTGGGGTGCCAAACTCCGGAGTAGAAATGGACTCTAATAGTATAAATATCTCAGATAAGTGGCTATCAGTGCGATGCAAAACGCGAATTGCTCAGTAGGCCTGCTAATCAGTCAAATATCATAGATTGGCAACTTAAAATATGGCTTCATATACTGGCACTTGTAATTGTGGCTCTGTCACTGTCACACTCGCTACAGCGCCTTCCATGATATATGCGTGCCACTGGTAAGATATCCACCAATTGCTATAGTACTACGCGCTGTATACTGATGAAAATGCCAGCTTGAACTGTCGCCGTGCCGGTGGACGTATGGGTAACTTTGATTTCACTGTTTCCTACTCGACTGACAATGAAATAGCTTTCTCTATGAATTATATTCTCGGTGAAGACGAAGTGACGGTTCATGATTCCAAGAATTCAAGAAAGCAGTACGTTGATACTAATACGACATCCAAAGCCACGGTAAAGGTACGTTTCTTGTAGTTTTGTTTGGATCTGTTAACAATTTACTAATCTGTGCTCTTCAATTAGAGAACATTTTGCCAAAATTGTGGAAGGTCTGACATATCCTTGTAACAAAAGTTTACGGAAAGCAGTGCTGACTTGAAGACTATATTCACAGCCCTCTATACAGCCAGGCGGAAAAGCTGGCGGGAAAATACTTTGTAAAAGCTTCTCTATTTGATGAGATAACTATGACAAAGACAGACATTTTCCAGGATCGGCAGATCCATTGGATATAAACACTATCGCTTTGACCAGTCCTCGATTTCATGCTTTAACTATTCCAGAAGCTCCATGCGCTGGAACAACAGACATCTTTGGACCAGAGAACTTTCCTAGAGCCATGTTAAGAAGATGATGCTCTATAGTTAGCTCTGTGTACTCGAGGAAGAAGCATCTAGAAGAGCGCAGAGGTGAGGAGGCATGTCCCATTTGTCACGTCATAGTCGACCGCAGAGGTTGAGCCGGGAACTACACTATGTATCTCTTTCAAGTAGCAAACGCCATCAGATTGATGCGTCATATACTCAGAGCCTAGCTGTCTAGCTGATGCAGAAACGATTCTTTCGTTTTACCTCGAAGGGACTTTCCCAAAAACCAAAATAATATGCCAAAGCTACAGAAGAATGTGATCAAGGCCATGAGTGTCATGACAGGCGCGAGATAGCCAATCTCGAGCGTCCAGGGCGTGATAAACTTGCCGAAACCATAGCCCCACAGATTCTTGTTGCTATTATCATCATTAGCTGAAAAGAGAACAACTGAAACGTGAATGTGACTTACATAGTAATTGCAACAAAAATAGCGCCTGTGGCTGGTTTGTAGCTGTCAACGGCATAGGTTGATGCTATGCTCGGCAAACTCGTTACTTGCATTCCGAGACAAGTATACCCGACGATGACAATGACCTGCCATGACCATAGCCGACTGTAACCTACCCCAACCACGATAAGGCCAATGATCATGATCAAGGTGTAGGGGAGCATGGTGATTAGTCTCATTTCGGGCTCTCTAATACCTCGGTTGCGCTTGGTAAAATAATTTGCAACCCAGTCTGACAGTGGGCCAGACGTGAATAAGCCAATCATTTGCCCTACAAAAATCGCGAAATTGGTAAATCCGACCTGCTCAATCGAAAAATTATAAGGCGGCGCTCCAAAGAATTGTTGTTGGGTCAAGTTGGCCAGTAGGAAGCCAGATGCTGAAAACGAAACCACAAACGCGGCAAATTCGACGATGGGAAAGGCGAGTAGGTACCATGGAAGCCATAACTCTTGCAAGATGTTTCCGTGATATGAGCCCCAGGGGCTGAATTGCTTCAGAGATGGGTGTCCTCGCGATAGCCAATGATCCTGAGGTTGCTCATTGGAAGCGTTTTCTGAGTGGTCTATAACTGAACTGCCCTTTAACTCCGGCAGGTCAGCGGGTTCAGAGGGTTCCGAAACCGTTTTGGCGTGTGACTTTCGAGGAAATCGTGTTTCCGGAAGAAGCCCGATGTTGAGAAACAGGGTGAAGATAAGAAGACCCGTGTTGAACCACCAGAAGCTCCTCCACCCAAAACGTTCAGCCATACTGCCAGCTATAATGGGACCAATCTATCAAATATTAGCAATGCGTCATGTTCAACGAGTGCACGCACGAACAGCAAGAGACCCAAAGTAAATCGTAAAGTATAATGTCTGGTATTTGCCGCGGTCGTGGAGAAAGATAACGTCGGCAATTATTTGCGGCATCATACTTTCGCAAGGACCGGCGCCAAAGCCGTTGAGGCTAATCAAGGTTAGTAATTTAGCGCATATATTTATGCACTGGGGGCGAATCTTACGCAGATGCTCCGAGAAACGATTTGTAGCTGGTGGCTCGCACTCTCCAGATTGAAGAGACGGTACATACTAGGGTGCTGAAGATGAGAGCTGGCCTTCTGCCAAAGCACGTCGAAATCGGAATCCATACTAAATTACTAAAACCGAGTACCAGTATTGTCACAGCTAGAATTTGTAGTTAGTGGTGACTGCAAATTGGATGACAAGTTCTCATGGTTGGCGGAATCTCACCAGTCGTCTGAACGGCATCAGCCAAATCAATGTTCCACTCTTGCATATACAATCCTATCCAGAGAAAAACGTTAGGGTGTCAGAAAGCTATAGGCGTCATCATTTGGGATACTGACCGAAAAGAGGTGCATTCGCAAGAGGACCAAGATTTTGACTGATAGAGACAAAGCTAACGCAAAGCAAAGTCGTCCATTTCCATAGCAAAGTCCAGTTCAGAGGATCGAGGGGGTCATCGGAAGGCTGGGGAACGAGGACGCGCCCCGCTTCTTTACTATTGCTGGATTTGATGAAATGGTGGGATCCAACATCTGTCATCACCTCAGTGCCGGGATATATCGAAATGTCGAGCTCATTCTCGATGTCCTGGAGAGTGCGGTCTCCTACTATTTGGCTCATGGTGATTGAAGGCAGCAGTCGAGGCCGGCTATGCACAAAACTCAAGCTGGAGCCACATGAAAGAAATAAACAGCTCGAAGGGAGAGACTTTCTTTATATAATGGGTGGATGGCAAGGGTACATCTAACTGCGAGTAATGCACTTGGTCCACCAATCGAATTCCGAGATAGCAACACTGGGGAAGCCCCCGAGGCCGCAGATTGAGCCGGCGAAGTACATGCTCTAGATGTTTAGCCGGGCATTAAGGTGGCCAGCGACATGGGTTTTTACAACGTCCAAGTAAGCCATCCATCATTAGTTCGTCAATCGGCAATAAGGCACCGTTCTGTGCTCCATCGCCGGCCTACACCACCAATAGTCCAAGCATCATTGGTTACGCAAGCTTTGCGCTGATCCGCCCCCAGATTTACCAATCGTTAGCGCAAATTATTTTCTATCTACGCCGTAATTAGTTAGCAAGCCGACATGTTCCATTTGATGAGATATCCCCGCATTATGTGATAGCCAACTGCCGGGCATCTCTGCTGCTGGTGAATGTGAGCACGATGTCCTCCATAACTTGAAGCCCCGTTGAGGCCTGGGGCTGATGCTTCACATGTGATTATCAACAGGCACATACACTAGCTAATCAGGGGAGTTGCTGATGAAACATGATACGTCAAGTTGTGTTCGTTTTGGGCAAATGGTGTAAAGAGGAACGTCAAATTGTTAATCTCAGCTTACATCTATTTTTAGTCGAGCGTTCTTGATACATTTCACGCAATTTACTCGATAGGTGTAGAGATTGACCAGGCTCCTACAAGAATGGCATTCATGCGATGCTTGTCTTTTAGACAGTACATCTCCGGGACTCAGCTGGAGTTAGTCTATCCTTTCAAAGAGAAGAAAAGAAAAGTCTTCCGTCATCTCATATTTACGATTCGATTGTACGACGTTCTAATATTGCACAATGCCTTGTGGTGCCGCGTAATCGATTCGGGGGTACCATCTGATCAATCTCCGTGGGCCCTCTCGGCAGGCAATGTTATACACGGACAAAGGCCAAAAGCAATCTAATCAGATGCAAAAGTTAAATATATTTAGAGTTGATACAACGCTGACAACTATATTGATAAGCTAAGATCCAGATCGATCAGCTGGGAGGCCATTTTGTATACTCTTAAGACAGAGAGCCAAGACCGGATATGCGGAACGGTATACACCAGTATCGGAGATTCACATGCAAATATTGGAAAAAGATAAGTAAACAAAATATGTCAAGAGATAAGCATTCATTCCTAGTAGCTTCTAATTTCGCACGGGATACTGCTGGCGCTGCTAAGCGTAAAGCCAAATGTTGAAAAGGTATCAAACATAAAGATACTGCAATGTACAAGAACTCTTGGCGCTTTACTGAATCCTTTATGGACTTTTCTCTATTGCTCTACTGGACATCTATAGGTTTAGATGACGTTATTATTACTAATATGCTTTGTAATTTGCCACCGGTCTCCTTTATAGGCAGTTATAAACAATGTCGCAAGAGGAACTTTTACTAGAGAAACCAGTAACGTAGGGGCAGTATAATCAGCCATATCTATCTATCACAGATTTTGAGTGGCATATTATGTCTAATTAGTCCATATACAACATTGAAGCGGCTCTGGGGATCCCAAGCCATAGAGTACAAAGCCAAACTGATGCATGGCGATAGTGCCTTTGAGAAATACTTTCGAGCAATGGGCGCCGGCAAATTGTGATTTGATAGAGCATTGATGCTATATATATCCTACCGCTCTTCTCGGCTATTTCTCTACTCACTCTGATGCAGAATCCCGATGGTATTGTAACTTTGGAATCTTTTTCATTCGCACCGCCCTTGAAAACTAGCCTCGTAGTTTCAAATGTTCCTAGAAATTCCGAAGGCTTGTGGCATTGATTACGAATACTAAGATAATGTATTTGATGCTATGCCTCATTTACAAGGGTGTGATGGCGCATGCTTGCTCTTTGGTTCTTCTACGAAGGCGTACATTATTATCGCTTGCCAGGTTCATACTGGGCATAGCAGGTACAGCTGCTGTCAACTTTTCCGCACACATTACGGCCCACCAACGGAGCTTGGTAATAACACAGACATGATAAATAGAGTTTAGAAATATCACTAGCTGACGAATGGCGCAGGCTATCAACAATAGTAATGCGGCTGTGCTGTATCTACATCTTATGCTCTGATATTGGCTTCTGGAGCTCAACAGCACCCAGATTGAAAGAGCTCAGCACGCTTGAGCGGGCAATTCGACCTTTTCCCTTTTTAGGAAGATCTCATTATATGCTATGCATACTCGTGCGGTAAAAAATATTCTGATCGCAACCCTAATTGTCATCTTACAGTACTATTCTCAACTGTTCCCGTAGAACAGAGTATATTGATGACGAGTCAGGGCTGACCTGGTAAACCATTATCCGGGCCTTGCTAACAAGGGTCTACCCTTCAACAATGTTTACTAAATGCTTCCTCATTCACTACCAAATGCTAGTTCCATTTTTAGTGCCAGTTTATGTTGCCGCGATGGACTGCCGTAGCGCCTCCCCCGCAACTTCTCCGCCATACTTGTTTGTTTTCCCCAGCCAGCTCATGCTGGGCTCATAGTAGATACAGATTAATTATTAAGCAACCAATACCTACCTAGAGATGTAGCTTTAAAAAAGCCTTTTTTTTTTTTTTGCGTTACAGGAAAGCTCTTCTACCAAAATGATGCAGCTATTGCTTATAACATCTCGCTACTCCTCAACCGCAGCTGGGTCAAATCAGTAACGTCGGCAGCCTAACATCCACTGTCGACTTCATACATACACCTCCGACTGAACGGGATTAAATCCAAGTTTTACAACACTATACGTGGAGAAAGGGAAGAAACAGTGTGATACTAAGCAACCATGGTAATAGAAGGCAATATTAGCACTGCAATCAGGGATAAAAAAGATGCAGTGAGGCTTACCGACAACTTCACCAACCATAGTTTCCTGCACGATAGCTTCTGCATTTCTGTTCAGCAAGTCGGGGCCGTAGCTTGACATTATCCATGTACGTGAATGAGAGAATTTTTCCAAACCTTTTGTATATAAATATTTAATATGCAAACCGCCAGCTTGCTTTCTTCAGCGCATCTGCAACTATAACTTGCTCTCGAAAGCGGGTGATGCCACAGCACTTTCTGCCTTCTGGTATGATTGCCTGACCTCTGTCGCGCTCTGAGTTTTTATATTACGCTGCTCGCTCTCCGCAACCACTTGCAGGAATGCGTTTTCAACGTCATGTTCGGATAACCACAAAAGATCAGGTCTGCTCGTCATTCTAGTTCTGAGAGCTTCATCTTCCTCTTCCGGCGTCGCAAAAGTTGGAGCTTTACGATTCATCAGGCTGTGAACAATGCTCAATAAGCGTGCCGTGTGAGGTCTTCGCGTTTGGTCATAGAGTGTCAATGCCTGCTGAATATTTTCCGGAGAAAATGACGAGCTGCCAGAGCCAAAAGCATGCTTAAAGGCCAGGCCAAGAGCACGAGAGTCATCGAGAGCCAGCGAACCACCCGCGGCAAACGAGCCTCCGTGGGTGTGCGCCGCATCGCCTACCAGAGTGACTCGTGAAGCTGGTATCCACGTCTGGAGGGACTCGCCCGCATAATTGGGGTAGAGGCGAGCGTGGGGCGTCAGCTCTGTTAGAGCTTTAATAACTGGATGCCAGTCCTGTTGAAATGTTAGCTGAGGAAACTACCAATGTCAAGAAAGAATTCTTACCTTGTATTTTTCTCTTAAGAACTGGACATTGCCGACTTGGTCCCACGTAATAGCCTTTTCCAACTCTTCAGCACTGCGCCCGTCGTCGTATGCACCAACAACGGTATATTGTCCCTTGCCTTTCTTCGGTCAGTATACTTCGCATAGTTACATTTAGGAATGTTGGGCATGAAAATACCAAGTTTAGAAGAAAAGAATGAGTCCTTGGTTCCCCACTAATAGGTTGTTAGCAGATTCAACGTCAAGGCGAGATGGGTCAGCTAACCCAGTGAGCAGCGTCAGCTGGCAAGTCGGGAATTTTGCCCTCCACTAGGGATGCATCAAATGTAGATCTCATAAAAACCTTTCCGCTGAATCTCAGCTTATAGTCAGGAAAAAAAGACGCTCTGACTTGCTGGTGCTGATATTAGCATTTTACAACTGAATATAGATTGAAAATAGGAACTCACTGATCGAATTCCATCTGCCCCTATCAAAATGTCTCCGTGGGCACTAGAACCATCCTCAAAATAGAGCACCACACCATCATCATTACTTTCAGCACGAGATATCTTCTTATTTAGATGAATGCGTTCTTTGGGGACATGTTTAGCCAAGGCGGCGTGGATATGTCCCCTGTGGAATCTCGCCGTCTGGTGGCGAGGGTCAGGAACGTTGCCAAAAGTATCTACTGATACTACCTGGTTTGTCTTCCAATGTCTTTTGTCATACTATTAGCGAGCCTCACAACTTGCAGCGCCATATTAAGAGATACTGCACCTATATATCTGAGGTATGCCGCTTGGTCCTCTGAACCCGAGCTCGTTGCCCAAAGCCTCGTCAATGCCAAGTTTTTCCAGCGTCCGCAAGCCCTACATCTCATAAATCAGCAAAATATAGACAAAAATAAACGAATTTCACAGGCCCCATGAGGCTTACATTAGGACTGAGAGCAATGCTGGCTCCAATTTCTCGCAGCTCTGCGGCTTGCTCATACAGCTGGATGTCTAGATTTGCAATCTCAGATATGCGTGTGAGTGATATAGCGGTTGCCAGCCCCGCAATACCAGCGCCTGCAATTATAATGCGGAGGCGCTCTTCAGTGTTTGCCATTTTTGCAACCTTTGCCGTTTTGTTTCTGTCTTGAAAAGGTAGTGAAGATTGGGATTCGATGAAATACCTTGTCAGCCACACGCAAACCTGGCGCACTATTTTATATCCGGCAGAGAGTTAGCCTAATTAAGCTCATGATCCCACCACATCTTGCGAATTTCTAATCTGCAATCGAGAAATGCTGAGATAGACTGATTTTCGGGATGGACTATGGAAGCAAAGGTAGAAAGATATGTAAGAGTTTAACCGGAAGTGGGTTGATACGTTAATATTGAGAGGTATGATAGGTCTAGCACAAGCACGTCAACACCACGACCATGACGCAAGGCCACTAGATTAGATAACATGGCAGCGGCATTGGTACGAGGTTTGCGACTTCGGTCAACGAAAGACATCTTGCGCCCTCTCTCCGGTTTTGATGTGGGAATAATTCAGTAGGTAAGTTTCTGCAGTTCGGTAGTGTAAGTAAACTCCATATCATGCTGATTGTAGGCGCGTTTTGCATTGCGGTCCCGGTCTCCTTTGGGAAAGGGTAGACATCGATCTTTAGTGATGACGATCGACACCATTACAATTGCGCCATGTCTTAGAATACGGGGCCATACGTTAATAATCACATGAAGAGCGCATTCAAGTTGAGTATTATATAGAAGATTCGGTTCATATGCTGGTTATTGTCACTTTATTAAACATTCTCAACAAATATGTCGTTAAAAGTTGCATATGAGGAAACAACACACTCGCAACCAGACTCCCAGGATGCGGGTAGTTCTGCCGGACCTACGCTCAAATTATCCGATCGCTTAGCTGATGAGAGCTACAAGCTCTTTTCAAAGGTGCAAGTATCAGATCCAACGCCAGAAGAAGCCCGGAAAATTCGCAACAAATGCCTATGGAGAATACTTCCATTTCTTTGCATCGGATATCATCTGATGTATGTTGATAAACAAACAGTATGTTGGTGATATCTAAATGTTCGACGAGAGGCTGCTAATATACAGGACGATTATTTGTATAGCTAGGAAGCTCAGCCATATTAGGCATCCTTGAAGATGCACATTTGAACGCGAGCCAATATAATTGGCTCTCTTCAATATTTTATTTCGGCTACATGGTAGCTGAATGGCCACAGAATTGGGCTCTTCAACGTTTCCCTGTTGGAAAATGGTTAGCTGGGAATCTCATAGTATGGTATGTAGAGCAAAGTTTTCTTCATCGAGAGCTCATACACAAGCTGTGATATTGACTTTTATAGGGGTGGTATAACGTTACTACATATTCCTTGTAATAACTTTGCGTCGCTCTTCGTCGTCCGCTTCCTACTGGGGTTGAGCGAAGCTTGTATAGTTCCTGCGTTTTTGCTCTCCATGTCCATGTTTTTCACATATCAGGAACAAGCCATCATGATGTCAGTCATGTGGTCCATTGGCAATTCCAGTCCAATCACTTCTGGCTTTCTCTCATATGGCGTCTTATGGATCAAGACCGGGTCATTTCACCCTTGGAAATGGCTTATGGGTACGTATACTCTACTTGACATGTTGAAAACAAGCTGCTAATCTTACATTGATAGTCATTACTGGTGTTTTGACCATCATTTTCGGCATTTTGGTGTATCTGTTCTTTCCTGACAGCCCACTTCACGCGAAATTCCTCACATACGAAGAACGGGCTCAAGCAGTTTTGAGGATAAAGGAGAACAATTCTGGTATTGAGAATAAGCACTTCAAAAAGCATCAGTGAGCAAATCATATTGCTTCAATTTTTCAGTTATTGACCTTTCCGTCATAGATTCATCGAAGCAGTGAAGGATCCCAAGACATGGCTGTTTGCCTTGCATGCACTCTCTCAAGAGATGGGCAACGGAATTAACAACCAGACATCGTTAATTATTAACTCGTTTGGGTTTACTGTTTTCCAGACAACGCTACTTAGCACTGTATCTGGCGTCATAGCCTTTTTCACGCTCTCGGCAGCTGCGATTACATCATACAAAACTCGGGTAGGTTGCTGATAATAATCTTTGGCGCTTCATTCTAACAACTTATCTAGAACGCCCGAGCTTGGATATCACTTGTGGCATACATACCTGCCGTGATTTCCAGCATTCTTCTGTTGGGTGAGTACTCTATCTTGAAAGTTCTGTGAAATGACTCTTACCATCTTAATGCAAAGCTTTGCCATGGTCCAATCGCTGGGGTCTCATAGTGGGCGTTTGGTTGCGGTATACAACTGGCGTACCGTATGCCGTTGTCATGATATGGGCCGCCAATGCTTCCGCTGGTCATACAAAGAAGACGACCGTCATTGCTCTCTATCATATCGGGTACGGATTGGGAAATATTATTTCGCCTCAGCTGTTTGAGCCTCGATGGAAACCTCGATATAAACCCACGTGGATCATTTTATTGATCGTAAGTAGGACTACGCCCATGCCACCTTTATATCCGCTAATGCTTACCAGTTCTCTGCGATTCTTCCTTCAATCGTTATCGGCATCCTTCGAGTGTACTTATCGCGTGAGAATAAACGTCGTGACAAGCTCGAAGCGGAAAACGTTGTTGCCAGAAACGGATTTGTGGAAACTATAACTACTGACGGAAGCAAAGTTGTCCATGAAGTAGATACTAATCAGCTGGATTTGACGGACAGAGAAAATCTCAAATTGTAAGTAAAACCGAGATACCCTGAAGTCATACATTGATGTTAACGATATATAGTCGATACGTTCTTTAAATATGCCCAAATCCTAACAGATAACAAATCTACCTCATTTATTAGACTTTGAATATACTATTTGGCAATATTCCCGCTTTTGCATTCCTCTTGATGAATTGCCATTGCTTGACACCTTCATCCCTTGTCTGTGGCTGCATGCAATTGGTTGCCTGTCCGAATAGATGAAGACAGGCGTTTGTAAGCTGCCGCGATGGTACGTGGTTACCTCACAAGGTACAATTAGTAAGAAGATGAATATACTAAGACACGTTACTATTGATTACTCTCCAATTATTTGATTCATAACGCATGGATGGTCCATTTAATATCTAGAATTGTAGGCCTTGGTGATTTAATTCGGAACGGAAATGGCAGTGGTCGCTCCTAAATTTAGGTAGCCTACGATAGGATGCTCGTACTGTGGCATTTGTAAGGGCTGGGGGCTCATAGACATTGGTCAATGTACATTAATATAGTTACCATAGTCGGTGCCATGGTAAAGGGGGAAATATATACATGTATGTTTGAAGGTGGGGCGATTAAACCCCCAAGGGAGAAGAGATTGTCCATATTTAGGTTGTTCCCAGCCACTGATATTGGTGACCTGCACCCATATAAACGTATGTGCGCTCATTTAGTAAACGTCTCCACTGCTCTCACAATAAATTCAGCCGTTTCTTTTGGTTTGCTGAGCATTGGTGAGTGGCTGGTATGGATTTGTTCAACAACGACTTCCCCTCCTTGATCTTTGGCGTGTTGAGCAATACCCAATTGAACCTCGGTAGGGAAAGTCCTGTCATCTGTCGTAATCAAATATCGGGTTGGAACATCCTTCCAGCCTGAGTAGACGCGCTCTCCACTATCTGTGAGAGATTTCAATGAGTGGTTTAAAAGTCGGCCAACCCAGTAGTTGCCTTCCTCTTCCGGGAGATCGTGATAGAACAACTCTCTTGTGTCAACAATAAGTGTGGCGTATCCTTTCTCCGTATCTGCTTTCCAAAAGGGCGGCGGGTTTCCCCCGATACCTTCAAGAAAGCCAATGCCTGTCATACAGTAGCCAGTCGCCATCATAGCAATGCCAATGACACGTCCAGGCCTTTCACTTGTAACTTTAGTCAGACCTTTGACAGCACTTGGGCCCACCATTCCACCGTACGAGTGAACCACAACGACAACATCTCGTCCTTGCGATGTTTCAGCTAAAATAGCCTTTCTTGCTTCATCAATGTCGTCGGCTATGCCCTTGCTTGGATCGGAAAGAGTTGTAGGGAGAGTGATGCAAATTGTCTTGTAGCCTTGAGGTTCCAATTCGGCAGTGACTTTGCCCCATGTATCAGGGCTGTGCCATGCACCAGGCACGAACACGAGAGTAGGCTTCGAAGACATGATTGGGTTGATATAGAAACTGAAGAACTTTCTGGCTTTCTAGAAAGAAGAAGAGATTGCAGGTTTATAATGAGACGACTTTGGTGCTATTTGAATCATGTTTGAGGGCAGCATGTCCAGCTTTTATAGAGACATGACTCAGTGCCGGATAATGCTCATATAGCCTTAGCATCCGAGTCTTTTTCGTATTTGTTGACATTTTACTATCTCCTAAACTGGGTCCATCTTGAGACAAGGAGAATACTTCTGCTGATCCATAATTCTGTGCAGTTTCCGATTGGGGTAGGCACAAGTCCGTATCTGGTAATCTGACTTCTCTGCTTGCAAAACTTACTTTTTAAGCTAATTAATACTTTTCTAGTCGCTAATTAGAATGGAAACTTGACAGTGGCATGCCAACTCTAATACAACTAGACTTTCAGTCTTAAGTCATGGTTCTCGCTACATGAGGTGTTAAATAGACTACCCGTTAATCTAACTGCCAGTGGCCAACTACCTACTTAGGAGTAAATCGTAAGCAGTGCTAAAATTAAAAAACCTGTTGCCCAGGCAGTCGCAGTCCGAGCAACTCCGACAGCGATTGCATTTTAGCCATTTTTAGCGAATAGGTCGTCGCAGATTGAAGTTTTCCAGGTCGCACTTCGGACATCTTTCGTGGCCGTAGCGTTGCTGACCACTGAGTCATGCAAATCGGTAGGCATTCATCACATTTAAAAGGCACGTAGAGGAATAAATACTAATCTTTCCCCTTTTATCTGGCAATTCCAGATCTCTCATTCGTGGAACATTTATGTTTGCAATGCCACAAAGCGCTCATTGTTTTACATATCTACGTGCGTCCATCCGCCCTGGCCAACGTTGGTTATTTAATGCTTGCTTTCAACGTGAAGAGATTCGGCAGTGCCTCGCGCCCCATTTATCTATACGCGTTATAATCGCGCATTATTGTTAAAGGTTTTCTACTTCTCTTGCAATTTTAATGGTTATGCGAAACTTCTGCTGTCCCAATATCTCAATTGACAGGCTATAGGTCTTGTGACTTCATAATTCCTTTTTCGTACTAAAACTTAGATCTCATCATCTTGGTTTTCAGTCTCATCCCTACCAGCACTTACACTTATCGCATATTTAGTATGCCTCCCCTTGTCAATTATATAGGCAGCCAATCTGCACCCCAACGCCCTCTCTATTGGAAAGCCATCAACTTCACTCAAGACCAGATTGAGATTAGAAGGGAAAATGTATATTTCGCCTGAAGTAATCGAGATTGGCATGGCTAGGTAGGACAGGAGCTTTTGAAGAAATCAAAATTCGGCGTCGGCAGGCTCAATTCGCAAGCTCTGGTCAATACAGTGGTTCCGGGTAGGCTAAGGCTGACCAGAAACAAATAAATACCTAAAGACATGTGATGACCGAGTTGGCAAAGGCCGTTTGGCCAATAGCCGAGTCACGCATTGTCCATTTGAGTTCAAGGTCTATAATAAAAAATTCGGAGACAAAAACTCTTTTGCAACCCGGACATCAATCACGACTATGCTATGCGCTGTTGAATATTCTAGCTAGCGCAAATCTCCATCGGCAGGCCAAAAGCAGGCGCTGTATCCACCAACTAAGGCTGATAGTAACTATTCACTCTCAAGCCGATATTCATACGGATTCCGAATGCTACAGTATGTTGTAGTGCGAGGTATTATTGCAATGACAAAGTATAGTATAGGTAAGCCCAGCCAAGAACGGCAGTTCGACTTTACTGCTAAGTCGATAGATACAAGCCAAAGTTAACTTGATCCACCAGAAATGTCACGAGACCCATCATACGATCGTTACATTTCAATATGGACCTATGTTGCAGTGTTTTCCATGTCCCATAAAGCTCCCCACGCAAGCAATGCCGACTCGCCATCCAAGCATCGAAAGTTCCTAAGCACTACTCCGGATGGAGTGAGGCACATCACAGCACATATATGTGTATTTAAACAACGTCCAAGCCTTCACTCTTCGGGCGACTAGACTTTAAAGCGTGTCGGATATCCAGCCCGCGAATATTCTGCGGAGAGAGTCTCGCCCATTAACATAGGCACTCCGAAGGATGCACCGAGCAATCGTCCGCGGCCTCCCCACAACCCCAGCTTCCCCAGATTCCGGTCAAGTGGTTCGTAATGAGGAGTTCTAACTCCACATGAATTCAACCGCGGAACTGAGGGCGTGACGATGTGTCTAGAATCTCAATGCTCGGCTTACTTGCCGGGCTATTAATTTGGCTATTGAAAAAAATAACCCTCGGATAAAAGCCGTGTACCTAGTTCCTGGAGACAGCTTACTGCAGAGCACTCTAAGTTTTGGGCCCTTGTGCCCGGAAAATTCACCGCAAGCACAGCGTCTTCTGCCGAGCCGATAATATGAAGGTCGAACGATGGGAGGAGCTGACTTCAAAAGTTCACAGAAATGGATACGTATATATAGGGGCCCTTGGCGTCTTCATGACTGTGACACTTTTTCGTCGAGCAGCAGACAACCAAGAAGCTCGTGGGTTCAAAGCTGTTTCTTAGCACAATGGCCCCTGCGACCACATTTATTGCCTCGCTGGCAGGGCTCCTCCTGTTTCGCCCTGTAGCCGCTCAAACTTCATGTGGTGGTAATCTCTATACCCCCGGAACTCTCAACTTCACTCTGGAATGCTACAATGCGTTTATGGACTGCGCCGCAAAGTTCGAGGCCAACGCGAGCTTGGTGAACTGCGACGATGGCAATGGAAATCTGTTCATGCAGCAGCAGGCCAACTTGGGGGCTGCCGCGGGGAGCCAGAACAACGACGCCGTCATTGCGTTCCAAGACATTCGCGAGCTTTGCCTGCTTAGTGGCACGACAACTGCGACGTGGGGCTACAGCGACAACCAGTGGTATTGGGCAGCAGCCGAGGATGCTTGCTACACCAATGACCCCAGCCGCACCGACGTTGTCAAGACTCATCCGGCGCCATTCTGTATCCAGAACCGTGATTCTCCTCTGTCAGAATGCTACCCGGAGCCGGATGTTACTTCTGGCGGTCCTTTGAAAGTCATCAAGACTGCAAAGACAGCTAATGGATTCAAATCCTCTGCCCGAGGCTGGAATACATACGGAGTCCAGGCATTGCAGAATGGCTCTGCGGTAGTGCCGTCTTTTGCTGGGCAGTCTGGCTTGTACTACACTCAAAAATTCGTCGAGACCCAGTGCGGTGTGCTTGCCCGACCCGAGTTTAAGGCTGCCGGATACGACCTTTGCAGCCTTGACTCTGGCTGGCAAGCTTTTAGCGCTGTTGATAACCATGGCCGTATCATCTACAACTCTACACGTTTCAACCTCCCACAGTTAGGGTCGTGGCTCCACAGCAGAGGCCTAAAGCTGGGAGTCTACATTACGCCCGGAGTTCCGTGTGTTGCTCACAACCAGACGATCCTAGGCACCAACATCAAAGTCGCCGATGTCTTGAACGGCAACAATGACCAGGTCAACTGCGACTTTGACTTCAGCAAGGACGGTGTCCAGCAGTGGCATGACTCGGTTATCGAGCAGTGGGCGTCATGGGGCGTTGATATGCTTAAACTCGACTTTGTGACTCCTGGCAGCCCCTCCAACGGCGCCAATCTTGCGTGCGACAGCTCGGATGCTGTGCGCGCCTACCAGAAGGCTATTAAGAAGTCAGGGAAGAACATTCGCCTTGATGTTTCATGGAAGCTCTGCCGGAACGAGACATGGCTGCCAGTCTGGAGCGGCCTCGCTGAGTCTATGCGAACAGACCAGGACTTGGACAATTACGGCACAAACACATTGATGGCGTGGCAGGTTGGCCAGCGCGCAATTGAAAACTATCGACAATACATCGGTCTTCAGGCACAGCGAAATGTCCCAATTACGATATATCCCGACATGGACGCATTATTCACAGTCAATCCAGAGCATCTCGCAGGCGTCAATGATTCGATTAGAACGACGGTTATGAACCATTGGCTGGGAGCAGCCGCTAATCTGGTCATCGGCGGCGACATGCAGCAAGTCGATGCACTGGGTCTTAAGCTGACCACCAGCAGCCAATCTATTGCTGCTGCAAATTTCTTTGCGCAATACCCGATGCAGCCCCGCAACCCTGGCAGCGGAAGCAATGCTCCAAAGCAGCTCCAAGCCTGGATTGGAGGCCCATCAGACAACCACAAAGAGGCTTATGTGCTCATTGTAAACTATGGACCAGACCAGGGCTACGGAGGTTTTGGAACCCAGCTTTACGCTTCTCAGAAGGTGACTGTATCTTTGAAGGATCTGGGCATCTCTGGGTCAACTTGGACTTTTACAGACATCTGGAAGGGTAACTCCACCCGAGTGTCACAATCATACTCTGCTTGGCTCACAGAGGGAGAGTCACAGCTGTTGCGCTTATCGAGGGTTTACTAGAAGTTAAGCATGATGCAGTTTTCTATAAAGCTTTAGACAATACGTAATCACAAATTTGAACAATTGGCAGAAAGGAAAATTGACCAGCGATATCATGAGTGACACTAAGAAGCTTTGTATAGTACGAGATGGATAATTTCTACGATACGTAGCTATCTAGCCTGATGCTTGGTACCATTCACAAAAGCTAGAGCACGTATCTAAACATTGGCCCATAATTCTCCACGGCCTGATCCTGAACAGTTGATTCCCCTCTTTCTCGGGCTTCCACAAGCCTCGCCTTCTGTTCCTCTATTGTGCCATATTTCTGGTCCAGCTTCTTGTTCTCTCGGGCAAGGAGGATACGTAGGCCTATTACCAGTAGCGTGGTGAAGAACATGAACGCGGCACAAACCGACTGCCCCTTTACGTAGAAAGGTCCTTCATTGGTTGGGTATAATCGCGTGCCGAGCAATGGACCACATTGTCCGATGACATTGAGAAGAACAATGCCTGCCCCTCGACGCGTATCGCTTCCTTGGTTGTCTAGGGCACATTAGCTGAAAGAAACGGGACGAAACGCTATATGTTAGGGATCACCTACTTAAAACCCATGGCAAAATATTGGCAATGGAGGGAAAGATGCCCCCAGCAGCCATAAATACACCAAAGTAGCGTGCTCCAACAGATTTTGCAGTTGCCAGGATAACGTATCCTACGCCCCCAATTATTGTGAGGAAAATCAGCATGATGCCACGCTGCTGAGTTCTATCGGCGATGTAGGGCGTAACAAGAGTAACGAGAAAAGAGAGGAAGAAGGGAGGCGCCGTCAAGCCTTGGGCATCCACGGCAGAAAACCCCATTTCCGAGAGAATCGTTGGCAGAAAGACGGGGAGAGAGGCGAAGCTGACATTGCAGCTGAAGTACATGAGCTGTAGGAAGTGTCAGCACAGACTCCTGTCAATTACCAGAAATATCTTCTTACACCTGTAAACCAAGCCTTCACGTCGGTTAGTCCTCTCAAGAAATCCATCCAATCAACGTTGCCAATTCTTTCTGCAGAGCCAGCTTGTCGGACGCTTCGTGCCATAGCAACTCTCTTCTCGTCTTCGTCCAAAAACTTGGCTTTCTCAGGAGAATCGGGAAGATAAAAGTACGCAACAGCTGCCATTACGATGGTTGGTAGGCCTTCAACTAGGAACAGTACTCTCCATTTTGCGATGGAAGGATGTCCTGAAGTGATTCCGTACGCCAGAGCACCTGCAAACGTGTTTGCAAGAGGAGCAGCAGAGAGAAATACTCCGCAGCGGAAGCCAACTTCGTGACGCAGATAGAAGAAGGAGAGCAAGAATGGTATTCCAGGCCCGTAACCAGCCTCCGCAGCTCCCATCAGAAATCGTAGAGCCATCTCTCCTCCCCAGGATTGAGTGACTGCTTGAAGGGTTGCTACGAGACCCCTATCGCCATTCGTGTTAGCATTGTCTGAAGGCTCTGTCTGCTCAAGCAGGATCCATACCATATAAAAACAACGATGGTAGCCCAGATGTGTGGCGGCACAATTTTCCACATGATACCAAGGAACTCAAAGATAATGTATGGAATATAAAATATTGTGAGCAGCCAGTCGTAACGATCCCCAACTAGATTGAGATCTTGGCTCATGCCGGCAATACGGGCATTCCTGTCACATTTCCTTTAGAACACAGTCTTGCATATACTTCATTAGGAAAAAGACATACCCAACATTGGATCGATCAAGAAATGCGAGGAGATCTAGCCAAGATCGTTAGCTGCATGTGGTGGTAGAGGTGCAATGCAACGTACAGAGAGCCATCACTAAGGGAACGAGGTTCCTGTCCGTTTTTCGGACAACGCGTCGCTCCAACTCGGCGTCGATAACGTGCTGGTCGACGGCATTTTCATTTTGTATAGGTGAAAGCCCTTTTTCAACATTACCCGCTTCTATGACCTGATCCACGCCTTGAGGCTGCGACGGCTGTGCCTTTGACTTGAAGAGCTGCATTGTCTTTTTTATGAATGCCAACAAGGATGACGTGGAATATTTTCACCAGCAAAGCGTCACGAAACCCCAGATTTTATGGGAATCTCTGTTTGCGGGGTTGGGTCTTAGACATGGGTAGGGGCGATCGTCAACTCCATTCTAACTCCGGATTCTGGATGCCGATCCCTGCGATTTATGGCCACTGGTGCTCAATGAGGAGAAGTACAGGAGTCAGTATCGGGACTTGAGTGCCGATATAGGCGACTTTTAGCCCAAATGCTCATCAAGCGGGCACCTGCAGGTTACCACGTGTAGGTGTTGTTCAATCCCAGCGCGTGAAATGGCCTGTTGTCTCTCGCTATTCCCTGCATAGTTGCCTAGGTAGCCAAGGTAGCCATAGTAGTAACATGAGGATCGGTTACATACAACCCCACCTAACAGTATACAAAGCAAACATTCGAATCCGTAGAGCCGTGCCATCTTAACATTTGGGATTGATTCATACAAGTTCGGGGGTCGTGTAGCGTGGGATATCCTTACTATTGTGCATTCCCCTAAGCCATTCAGAAAAGAGGCATAATGCAACTGGAACATTGGCGGGTTCTATTATGCTCCTACATCGGGCGAAGAGATTATCTTTTTTGTACAACCAAGAGATTCCCATCACTGTTTTCTGCAGACTCTCCTTCACCCTGCGCTTCACCCATTCCCCCCTGTTGACATAACTTCATAAGTTTAGCCAAATGCACGAGGAATGACTTGCTTAACAAAATAAGTCAGCTTGTTTCTTCCAAAACGCGGCATGCCAATAACATACATCAAGCTTTGATCATGCCATCAAGACTCAGCAGAAGCAAATCAGGAAAAGCATCAAAAGTTAGGCAGTTTAGCGACAATAGTTCTGTGGAGAAGGTTCGGCGAAAAATCGCCGGGGCCCACCCCTCTCTTTCGCAAAACCTCCAAGACGCCTACTATGTGCTTTTGTTTTTGTCTTTTTATCGTCCTTGGCTGACGATAGCAGAGCACTCTTTACAAACAAATGAACAATCTCAATAACAGGCAAATTTCAAATCCTCTAGCGGCCCTACCCATATGCAGCCGCTGGCTTAGGCCACAGCCAGTCTCACTACATGGCGACTAACACCGTAAGGGCGTGCGTTCGCTGCCACCGTAAGAAAACAAAGGTAGGATAAAGCACTTCTGGAGAAAGAAAACAGCGGGAATGAATAATATGAGGATACTAATAAAAAACAGTGCTCTGGCTACCCAGATTGCCTGGCATGCGGGAAGGCAAGAACTCATTGCGAACCGTACACGAGGTATAAGAAAAGCGATAGTTTAGCGTATGGAAAACTACTTGTTCGCTTTGAACGAATTCGATCGCTGACTGATAAAAGGGAACTCAAATATTTTCGGCAGAGGGCTTCTTGGCTTGAAGATGAGATTTTTCGAAATTTCCGCATCCAATGCAAGGATGTGCCAACTGGAAGTTGTCTCAAGTCAGAAGGCGGTGATTTTACCGAAAGGCCGACACCAAGCCCAGGAATTATTTCACCAAGCACCCAGTCGCATGAACAAGGCCCTTCGACGCCAGCGGGCAATGCCGCAGATATAGGCATGTTGGCTTTGAATGCTACTGGAGAAATGAAATACCTGGGTCCTTCAAGCGGCGCCTTCTTTGCTGCATACGCCAGTGCGCTCGCGAGGTCTTGTCTCTCTACGAAGAATTTTGGAAACATCTTACTCAGTTCCCAGCAAGGTGAAGCTAGTAGAGCAAAAGCACATATTTCAGCCAATAGTCTGAGCACTCTCTCGTCTCATGACATCAATCTCTTTCTCATCTCATATAAGATGTGGATACTGCCTCTCTATCCTGTACTGAATTCTGATGACCTAGATATGCTCATAAAGACATATGCTGAAGAGACTGGCAAGGATGATTCCCAGATGCGCCAAGGCAATTCCGAAAAGGATATACAGCTGATGGTATTTTACATGGTCATGGCGCTTGGGGCAGTTAATGCTGCGAATACAATTCAGCAAATTCGCAAACAGTCTCGCCGCAAAGATTTACTAGGCTTCGAAGCTTCAGGGCCATCGCCGATATCTCTTTGCACACGAGCTTTGCAGTTGTATGACTACAACTCTCATATCTTGCATCCGAGCGTTGGCCTCATTCAAGTATTCGCCTTGATTGCAATTTATAGCTCTTTTGGACCGATCGGATCGAGCCAATGGCAGCTAGCTGGCTTTGCAATGAGGGTATTGCTGACTCTTCCTTTCCTGTTTCAGAGCTAGTATTGTTGCTGACATTGTGTAGATGGCTGTAGAAATAGGTTTGCATTGCACTGACGAGGTTTCTGACGCCCCAGATGGGGCAAAAGATCAACGCAATCGTGTCTTCTGGACCATATACGCGATCGAGATTAGTCTCGCTTATAATCTTGGGCGCCCTCCGTCGATAGCAGAAGACCATATTGCTAGTGCGTTACCAAAATCGACAAATGAGAATTTGACCAGCCTGCATTATGTGCGGCATCGACAACTACAAAGTCGAATCGTGACTCAGATCTATGGCATCAATAGCAGTACTCGAAACATGTCAGTCGATAAAAAGGAACTCTTGATCTTGGACTTACAAAGAGAGCTTGATGAGTGGCAAGCCAATATACCAACCAACTCTCGGGACGATGAACAATACCCGTATAGGTTCGTAATAATAACCTCGCCGAAGATGCTTCATATATGCTAACTCAAACCAAAGCTACTGGAATCGTCTCTATCATGGAACAACATTTGTCTTGCACCGAAAAAGTCCGCTCTGCCCCCGTCCCTCTTCTCAGTCTCTAGAGCGATGTATTAGATCCGCTGGAAGCTATATCGACGACGTCATAAAACTCCTTCGCTTTAGCAATATACCCCTATCTTGGATGTTGGTTCAGGGTGTCTTATTTGCCGGCTTAACGATGCTCATAACAGCTAGAACTAGTCTGTACCAGTTAATATCACATGTTGAGGTATCCTTCTTACTGGTTGACCTTCAGTCTTGGATCAGAAATTGCTCCATCTGTCTCACGATTATGAATGAACGCCTGCAAGAAGAATTGTTGTCGAAATTGAATTCTCAATATGAGCTACTGGCAAATGATACTCTCAGACTAATATCTTCAATTATAACCTCACAGCCCGCAAGCAGTTGCACTGAAAGCTCTGCATTTGGAACAAATATGGACAATGGCCTGGAGCTGGATCAAGGCCTTGACATTGACACACCATATGCTAATATGAACTTTGGGGAAGAATATGATTACTTCGACATGTTCAAAAACTTTATGGGTCAAGACCTAACACAAACCTTTTGGAACATATTTCCACACGACATGAACTTGGCACCTGATACAGATCTAGACGAGATATCCGCTAATATACCTAGGTAGTTCAAAAGAGTCTATATAGTGAGTTCGTTCTCTTCTTCTTCTCTCAAAGTTGTGAGATAGTGTGAGCTAATTATATGTGATTATAACAGTACACGAATACTAAATAATTCTCGTATTCCATATTTATGGCGCTAATCGAAGCTTTGCCGCGGCATTTTGGATGGCCTGAATAGCTTCGTCTAGCAAAGGCAGCTTGAGATTGTTATTCGCGTCCAAAGCCAAATCGAGAATGCGATATCCATCTTGGTATCTTTCACTCTGATCCCGGAAATATAGGTAGCTTGTGGCCATCCGCAGACGATACCGACCACCAATAGGCCCGGCATCGTCCTCGCCAAATGCCGAACCTGGAAGGGCTGCGACACCACACTCTTCAATAAGCCAGCGGGATAGCTCTTGGCTGTTCCGAATGCCGCGAGCTTTAAGCTGCTTGGAATACGGATGAAAGGATGGATAAACGTAAAAGGCACCTTTTGGCTCTGAAACTGCGAGGCCGCATTGACGCAAAGCATGATACAGCGCCAAGGTGCATCGCTTGTGCAATAACACAACCTGGCTGCGATACAGATCCATTTCTGGACTGGTATCAAACGCTACCGCGGCGGCTTTTTGGGCGGGGGCTGAAGCCGTAGACCAGCATTCAGACGCATATGCCAAGACTGCCGATTGTACTCTCTCTCCGAAGTCGTTTGCAGGAAAGATGGCATAGCCAACCCTCCATCCTCCGGCGGAATATGTCTATGATAAAAAATTTAATGGTTAGTGAATTAGGTTATAAGAAATAAAAAATATGTACCTTTGAAAGCCCACCAGTCAGAATTTTCTGGCCGACGTTGAATTGCGAGCCTGAGCACGGAGTTGCGCTGGTTTCTTCGGAGAAGCTGATATCGGAATAAATCTCATCGCTAATGAGAGTAATATCGTGGCTTTTGCAAAAGGTGCTGATAATCTCTATATCACTTGTGTTGAAAGCTTGACCAGTGGGATTGGAAGGGCTATTTATGAGCATTATTCGAGGATTACCACCTTGTTCAACTGCGCGTGAAAATGCTGATTGCAGAGAACTTTCTGTAGAAGCTATTAGCGGGGTAGCCTGCAAATCATGAGCTTGCATCTTCATACCTGTGATAGTATGGCGATCTTCTTCATCCGTTTCCACCCAAAAGATCTTTTTTCCTGCATGGGTAATTTGAGGCTCGTAACTGACCCAAGATGGCCGCGGGAGCAGAACGTCCCCTTGAAGAAGATCGAAAAGCGCGAAGAGCAATGGCTTGGATCCTGGAGCCACAACAACTTGGCTTGGTTGGATATTATTCTTGAGACGTCGAGATTGGAATTTGGCAATAGCCTGCCTCAGACGTCAGTATCAACCGTGAAATTTGTATTAGATATCGGAATACCAACTTGTCGCAGTTCGGCCATTCCTGCAACTGGAAGATAGCTGGTGATATTGCTGGCTTCCCTATGAGCCGCAGCTACATCCTTTTGGATAGGAAAGGTAGCTTCGCCAAATCCCAGGTGCACAACTTTGTAGCCTTTGGCTGTGCGCTGCTGAACAAGCTCATTTATTTCCAAAGTAGCGGAAAGACGCATTTGCTTTGCCAGCGCAGTCAAGACGCCGGAATCAATCTCTTTAGATTCCATTTTAAATGACTTTTCAGAGTGATATAAAGAAACTGAACGATTAAAAAATTATTGCCGGGAAACCGATGTATTAAATACTCAATTCTTCTCATAGTTTTCATACATTCGGCGACATGCGCCGAAGAGGCGCGGCGAAAGCAAAGGCCGGCGAAACGGCGCCGCTGGCCGCTTGGACTCGGAGCGTCTATCCGAATCATATTTTCATGATGCCTTCATATATAGGAAACAAGTTCAAAGAGGTCATGAGTAAGCTTCTTCATATTGAAAGTACCACCAAGATACTAAGCCGCTAATATGAGTCCTATTGGAGTAGATATGTTGAAACTGGATGGCTGTCGGATTCCTCTTCTGCGAACCACTCGCGCCCCGAAATACGGGCGAGTACATTGTCGAAGATATGGCAAGGGATACAGCAATTCCTTTTCTTAACTTCTCTTCTGGGATGATGACTGCAATTTTGACAGCTCATGGCATTCTTCATCTAATATCAATTTCATAGGTTGACGAAATTGGGCGGACGATTAAGCAGGAACTGCAAGTAGAATTCAGCTCTGACAGACATTCCTAATCGTAAATAAAGCTTTCATATGTACATTGCAGCTCCTCGGCTTCTTAGCCTCTACCAAAACGGATGTGCCAAGAAGTAGTATTAATCGCCAAGAACCAGAATGGGCAGCTACAGTACTATCGGAGTGCGTACCGTTTTACGCCTTTAGTAAATCACAAGGAACGGTATGAGGCAATTGTGGCCGTACTTTGTATATATGTAGAGCATATCATATGAGTGGGATGATAAAAGCCCCAGGCTATCTAAAAGGCCGCAACCCGACCCCATGGTCACTAGAATGAACAGCAACTGTATCTATATACCTAACGAAGCTTTCTCTGTCAAGATAACAGAAGTATGAGGGATATAGCATATATACCTACTCAGCCTGAGATTCAAATGCGAACTAGAGCCTACATTCCACTTGTACTTGTTGATCCGCTTCTACGAGAGTGTATGTCCTCGAACCTTTGTGGCAACCCCCCACTTAATATCATGGGTACTGGGCAACATGATGTCTAAACAGGGCTATATCGTGTTACATTATGCTTATGAAATATAGATCCGGCTCCCCCAGGCGTGGCCCAAAATTAGCCACATGGTCTTCTCCTTGGGCACTTATCACATTACCAAATTTGCCCGACACACCCCGAGTTTAGTAGCTCAGAGGGGCGAACAAAAGGTCTTCTCTAGCCTTTTACAGCTAAAATCCATAAAGCAAGGCTGTAGCATTTAGATGCTAGCTCGCTATCTTTGGTGAGGTGATAATGAAGGCTATTTAAGCATATCACTTGTCAGCTGTTCGGGAAATTTGTATTACTGTAGCTGCTGTTACTTCTCAACGTGAAATGGGTGGCGAGCTGACCCCCAAACCGCCAAGACGGTTGTGGATACATGCAGCCATCTAAGTCATTCGCCCCAACACAGTTATTTCAAGTACCAGTACCGCAGAGTCGATTGCCCCCAAGTGAAGGAATAAACCCAAGGAGATTGCTTCCTAAAGGCAGATAACAATTGCTTCGTGTTATCTGCTTTTCTATTGGGTAGAGGTAGAATAGGGTCGATATAATAATTTTATGGGATAAGATGACATGTAATTTACAATACTCGCAAACTGGTATACTTGAATATGCCAAGGCTAGAAGTACAATACTTATATGTTGATAAGCCATTACCCATATATCTGAGCCCGACTATTGAGAAGCAGAGTGGAGCATGCTACTAGTCTTTTTTTTTGTTTGTTTTCTGGAGCAAGAGGAATGCAAATTAAATTGAAATTTGAATTTTGTAAGTTCAAAGTATGCGCAAATTATTGAGGCGTTTGGTAACTGTTGGATTGAAGACCAACATCTGATGCCGCTTTGCGTGATAATCTAGAACGTCTCCATCAACTTAATCTACAAACTAGTCTCGGGACCTTTTCCAAGCGCATGGTATCGAGACTAGCCACAGGCGGAAAGTCCGTGCCCTTTTGGTGCATGTTTTCAAAAGTCCCTGCCAAAAGATCTGTGGTTGGTCGTTAGTCGCCACTCCAAAATACCTAATCTATTGATTGCATAACGTCTCACCCGTATTACACCACCGTCCTTGCAACCCCATCACGATCCAGATGTATCTTTTTGTCTTGGAATGATACCGTCCACAAGATATCGCGATAGAGGCGGCAAAAAAATGAAAATGTTTATAGAAACAGGCTCAGCCAAAAGGCCAGTCCCCTGAATTTCCCTTTTCTGTTTTGTTTTGACGCAGCATCTATACTACCCACGTGGTTGCTGATTCATGCCAACATGGCGGCGTCAATTACAGATGATAATGTTGTTATCGAGGCCAAGGCAGTCAGGCATGAAATATCCGACGAGGAGGTTCGCTATGGTGGCACCACAGATTTCGAGAAGAACGAAAAGGTTACAGCCGAAATAACCAGCGCCGTCCCCGTTGATGGTGACGACTACGACAAGAATAGTGGACAGGGCAGCGACGATGTTATCATTGTCACCGGCGCGGATGCAGCAGCTCATCTATTGCCGCTACGAGATGATCGGGAGCCTTCCGTGACATTCCGAAGTCTCTTCCTGGCTACATGTCTTTCTGCTTTTCAAGCTATTATGAGCCAGATCTACCAGGTACACGATATACCGCATCGAGAAATGCTCTTCATATCCGTTGAGACAAAGCTAACATACACTATAGTTCAAACCAACGGCAGTAACAATTTCAGGAACGTTTATTGTTCTCATCGCTTACTTCGCAGGTAATGCGTGGGCTGCATTTCTTCCTCGCGGTGATCGATTAAGGGCACGATGGGCAGCCAAGAACGGTGAAGCAAAGGTACCATTCTGGATAACTGTCGTCTCTTTCATCAATCCTGGACCCTGGAATCTGAAAGAGCATGCTGTATGTGCTATTACAGCCACATCAGCCTCAAATGCCTCTGCCAGTATTACCGTGTTCACTGCACAAGATCTATTCTACAACTTGCCTTTGTCTGCATCTACTGTCATCTTGAGCACCATTTCCATTGGACTATTCGGCTATGGCATCTGTGGCATGCTGCGTCCTATTGCAGTCTGGCACGTCGAAGCTGTCTACTGGAGCACTCTTCCTACTGTCAAGACTCTCCAAGGACTGCACTGGCAAGACTTGAAAGGTTCTAAACCACTTCGATTCTTCTGGTACAGCTTCGTGGGAATGTTCTTTTACGAATTCTTCCCAGCTTACATTTTCCCGTTTCTCAATTCTGTCTCTATCCCGTGTTTAGCAGCCATGCGTGCCACTGGTTCGAAAGCAGCGGTCCTTACGAACCTTTTCGGCGGCGCGCAAAACAACGAAGGGTTGGGACTATTCAGTCTTTCTTTCGATTGGCAATATGTGAGAGAGCATCCATTCGTCTAACGGTATTGAAAGTAGGGGATAACTAACACCTGTGATTAGATTACGTCTTTTAACACCTCTCTACCCCTTACGCTACAGGCTCATTCCGTAGCGGGATTTATCGTTTGTTACATTGTGATGCTCGCCATTTATTATTCAAATTCTTGGAATGCAAAGTCGCAGCCATTCATGTCTACGCAACTCCGATCTGAAGATGGTTCCAAGTATCCTATTTCCAAAGTGTTTGTTGGTGGTGTGCTCGACGAAAGCGCTTTGCAAAAGTATGGCATCCCTAGGCTCACAGGAAGCTTTGCATACGCCATGTTCATGGCGAATGCCGCAGTAAGTATCCACGCATCATACACAAACCATATAAATCTCAGTGGCTAACAATCATTTAGATTGGAGCTCTAGTTGCTCATTGTGCTCTGTTCTGGGGCGGAGATATCAAGAGAGCATACAAGAGCGCAAAGAGTGGACGATACGACGACCGACATCACGCACACATGGCAGAGAACTACAAGGAGACACCATGGTGGTGGTACATATCGGTACTTGTGTTCAGCTTCGTTCTCGGCCTTGTCGTTGTCATCAAGGAAAATATTACCCTTCCAGCGTGGGCTTATATCGTATCGCTACTCCTGGGAATCTTTATCGCGCCCTTTGTAAGTCTTCATCATAAAAGATCAATACCTTGAGCTATCTAACACAGCCTCCAGAGCACCATCCTTTATTCACGATATGGTAACGGCATTGCCACCAATAACTTGTCCAAGATGTTGGCTGGCCTGATGCTTCCGGGACGCCCCGTCGGCAACATGTATTTTGCTGCTTGGTCACATAACGTTATTACAAACTGTGTCAACCTATGCAATGACTTGAAGATGGGAGAATATCGTAAGTATCATGCCGGCATCGTGCGTCGCTGGAAATACTAATGCGTTGATGCAGTGAAAATTCCTCCTCGAGTCATGTTTGTGACACAAATCTACGGCACTATCCTGGGCGGCTTTGTCAACTACGCCATCATGATCACAATCGTCAACGGTAACCGCGACCTCCTTGTTGATGGTAATGGAAACGCTTCGTGGAGTGGTGCGACCATTCAATCATACAACACCAACGCGACATCTTGGGCCCTCGCAAAATACCTTTACAAGGCGGGTGCAGAGTACGAAATGGTATCTGTCGGACTGGCTATCGGTGCTGCAGTGGTTGTGGTTCATCGTATATTCTCATATGTAAGTCTCATACCTCGACTAGTCGTTCGCTCAATGGCCCCTAATCATTACTCCTCTTTGGATAGTACGTCCCTAAAATCCGAAACTTTTCGACCTACGACATCAACATGCCTCAGTTCATTCAATATGCGGGATACATCCCGTACAATGCGTCCCAGACTTGCGTTATCTTGAGTCAGCTTCTCGCCGGGTTTTTCACTCAATTTTATCTCCGAAATTACCGACCGCGTATCTTCAAAGATTACTCATACCTCATCACTGGCGCCTTCGATGGTGCCAGTCTTACTGCACTGTTCATTCTATCTTTTGCAGTTTTCGGAGCTGGTGGACGTTCTATCCCCTTTCCCTCGTGGTGGGGAAACCATCTCGATGGCTACTATGACTTCTGCCCGGTCGCAGAGTAAGCAAGGTTTGAACATGTTCTTTTTCGCTAATACTATGATTTTGCAAAGGAAATCCCGCTATGAAGTTCACACGAACTCTTTCATCTGTCCTTGCAGCTATTTCTCGAATACTTTGTACCAAGGATATAGCTCAAGAACTTATCAAGGGAGATCCGTCGGAAGGTCATAATGGTCCCATCGTCTTGCGACAAGCAAGATGGGAACTAGATATCTCGAATAACAACCCTATTTGCGTTGCTTGATACTCCCAGCGATGATACAAGTGACTGTTACTATTTAAAAGCGTGCACTGATGTACAGTGTTACGCTACTATTGCGTCGGAGACGATCAGACGATCAGACCATCGGTCCGATACACTCGCCCAAAGACTGATTGAACTAATGGCGAATATGTACTTTTGCTAGCTACAGAGTGGATATATGAATGCATATTGCTACTGAGCTCGCCTTCAAAAAGGTAGTGGTTGGGGTCAATTACCCTTCCTCAAAAAGTTTGGCAAACTCATCACTGAAGAGAGCGCGGTAATCTTTGGACATAGACTGTCGGAGTAGGTTGGAAAGTGCACTAGCTACTCCCTCATAATGGTGTTGTGACGCAATATCCTATACTTTATTACTCGTTATGATCGAGCCAAGTGGCTGTGTTCCAATGAGAAGGCGGCTGATTGCTCCATGTTATTGGCAATGTTGCCTCTTCATACCCCATCCCATACATCGCGTTTCACTACTCAAATTAAGAAACATTAAGAAGTAACTACAGTCTACGAGTTATTCAATACAGCTATACCCAATATTTGCCTCCCTAAGCACAAGGCAAAGATGCACAGTTGAACTCTTCTTTAAGAATGGTTTGTCCGTCCTCAATGTTCACAAAAGTTCCAGGTATTGCGCTGCAGCTCTTCGTCCATATCGTCTTTTTTCGCTGATCTTTCTTCCATTAGGTCCAACCGGATGCTTTTGGCTTCATTCAAGCTGATTGGAAGTCCCGAATCTTCAAGAATGGCATGGGCCAGCTCATTCGGTAGTCTGTGAGCAATAGCCTGCTCAGCACCAGATTCACGAGACCACCACTCTCGCTGCTGTGGCGGTACAATGGCTGTGGAAATGACAGGAATCGCCGGATCCACAAGGAATAGAGCCAGAATCTTGCGGTGGCCCGGCCTTGTTGGGTCCTTGAGGCGAAATGGAGATACACGATGTTGCAGAAGATTCGGAAAGAAAACAGCGCGAGTATCGGCATCTCCTGTGGAAGGGCTATTCGTGGTGAGAACGCCGCCAATGCTTTGCAAAGTGTCGCGGTAGGCATTTGGGATAGCAAATGTGCGTTCAATTGGAAAATGTTGGCTTTGCTCGTAGTTGAGATTGACCACAAGCTCCTCGCGATCGGCAGGCGTACGAAAGTCAAGATGACAGTCGGTGATGTTTTCAGAGTCGTAGTAGAAAAGCGCGGTTGCGCAGATACGCTCATTTAGCATTCCCTCTGTATGCCACGATCCACCTTCAAACTCGGTAGGGTCGTTGTTGACGAGTATATCCTCGTAATCAGGAAGATTCAAGGACAAAGATCGTCTCGGGCTTGACGAAACATCGGAATCCGTTGAGGAAGCTTCAGAGGTGCCTGGCTTATACGAGGATCCTTCCAAATCTGGGTCGCTGGCATTGTTGTTGAGAGGGTTCATATACCAATCAGCAAGCTCTTTAGACACTTCAAATTTATAATCAGGGTCTTCGGGATTGAGATGAACATTAGCCAACTTGACAATGACTTGGATTCGAGATGCTCCGTTGAAGAAATCGCTGGATTTGACATCAGATGCCTTCAACCGAACATGGCCATCGTCGCTAGGCTCGGGTTCTGGCAGATTGAGCTTGTGCGTTTCACTCATCCACTCCATATCGCGCTTGAAACGTTCAGTGTCCCGATACTCTCCAGTATAAGCTTCAGTATCATCGCGCCGTGGCTCGCCTTCGTCAAGTGGACGATTCCACGGATTGCAATTGTAATATTGCTGACAAATTTCAGGAGTTGTACACTCTTCGCGTGCCTCTTTTGTTTTCAAGCGCTGGGTTTCAAACTCTTTAGGCCATCGGTATACGACATCCCATGCTGGTAATGACTTCTCAATGAAGCGTTCAATGATGGGGTACAGACTTGCATGGTCCACTGGATGCAAGTTGTTGATATAGCTGTCGATTTTGGCAGACTGGCCATCAAGAACAACTTCGCATGGCAGCCATTGAAATCTGCCTGAAAGAGAAGGCATGGATAGCTCATAACGCCTTGAATACATAGACTGCTCAGGATTGGCTATTTCGATTGGTCTTGGAGCCGGTAGAATAGTTCCAACCCCACAATAGCTCAAAGCGTTCGTAAGATTAATCCTTTTGTCAAGTAGCACGGGAGTACGGCCATAGATGAAGGGCCATAGAGAGGGGTGTACTAGATCGAGAACCTTACGGGTGGTTCCCGGATGCCAGTCTCTTTCTTCATCAGGAACGTTTTCAAGCTTTGCAGCTTCCGAGCGAAGAGCATTTCGTAAGCTGTCGGGGACGAGGCTATCGGATTTGATGACACAAGAAGAATAGTCGAAGATGGGAATCAGTCCAGTTTTTGTAAACAAATCCGCTTTGATGCGCAATTCGTTGATGCACTAATATTATTCGTGTCAATTGGGTATTCCCTTCGCATTTTGGATGGTTTAGACTTACGGCGTCAGCCATGGCGGGAGTGAAATCTGCGTAATCTCGATATTCTTTCCAATTCATTTGCAGCGCCTCTTGTTTCCATTTTTCGGCAATCTGAGAATCAAAAACCTTTTCCCACCACTGAGCTTTGTTTGTTATTTCCTCCACAAACTTCAACATGCAAACTTCTCGGATCAGAAGTGTTGCAGCTTTCCAGTCGTAGCCTTCAGCTCCTATCAAGACTGGAAATCTCTGGTCACTGGGCGGCATATACCGTAAAGGAAGTCCTAAGCCTGGTATTTGAAGATGTGACAGTGCCTACAGTCGTCGTCAACATAGGTACATTTACTACGCCGAGTGAGGCACCAAGTATGCTGAAACTGGAAGGTGGCGGTATTCAATAAGAAAAGAAAAAAAATTGAAACTTACCTTGTTACGATCATTCATTTCTTTTAATGAATCTTCAATGGCTTCATCAATGAGCAGGTCAAGAGCCTGGTCAAGTGAATCATCTTGCTCATCGTGGCTGTAACCGGGGCCTTGGAACCAGCGTCGAGCATCCCAGATGCGAGGTCTTTTATTCTGCGACTTGACCCATTCTTTGAAGCCATTAATTTTCTCTTCAGAAAGCCCAGATCCGGCGTTGTCCATTGTGATTGATATCGTATGTTGTTGCGAAGTGTTGTCAAGAGTTGCTGAAGCTGGCAGCGTATAGCCAGGGGCTAGGCAGCAGGAAGACTTTAATACCGAACAAACTAAGCTACTTGTGGCTTTAGCTATCGCCTGCCTAGAATACGAGCGAGTCTCACGACCCGAGATTTCGGGTCAGGCACGTGAAGCTACCTATGAAGGCTATATATAGCATATTTTATTATAGCAAACCATTAAAAATCAGTTCGCTATGCGTGGGTCTTCTTTTATTCTTCTTTATTTCCCATCAAGCACTGCTTGCCTGAAACAACAGCCTTTTTCAGGCTACTGCTCTACCCCGCACTTTGTTGACTCTTGGGGATCGCAGTCTCTGGATTCTATTTTGCGAGGGTGTTGGTCACACTTCAACAATGCGTATCTTCACGATAATCTTGTCATTGATATATATATGAAACTAGCGACAATGAGCAGCTATTTAATAATTATCGAAGAAGCGGAATATAATGTCAAGACCATTTCGATGCGAAGTCGGAAGAGTCTTGTGGAGTAATTATTTGGCCTCTAAACTGGTTACTCCACATTTTGCATTAGGCGCGCCGAGTAGTTGAAAGCATGATTTAATAATAACTCATAGAGGGAGGCATTTCAATGCCATCAACTTTACATCAATGCTATTTCCCTTTCATCGATAGTGATCGCACTACCTACATCACTTGAAAATGGCTGAAAGCATGCAAAATGGCGTCTTCCGGCGTAACAACACAGCACCCCCTGCGGATAATGGGGTCATGTCTCTCTTCTCCCTAAAGGGCAAGACAGCAATCATATCAGGCGCGGGAGGGGGAATCGGTCTTGCTGCTGCCAAAGCATTCGCTGAAGCGGGTGCCAACGTGGCTATATGGTATAATACGAATGAAGAGGCTATTGAAAAGGCAACGGGAATTGAAAGAGCGTTTAACGTTAAATGTAACAAAGATGAGCCCCAGAAAGCCCCTTCGTCTCATTGCACAGGCCCAAAGTAGCTGCTTTATACTAATCTATTGCTGGGCAGGCAGAGCGTATCAAGTCAACGTAACATCCTGCGATGAAGTAGAGGCAGCGATGGAGAAGACTATCAAAGAATTCGACGGCCGCCTTGATGTGTTTGTCGCCAACTCGGGCACTTCATGGGGCGATGAAGCATTCGTTGACGCAGATATCCAGAGATATCATAATCTCATGAAGATCAATGTCGACGGAGTAGTCTACTGCGCGCGTGCTGCTGGCAACCACTTTAGGAGACAGAAGAAGGAAGGAACGACTATAGATGGATCGAAATTGAGTAATTTTTCGAGTGGCAGCTTCATCGCCACCGCCAGTATGTCCGGACATATTGTAAATATTCCTCGACGCCAGGCGGCGTACAACGCTTCAAAAGCGCATATTATCCACTTTTGTAAGTTTACCCAAGCAATATCTCACTTCCAGAGACAAGATTCTCGAACGCTAAATGATGCTGGCAAGGCAAATCTCTTGCTATCGAATGGCTCGGGTTTGCCAGAGTTAACAGCGTATCTCCGGGATTCGTCAACACCGGCTTGTCTGGATCTGTGGCTGAAGAGGTTATGGATTCAATTAAAGATAAAATTCCTATGGGGTAAGCAAATACTCGAAAGCATTTAAAGAGACATCTCATTAACTTTCCTAGACGTTTTGGCGAGACAGTGGAGATGCAGGGAATCTACCTATATCTGGCCTCTGATGCCTCTACTTATGCGACTGGGGCTGACTTTATCGTTGACGGTGGCTACACTGCTCCGTAAAGTATTGTATCAGACATCTAGTGCAAATATAATCCTAGCATCGCAATTGTGAAAAAGAATTAGCTTCTTCGTTCGCGTGAAAAGATTCTGCTCGCTACTTTCTGCCAAAGGTCTCCACAAAGCGATGCTCTGTAGTGTGCCTTGAGATATGTTTGAGCTTCTTCGTTGTAAAATATGACTCACCAGATGTATCATCTCTTTTTCTTACCTCGGATAATTATGCTTCATAATGCTGATAACCTTTGCTTATTTTATAAAGCGCAAGCTCGAAAACGCTGGCTATAAAGTTACTGACATCTTAGCGATTGTTAGGGATCCTCTTCTTGCTCGGAGAAAGAAAAAGGCGGGATAAAAGATTGGACAGACGGGCCATTCTTCTTTTTGCATTGCTTTTCCTCCTTTTTTTGCACAGAGCGCTCTGCACACCGACACGAATGAATGTCCCGCGATCGGACTAGCGAGAGGATTCGGACCTCCGAAATCTTCAAAGGGCGCGGATGATTTGCGCATCGTATTTATTGAGGACCGCCCAATCACCCAATAAAAAAACTTCAATCATTGCTCTTAACAGTCCAATGGCCAATAATCTTCATCCATTGCTTCGTATGCACGAACACTCAAACTGTGCGATGGACAACAAAAGCGAAAGCTGTGTTCGCTCTACACCTGTTCATGGCTTGGATGATAAAGATAACGATTCTGAGTCATTCACAGACGGTGGCTTGCGAGCATGGCTGGTGGTTTTGGGCGCTTTCTTTGGCCTATTTGTTTCTTTCGGTTGGACAAATTGTGCGACATCTTCATTTTAACATGGAAACACTACAGTCTTATAAAAGCTAACTGTCATAGGTGTTGGGGTGTTCCAAGAATATTACGAGACTCATCAGCTTGCATCATTGTCGCCAGGCACAGTATCTTGGATTCCGTCATTATCTATATTTACAATCTTTATCGCGGTAATTGGAACGCCTTGCTCTACTTGAGTAGACCCAGTCTCTTATCTGATCATAGGGGCCTTTTGTAGGGCATCTGTTTGACCATTATGGTCCTAAGACGCTCTTGCTTTTTGGCACTACTATTCACGTATTCGGTCTCATGATGGCATCCGTTTCTTCAAAGTATTACCAATTCATCTTATCTCAATCAATATGCAGTCCAATTGGAGCAGCTATGGTTCTGTACCCGTCTTTTAGCTGTACCACCACATGGTTCCAGAGGAAGTGCGCTTTGGCGATGGGTATTGTAGCCAGTGGATCCAGTTTGGGCGGAGTCATACTACCCATCATGGTAAATCGGCTCATTCCTAGTGTCGGTTTTGGCTGGACGATGCGAATATGTGCCTTTCTTATGCTGGGCTTGCTCGTCATAACGAACTTGACTGTTCGATCACGCCTACGTCCACAGCCAAAGAATTACGATGCTGGGGCCTTGATTAAATCATTCAAGGATGTTCCTTTTTTATTAACAGCCTTTGCTGGCTTTTTCTATTCCATGGGCATGTTTGTACCCATCACCTTCCTAGTAACCTATGGGAGAAGCGTGGGTATGTCGCCACAACTTGCCGGATATCTAGTGTCCATGTTTAATGGAGCAAGGTATGTTATATCAGGGAATTCAGGAAGAAGGTCAGGAGTTTTTACATATGCTAAATTGTTTGGGATATGCTATAGCGGTGTTGGTCGCATCCTTCCAGGATACATAGCAGACAAAGTCGGAAACTTCAATGTATCGCTTTGCGCCGCCTGCTTGTCTACCACTCTGGTATTCGCTTTATGGCTTCCTAGTCATTCCAATGCAGCCACCATGGCTTTTGCTTCTCTGTTTGGATTCAGTAGTGGCACTTATACGGCAATAAGCCCTGCGTTGGTGGCTCAGATATCAGACATCCATGAGATTGGTCTGAGGTCAGGGACCATGTATGCCTTTATGTCAGTCGCGGCATTGACAGGAAGTCCTGTCGGAGGTGCTTTGATCACGGCTGCAAATGGGAGTTACTGGAAATTACAGATTTTCACAGGAGTCATGCTAGCCACGGGAAGTATGTTTTACGGTGCCTCACGATTGTATTTAGCGAAAGGCAAGTTATGGGCGAAAGTGTAAGCATCGTGCGGGTGCTTGGCTGTCTGAATAAGATAGATGTCATAAAGAAGAGCATTGGAACTGGCGAAGAAACATGGCCAGTGTGATAATGGTCAGAGTTTCATAAATGAAAACACCTCTGCTTGAATATACTTGCAGCAGAAACAGACTGCTCACTGACGATTAAGGGGAAGCCATGTATATAAGCGTACTATTCTAAAGCGTCTAGTAGAAGCGACAACGCGCCGAAACTATGCCAAGCCTCTTCAAAGACTAATCCATATGATTACTATACAAGGCATCTTTCATTGCTTTGATTCCCTTGTTATTTGAGGCAGCATCTAAATCTAGCAGTCTGGGACAACTTTGCAATCTACAACAGTTGTCTTCCCAGCCTTCACATTAGCTACTGCATCTCGAAGAATATCTTCGAGATTGTTTGCGTTGGTCACTTTCAGGGCGCAAATATCGCCTGCGCCAGCCGCTGCTGCTATACCAGCATAGTCAGGGGTTGGTTTAAATGAGATATTCATGTCTTCGTTCGTTGCTTGTGCGGCTTCGCCATCGGGACGAACCAACATGTACGATTTTCTCGGAGCATTCCATCCTGTGGAAATCAGTTTTTGCGTATCCAAAAGTATAAGAAGCCCCACGGGAAACGCTCACCATCATTATTCAGAACAATTGTCAAAATGGGAATATTGTACCGCTTGGATATCCAATACACGCTTGAAGGCATGGAAAAGAGGTAAGTTCCATCACCCACAATTTGGCACACAAATTGCCCTTCTCCTTCAGTATCAGTGGCCAGTTTGATACCCAAAGCACCGCCGCCGGACCAACCAAGACCACCGCCTCCACAATTGATCCATGAGCCTGGTATTGTTGGTCTCACATTATCGTGAATAAAGCCGGTGTTGGTCACTGCCTCTACAGCCCATATTGTGTCTACTGGGCAAACAGATCGAAGCACCTTACTCAGATGGCCCGTACCGAAACTACCATCAGCGAACGGTTGTGCCGCTTTAGCGATGTGCTCAATCTTGGCGGCGTAAGAGCTGCGACGAGTTTCTTCTGCTGTGGCCTGATCTTTAGTCGCGAGAATCCCGGCTGCTTCTCCTGTCTTGAGATTTTGTATGATTTGCTCAATGGAATTAAGTCCGTCCGCCAGATACCGAGCATTGGATGGAATGTAGTGTAATGGCATCCGTTGTTTCAAGGGGTCGGCATCAATGTGATAGATTTTTGCATCCGGACTGGGCTTGCACCGCGTTGGGATCCATGGAACATCGCAGTCTAGAACCAGTATAACGTCGGCTTCCGGAATAGACTCATCAGCTCCTTGCTTTACTCCTAACCAGCCTGGATGGTCACCCGGGAAGCACACATCACTTGCCCCGGTGTCAAGCACACGTAGAGCCTTGATGGTATCTGCTAACTCGACTAAGGCTTCAGGAATGCCATGATTCCGCCCCGAGTAGCCTGTTACCACCAATGGTCTCTCGGCATTGACCAACGCCTGAGCAATGTTGCTTGCAGCCTTTGACGGAAGACCGCCTAATTCGACGTGATTCCAGTGTTCTTGCTGAATAGAGTAAGGGCTGATTTCTGCTTCCATTACCTCTCTAGCTGCGCAGAGATATACAGGGCCCTGTGGAGCAGTTTTAGAGAATTGCAATGCTCGGTTAACCATCTGCTTGACATTAAGACCGGTTTTAATCTCAGCTGTATACCGGCAATATTGGCCAAGAATGGCCTTTTGATCAGGGATATCTTGCAGCCAGTGGATAAACTCGGTGCGGGAGCCGAGCATCTCACCCTCCTGAGTAAAAGGAGACATTCCAGCAAAGATGAGAACAGGGGCATGGCCGCTTGAGGCATTGTGAACGGCCACGCCAAGGGCCTGTGTTCCAACATCGACATGGACAATAACACATTGTGGCTTTCCAGTCAATCGGGCGTAGCCATCTGCCATGGACATGGCCACCATCTGTCCACGTCAACCATCAGCAGTCATTTCACAAGAGGCTAGGCTCCATGTAGGGAAGGATGATACCTCGCTAGGGCACGTAATAATACGCGGGAAGTTTCCTTGGGACTCTCGCTGGCCCTTCACCATGGCTTCAATCATACCTGGATGATCCGACCCCAAGTTGACGAAACAGTGGGTGACCCCTGCATCCCATATTGCCTCGAAGAACGCCGAAGATGTCGAATACATATTGAACTCTGTTACGAACACTACAAACAAGTATGTTCTTACTGACAATCCGGACAACACGCAGCAGAGCGAGACTATAATTGTTTTGCTTCTCGGGGAAACTAGCCGGCAAAGAGCTTCTGCTCCGTCGTGCGCTGTGCCCCTGTTTAAAAGGATGCAACTACGGGGTCTCTGCCATCGCTAGGCCGCATAAACCGATCCTTCCAGCGGACGAGATCAAGCCCCATTTGATTAGCGAGTCGCTTCTCTGTCGTTCGTATGGAGTACCAATGCGAACCCTGGCTTTCTCCTGCAGCGTCGTATCGGGGAATAGCTGACAGTCGGGGTTCGACTGGCAACTCCTGACAGGTGACTACGAGGCAAGGAGAGACCCTAGCATGGCTCTCCGTAGTCTTAGTTGTTGCAGAGCTCATGGCTCCGCTGTGTGGATTTGCGTATTGACAAGTTTGCCTATACACGCGACATTTATAAATCTGTGGTTGGCCGTATCATCCGCTGCTCAAGGTTAGCCACGCCGTCTTTATCGAACGGCTCAGCCTGTGCCAATTCTCTCGCCCTAGTGAGGTAGCAGTGCTAAAACTAGCCGCAATTCCAAGTAGGTACATAAAAGCCGACGCGCGGGTTTGCCGATGCGCTTTTCGCCGGTTGTAGGCAACATCCGTGTAAATCATCCCGGCGTCTCTATACCAGCCTCTCATGCTACCTACCTATACATGCTCTGCTCAGCGTCTTTTTATCTGCATTTGTATCCTGTTCATACTACTAGCAGCGGCAACAGCATTGTAATTTTTTTGGTGCCGCGTACCTGGTAGATAATCCAGCTAATGGGCCCGCAAAAGCAACACCATTCCACTATGCCGTGATCCTGCATATGGTATCAATACCAGGCATTAGGTAGGTAGTATTGCATATCTACCACACACAGACGGGCCGACCGCAAATGGAAAGTCTTCAAATACTAGAAGTTTCTGGGTTGCGATACTGTCTATAGATGCTGCTTGCATACGAGTTGCCCGCCTTTAAGTCCCTACGTGCATGTAGCTTTTTGATCCATGAAGAATTCTATGCCAGATATAGCCATTTATATACATCACGATGCCTTGGTATTTCACATATGGAAGCAACAAGGATGCATAATTACTTATATATTGATATTACTCTATTTTTAGTATGCTTGCTCAATCTGAATGTTTCTTTGCCGCGAAATCGATAACATCAACGCGTTTAAGATGTGTATTACAATAGCTAGCCTAGGGTATAAGAAGGAGTCCAAAAGTCATGCAATGAAAAGGAGACGAACTGCACAATGATAGTCTCCTAAAGAGTAAACCGAAAGGTGGGATACGCATCACCCAGGTTGTTCTTCACATCCTCGGGAAGATTCAGTCTATCATTGCGCTCGCCGGCATCACGCTTCTTATTCTCACGCCACATGAGCACAAACATGAGAGTGGCCGAGATTAATCCAAACCACATGCAGGCAAGCGCAACACCATAGCCAGTCTTGTACGTAGGAGACTCGCTGATGAGGAAAATGTTGCTTCCAATGATGCCCGCAATGTTACCAATGGTGACTTGGATTGACGAGCCAAATGCACGTTTCCATTGGCCAGATAGATTGTTCTGCAGCCATGCAAGGGCCATGGGCGTGACCATGTAGGCGCCGCCAAAGACCAGGAAGACGGCACCGAACTTGTAGTCTCGAGACTTTCCAACTTGGCCAAGCAGCATTCCATATCCAATAGTTACCATGGCGGTTCCAAAGACAAAGAAGCCATAGCGGTGCTTGAGCCTATCTGAGGCCCAAGCACCAATGATCATCATGCCGGCAGCAAAAACGTAGACGGGGATAGTGCGGACTTGTGCCTCTTCAGCCGTCCAGTTGAACTCCAACAGAATGGTGGGGAGGAAGAAGGTTCCAGACAGACCAGGAACACCGACTCCCAAGTAAACAAAAGCTCCGAGCCAAATCTTATAATCTTTAAGAATTAGCTTAAGTGAAGCTTTATTGAGGACATCCATGCGGCATGATTCGTCGACATCAGCCGCAAGCCGACGGCGAAGTAGCTCTTTCTCTTCGGCATTGAGATATCTGGTCTGCTCCGGCCAGTCGATAATGAGAAACGCCGCAATTATGGCAATCGTTGAGGTAATGGCGCCTTCAATGATGAAGATCCAGCGCCAGGCTGCAAAGCCATGCTTGCCACCGAGATGAGCAATAGCATAGGCCAGCAGTCCACCAAAGGCACCGGCCACGACGGTGCTGCAGAAGAAGAAGGACATGCGCTTTTGGTACTCGTGTCGCTTATAATACTGCGATGTAACGTAGATGATGCCAGGGAGGAGGCCGGCTTCGAAAATACCGAGGAGGAATCGAAGACCAAGGAGGGCACCATAGGAATGGACAAATCCCATGCACATATTGATGATACCCCAGCAAAACATCAACGAAGACAGGTACAGGGAAGGCCGAAATCTTTTGATAAGCATGTTGGAAGGTACTTCCAGGAGAATGTAGGAGATGTAATAGATCTGTACGATGGTCAACTTCTGTAATAGTATAACGCGACTTCATTCGTAGCAGACTTACAAAGAGCGCGACGTTAAATCGATTTCCGACGAGGTCAAGTTCAGCGACCATTCCTTGGATACGAGCATTGCTGATATTGATACGGTCCAAAAAGGACATCATGTATATCACAAAGAAGGTAGGGAATATGATGAAGTCGAGTTTCCTCACCAGCCTGCTCTCGGCCTTGGGATCAATTGAGGCATCCGAGGAGTATTCGCTGCTTTTCTGGGGCGTCTGCGGCACGACTTGCTCGCCCGTCTCAACGGGCATCTTCTCATCGACTGTCGCCATGGTGTGAGCTTCGAAGTAACCCTATGGCAACGTGTCTGGTCCCAAAGTAGATGGCAATTGAGGTAAGAAAAGAACCAGGGGCAGAAGAAGTAAAGAGGGTAAAGAATCTGCAAAGAAACAGAGGAGTAGTTGTGTAAGAGCCCTAAATGGTCACGTTGTGTGACATTGGGCTCAGCAAGAATGCAAGTGAGGCATCTACAACGCAGACGCTACGAACGAGAAAAGGATGTATAAAAAGGAAACAAGACGGGTGATTAAGAACAGGCTCTGCTTGCAGATACGAATCGCAGGCCGGGGTAGTGCCTATTTAGCGAAGCTGTGCTTTCAGTCGGTCAATAAACGAGGCCCGTTGAGTAATGCAATGCAGCGGTTTGACATTAGCAACTGAATTCCGTCTTGCATACATGTAGCACTAATGGTAGTAGTACTGCCTAGGAGGTAGGGAGTGCCGAGACGGAGACCAAGAGTCCCGACGCAGACAAGCAGGCCAGAGCTAGGCCGCAGATTTGGCTGCTCCGTATCATCATGGCGAGAAGTCCAGAACAGATAGCATACAGTAGTCGATTATTGTCTTATTACGCAGGGGGAAAGCCCCGGCCAAGGGTCTTCCAGCCCCAATGGGGAGCAGTGAAAATGAAGAACCCGGGCTGCAGCTATGCGAACGTACGTACGCTGCTCCTACCTTTTCCCAATCAGCTAAAGGCTGGTGGGTTTCGGTGGAATTCATTGCAGATACCTAGTAGAGCATCCAAGCATGTCTCTGAAGCACAACCGATGTAACGTGGCGAGTTGAGTACATGTAAAGTAAGGAGGCATGGCCTGATTTGTTCTGCCGAGCCGGAGGATGCACTCGAAGGAGCATCGACAAGTAGATGTCATGGCAAGGCCGCCGAATGAAACCGAGCAACGAGCAGAAGGGTCGTCGTAAAGCGCAGCTAGAGAAAACTAGCCTTATAACAGGCTCTACCTGTGTGCCACACTTGGATCGGGTGCCATTTGCCTGTCAACTGGACTTGCCCGCTACTGACCCTCTTCACTGTCATAGTCTCGATGTAGGCCTGATCACATGCGATGCCCCAGATAGATCCATATGCTTAGTGTTGATCCCGGACGGCCCCGAACTGGTGGATCGCTGCCGAGTAACAAGTAGTTTTTGCATCGGCGGCCGTGAACCACTGGCACCGAACTGTTGCTACAATCGTCTCAAACACGCCCAAAATCGCTCAGCAGGGGGGGTTGATCAGCTTCTGGACGAGGTAACATCAGGCCCTCGACGAGAAATTTTTTCGTGCAGGACCTTTGCATGATGTCCTGACGGCCAACAGTTCACAGACCTTAGAGCCAACAACATACATGCATCAGAGTGGATCGGACATGGGCGGAAGGCCGCTTTTCTTCAGCAATCTTATTTCTCACATGAATCGGCCAAGGTTTTCACTTGCACCCTTGCAATGCCACCGGAAGCGAGACGCGGACCAATAGGGTAAATGGCCAAGACGTTTGCGCGTACTCGCACTAGGCAAAGTCGATGCAGACAGCTTATTCGGAAGACCTGCCGATGGAATCGAAGACCTGTAGAAATGGCAGCACCAGGCAACGACGGGCACAATCCGCGAGTCCATCACAAGCTCTTGCAATCAAAAAGAAGCTGGGGCCCGTCAATGCAATCATGGTGGTGTCAAATACATACAGACTAAAGGTTGCCCCTGCGCTGGCTCCCACGAGGTTTGATGTTGTTTTGATGTGATCATCTTCTCATACCCATGTACGGCTGTCTGTAAGCAGCTGGTAGGCAGACGACCGTAGTATGAGAGCCCCAAGTACGAGAACGTAGGAAGGGTTTTCAGAGCCTTGTCCCTGCATTGGTTTGACGCTTTGTCCGTGGTGGCTATTCCGCAGCTGAGTTCGAGTGCAACCCTCTCCAAGCCAGTCTTGGAAAGCGGCACTTATTATTATTATAACGAGGCAAGAGTGGCCACTTTTCCTTGGCTTTGGAATTTAGTTTTGATGTTCCAACAGTTTTACATTACTGTCGATACATACTGGAGCTGTCAAGCCAGAACCGGCGGAGTCCATCATGGCCGGTCCACTACCTAATCCGAACGACAATGACTCTCGTCTGGTATACATACCTTCAATCATCTTCCTGGTTATAAGTCCTATTGTCGTTGCATTGCGAATATGGGCGCGGTTGAGGCAAGGTGGGAATATGGGGCCTGATGACTGGACTGCTATAGTGGCCTTGGTAATTTTCTACAGATCGAGCTTCTCGGCCCCTATTCATATACTAACGTTGAATGTCTTTCCTTCTTATAGATATTTGCACTTCTTACCAGCTCTTTCTTGATGACATGTGAGTAATTAAACCGCCAGCTAAATTCCACCATGATGCTAATAATGCAGGCTGCCATTATGGCATGGGTCGGCATTTTATGTACATAGAACACGAGAACCAGATCGAAACACTAAAGGTACGCTTTATGAAGAGCTTTTTCAATCCACATTCTATTTTGCGAGTGCCTGTCTGACAAAGATGATACGGATAGTTCCTGTACATGTCCCAAATCACCTATAAAGCGGCAATCAATCTCACTAAATGCTCCATTCTACTACTTTATCTGCGTCTATTTGAGATTGTTCGTTGGATGAGATGGACTTGCAGGGGCCTCCTCGCTTGTGTTATTATCTACTGCATATCCTCGATGACCGCAACCATCTTCCAATGCAACCCGGTTGCCAGAGCCTTCGACAAGGCCCGAACAGGAACCTGTATCAACCTTGCCACGTTTTGGTTCGCCAACGCCGGATTTTCGATCGCTACCGATGTTATTATTCTTCTGCTTCCAATGCCTCTAGTATATGGGCTAGAGGTACCTCGGGCTCAGAAACTGGCTCTAATGGCTGTATTCGCCATTGGTGTTTTCGTCGTCATTACCTCGTGTCTCCGAGTCACGACTCTCGATGTATTCGCTACCTCTACCGACAACACATACGATATTGCAAACGTGATGTGGACAATCATCGAACCCAACGTGGCTATCGTCTGCGCATGCCTACCAACTCTGCGGCAACTGGTTGTTAAATTGTTCCCAGCACTCGGAAGTAAAAACTCAGCCAACAGATACGGCACCCCTGGCTACGATTCGAATGGGTACGGCTCGAAGTCGAGGGGCTCGAGGGGTACGGGAAGAAGAAGCCAAGCACCACTTACAGATGAATGGGTGGAACCGGGTGCAAAGTCCAACGGTATCCACATGGCAACGATTCGGCGAAACAACTCGAATGCTGGAAGTGAAGACAGTATTCTAGCCGGAGGACAGAACAATGCGAATAATGGAATTAAAAGGACGGTGGAGTATAGTATCCAGTATTCTGAGAAGAAGTGACAAACATGATGGAGTTATTTTTGGCTTTCAAGCCATTTTCAAATTAATGTTAGCTGTATAGATCTCGTGCTTGAAGCAAATAAAATACGGAGAGGGAAGAAGCAAATACTGTATACATATTCCACAAGAATAAACAGAACTGTACAACACTAGTTTCAACGTAAATTCTGTGTACTAACAGTTTCTGACGTCTATAAATACGTATTACAATCTCTTTTTCTCTCCGCTTTCTATGAAGAATTCCCTATACATCTCAAGCAAAATGCCACACCATTGTCACAATACTCAAGATATCAAAGCCAATCAAATTATTCAATAGTAAATGCTTTCAATTTTCTTTTCGTGACTAAAAATGCTATTGGAGCTGAGAGGCTTCGAAGGCAAGGCAAGATCGCAAAGGTCCTCATCGAAAGCGCCACCTGCATTTACTATTATATTATCAACGAACGAGTAGCGTTTCCAAGGCACATCGGCAGGCAAATGTTACTCGATTACAATAGACAAAAGCAAGTGTTCTTTTAGAACTTACATAAAGGTGGAAGTATCTCTTGGTTTCTGAGCCGCTTTTTATAACGTAGTTGTAGAGAATTAGAAAGAGTGTTGTACAACACAAGTACTATATTTAAAGGCATTAGAGAGCTTCGGATAACCAACGAGTCAGCTCAAAATCCCCACTTTATATTCCATAAGACCAAAGAATAGTAAAGACTACTTTGTTATGAACCATTTGTTTAGCCTTAGCCAATTATTTGTTAAGTGCAACTGGGATACTTTGGGTGCAAAATTGTATCTCTCACGGGTAGGTTGCGGAACGGGCCGCGAACCAGACCCAGTTTGGCGCAAACAAGCATTAGCTTTTATTAGGCCGCGTGCTAAACCTAGATTTGTATTATTGCAAGTAGATTTTTCTTGGCAGCAATGATTCTGTATTAGTTCAATGCCGCTCAGAATTTCTTCAAACATAGAAGCTTGATAGTGCTATCTTTCTTTACATATTGTCTCACTCGCTTTATCAGCGGTAGTAATAAGGCCACATGGTTTATTTGACAGATCTTGTCGCGCTGTGAGGGAACCAGATTGACTTAGCCACTGCCGATATTCCTCAGGTACCTAGGTATATGTAATGCCTTCTTCTAAGATCGGAAACCTTCAAAGGCAAAAGATTGGAGGCCTATTGGCTTATTGCCCGTTCGCATGAGGCCAAACTGCGTAGTCTACATCATTACCAGCAGTGATTGCGTGGCCTGTGAAGCGCGTGGCTTGACTTACTAAATAAAAACTTGGTATCATTCTCATATAGTGCAGTCGACTCTGTCAAGAAACGGTAGCCATTGGTTGAATGATAGCTTGAAGCTACCAAAAACAATAAACCTGCACGTCTCCGTCGCCGAGTTGAGGTTGGCATGCTGTTTTTCGACTGGCAATGTTGATAGCCAAGTCTCTGGGAAGAATAATTGCCTGAAGTTCCTCTTCTGTTCAGTCATTCGCATCGGGTGAGAGTACTCTGGCTCTCCTGGTCTGAGTAGAAGGGTTCTGCGCCTGCTCTCTTCGCTTTCGCTTTCTATCGTCCGCGATTGATTGCTCATGTGCCAGGACAGGCGCCCATGCTTCATGTACAAGTGCTTCTTCGGCGCTTGGTCGGTCCTTGGGATCCCATGCCAGCATTTGGCGTAAAAGAGTTGCAAACAGGGCTGGTAAAAAGCCCCTTTCACACTGGCTATCCAACGTCTTCTGCAGAGTGTGATAAGACTCCTTGGTGATTCTGATACCGCTTGGTGGCCGCACGAAAGCAAACAGCCATGAAGCAGCAAGTGACCAGATATCAGCTTTGAACTGATCCAAATTCTCCTTGGATTTCCAAACTTCTGGCGCAACGCATACACTGGCACTCGGCTTCTTGCCAAGCGGTTGTATTGAGAGAGAAATGGCCGCCTTTTTCGGCAGTGAGTTGACACCTGGCAGCGGTTCGCCTTTCGTGTCAGCTAGTATCAACAGCTTTTCAGGTGAAATATTCCCATGGGTAACAGCTTGCTGATGTATCTCGGATAGCCCTGTCAGAGTCTGAAAGAGATAAAGTAGGCGGGTATTGATATCGATCTTGGCCCATGGCATGTTGTGGAAATCGTGCTCGGCAAGGGGTACGGAGTAGAATGTATGGAGACAGCGGTCCGTGGCTTCGCTCTGCCTACTAAAGAGGCATGGAGATGGTGACTTGTGCTCGCACCAGATATCAATCACACCCAGGACACCTTTATGCAGCCTACTCTTATACTGGCAGGCAATCTGTAGCCGGCGTCGCATGTGTTGTCGCCCTTTAGCTCTGGTCTCTAATTTTTTAACAGCAACCGGCCAGCCCGTGTAGATGTCAACGCCGGATACTATAGACGAATTTGGAATCTTTTGATGCAGCCATACATTCCAGGAAGTCTCAGAATGTGACGTGGGTATAAAGCTGAGCAGCTGAGAAGGACGAAGGCCACTGTAATAACAGTCGAGATTCTCGTCAAGCTGCGAGTTCAAGCTCTTGCGACTTTGGTCACTGGCGACAAATTCGAAAACAAAACGGTATCGGCCGAAGCGAAGATAGTTCCGTTGTCGCCGCAAAACGCACGTATTCCTCCTTGGTGATGCATCCAAGACTAAGTCGCCATCGTCCACGTCGCCCTGTTCGTAGACAATAGGCCGGCTAGAGTGCGTCTTGAGCAGTAGGACGCGTGATCGCGGATGGATATGGATGGTGGCGTGAATGTCTTTGATGAATCGGCGGACTGCCGTCGAGCTGGGCGTTCTGCCAGGCGGACAAAGAAGAATATCGGGCTTGCAGTGGCACAGTCCTTTCTCAACCAGTGCTGGAGATGGACCGGCACCGATGCGCCATCTAAAGCGGCCGGAGTCGAAGCTGTCGCACGAAGAGGGCACCGACAGCTGATAGCCAATTGCGTTTTCGTCGCTCTTGAGGGCGGGCGGCGATACTTTGCATTCGATGGTTTCTAGTAGGTGAATCGCAGCTTCATTATCCGCAGAGAAGACGGCAAGCTGGATGTCGCCGGCTTCCTCAGTTGGTTCGCCATCGGGAGCTGCTTCTGCGAGTGTCATGAGAATGGCTGGCGAAGAGCAGTGGCTATAGCGGGCGATGGGCGCTGGAAACAGCGGTTGTCGGGCATGAAGAAGGCAGATAGAGGACTAGAAATGAGTTAACCAAGTAGTTTTGCCAATGCGCATCTGCTTGTGAGCTCACATGGATTTGTTTTTATTCCCTGATGCGACAACTTCAATTGATTCTCTACCTGGTCGCGACTTGCGCTGATGCACATCGCAGGTCACGTGATGCGGTTGCGCGCCTCACTTCACAGCATCGTCAGCCGCTTTGCAGCAGTTCAGCAGACGATTGAATCCACCAACCGCCAGACACTCCACGACGGTCGCCGACGCCTCTCTCAGACATAATCCGGGCATAAATTGGCCGTTTAACGCGATGACGAAGCGAAAATCCGACACTGGCCCGGTTTTGCCGCGCAAAAGGGCCAGGCTAACGCAGCTTGACGATGCGTCCAACCCTCAGACTTGCCATGTCTTCCTCGCGCCGCCACAGCCACTGTCGCCAGTGATGCCTCCACGACTCGAGAAACGCAAGAGGAATAGATCCAAGGAGTTGCAGACCGACTCAGACGAAGAGCCAGGCGCAAAGCGGGCCAGGACGGACCACAACTCAGGCACCATAACCAGACGCTCTCGAAGCTCGTCTCCAGAGCTGTGGCCAAGCATAGGATATGAACCAGAACAAGAAAGGAAGCCAAACCTGTGGGCAGAGGCGTTTCACAGGGCGTGGATAGACGCAGAATCAGTGTGCAGCTGCCAGCCACAGACTGTGCATCGAAATCCGCTACCAAGCCCGGTGCCTTCAGATAGAGACACCAGCGAGCCCGATGTGGACGAATATGCAGCCATCAACGACACTCCTCTACCGCAGCATTCTACTTCAATACCACAACCGTCGCCATCCCCGAATTCGCAGCAAACGACTCTGCATGGCCCGTCTCCGCTCAGAAGGAAACGTCGAAGCTCTCGTCGGCAGTCTGCAATCCCTTCCCCAGCATCATCCCAAGGAAAAGATTCTCAGCGGCAGCCACGGCAGAAGAGAAATAGCCGTCGCACAGATCAGCGGCAAGAAGATAATGACCTACCTCTCATCGATACCATTTTACACTCGAGACGGTCTTCTAGACGGAGTCCTGGATGCGAACTGTGGTATTTAAACGACAATGGCATTGCGTGCGCAGTTACAAACAACAGGTGAACATTGCATAGGGAATCCAACATCCGAGTACCAGTTGGCTAGAAGGCATACCCGTTAACCTGGCAGGGCTGGGGGCAGCGGGCAGTCTTTCAGCATATAAAACTGGTGGCACGTCATAGTATACACCTGGCGCTTGATATGGTCGTTAATCTGACAGGGTCGGAGGCAGCGGCGTAATCAAGCTGGAGGTCGTTTACCACGATGAGCTGGTTCCTGAATCATGGTCGTTATCCTGGCAGGGCTGGGTGCAGCGGCGAAGATTTGGATGGCTCGGATGTTGGATTCTCACGATTATTGGAATTGCAAGCATAGGGAGCCGGCGTTATTTTCATCTCGCGATTTGTCTTTGTAGTAGCTAGTCCTTTCTTTATAGATACCCCGGCATGGTTTTACGCTGCTCGCCACAGCGCAATATATACCCACCTTTATCATGGCCTATTCACCCGCTTCATCGACATTTTTTGATAGCAATTCCTGATATGTAGCACGCCCTTGGCAATGCTCTTGGCGATATATCTCTAATGGATCAATCAAGAGTCACGCAGACACAATCATCGTGACGCGGCAGAATAGATGAATCAGTTGTTTTCACTGTCAATTTTCTATAAATCGTATAATAGCTTTCCAATGTCTACCCTAATTCTTCAACGCCAGATACTCCTTGCTGAATGGATAATCAATAAGACCATCTGGAGCCCCCACTTTGTAAAATGAGCTGCGGTCATATGGATTCAACTCAAGGCCTTTCTGGATACGGAATGGCAGATCAGGGTTGGCGACATATCGCCTTCCAAAGGCAACCACAATATCCTTGTCCTTGTGCTCCTCCACCAACGCCAGCGCCGTCTCTGGCAGATAACCACCAGTTGCAATGATCACTTTATCCCAGAGCGCCCACGCCCAGTCAAGCTTCTCGGTCCCATCTGTGTAGTCGATGCCCGAAACGCGAGACTCGATCAAGTTCAGGTAGCCAAGACCAACATCCTTGAGGCGGCGAATGAGGTCGGTGAATTGTGGGATTGGGTTTTCCATGCGCATGCCCTGGAAGTCAGACCACGGGCTCAGCTTGATTCCGACACGTTCTGCTCCAATGGCGTCGGAGACGGCTTGGGCAACTTCTATTACTAGTCGGTTTCTGTTTTCGATGCTACCGCCGTACTCATCTGTTCGCTGGTTGCTCACATCTTGGATAAACTGGTCAAGAAGATAGCCGTTGGCAGCGTATAGCTCGACGCCGTCAAAGCCAGCTCGGATAGCGTTCTTGGCGGCTCGGACGTAGTCGTTGATGGTGCTCTTTATATCCTCTATGGTCATTTCTTCAGGTACCGCACCGCCTTCGAAACCAATGGCACTGGGTGCTTTGATTGTGAATCCTTCTTCTTCAGCCTCTGCTGGCTGGGCCGTTCTTCCGAAAGCCATAAGCTGAAGATACATGGAGTTGCCCTTGTTGTGGATTGCGTCCACGATAGGCTTCCATCCCTGTACATGCTCTTCGCCCCAAATAGCCGAAGTGTAGCCCATGCCACCGTGGTGTTTAGCTACTGCCGCCGATTCAGCAATAATGAGGCCACCTGGCATGGAAGCGCGTTGAAGGTAATATTCTTTCATCAGATCTGTTGCAACATGATTCTTGTCGGCGCGAAGTCGTGTGAGAGCGGATAGTACAACTCGATGGCTAAGCTCTACCTTGCCGAACTTTAAGGGTGTGAAGAGGAGAGAGTCTGTGGAAGCCATTGTTTGATGTCTAATAGGCTAGTGTGAATATTATATCCAAGTATAGATATGTTTGATGAAGGGAAACGATTTGTGTATAAGTTCGAGATGCTTGAGTCTATTGATGGAGAGTAATCTTGGATAGTCAGGGGACTTGTGATTGTCAGGGATAGAAGTAATAGATGTCCAATTGAGTTGATGGTTTGTTGTTTATTGTTGATACTATTGGAAGCTTGGAAAAAAAAAAGAATCTTGGAAGAATATCCGCCACGTATATATACATCTCTGGACAACACTTTCAGCAAGGAAGTCAAGCGATTCTAGAAGCAGCCACTAATTGAATCGGAACAAACGGGAATAAACCTATAATCTCATAATACAGCTTTATAAGGAAGAGCGAATATTTTTACAAGAGCTCTCCTTAAAAGAGTTAGTAATGAGGCCTTCAGTTCGCAAGATTCCATTGTTAAATTAACATGTTTAAAAAGAGGTCATCTACATTACGCGTGATTCCAGCATTAGCAGGCCTCGCTAAAAGTTCCGAGAGGCCATTCCAAAATAGGAAAAATTGTTGCGGACTGCTTGTCCATACCAAGTTAGCTCTCTTGATTTTTGGGCACGGTCTGTCCTAGGAGCGCTGGCGTTTTCGTTTTTCCCACTCTCTTGCGAGGACGGAACAATGTCCAAGTGAAAATTAAGCTTCAATGGTTTGATAAGCATTATATAAGATATCATCGCTAAGCTAGATATGGGGACAACGAATGCCAACATTTCTACTCAATTTGGAAAACGCCACTACGTCATACCGATCAGCACCCACTTCTTGTCTTAAAACGCCCGAATAGTTGACAGTTCAGCCGTGTATCGGTGGCATGGAGGTCCCGATAACATAATTGCTAGATACATACGAAGAAATGCGATTATGGTGGAGATTGAGTTTTGCTATTGCGATTTGCTATTCGCTATGTAGTACCCAGCACTTGTTAGATAGTACACTGCTATGAGACAATCAGACCACATAAGCACTTGACGAAAAGCCTCTTATATTTTCAATAGAACTTCCGTATCCTTGCTTCTTGCGCCAACATTGTTCCTGGTAAACTGAATCTCAGCTCGTTAGATTCATTTTGAACAGGTTGGCGACTGTAAACTCCATACGTTACCGGAAAGAGGATCTTTAAGACTGCTTGTCATAAGATCTTGGTCCTTGTTTGCATTACGCACTGGTCTTCTCAATACACTACACAGTCCTATTATTGCAGTGACTATTAAACTTGAACAATCGCTGTGGCAAGGGTTGTTGATGACTCCATTAGCACGGTCTCGCCGTTGGGAAGAAAATAGTGCTGGCCGAGACGTGGGCCCGCTTGTTGACGACTACACTCCAAGGGTTACTCGCCCGAGATCAATGGTTGCTTGTAGCTTGCCTCGCTTAGTTCTTATCGCAAGATTTATCTGTCACTTATCACTTATTAAGAACTAGTATGCAAGGCGAATCTACGCTGAAGTTCTTGCGACAAGGTTCACAGATAGTACGAGATTGGGAGTGCGAATACCCAAGATCTTTAAGAACAGTTACATACTTCCAGGTACTATACAATCTATAGATTTGTCTAAAGCACTACAGATTGTTGAAGCCAGGAACAGTTGAGCTTCTTGTGCCGAGCCCATAATAGTCATTGGACACTTGGGATTCATGGTTATATCTGGTTCATTTGGTATCATCGGATCAACACGACAGAACAAAAGCATTAATTGACGTGCCTGTATAACAAAATATATGAGATAAGAAGTCAGGTCTCTATCAGTGGAATACCCAGTTAGTTGATGACGGGGCTGTTGGAGGTAACCCAGTAGCTTCTACCTCGAGGCTCAATCCTTACATATCATCGGGATATCTAGCTAATCAACAAGAATGTCAACTTGATGGCGGGTTTCTGGAATGCTTTGATATATAAAATGTTTCATAGTATTAGCATACACAGCAATGCGCGATCTATCATCGCGTACAAGACTCTCAAAGTTCGTACTTTGGTTCATTCTCGATACCCAGGTGCAGTAAATACACATTGGCTCACCTATAAACTGGACACCGAGTACTAGGGATTATGATGTTCTCAATCTCACCTTGTAATAATTGAGTTTTACTAGCGGTTTTAGACCAACAAGTAATATCGCGATTGCAAAATGCTGTTGTTTTATACTATAGCCGGAAGCTTCGTGGGCAATATGAACAGCTTGATAAATTCATCCTCGAAGTTAGGCCAATTTCTTTCTCTAAGCAACTCGTTGAAGGACTACCTAGGTATTCAAGACATGTCAAGAGTGAATAGAGCGGACATATCGGATCTTAACGGACTATCACAACAGTCGCTAGATACAAAGACCTGCCAATCCCACTGAATCGGGCTTAAGCCATAATTCCGGCGATCCATTTCAGGTCAGGCCATGGCGAAGCTCTGCAGGTTATATACAAATGACTTACCCGTCGTTTATTCATTATTCCATTCTCGCTACTGTACAAACCAATTACCATTTAAAAACGAGATATGACTGTCTTCTTGATAACTGGCGCGAGCTCTGGCCTAGGCCGCCAGCTAAGTCTCGATGCTCTACGGCAGGGCCACAAAGTCTTCGGCACAACTCGTAGCTCAAATAGAGCTAGAGAATCTAGCCCAGATTTCGAAAGCTTAGGAGGCGTTTGGTGTGAACTGAACATTTCTAGCGCATCGTGCGAAAACTTGATCCGCGATATCGCTGAGAAAGAGAATGTGGATGTTTTGGTTAACTCGGCTGGGTATGCACTCTTGGGTCCTGTGGAGCAGATTAGGTTTGTGACATTCTTTTTCCTGGATAAGATATCTTAAAAAGAGAAATTAACACTGATATCATCGGTTGCAGCGATATAGAGGCTCATGCCCAGATGGAAACCAATTTCCACGGGACATTGCGGGCTATTCGAGGCGTTCTCCCGACATTCCGCTCTCGCCAATACGGTATCATCGTTAACATCACTAGTGGAGCAGGATTCATTGGGCTCGCTAGCCGAGGATTATACGCCGGCAGCAAGTTCGCGGTAGAGGGGCTTTCAGAGGCACTCGCGAATGAAGTCGCCCCGTTCAACATACGAATAATCATCGCCGAGCCGGGTGCATTTCGAACCAATTTTATGGACACTCTGGTTTTCCCAGAATCAGGACTAGGCCCGTACGAAGGTACTCCGACTGCGAAAATGGTTGAAGTGACGGAAGATATGAAGCGGCGTAAGTTTGGAGACGTCGCCAAGGCTTCAGAGGTGCTTCTCAACGTCATCCTCGGTACGGGCCCTGCAGCTTCTGAGGATGTCAAAAAGTGTTTGCGAGTACCTATGGGCCAAGACTGTTGGCCTCTGGCCAAGAAAGAAGCAGAGGCATGGTTGAAAGAATTGGCCACGATAGAGACCATCTCAATGAGCATTGGAAAAGAAGAATAGAGTTACATATGTGATGATTACATAGCCACCAAAGACGCAGAGCAATGACAGGAGAGCATGTTGTAGGACACATATTACTCTTAATAAGTGAACTCCATTATTTTCAGTGAGATGCTCAATTTGTCGCGACGGTTTCTTTTTCGTCCAACACCTCTCAACCAAAGTCGACATTATAGCTAAATAGTAGAGTAAATACTTACCAGGCAAGTAAGCAGCTTATTCCTACCAGCACAAGTATCCAGGCTTGAATACAGCCAGTGTCATCACATCGCGCGGACCTCCTTTTGGTTTCTTCGACATCTGCTTGTCTTTTGATCTATTTTCATGTTAGCCATGCCACAGACAGGAATGCCCGAAGATTATACATACAGCTGCGAGATTTCCATTCGGTCAGCATCAGTGAGCAGTTTCCTGTGATGTAGCCCAGGCTTCATCGATTGAACAATATCTCGGCAAATCTCCCAAACTCGATATGGCTGTTTCTCCTGTAAAGAGCCCTTATAATCTGTACCAAAGGCAAATAGAGGCCAGTGGAGCAGTTTATTCGATGGAAAGCGAGCACTTTGCGTATAACTTGGCATGAGATATTCCAGATATCCATGTAGCTGGTTTTCGATGATGATGTCGTGAGAGGTTTTTCCGGCAATGTCCTCATAGAACAGGACATGAGGCGCTTTCTCGATAAATGGACGAATGAGATGTTCCCGCGAGAAGATTGAGACCTAGTAAGAATTGTTATTAGCCAACAGAGAAACTTGATAGAAGAAGGGGAAGCGTACAGTGTGGAGAGGTGTGAAGCCTCTGCCGTCCCACATCTCCATCGGCTTTGTTGTAGAAGCCTCCAACAGATCGATGGATACTGCGCTTGGCGCATACTTGACAGTGGAAGATACCCAACGCGCAAGAGGTGTCAGCCCCCCGGGGCTTTCAATACAACGCTCCTCTTGAAGCTTTTCAAGTACTGGCTTTTCCACCAGGCGGAAAAAAGAAGAGAGTTTTCCAAGTTCATAAGGATAATTCCCAGTGGGCGAGACTAGGAAAAGGTGAAGCATATTTCGCCCAAATGTATCGGTGGCGAAGGGGTTAGCCTTTGCTTCAAGAAGAATACGTATACTCTCGACCTGCTGGCACAATGCTGCTGTCAGCAAGGGCGTCCATCCGTCTATAGATTTGACCTCGAGAAGTTCCGGACGAGCTGAGAGGACAAGTCTGACTAGTTCTGGTTTACCAGACAAGATGGCACAATGCAAGACAAGATTTTCTGACAGACAATGGTTATTGATGGTCATCAAATAATGAAGCGGCAGAAACTTACCTTCTTTATTGACCCATTCCTTCACGGCGCTCATAAAATCGGCTCGGGCTTGTTCGGGGCCGAGTTTGTTGGTTGAAAAGTCGTTGTGTGCAGCAAAATGCTTGTATGCTGCCATTAATTTGGATTTATCAAGGAAGCTCCGCACCATAGTTATGTTGCCAGACCAGGCGGCTCGAAGAAGAGGAGACAAATGGCGAATTCTGTCAACCTGCTTTCTGCCTTTCAATTTTCCTTGAACCATGGTATGCTGAAATGGAGCACCGGTTGCTTTAACCCGCTCTATGACACTCGCAGGCCAATCTCCCCATTCCATCATATGATAAACGGAGCGAGGACTATTTTTGACATCGTCTTCGTCAAGTCCAAACGAGTAGTGCATTTCAGCCGCAAACTGGAACATCTCCTCGTCTTTTTTATGTTCTGCAAAATTGATAGCTCCACTGTCGCGAACAATCGCTCTCGCCGATTTCGTTGACTTGACTTGAGCTGAAACACCCTTGATGCTTTCAATGGAGTGTTGATCGTCGGCTAAAGCACTCGATAGATCGTTTGCATCATTATCCACGAAATCAGCCTGCTGAACTGCCGAGATTTGAACTATAGTGCGAGCCAGGTCATAATTTCGCGATTCCACAGCAGCGTGGTAAGGGCCTTTCGAGTAGCCAGTGCACTCCGATATCGAAATAGGGGGAAACTTGAGGTCGATGCCCCATCTGCCCAATGTAAGTGCTTTTACCAGCGCAACATCATTGTTTCTGCAAGCGGCTAGTCTAAATCAAAAGAGAAAACGTGTATTAGTATCGCACTTTACCAAATTCCAGGGCAAATTAGGAAACTTACAATAGCGTCTGTCCATCTTCCTCTGTTTCCAGCTTGTTGACGTCGATTTCATCAGTAGATATATGTGAAGGTGGTAAGACCTCAGCTGGTGCCTTAGGACTAGGAGCATGTAATTGAACTCTTTTATGAGGTCGAGGTTCCACAGCGGCTTCAACGTTCAGCCCGTCAGTTACCTTGGCTCCCAAAGAGACTAATTTTGCTTCTGCTTCTTCATACAGCTTGATCATCTGCATAACTGCATTTTCCTTTCCATCCCGTTGGTTAGTCTCCTCCGGCGTCCCTACCAGTTCCTGAGGGACGGTCTCATCTTCTTTATGCCAGCCACGCAGCTCTGCAAGTTTGACACTTACTAGGTCCAAGACACTGCGGGAATCGCGAGACCAAATCAGGCTACGAGCCTGGTGATCAGTGAAACGAGAATTGGGATCTACTCCGCGATTCAACAATTCCGTCACCATCCGCGGCATTTCAAAATGAGCAGCACACAAAATTGGCTGCCAGAAATCCTCTTCGGCGGCTTCCAAAGCAGTCTTTCCAAAATTATAAAATGAACCCTTTTTGTGAGCATCTAAGGAAGAGTCGAATTCTATTTTTGGAGGTGCCCCATATGAAAGAAGCTTGAATGCCGTATCCTCAAGGCGACTCTCGATTGCAGAAGTCAGAGCGTTTTGGAATCTCATCGATTCCCCCCATGTATATTTCCCGATCGCATGGGCGAAGGCTTCTGAGTCGAGTTCCGCAAAGATATCCAGTACATCTTCGTCTCTCTGCAAAATTAGAAGAAGCACCGTCTTTGATACTGTACCTGTTGATGGGCTGAGCAAGCTGGCACCACGTTGAATTAGGATCTTCAAGAGAGAACGACAGGTATCGCGTGGATGCTGAAGAGCTGCTTCAAGAACATCGGCGGTTCGAGTTCCTTTTTGGATGTCTTCTTTGCCAACAATTATGTTGACATCAGCATGGTAGGTATCTAGCAGAACTTCCACAACTTCTGGATGTGCTATTTCTCGTGTAAGCTCCCATTGAACATGATGGATCAATCTCCGACTTACCTAGAGCAACAGCAATGTAGAGTGGTGAAATTCGGTGCTTCTGCGTCAGGCAATCCACGTGTACAGTGCGATCTTTCGTTTTATCATCAGCGGTGACATTGCCCTGAGTAGCTAGCTTCTTTGCCTCGAGAGGTTTCATGACCGCGTGCAAAACATCTACATCGCCTCTCTTAGCAGCGAGATGCACTACCGCTTCGCCTTGTGCAGTCCATGCATCCAAACTAGCGCCATTGTCGATCAGATGTTGGCAAATCTCTGCCGACGCTGCAATAATTGCCAGATGCAGTGCAGTTCGACCAACAGGATCTCGAGCTTCAAGGTCCACTTCCTTTGATGCGAGACTTTGTCTGAGACTAGGGATGTCTGCAGAAACAATGGCCTCAAAGATGTTAGATTGAACCGGGCGTGAGTCTTCCTCTGCCATTGTGATATTGCTGCTTCAAAGCAATGTTTAATAGAACGAGAAAAAAGAGTTTGTGTGGTCTGATCACGGATGAAAGCTGGGAGAAAGTGAACGCGACTTTATAGTGACTAAGTGTAAGTCAGCACTCACTAGCGCATGGCTGCCTAGCAAAAGGTCCATTGACTAAGCTGAAGAGAATGCTTCAATTTCTCGTTTGATTGTTATAGCTATCTCATTCCACGGGCGAAAAGCCCCCTGAGTTCAAGTCAAGTGGTTCGCTGCCTGCGAATATATTGACATGCAGCCAAGAGTTGGCTGTAGCTTTGCACTTACACCAATGCCCTGCATGCAGATCAGCCAAGTGGCGCTCTCTTGGCACCCGCTAACACCAGCGTTGATCTCATTCATCCGTACAAGTTCGTTGCTTCGTATGAGCGAGACTTTACTTGAACTCGTGGGATCTTTCTATGTGGGCATATATAGACAAAATTGAGCTATGACCAGATCTGCAGTTCTGTAGTCTTAGAGCTTAATGATCCTTCCATTAGCCACAGCGGCAGGGCCCCAAAAGAGGATTGCGAATAATCTTCCTTCGAGAGCCCCACTGAACAAAACAGTCTGGCGCAGATACTGACTGCAACTCGCTATTCAACTGATGCAGAACTTCCTGTATCTAAACAAGAGCGAATGAAACTTAGACTTGTTGGACAAGAGTTGGTATCTACGAAGCAGATTCTTACCCATATCAGCACGTCTCAGAACTAAATCTGCAGATCCATCAGCCTTCAATAGTGACGCCACGCCTTTCTAATCACTTTGGCCTGAGTCTAACTGCCTGCATCTACGCCTCAGATGTATATATATGGATAGAAAGAAGGAAAGAAAAGGAAAGAAAAAGAGAAGGAAATTGTAATTTTATCTTCATTTCAGCTGTAACTACCTAGTGACTGTCATACCCGCGCGAACGCATAAGGCATTCGAAAGACTCTCAAGAATGAGGGGCGAAGACCCTCCCATAGAGGGAAAGACTCTTGCATACTCATGTGGGGTTAAACGCCTCAAAGGACCATGAAGGAGAAGAATTGATCTTTTGGGCACTTCAAAATGTATGGGGAGTCAAAGATCAGATTCCCTCAGTTATTCGTCACCTTGTTTCATGTTCGACACTGCTTCACTCTGTAGCTTCTTGTGTCGCAACGATTTCTTCCCCCGCCTCATATCGCTAGTCGCTAGATCTGTTAGGCGCTGAGGGTTGAAACACTGACCATATCAACTGCGTCAACACCATTACTCTAAGCTGCTTGGATAGGCTTAATCGTGGAGAGCTTCTCAATTCATTCTAGGCTCATGAATGACTAAAATGAATCATAAATGCATTTTTGACTGAGCGCAAAATTGAACACCTAAGCAATGCATTACAGAGGGCCGATAAACTGTGGGCGCGTTAGTAGTTGTAATGCATACGCCTAGGAGCCTTAGCGATGATATGATCGCTTTTGATGAGCATCAGCTACATAATACACGAACTCAGTCATATCAGCCTTCCATCGGCAAACATTCTAGGCTCGCGGCTGCTTCCAAAGTTTAGCTAGGATGGCATTTAAATCTTTCCGCGTTCGTCGCTACCGGAGTCCGCTTAATCGCGCTCATAGGTTGCTACATGATTTCATCGCTTATCCCATCGACAATAATAAGGGTGACAAACTGTCCACCAAGAAAAGTTGAGTATCTATACCTTTTGAAACGCGCATTTCAGTAACTACTATCATTTACGATGTATATCTCACTTAAGGTCAGAAAATATTGCATAAGCAATTGCCGGTACTTTACACAAGCCAACACCATGTGTTGCATGTAGCTACAATCTTTTGCCTCCTGGTTATATAACAATACAGGCAGAACAGTCTGCATAATGATACTGAAGTGAAACTGCTTTATTGTACACCTTCTTAGCTCATAGTTACTCTATTAATAATATTTCATTTCGCTTTGAGCTGAGTCCAGAGCATTAGTAATTCTCTCCGTTGAGAAAGGGGATTGCCCTTGGTCTTGTTACCAGATGCTGTTGCAGCAAGTAGCACTAGACACAAAAGCAGAGAATACTTTAAACGTAAGGCCAATGAGGATATATAATGATCACTAATCAAGAGACGTAAATGACAAGATTAATAATCTTTATATCGAGATTTAGGGACTGTAGCACATAGGATCACTAAACATTCTGCTTGGCATTTATCGAGATCTTCATTATGATTTATAAAACAACAGTGTTCTTTTAGCAATGGATACGTATCAGATGAGACATTAAATAAATTAGTATAAAAGACAGCCCGTTTCAAGAATTGACTGAGGAATGTCATTAATATTTAGAAATTAATCTTGATTTCAGTTGTTCAAAATGTCAGACTTGAGAGAGATCTTAGTCATTGGTGGAACGGGTGCCCAGGGCACTCCAGTTGTGAAAGGTGAGTAAGTATGATGTGTCTGAGATTAAGGGTACGCTAATAATTGGAATAATTCAGCACTCTCTGAGAGTGAACGCTACCGCGTGAGAGTATTGACTCGAAACTCCAAGTCGCGACGAAGCCTAGAACTAGCCGCTTTGCCGAATGTTACGCTCGTCGAAGGTAGTCAAGACAACTTGGAGGATCTTCGAAGAGCGTTTGAAGGCGTATACGGAGCTTGGGTTAACCTGGATGGGTTCACTCTTGGCGAGAAGAACGAAGGCTTCTACGGCGTCAGGGCCTATGAGATAGCTAGACACCACGGTGTAAAGCACTACGTTTGGGCCAATACAGATTATGCGCTTCGCAAGTCGGGCTGGGATGAGAAATATCATTGGGGTCATAACGACGCCAAAGGTCGTATCGGCGACCTAATACTCAGCCATGGCCAAGAAGGCATGAAGACGACCCTTTTTACTACTGGGCCATACATGAATATGCTCTTCGACGGCATGTACGTGCCAAAGGAGCAAGACGACGGATCCTTTGTCTGGGCAAATCCTGCCAGTATGTCCAGTTGATATTGCCATTCATCCTAGGTATCTCATTCTAACATACTCAATAGGCAATGGAAAGATACCATTGATAGCTCTCGAAGATGTGGGCGTCTACAATCTTTGGATCTTTGACAACCCACAGGAATCAGCTGGGTTTGATCTAGAGGTCGCCACTGACCAAGTCAGCATGGCCGACATTGCAGAAACATTCACCAAGATCACTGGCAAGAAAGGAGTCCACAAGAAGCTACCTCTCGATGAATACTTGGACCTTGCTGAGCCATACCCTAACGCATATGCGAACTGGGCAGCGGGCCCCAATGCCATTCGAGACAAGGATATGATGACTTGGCGAGAGAACTTTACGGCTTGGTGGCGGTTCTGGGGCGAGGGTAAGGGAGCGACCAGAGACATGGCATTGTTGGATAAGATTCATCCTCAAAGAATCAAGACATTGGAAGAATGGATGCGAATTGTAAACTATGATGGAAAACGGCGCTCGGTTATGAAAGGCCTCGAAGACTTGAGAGCTCAGAGCTCCGCAACTAACTAGTAAGTGCTGTTCGACGATTACAGAAAGGGCATTCTTAGGCTTGAGAAACATGAATGTCTTGGAAATAAATGAAACAATTCAACCAAAGGATACTAGTTAAATCGTGATAATTTTAACAAAAATCGTATCCCAAGTCCTTTGCTCGAATAAGCTGTAGAGATAGTCTAGCCCATGTAAGCTTAAATTTGCGGCTCGCACTTTAGCAAATATGATGATAGTACGGCACTTCTTGTCAAGCTATACCACTTTCCTTTATTACACACAATACTAAATCTTCTGATGCCAGTGCCAAAGAAGCATAGAGACCCATGGCAAAAATGACGGAGGGATCCAAGGTCGAATGGGAATTTGGCTCGGATAATGGCAATACCGATCAACAGTAAAGGATATTTCATAAAGGGTTTTATATTTGCTTTATAGCTTCTCATATACCCACGCCATGAGCCAGTTTATCCATGTACATATGTAGTAGATATTAACCTATGCTTATGCTCGTGACAATGTGGCCACTTGTACTACGGTATAGGCACTACAATCTTTTTCTTGTAGTATCTCTTCTCTGCAGCTGTTTTGGTGCTCCCCACCTGCCAGCTCATGCGTCAGCAGCTCTTCTTAGCTTATACGAGAGTAATTACCAGTACGGGCCGCTCTGAACTAACCCTTAACAAAAAGACAAGGCTGTTTGTACTAAACAAATGCCAATTCACCTTCCACCAGACTGCCTATTTTCTCCCATCAAGCCCCTTTCTCATGATCTGCCGGCACATTCTTTTGTCTGCTTATACGGAGTAGGCTCTGGGAGTCTCGGAAAGGCTCAGGCTCCTCATGGATTGTGTTCCCTGTACGCATGTGGGGGCTGTTGGTAGCACAATTGGCCCCGATGAATAGCGACCTGTAAAAGGCTGCCGCCTTATCCGAGATGCCGACACCCCCGCAGCAGGAACGTGATCGATACTGAGAGCTACGGTGGTTAACCGAACTCTGTTTGCCCAAACAGGCTGGTGGCAGTCAGATTGTCGGTAATCTCGTGTTTAGAAGAAACGGCCTCTGTAGGCTACGAGCGCTAAAATTAGCTGAGCTCGGTTCATTGTGCGATATGAAATGCGCAGATTTTGGCTTCAAAGTACCCTAGAAGCGGTTATATTTCTGGTAGAAAAATGAATATTGTATCTAATCACCATGTATGAAGGGTATTCTTCAGCATTCATGTCGAGCGAGTTGTAAAGTAGCTCTAAGTCAAATAGGCGGATGGTATATAGAAAATACATGTAGCTGGTGGGCAGCTCGCATGTAAACTTTGGAGAAAAGTATATTTTGTTAACTATGACAGGTATGGGAATTCGGTTATATTTTCCAGGGCAGCGGAGGGGGTTGGACCAAGCATTTATCAATTCATGACAGCTATGAACTCTGCTAGACGCTTGCTTTCAACTTTGATTAGCAGTTATTCTTTCTAGTTGGGCAGTGTTATAAATCATGTATACCGCTCTACTGTTATTCAGATACGGGAGAAGTGGCGTGAGCATTTTGCAAATTTCCTTTTTTGGGCAATCTTTAGCTCAGCTGGCAGTGCGGCGTGTTATTCCAATGTCCCCTAATCCTTTCGATGCCAATCGCGTAAAGCCTCGCAGGAGATGGTCTCGAGACATGCAAAAAGTTGCATGCACAGAGACCGATTTACCGTGCCTCCCAAGAAATCGACGGATCAGCGATCTATCGAGTGGCACATCGTAGCTTGCGCATCTAGCTCCATATTTCGCGTCCTAGCTCTGTCATGCTGCCCGCTACCCATCTCCAATGGCCAGGGGTGCATGTTGTTTCTTCTAATTTTGGCTCTTGGCTGTCCGTCTTGCCGTCATACTTGTACGTGTTGCTTCACTTTGCTGCGCCTCTTGGACCGTGGATTGGAGACTCGTATTCTGCCTGATATTTGGCATTGTGGCTTGTAGAGTCTAAAGACCTCGTTATGGTCGATTCCGTGGCAGACTGCTTCTTAACAAGTCTTGTTATTCTTCCTCTTTGTCTTGAAGAAACGTCCGCTCAGATCAATGCTTCAAGAATAGTGTACGGGTGCACGCTAGGATCCATGCGGAGTGAGGCATCGTTACGTCACGAAGCAACGGCGTGCATGGCTAAAGCGTCTCGTATGGAATGGAGCACTCCGTAGACGAGCAGATACTGGCAATGCTCTTCTCTCTCATCAACCCCATCAACCAAAGAGCAGAACGGCGTACTCCTAGTGGCACAACGACACCGAGTGTCGTATCTGCGGTTCGTATTCATGGGAACATCAGCTACACATTTGTAAATGCACCGCAAATCATGGTCCGTTTTGTTGACGTCCAGCCAACAACGCGTCAGCCCAACATTCTGGCTAAATGTGCTAGTGGCCAGTCTCCTCCACGGGTTGTGCATCTCTCCGATGTGGTCCCACAAGCGTCCTGTAGCATGTCGTGGTTTTCGCCGCCCGCCATAAATGCGACGCTGCCCCTGTCATCATGGCGGATGTGCCTGAGTCCCAGCCTAGCCGCCGGATTCATGATGGAGGGTACTGAATATAAGTCATCTTAGGCCTCTCCCGGCCGCTCACTCTGTCGTACCTGGAATCCCCAGTTTGCTTTAAAAGAGTCCGACGTGCCGATTTTCAGCTGCGGCAGCACTCAACCTTTGCTGGTGCTTCATTTGGTGGCCGATGTCCATTGTAGATGCGCAATCGAGAATGCATCTGTGACAGTGACATCTGAATAGCAACCTACAGCACCCACCCATTCGTTTGGCAAGAATTCGTCGTGTAGTTTTTCCCCTCTCGAGCCTGCCACCCAGCTTCTCGGCCGCTGTTACGAACTTTTGACGCTGAATGAATCTTTATTGAGTCCACGAATTACTGCAGTTACACCATTACAATACCGTCGCCATGGGAATGTCCAGGGTTTTATTTCCACTTTTAACGCTCGCTTCCAGCGCTCTGAGCGCTGATCTGCCGGCGATTCAGATCAAGGTAGGCTTGCGAATTTCCAATAGCGTCAAGTTGGTCATGTATTACATCCATCAAGACCAACTTGTCCATGGTTCTGTATTTGACTCTGACACCCCATGGTCAATTTCTAGGGCTCCAAGTTTTTCTACGAAAACGGAACCCAATTCTTCTTCAAAGGAGTCGCCTACCAACAGGACTCCTCCGCCAATGGCGCAGAACCGACAAGTTCCAAATTCGTCGATCCGTTGTCCAACGAGGCCAACTGCAAGCGTGATATTCCCTTGTTGAGCCAGCTCGGAACCAATGTCATTCGTACCTATTCGATCGATCCGACGGCAGATCATTCTGCCTGTATGAGCATGCTGAATGATGCGGGAATCTATGTCATCTCGGACCTCAGCAATCCGCAGCAATCTATAGTTCGCGACAATCCCCAGTGGGATGTTGACACCTTTAATCATTTCCAGCAGGTAGTCGACAGCTTCGCCAATTACACAAACGTCATTGGCTTTTTTGTCGGTAACGAAGTCACAAACAATGGTTCTACAACAGAGGCTTCATCCTACGTCAAGGCCGCCGTGCGAGATGTGAAGCAATACATCAAGGACAAGAAATATCGCACCATGGGCGTCGGTTACGCCGCAGATGACGACGCAAGTATCCGAAACCAAATTGCGGCTTACTTCAACTGCGGACCAACGGAAGAGTCGGTTGACTTCTTCGGCTACAACGTTTACGAATGGTGCGGCCAGAGTACATTTGAAGATTCTGGTTACAACAGGATTCTCAACTTCTTCAAAGACTATTCTGTGCCTGTATTCTTCGCAGAATATGGTTGCAACAAGCCAAATGGCGCTGCCGGCCGCGTTTTCCAAGAAACAGGCGCGCTCTACGCAGCAAACATGACAGAGGTGCTCAGTGGCGGTATTGTTTATGAATATTTCCAAGAGGACAACGACTACGGTGCGTATTTCAACTTGAAGCAGTTCGAATTCATCACCCAAAGAAAAGAAAGCTAATAAGAAACTGAAATGCATAGGCCTCGTCAAAGTCAGCGGCAACACCGTGAGCAAGCTCAAGGACTTTGCTGCACTTCAGAGCCAGGTTCAGCAAATAAACGTCAAAGGAGTACAGATGAGTGACTACAAGCCCACTAATACGGCTGAAGACTGCCCAGCAGTAAATTCAACGTGGCAGTCGAGCGAAAAACTCCCACCCACTCCCAACTCTGACGCCTGCAGCTGCATGTCCAAGGCGGCTCAATGTATCGTTGCAAACAGCACGGCTACGGATGATTACGGTTCAATCTTTAGCTTCATCTGCGGGTCGGATCAGACTTTGTGTGACGGCATCAATGGAAACACTTCTACAGGTGTCTACGGCGGATACAGCATGTGCGGCAACCAGGACAAACTCACCTACGTCCTGAACCAGTACTACCTGAAGCAGAACAAGGATAGCACGGCATGCGACTTCAACAGCAGCGCTCAGACACAGACAGCCTCAGGGACTCTGGACAAGTGCAATGAGCTGGTCGCCTCAAGCAACTCTTCGGGCAGCGGCTCGGATTCGAGCAGCGGTGATGGAAAGGACGGTGGAAACTTGGGCGCTCTGAACGCTCCTATTCCCGGCAGTTGGGTGCTCGGCTTCTTGCTCCTGGCCACTATTGTTAGCACAAACATGCTGAGCTGATTGATCCGCCAGTAGTTGTTGACACATGAAAGGGGTTGAAGAAATGACGCCAAAGAGAAGTTGTATGCTGTAATAAATATTATCTTAATACACTGATATATCAATATGCTGTTTGAATGCACTTGGGCGTTACCAAATCGAGCCAGCAACAGAGTATCAAACGATGATGAATGGATCTACCCTCCATCAAGCACATCCGGGTTTACCCGTGGGGATGGTGATTTGATATTCCGTACCTAGCGCTTAAAGCCTCCAATACCTAGGCAAGTGCGCGGTCTTCAAAAACACCGGAGGTGGAGAAACGATCAGCACACAACTATACACTACGCACACATATGATAGGCGCTAACGTCTTGGGCAAAAGTGCTTCTCTGACAGATCTGTATGTGTATACTTGTCCGCCGCTCTACTTTTTTTGTAGGATTTTGGAGAGGTGCCCACTGCGGGCACCAGTAAATAGGCCTGTGTCTGCTGTTGCGTTAATTTCTTATCATGGCTACAACAAGGAAACCGAATCTCGCAAGGAAGAATATAAAACAGTAGCTCAAGTATTACCACTTTCATCTCTCTGGGTGTTGAAACACTCTCGATACTGATTGCTATTTCACACGCATAGCTAGCTCAAACACTATTTCTACCACCCGAACCGCCAATATGCCTATTTACCACGTCGGTATGCTGGACCTCAATGCAAACGATCAAGAGTTTTTGGATAACATGTAGAAATAAGTTCTCTTCAAATTGAAGCCGGAAGTCACCGCGGAGCAGATAGAAAACTGGGGGAAGTTGGCCAACGCCATGCTAGGCCAAGTTCCTGGTGAGTAAATGTTTCTGGGATTTCGACGCACGTCATTAATCTCGTCTATGCAGGTCTAACTAAAATCTCCTTTGGCAAGCCGTTGCCTATGACTGCTTCCAGGGCAAAGGGCTTTGATATGGGTCTTGTGGCAATCTTGGATTCGCCAGCCGCTCTTTCTACCTATGCGGCTCATGATACCCACCTCCCGTATGGATATATGCTTTTCTACCTTGTATAACAACTACTGACCTTGTATGTAGAGTTATGAAGCTGAGGGAAGAACTCTGCGATGATGCTTTGGCTTATGATCTTGAATTCGACGTTTAGATTAGCATCCAAGGATCAGGGGAGATTTGCAGCCTTGATACAGCTTTATCGATTTAGACGGCCTAGTTATGCTATTTACTTACTAGACGATGTAGAAATTATAAAGCATGATGAATAAACAATGTATAAAGAGGTGCTGTGATTGAAGTATGTAAGTTGAAGGGTCATCTCCCGAATCACTTTGTGGTTGACGGGCTCGCAATGGAGTTTTTCCCATCTATACTACTCGTTGGAGACGATTTGGTCGCATAGCTTTTAGGAAATATTGTTCGCTGTCACATATTGTAAATGTATCGTATGCACTTCGCAACTGTTGAGCTAGATGAATTGACTATCTGGGTACTTTAATCGCTCTTTAGTGATTCTAAAAAGACTGTTTGCTAACTGCGGAGTGGGTTTCCCCGCTGTTTATGGTGAGCATTGACTGTTGCAAAATATCTCCGCGAAAAGGAACCACAAACTGCATATTATGGAAGGTCTCGTGTTACAAAGTAATTGCATCGTTAGATCAATACTGCTTTAATTCTCCAGTAGGATTTTGGTGCGGGCGATGCTATTGTAAGTGCTTATAAAACTGTGGTCCTGTATTTATAATTGAATTTTTAGCCTGGTATTGCGTGCGACGCCATCCTTTTCGAAGAGCTGTCAAAGAGCTGCTAGAAGCTATTAAAAAGCTGTTAAAAAGCCGCTAAATAATAAAACTTGATGTTCAAACTAACCTGCATTCTTGAACTTCTTTTTATCTAATCCATATCTACACTGGGTAGTCCACAAAGAAACGTGCAGATGTCTGCGACAAAACCAATTTTGATCTCGGGCGGCGGCCTCTCGTCCTTGTTATTGGCTCAATCACTGCGACAGTCTAGAATACCCTTCAAGATATTTGAGCGAGATACTTCATTTTCTTTTCGCGCTCAAGGGTATCGTCTGAGGCTGTCGACAGAAGGACTCGAGGCTATTGAGTCAGTTTTGGACCCTCCAACGTGGCAGAAATTCTGGGACAAATGTGGTAAAACAGGCGGCGCCGGCTTCACTGCATATGATGCCATAACTGGAGAACAAACAGAGCATGCTGCCCCCGAAACTTTGGCTTCACGAGGCGGTAAAATCGTCGGAATCGCTCGGGGAGACATGCGAAAAGTGTTTTCAGAGGGTTGCGAAGAGTACATTGAATGGAACAAGCGTGTGGTTGGCTACGAACTAAGCGACGACGGCGTTTTTGCTGTCTTCGCCGATGGATCGAAATCAGTCGAGGGCTCTATGCTTGTTGGGGGCGAAGGCATCTACTCCAAAATCGCGAAGCAAGTTTCAGGAGGAAGGCTCAAAGTCTACGATACAGGCGCCAGAGGCATCCACGGCCAGGCGCCAACCGCAGCTTTCAAAGGCCTCGGCGAGGGCGTCTTCTCCTTGCGAGATAAGACACGCCCAGATGGCGCCGTCTTTATCATCACGAATGTCCGTCCCGACCAGATGGATGACCCCGGCGTCGAATTTGGATGGACAATGGGAGGCCAGCCCGGCATAATCAAGGCTCCGAACGACGATTACACAATCGTGGGTAAGCAGGCTGCTGACATTGCAAAATCGCTCGTCAAAGACTGGCACCCACGTTTCAAGCCTCTCTTTGACGAGATGGTCGAAGCGGAGGCGGCCTTTTGGAAAATCACATGCTCCACGCCATCTGGAGTTCCGGAATGGCCCAACGAGCCTCGCGTTACGCTAATCGGCGATGCGGTGCATTCGATGACGCCAGCCGGGGGCATTGGAGCTAATACTGCCGTTCAAGATTCAGCTTTGCTTGGGAGGTTATTACGCGAGGCTGGTGGTTACAAGCCTGGCGTAACTGCTGCGTACGAGCGAGAGATGAGAATCTATGCTAGCAAGGCTGTTCATACTAGCTATACCACGGCGGTTAGCTCCTTTGGCGTTGCGATTGATGAGAACACCACTCCAACCGTATAGATACACCTAGTCGGTTGAATATCATAGTAAGATAGTTTTGGTTAATGAAATGATAGAGGATTGGGAGCTTGGAAGCCTATCAGTGAGGCCACGGTTTCTTAACATCGTTACTACAGTTTACTTGTCCGTTGGGGATGAAGTATGCCTTCTAGCATTCTTATCGTCTACTGAATAATCGAGTGTCTATATCTCCGAATGTGAAATTTATTGTAACTTCTCAAAAGACTGAATAAAATGAAGAGAGATGACATTGTCCGCCTCAGACGGAAACTGGTAGCTTGCTTGACCTTCGCTAGAGAAAGAGATAGTGTCTCTGGAAAGGTAAGAAAGCGATAATCTGCAAAAGATTGTTGGCAGAGTCGGGAATAGTGGAGGTAAGTCTTTGCCACCGGTTGCGTGTTGTAAATTGGATTTCCAGGCGGCCTTAGTGCTAACATCAGCGCTCGCCGGGAGTTAAATTAGCTGTCGGGTGGCACAGAGCATACCACCTGGAAATGCATTCCCTTGGGAGCTTTCCGTCTGTAGCTGAATTGTGTTGCGTTTCTATACAGTACACGTACGTGTTTAGAACGAACGTGCGAGTTAATCGCATCTACTCATACACAACATTATCAATTTAATCATTACTGAATGGAATATACTTACGTCTGTAGTTTAAGTTATACATATTTGGCATGCGCCCGCACACAGCCAGCCAATGCGGGATTGAAGCTCTACTACTTGCTGAGCTAGAATGACGATCAAGATCAATCGGCAGCCACGCACTGCTTCAGAACGTAAGCATGAGCGTAAGCAACCCATCTAGTCGTATCCGATAAACTTTAAAATACCCAATACGCTTGCCTCAAGGCCATGAAGAGATATTTAACAAGATCAGCCCTCGCTATCAATACAGAGGCTTGGTAGCTGGTGTATCATTAGGGGTGCTCATTAGTTGGTGGATTCGCACATCTCATAATACCTTAAAGCGGCCATCAATTTCATCTTTGTTAAAGGAAATTGATCATCTCGAAATAGACTGTTTCTCTGCAGACCTATTGTCACTGGTCTTTTTGTTGTTGTATTTTAACTGCGTTGCTGCTTCACCATCCTGTACGAGTAGTATTACCTACGAAACATGACTTCGACCAAAGTACATCGCAGCAAAGTAGCTGTCTGCGGACTTGGTGAGCATCAAATCTGAGTATCAAGCCATTATTACACACATAACTATCATTAACCCAATGAGCAGGCATTGCTGGTATCACGGCTGTGAAGAATTTGACAGAGGTTGGGTTTGACGTTACTGGATTCGAAGCTGCCAATGCCATTGGCGGCCTCTGGCATTATTCAGAAGACTGTAGAACGACATGCTTATCCAGTGAGAATTGAACCGCGCAGTTTTAAATATATGCTGGCTAACAAACACACCATCTCTGTAGATACGGAAGCGTTGGTTCGGAGGAGCGCAGTAAGCGACACAAGCACTTTCGAGGCGGCAACATCTAACAGATCCTGTCGCACAGTTCGGCTTTTCTGATTTCCCCCAAGCCCCTGGTATGTTCTCGCAATTCTCTATGCTCTATTGAATGTCGGCATTAAAGCTTTCCGTCATGGTTAGGTGATTCCGAAGTTCGCCTTCGTCCGAGCGAAATCCAGGCATTTCTTGAGTCATATGCTCGACATTTCAATATTGTGTCTCGGTTCCAACTTAATACAAAGGTGACAGCCGTCAATCGAATTGGGAATAAGTGGCATTTAACTCTCAGGCGTAAAGAAGGTCATCAAGAGGAACAAGAGTTCGACAGACTGGTTGTATGCACAGGGCTCTTTCAGACTCCAAAAATACCCCACGTTGAGGGGCTCGATGAATTCGAAGGCCAAATACTCAACACTCAAACTTATAAAAAGTAATAGCATACAAGATATTGGTACAGTGACAGAGAGCTAACTGCACGTCGATAGGCCGGATGATGCCAAAGGGAAACGTGTCTTGATCGTTGGTCTCGGCGCTACGGCAACAGACATGGCCAGAGGCCTTGCAGGAATAGCCAAAGAAATCTTCATTTCTCATAGAAACGGATGTGTTGTGGTAAAAGCCCTTCTATTTTACTCCATCCTGCGGTGACTGACAATTTGCATAGCTGCCTTTTAGCAAAGGAAACGACATCTGTTTTCCGTCTCTTCGTAAACAGCACGAGAAGGCAAATGTGCCAGCTTTAGAACAAAAACAAATGCTTAACAGCGCTCTCATAAAATTACAAGATGAATCTTTCGACCTTAAGCCGGAATGGGGCCTCGGAAACGCTCCTTCGTTGCCTCAGAAATTACCAATCATTGGAGACGGATTCTACAACCTTCTAGTTTCTCGGACAGTTACTTTAGTTCCTGGCCTAAAACAGATTCACCGCTCTCATGTAGAGCTAACAGACGGGAAAAATATAAAAGTCGATGTTATCATATTCTCGATTGGCTACGATAGGTCGTACTCATTACTCGGCCCTTACGATCCATCGCGGAATATGCCACAAGCTTGGAAAGACTCTCCTGGCTCAATGGGGCGACCTCTTCCAAGACTTTACCAAGGAATATTTTCTCTAGATCTTCCAGATTCTCTTGCATATTCAGAACACGTAGGCTCCACTTTGTCTGCCACGATGAATGGGGATACGGCATCAATGGCTCTCGCTCAGGTGTGGCTGGGCAACTCAAAGCTGCCCTCTCGTGAAGAGATGGCGAAGAATGCCGACAGACAGAATAACATGGCCATAGAATTGGCTAATCAAGGAGGAGTTTATGATCCTGCTCTCGTGGATAACAGGGAATGGAGCCTCTGGGCAGACAAAACAGCGGGATTTGGCATCCAAGATCGACTTGGGTATGGGTGGAAAGCTTGGTGGCTTCGATTCACCGACCCCCGCCTCTATAAGACACTTCTGGATGGGAAGTTTGTACCACAGGTTTATCGACTTTTTGATGAGGGGAAGCGGCCCCCGTGGAAAGATGCTCGGGAGGCGCTCTTCAAGGCGAATGAAACCGAGTAGCCTGTTGCGTATCTCATCGTATGGCAAGGGACATATTCGTTCAGACTTCATCGGCGATATCACAATTCTTTCACTCTTTGGTCTGATTCAAACTTGGGAGAATTGGACTAGGAAACAGATATCGTCGGCCGCCACTATTGACAATGATGCTGTGTACCGTAACGGACATGGGATTCCCTGTTGGCCTAGGCGAAATATGATACTCCGATACTAAGGCTTCACGAATAGAGGCATAATTTTTCTGAATCTAATATTGTACCGTAGTATCCAGACCAACATGCTGCGGCACTATTGAAGCACGCCCTGAAAACTCATCATATTTTTTTCCGTTTAGCCCGGGCTTTAAGGAAATTTAGAGATTTTAGTACAGAGTAAGCCACAATCTCGTTGCGTTTGAGTGTAGCTGGATATGGAACTAACGGGCAATTCGCCGCACTACAAAATGCCGGGCAATAAGCCGGCTCGATTTCTACGTATAAGACATCAGGTATGTGATATCTCTACACACAAATAAGCCACAGACTCAATTGAAGATTCGAATATACCATATTTGAAGCATTTCACAATATCTGACCTACAATAAAAGTCATAATACAACCAAAATACAACCAACCATGTCGTCACCCTTCTTCATCCCGGTCGATATTGCTCATACCGCATTACTTCTTTCGGACGTGCAAACGCAAATCTTGAAGAGATTCTCTCCCGAAATCCAGAAAAGCTACATGGATAACATCAAAACGCTTCTCGAACATTTCAGAACTGAAATCTCCAAGCGCCGCTCTGATGAAGCTTCCGGAGACGGATCCGCCCCTTATGATGGAGTGCCTCTCATTGTTCACCATACACTGCCCTTCAACATCAATTCCAATGCCTTTGTTTCGCCTTACAACAAGCTAAGCAAATGGGTTGAGCAGCTTGAGAAGGCAGGGTTCTTTGCGAATGCACCCTCAGATCCACACCATCCGCATTATGGTATCCCAGCCGAGATAACGCCAGCGGACGGTTGGGGCAACAAGGATGAGATTGTCTTGGGCAAACTGCAGCCGAATTGCTTTGGTTCATCAGACTTGCTGGCATATCTACGGGCACGTGGCATTAAACACATTGTATTGGTAGGCCTGACAACAATGGGAAGCATCTTGGGATCGGCAAGAGCTGGTGCGGACCTGGATTTCCACATCTGTTGCGTGGAAGAAGGAATTATGGATGACGATCCGGAGGTGCATAATTTTTTGATGACAAGGGTGTTGCCCAAGTTTGTGGATATAGTCGGCCTTCGGGATGTTCTGCAGCTGTGAATATCATAGATACATGAAGCCTTGGCCTTGAGTTAAAGCAGTGCTAAATGGTGGATCTTGTCGATAGCTTAGAGGCAGTAAGCATGGAGAATAGAACCTCGCGCAAATGGATAGCAAGTTGAGAATACCGTGTAACTCACATCTATTTTGAAGATGGCTGAATGGTCACACTTGTCCACCGTATGTCCCGACAATAGATAGTGGCCATTCAATATAACGGTGCCATTGGCTCTCCAAATCCTGTCGACATTGCTCCAGAATCCTTGCGGCACAACCTTCCATAAACCAAAAAGAATCGAGCATTTTCAACATGACACAGTAATGAGCTAAAACCACAAGGGCCTTGGGCCTCCCTTCACTGACCAGAGTGATGTATTTTTGAGGAACCTGCACTGGCCATGAATATGTGAGTGTTTTAACAGAGATGGTCTGCCCGGGAGTGGCAGCCATGGCAAGTAGTCGTCGAAGGCTATTGAGAGCTGCGCAACAGAGGTTGCTCTCTTCGGAGCAATCAGCGAGCAGCAGATATAAAAGCTGGACGAGGTAACTATCATCGGGATTTTGGCTAAAGTCGGGGTTTTCATCCAGCGGCCTTTCCATACAGAAGCCGAGTGGGCCATTGGAAAGCCATTTCTCGGCATACCCATGCATTGAAAAAGCACCTCTAAGAAGGCCAATTATCTCCGATGATGTTCCCGTGGCTGGTGAGAATATTAGGTTCCGCCGAGACTGCGGACTGGCAAACGAGTATTTGATGACAAGGTGGCCACAGGCGTAGAGAGCATGGCTGCTGCTCTCTGTAACATTGGCTAGAGCTGAGCGGAACAGCGGAACAGCAAGGCTATGATGATGCGCAGCCCGGCTTTCATATTCTTTTGTCTCGGTTGGATGTAAGTAGGCCATATGGAGAGAAGTCAACGCTAGCATTGAGTGCCTAGGATGAGTACATTTGGTCAATACAAGTACTATAGCCAATCAAAGTGGGACGAGGCAATTCACATGAGATATCTGTGGTTCACGGCTAAAGCGGGAATACATTCTCGCATAGCTCGTTGCAAGGCTGCATTCGGCGCCAGTGTCTCGGCCGTGCAGATGTTCCAGTGGTGCATGAGTTTAAAGTCTGAAAATGAGAAGGGGGAGGTATCTGGGGATCCGGGCTTCAAACGCCCAGATGTATCGATAGTTGTCGAGTAACTACAATCTAGTGAATGTCTCATGCAGCCGCTGCATATCGGCTTCAATTCGTCGCACTGCGGGCGGTTCTTGTTAGCCATGCAAATCAACCACATGTTGTCTGAATAATCCAATCATACCTTGACGCGGCGCCGTTTACACGAGTCACACCCTGTTCGGACCTTTTTATGGGATACTTTCTTGAACGTCATTTTGGATCTGCCAAAAAACGATGTACGCGATGTCATATGAGGACCAAAGATGGAGTCGAGGGAGCATGCAAGTGTGCGAGGAGCGAGAACATCAAGATCAAATATGTATGGAACGAACAAACGGCAAGCGAGGAACGGAGAGCGAGGGGCGAAGAACGAGGAACGAGAACCAATCAACCAAGGAGCGAGAGCCGGGACTGCGAGAAGAGGCTTAATGACCATTATGTCAGCTGTCGATTAAATTAGCTTTAGGACCAGTTGGTCGAGATTTCGGTGAAAGTTGCTTCACTAGATCGCCATCGATAACCCATAAGGATACAACAACTTACTGCTGACAACGCACAGATGATTCAGATACGTTTTAGTCGTTGTGTTATTTTAGTGCTACGAGAATGTATGCTTCCCCATGAGTCGTAAAACCCTGCCTGCTTAAGATGTATATATATCTATGTGAATCTTCATGTTGTAGAGTTTGCAATTCAAAGAATTCTTTAAAAGGCTTCTACAGCGCAAGGATAGCATTACTCAAGATTGCCCAAGATTGCCCACAATGGCCGGCAAGATCCCAGCAACGGCCGATTATATCATCCTTGGCGGAGGCATAGCCGGCTGCGTCCTTGCTTCTCGTCTCAAAGAGGCAGATTCCTCCTTGTCGATCGTACTGATCGAAGCAGGGCCAGATCCTACTGGCCATCCTCTGACAACCGCCCCGCTCGCCTGCTTTGCAGCGCACTATTCCGATCTCGACTACGCGTACAGAACCGTGCCGCAGGAGCATCTTGGCGGTCGTCCGTGCTATGCAGCAGCGGCAAAGGTTCTCTCGGGCGGCTCTGCCATCAACTACGGCGCGTGGACCCGCGGCCCAGCTGCGGACTTTGACTGCTGGGCTGACCAAGTTGGCGATTCTGGATGGAGCTATCGAGGCCTGCTTCCCTACTTCAAGAAGACAGAAGAATACACCCTCAGCCCACGGGTGGATCCCGAGCAACACGGAGCCAATGGGCCCATCCATGTGGTGTCTGTATCCGACAGCGATCCTAATCGAAAATATCCCCTTCGGCAACCCGTAGAACAGGCGTGGCTTGAGCTTGGCGTGGAACGAGTTTGGGACGCCAATGGGGGTGAGCCGCTGGGACTCACCGAGGTGGTGGAATCTTGGAGGGATGGCAAGCGGCAGTGTGCCTCTCAGGCCTATAACCTGTCGGATGTGACAGTCCTCTGTTCTACAGTGGCCCACCGTGTGATAATCGAACATGTATCAGGGGTAAAGACCGCCACAGCGGTAGAATTAGTCGACGGCCAGACCATAGCCGCAGCCAGAGAAATCATACTGTCTTGCGGGACGTATCGAACGCCCCAGGTGTTGATGCTTTCCGGCATAGGAGCCAAGGCGGATGTTATACGCCACAACATCCCACTGACGGTTGACAGCCCCGAAGTGGGCCGCAACTTTCATGACCATCTAGCAGTGTGTCTGTGGTGGAAATTGCGGCATCCCGAGCAGGGGCTTGCGCTGGGGACGCCGGAGTGGAAGGATGCGGCATACAGCAAAGGACTTCCGGCAGACTGGATGGCCTTTTCGCGTGTTCCCAATGAGATCTTGAGCCAGTCGTTGATTGCCGATGCCGAGTCTACCGACGGCCACGATCTGTTAAAGCCGGGGCGATGTCACCTGGAAACGCTAGTTGCTTACGCTCCTGCTGGCGCGCATCTGGCTGATGTTGCGATGCCGCTGGATGGAACACATGTGACGACGGCGGTGCTTGGAATGACGCCTACTTCGCGCGGAACAGTCACAATCACCTCGAATGATGCTCAGACACCGCCGCAGATAGACCCAAACTACTACGCAACGGAAGCTGATCGCCAGGCCCTTCGATACGGCATTCGCCAAGCCTTGCGGTTGCTACAGGAAACTAGAGCCGGCAGTAGCATTGTCGAGAACGAAGTTGCTCCAGATGGATATCCCGGTCTTGATGCTGATTCAACAGATGCAGAAATTGATGCCAGGGTTCGCCGTGTAGGGAACACCTTTTACCACGCCGGAGGCTCTGCGTCAATGGGCAAGGTTGTAGACTCCCGGTTACGCGTATATGGTGTCGACAGGCTGCGCGTTGTGGACGCGAGTGTCATTCCGATTCCTATTGCGGCTCATTACCAGGCGGTTGTTTATGCGATTGCTGAGAAGGCTGCGGATCTGATTCTGCATCCTACTAAATAGGTTGCTGTGAGTAGAAAGCCGGCGATTTAATCTGTATGAAATTAAGAAGATTATTGCCAATGCAATTAACAAGCGCTTCATTCTTCTCTCGGTTGCTTAACTGACCCATCCTTTAATGGCCATGTCCCTACTTTCGTGCTCTCTACAAGCTTGGTATTTTGACCAAGACATGGCCAAATCGTTCTGAAGCTGATATACTACTGGCCCTAGGACGAATATTTGATGCGATGCTTCATCTCCTAGCCTAAAAAACTGGCCAAGGTGAATTATACTCAAGCATTCTCGCGGATGTAGTGATTCTCATGGCTCCCACTATTGTATTCGATAGTAATAGCATCCATGTCACAGAGGCCGCTGAGGAACGATTCGGCAACTGTCTGCTAGCGCTATAACGGCGGATCATGAAGCAGGTACTTTCAACTTGAATTGCGCATTCTGGTTGTCATATGCAATCTCTTGAAATTATATCTAAGTGAACTTGAACCTAAGAAAACGGTTTCAATCGTTGCAAGATGTTATTAGCGAACGTGAATGCAAGTCAAGGCAAACCATACAGGGCCACCGCCAGTATTTCCAGGCGAGATTTGGGCTCCACCAGCCGAGGCTTGCATTACTAGAGCTTCGATCCAGTAATGCCTATTACTCGACGTGGCGCTGTGCAACATGAACTGCCCGGCAGCCGGAACATGAATTCCAATTACAAGAGTCTGCAAGAGCAGCTATCAGGATCGATCATGCGGCGCAGACTCGATCATCCTACTGCCATTTCTCATACAAGTGGATTAATCACTGGAGATAAGCAGCTTTCCTCGGCAGAGCGGTATTAGAGGTGGGCCAAAGACCCAAGTCAGGCTTTTTACAGTGGCTTGAGCCACTCGCGGCCGCTCCCTCAACTCTTGTCGCCGGCCTGGTAGCCACTGTTTCGGCGCAAAGTGGATTACTCGACCCGAGCAAGACGGCATCGCCGGCCCTCCAGTATCCATAACTTTTTGGGCGGCCGAGGAAGGCCTCGTTCTCGCTTGAGATTTGTAATTTCGATATTTGGTAGTTTTCAAGAAGCTATATATATATATATATATGAATCTTTATGATTCCCAGTAGTATGGCCTCTCTTAACCAGAGCGGTTTTTCGACGCATTTGAGCTGTCTGTTCAAGTCAACTTCACTCAACTTAACTTAAGCCCAAAAATAAAGTTTCGCCTGGGCCGTACATCCATGTACATGAAATAGCAACTAACATGAGCTCTTCCGACTCCCGTGCCCGCCGCCGAAGGCACCATACACGAAGCCGCAATGGTTGCCGCGAATGCAAGCAGCGACATATCCGCTGCGACGAACAGAAGCCTTATTGGTAAGCTACTTACACGACACACGACACATGCATGGGTCGTATGTGATCGTATATAGCAGCTGACTCTGTTCCGGAATTCTAGTACCAACTGTTTAGTACACGGACGTGGCTGCCATTATGACGCTGTAGGGCCGAACATGCGGCTCAGAACTACGCTCTCAAACGCTGTGTCAGATCCTATGGGACTGGATCTATTCGAAGTTTTACCTATCCCTATGCCGTTTGAATCGATGAAACTGCTTCATCATGGTCGGTGCATCTGGTATACTTACGACATCAGGAAATGGGCTAAAGGTATATCCTTATAGGAACCCACTTTCGCCTCTTGACAACTACAGTTGTGGCCAAAAATCCCAATGCTAGCCTGTAAGTAATGTGCTTATGCTATTGCATGTTTTATCATTAACCAATAATTTCTAGAGCTGGTCTTGTCACGCATAATGCAGCCACATTCAGGTCCTTCTTACTCATAGCCGGTATACACCATGTCTGGGCCGGTGGTTCGCTCCAAGCAATCGAAGAGACGATGCTTCATCACAAGCTCGAGTCAATCCGCATTGTCAACGGCATGATTGGTGATCCTGTACTGAGCCAAAGCGATACATGCATATCCGCAATGGTCGGCCTGGCCATGGTTGAGGTGTGTCCTCTAGATAATCAACATGACCCGACTCTAACAATGTACATAGGCAGCGTTGGGCGATACGAAAGCTGCAGAGGCTCATTTAAAAGCTTTGGCCCGGCTATACGATGATCACCATCCGGAAGGGGACAGGCATAGGCTGTTCGGGCTGATTGAAAGACTTGTTCTGTTGTAAGCCTGTCTATGAAACCTCCTTCAGTACTCGGTCTAACCTTTCTTCCATTTCGCAGGGCAGCCAGCCTAGTTGCAGCATCCAAGGACGGAAACGACGACGAGTCTCATTATTTTGTCAACGAGCCGCGCGAGAATCCAGAGCGGGCGTATCATTTCACACGGCCAACACGGCCGGTGTTCAGCGCTGTTCCATTCCTTAGTCTCCATCTATCGCCTTTTTACTACTCAACTCCGCCGGATCTTGAAGCTTGTAACGCCGATGCCGAATGTGAGATTATTGCAACAACCTTGCGGCGATTGTCTCGCTTTGATCCGAATCAGAGGGCTCAGCGTGGCGAGGAAGAAAATACAACATCGTCTAGTCAACAAAAGGCCCGAGACATTCTTCGGGAAGACGCAGAATCCTACACTGTCTCGTTACTTTTCAAGCCTGCCAGACCTACACGAGACGATAGAAGCGATCACAGCCAAAGTCAGACGCGAAACCCGAGACCCAGCTCGCAGCTTCAGGAAGAGGATCTTGAGGAACTTGAGGATGCCGACGACCAGTTTGTCAGCTTTTTAGAGCACCCCTTTGCAAATCTCCCGTCTGCCATCTTCCCATCTACGTCGCGAGCTTGGGCATGCGCTGCATATCTCTATCTTCATTTGATTGTAGATTGCCTCCCGCAGCAGCAGCATCATGCTCAAGAGCCAGTTCATATAGACAAATATCTGTGGCGCTGGCTTATCAGCAGTTTGCGCCAAGATCTCGATCATACAGAAGAAGCGATGCGCATCGGAGCACATAGTTCAGAGTTGTGGCTATGGAAAACCATGCTTGGCGCTTATGCAATGGCCAAGAATCCCCAAGAGACATCTGATGAAGCGAGCAGCGACGGTGAGGACGAGAGTGATGACGAAAATCCCCCCACGACCACTATGGTGACTAGCCCAGGAGCACGATCAAGTGGACGATCAAGCCGAGCATCTTCTTCAAGCGACATTGCAGACATGCAATGGTTTACTTCAAAGATAAGGCTATGGAGCTCTGTGATCCATACAACGTCATGGGATGGCGCAAAAAAGGCGCTGAGCCGCATCGCATGGCCTGAAAAGTTTTACGACGATGACCGTTTGGCCGGTTTGTGGGATGAAGCTATGGAATCAGCAAACCCGGAGTGATGATGTACGAGAAGTTCCTCGTTGGTTGCTGAGAGATTCTGGGCTTTGGTTATTTATACGGTGACATATTCTATGGCTACCAAGTTTTTATACAAGCAAGCTCTGAGATTGGGTGTAAATACGCCGTCATTCAAGCGTCTGAAAGAAAACAGCGTTACCAGCACCATTGTATATGACCAAGCATTCTTATAGAAACAAAGCTTATAGAAGGAGTTCAATAAAATAGCAATTTGTCGCAGCTCCCATGATGACTTGCTCATCTCTTGCTGAACTAAGCGCTGGCCGCTTTCTTCTTGTAGTCGAATATAGCTTTGAGTCCTCCCGGAGCATCGTACTTATCCAACACCATATCAATGCACTGCTCGCCGGTCAGTTCAACCTAGTACCCTTAGAGAAACAGTGAAAGCGTCTTACCTGCGGACTCGTTGCATTCTGGAAATCGTCATCAGAGAGTATCCTGTCCAGCTCTGCTGCTGTTTGGACTTTGAATGTGGTTGTTGAAACTTCAGGAGAGAATGATTTGAAGAGTCCGCCGTAGTCCCAGTCTGGCACGTCGTTGTAAATAGCGTCCCAACCCTCAAAGTAGCGTTCAACAGTGTATCTAGTCATTCAAAGTTAGCACTCCCAAGCGATTCTCTTCTCGAAATGGAAGATTTATATACCCCTTGTTATTAAGAATGAACCTACATCAATGTTAATATGTAATACTCGCTGGTGGATAACGAATTGACGACTTACAAATACGGAACCACGCCGTGCCGGTTCAATATGGATATAGCTTGCGCCGTCAATTGCAAGCTTCCTTCGCCTGTGAGAACAATCATCCTCTTATAACGACCCAACTCTTTACCCGCAACTGCGGCGCCGATAGCACCGCCAATGGCATAGCCAATGCTACCCCAAACTGCTTGTGTCCAGTAATAGGCGCCTTTGGGAATTTGTGTAGCGACGGCTCCGACTTGAGAAGTTCCTGTCTCGGCGATTACCATATCGCCTGGCTTGACAAAGGAAGATAGGCGCTGTGTGAAGGGGTGAGAGGCATTAGTTGGCGTTTGTTTACTTGTCTAGGTGCTGTTGAACATACAGGCCAAAGATAGTCTTGTGTAATAATTGATGAGGGAATGTCCAACGCTTGTTCAAGTAGTGGCGCGACAGGCTCTGGAAGCGTCCTGTCACCCAAAACTTTACTCGTCTTGATTGCTTGGGCCAATCTGGGCAAAACCTGCTGATCGTCAGAACTCTAAGCTGCTGCGTATATCCTCCGCTCTGGACTTACGGTGGTCATTCTTGCTTGAAATTGCTTATTTCCGACCTGAAGCCAACAATTGTTAGTACTCTCGTAATGTTAGAGTTGGTGGCTAAGTTACAGTGATTTGGAACCGTTGAAAGTCAATGATTGTAGAAGATTTGACTTGGTCAGTGAACATTCCGCTGCAGCCAAAGTCAGCACGATAAAGTAATGAAGATTACGGCGTGGGGCACTCACGTATTAAAATCGGATGGCATGTGCCCAAGCCAGAGTATACAGTCCGACTTCTCGACAGCCCTGCTTGTTTGCGGCAAGGAACCAACGCCAGCATAGCAGCCTGCGAACAAAGGCCCGTCTTCTTCGACAACGCCCTTGCCCATGATGGTGTTGAAGTGCAAGGATCTGAGAGCTTTGATAAGATCGTTGGCGTGAGGAGCCCAGCTACCTCTGCCTGCGCCGCCATCAACAATCACTATTGGGTTCTTGGACGACTCCAGTGCTACCATGATGGCTGACAAGGCAGGGTCGTCTTCAAGGCCGGCTGATAGTGTCATCTTGATTGAAGCTGCATTCAGTGAGGAGACAGGCACCATTGTTTTGACAACATCTTCGGTAATACCAATACTGGTAAGCATTAGCGAAAAGTAAACCCTAACAGCTTTTTATTCAGAGACCTACTATCCAGGCTGAGAATGAAACATCATGTCTATTAAAAAAAGTAAGCCAAGTCTTCTATGTCAGAAATTCCTACTAATGTAGACGTGCCATTCAAAACTCGATCGATTTCGGCGATAGCATTCTCCGGATTCTTCAAAATCGTAGTTGCACAGGATAATTCCGAAGAAATACGAACGTAGTGGCTATATTGAACTGCTTTGTTACCCGAGATCCAGCCAAAAAGGAGATTAAAACTCACTCATAGCTTTTGTCACCAAGAGTATGGTGCAAAATCCGTCCGCTTGACTGGGCTGCAAATGACGGATATCCGACGATATGCAAAACGGGAACCATTTCGCAGAACGATCCTCCGATGCCGCAGAGAGCACTCAACTCACCAGGCCCAAATGTGGTGACAAGTGCTGCGGCACCTTTGAGGCGGGCATATCCATCAGCAGCATATGCTCCAACAAGCTCGTTTGGGGTACCGATCCAACGTACACCCGCAGGTTCTATGTGGTTGAGAAGAGCAAGTTCATAATCTAGATATGGATAACCGGTATTAGATAATGAAGTCTATATTAGGGCTTGATGAAAGAAACGAACCTCCCGGAACACCGAAAGCTGTCTCAATGCCCATCTGTTTGAGACGGCGGAAGAGATATTCACCAACCGGAATCTCCGCCATGGTGATGTATAACAATATATTGCTTGGAATAGGAATGAACGAGAAGGTTAACAAGCTTTTCAGCACTCAGGCTTGTAATGAGAATGAAAAGATAGAGCGGTATTTTATAACTTTAGCACAAGATTATGCCCATGATACTCTATTATATACGGCTATACTAGTTGACGAAAGCAATTTGTCATGTGTATATATCTCATGGCTACCAATTTCTCGGCTATTCGGCCACCTGCGCATGCAGGTAGAGCAAGCGCATTGCGCTATTAGCACACTACTCGTGAAATATACGAGACCAAAGCTGTGATAGTTGGCGCTCAACATACACACCTTCCATCAAAGTGTCGACTGCACTTATTACATATTCCACTGTATCATGCTTGTAATCGCATAGTGTGGAATTAAGGCTAGGGCCTAGGCTTGAACTATTCAAGCCAATTTGAGCTATGTGATAAGAACCGCCATCACACAGCATTCAACGGGCATAAGCGGACGAAGGATCCGCATAGACGAACATACGCAGCTTGCATATACGCATTTCACCACCTATGGAAAGATGCTAATATTTTATCCTAGATATCCAACAATTTATCCATCCACTCACAGAGGCGGCTACTTTTAGCTTGCCCTTCAATATTGTGAGCGGCTCTTAGCCACATATCGTCAACTCAAATGAAGTATGTTGTTGCATCACAGCGCATTTGTTTTTATTTCGATCCTGTGTGCTCGAATCACTATGATTCGAATTCTGCTAAGCTTCCGCTACACCATCTTAAAAAACAAGCAAGTTAAATATCCTCATGATAAGAAATAACTCGTGGGGGGTCGCTGATAGTAGCTAACGGTATCAAGTTAACTGTGTATTGGGATAGACTCGTAGTATATGCTATGTTAGCCGTCAATTCGTATAATTGTTTGGGGGTCCCATGTATCGGTTGCGCGTAAACCATTGGGTGGGTAAATGTCACTGACACGTTACACATGAATGCTATAGAAGAAAAGTAATAAGAGATTACAGTCAAACAATTGAGCTTTCTGGTGGCAGAAATAAACCATGCACCCTGAAAAATCCTTCTAATAGTGTCAAAACCTGGCAGCCACCTTGCGCTGTTAGTTTGTATGTATATCATCCTATGCAAGCGCCAAGTCAACAATATTTGGAATTCTCGTGTAATCGCAATCCATATGCTAGAGCTGGTAGCAGTTTTACAGATATAAGAATGTATGAGAGCCGCATCTGGATGGCGGGTGCTCTGTTTCGAAGAAGCCCCATCAAGAGAGGGTTATCTTTACGGATAGCGCAATACGCTGTGTCTCAATCCGTCTTCCATAACAAATTTATATGCAAATAAAATGGCCGATACCCCTTCCTCAAGACGTACCGTCCTCCTCATCCATGGTCTTTGGATGACTCCTCTCTCATGGGAAAACTGGATCCGTCACCTCGAGGCAAAAGGATTCAATGTTTTGGCTCCCGGCTGGCCTGGTGTTGACAGCCGGACGCCTCAGCAAATCCGTGAGGACCCAAAGCCGATGGCTAATAAGAGCATTGATGAAATCTGCGACCATTATACAACCATCATCACGCGTCTCTCAGAGCCACCAATAATAATAGGCCACAGTTTTGGTGGCTTATTTGTTCAAATTCTCCTTTCTCGTGGTCTCGGAGCTGTGGGCATTGCCATCTGCCCTGCCAATCCAGCTGGCGTGTTTGCCCTGCCTCTCAGTACAGTCAAGGCAACGCTGCCAGTCCTATCCAACCCTTTCGACTTTGAAAGCACAGTCAAGATTACAGAGTCCGAATTTCGCTACTGTTTCGGCAATACCATGTCTGAAGAAGAGAGCAAAGCTCTATATGAGCGTTACGCCATTCCTAGCATCGCACACGTTCTTTGGCAAGGCGCAATAGGTGGTCTTGTACACCCAAAAGGCGTATTGCATGTGGATTTCAACAAAGATGATCGTGCACCACTTATTCTTATTTCTGGATCCAAGGATCACGTTGTGCCACCGCAAACTGTGAAGAAAGAATACAAAGCGTATCAAAAGGGAAGTGGCTTGGTGGAGTACAAAGAGTTTGAAGGGCGATCGGTAAGAATATTGAAGATTTTTTAGTTCATCCATATCTATTATGAAGGCCGCTAACTCCGAGCCCCTTAGCATGGTATCGTCAGCCAGGAAGGATGGGAAGATGTCCTGGAATATGCTCTCGAATTTGTGGAGAAGTATTGGCCTAATGCTTGAGCTACGCGCCGCAATGAGACCAAAGGGAAATTGTTTACTGTAATAATCGCTTTCACAGTGGTTGATCGAGGAGATGATGCATTGTTTAGCTTTTGAAAGCTTTAATTTTATATGCGAATAAATTGTTTGAGTAAATGTTGATATTGTTCACTACATCTTCCTTCAACACCGTTCATAGTTGGCAATGACGACATATTGTGATTGTAAACTATGACTAAATTTAACACAATTTCAGATGCTAGATTGGCTACTTTAGCGCTCTGAAAGATGAACTTGCGGTATCATGAAGTCTTCTTGGCAATTCTGTTCTTGTTTCGAAAGCGCCAAGCCATGATTCAACTCAACCCGTAGAGGCCAAACTAGCGACCGCCATATGTAACGCCTAGTAATGGTTGGAATAGAAGATGCAACTTGTCTCATTAAGTTTACCAATCAGCCTCATCTCTCGTGAGAGCTTTACAGCAACGCAACAGCAAGGCCAGCCATGTAGAAAATAACGAATCGAATCTTGGCACCGCTGCGGCCTACCGGAAATTTAATTTGCTTGTAACAATGACAGTCGCAACCAAGCGCCCGGGACCAAACATCAGACCATGCGGCGCTTATGTTCGTATAAACAGACACGAAAACACGCTCCCACATCCCGTGGATATTTCTTCTTCCTGTTCTTCGGCTAAGGTTTATGAAACGTCAATTTTAATGTTTGGTGGCTACTAGTTTTGTTTAATTGGCACGCGTAAACTGGGATCCCTCTGTGTCCCCGGCTATCTTACCTGGCAAGGGCCCGCTGAGCTTCAAGGAGTTCATTCGTAACAGCCCTGAAACACAGACATTGCCAAGCCATCACCACAACTATCTGCGAAAGTGATATGTGAGCTTCATTTAGTCCAATGACTATAAATCTACAGCACATTTCCGCATCTAATTTGCTTTTCTTCTCCAGGCAGGAACTCAACAACTATTTTTCACATAATACATTGAATCCAAAAACTTCAACTAGCTCTTCTTTATCCTCTCCTCATTACCCACACACCAACTCTCACTCCTCTATTCATCATGCATTTCACCAAGTTCTACGTTGCCATTTCATTGATCTCTTCCGCTATTGCACTGCCCATTTCCGGCACTTCAATAGAGAGAAGAGCATTGCAATTCCGCGAATATGCCGATTTTCAGATTTCTGATGGCGAAGCGGGAAATGCCTTAGCTGAAGCTCAAGCAAAATTTCCGGTGCGCAAATCCAATCAGTTAATTGTCGCCGCCAGCAACTAACTTCTTTTAGATTGATACATCCAATTTGAAAGGGGTCTCAAGCTCAGATCTCGCCATCATCAACGCGGCTCGGGAGACTGCAGAGGCCGCTGAGACTGATGCTTTCAACGGTCAAATCAAGGCTGCTAGCGGCTCTGCTGCAACGGCGCTTCAGAATGGCAAGATCAAGAACAAGGTTCTGAAGCTGTTCTTGGAGGTGTCAGCTCTTCAGATCCAACAAGCTCAGGGCAAGGACAACCAGGACAAAATTGATGAGGAACAAACAAAGCTTAACAACAACATTAAGCTGGATACAAAGGCGGCTGGACAGACGAGTACAGGAGTTACCTTTACAGAAGATGTTCAGCCTAAGAATTAGATGAAAGGGCGGATTTAATTTTACACTTAATGCTTGAGATTAGCGATGCATGCTTGCTGGTCAAGTCATGAATATAATCATTGTTAATCCCATACCTTTTTTTACTAGTAGAAATTGGAGCCAGATCATTGTGATGCGCAACAAGTCAATGCCACGATAGGAAGAAAGTGATAAAAATTGCCATACGTGTTATTAATAAATGTGCTAATATGATAAGTCTGAGTGGGAATCTCCAGTCAATAATCTTCTGTTGTGCCGCCGGCATACTACCCGGCATGCCCGCTTTATGCTTGAAATAAGGCGTACGTAGGATTGTGTAAGACGCAAGGTTAAAGTAAACTTTAAATATACTGAAAGACCTAGTTACCAAGTCATAGCCTTAAAGCGCCATTGTGTCGTACACAACTTTCTCAAATGCGATTGAAACAAATTTGTGCCATTTGGAGATAATTCAGGCCTCGCATATCTCATTTCTATGTTATTGAAGCGGTATGCATGCATCATTGGATACCAAAGCTTAAATAAATAAAACTAGTGACGTATAAAAGTGATACCAAACCAAATTGTTTAGTAAAAGAAAAAAAAGAAATTACTACCTATAAGTCTCTTCGCGTATTATTCATGGTGAAAGATTGCATACTGGGAAGCTTTGCGAAATCATATATCATTGAACAATTATGGCCAGCGAAATGCTTCAATCCAATAGGGTAACATTAGTAATTGTAATGCAAGAATTGGTGTCCAGCTAACGGATGTAACTTTCCGAACTCTTACCTACCCAAAGCAGTAGCTGATAAGACACAAATATGTCCTCTTTAGGATCTGAAGTGGCATGGATTGGGAAAATTGAATGAATGAAAGGCGGGTGCATGAGTAATGTTATTCGTAATACACTTAGTTGAGAATGTTCCTCCAGCCACACCAGTATTAGTGTACTGCAAGTAAGCAAGCTGCCCACCATGCAAAACCTGATTAGCAATAGTAAGCCTTATAATAGGACAGTAACAGCATGCACAGACCATAGTAAATAGCTGAGTATTCTTTCTTTTATAAATTCTTTTTCAGCTCTACTATAATACAAAGCTGAGGATTCTCAGCTGAATATCTCAGATCGGATACAGTAGTAATCTTATCAATGCGAAAAACACTAAACGCCTTTTCAATCATTACTAAATCGCGCATACACCATATAAATTATTACGATACGTTATAATAGTACTACCATGACCAATAATTGTAGGGCTGGAATGTATTAGTTACTTGCAAAACTAGCGTTCATCTTATCTAGACAGAAGAAGATTGACAATCGTTAACCTGGCTTTCCCGGTAACTCTATTAAAGCCGGTAGACATTATTGAGCCGGTTAGGGAAATGTCTCAATGGGTATTACTTGCGCTTTCACAAAGCTGAACTGTACCATAATCTGCGCCGCTTACTGAGTATGTTACCATTTAATTTTGTGTGGAAGTAATACCGCACCTCCAACCCCGGGTCGAGAGCCCAAAATAATAGCTGGTTACTTCGCTGGTAATACAAAGCGTAAACCAGGCCATGGACTTATCGGCTACCATTTGAAACAGGTTGCGCTTTGTGTACAAGCCATTATATCTAAGGGGGTTTTATGGCTTATGTTGTATATAATGATACCGAAAATGTAAACATGAGTTAATTATAACCGGGCTTTTACATGTTGATACAGGTCTCTATACTTTGTAATAATTGCCTGAGTATGTTATTACTTTACTACTACTAATAACGATCTCGGTCAGCCAACCATTTTCGTGAAAGCACACTTGGCACAAATCTTGGCTTGTCTTACCCACAGCAGTTCTATCAAATGTTCCGGCCATGATTATTGTAATCTTTTGTATTGATTGGGCCAATCAATGGTCGCTGATTGACAACAGCGCCGTGAGATCGGACATCCAATTATTGCAAATACCCATTTCCTTGTTTTGCTTCATATTATTCGCACGCCGATAACGCCTCAGCCTATAGGGATCTCTGCAACTTGCTCACCCGCTCTAAGTAACTATACTTTGCAGGCTTGTACACACACATATATATAGACTACCATCTCCCCGAGGGATCAGCTCTCAGTGTCATCTTAGCATCTCATCATCGTTTATACCATGGGATTTCTCAGTGCTGGAGGAGCTTTCATTAACCAGCTGGGGCTCAGCCCATGGCTGGTTTATTCTGTAGCTGGCTTTGTCTTCTATCTTGTACTGTGCTCTTCTTTGCGGTTCCAGAGACTGAACTCGATGCGCCGGCGCTTCAACTACCCAGATCGTGAATCATTGTCCCGTATGACGAACGAAGATGCACAAAAGATTGTCCACACTGTTAGCGTCTATGAGTTTCCCCTCCTTTACGACCTGGCCCTTAAATACGCGATTTTCAAGGTCAGCTTTTGGTATTTCTGATTTCGTATAGTATACTTACAGCTATTAGTCTTACGCCATTGATCAAATCGGTAATCTCTTAAACAGAGTCAGTGATCTTTCTCGACCCACGGAAGCTTCTAAACGGTAATACTATCTCACCACGAATCATGAGCTTCAACCTCAGTTAGAACTAATGCTTTAGCATAGATATGATGATACTTCTGTGTTACTTACCAGGTGAGACTGTTGCATGTTACCGAACAAAGAGTCTTGCGCTGATGATGTCTCCAGCTACGTCACTTTTGCCCCAGGGTCGGACACCCTAGCACACAGTATTGCTCGGACAAACTTCATGCACAATCCGTACTTGCAGTCTGGTAAGATTAAGAATGAAGACATGTTGTACGTCCTCTTTGACAACATGTATGAGCCGGTGCGCTTCATGAAACTCTATGAGTGGCGAGAGCTGTCGGATATGGAGGTAGCAGCCTTCGCTACCGTGTGGAGGTACCTTGGCGACATGTTGGAAATTGACTTCAAAGCCGAGCTAGGAAAAGACGAGTGGAAGGATGGTATTGAATTCTTCGACGACATGGTCATCTGGGCCAAGGACTTCCAAATGAAGCACTTGGAGCCCTCACCAAGTATCACTAATCTTGGTGAAACATTGAGAGATTTGCTCTTGTCGGCTTATCCTGAGTTCATGCGAGGACCTATGAACAAAATCCTCATGGTCCTCGTGGGCGAGCGCCTGCGCAATGTCTTTGGGTATGTAGACGGATTACCTCTCTGCACTGCAGCGATATTAACGCCGACACAGTTTTGATGAACCCGGAATGCTGGAGTCATCCTTTACATACACTTTCCTACTTGTACGAAAATTTGTCTTACGCTATCTCACTCTGCCTCGCATATTCCCCGAGCAATACATCAGCCAGCCTGACGCGGTGACGGGGCGTATTCAGCACTATAAGTGGCTCAAGGATCCTTGGTATACGCCTGCTACTTTCTGGTCTCGCTGGGGTCCCGAAGCTTGGTTCCGGCGCGCATTCGGCCTCAAAATTGCTGGAGATGGCGGGGACGTGATGAGACCAGGCGGCTTTTTGTTCGAGGATATCGGGCCTCGCAACAAGATGGGTAAAGGAGTGGAGGAGACTGCTCATCTAGCAAGAATTGCTCATACAAGAGTGGCTGCTGGAGGCTGTCCTTTTGCGCTACCAAGGAAGTCTTGAGCCAGTTCGTGAGAAACCTGGCTGTTTTGTCATTTCATCTAGACTAAACTCATGGAAAGTCAACATCGCAGGCGAACTCTTTGCTTGCATATCCCTAGGTGGGAATGACAGGCATAGTATGCAATTGATCAAATAAATAGAGAAGAAATAATATACTCTTTCTTATCTCATCGCGAAGAGTCCTCTGTATCAGCAGTTAAGCTGCTGCCGCACATACGACAAGATGAGCGGGTTTAGTCTGGTTCTTACAACCGGGCGACATCATCTATCGGTCTTAGATTTGTTAATTTTTCACTTTGTGCTCATGAAACTGGCTTGCCTGTATTGTTTGAAGCCCATCTACTGGTCGTTCTGAGTGAATTATTAATGGTACCTAGTGATTACATGTATTATTAGTAGTACTTACAGGGCTGTAGTGATAGCATTACTACATGTACACGGTAACATACTGTACGAATTAGCGACTCTCGATAATCATGATGAGTCACTTATATTACACCCCGATAAAGAAATCCCATTGGTTGACTGGGCTCTCGTCTGACAAGTTATATCGCCAGACACTGATGCTTATATGCTTCAGAGTGTCGCAAAGGCTCCAACTCGCCGCTACTCTTTTCCGCTCTGCGAGGGCTTGTATTCCCACTATCGCAGCTAGATTTTCCTCACTTATAAAATGACATTCGTCAGTGACTGTCGTGCGATCTGTCATGTCAAGTAAGATGTTGCATGTACAATATTGGCTAAAGAAGAACTGTGTGCTGCAGCGTAAGACAGTATTTCCTCTTATAAGTCGAACGCTACTCAACTTTATCGCGCCATACATATCTTGTGCCTTCACGCGCAAAACAGTACCCCTTCTTCGTACCAATGTGTATATATTAACTCGATTTGTGCAGCCGATAACAGGTCTTGTTTTTGAGTCGTAATACTATACTCGGATGACTATTTACATTTAGTATACCTTCATTTCCGAAATGCCCCAAAAAATCCGAATTCTAGAAACACCTATTCACATTATCAATACTCATCTAAATGGCTCAGTGAAGATCGTTTTACAGTGAAGACAGCATGGGCAAGATGAATGCTGGCGGTGTGACGTATTTTATGCGCTCGGAAAACTTACCAAAACATTCCGACGCCGAGGGAGGGGCAAAAGCTTTGAGCCAGCCATCGGATCAACCTTGGCTCAAGCCGTATCTATTAGTAAGTTGATTACCTTGAGCCTAGAGGTGACTATATCCAAAACGGGAATCCAGTACCCTTGTCGGGAGTTTGCAAAAGAGGATCTAGAAACGATCGATACGCGCAAGGAATAATACACACGCTAATGTTGAAATGATCACACTCGCAATGCCATCCGTTTTCAATCTCATGTATGCGTTTATTCGGGTCCTTTCCTTCTTGAAAACGCCGTTACCTGGCCACTAGGGATGCTCGGAGTATGGACACTTGTAAAGTCAAACGTTCGCAGCCATGGCGTACTTCCAAATCTTTTGAGGTTCACATTTGTAATCCGCCTGACTGCCTAGTCCTCGGCTTGTTTTGGTATATCGGCGGACAAGTTCTCTTTTCATTAGTCCTAACAGTCTATCTTGGCTTTACTACTGATACTCCGGGTTTGTGTAGGGGGCTACGTATGGTGTGTTGAGATAAAATATGCCGAGAAAAAAGGCCATTTCGTTGGCGCTTGACTACCTCTATTTGAACCTTATTGCGGATGCAGCGCTATAATCCTATAGGTGGCAAAATGCACAAACTCGATGCTACTACAGCTTTGCTATAAGCCATATTGCATAACTGCGCTGGACTACGACGTTTTCTGCTCTTGACTTGGTTTACAAATCATGAAACAATCCAAACTGCCTCTTGATCAGTAATCTCTGTCTTACACTTACTACGCTGCCTATCCATCGGATACTTGACATCATGAAAACAGAAGGAAAAAGAAACCCACTGATCCCGATTAGTGAACCATGTTAAATAGGCAGACCACGAAGATATATAAGTGCAAAGCGTCTCTCCATCAAAAAAGTCCCCACCAGCAAAAAGTCTCAACAATCATTTAATCAAATTACTATTAAAAGAAACAATCGTGTTCACCATGTCCAAGGTCATACTCATTTTGGGAGGAGCGGGTGTTCAGAATGCTGCCGTCGCCCGCGAACTAGTCACCAACGAATCTTTTTCAGTCAAACTCTTGTCTCGAAACATCAAGTCGGACGAGTGTGTGTCTCTCTCTACCATCCCTCGTATTTCACTTGTTCAGGGTGACTGCTATGACGAAGACACTCTTATCTCTGCCTTTGAAGGCGTTGATGCTGTTTTTGTAAACACCAATGGTTTTGCGATTGGCGAGAAGGCCGAATTATTCTGGGGCATTCGTATGTACGAGATTGCATACTGGGCTGGCGTCAAGCATTTCATCTACAGCTCTCTGCCAGCTGTGTCCAAGAAGTCTGGATACAACCCAAAGTATCGTGTGCCGTTTGTTGATGGCAAGGCTAAAGTCGTTGGTAAGAAAGAGATCCCGTTTGTGTCCATAATCTTTGAGTCTTGCTGCTCATCAATGACATGCTTCCAGAATATCTAAGAGCTCAGCCTACCGACAAGATGAACTGGAGTGCTATCGAGAGTGGCCCCTATCCCGAATCTCACCTTGGTACCTGGTATCCTAAGAAAGATGAAGATGGTGTATACGTCTTCCGCATGCCTCTCGAGGCTGATGGTGCCATGGCCATGGTTGGATTAGCTGATTTTGCCTGGTTCGCCCGCTACATGTTTGAGAATCCGAAAGAATTCGAGGCCGACTTGCTCAGCGTCGGCATCGACCATGTCAACGGCAACACTATTGCGGCAGCCTTTACTGCCGTAACTGGAGAGCCTGCACGGTACGAACCGCTGCCTCTATCCGCCGTAGCCAAGACATGGCCGGATACCAAGGTTGGCCTTGCAGGATCTCCAGGCTTTGAAGATCCAACCTTGAAAACCATGGCCGGCCATTTCGTTCCATGGTTCACAATCTGGCAGGAGAGTGGCGGCAACAAAGGTCTATGGACAAAGGACTACAAGCGACTGGACAAGATACATCCGGGTCGTATGAAGACTATTGAGGAGTGGATGCGGTCGGTAGGCTACTCAACTGAGGAGTATGCCAACCAGCTCAAGACTGGTATTTTCAGCTAAGCGATAGTACGCAAGGCTGGAATTGGGAAAGAATGAATCTGACATTAATTTCAGATTTGAGAATGAACATTGAATAGTGTCATGCGTAAAGCGAATGACAGAAAACTGTACTTGCATAATTGTTTCGGTTTCACATCTATATATCCTGTGTTTGACATTTGTAGCTTTACCAAGAGACCATCCATGGGCCAAAGCCTTCATATAATGCAGGAGGGTAGATATAATATAGAATATACCTTACACACGCCATGAATACAATTAGAAACATCAGTAATTACTTTCTGGACCTTGAAAATATTACTAAATGCCACTCGCGTGCCTTGACATGTCTATCGAAATGGAACAAGACCATTTTTGTTTTATAAGTGATTATTAAATAAAAAAGAAAGTCTTTATTGTAAGATCTGCTGTGGATACGCTGTTCCTGGCCTTTAGGTTCATCCGAGCTATTTTGATAGCGCAATTTGCTGCTCAACAAAGGCGCGGATGGTATCTTCCATAGGTGTCCATTTCACCCCAAGCAATTTATCGGTGACAGTAATATCCATAGTCATTGTAGGTTCCTCCTGGGGCGCAAACTTGACGTCCAAAGCCGGGTAGCTTGACTTGACAAAGTTGGCAAACTGTTTCCACGTATAGAGAGGGCCAGTGATGGGCAACTCGGTCCCGGAAGGCACATCAGCATCGATAATCCGTGCCAGCGCGTGTGAAACATCGCGAATATCCACCATCATGTAGGGTGTCATAGGAGGTCCATCGGATTGCAAAGTCATCCACATGAGGAAGTTTACTCCGCTGAGCTCGCTCGCTGAGTTTTGGACAAGACTGGGTCCAAAGACCTGCGATGGATGAACGCTCAGAACCTTGAAGCTGGGCTTTTGTTTGTTGATCCAGTCGCGATAGGCTTGGTGACCAACAATCTTGCCTGTCTGGTACTTGAGAAACTGGCCTGAGAGTCCTTCGGGAAAATCCATTTTCAGATCGACAGGGAACGATTCATTTGTATTAGCTATCGGTCATCGGTTAACCTTGTTTGGTCTTCAAGTCGGTCTTCAAGTGGTTTCGGAAAACATACCCTTGATATGAAACGACTTTTGCATCACAGCATCAAGCGGCATGAGAGACACAAAGGACGAAACAATGGCAACCTTCTGGATGCTGGCTTCCTTCTTTGCAGATTCCAAGATTGACAAAGTTCCGTTAACCGCTGGATTAACAAAGTCGTTTTCGAGATCCGCGCCTTTGTCCACCATTGCTCCAGCCAAGTGAAAGACATAGCTGACACCCTTCAAAGCGTTCTGGTACGCGGATGCTTGCGACATATCAGGCACAACGGCAAACTCAATTCTGTCCGACGAAGAGGGATACAGGTCCTTAATCGCCTGGCCTTTCTCCTCGCTTCTCACAGCAGCGCGCACACGGTGGCCGGCCTTGAGGACATCTCCGATTAGGTGAGTTCCAATGTAGCCAGAGGCTCCAGTGATGAACACAAGACTGTCGGACATTGTACTATGTGATCGGCTTCGGAGTTTGAACGATAGATGTGATACAAGCTTTCTGAAAGTCATGTTGAATGAGGTGAATATTGGGACGCACGAACAGGCTTTTTATATCAAGATTATCGTGTAAGTGAAGGCAAAATAGAAAAGTCGCTCTAGCCTGTAGTGGCGCATTTAATGCCTTCTTGCTCCTTAGCTGTGGCACATGAAGGCCAATGTTAAACAGGCAAGTAGTTCCGGATTTTTCATCAAGGACTTCGTATGTACATGGTTGTTCTCGCTGTTGTTCATATAGATTATTAAAGCTATATCTTCCTACTACCTGCGTCTAGAGTATGTAGAGCTTTCATAGGCTTCAAGCCAGATTAGTGATCCCGCAAATAGGGTCGGAGATACAAAGGGGGAAGGAAAACCGCAGGGCAAGTCTTCCCGGAAGCGCTACTATAGGCATTTAATTAGTGATTCGAGATAGAATAGCGGGCCTCGTTATTTGCGCTTTATCCGGCCAAGCCACTTTTTGCGGGCAACTCCCTCCGTGGGAACAAATCTTTGGCGCACCATTGGCCGAATCCTCGTCTATAAACTAATCATTTTGCTACTTCCTCAGTGCTTGAAGTCCTTCTGGTGCCCTACGTTACATTTCGTTTTTCTGTATGGGTGGCTTGCGACCGAAGCTGATCTTAACAATAATCATCTGAAAGCCGATCACTTATCGACATAAAACATGCGAGATACAGTACGTATATATAATCTTTAGAGCTGCTATTTACCATGCAAAACTCTCTTCGTAATAATCGATGTGGTGGTTTCCTCCCTTTAGTGCATTAACCACTGCCAGTCGTGAATCATCTGCTAATTTCGCGGGTCCGCATGCAACGACAGCCATGTTACCGTCTTGAGTATCCCTTGCTGCTGCTATAATGACTGAGCCAATGTCAGGTCGGCCAATATGTTGCTGCACCCGGCTCGGTAAAGTATCAGTGGCAAGACTCTCGAGCTGGGAAGACATATAAAGTTGCAGAGATAGTCTGCCTGTGTCTATAGCTGCCTTGACTTCTGTGGATAACATGTATGAAGACAAAACATCCTTTGCAAATGCAGATTCTCTGACCGCCCAGTAGAGGTCAATTTTGGTCGGGGTTTCCATTTGTTTGCAAAGAGAGGTCAGGTATGATAACGCAACGACAACCCCTGATCCTCCAGCGATGAAAATGACGCGGTGGTACTCGTGTAGTCGCTGTGTATGTCCGTATGGTCCATCCACCAGTATTCTAAGAGGCCTAGGATTCGCCTCTTCCTCAGCCAACATATCTCTGAGGCGCATTGTGAATCCATCATATGGTCTGATGAGAAATGTCATGTGCTCTTTTCTGGCTTCTAGCGCTGTATACTGAGAATGAGTCTCTGGGGTAGCCACTGGGGAACTCAAAAGCGGTAGGCTCTCCTCTGAGCCCTCCATCTTTTGCAGCATTTGGTCCGATATTGAAGCGACTGTGAAAGGGTGGCTCTCCCAAGAATTTGAGTCGTCTAATATTGATAAGAAAAAATAGTTACCCGCCTGAGGCTTGTATAATGCGGCATCGGTGGGAACAGTTAGGCGGATGATATTTGCAGAGTCATCGTAGCTTGCCAATGCAGTCGTTGACCATTGTCCAGGATTAAATATGATGATTCGTAGAAGCCTCATCATTCGATCGAAGATCCAGATGATTGCTGGGGCCCAAAATAATGCATCGTATTCTCCGTTAAATATTGAAACGTGTCTGTTATCGCGTCAGCTCCTCTGTGTCGACTGTTTCATAGATACGGCGTGATCCTACCCAAGCATTGTTAATAATATGAGAATTGATAACCCGATGTGGATGACTAGAAATGTCTCGTAAAACCGACGTCTTATCCAATACATGGAAAGTATTAACAACGCGCACATGAAAATGGTGGCCTATCCATGACTTTAGCAAAATTCTTGAGAAGGATGACCTGCAGATGTCTACCATTTGGCCAGCATTCCAAAACCACATAGTGAACCACCATGCATAATAGTTTAATCCACCATCTAGGACGGACCGCAATCAATAACGAGATTCTAACACCTCATACTATCACAAATATTGCAACTTACTCATGAATATTAGAACGGTGTAAAGCACAGAATGGATAATAGCTTCTGCAGTCGATATTCGGGCGACCCACCGATGGAAGTTGTTATACGTTCCAAAGTCCCAACCAGTAAGCCACAGAGCGAGATTGTTTCTCATTCCAAATAACCATATGAATGGGAAATTGGCAAAAGAGATTATTCCAGTCCGGTCTGCGACGTAACGCAATATCTGTTTGGTAGGCGTGGAAAAACTGTATGCACAAGTCAACATGGCGGTTTAGAAGCGCTGTTGGCATGATGTTAGACGTACTAGAGGCTTTCGTCTATAATTCTATAACCATGAATGTTGAAGATGACATTCATCAGAAGGAATATCACGATGGTAATCGTCTGTATTCGTGGAGGAACTGTAGCCCACCAGACATTCTGAGCACACCTATACCCAAACGTTGCCGGAATGGTTACATGGCGCTTAAACCACGAACTTGTATGAGAGCGGATCCCAACAGATGTAAAGCGATTCTGGCTACAGTACATCCGCGATATTGCCAGATACGCTTTGTGTGAAACGCCTACGAATGCGACGACAATCCAAAAAGCCATTACCCCGATGCTGAGAGAGCATTAGCAGAGTTTCTTTGCTATTAGCTGCAAATCGAGTTACCCGTAGAGATAATGATGTCTACGCGCATATTCAGAGGCATCCTGGGGCACACTATACGTTAGTTTATGGACGAGCGAAACATGGAAAGAAAGCATATTCACCAAAGTATCGAACCAGACACTAAAGAATTCTGGTGATGGGATAACGACTCCATCCAAAGGATTTGCAGGGCCAAACGAATCATTTTTATGGATTCTCCTTAACCCTGCTATTTCCTCATCGGCAAAATCTGTTTTAAAGGTCGGAATAAAGCTACCGAATGAGTCGTAGCAGGTGGCATTAAGATGTCGCAAAGCCTGGTCGCGCGTCTCCTCTCCACAGTTGAGGCCAAGACAGAGATACCTTGATGATAAAGAGAGACGGCTTTGGCACGCTTGCTGCGACGATGACGCCGCAGGACTTGCATCGAAAAATCGAAGTGACTGCAGAGAGCTCTCACAGCTTTTCACGCATAAACCGGGCGAGCTTCTGGGTTCGGTAGGGGTAGCAATAGCGACATGAGAGAATTGCGATATGAACAGGGCATGTGTGAATGCCCTCATTGCGTAGACAAGTACGGTGTGATTGAGCCTGACAACGCTGGTAAGCGGCCTTGTTGCTTCACCAAACCGACTGTGAGGCTGCGTGATTTAGATCGCGTGCTATAGCCGAGATTTGCAGGCATCAGCTGATTCGATGCCTCTGCGCCCCTTCGGAGTGACTAATGAGCTCCGAGCCATGATAGTGGATTGCTTATCTGATTGATAAGATCCACCGACAACCGATCATCGGCGGGCAACTAGACACGTCTCGGCTAGCCGGATTATCTTGTAGTGCTTGTAGGATACTAAATCTCACGTGAAATGGCCATCTCAGCCAATGCATGTTGTTACCAAAGCCCAAGGGAGTAGATAAGCTTAAACGGTGTACATGTATGCAGGTCTCAGATACAGGCCGCCACCTTTTTCCATACTTGTATTGTCGACCTGGGTATCTCAGCGTTCATTAAAGAGTAACACGTTCTCTCACTTTATTTACGTCCAAGATTCTTCTTCAACAGCATGAGACGTATATTTTCCCTCCTTTATACCAAAGCAAACTTGACCTCTGGTGTCTGCTTTAGAAAGCTCAGTGCATCTTCGTAGTCCAGCCGACGAAACGATTGTCACGATTCTTTCTATAACTTCATCCATCGGGTGATTGGAGAGCAGCTAGTGGCACTGTAGTCAATCATGGATATGCAAATTAAGACAGCGCCTATATGAACAACCTTTTCCGCACCATATCCGCGAATAAACTTCCGTTTGATCGGACAAAAAACAACAGCTCAAAGACCTTCTTGTCATGAGTGACCCATATTTCATGGCCTAGTAAAGCAGAGGTCTAATAGACTACTGCTGACTAGCTTCTGCCTTGATCCTCAGCCATAAATCTGGGGTAAGGCAACTATCCTTACCTAATGCCAATCTGTATTCGCAGTTTCCTATTTGGTAAATTTTCCAGGATATCATGAGTGAGTTATAAAATCCATATGACACAAGTCGATACTCAAGGAACCATATCCAAGCTACAGATTAAAGGTTATCGGTATTCTTCTTCGCTCGACTACATTGCCGATTTAAGTGCTCTCTTTGGCGCCTTGTTTCGTTGTCATCGTACTCATCATAATATAGCTTCCAGCAGCTTCTCTTCTTTGCATCTCAGAATCCAACTGTTGCCGTCGGTTGGTGGGATTTCTCCACGATTAACCCCTGTCAACTACCACGGCGCCGAGATCAGTACAGCCTAGCTCTGCAGACCCTACTCCCCATTCTCGCTTCGTGTTAATTTAGCACTGGATTAGCAGATGGTTTGTGAGGCTTGTATGCCGCACAGCGGCGGAATGAACAGCGTTCATCGCATAGGTCATAGTTGCTGGCATCCGACGGCTTTAATGAATAAAAGCCTACGGGCCGAATAATTACCCTCCACGATGCGGCACGTTGAAGAGTTCAAGCTTTTCATGTCCCCATCTTCATAGTGAGCTATCTTCTTACAGAGATGACTCGCAGGCATGTTGGCTCATATCCCCGCATTGTTCAAAACCCGTGATGCATGCCGATGGACGATGCCTAAGTTCCCAGTGAGGGCTATTTAAGAAGCCAGAATAGCCCAGGTTGTCATTCTAGGAACTTGCAGTGGTTTCACACTCATCAAGATTGATCATACAGTATCTCCAAGCCACGATGCTTCTAGCTGGGCTCGTCGCCGCCGCAGCCTGCGCCCATGGCGCAACGGCAAGACGGCTGTGGGCAACTGAGCCGGCCGATCCAGCCAACATCATCATGACCGCTTATCCATTAGGAAATGGAAAGCTTGGAGGTGAATACATGTACCATCCTAGGCAACTGACAGCAAATGAACTGCAGCTGACGACGAGTTAGCTATGCCGCTTGGGTTAGTCGGGGAAGACATCGTGGTCTTGAACGAGCACAGTCTTTGGTCCGGAGGGCCTTTCCAAAATCCCGTAAGCAACTAGCTTCTTTCCATCTCTGGGTATTTTGCCCAGCAAATCTGATATATGTGACGCAGGATTACATTGGCGGCAACCCACCAGGCCCGGTATACACAGCTCTTCCAGGGATCAGAGACACAATTTGGCAAACTCAAATTAATAATGGTACGCATCAGTGCGCCCAGTTGGTTCTATTGCCTGTGACCTAATAACTTGAGCAGATATAAGTCCCTTGTATGGTGATCCGGCAGATTACTACTACGGCAACTATGAGACTCTTGGGAATCTCACAGTCAAGATTGCCGGCTTGAGTCAATACACCTCTTACAACAGAGCGCTAGATCTCGAGACAGGCATACATCAAACCGTATTCCGGTCCAATGGTGCAAGCTTTACCACGTATGCGTTTAAATGAAGCATCTTGTAAGATGGCATTCTCTTTACGACTAACACATGTTTTAGAACGACATTTTGTACATTCCCCGACCAAGTTTGCGTTCATAACGTTCAATCCACCAAGGCACTACCAGCTATTACCATTGGTCTACAAGACAATGCTCGAAGTAGCCCAGCGTCCAACCTGTCATGCGATGCCAATGGAGTGCATCTGCGAGGACAGACTCAACAAGATATCGGCATGATTTTCGACGCCCGCGTCCAAGTTCTTAGCCGACCCAAAGGAGCGGCATGCACAGCGTCCCACGAAATTGTCATTCCTGCAGACAGCAAGACCAAGTCAGTCACCGTCATATACGCCGCTGGAACGGATTACGACCAGAAAAAGGGTACCAAAGCAAGCAATTACTCCTTCAAAGGAGTCGACCCAGCGCCAGCTGTGTTATCCACTATTAAGGCGGCTGCAAAAGAAAGCTATAACAGCTTGTATAACTCCCATGTTAAGGACCACAATGCCTTGTTTAGTCAGTTCACTCTGAATCTCCCAGACTCCGACAACTCGGCTTCAATACCTACCGCAAAGTTGATGGAGGACTACGATGATGATATCGGCAATACTTTTATCGAGAATCTTCTTTTTGACTATGGAAGATACCTTTTCATTGGCTCGTGCAGGCCAGGATCTTTGCCTCCCAATTTGCAGGGCATTTGGACGGAGTCTCTCACGCCAGCTTGGAGTGCAGACTATCACGTCGACGTCAATGTTCAGATGTGAGTGTGATTGTAGTATTTGCTGGACGAAGCTGATTCTTATTTCTGTAGGAACCACTGGCATACTGAGCAAACCGGACTTGGCGATATCCAAGGGCCGCTGTGGGACTTTATCACCGACACATGGGTTCCGCGCGGCACCGAAACAGCAGCGCTGTTGTATGATGCTCCTGGATTTGTTGGATTCAGCAATCTCAACACATTCGGGTTCACTGGGTAAGATTTCTTAACGCATAAGGTTTTGTCTCACGCATAAGCTTGCTGACCAGCTAATAGCCAGATGAACGCTGCTGTGTGGTCCGATTACCCAGCATCTGCCGCCTGGCTGAGTGAGTACATCAAAACAAATATGACCATCTTACATATCTGTTTGCTAATTTTATGTCGCAACAGTGCAGAACGTTTGGGATCGATATGATTACGGCCGTGACACCACCTGGTATAGGGCGACTGGCTACCCGCTGATGAAGGCCGTCGCCGAATACTGGATTCACGAAATGGTTCCAGATCTCTATTCCAACGATGGAACCCTGGTTGCCGCTCCATGTAACTCACCAGAACACGGTTGGACGGTAAGACGATATGGCCTTGATCACATCATCATATGCTTTTTACTGACTCGAGTAGACCTTTGGCTGCACGCACTACCAGCAGCTAGTATGGGAACTGTTTGATCACATTATCCAGAGCTGGGATGCTACAGGCGATAAAAACACTACATTCCTCGAGACTGTCAAAGAAACCCAGGCCAAGCTGTCTCCAGGCATCATCATCGGCTGGTTCGGTCAGATTCAAGGTAATTTTGTCTCAGAGTTCTCTGTCTGGTTGCCCCAATTTTTACTAAATAAATACAGAATGGAAGATCGGCTGGGATCAGCCCAACGACGAGCATCGTCATCTTTCCCAACTCGTTGGATGGTATCCCGGCTACAGCATCGGCGCGAATATGTGGAATAAGACTGTGACTGATGCTGTAAATATTACTCTAACAGCGAGAGGTAATGGTACGGCTGATTCAAATACCGGCTGGGAGAAGGTCTGGCGAGTTGCATGCTGGGCTCAGCTCAACAACACCGATATCGCGTAAGTTGTTGCACCTCATCCAGATTACTCTGTTTCCCCAAGTACACCCATTGTAGTTGCTGACTGGTTTTTTATAGGTACACATACTTGAAGTACGCTATTGGCATGAATTACGCAGACAACGGCTTCTCTGTGTACACCGCCGGCAGCTGGCCATACGAACTCGCGGCGCCGTTCCAGATTGACGCCAATTTCGGCTACACTGCCGCCGTCTTGGCCATGCTGATCACCGATTTGCCGGTGCCGTCTGCTTCCAAGGCTGTTCACACAGTTATTTTGGGTCCGGCTATTCCCTCAGAATGGGCAAATGGCTCAGTCACGGGTATGCGCATTAGAGGCGGAGGATCCGTGGACTTTTCATGGGATAAGAATGGCCTTGCGACCCATGCGACGCTTCATAACCATAAAGCATCGATTAAGATTGTCGATGTCAATGGTAAAGTCTTGCTTCACCAGTAGAGAGATGAGAGACGACTTGTCTTGAAAGTAATTAAAAAAAATTCCCGCGTAAATTGCTTGGCTATGACGCAATGGTTTTGTGACGTTTGATTTTAATTCTCAAGACTTGGGCCGATTTTATAATCAGTGACAGTGGTGATGATCCTACTTGAGCACTCAAGTAACGTCAGCACAACATGTTTATAAACGGATGTGCTTATGAAGACGGGAACGTGTTGGTCTAGCAATTTCCCTTTAGACTTCACTTGCGGGCTGCTATAAGAGTGGAATTGCTGGCCGAATCAAGGGTTTGTTGTGGCTTAAAAGTGCCGCAAATTTCAGCCAGAATGCCTCTTACCTATAAGTCAAGGTGCGTACAGCTTCTCTTACAAACGATCAACTTTATTTTCTATTCAGTAGCACTGAATATTGTCAACCTTGGCATCATGCAGCTTACCCATTCGCCTCAGCTCCTATTAGCAAACTACACGTAATTTTCCACATGCAAATCCCCATCTCATCACCCTTTCGCTGTGGCGCAGTCTAGCAACGAGTGGAGTACGCCGCAATAGCTATCGGCAAGCTGTTTCTTTCACTGCCAACTGTTAACCGCCTGTAAGCTCGATTTGTGCATGTACAGGGCGTTGCTCCAGCGCCGGCAAACAGATCCGACAACAAAGAACGGGCAGCCAATCGATTTCCTAGACCGGCATCCCTCGCAGCCCTACCCACATGTGAGCGTAAACGTAAATCTGTCAATCCCTTGGAATAGGAGCTCTTCTTCTCTGAGACTACAAGTACTTTGCCCGACGGCTAGTTTTCCGAGTGAATGCTCGCCGGTTTCCGTCGACGGCTAAAATCGCTGCTCTCAGTCTCTGCCACTTCGCCGCCACTCTCTCCAATATTGGGCTTTTGGCTGCATCCCCGTCAGATTCGGCGCCGCGGCCCCGGCCTTGGCATTCACGGACAGACTGTCGGGCGTTGCTTCGGATATTTGGCCATCCATCGCCTGACCTGTGATTCCGCATCCAGCATAGCCATCGCCGAGAGAGCACCGGAGGTCGTTGCTGGGCAGGCAGAGCGGAAAAGGGTGCCATTGGCAGTTGCCAGCGTCGACGAGCTGAGATTGAGATTGAGATGCCTCTCCATCTGCAGGTGCCGCCGCCCACAGATCCGGCCTATCGCCGATCGCCGTCACCGCCTCCATCGCCGTCCAAGGCTCTTCAGACGTACTGCGACAAGTATGTTGTAGTCTATGACTTTAGCGATATAGGTGTGCTTCCAATGATCTCATCCATACATCTATAGTTTGCAAAATTAACTGTCAAAATAGATTACGATGCGGCTACAAAAGAGTTCATTACGCTGCTCCAGAATCTGGAAGACACGGGCCTTCACGTTGAAGTAAGACCAGGCTATGAGCAATCCATCCTGCTATTTGTCAAAGCACCAAGCGAGCTTCTCGGAAACAGAGTCTACAAACTGAGGTATAAATCTTTACATGCATGCATTGGGGCTTTGAACCTCTCGATGAAAGACAAAAGAGGGAGTAGCTAATGCAATGTAATATAGAGTAAGAGATTGGCTCTATGGCATCACCCAAACGCGGCCACCAGGCAACAAAGACACCGTTGTGTCTGCGTGGTACGAAGCCGAAGATATCCTGTCCATGAACCATTTGGTTTGCTGGCCAAAGTCTATGGGGGGAGCAGGCATTACTCCCAACCATGGTCAATGGAAAAATGTCAAATCAACATTTCCCATGCACAATGAAAAAGTCAACCAAGCATTTCTCCGGCATCTTGGCGGGAAGCTGCTGCTCGGCACCGCTGACCTTGACAAGATACGGGATCTCTTTGGATCAAAGGTATGCGTCTTTATCCTTGGTGCATAGCATTTTTTTTTCTTCGCATCAATAACGTTGACGTCTTCCAGGTTGCCTTTTACTTTGCGTTTGGCCAGTCATACTCGGCCTTTCTTCTGTTTCCAGCTGTTACCGGGCTTATCGCTTGGCTATGGCTACCCAACTACTCCCTTGTCTACGCAATTCTCACCGTCATTTGGTGCACTGTGTTTTTGGAGTACTGGAAAGTCCGTGAGGTCGATTTGAGCATTCGATGGAAAGTGAGGGGAGTCAGCAAAACCAAAATGAACCGACCAGAGTACAAGTATGAGAAAGTCGTTGTCGACCAGTATGGCCGGACTATTCACTACACTCCCAAGTGGAAGCAGATTGCGCGACAGCTTCTCCAGGTGCCTTTCATGGCCGCCTCAACGGCAGCGCTGGCTTTAATGATCAGCTCGGTCTTTGCAGTTGAGATTCTAATATCTGACTCGTACGACGGGCCAAACAGTTTCTATCTTGTGAGTGACCTTTCGAACAATAGCTTTGGATAAAACATTGCTATCCATCTCTCGTATGTACTAATACAACGCTGCAGGAATATATACCCACTATACTACTGGCTGTTCTGATTCCCTACATCAGCTCGTATCTCGAAGGCGTTGCAAAGTGGTTGACAAACTTTGAGAACCACCGAACAGCAGACAACTTTGAAATGTCACTCACGCAAAAGACGTTTGTTCTCAGCATCATCACCAATTATCTGCCCATCTTTCTGACGGCATTCGTCTACGTCCCCTTTGGCGATCAGATATTTCCTTGGATCGAAGGCCACATTGTCCAATTCGCGCCCAGCATCGGCAACCGTCTCACCGAGCTGCCTTTCCGACTAGACGCTGACCGTTTGCGCCACGAAGTCATCACATTGACTGTTACCGGCCAGCTTTCCAGCTTTTTCGAAGAAAACATATTGCCCTTGATCAAATACAAGATGAGCAGCTTGTACCGCGAATATCGTCGCGCCTATACAAAAGACACGATCCTGGTATCCATGGTCACTGACGATACGGACGAGACCGCATTCCTGGAGCAGCGCCGCAACGAGGCCACGCTGGAGCCATATAATGTCCAAGACGATATAGCAGAGCTGGTTCTTCAGTTTGGATATCTGGCACTATTTTCGCCCGCCTGGCCGCTCATTCCTCTAGGCTTCCTCATCAACAACTGGGTTGAGCTACGATCCGACTTTGCAAAGATATGCATCGAGCATCAACGGCCTGCGCCGCATCGAGCAGAAGGCATCGGCCCATGGATTGCCTCGTTGGAGATTCTCGTCTGGTTGGGAAGCATCTCCTCCGCTGCGATTGTTCACCTCTTCAGCTCTGACAGCCTCTTAGGCGGGGGTTGGTCCACCCTACCATTAACCATTTTCGTCAGCGAGCATATTCTTTTGGCGATTACAATGATTACCAGGGTCATCTTTCTGCGCTTTGGCTCGGAACAACTTCGCAGGGAGAGAAGTGAGCAGTATGCCAGGCGACTGGCTATTCTGGAGGAGATTGAAGAGCATAAGCGTGAGGGAGAGCGCATTGATGTTAGGGAGCGACAACGGAGGAGGTCGTTATTAGTCTCTGGCAATGAGAGCTTCTGGACAAAACAGGCCGATGATGGGGCGAGCGCAGCAGCTGGAGTGAGGCTGATAAAACTGGCGAGAGAGTGGGAGGAGTCCAATGAGCTTAAGAAGAAGCAATAGAGACGTGGCAGATAGCAATTTGCTCATGGTACTAAACTGTAGAACCTCTTCCTTTTCTTTTCATTCTTTCCTTGTTCGTGCTCACAGTGGATAGTGAACCCAGAGGAGATATGTTCAATTACGCCAGTTTGTAAGTCGGCGAGTTTCCCACCAAAGCCACTGCTTCTTTCTCAGCGACGAACGGGCATTTTCAATTGTTCGCTAAGCACCGATTATCTCATCACATTGCAAACATTTTTATTTCTAAATTTACGACTCCGCACTGCAATTTATCGGTTCTCATCGGCAAATCGGCGCCCGCCGTGCTCCGCAAATGAATTCTCCATTTTGTCCTTTTAGTGTGTTCACGTTTAAGCTTGAAATTTGGCGTAAAGCCACGGCCTAATATCTCCTCTGCCCGTTAAAAATCATACGCCAATTGCAAACGCCCTGCTGTCTCTCCTCTTCAATCCTTGGCTCAGTCAAATTTCAACAACAAAAAATAGATTCTTATACACACACTGAAACCGAAAATGTTGCGTTGGGGCATTCTGGGCACCAGCTTCATCTCCCACACAGTGGTAAAAGCCATCCTCGATAGCCCTGGTTCACGCATCACGGCCGTTTTTGGGCGCAACGAGGCCCGCCTCGAAGAGTTCGCCGCAAAGTACAGCATCGCCACCAAGTACCAAGACCTGGAAGCCCTGCTCGACGATGCTGAAGTCGACGTCGTCTACGTCGGCCTGCCCAGCCATATGCACTCTGCCGCAGTGATTGCCGCTGCGAAGAGGGGCAAGGCCATTCTCTCGGAAAAGTCTCTTGCAACGACCATGGACGACTCTCACGCCATGATGGCGGCTGTCAAGGAGGCAAATGTCTTCTTCCTTGAGGGCCTCATGTATCTCTGCCATCCTTTGATGGACAAGATTGCCTCAATTGTGCACTCCGGCGTTCTGGGCACAGTCAAGGGCATGTCGGGCTACTACGCCGCCAACATCTGGAAGAAGGCCAATCCACTCGGAATGGGCACCATCTACAACTTGGGCTGCTACCCGGTTTCTCTGGTGCACTTCATCATGGAGACTGCCTTTGGACCTGAAGCCTTTGCAAAGAGACAAATCACCGGACTGGGCAACGTCTCCAGCGAGGGCACCTTGCATGTTCGGGATGCCTCTCTCAATGTCCGATTCGACAACGGAGTTTTGGCCACCATTCAATCCACCGATAGTTTCGGCAACGACTTTGGCTTTTCCATCCAGGGCGACAAAGGCGTGCTGCGATTTAGGACAAACCCCTGGCTCCCGCTGGCTGGTGATAACATCATCGAGATCAAGACCTATGGCGGATCCACGGAGGAAATCGTTGTAGGCGCTCAAATGGATGCTTTTGGACATCAAGTCAAGCGTGTGGAAGACTGTGTTGCCCAGGGCGTCAAAGAAGCCCCGCGGCCATCGCCCAGCTGGACAAATTCTGTTGAAATCATGGGGCTGTTAACAGATTGGGAGGCGGACATTAAAAAGCGACACTCCAATTAGGTGCATTAGGGTCACGAATAGAATCAATAAACAGTTATACAATTTAATATTATTTTATTATTATATGCATATTCCAGTTATGGCATCCTCAAATTGCAAATCCTCCAGAGGACACCTGCCTTGGCTCTCCTGCTGCCTCAAACGTTCCGTTGGGGAGCAACCTCACGGCTTGTGCTGTACTTTGTCCCGGCGCAATCCACGAAACATTGTGGCCAAGCGACTTCATGAATGCTACAGTCTGGTTATCATATGCATATTCAAAAGTTGCCAGATCAGGCACAAGCTGATCATGCAAACGCGGCTGTGCCAGTGCCTCAGCAGTTGTCATATTTCCATCAATGACATGAATCGTGTTCTGGATATTGGCAGTGATGATGCGGCTGCCTCCCGCAGAGCCAAGCGCGAGATAGAGCTTGCCGTCTGCAGTCTCTGCAATAATGGGAGAAATGGATGACAGAGGACGCTTGCCGGGGCGAATATAATTAGCTGGGCTGGGTATATAGCCGAAGCTGTTGCTAAGACCAGGAATGCTAAAGTCGTTCATTTCATCGTTCATGATAACGCCCGTCTCTGGAACGATGACGGTTGATCCAAAGAGCAGGTTGATAGTGGTGGTCATTGAGACAGCCATTCCGCTGGCATCTGCAGCCACCATATGAGACGTTCCAGGCGTCTCCAGAGATTCCAAGCCTTTGGGATCGTAGTAAGACACGTTTTGTGTCCTGAAATCTGAAATCTTGGCACGAATCTCAGCTCCAGTTTTGGCGGAAATCATCTCCTTGGTGTATTTGTCTATGCCGTCAACAAACGACGGATCTCCGAGCTCAGTGCGCTGGCCGTAGGCAAATCGGATAGCCTCATCCAGCCGGTGTGTTGTCAAATTCACCTGTGAAGGGTCGTTGAATCCATCAAAGCCGCCAACAGTGTTCAAAGCGCTCAGCGCTACCGCACCACTTGATGGAGCGTTGGTGCTGGTGAGTTTGTACCCGCGATAGTTGATCTGCAGGGGCTCTCGAATGGCAACAGTGTAATTCTTCAAATCCTCCAGCGTCATAATTCCACCAACAGCTTTCAATGCGCGGATTGTAGCATTAGCAATAGGCCCGGTGTAAAATGCATCGGCGCCGTGCTGAGCAATGGCCTCCAGGGTATCGGCATATCGCCTGCGCGTCATTGTCTCGCCCAGTCTGACGAGGCGTCCCTTGGGAGCAAAGTCAATCGCCCATGCTGGGTCTTCTGTGAGGAAGTTGTTTGGTGAAGTCTGTTTGATGGTGTTGATCAAGTCCTCGGTCACCTTAAAACCATTCCTCGCAACTTCGATCGAAGGCTTTATTACGTGGGCCCATGGAAGAGCACCATATTTGTCATGTATGTACTCTGTTCCTCGAAGCTCTCCAGGAACACCACTATGAACAGTAATCAGCAATTTGTTAAAAGAGAAGAAGGCCCTATCATGTTGCAATCTTACCTCGCCATACCGCCGTATAAGCTGAGATTTTCATCCTTGTTGTACATGTCTTGAGTAGCGGCACCTGGAGCTGTCTCGCGCATGTCGACAAATTCGTACGTGCCATTGCTCAGTCTCAATAGCAAGAAGCCACCGCCGCCAATTCCACTATGATACATCCCAATGACGCCAACGCAAAAGACGGTGCCCACGAGAGCATCGACTGCATTACCACCGTCTTTGAGCAATTGGATACCAATATTACTGCAGACAGTGCTTTGAGAGGCAACGGCTCCTTGCTTGGGAATATGCACTCCGGGAGGTGTACTGCATGGTGGCGTTGGAGATGTGTTGCCATAAGGAAGTACCGAAAGGAGGAGAGCAAGCGGCTTGACCACTGACTTTAAATGGCGATGAGCCATGTTGAAGTACAGATGATGGTTGAGCCCGGAAATATCGAGACAGGGAGATCTGTATTCTCGCAGAAAGATTCCTGGGGTGGTCTCTCTTCACTCTCTGAGCAAAGGACTGGGCCACCTTTATATACCTACCTTTTTGCCCATGTCCTCCTATCTTCTCCTATCTCTTCCTATCCACCTTCTCTTCCGTGTGACACACCGCATTGTTCGCGAAAGTGCCTAGTTGTTGGACGAGTTACCATGTGTAATAGAATAGTGAATGAGACATTATGGGACTGGCTATATCGGCAAGTCTTCGCGCGCAGACCGAAAAACGGAGCTCCAGATTTGTCGATTCATTGCGGGGGAGTAGAGCAGAGAGCAAGGATGCCAGTAAGATTAGGAAATTTTGCTCTTGCTATACAAGGAAAATAGATAAAGGCATTTATCGGCTAGATTACAAGCCGGCAATAGGCCTAGAAGAGCCATTGGATTATGACGTTTGATCATCCGTATGCATTCTTATCTCGGCCTTCCTGTCTAAGCTAAAGTGGCCGGATGGCCAGGGTGGTTCGCGATTGATTGCTACACAAGGAGGCTACGGCAAATCTACAAAACCCTGGACTCTTGCTCAGATCCCAACAGCAACGGTGTCGTCTATTGACAAAAACAAGGCTGTCATTTTTATGTGATGCTTTTTCTTATAGAGCCAAGCTAAGAGCTGACCTATTACTTACATTCAGCCTCGTACCGGCTTCTTCTACTTTCAGCCACGCCTCGTCTGCCGAACCCTTGTTCTTGCTCTCCCGCATCTCTAAAATCGCCTACAGAGGGCGCACGCTATTACGGGGCCTTTGCTTTGGCATCCCCGCTTTCCCCTCACGTTGAAATCAACGGTTGTAAATCCGCTATGCCAAAACAGATTGCTCTTTGTCAAGGCATACAGAATTGTAATTTGCTACTCCATAGTTGTCAGTCGGAGAGGTTGGGAAGATGCGAGATAGTGTTTAGGGCGCTAGGAAAATCCGCAATAACCAGCCTCAAGCTAGAGACCAGAGTCGGCCGACCTGGAGTGTAGTCAATCAGCACGTCTCATTTGTGAAATGGACTGAAATGAGCTAAGGGACTGACGTGAAGATCGCATACTAGGCTAGGTATTGCCTTATTTAACCCTACAGTGTAAGTCTCGGCTCACGATGCCGGAGTTGGTACCTATCCAGTTTACTCATTAAAGCCGTCTCTACTCGGATAGAAACATTAAGAGATATTTAGATATAATTCTATTAATCTTTTACTTCATAGCTAGTTATTCCCATTGATCTTGTATTTCATCCATACCATCAAAGCTCCGTCAACGCCTTAAGCACTCTTCCAAGACCCTCACGCAGATATGGTTCCGGGTGAGAAAACACAATCCGAAACCAGCCTGGTTCCTCCGACCCAAACGCTGTTCCAGACGCAAGAAAAACTCTATGCTTGAGAAGCGCCGTGGCTATTGTCTTGTTCAAGTCATCTGTGGCGGCATCTGGATGCAGCGACTTGTAAAAACTTCCCAAGTCCACCCATAAGAAGAACGCAGCATGGACGCCGGGTCGGTACCTGATGCCTTGTGATTTGACCCATGAAACCGCTGATTCGTACTGCTGCGCCAGCCTTCTTTTGTTCTCTGCGATATAAGTCTCCACCCAGTCATGATCATCGAGAATGTTTGCCGTGGCGTGTTCTGAGAGGGAGGATGCTGAGCTATAGAGGCTGACGGGTATCAACGCATCGTGCAAAGACTGGTTAGCCTGCGAAATGACGGCGCCAAGTCTGATGCCATTTGCCCCAAAATCCTTCGACATGCCATACACAACATGGACTCGCGATGGCTCGATAATGCCGGCCAGATCAATGCTGAGGCAAGATGTAAAGGGCTCAAACGCAATACCAGCATCGACCGTGTTTTCCCATACTGACAAGGCATAGATTTCGTCGCCAATGAAGTGGATCTGGTACTTTTCGCATAGCTTTAACAGCCCAACAATCGTTTCTCGAGGATAGCAGCGGCCAAGCGGATTGTGTGGATTACAGAGAACCAGTCCAGCTACTTTCGTGCCCTCCACCTTGGCCTTTAAGAGTGCTTCTTCGTATTTGGCGACGGCATCTTTACTGAAAGGATCGACGTCATGAAATGGCACCGAGACAACTTTTGCGCCCGTTCGAGCTGTTAGGTCCTCGATGAAGGTCCCGTAGTATGGCTGTCCCAGCAGATAGCCTTCTCCTGGATTGGCAAATGCCCACGCAAGATGTTCAACCGCGGCACTGCACCCGTTTGTAATGGATATGTGTGCAGGGACAATTGGAATGACAGGGTTGAAGTGTTTGTTGAGGAACCGAGACAGAGATTCCCGGAGACGTTTCGACCCTGAGGAGCCATCTCCATAAGTAAATGCTTCGTTCAGGAGGGCCAGGTTCTCATGGATGTGTTGAGAGAGAGTGTCGTGCATAAGCCTATTTTCTGCAACGCCCAAACTGACAATTCCAGCGGGATTGGTGTCTGGATCCCATAGGTCCTTGAGAACTTTCCATATCAAAAGGCTTTCGCTGGCCTTTTCTGATGCATGGGCTCGTACTGATAGAGACATGGTGGCTTTGGCGAGAATGAGGGGATGCCGTTGAGATGTGAACCTTGACTTGAGGCCGAATACCTGGATATAAGATAAATGCTCCTCTTTAAATATCTATGAGCACAAACGTGATGATATCAACAATAGAGTGCTGCCTAGATCTGACGTTAACGATCAGCGACCTTGGTCGTGATTCAAGGTCGTGATTTTGTTAAGGGCGTAGCGCCCTCTTGACAGATAGGCTAAAAGCACACGAGAAACCGTTAAGCTAACGCCCCAAATGCTGCCAAGCGTGTTGTTTAACGCCCAAGCCCAAGACCCATTCTCTAAACGAGAGCGGCGCTACATTTCTACCACAGGTACTACTCCGTACATACTATGCAGATACATACCACTGCTTCTGTGCTATGCGGGGCTTAAAAAATTGATAGTAAGAGACAATATTAGGGCGTAGATGCAGTCATAGCATCATCATTCAGATCAAGCTTTGATGCTGTTCCTGATGAAATTTCTTGCTAGTCGACTTCTCAGGAGTGAGTCATTGGGTATTCACTTGAGCAATAGCTATCTAAACGATTCGCCGTTATTACGCCTCTTGTAGCATAAATCCATTCTAAGTCTTTGCTTTGACTGCCACTTCGATACCGAGGACCCGATGACCCGATGACGGCACACGGTTGATTCCGGACCCCGCCTTGTCTCGGAATTAGTGCACCAGTTCTTTAGACAAAAATCCGAGTTTAAGCTCTTGAGTCGTGGCTCTCCACAGCTAGACCAGGAACGGCAATTGCCCCTCCGGCTGGTCTCTCAGAATTCAAAAGCCAAAATTGCTGGAGAGGCCGGAGCAGAGCGGATTGAAGATTGCCATATTGGGTATTCGAGAGAACCTCTGCTTCGGCGCCCCGAAGCTGGCTTGGCTTGTCTCCGAATTGCCTGCAAAATCCGCGCTTAGGGGAGGATTTTACACATGTATATAGAAAATGATGATGACCATTTGTAAACAGCCACAAGTCTATATATACTGCTGTAGAAGTAAGTTCTTTGACATTTCGTTTGGACATCAACACTCCAACGTACAAGCGAGAAACGAAACTGCCGGCTCAACAACGAGAGATTATCGCAAAGCCCCAATAATACAATTTAAAAGCTCTTCAAAGCCTTTACACTCCAAAAACTCTCCTAAAGAAATTAAACTTTTCCGCCAGAATGACCAAAGTTCTTATTCTGGGAGCTACTGGCTATCTCGGCAAGAGGCTCGCCGAGACGTTGGTACGCAGCGGACAGCATAGAGTATATGGCGTTGCTCGCTCTGAAGCCAAGGCCAAGGCACTGGCTCTCGCCGAAGTTATACCCATCATCTGTCCTGATCCGGTGAACGAGCCTAAAGCTTACATGGACGCTCTCCGCAATCACCACATCGAAGTCATCGTCGATGTTGCCGGCGCCAATCAGGAAACGGCCAAATTTTTAAGTCATGCCAAGGAAATTGGCCAAGGGCGCTTGGAAATCTACGCCGCTTCAGGTATCAGAGGCCCCAAGCTCGGCTTCATTTACTGCTCGGGTACCTGGGTCCATGGGTCTAGCAATACGCTGCTCACCGATCTCGATATTGTCGGTCCCACTGCTGTAACCCCTCCAAGTGCTCTGGTTTCATGGAGAGTTGGTCTCGAAAACTCTATCTTGTCTACGTCCAATGTCCTTGATATTGCGGTGTTGAGACCAGCATTGATCTATGGCCATGAAAACACTATCTGGACCCCATTTATCCTCCCACTTCTTGAAGCAGCTCGGAGTGGTGGTTTAGAATCCGTTAATATTCCTCTAGAAGCCGACTCTAGGCCCGCCCTCGTCCATGTAGATGATGTGGCAACTGGCTTCCAAAAGGCTATTGAGAATTTATCACTCATTAATAACGGTTCTACTTACCCAGTATTCGATCTACTGACTAGCCAAGAAAGCATGTCTGAGATTTTCGCGGCCATGGCTTCTAGCTGGGGATATAAAGGAAAATGGGCCTTGGTTGGAAGCGGAGACAATTTGTTTGCAGAAGCCATGAGCACGACTCTGCGTGGATCATCATCACGAGCGAAGCAATTGCTGGGCTGGGAGCCTACAAGAACAAACGGTTTTGTTGCAGACATGGATCTATACGCAGCTGCATTTGCCTCTCAACACTGATGCGATTGTATGAGTGTAGATTAGTACGGCCTGATATGGATATTTTGTATCTGTCATGGATGACTGTCTGATTGCTAGTATTATGCTTAATTTTAGTGTTAGAATGTCAGATACCTTCAATATTAGACCTATAGAACTCTGTAAGGTTTAGAAAACAAAACATGTTCTATCTCAAAGCCCTTGTACACTAACGGAAGATGTAAAGTGTATCAAGTGTATTCTTTCTTTGATGTCCCCCAAGCTGTCTAGAGTACATCTCAGGGTTAGTGACAAATAGATTCAAAATTCTGTATCAGGCATAAGCTATTGATAAACCACCACAGCTATCGTTATCAACTTCAAACAATGACTTGTTGGGAAAAATTAAACCACCGATAGCCACAATAGCGGCGTTTTGGAAATCCTGTAAAGCCGAGTTTAGCATGTGCTAACAGCATTGATGCATCAGCACAGCCTCTAGACTGCAGTCTTAACTTTGTGCATCTCGCTTAGCATGCTGAATAATTCTCATTTACTATGCATCATTTATTGAGCCTTTTTCTCTCTCATTTTTGCTGTCCGGTGTGGGTTAGCTATGCAACCAACATTCATCTGCCGTTGTCTGGATTTCAATGTCAGGAAACACGCCTGAAGCTTATTCGCCAGAATATCCCATTCCCATGTCAGGCTAATTCCAGGGCCTCCACATCGCTACTAAACATGCAGACAAAAGATCCACAAGGCGGCTTTAGCTCTTATACGCTTCTAGCCTCAAAGCATAGCCGACGTCTTCATGAATGGCTGCTTCTTCCATAGATGTAATTGTATGAAATAGTCCACACTCGCCTCCCTTACTGACACAATGCATCTTTCCGGAACTAGAGTAACCTGAAAGGTTTATCATTCGACTGACTCGGACCATGACAACCGGACCAGGAGACGATGTGGCTGAGAAGCCTCGAGAGAAGTTGAAGAGATCAAGAAATGGTAAGAGCAGCAATTAAGCCAAAATATGGCATTCATAAACTCACAAACAGTCTTTTTATAGGCTGTATCAACTGCAGAACAAGGCGCGTAAAATGCGATGAGAAGCAGCCAGCTTGTGGGAGATGCTCCTCTCTGGATCTACCCTGTCACAAGCCTGAGCCCCCAATTCCGCTCAAAATTCGCAGACGTGGGCATGGTCCTGTTAAATCTAGGAACATCCTACGCTGGGAGCCTCCGAAACTCTTGCCGAATACCCATCAAACTACCCCAGACTGCCAACCAGCATCATCCGCCAATATTACCAATCGCGCATCTGTTCGACAAATCGACTCCCCAGCGGATCTTGACAGCATTAGCTCCACTGCAGGCATTACACATGGCGTTGGATCATTGGAGTTTATGGAGCCTATATCCTGGAGTAATGATATGGATCGTCTCATTGCATCACCTGGGGAAGAAATAGCCAACCAGCTCGCGGCAGTCTCGGTAACGGCGGCAGGGTCAATAGCCACCCCCCTACGCCAAGCATTTGACAATAGTTTCAGTCGCATGCTAGATGGCCCTGTCGATAACCCTGATTCCCATGAAGGTGGGGATACCTTCTCGACGGAATCATCTTTTCCCACGCGGTCTTTGGTTGCAGAGCCCACAGATGTGTACTTACAGCCTTCATGGTTGAATAATCCTGGAATTTCTAGTAGTAGCTCTTTGGATCCTTTGACTCAGCCTTTTTACACATACACAGAGCCGTTATTACCTCTCAAGTATCTGAAAGAGCATTTCAAATTCCAGCAGACGGCAACCTTGTTATCGCCCAAAATGTCCTACGAGTTGGCCGACGCACTCAATCTTAGCCAGATTGAGAGGAAAGCATTAGATTATTATCGAAGCCACTTTTCATACTTTCGAAGTGTCAAGGGATTCCTATGGTCAGAGTATTCCATCTATCTTACTGCGGCAACTAATAGCAACATGATACTCCATCTCATCCTGGCAATCTCACTTCGGGGCTTGGCTCGAGATACACAAGATGCCAACGCCTCGCGACTGAGCACAGCCCACTTACACAAAGGACTAATGCTCTTGCATAAGCAACTAGAAGGAAAGAACAGCGAAATCATGGAAGTCATGATATCGTTTTGGTTCTTGGCCTTGTTCACAATGGAAAGTGACTCTGCAATCGGCCGTATCCAACGCCAGGAGTTGAGCAAGAAGGTGTATCAATACTCACGGGCATACCTATTGGATGAAGTTTGCGGTCCACCTAATGCCATCATGGCTACACAGTCATCCAGTGAAAACAGCTCGGCGAGAATCAGCATGGTGATGAAAATACTTTGCATGATTGCTAACTTGGACGTGCAACTCAACATCTTTGGCTACGGCGGAGAACTTTCTGATTTTTGCTATGAGAAGGATCGTATGCGTCACATACAGCAGATGGCTCACAATTATCTAGAGTTGAACCATGGAAGGGAGTATCCGTATTGTGAGCTCGCCTACGACATTGAGAGTTCAGAATGTGGCAGAGTCTACCAAGATCAACACAGGCTTTATCACTGGATAAACCAACTGTTTTGGTGTGGAGTTGGTGACTACCAGAGCATCGAGAAAGATATAGAAGCACAAGAAGAGGTGAGTAACAATGTACGTGACAAAGAGGAATGAAGTTGGTTTCTAATATGAGGGGTTAAATATAGAAATATCGATCTTTCTTTCGAATCGCTCATCGCGACAGTATGGAGGATGGCGACTACTCTCGGCTACACTTTCAGATTGATGCTGCCGTATGCGAGTTTTACGCCATTCGCCTGTATCACTTCCGCTGCCAGAGCGAGAGATTGCCTGGTGAAAAGGTCCAGAACTGGGTCACGTCATATTTACAGATTGCCTATCGACTACAGCAGTCAAAAGTCCGCTATCACTGGATTGACAAGTCTTTATTTCTGGTAGGGTCTGAAACGCGGGATCCAATCCACAGAGACTGGATTCAGCGACGGATGCTTCGAGAAGACTTGAAGAGGGCATTGAAGTGTGTATGGCAAAGGGAAAAGATGCTTGGAAGGCGACTTGGTCGTGAAGAATTTCAGACAATATTGCGTGATGAGGCCGACGTATATGATCCTGCTTCCACTACAATATAGTTTCGGCACTACAGTGTAAATTCTCAGCTGCTTTGTTCTTAATCTTGAAATTTTCGTTGCGATTGATTTAGATGACGAGGAACAATTATAGACAAGAAAATGGCCTGAAAGAGTTGTTGCGGGTATGCTTATAATATCACTGATTGGTCCGAATGCCGGCAAGTCGTAACTTCAACACTTAGACCACCGCGGACTTGTGAAGACTCGAGTGAATTTAGCAGCGAGATCCCTAAAGTACAGAAATCTTGTTGTGGAATTGATTTGGCGTGTAAAATTGAGAGAATTACAACGACATTCATACATGCATTTGGCCTATTCTTGCTAAAGCCAAACCGCACATTTTTCAGCATTATTCCATGAAGAGGCTGGCACAAGTATAAGCCGATTTTGAATCTCCTCTCGGCCACCAGCACGTATAACGAATGAATGGTGCAGTTGGCCAGAATGTCCGCAGTGGAGAAAAAGTCTACTGACACTCTCTTGGGTAATAGTCAGCTGAAAATGCGACATTTGGTGCTCTGTACATGGTGCTTTGGTTTGATCTTGCGCAAGTAAAGATGCTTGAGAGATATGGAAACGATAATCGTTCGACTTTGAGAGTTGAGAACTTGGAATCCGGCTTCAGTGCCTTCAATTGCAAGTCAGCGCCCAATTACAGCGCGCAGTCGGCAGCGTTAGCGTGCAAAGTCACCATAGGCGACTAATTTGGTACAAAAGTACCTTTTCCACTAGCCCCGCAGCGAAATCTTGGCGCTCAGCTCTTATCGGAAATTTTCTTATCAGTCGTCTGAAAATATTCTGGACTAGACATTTTTCTGTAGATTATCCCATCTCCAAATCTTCACTCTCTCTACACCGAATTCCGCCAATCGAAAGCCAAGATGCGCCCCCTCACCGAAGAAGAGACGCAAGCCGTCTTCAAGAAGCTGGCCGAGTACACCGGCGCCTCGCTCAAAAACATCATTGCGCCCCAGGAAGATGGCGATCGCAACGTCTTCCGCCTGTCGCAGAACCGAGTCTACGTCGTTCGACTCTCCATGGCCAATCTGGCAACGTCAATTGCCCGTGACAACCTGCTTTCTCTAGGAACTTGCCTTGGTATGTTGCTGTCGTTCAAGAAGAAAGAATAGAAAGACGGAGTCCAACTAATATTCCTTCGAATAGGCAAATTCACAAAGTCTGGCAAATTCCGAATCCACATCACGGCCCTTCCGATCCTCGCCGAGCACGCGCGACACAAGCTCTGGATCCGCCCCAACGGCGTCATGCCCTTCCTCTACGGCGGCAACATTGTCAAGGCGCACGTCGGCCGCTTCTCCGAGGACTGCCCCGAGCACCAGGGCCTGGTTGTCTACACCATGGACGACGTTCCTCTGGGTTTCGGCGTCAGCGCTCGCAGCACTGCAGAGAGCAGGAGACTTGATCCCACCGGCGTTGTTTGCTTCCGACAGGCTGATTGCGGCGAATATCTGCGTGACGAAGATACCCTGTTCCAGTCCGGCTAGAGGGATGTAATACCAGTGACCATTTTCAAAGCGTCGAATGCAATACATCATGGAGTTTATGGGCGTTGGTGGCTGTGATATTTTACCAATGGCGTTTCAAAAGACGAGGGAATGTTTGGGGGAGGATCTTTAAGACAATAAAGGCGGCGAGTTGTAGCAGCAAAGTTGGATAGGGTTATTCGATGCTTCTCGGGATATGAAGCAGTTCTATTTCTTGTTGAAGATATCGACAAGGCTTACATTCACCAATTAACTCTATAAGCAAATAGAGCTAATACATGAGTGACATCAGGCTGGCAGCGCACTGCTTAATGCATGGCATCATCTTCATGTTAATAGCTTAGCATATCAATGTCACAAGTCTAATTAGAGTCACTTGAATCTGTTCGATTTGGAAAGGAACGTCTATACAACATTCTCCAAAGTTTGAATGCACATTCCTCTAAATGCCTAGGACATCAACGTATCTAAAATATTACACTAGACCATCACTGTTCCCCCGACTCTTCTCTACTTCTGAAACGCAGCCTTCATCGACACCTCATTTTGGTCAATGTTTCCAATTGTCCCCGAAAACCCCTTCTTGTGGACATCGTCCAGAATCTTATTTTTGTGTTCAATGCCTGCTCCAATCTCCGTATTAGGCGTCTGTCCTACCGCAATCTTCAAAATATCAATCGCCTTCATCGCAGGTGCCTTGTCGCTGAGAGGAGCTCTCCAAGCCACATGATCGTCAGGCCTCACAAGAACTGCAGTACGTTCCCAGATCTCCTGCACGTGCTTCTCTTGCGGCAAGTGAACCTTTTGCAAAGGCACTTTGAGCTGTAGAGCGGCATCAGCAAAAGCGTCTGCCCATTTGCCCTCCTTGGTAAAGTCGACAATAGTGTAGCCCTGGCCAAACAAGTCAAAGATGCTCGTCTTTCCATCTGACAGGAACACGTGTGGTGGTCGAGCTCCTGGCCAAGTTGATGGGATATAATGGTCGAGATCCCATCTGGGCTCTGCAACCTCGGTATCAGGAACAACGATAGGGGATGCGTTGTATCGATAGCCCAATTCGATACCATGAGCTCGGTTCTCGCTGTTGTTTGTCGATACCCAATTCGCCATCTTGGCTCTAAGCGCTTTTCCCTCTTCGCCCTGTGATAAAAGCACTTCTACGCCAGCTTCGGCGCTCCAGTCCCAAACCTGCCGCCACACTTCCCAGAAGGCGCCCGACTGATCGATATTCTTCGTCGCAACAGGCAGACGCTCCAGCTCGTAAGACTCCAAGAGGCCTTTGCCGCCGTATCCCTTCAAAATTGCAGCAAGTTTCCAGCCAAGGTCGAAGCCATCGCCGATTCCAGTGTTCATCCCGTAACCCCCAGTTGGTATGTTCTGATGCGCCGAATCGCCTGCAAGAAAGATTCGCCGACTGGGAGAAGCATACTTCTCTGCTACGCAAATGTTTGGCCTCCAAGCGCTTCTGACAAGGATCTTGTCCACCTTGATGGGATATGGCGTTGATGGAGTGCCCAGGCCTTTGTAGATGGCTTCTACCGGGTCAATCTTTTCCCAATCAGCGCCGATAGCAACTGGGACATGTAGCGTCCAAGTGTCAACCTCATCTTGCGCAATAAGTATGCTTCCGTTCGAAAATGCTATGTGCCAAAACTGGCCCAGTTTGTGCAACTTGGTGAGATCCCGAGATTTGAAATGGATCAACATCATGGCCGAGGGACTGCAATCGTAATGAAGATCATCAGTTGGAGAAACAAAGGCAGCAGAATACTTGGTAACTTACACAGGTCCGCCAATAAGGTCAATTCCTACTGACCGACGAACACGGCTACCAGCCCCGTCACAGCCCACAAGATATTTGCTATGGACAATGTGCTGGTCGCCGGTGGTCACGTCGGTGAGAACTGAATCTACTCCATCGTCTGTCTCTGTAAATGACTCAAACTTGAGACCAAAATGTCCGTCAATAAATTTCCCATCTTGAATTCGAGGCTTGAGCCAGGCCTCTAGGACAGCCTGAGAGCATCGCTGGTATGGCTCCCGCGGCATTGAGCCATCGTTCTGCTCGTTTATACGCTGTCGCCAAGTATCGACGGAATCCAAATTCTAATATTTCACAGTTGGTTTGCCGTTTAATCATAAGAAGCAGGTATAAACACGACTTACCCATCTCGCTACTTCTTCTCCATCGTCCGATAGTCCCGTAGTATAAATCACATCAAAGGAGTATTGCGGTGGCACGGCTATTCAACATTGATAAGTATGAAGAAAACTTTTACAGTTGGAAAGACTGACCTATTTCCCGGAAACCCTCGGCTATTCCCAAACGCCTGAATAGCTCCATGCTGCGAACGTTGGTGCAGTCCATTTTCGGCCATTTTGTCGTCTCCAAATTGCGCTCGGCCAGCATACAATTGATGCCAAAGCGAGCCAGCTGGAGGGAGAGAATCAGCCCGACAGGGCCTCCACCAACCACCAAAACTGGCGTTTCGTGATGGATAGGCTAGTCATGTAAGAAACCGATGTTGAGTCTGTTTTGGGAGACACGAGATGGACTTACACTCTTGCTAGGCATTTCGAATCCAAGCGTCGACAAGAAAGCAATAATAATTAAAATACAAGATAGGTCTCAAACTTTGCGAGATTGTAGACTTTTACTGCCGTCTGTAGATGTTAAAATCAAGAGGGTTCACTATCACATATATATATGTCAACCCATCTAGATGTATTCATGTATCTGTTCATATTCTCTATTATATCATACTTGGCATAAGTCGTAACCATACCAGACAACTAGATACTACAGTGTTTGCCCTTGTCTGTAACTGATGCAGCTGCGCCATGAGCAAAAGGATTCTGCCAAGGCTGCTTCCCAACCAATAGCAATCTCTCTGTTCAATAGAAGCTTGCATGGACTTCATCAATGCCCGCTTATGTAAAGTGATATGTAAGGCCTATTTCAGTAACATTGTGGCCCCTTTAATTAATTAATGTTGATATACAAATCATCTCGTAAGTGGTTCGTAGCGATGATAATCGGGTTATGAGGTTTTTGCAGATTTGACAAACCGAAATGTAACCGAGCGCACACTTATTAATGCTGAGAAATGGAGAAACGGCGGAAATAGGCGACACTGATGCTCGGAGATAGTTGTCTTTTCTTTTTCAGCTATCGCAATCCATGCAAATTGCTCGTTTAAGAAGCTAATGATTACTACACTGATACAGAGTAATAGATATAAGTCAAATGTTATTGCAATTGTGGTACCTTGCATTAATGTGAGTTGAATGACAAGAGATTGTCGCCTACACTACCAGACAGTTTCTCATTCACACAACTTGGATCATTAGCATGCATGAACTAATCAACAGTCTCTTTTATTGTCCATTGAGCTCTGGGCAACTTCCGAGTTACGGGATACGACACGTGCCAGTTTCGCGAATACCGAGATGCCGCATTGAAGCTCCGTAGCTCGTGATAACAGGCACGCCATCTGCAAAGTCGGACTGTAAGCGCGCGGGAACCCCACCATGTGCACAAAACTCACGATGCAACGCTGGACATGCATAAGCTTGGTGGACTAGAAGCAAGATTTGTATGTAATTTGTTCTCTAAAGCTCCACTTCTCCTTGTACATCATATTTGCAGCATGTAAGCTTAATGAGCCCAAGGTCTCTATTCAAGCTGAAGACGTCCGAGGAATCTTCTGTCACTGGGTAGCACAGAGTATCCAGAAAGGACGCAGAGATCTATATTTGAGCATTTAAACAGCCTTGGAGAGCCATTCAGCCCGCAACATGCATTAGAGGGCCTACAGTCGAAGCAGCCAAGAGATGATACAGTTTTCAGGATACCCGAAGCGTGTTATTCAGGTATTGAACATTGCGCATATCATCTTCTCTCACACACTTTTGTCGTCGCAACTACTTTTGGGTAATATCATGATAGAGTCTATGCCTAAATATAGTTTCACCGAAACAAGTGCCGTGCGCTGATTTGCAATGCATATCGTCCAACTGTTTGTAGTAAAAGCGCCATGGCGAGTTAGGAAACGGACCGAGCCGAGTCGGCCGAGAGTTGCCGTGGCTATAGAAGTCCAATAAAGAGCTCATGAATCGGAGAGAAGAAGACCATTACGATTAACAAGACGTAAATTCAACCTGACGAAGAATATATTTCTGCAGCCATTCATCTCAATCGTTAAAATCAACACTTCTGTACCCGCCAGTAGAATTTATATTTATACAAAATGCGGACTCTATATAGCTGAAAGTAATAGTTTTAGGCTCTCCGCTACATCCCTACCCGATAATAGAATATAGGTAAGAGGAAAGCAAAGCATCTGTTTGCCAATGATATCTCTATAAAGAAACTCTCTCAAGACTATAAATATTCCCTCATTCATCATGTGAATAACAATACAATTAGACTCACGCGTCTTATTTACCCCATCATTTCGCTTTGCCCGGAACAAAGCGGATATCTCGGTCGCGTCGGAAAAAAGCAGCTCCAAGATGCAGCCTTGATCGTGTCTCTTGTGGCTAAGCTACCAAGCATTTCCGTGAGATGACAGCTCGTAAACGGAAAATGTGCCTCCAGAAAACAGCTCCGATGGTAGATGTCTTGGGAGATCGACATTTCGATTCCTAATGCAGAGCCTCAGCATGATCCCATTTCGTGTACAGGTAACATGTAACATGCAATTTGCTGACGAGACTAATCACGTCCCCTGAGAGCAGTAAGCTTAGTTTACAGTGGCTGAATTTATAGTGCTCTTTAGTCAACGTAGCTGTGTACATGAAGATGGCTTAGGAGAAGCCCATTGCAAGTGTTTGCAATCTTGATCAACATTTCTCTACATTCACAAACGCAGCGCCTTCAATGGAGCAATTTTCTCCGGCTGTAGCACGGAAGATATTTAGGCTAATAATGCAGAATTACTTAAAAAAGAAGCAGAGATCATTTCTTAATCTGGCGTGGCACATAACCGCTATAGCAATACAGGCAGCTGGAAACACTTTTCGCGGGAATATGACCCAGCATACCGTTTATTTTCCGCTGCACTGTTCTGCTAGTGTCGTCATATTGATGAGGCTGTGACATGCGAAACAAACTACAGAATGGAATCCGAGTTGAACAGCAATACATTGTCGAATTTTGTAAACATGCAGTATCCCGTATACCAATGAGCTGCGGGAAAAGGCTAGACTGAGGGCACAGCGCGCTGTAAAGGGCGCCGCCCAGACAAGAAGCTTGCTACGTAATCAACCCGAAGTGCCGTAACGGGCTGAAAGCTGTCGATCTCTTCATCTCGATTGGTCCGGGAAGATGTTCGGGGGCTAGTTACGGGGAGATGGCTCGCGTCCGCATCGTAATAGCGCTTACACCGGCAGCTGTTGAAGCTTGGCGACGGGAGAAGAACCACAGATGCTCCGTAGCCGACAAAACATGTTGGCTGGAAATAATACGTTCTCTAATATAATCGCTATAGAAGGAACATATTGCGACGATCTCAAGAAGCTGTTCCTGAACCCTGCAGCTCCGCTTGAGCATTCTAGAGAGCTTCAACGAGCCGGGCTACATATAACAGCAGATTCCTTCATCTGGACAGCTTGACCACCAGAGAGACAATCCCTTCAGCTTTCTGTAGTATACCTCATTAACAATGCTTCGCCTTGAACTACTTTCTCTTGGGCTGGGCATTGCTGGGGTCACAGCAGCGCCAGCAGCCTCTGCCGCAACGGCTTTGAAGGTCATCAGCTATGCCCAAACTCCCAATGGCTTCAAGAGCTCAGCCCGAGGCTGGAATTCCTTTGCTCTGCAAGCAAACCCCAGCGCAGCTCCAGGATTCACGTTTGACCAAGCACACGTTTTAACCCAGTGCAGTGTCTTGGCCTCTGCTCCCTTTAATGGCCAGTATGACACCTGCAGTCTCGACTCTGGCTGGTCGGTTGGCGACCACGGAGACGACTTTGGTCGGCTTATATACGACGACTCCGTTTTCGACATTCCCTCACTGGCCAGCTCTCTGCATTCTCAGGGGCTCAAGATGGGCGTGTATGTCGTTCCTGGAGCCTTTATTAACGATGCGAACAAAACCATCTTTGGCACCAACACTACTATTGGCGAGGTCTGCACTGGAAACGAGGGCCTGGCTCGCTGCGTATTTGACTATACGAGAGCCGAGACACAGGCTTGGCACAACTCTGTGGTCAACCTTTTCGCTTCGTGGTAAGTTGTTTACGCCCAAAGGAAACATGATGTTTTATACTGACTTTCTCACCTAGGGGCGTTGACTTTGTGAAGCTCGACTTTGTCACGCCAGGCTCTCCTGACAACGGCCAGAGCCTGCCGACTGACCAGAGCGGCACTGTTATTGCTTGGCACAACGCCATCAAGAACAATGGCAGCCAAATCCGCTTGGACATTTCTTGGAAGCTGGATCGTACCCAGAAGTATTTCGACATCTGGAACAGCAACGCCGACTCCATGCGAACCGACCAGGATCTCAACAACTCCGGTTCAAGCACATTGGTCAGCTGGGGCACCGTCCAACGCGCCATTGAAAACTACCGCCAGTGGATCATTGCTGGTCTGCAATTCTTTGACGAGCTGAACGTCTACCCCGATCTGGACAACTTGTTCTCTGGAAACCCAGAGAACATCTCCGGCCTTAGCAATGGTCAGCGCACCACCGTCTTCACTCACTGGCTGGGAGCCGGAGCCAACCTCATCCTCGGCAACGACATGACCACGCTGGATGACTTTGGAAAAAGCCTCCTCACCAACACCCAAGCCCTCCAAGTTGCCGATTTCACCGCCCAATTCCCCATGCAGCCTCGCAACCCCGGCTCGGGTGGCCAAAATGCGGCTCAGCTCCAGGCCTGGATTGCAGGCCCATCTCCATCCGGCGAGGCTGTCGTTGTACTTACGAATCTTGGTCCAGACAATGGCCAAGGCGGCTTTAACACGCAAACCAGTGGTGTTCAGACGGTGACGGCCACTTGGAGTGATTTGGGCATCTCTGGATCGTTTAATGTTCAGGATATTTGGAATAACAAGAGCCTGGGAACTGTCAGCGACCAAGTTTCTGCTCAGCTGGACGAAGGAGCGAGTGTGTTGCTGCACTTGACTTCGGCTTGAAGCTGAAGCGCTTGGATATGGAATGGGACATTAGCACATATTTCAACTTTAATCGTGTACATATATGTATTTTTCCATAGGTGATTTTGGTATTTTATCTTCATAAATACGTTGCTCACGGAAGTTATTCTATGTTGACAAGATCTGAAAGGTCTGACATTCTGTAAAGCACATGGTGACTTTCCGCAAGTGTATACGAGTACCGTACATTTAAGATTGAACTAAATCTGAACCATGGGTACCTAGTAATAATCCACGCTTTTATGGGATTTTCGTAACGTAGATTTATATATTTCGCTACATGTAACCAAGATAGGAAAGCGATGGCGAGAGACATGAAAAATATAGCTTGTTCAAGCTTTATTTCACAATACGACATGATGCGTACCGTGCACCCATTCGGAAGGAGACAATGGAAAACATCAATGTTTATTATATAAGCGGCTTTCGCACTTGATTACTTCTCCTTTGCTTCACGTCTCATGCTTGCGGAGCGGAATGGACTTGGCACGATTAATACAGAGAGAGAAATCATGTATAACAAAAAGATATTCCCAATGAGGCTAGCGTTCCGGACTGCCTCAAGGAGTTTGCAAAATCCACCGCTGAAACAATCGACGGCAATGAATGGAGTCTGCGCCGAGCAGCCGATATCTCCAGGTCCGCCTACCAAGTACAGAAAATTCCCGATTGTGCCAAGATTGCACTGCGTATATACAAAGATGTGGCGGTGGAGAACAGCCGAGGCGGGGTTAGTAAATACGACGGAGCGAGGCGATTCAGGTTTTTCTTCAGATAGGAGAGGGGCAGATCTAATCGGCTTTGGGTCCATCGAGCAAGTTTCTGAATAGCTCGCCCTTGTAAAAAGGAGACGAAACACAAAACATCAACAGGTGGCATCCCAGGTCTCGGGTTTAACTCTTGTGACACTACATGGTAAACTCCGATTGCGTGTAACAAGTCCGAATATAATTGCTGGCGATCAAAGTATAAAAACTCAAGGAACGCCAGTCTAGGTCTACAGCTTGCCATTGGAGCATTGCAATTCAACAATCGTATAGATAGCATCAATCTTCTTCATTCTTTTCAATAGAAGAAAGAGTCCTCTCAGTCCTTGCAACATGGTCAAGTTTCTCGACAAGGAGGTGGGTCCCATTGGATTTGGCCTCATGGGTAAGCGGCAATTTACAAAGATGCATCTCTCACCAAAAGCTAATTCGACCTCAAGGCTTCACTTGGCGCGCCAACCCTCCTCCATTGGAGCAGGCCCTTGCCACAATGAAGGCCGCCGTCGAAAAGGGCCTCACCATGTGGAATGGCGGCGAGTTCTACGGAACGCCCGAGTACAACTCCATGACCATCCTCAAGCACTACTTCACGAAATATCCTGAAGATGCCGACAAAGTCTTCTTGGCAATGAAGGGTGGTGTTAATCTGCAAGGGACCGGGCCTGACGGGTCACCCGAAAACATTCGCCGGTCACTGGATAACATCTTGGCCCAGCTGGACGGCAAGAAGAAGGTGGATGCTTTCTGCTGTGCCAGGCGAGATCCAAACACCCCTCTAGATATCACCTTTGGAGTGATCCAGAGGGAGTACATCGACACCGGCAAGATTGGCGCCATTATGCTGTCAGAGTGCAATGTCAACACCATCAAGGAGGCCGTCAAGGCAGCCAAGATTGTTGCCGCCGAAGTCGAGCTCAGTCTGTTTACGCCAGATATTCTCAAGAATGGCATCGCAGCTGCTTGCAAGGAGCATGATATCCCCATCATTGCGTATTCTCCCATTGGAAAGGGAGTAAGTACTACCATGATTCGCCCACTTCGGTGCCATGCTCGTTGTATCAAAGACTAACACACACAGATGCTCTCTGGTGAATTCAAGAACCAAGAGGATGTCAAGAAGCTGGGAATGATTGCCAACTACCCGCGATTCCAGGGAGAAGGATTCGCGCACAATCTGAAGCTTGTCCAGCAAGTTGAGGCCATTGCCAGCGACAAAGCCTGCACACCTGCTCAGCTGGCCATCAACTGGGCGAGGAACATGAGCACCGACCCAGAGCTGCCTCTCGTGATTCCGATTCCCGGCGCCACGACGATTGAGAGAGTAGAAGAGAACTCAAAGGTGGTTGAGCTCACCGAGGAGGATATGCAAAGCCTCACTGGCCTTGCAAAGAACTTTGAGACGGCTGGTGCCAGATACCCTTCTCATGTACCAACCAACACCTAATGGCGTGCGTTATTTGAACCTGTCATGTATGCAGCGTTATAGTATACCCAAACTACAAATGGTTACCTTTGTTTGACTGCAGCTAGAAATGATTCTGACCGATGGGCATGCCGCAGCTACAATCCGGAGATGAATAGAACGATGGCATGTGCTAGGCGTATTCAATAAATCGATCGTCGGAGTTTAAGAAGGACTTCCATTTGATACGAAAAAGTCCGACATCCGATCCATGTCCCTAGGCGCCATTTTGGGTGTTCCTCCTAAAAAGCCGTCACCGCAATTCACAGCATTTTTAACCTACACCGATGTACTGAGCCCTTAGTACATGTAATCAAATACTTGACTACATGCATATGGGCTGTTACCCGCTTTGCCGCATGCATTTCACAGCATTCTTAACCTGCACAGATGTCTTGGGCGCTTGGTAATTAAAGCCTTTATTATATGGAAGTAAAAGCACTCCAATTCTTTGTAAAACGAATCCGCACTTATCAAGTACCAATACATAGCCTTGTTAGTTGTAAAAGAAAAACGCTGTTGCTATGGGCGCATGTATATACATCAACCCCAAAATCTTATTGCCTACCCTTTGCGACCTTTTTCCTCGTGATGGTGATGAATTCTCACTCATCAATCGTACTTCTTGCCTATTCAAATTCTATCATTCATCTCATCCAGACGGATGCAGAGCGGGTGAAGGATGCGGCCGCATTTGACTAACGTATGTATAGCCTACCACATACATAAGTGCCACGTGCAGTAGGATCGCACATCTTTTATCATAGGCCAGAATGAGGATTTAGATCTGATGTTGTCGCTCCTGCTAATCACAGCTTGCTTAGCAATCTAATGGGCGCATCTGCCTTGCTCCACACTCTGCTTTTATGTTGGCGATTTCAGGTAGAGCATCATCTTGCTTAAAGACGGAGATGGCATAGCGGTTCTTATCATTATTATTTCAAGTTTACTTATCCTTCCTTTTTATTTATGTCATCATCACACCTTTGCTTTTCCGGTTCTTCTATTTTTCTTTCTTCTCGGTCGTGGCCGCTCCCTTTGGCTGATGTCAAGTTGCTTCTCTCATGTACTCTATATTAGCGTAATGGTATCTTTGCCTATACCATTTCCACACTCGCAGCGTTGATTTGTAAGATCATTCATATTCTCCAGATAGCGCATGTCAGACAGAATGTTTTCGTATTGGAGGGACCAAGTCGTTGTGACCGAATGATCCGCGCCCCGCATCGGTCGATGTCGTGATTTAACGTCCCGAGCACACTAACTCACTTACAAAGATCCCATTGCGACCTCATATATAGCTTCATTTCCCCTCATGTATAATTGTAGACGTCAAAATATTAGCAGAGATACTGTAAATTAGTCCACCTAGACAACCCCAAAAATAGCAAAATGTCTGATAAGCAACTGCATCTATTCGCATTCATGCGGCCCGTCAGTCTTCACACTGGCGCATGGCGCTACCCAGGAGCATACGCAGACGCAAACTTCAACATATCCCACCTCAGATCCTTTATCCAAAAGCTAGAAGCCGCCAAATTCGACGCCTTCTTCATGGCTGACCACCTCGCCGTCCTAAACATGCCCATAGAGGCTCTCCGACGCAGCCAGACCGTCACCTCCTTTGAACCCTTTACGCTGCTGGCATCTCTCTCGGCAGTCACAGACAAGATTGGTCTCGCCGCCACTGCGTCCACAACATACGACGAGCCCTACCACGTTGCGCGGCGTTTCGCCTCTCTCGACCATCTCAGCGGCGGTCGTGCGGCCTGGAACATTGTCACCACGTCCAACCCCGACGCCGCCAAGAACTTTGGCCGAGACGAGCACATGGACCACTCAGACCGGTATAAGCGCGCCAAGGAGTTTTACGACGTCGTGACCGGGCTATGGGATAGTTTTGCAGACGACGCCTTCATCCGGAACCAGGAGACTGGCATATTCCTGGACCCGGAGAAGATTCACACTCTCAACCACGTGGGCGACGAGCTCAAGATCAAGGGCCCGTTGAATATTGCCCGGCCTGTCCAGGGATGGCCTGTGATTGTGCAAGCCGGACAGTCTGAGCCGGGGCGACAGTTGGCCGGCGAAACAGCCGAAGCAGTCTTTGCCGCACCAGGCAACATCGAAGCAGCAAAGTCGGTATACGCAGACATCAAGAGCCGTGCAGTCGCCGCCGGTAGAAAGCGGGAGCACATCAACATTCTCCCAGCCGCCATGGTAATCATTGGCGATACCGTCCAAGAAGCCAAAGAGAAGCGACTCAAGCTCGACAGCCTCGTCAACTATGAGAGCGCCATTGCCAGCCTGTCCATTGCCCTCGGAACGGATGCTTCCAAGTTCGACCCAGACGCGCCTCTGCCCGCTGACCTAGGCGACAACAACGCCAGCAAAACAGGCCGAGACAACGTCGTGAGGGTGGCGCAGGAGGAAGGACTGACTGTGCGGCAACTGGCCCAGCGGTTTGGAGGATACGGCGGCTTGGCCTTTGTAGGCACGCCGGAGAGCGTTGCCGACGAGTGGGAGAAGTGGCTCAAGGAAGAGGCGTCTGACGGCTTCGTCGTGACGTTTCCGTTTCTGCCGCAGGGAATCGACGATGTGGTGGAGAAACTGGTGCCGGAGCTGCAGCGCCGGGGCATCTTCCGGAAGGAGTATCAAGGGAATACTCTGCGTGAGCATCTGGGGTTGCCGAGGCCGGAGAATAGGTTCTTTCCTGCGAATGCTTAATCATTCATGTATTGATGGCATGTAAGATAGTATTGCAAACACGTCCATGTATTATTGCTTAGCTACTCAAAATACTAGACTAGTATGGACTGACGAAGCTGGATATATACAACGCTTCCCATCAATCTGTCATTCATACGCATTAAGTCATTTCATCATGCTGCAAGTCTATGCCTTGGGCAAGACCCAGCTGGTCACAGACAGCGCCGGCACACGCGCATTCCACGTCTGGCTCTCAGACTCGGTGCCCACCTGGACCCAAATGTCCTTGTTGTAGCGGTTCTGGATGACAACCGTGCGGGTGCCGTCCGGGTTCAGCGTGCCCACGGCCTCCATGCCCGTGTTGTCGTCAAACAGGTAGCTGCCCGTGCCGTCAACGACGACGGCGCCCTTGGGGATGTACTTGCTGAACTGGCCCATCATGTAGTAGTCAATCTCCTTCTTGTAGCTGCTGCCGTCCGGGCTGACGGTGACGAGCCCCGTGCACTGGTGGCAGTTGCCGCCGCCGGAGAGGGCCGGGCCGCCGCCGGTGTAGGAGCCGAGCGTCCAGGCAATGACGCCGTTGGCCCAGTTCTGCAGCGGGAACATGTTGAAGCTGGAGCTGTGGATCCAGTCCGTGGTGCCGACGGCGGTCCAGCACTCGGTCATGTACTGCTCCTTGCCGGGGAACTCGTTGTGGAACTGCGTCAGGGGCGTCCAGTTGCTGGGGTTGTTGCCGGCGTAGCAGTGCCACGCGGCGGCCTGGACGTACTGGCTGGCCATGTTCATGACGGTCTGGGGGTAGGAGTAGACGTCTGGTGGCATGTTAGTGGTGAAGCTTCAAACGAGTATATTGTCACGAGGTATCTCACCCTGGTTGTGGTCCCACGCCCAGACCTGGGTGCTCAGGCCGGCAGCGCGGAGAGCAGGGCCGACCTTGTCGCGGATCAGAGCACCAGACTCGTCCTGCTGCACAAGCATGGTGGGCATGTCGTCCTTGTTGTTGAGGGGCTCGTTCTGGATCGTGATGGCGTCAATGTGGGCTCCAGCCTTTTCAAAGGTCTGGAGGTACTTGACAAAGTACTGGGCATAGGCGTTCTCGTATGCGTGGTTGAGCTTGTTGCTGCCGGTGCCACCGCCAATCAGCTTGCTGTTCTGCTTCATCCATCCAGGGGGCGACCAAGGCGTTCCGAGGATGGTCAGGTTCGGCTGCAGCTTGCGCATAGTAGCCAACATGCTAGCCAGGGCATTGCCGCGGTCACCCAGGTTGAAGTTGACCAGGTTGGTATCAACGCTGCCGTTGCCATCGTCGAAAGTGTATGCCGGGTCAGCGGAAAGATCTGAGCTGGCAACAGTGTGGCGCATAAGGCTGAAGTTGATGCCCGAGGGGGTCATCAAGTCGTTGAGCAGCTGAGAGCGGGCAGTGGCCGACAGCTTGTTGAATGCCAGCACCGTGGAATCAGTGACGGCAGCGCCGAAACCCTTGACGGTCTGCTTCTTGCCCGTCTTCTCCTTGATGGTGAACTTCCAGTTGTCGATGCCGGGGTTGGCGGCGTTCAGGACGGGCGCCTGAGCAGCGCTGAGCTGATACCTGCCATCAGAAGTCGAGGCAAATGACGAGGCAGCGTTGACGCCACCAACAGCGGCGATGGTGGTGAGGACTGATAGGAACAGCATCTTGAAGGTGAGAAGATGGAGAGGTTGAGAGCAAACGTCTTGCTCAATGGAGCATGATCATCCCCTTTTATTCACCAGACTGGAGTACACTCTCGGATCCATATTCCGGACCTCTTCGCCGGGTGAGGCCCCCCAAGAAACATGGTTTCTGCCTGACAAAATATGGAAGCCAAAATTCCAAGATCCCCTTCATCCACGTTGCCGTCTTAGGAAACTGGCCAGCGATCCCCTGGGCTAGTCCATCATAACCTTGCTTAACATTGTCAATAAGCTTAGTTGCATGAGCAATGGTTGACTGCGGCGCAACCTACAGACGGGGGCAAGGCCTCGAAATAGGCCGATTCGAGGCTTCATACTGTACTTGTAGTTAATCCACAGATGGCCTAGAATCAATCGGGCCTATATCAACATTCGGTTCCCGGAGCCGCCGCGCCGCGGACAGCTCATACATGTACTCATACCGACCGGTCAGCCGTGCCTAGAATATGTACAATACCGCCAGTTGCCGCCATGGGGTACAAGTACCAGAGAGTTAGGATTCTACCTACCCATTCCTTCGCATAAACAACTTCCCTGCAACTACTAATCTATAAACTCAATAGGCCCCAGCACGCAATTTTTCCTTCCACTCAAGCCTCCTAGATGGAAGGGGAAGGAACAGGGATACGCAAGGGAGAGGCATGATTGATGCTACACAATCACGTGTATCTTCTCGGACGCCAATGAGCGTCTCGAAGCCCGAGGAAAGGTGGCGTTGCCAAGAATCCGTCACTCGCTTCACAGCTGCCGTTTCAATCCAGCTTGCCTATTTGGGACGTGAAGGCGTGTCCGGGTCGCAAAGATGGAGAAGAGGAACAGGACTGGGCTAGGACTTGGGTACAATGAATGGTAGGTATTCCTTAGCGACAATGCAAAGGGGTGATGATGCTTATTATTTGCTCTTGGATCTATGCCATGTAGATGTGCTAAACGGTATGCCACAGCCTCGACAGAAGCCCAAGAAACAGCAAAACAAAGAGAAAGCCAAAATGAAAACCTACAGGCTCAAATCATCTCCACCCACCGCCTTTTCTTCCCCACGTTTTCCCCATACTGTAGGTAGTATATGCCGTGCCGTGTCTAGGCGTCAAAGGCGGCCAGCTTGTTGAGGACCTCAATGGACCTCTTCACAGATTTATTCCGGCGGCCCGATCTCCTCTATTTGCCAAACAAAAGGCCCGTGTACCGAAATACTATTACGACAGTGGTAGTGACAGCCATCCATGTCAAAAAACGCCACCCCATCAGCCTAGCTACAAACGAAATATTACCCCTAGCTGACCAGCAGCATATTAGCGTTGGATTTAAGCGTCCAAACAAGCATAACGCCTATATGGCTGCGGTGTGATAACATGTCCTAGGGCTTTTCGGGGACTTGATGCCACCCTTCCATTTCTGCATATACGAGCGAATACCTACTCTATCGGTGACAGCTCATTGACGGATACACTTTTCCGGTTATCCGCAGGGCATTCACAGAATCAGTCAATTACCTTGATATAGAGAGACATCACCGTCTTCTTCTCTTATTAGTCGAGCTCTAGCGTAATAACGTATCAAAAGAACCTCTAAAACCTTCATTCAGGCTCATCCCATCTCCACATTCCAGAAGAAGAAGAAACCAGAAATCCGAACATTGCCGAGACTCCCCTAGCCTAAGGGATGGATTGATTGATTAATGATCCCGGGGACGATTAAACTGGAGAAGGGCCCTCACTTTTCGGAGCCGTACAAGCAATGTCGTGTGGTCAATTGAGAAATCTCGTAGAAGCAATTGCACCAACAAAGCCCGTAATTGCTAGCATTGAAACAAGTCTACAAGCATCCGAAGCTGTTTCTCACACGTACTTCCATGAAAGTGACTTCAACGCTTCTGTATTTATACTCCCAGCCACTCGGAGCTTCAAACAAAGAGGTAGCAAACAAGTGCTCCTCTGCCATTTGCTCCAGCTTTACTATTGATGGGATTTCAGTAGCGGCATCCCGCTCCCCACGTTTCCTCGGCCAGGCTTACCGCAAACAACTTAGGCAAATCACAGCTCCATGTACCCCAAAGCCTGTTGCTCCGAGATTTTAGATTCAGTCTTTGTAGTTTACAAGCCTTTTTCTATGAGATGACTTTTGTTTTGTATCAGCGACTATGTCTATTTGAGAGCTGCAGGAGCCCTCTGATCAGAGCGCACCTTGACACGATGGATGATCTAATGATGAGATGTTCGCCAAGGATAAACTGCCGCTGACAAGGCAAATGCCATGCATTGTTAATTTTCCTATGTATACTAGAAGGAAGCTCTCTCCATCATAATTCTCAATTCTCGTCTTCCCGTCTGTTCTTGCATATTCCATCCTATCAATTGAGATCTTGCCGTCATTCTGCCATCAGTTGGCCATAAATTAGAGAGAAAGTGGCAGTTATTAGGCATTTCCGCCTATACAAGCTGTCGTAAAAAGGGCCGAATATAAATAATGTTGATGTCGCAGGGCGGACAGAGAAGGCGGCCCCATCCCGGACAGAGTCCTCCATTTCTTGCCAGGCTGTGCGTGGTCCGTATCCGTATCGACGGCATACGGCTGTGCATCTGATATCCTGAAACTGCCCGTCACCACCTCATCTCATGTGATGATGGTGCCCCCATCTAGTGCGCAACGTTCCACTTTGGCGGAGGGCTGAGAGGGCAGAGGCACATTCCGAGTGCGTTGCCCTCGACTGAGCTGTACAATGGAGTACTTCGTCTTAAGCATGGCACGGAGCAGATTCCGACGTATAGGTACTCTCGTGTGTAATAGCAGTCGGCCCAGGGATTCGCCAGTCACAGTTGTAGCTGGAGTGACTGTCCACCACTTCTCCTTTCCAGATAGCACGCTAGAAGCATACATGCTAGAGCAACGCTGCAATATAGCAAGCGCTCGTCAATATCAAATCTCCCATTCTTCACAAAGGCGGCCCAAACAAGTCACCGCCACCCTCCAACTTCCTCCTCTTCGTGTCCCTCGCATCCACCGCCATCGCCTCCCCAAAGACCGCTCCATCGCTCTGCACCGTCCCTGTTCCCGTCGTCGTCGGCTTCTTGACCTTTGTCGTCGCCTGCTCGCGTCTCGCCCGCTGCAGAGCCACCAGATCCGCTCTGTCCGTATCCCTGCACTTTTGTAGCTTCTTTCGAAGAGGTTTCAAGGATTTGACGAGTTCGGGCTGATTGCGCCGTTAGCAAGTCACATTGATAAAAAAAAAAAAAAAGAGAGGCGCAAGCCCTGCAGCACTTACCGTCTCCCAGTACTCCTTCATCCGCTGCGGAGGCTCCTTCTCCAGCATAGACCGACAGCTCTCAATCGTCCTCATAATCTTCTCCCGCATCTCCGCATTCGATCCCATGTGTTTGTTCCCATCCTCCCCAGTTTGAGACCCAGCAGGAATCAAAATCTCCACAAGCCCCTGATCCACCATCAACAAAGACGCCATCATGATCTGGCTCGGCGTATAGTGAAAGTAGGCATCCGTCAGCAGCGGGGAGAACTTGAGAATATCGCGAGCCATCGCGTGGGCCTTGGCAACCCTGCCCTCCTCCTCCGGCAGACGCTTCCTCAACTCTAGAATAGCGCCCTCGAGCGCTCTAAACGGATGCCGCACGTCAAACGCGAATCGAATGCCCTGGCAAAGCAAAAACTCGCCCGCCAGAATCTGCTCGCTCGTTGTGTTGGGAAACATCTCCGCCAGCTTCGCCAGCCGAATATAGTAGCCCTCCGCCTTGCACCCGAAAAACAGCGACGTCTTCAACAGCTCCGTAGGAGGGTACGTCATGACCGAGTTTGTAATGTAGAATCTGCGAAAGAAGACGGCGGCCGTGGATCGGATCTCGGTCGGGAGCTCGCAGAACTGGGCGGCGCGGATCAGCTCGGTGGTGAAGAATTGCACCAGCGTGGACTCTTCGCCGGGCGTCAGGAATTCGGGCTGCGCATCGGCGGCGAATCGCGGCGCAATCTGCTGCTTGGCGAGGTCGTTGGTCTTGATTCGAAGCTCCCGCAAGCTGGTGGGCGAGAAGGACCAGAGGCGAAACTGGCTCGACTGCCGGTATCTTTCGTCTTCCGTGGCCATTTTGCTATGCTAGAAATCAATCGCGGTATATTAAAGCAAAATATTAGAAAGAAGCAAGAAGAAGAAGAAGAAGAGAAGGAGGTTTCAGTTGAGAATATCGCTGGTTGGGAGACGTTGAGCTGTGATGATGGATGTCGAAGCTCAAGCCGATTTCACGTGCAATACAGTGCTAATTGTATTTATTTTAACACCGTCTTCTCACGACCGGATATTGGCTGCAACACAAACACCAAGTAAAGTCTACAGGATCTCAAGCTTGCAAAATAACAAACACTTGTCACGGCTGCACTCGGCATTAAAATTGCAAATTGATGATTTAATTTTCCCATAAACAACCGCATCCTGGCGTGTACAAAACTCCTTGATAATACATATATATAATGCGATACTTGACTATCCTCCATCTAATAGTTTATTCCTATTTCTCGATCTTCCAATGAACTCAATGCATCTCCAAAAATAGAGATGCTGCCAACTTTTATTCATATCCAGTTGACAAGTAAGAAGATGTTTATTTCATGTCGTTTCGTTTCATTGCAGGGGACAATTCGGGAGTAAGAATAGATACAACCGGCCGTCATCCTAAAATAGAGTGTGTGAAAAGAAGATGCTTATTGCGCTCTAGTCCGTTTCAGTAGCCAACAGTGGAAAGCTTCCTGGGGACAGGAGGTGGCGGCGGCTTCTTGGCTCGGTTAACAGGGGGAGGCGGTGCTTTCTTGGCTTCGACCGGGAATTGAGGATTCGTTTGCAGGCTGCCATAGCTCGTTGCCGGACTGACGCTGCGCTCTCCCCAGCTCGGGGTGTTATCCCCGCTGTATACTGAGTTGTCGTCAAAGATGTCCTCTGCTCTGCTTTCAGGAACACTGCAGGTCGTATTCATTCTGGTGAAGGAAGCAGATGCAGCTCTTGCACGAATCACGGGCGGCTGCCTGGTGTCATAGGTCGCTGATCTCATCATGGGTGGCCTGGATGATGCTGGAGGAGGCGGAGGCGGAGGAGGCTCTCGACTGGTCATGGTGCGGTTGAGCTTGTAGACGGGAGGCGAAGCGGCGCCCTCGTAGGCTTCGTTGATGATTGTGCTTCGGACGGGCTGAGTGCGGATGGACACGTTGGAGTAAGCGCGCTCTAGATCTTCCCGTGAAGATGGACGTGTGGCATCTGCCATGCCAGCGGCCCACGACTTTCGGACTCGGCGAAGCTCGTTGGCAGCTCGCTCATGGTACTCGAGCTCGGCGTCGAGGAACGACGTCAGGGAGCCAATTGTGTCCTGCTCTGCCTCTCGAATATCCGACATGCGCTGGAAGACGTCCTCGGTGCTGTCGTCAAACTTGGTCTTGTTGATGCGCAGCTCGTCTTCGAGGCGAACGTCGTCCTTTTTGGCTTTTTGAATCTTGCCCATGGTGGCATCGTAGGCGAGTCGGCGGCTTTCGAGCTTCTTGCGGGCATTCTGTTGGAGAGATTGTGTAAGCAGTCGCGTCAAATTGTCAGTGATTCTCGCAAGGGGTCATCACATACCTGATAATCCTTCATCATGGCGAGATTCCGCTCAATGTGCTGCGTCCAGGTAGCATTGGCACAGTCCAGGTAGGTCGTCTGCAGCTCGGCGAGCTGTTCGTTGGCGTTGCCCATGGACGCAAGGCGACGGCTGTATTCGGCGTCTGGCAGCTCTGCCGCATGGGCCGTCATGGTTTTGCCGAGGTGGGCGAGTGGCAGGCTGCGGCTTCGGTCCTCGAGGGCATCGCAATGGCGCGCCAGCCACCGGGTGTAGATGTTCATGGATTTGAGGAGGTGCTCCATGCCTGGGGTCGAAAGTCAGATCAGCAGCTGGTCTTGTTTCCATCAGTCAATTGGCTGGAAAACACAAACCTTCATGTCGAATGTCCATCTCGGCCTCGAGCTCCTTGAACTCCTCGGTGTGGGTGGCCTTGGCCTCGGCGCCCATCTTCTCGCCAGCCCACTGCATGGCACGGTCAATCTTGCGTGTGAAGTTCATGATGTCGTAATCAGTCGAATCCAGCCACTTGGACGAGTTGTCGACGAAGAAATGGCTGCTCAATTTCCGATTTCCAGAGAAGAGTTTTTGTTTACTCAGAGCAACGGAGCAGTTGATGGGTAAATAGGCAAAATAGGACGATGTAGCACTATGCGGACTACTCCGTACTAAGAGCCAATGGTCTGCGTCTGACCGACCCCGGCCAGAAAGCTAGCTCTTGAAAGCGAAGGTAAATTGACTAGCTGCAGTAGCCGGCAATGGTTTGGATTGTCTGTTGTGTAGGTTTTTTCGAGGAAGCAAAAGGCTGTTTGGGTGCAGATCGTCTCGAACAGAGTTCAGCGAGCAGCGAAAGCAGCGAAAGACAGTCTGGCCTTGATGGTTTCGATCGAGTGGGCCAGCCCAAACTGAGGTGAAAGCTGCGATGAGCAAAAAGGCAATAAACGAGTGAGAAGAAACGAGAGAAGGTGCAGCAACGTAGTATTTGACGATCCCAGTCACGAGCGCGTCATGCAGACAAAGCAGAAGATGCGCATGAACGAGAGGCTGGCTGGAGGTTCTTGTAACAATTTGCTGCCAACGCCGTTCACGGTAGCGCAGCCCGGAAGGCGCTGAAGGCCCAGTGACCTTCCAGCCATGGGGCCGCCCGTGCCAGGCGCGAAACTGGCCCAGGGGTTGCTTCCCGGTGGTCTCTGGCGTCGCATCGCCCCTGGCGCCTGGGGGGCTCTGGCCGGCCGCCATTGGCCAGGCGCTCGTAGCTGCGCCGACTGCAGCTACGCTTCCCGCAGCCCTCAGGGGCTCTTTGGGGACCCTCTGGGGCTGCTGGAGCTTCTGGGGCACGCCTGGAGCTGGCCCTCTCCACTAAAAGCCACTATAGACAGCAGCTAGGTGGATGGAGCCTGCCGTCCCCAACCAACCACCACAAGGGATGGGAGCGTAGGTGGCAACATTGAAAAGCAGCGTTGCGCGTCCAAGGAGCGAAAAGGCGTGTGTGTGGGTGGGAATCTGAGAGGATTGATACGAAGATCGCGGAAAAGAATACGAGCCGGGTGGGTGAAACAAAGGCAGGTTCGGACAAGACATGACGTTTTTGGCAGCTTGCATTGTCTGTAGCCACTGCAACCAATGGAATATACTTGTAGATTCCTCTTTATCCTTTTCTCTTCTATTTACATGTTCAATTGATGAGATGCATGCTGACATTGAAGATGCTTTCAGACTCTTTTAGGTGAGAGTCGAGATCAAAGTGTGCAAGTCCACCGTCCCCACCGAGACTGGTTTACAATGAAAGCCTCTTTGCCGCTCCAAAGCTTGATGCCATCGATTCCGTAAATAGACACGATTAGTGCTCCATACTGACTTGCCTTTGGCTGATCAGCCCAGTCAAATGTCAATCGCAGCCCACATCAGAGATCGTCTCGCGATCGTCCACCCTCGCCTCCCCATGGCATGGAGCAGCGGCCCTGCCGACTGGAGTCTCCCCTTTTATCTTCCTGCCTTGGCTTTTGTCTTGTCTTGGCGATCTCCTGCCATGATCTACAGGTGCTGTATGTGATGTAGCAATTACAACGGATCGAGCAGAGATTACATTCGCGTCGAGTACGCACATCAATACCTGCAGGCCATCCAAGACACGGACCGCAATCTCGTCTCAAGGGTTTCGCCCGTCAAAATGCTTCAGGTGCACCGGCCGCAGAGAAGCGCCTCCATGTGGCCCCGTCTGATATGCCGCTCCGTGCCGGCACGCTTGCAATAATAGCCGAGAATGGACTCGAATGCCTTTAATATCTACTGCCTATTTGTATTCATCCTCGTGTATATTATATCGAGGCTGAGCTTTCGATTCATCTATTACAAGTACGTAGATACGTAACCCTTGTAGAAATCCGATACGGAATGCACCAGCTTCTCTCGTATTCGATGCAGCTCCCCAATCCAGTAATGGCCCAGAATGGAATGCAAGCCGCTCTGCAGGAACAAAGACCCAAAGGCCCGGAGAGCCCTACAACGCAGCTTTTTCCCGTCACGAGTCAACCAAGCGCCACTTGTCAGCTTCTAGAACAAAAGTCTTCTTTATTCCTCTCCTTTTTTGATCCCATCCGCCGGTGCCGTTGTGCTGGGGCAGAAGCTCCATAACGTGTTTCAAGTTTCCTCCGAAACGGCCTCGAGACTGGCCGGCAAAGCGCCGCAGAAAAAAGCTTACTCTGGAGGAGGGTACAAGTACCTGCTACATTTGCATTGTGCCAGTCTACCAGGAAAGTGCAAGTCTGCGATACTTGTAGGTAGAAGAGCCAACCAGCACTCTGTTCATGCTGACTCATCGCTTCAATATCAACAAAGCTTCTCTTTTCCTTCCATTTAACTGCAACAGATGCATCCATTCATTTCGCATTTTTATGCGCATGCCTTTCTATTCCTCTTTGATGTATCTACGCACTTAACTTTAATTATCACATCATTAGAGGCATGATGATGGCGCTGCATGTACGGTGCACGCAATACCCTCCCAAGCGGGACAGAAAAATGGACTGCAAAATGAATACAGACTCACGTGCAAAGCTATAAATCGAACGCCTTTTACACAAGCAGCTCTTGAGATTATATGTATACAATCTTGTCATGTGTGTTCAAGCCTCTCATTTCCTGGTTTTGCCCCCACTTATTGCCATGCTTGGCCTTCATGATCGGAGTTACCGATTCACCAACAGCCACGCACATGACGAGCATTGAAGTCATATACAGCAGCCGCGATAGAGACGTCGCCAACAGCCTTGGCCCGTCCATGATGCTAACCACACCATGATCCTTCAGTCTCTGCCAAGTAGCCAATGTTCAATTCTTCATTCTCCACCACTCCTAACCTTGATAATGCCGGCTCGAAGAAAAGTACCAGTATACGCACATGCAGTTATACCACATATATCCTATAAAGGCTGCCTAACGTTCAATCTGATATTAAGATATCTCCATTTTTAGAATCGATGTGGGATCACAACAGCCGTTGAACATGTAAAAAGTTGCTAGGTTTTGGCAAGAGTTCACTACATAGGAAGATTGAACTGTAGGCTAGTGTTATTACACTCGCAGCATTATTCCACTTGCACCACGGAGGCCTCAAGGCAAATTGTATGCATACATTGATGGCTAACAGTACTCTTCTTATAAATAGGGCAGACATTCTCGCATAGAGCGTGTAGTGATTTCATCAATCATCTGAGAAAAAGCATATAACAACTCCAACTCGACCTCCATAAGCAGTGTATAATGAACGCTCAAAATCTGCCCTACAGCCACCAAGGCCCCTACGGAGGCCAGCATCCACAGGCACAAGGACCTCCGAGCCCGATTCCGGGACAGATGGCGGGCCATCAGTCCTCCTATAGCTACGGATCAGCTCCCGCCGGTTCTTTGCAAAGCCAGCCGTCGACTTATCAGCCTCCGTATTCTCCAGCAGGTGCTCTAGGACAGCAATACCCGGGGCAGCAGCAATACCCAGGGCAGCAGCAATATCCGGGACAGCAGCAATATCCAGGACAGCAACAATACCCAGGGCAGCAACAATACCCGGGACAGCAACAACAATATCCTGGATATGAATACAACAACCAGCCCACTCAACGTGATCAACACTATACCTACCAGCCCATCCAGCAATCGCAAAATTCGCCATATTCACTTCAACCATACGGCGCTCCGGTAAGGAATAGTCAACTTACCTATATATGTAACATATCTCTGACACGAGAAGCAGCCACCTCAACAGCAGCAACAGCCACTACAGCAATATCAGCAGCAGCACCTCCAACCTGGCTATGCTCCCGGCCCTGACCAGCAGCCATTTAGCCACAATATCCAACCGACACCGGCCTCTCCAGGGTACGATGAGAATCAAAAGCTTATGGTGCAGCGTACACATGTAGACACCTCAGTCGACGTAGGAGATCTTCGACAAGCCATGAAAGGAATAGGCTGCGATGAGCGTGCCCTTGTCCGCGTCTTTACCAATTCAAAGTACCAAAACCCATGGGCACTTCAACAGCTGCGACATGACTACGATGTTCGATTCGATCGCAATCTGGAAGAGGAAATCACGAAGGAAACTCGAGGAGATTTCAAAGATGCATTGATAGCTTTGATCAAGGGACCTCTCGATCACGATGTGTCTACACTTTACAAGGCATTGAACGGGCTGGGTACCGATGAAGAGGCCCTGATGGACGTTCTTCTCTGTCGTTCCAACGCCGATATCCGAGCCATTGCTGCCCATTACCGTCATACCAAGGGCAAAGATCTGCTTACCGTTATCAAAGGCGACGTTAATGATACCCTTTTCCGCCTCTACAGCATGGTCCTCTCCGCAACCCGCGCCGAAGACGCAGCCCCCGTTGTGCCCGCAGACATTGACCGCAACGTCGCCGAACTGCAGCGTGCTACCGAAGGCACCATTGGCAAAAACGCCATTGCCGTCGCACAAATCTTCACCAGCGCCAACAATGCCCAGCTGCGAGCCATGAGCAACATCTACCAGCAGAAATACCACCGCAGTCTGCAGTCGGTCATTGAGAAAGAGTTTAGGGGCGACATGGAAGACGCGTTACTGTGGATGCTTACTTCTGCCACGGACGATGGCGGGAAGGCCGACGCAGACTCATTGCGGGCACCGCTACAAGAGACTCTGAAGAATAAGAGGGCCATCACGTATCGAGTGTTGAGATTGTATTGGGGTAATAGCGCGAGGCTCTATGCGGCGCAGGCGGCGTATCAACGCTTTTACCATAAAACTTTGGACAAGGAGCTGGAAGATTCGTTGCGTGGAGATTATGCGAACCTAATGGTCGCGTTGGTTGGAGGATGGATGTAGTAAATGTCTTTTTCGCTATTTCTATGTTGATTTTAGTCTGTAGCTCGTACCATACAATAGATTTCAGTAACATCTTGAACGTCTCTGATAAGGGATGCCGTTTTCATCGAACAACTTTCCAACTTAACGCCCCGTCTTTATCCAAGAAACACCAACCCAAAAAAGTCAATCTTCAACCCAAATCCTCAATTCGCTTCGTGTTGATCATCGCTTAATTGATGTTTTTATAAACCGGAAGAATATCGCCAGAGGATCGTTTTTCCACCTCATGGCCTCGTCACAACTGTCGCTCTCCACATGCTGCACGAGTGCACTCATAAACCTGAAACGCCAGTCACAAGTCGGGCACTTGTAGCCACCGCCAGCGTGAAGATACCACTGGGCAGAATGGCAAGCCTTTGCACAGTAGTCGATGTGTTGTAGCCTGACGCCAGACTCGCAGGCTCCTTGTTCCAAGTGCAGGATCACGGCGGATTTGGACGCAAAGCTGCCATGGCACGAATAGCATTCGGCAGTCCTGATCCAATGAACGAGGTGGTGCTATTTGCGTATGTTAGAAAGCGTTTGAGTCGTTGAGAATGACGGAGCATGCTGTCAATATTGTGGGAAAATACTTTACATTTTTCAGACCGGATGGGCAGGTGAAGCATCTGTTGCAGACGCAGCAGCTGTTGTGCTCATCCGTCATATGCTCCCTGAGCTCTTCCTCCGTGTCATAGTCCAGCCAATCGCACTTGGGACACATGTTGTGACGACAGGAGTCTGCTATATGCTGGTGCCAGGCCAATCGGGTCTTGTATGACTTCTCGCAGCGGAAGCAATATCTCATATTAATTGTATGTAAATCGACTTGAATATCAAGAGAAAGGAGATTTTTTTCTGTTATCAAGAAAGAAAAAAAGGGGAGGGGAAGAAGCAGGATCAACAGTGATTTATATAGGTATGCAATCATCGTAGCTGACAAGGCAGTCTTGAAAATTGCCATCTTGATTTCAGTCAAAGGCATGCGCGTCCCAACTACAAACTTTGAGATGTGGTGATGTTAAATACATGTTCCCAGTATGCGCTGTTTTTCTACACGTATATAAGAAGGTTATGTTCTAAACTTACACAAAGATATATAGTGTCTACCCCAGTACAGCCGCAAAGTAAGTGCACGTAATTAGATGGAAGTTTAAGCAAAGTGTACCTATATAAAGCCAGCTCCCCGGTAAATTAGCACATATAAAAATATCCTATACGAACAGCCGTCGGATAGACGCAAACGATATCTCTGCATAGACGTGTAAAAGCCTTAAAAATGTAATTACTTATATACTTGCAAATAGCTATATTACATGCCACTATCTCAAACAACCTTGTTAATCTTGCCCGTCTTGACATCAAAGATGTACCCCGAAATAGGCACGTCCAGCACTGCGGGACTCTTCTTCAGAATCTCCACATCGGTCTTGACACTCTCTTGCAGGTCCTTGATGGTCAAGAAGGCAACGTGGCTGACGTCTTCACCAGTATTCTTCTTGACGGTGTCACGGAATTCATCCTCCTTGATGATAAGCATGCCGCAGTCGGTCTATTTGACAGCGCATTAGCTAACATGTCCATCTGGTACAAAAAAAAAAAAAAAAAAAAGAAGAAGGTCAAAATTAAGTTGATGAGTGGAGAGGTCATACGTGGTGAATGACGACGACTTCTCGAGTTCCCAGCGCCTGCTGAGAGATGATCAAGCTTCGCAGCGCCTCAGAGGCTCGGCCTCCGGCGTTTCGATAGACGTGGGCGTGGCCCTCTTCCAGGCCGAGGAACTTGGCTGGGTCAAGACGAGCGTCCATGCAAGTCAAGACAAAGACTTTTCTGTTTTTTTTTTATGGAACGTTAGTCATGTATGCGAACAATGAATGAGAGCATATATGTGAAGCATATATGTGAAGCATACCGTCCCGGGGGCATGGGCAGGTCAGCCTTGTCAAAGCTAGCTACATATTGCTGGTTGGCAACTTCAAACTCGCTGGCGACGGTCATGTTGGAGATTTATTTCGAAAGGATTTATCAAGATCTGGTATTGTTATGCTAAAGCTTAATAGAATCGGCTCAACCTCAGAGCAAATCGCTGCCTCTTTATACTTTTACAAAACACTCACCCCTCTGATAGGCCACCCATCACGTTGCCCAAACTGCACATCTCAGCATCATCTCAGCCTGCAGATACGCCCCCCACACAGCCTTTTCAAAGGACCCGAGAGCTGTCAATCACCGCAAAAGTCGCAATCCATCCACGTTGTGTCGCCATGCTGCGGGGAAATTCGCCCGTCTCTGACCAATTAGAAGCGCTGCCGTCGATGATGAAGCAAAGGTTAAACATCCTAAACAGGGCGGGGGATTGCCAAAAAACGAATCGCATCGCCAAACGCGACTCAATCTCGAGGCCGTGAGACGTTTTCTGCGACGGTCCGGGACATGAAGATGTCTAACAAGGGGACCTCTTCCCAGTTTCGGGCGTTCGGTACGGGCAGAGCCGAGGGCCCGTGGATTCGGTTCGGTGGGACAGGAGGCTGGATGGAGATGATTCGCAGGGCTGTCCAATGGGAGGCGCGGTTTGGGTTTTGAGGCGGTCGCAAAGTGTTGCTGGCGTGGAGGGTTGGCAACGCGGATGGATTCACAATTAATGGGACTCGGCTAGGGACAACGGGAGGGAAAGACTTGTGTCATGACGGGATTTGTATTTCAAATCTTGGAAGAATACTGCTACAGAACAGTCGGGTGGTAACGGGGATGTTGAGTCTACACCAGATATGCTTTGTAAAGCTCGTCTATAAAGAACAAAAGCAGATAAATTAGAGTTTTTAGGTAAGGCCAGCTTCGCAGAGTCCTTCCTTGCCGTAATGCTCGGGGTTGAGAAAATAGAGGCAAACTCGGGCCAGCTCTGGTTTACTAATCCCAAGGACTCAACTGGTACAAATGGATCAAGCTGTGCATATAGCTGGCAATGGCTTGCCTTTTAAGAGATTCATGCCATCACTGACAAACTGCTGCTTGGAGCTGGCAAAGTTCAAAAATAATCCAAACTGCTATATTTAGCAAATCTGATTACCAGACTATTGGGATACTATCTGTCAACTTTCTACGTGTATAGCAGCCGGCCTTGCCTATAACTGACAATTCCTGGATGCCATAAAAGGCAAGGTGGAGCACGCTGACGGCATCTTTGGAATCAGCGCCACACAGAATCGCGAGCTTTCTAGTGGCTTCCGGCCCTGTTTAGGCCGGTTTAGTCCGCTGGGCGCCAGTTCCAGGCTATTGCAGCGAATTACAGCGCTTGCTGCGGGCGCTGTAATTCGCTGCAATATCCCCTGTGTTGGTAATGCTTTGTGCAATCTGACAGATGTCGACGCCGTGTATTCCAAATGCCCGTCTTTTCTGCCAAGTATATATCTGTGCCGAGACGCCCCATCTTGGATATCTCCCTTCAGTATCAACCAACAAGCATCCAACAACTACAACAACCAACAACATCCCGAATCACCACCTCTAACCGCCTCAAATCTTCTCTCCTGCAATCGCACCAACTGCGGCATCTTTTGCGGATTATTGCGGCCCGCTTTTCTCCCCACCTACGATTGCCCCTCCTCATTGCACCATCCGCCAGAGGCGATCGCCATAAAAGCCGGCTCTAGATCTTGCATAAATTCGTTAATCTTTTCAACCATCGACCGCATCGCTCTATACATATAAAGAGACCGACAAGCAAATACGCAACTGCAGCTGCTCTTGCTCAGCAACTCTGAATAGCTGAATCAGCTTCATCTATCACATCTACATCTACATCAACAACACACCACCGCCAAAATGAGCGCCGACAACATCCACCACGTCGAGACCGCCGAACACTTTGACTCGCTCCTCGCCGCAAACACGTACGTCGCCGTCGACTTCTACGCCGACTGGTGCCCGCCCTGCAAGGCCATCGCGCCCATCTACAAGTCCCTCGCCGACAAGCACAGCGCCGAAAACACGCTCGCCTTTGCAAAGGTCAACGTCGACAACGTCCAGAAGATTGCCGCCCGCTACGGCATCACCGCCATGCCCACCTTCCTCTTCTTCAAGGACGGCCAGCAGGTCGCCGTCAACGGCCAGGCCATGATCCAGGGCGCCGATCCCCGCAGCCTGGGCGCTGCTGCTGAGAAGCTGGGCGGGCTGGCGCAGAAGAGGCTCGAGGAGGCCCAGACGGCCACTGCTTGAGAAACAAGACGGTTTTGAAAGAGGAGGAAGAGAAAGAATATCACCATCACTGGATTTGTCTTGGAGAAATACGAGAATAGAGGGAGGAACGCATGCATTTTACCGGGGCGCATATGAGAGCAATATCACATGGGAAAAAAGACGGCGGCTTGTCTAGCATTTTTGAGCCATACAGTTATCAATTTACAGTTCATTTCTTCTAATTATTCATTGTAATAACATATGTGATATCGGACGTGAGAGCTTGAGATGTAGAGATGCTGAGGAATAAGGATCACACCAGATCGATGTAGCACATCCCAACGATGAAGGGCATACCGACAAGTACCTATGTAAAGAAACACAATCGGCATAGTAGCTTTTATATACAATGCTCCCTCATCTCCACATCTTTATAGCTGTCCACTCTCCAAAGCAGTAAGCCATGATCGCAACTCATAATTCACCTTTCTCGCATCCTCTCTCCACGGCCAATGTCCAGCCTGCGGCAGCACAACCACTCGAACCGACTGGTCAAACCACTTATAGAAGCCGTCCAGCATCTTGTCCGAGAAATACGGCTCTTGCATTCCCCATATAACCACACATGGCATCTTATAGTGCATACCCGAGGTATCAATGTTTTGTCCGTATGGTGGCGCTGGAAAGTTCTTGCGGAAAAAGTAGAACATTCCGCCTTCTGGAGACTTTTGGAGATACTCTTTGATCTCGGCGCGGTATTCCGGATCGGTAATGGTACGGCAAACAAAATCCAGATCGTAGGCGTCTCCGGGGTTGTGTTTGATGTACTTGAGTGAGTACTTGGACAGTTCCTGCTGCTCCGGGTCATGGTGGATGAGGTGCATCATCGTGCCCAGAATTGGTGTGTTGAAGATGACAAGACCTGACAATCTCTCTGGATGAAGAAACGCAAGCTTTTGAACAGTGATGCCCCCAACATCGCCTCCGGCAAAAACTGCCTTTTCAATCTTCAAGTGGTCCAAAAGGGCCACCAAATCACTGGCCATGACGTTGCCGTCGTACGCCTCTGGTTCTAGGGGGACATCACTCGGAGGATATCCCCGAAGCGTGGGAAGAATCAGCGTGTGGTCCTTGGAGAACTCCTCTATTTGCATCGAAAACGTCATTTCGTTGTCTGGGTGGCCGTGGACGAGCACCAAGGCCGGGCCTTGTCCATAGAGATGGTAATGGATCTTGACCTCTCCATTGGAAAAGTAATGAGAGTACTCGTCAATAGGCATTTTGGTAATGTATGACGTGTATAAGGGATGTGTCCAAGTGATGCGATGCTGAATGTTGTGCAAGTTGCAAAAATTTCGATAGAAGATGTTTGTGTTCACATCTCGGTAGCTATATACTTAAATAATATGAAGATAAAAATTTTATCTCTTTTCAATGTATCAACATCTCAATGTGAGAACCGGAGATGCTTCAATCAACTTCAATTACTCACAGATGACAAATTTGAAGACAAGATAGATCGGTCTTAAAAGAAAAATGTATCACTAAACACACAGATTCTAAACTCAAGTCAGGTGACATCTAAGTTCACTGTAGAAGCTGTTTCAAAGTCAAAAACTTTGAGAGTCAACAGGTTTAGTTAGCTTCTTAGGCTTAGGCTAGGATCTCGAGGCTGTTGCTCCGCGTATTAGAAGCATCTCAGCTAGGCTTCATCAGGCAAAGTTGTCCGTTCGGCGATAGCTGCAGCAGTTTTTAAAAGCTTTCTAAGCCAGTACGAGGCTGAATGTCATTACCTAACCCTATCTTGATGCCCGGATCAATGAAAATGACGTTGTGTATGTGTGTTTACGGGCGCTTATCAATTCGTCCCGGTCTTGTCCGGTTCTCGTTCGGTTCTCGCCATCTTCTGCTGTTCGCCGCTTAACTCGCTCGGTCGGTTCTCGCCATCTTCTGCTATTCATCGTTTAACTCGCTTGGCTCGCTGTCTGCCTTCGTCCCTCCCCAAAATTCGGCTTGACCCTGATCGACGCCCTAACACTCTGTAAACCGCCTGCAGGTTGTGACTAAGGATTCAAGTCTTCATACCAGTGCCCGACTAGTTGCCGTTTTCTTAGACCTCCCGTGAATGTAGCGAATCACGTAGCACAGGAACCGCTTAGCTTCGATGGAACATTCTCTAAACTAGGTTGAAAGGCTCTTCTCCGCGGGAGAGTTGTCGGTTTGTTCCGTAGTTGAGAAGGTGGAAAGTTGAGTTGAGGCATCCATGCCAAGGCTTACAAATGTTGTCGGCGTTTACAACTCTTTCTTCTCAACTGTGGTCTCAATACTCAGGTAGATGTTCTGAGGATGGCATCATGGCTGAGCTGTCGACGAAGATGGGCCGATTTATCAGCCATGGCGATGAACTCTGAGCGCTTACATCATTCGGGGTTTACGAAACGCCTCGTGAAAACTTCAACTCCATAAAATTGAGTATACAGCTAGCAAACAGGCTGCACAACAAGGAGTTCAAGAAATATATAAAGGGAAGCATCAAAGACGAAGAAATGGAAAGTCTAAGATACCAGCATCAGCATGCAAAAGCATAACAGCAATACAAAAAGCACACCTTCAGCAACATCTTCACACTTCTTTAAATCCCTTTTCCAAAAACACTTCCTTCACAAGAAAACAAAAATGGCCCAGACTGTCCTCATCACCGGTGCTTCGGGCTTCATTGCCGCGCACGTCGTCGAGGCCTTCCTCCGAAAGGGATACAACGTTCGCGGAACTGTGCGCTCTGAAAAGGCAGCAGCCGAAGTTCTCAAGATGCACGCAAAATACTCTGGGCAGATCAGCGTTGCTATTGTTCCCGACATTGCCGCTCCCAATGCCTTTGACGAGGCTGTCAAGGGAGTTGATGGTGTAAGTAAACTTGTCAACCTTTCCAACCCACCCTTTAAAAAGTGAGTATACTAATATCCCATTCAATATGTAGGTCATCCACACGGCCTCTCCCTTCATTCTGAACGCCACCGACTTCGAAACCGAGCTTCTGCAGCCTGCCATCAGCGGCACCACCGGCATCCTAGAGGCTATCCAAAAGTACAACTCGGCTGTCTCTCGAGTTGTCATCACCTCTTCTTTCGCCTCGGTCTTGGATCCCACGCAAGGCCAGCGTCCCGGATATGTCTACACCGAGGCCGACTGGAACCCTTCGACTGTCGAGCAGGCCAACAGCAGCCCTGTGATGGCATATCTTGCCTCAAAGACATTTGCTGAGCGTGCTGCATTTGATTACGTCAAGCAGAAGAAGGTGAGCCAATCAGCACCAGCTTGCTGATTATTCCAATTGACTAATGGTTTGTTGTTATAGCCCAACTTCACTGTGGCAACTCTCTGCCCTCCGATGGTCTACGGACCTATCGCTCACGCTGTCAGCGGCGTTGATGCGCTCAACACCTCTGCAGGAGACATTTACAGACTTATAAACGGCTCAGAAAAGGCTGTTCCCGATACTTCTTTCTGGGCATTCGCCGACGTCCGCGATGGTACGTTTTCATTCTCATCCATCATCTCCATACTATCGCTTACAACACTGCTACAGTCGCTGAGGCTCATGTTCTGGCCTTTGAGAAGCCACAGGCCGCCGGCCAGCGATACCTGATTGCCAACTCCGCATACAGCTACCAGCAGATTTGCGACATAATCCGCGAAAAGTTCCCCGAGCTGCAGGACAAGACGCCCAAGGGCGACACCGGAGCTGCTCTTCCTCCCATCTACAAGGTCGACACTACCAAGGCTGTTACTGAGCTGGGCATTAAGTTTAGACCCCTGCAGGAGACTATTGTGGATATGGTCAACAGCCTGTTGGCGCTCCAGAAGTAGGGAGGAGAGGGCTATTTTTAGAGCTGAGACGTTCTTTCTTATGATGGATTAGATTTCCTAACCTAGATGATATATTTCCTTGATTAAATCGTCTCTTTCGGCCGATTTTATATCCGTGAGATCACAAGCTGCTACTACTATTCTGCCATTGTTCAACGCTGAGATCATGGAGGCAATGGCCAATGAATTCTTTAACTGCAAAAGCACATACCTCTCAGCAGTCTAGATCCAAACCCCGCAAATCCATCCAGCAACATCTCCGAAGCCTTCATGTAATCACCAGTTGCGCCAGCTCCTTTGCCAAGCCCGCCGCATGCCCGCAATCCTTATATCCTCGTACTTTGCTCATCCGACGAATCCTATTCTCCGACTGATGCAGGTCTAAAATCCTACTTATAAGCCTACAAGTAAGCTTAAACCGCCATCTGACATACATTACGTACTTTGTCATACCCCTTGCGTCGTTGCAACTACGTGGTCCTGTCCATCAAGCAGTCCGTGACAAGTAATTCAACGGCCCTCTGCAAGGACTTGTTTGCCATGTCTCACAATTAGGATTTGCACAGGCCGCCACGCGAAAGATGCGGAATTTGTACGACACATGGGGCCGTGTCGTGGAATGCTGTCTCGGATTGTCGCAGGCAGTTGGGTGATTAGATCAGCTCATCTATCCTACAGCAGAGGGTCATCTCCGAGTATATATAAGATCTTGGATTTGCCCTCAACCCATCGATCATCACATACACATGTACAAATCAGCCAAAACCTCATATCTATTCTACAATCAATAATCAACAGCCCTCACAATGCTTCTCCAATCCATCCTTCTCGCCATCACCGCCACCTTTGCCGCAGCACAAACCATCACTCCAGCACAAAACCAACTCGGCCGTACCTGCGGCTTCAAAATCGCCCCCTGTCCCTTGGACATGAAATGCGTCCCCGACAACCCCTACTGTCCTGAACTCAACAAATGCGCCGGCCACTGCCAGTTCAAGAACAAATATGACTCCTGCGGGGGCTTCACGCCGCGACCACACAACTGCGACAAGAATCACGAGTGCCAGGATGATCCTCGACTGCCGCCCAACTGTGGCCTGGCATGCGATGTGCCGGGAATATGCGTCCCGAAGGAGGTGCACTACTGCGGAGGGTTTGTGGGACTCAGATGTCCCGACGGGCTGTTCTGTTATGATCAGTTGGATGGATGCGATCCCCTTCATGGAGGCGCCGATTGCAGTGGTATATGCTTGTAAAATAGTGTCACCCATGTATAGCTAAATAGTGTGGGAAAACTTGAAAAGATATCTCAATATGATATGCTGATTCTTCGTATTTTTAAAGCAAGTCGAAAATCTCCGCATATTTATGAAACCTCGTCGACGCGTTAATCTTCAATCTGGTGTGAACTTATCTGTATTTGTACTCTCTACATTGGTTTCTTCATTAGACATTTTATACACCATCGTACTATATGATAGAAGCAATGCCCCCCTCAGCTGACGTATGAGCAATATACATGTAATAAAGTCAAGATATGATTGCTATTTTGCTTGGAAGCATGTCTATTATGAAGTAAATGAGATAATTCGAAATCCATCACTACGTGGGTACAGATGCAAACACTCAATAACCTCTTCACCCTCCTTGTCTCCTTTCCCACTTGATATGCCAGCTTCACATCAACACGTAGGTACAGACTTGCTTGGAAGATTCCACTCAACAGTCTCAACTGAACTTTCATCGCTGTCTGATTCACTTTCCTCGCTGTTTGATTCACTTTCCTCGCCAGCTCCTCTGTGATAAATGGTCTTCCATCTCTTATCATGTAGACGAAAGTCGTGAGTTGGTTCATGAGTCTCTGAACGATGTTCATAACATTTGAAACAAAAGTCAAAATTGTAGCACACTGTGCATCTATGCCTCGAGCCTACAATCGTCTACAATATCGTTACAATGATTAGTCAAAAAGTCAGCTGCAGAATAAAAAATGATGTCATAATCTTACCAAGCAGCAATAGGCACACCGTGATTCTTCGTGGATATGGCCCCGTGGCCGGCGAGAGTGCAATTCGTATATTCTCCGCCTTTTGTCGCGATCGTCTGCACAAAATGCTCGCATAAGAATATTAACACTTTTTGTGTGCTTATAGAAAAGCGCAATTTCTTGTACCGTCCAATCTTCTCCATTCTCACCTCGAGCTTTTCCCACCTCTTGAGCACCGCTTTCAAGGAGAGCCTTGACATTAGCGGTTCTTCCAGTCCGAGCTGCCCAACAAAGTGCCGTCCAGCCATCTTTGTCAGTTTGGTTAACATCGACTCCAGGCTGCGATAGAACAAGTTTCAAAACTTCAACGTCGTCGCCTTGCGAAGCCCATTGCAAGACAGTGCGGCCCATTCTATCCACAGCTTCAACGCCGCATCCATGATCTAACAGATACCGAAATCTGTAAATCTCCCTGGTCGCAGCAAGATGTATTGGTAAGCGACCGAAAATGTCACTTAGATGTGGATTCGCGTTGTATCTATTGACAAGCATATCGAAGACAGTCGGATGGTCTCGAAGGCAGGCAGCATTGAGAACCGTTCCTAAATTCCAGCCGCCTACGTCGTTGACATCAGCGTTTAACTCCACACCATATGTCGAATCATTGCCTCTGACTTTTGATCTTTTGTCAAGATACGACAGGCGGCTATCATAAAACTTCCCAATAAATCCTCAATGCGGGGATTTACCCTTAAGCTGTTTGCATAGAGCCGCTTAAAGAGAGGTTCGTCGCCCAAGTAACACGCTTCTTGTACAAGTGAAAGACCATTTTTCGTACGTTTGGTAGGATCAGCCCCTCTAGAGAGCAAGTAATCAATGATGGACTCATCCTTCCACACTATCGACTGGAAGAGTGGTGTATTGCCATCATCATCTTCTTGATTTATATTTGCTCCAGCATCAAGGAGCCTCTTGATTGAAAAAACATCTGGTTGTTTGTTATCAACTCGGCAGTGCAGAGGTGTTTGTCCGTAATTATTGGTGGAATGAACGTTCGCTCCGTATTGAAGGAGAAGACCAATCGTTTCTGCAGAATTAGCGTAGTGAAGCGCCGAGCAACCGTTTTTATTAAGTGAAAAATTAACGTCGGCTCCGCCCCCAAGCAGAGCTTTAATGGTTGTTAATTCTCCTGCTTGGACGGCTAGAGCAAGCGGAGTATGACCATCTTTGTCGAGTGGCTCAAGGTCAGCGTTGTGTTCTATCAACAAGTTGACGGAATCTACAGGCCCATTTTCCGATGCTTTGTGAAGAGGTGTAGAACCAAACCTATTTTTAGCGTTGACATCAACTTTTTGCTGGAGAATTCGCTCCATTATACTCGGAGAAGAGGAACATAAATGAAGGAGAAGTCCGCCTTCAAGACGTGCCCCTTTGGCAACGGCTCCGTAATCAAGCAATAATTGTGCTACTGCAAAGTGTCCATTTGCTGTTGCTTCAACTAGAGCTGACTCATCGAAAATGTCTCTCCAGTTTACATCTGCGCCTCTGCCAAGCAAGCATCTTGCACACTCAAGATGTCCGTGACGCGCAGCCACCATCAAGGGTGATAGGTCGTCGGGCCCTGATATATTTACATCGAACCCGCGGTCGATTAAATATCTCAAACAGGTTAAATCTCCCTTTTCGGCGACCTCAACTAACACGGCACAAGAGTTGGTGATACTCCGAGTATGTTTCACAAGCAATTTGACAATTGCTAGGTTGATTCGGTTAACGCGACAAGCGTGATGAACCATCGCGTCCCCTGCTTCGACTCCCGTTGCTAATAGTTGGCGAACAACCTGTTGTCTGCCTCCGTCAATCGCATTGCGCATTAAGACGTCCAAATCTTGGCCGTCCAAACGAAGGATATCAACAATCGCCGCAACGGTGAAGCCAAAGTCGAGAGCGATTGATTTCGTGATATACATGTTCGGGAGAAATCTTGGAGGTTTCTCCTGTTTTATCTCATCTTCAAACGCCTCCAAAATTTTAAAATGCCCCAATTCGCATGAAGTGAGCAGTGCAGCTGTAACATTAACCCCATGTCGTCTGAGGAGCTTGACCACTTCACCGCCATCTGGTGAGGCGATTGCCAAATCTATAACGGCGTTATCCCCCGGAGAAACAGAAAGTTCTGCTCCGTGTGCAAGAAGTAGTCCACAGATAGCGGCATGCCCATTATTAGCAGCGCAAAGCAAAGGCTTCATATTGCGATGCGGAAGGCGAATATTGGGCGAACAACCCCGGTCAAGCAGAGCTTTTACGACTCCTTCTTGACCCAATTCTGCTGCGCGCACCATTAAAGAACTTGGCCAGGCGTAGTTATCTGGTGCAGCTTGGATGAGGTGAATGAGCATCTCGACTTCATAAGTGATTGATGTCGTACTGAATGCCTGTTCGAGGCTGAGTCGGGCATTATCCTTTTCGCCAAGGATATAATCAACAATCTCAATACTGTTCATAGATGCAGCCTGTGCAATTGCAGCTGAGAAATCGTTTGACAGTTCTGCAAGTTCTCCCAATTCCTTGACCCCATCAACGAACAATTGCGTATCTGCCAATTCAGCAAGTAGAGGCAATGGACTTTTGAATTGGTCAGGATTACAACCCCTCGAGAAATGATTGGAAAGAATCCATTTTGACTTTGCCCAGCCTGCCCATATCATTTTGTTTGTCGGAGCGAAGAACTGCTTAACTTCTTTGATGGGACGGTGAGACTGGGAAAGAAGCCTGAAATGTTCTGGCCAGTTCAGTGTGATGTACCAGTGTAGAGTCGATCGATCCTCGTGGATTGACCGGGGAAGAGCCTTCACTTCACCATCTTGTTGTTCATACGGAATATACTGTGTTTGCCATGACTGGAAGTCTTCCAATTGTAGAATTTCCAAACAGAGCAGTACAATGTTGCGGTGGTCTTTGATGTCAGCACTGAACCACTCGTTCCTTTGCTCAAAGAAGAAATCCCGAATAGCTGGATGGACAATCTTGACTTCGTTGTTGTCAATCTCCAATATTCCAGGTAACAAAGTTAAAATGGGAGAAACAAGCTGGAAACAGAATTTTCTGTCATGAGCAGAGTTGCCAAGAAACTGACGGTCCTTCGCCCAGGAGATTACAGTAGCTAATTCCTGTATGCTGAGTGGTCGCAACGCAAAGAGGATCCAAGACAATGTTGTTTTGACGAGACTTTGCTCGGATTGACTAATGTGGCTGAGAAGTTGCGAGAAAAGAGACTGTTGAGTGATTGGCTTCTTAAGAGAAAGGAGGTTCTGAATGAGGAATGAAGAATTGGCTTTCGTCGCCTGTAAGACAAGTGCATCTCTCAAGCTCGTATCAGTAACACCAATGAAGATATTATGAATTGCTTCACTGTCGATATGTGGTGCATCTTTAGCGATGGCACTGTTGGGAAATATATTCGAAGATTGACGTGCGCACCGCACATTCGTGTTTTCTTTCATTTCCTCCGGGAATTGCGCAGAACCAGAATCGCCCAATTCATTGCTATCAAGCGATAAAAATCTGTACTTGTCCAATTTGACACTTGTCATCAAGCATAGTTTGAACTGTCTTTCAGTCTGCATAATGATACGCTTAAAGTGTTGGATAAAAGTGTCCAGCGAACTCGATTCGCACTGGTCCGCATTATGGAGCAGGCAAAGTATATCCAACTTGCGGCTCAGTGAAGTGAGAATTGATAATGCATCAAAGAGAGACCATGACCGGCGTACGTGCCAGTGATCAAAGACTTTCGTATCTAGATCTGCGGCTTTGGCAGCAACCAGTATTTGGCATACCAATGACGTCGCCATCGACAGGGCAGTATTTCGCCGAGCATCATGCTGTTCGAAAGTAAATTGAAGGACGAGGCAATTCTTAGCTTCCGGTTTCCCATCCAGATTGGCAACAGATCGTTGGAGAGTGTGTGCAGCACTTTGGGTGTTCTGACCAAAGACCGAGAATGCATAAGCTCCTCTGCGATCTCGCAATCTAACATATTCATCATTTTTCTCCAGCCAACTAGTAGTTTCTGCTTCTTTCCATGGTGAATAGTTGGCCTTCTGAATGGGGTGGATGAAAGTGTTTACAGCTGGTAGCCACCAATCCTTTATCAAGCTGGCGTAGGATACTGAGATAGTTGTTAGTCGAAATAACAATAACAAAGCCGATAGAGTACTCACCTCTCGCCGCCCCGAAAAGGCTGCGTATTATGTCTTCAAGTTTTTCGTCGCTATCGCACACTTTTATTGGGAAAAGTGCTTCATGAAGGATTCCAAGGGAATAGGTAGCCTAAATTGCAGCCGGTTGAAGTGTGTAAGTAAAATTGCATTTCAAACCAGACTGATGAACAAACTGCCTACCTGGACACTGGGATTCCCTTCAGTAGAAAATATCGGTGCCACTTTTGAGATTTGTGTTATTCCTGTCTCTAGAAACAGTTCATTTGTCTCTACTACCGTGGCTGTCAATAGTTCAATAGGTTGTATAGGAAAGGGCGACTTTGAGTCCACAACTGGGGCAAACCACTTTACGGCACAATCGAAAGCCTCCCACGGTGTAGCTATTTGATGGGGGCAATGAAGAAAGATCTTAGACGACTGTATTAGCTGTGTAAGCAGAAGAATTTGGGTAACATTTAACACTTACGAAGGAAGTTGCCGAGAAACTGATATCTTCATATTTTACTCTGTCATTTACAGCCATGATCATGGACTAAAGAGTTAGATGCTGGTTCATTTATAATGAATAGTGTTCTAAATGCTAAGTATTGACACAATGTACTCACTTGCTTAATGATTGTCCCGCCTAAGCCATGACCGATAAATATTATGGGGTCGCGGCGCGTGCCCTATGCAGCAATGTCAGTAAAGACGGACTAACAAAACCATAGAAGAGAAAAAGGCAGATATACGCACAAGCTTGATCCTATCTCGAATCAACTTCAGGAGCTTTTCCGATTGCTCCTTAATTGCATCTCCCGATTCATAACCATAAATGATATCGTCAGGAGTATATTCCAGAACAACCCTTGAATCGCTTTATCTCAGGTAATCATCTACAATTGACGTAAGCCCAGCGAGGTGGTAAGATGTAGCCAATGAACCATGTTCGCCCCTTTTATTCTTCACAGAGTCAACAATGACAATAATTGCAGTGCTATAAGACCATCTTCAAATTAGAAATTGTACTATGTCACAACAGTCAACATTAACACTCTGTATGGAGACTTACGAAGAAGACATCGTAATAAGCAGGCGGTCAGTAGGTAAGATATAAGACAGCTTCAGGAGGAAAAGCGTGAGCGGTAAAATTGGTTTGTAGAAGCTGGACTTCGATACGAGACAAAATCGATGAGTCGTTGAGAATTCTTCTAGTTTTGGGGGTTGATGGCAACCGAATTTATATATGTGTCATATGACAAAGACCATGAATCAGGTCCGCAACTAGTTAGAACCTCCCAGGCCACAAGAAAGAATATATAAAATATAAGGAACAAAGGGACCAAGCCATTTGCGGCGGGGCAGAAATAGATATAAGGTAGTCCTTTGATGAGACTTAGCTGCTCTCTAGCGATAAGAACACCTTATATCCACTTGGATCTCTCTCTGAGAGATCACGATGGATAGAGGGTCACGAGCAAAAGCAAATAGATGAGAACAAACACAACAACCAAAGGCACTGACGCTCAAGGAGCAAGAAGTGACTGTGACTGAAAATTGTGATGAAGATGAAGAAGACTAAGCTAGTGACAAACAGAGGAGGAGGGAACTATAAGGCATACCGCAGTGCAGATATCAGGATATGTATGTGTATGACTGTGTATACGTTTGTGTATAGACATGATGAACAGTCGGTTATAGATTTAATCTAGAAACGCACAAGATCACCGTGACATATAGCAAATGCATACACACACACAGGATCATTTATAGGGCTATTCTCCGTAGACTGTTTCTAGTTCTGATCACTGGCACTGAGCTCTACGTTCTTCTCAATTTCCTCATTATCCCAGATGGATAATCAATGTTGCCAGTTTCAGCTATCCAAGGACGACTCAAATGAGATTAATCTTGGATGGCATAGATGAGAGGGTTATCTGCTGAAATATCTGCTTCGATCTTATATACCAGTTCGATAGATGCGATCCTCTGCAAGAAGTTACTGATTGTAGTGGTGTATCTTTGTAGAGTAAAGCTAAAATTAGCTGGCTAACGTGTTACATACATTAATATGCCGTCCTCTATGCCGTATCTACCCAGTAAATCGAGAATTTTCGTATCTTTATGAGAACTTTGCTTGAGTCAGCGGTATTCTACCGCAGATATCCGTCGGCCTGACACCTTCTCTGTAGCAAAGCAATGATTCGACGGCCGAATATCTTCTTGCCTGTACTGCCACGGTCATTATATCATCATACATTCCTTACTTTTTGTGAATGTCAGACCAATTGCGTGATAGCCCTCCGGTCCTATAAATGTACCTAACGCTAGCTAGTATATATTTGGAGACTGGCGGCTTTTTTCACTACCTAATACTCTCGCGAGCAAGAGCCTTTTGTTTTCACATCGTCTTTCCTTGTGGTACACTTCAATTGAATCAAATTTTCTTAAATTCTCCCTGTATTATAATAATTTACGGTATGTCTGGATATTCATTCACCGTTTAGTCAATTGGAGCTCGAAAACTTGTCTGCTTCTGTGGAGGTACAACAGGCCTTCCACCACTGTCATTCCATACATGGTTGATATGATAGCCAGTCCGTAACCAAAAAAAAATGGTAAAGACTCACTTACTTAAACAAGGTGGCTGAATGTTAACCATATGTGAAGATCGGGGTTTGGAGGGGGAAATGAGCATCCCAGCTGATACGATAACTCTCCATGATATTGAAAGAAGAATTCGACAGTAAGCCGTCTAAGTGAAGAAATGAGTAAATTAAATCTTAACACTTCCAATCATTACATCGAATTGATTATTGAAGACTAATGGACTTCTTTTCCGCTATTTTAGGAGAATATCGGTATAACATGAATGATTTGCTAGCGGTACAGCTGTAGTATGGATTGTGCGCTCTATAATTGTCTCATAGATACAATCTAGAAATTCATAACTGTGAATTCGAAAATTACACTATTAAAAACTTATTAAACGCATTTTTTATACGTGACAATAACCTCCAGAGATTTTGAAGTATGCCAAGCTCGGGGTGATTGGAAACAAGATTGTTCATAGCGTCTTGGTCATACCCTTTATTATCCGCGGCAGTTATAACAGCCTCTTGTGAGATGAGGGCGATGAGATAGAAGGGTGATCATAATTCTCTTCGCGGCAGCTATGAAACCCCGTTTTCTGAGAAAATGGCTAAGTCAGGGCGATGAGATAGGAGGGTATTGATGATTCTATCGCCACATCCCTTATTCTTCGCGGCAGTTATAGCAATCTCTTTGGAGAAATTGGCTAAGTCGGGGCGTTGAGATAGCAAGATATTTAGAGTTTTGTCTTTTAGGTAACGGAGGAGAAATTCAAATATCCTATCGCCGCGTCGTTCGTTTCCCGCGGCAGCTGTAAGCACGCCTTCTGAGATTCTGATTTGATATCCTTGATAATGGAAGAGAAATATAAAAATCTCATCCCCATATTGTTCATTCTCCGCAGCCTTTATAAGCACCTCATCTGAGATTTTGATGTAGTCTCCTAGACAACGAATGAGAGCTTCAAATATTATAATGCCGCGTTGTTTATTTTCCATAGCCGTTATAAGCGCGTTAGCTGAGACGTTGGCTAAGAGGTTGATTTTGTCTTCTCGGTAACGGGCGAGAACTTTAATTATCCTATCGCCGCATTGTTTGTTCTCCACGGCAGCTGCAAGCACGCCTTCTGGGATTGTGATTCGATCTCCTTGGTAACGGAGGATAACTTCAAATATCCCATCGCCGCATAGTTCGTTTCCCGCAACAGCTATAAGCGCCTTGTCTGAGATCGTGATTTGACCTCTTGCGTAACGGAAGAGAACTTCAAATACCCCCTTTGCGCCGATCTCATTTTTTGCCGCAGGTAACAAGATTGTGTCGTCGAGTATGAATTCCCGTTGACGATATCGCAGCAATATTTCAACCACTTCGCCTGTATTATCACATGCTACCGCCGTCGTGAAAATTTCTTGATTGACCCTGACTTTAGACTTCTCAAGAAACATTTCTATCTCATGCGGTGATGATCTTTTTGCCAGGGCCATGCAACGGCCCAAATCAAGAGCTCTCAGGCATTTAATCAAGTTTCGTACAGAGCGTGGTCGTGTCTCTAATGGCAAACCTTCCAGCTCACAATGTTCGACAAACTGAACAACTTCGCGCACCAAATTTTCTTCTGACTTGTCATAATCAGGAATGATACCATCCTTTTCTGCTGCATCCGATGACATCCCTCGCAAAGCATATACGAGATCCCGTGGCTCCGTCGCTTCGCTGTCTCCAAAACTTGATAGCAGTGTGCGAAGATTTGGACTCTTGCTCCACCAAGAAGTCTTTCTCCATGGACTTGGCATAATATCGAGTACAGATTGGGAGTGCGGGTCTGGTTTTATTTCCAGAAACAGAGGAATCAAGCCGAAGAGCCGGGCCGACACATTTTTCCTGCCGCAAACAATGATCCCGGCCTTTGCCAGCGCCACTTCCTGTAGAATCCAGACTCTGCGAAACCACGGCCTTGCTAGAAGCTGTCGCAAGCCTTCGCGTTGTAAAGTTCTGAATTTTTTGTGGAAACTTTCAAACGTTGTCTCCATGCAAGCCCATAGATTCTTCCAGCGATCGTCTTGGAGGGACCAGTCTCCAAAATGATGATGGATGCTCTCGTGCTGCAAGACTCGCAAAGATTCCATGAGCATATCCGTTTCAACTGTTCCCGGCCCCAGCCAGAAAATCACTCTCTCGGCTTCACTATAGATCTTGCTCATCTGTTCAACTTGGTGTCCTCTTTCTTTCATGTTTTCTTGGTCAATGCATACTGCATCAATCCATAGGATACGATCCACGTCCGAATAACGAAGTTGTTGAAGAACTGAATGGAGATTATATGTTACATTCAGGTAGCAGCCATCCACAATGATCCTCTCAAACAAGTCTAGGAAGCCCCAAGTGTATGAAAGGGCTTCATATGAGATTGTATCGTTTCGTTGGTTCAGCTCTACCAGGGAAAGGCTGCAGGATATCTCGGAATTGTTGCTTCCTGGGTGCAGATGGAGCAATCGAATCGCGGGGCGGTCAAGATTAAGAGGCTCATGACTATATTTCCCCATGCCCGATGAAGTGCAGTGCCGAAATAAAATTATGTTCAATTCAGGAGAATCAATTTATGATGTAGATGATCTTGAACTCAGAAATAAGAATAAAACGAAAAAGAAAAAAGATGGTTTGTGCTTGGCGCCTGATATTTACCTGGTGGGTGATCCGAGGCAGATTCAGGCTTCAAGCCGTAGGTGCCCATTGGCGGCACAGCCACGGAATCTGTGTGGCTATGTGTTGAGTACGAGAGACGATAGCGAATGATTTGCGGGAAGCCCAGTGGATGCATGCATGTACATTTATGTAGGCAAACGCTATAGGCAGATAAATACATGCATATATCTCTTCAATACATACATAGAGTGTCTCATCACCTGTAGACTTATATGCGGTGTATGCCCATGTGCAAGCACGCCCCTTCCAGACCACCGCCATCACTTAGGCTGAAGCACATTGTGCCTAGTAGGCAGTGCCATAAGGCTTAAAGTCAAAGTCCTCGATATCCAGAGGACCAAGTCGTCCAGACCATTTGCTCAGCGCGGCCGAAAAGGCCTTGTGGTGATCCTCTCTGCTCAGATCAAGGGGTTCGCGATCAAGGCCAACAAGTTTCATGCTATAATGCGTTAGCACATCAGTATTTCGCATTCTTACAGCCTCATATAGACAAGTGACTTACTTGGTTTTAGCGGCAAGCAGGCCCATACCAGTGTCGTTATCGTCGAAAACCGGCTTGATGGCACCCTCCACAACGCCGTCAAGGATCCTCTGCGGCAGCGCAGGCTCGTCAGCAGCAGGTCGCGCCAATCCGATTCCATCCACAGACTTGAGGCCCTTGACCATGCCGGCCGCTGAGCGCAGACCGCCAGTGACATACACCTTGGTCTTCTTCAGGTGCGGGATGATCATTTCAGCAAAGTCGAGGAAGTAGGCCTCTCTCTTGATGGTTGTCTCTCTTCTGTGCCTGAATGCCAGCTCTTCGTATGTGCCGCCGGAAAGCTCGACCCAGTCAAAGTTGTTCTTCTCAAGCTCTACACAGAGGTCTTTGCATTCTTCGGGGGTGAAGCCACCCTCCTGGAACTCCACGCTGTTCAGCTTGATGCCGAGACTGAAGGACTTGTCAGGCACGCGAGCACGGATGGCATCGGAAATCTGGAAAATGAGTCTTGCACGGTTGAGCAGCGAGCCGCCGTATTCGTCGGTTCTCTTGTTAGTTGACGGTGCCAGGAACTGGGCCAAGAGATAACCGCTGCAAACAATGTCAGCATTTCTTCGCTTTTCCTGTTTATACCCACAGAGCCTAGCAATTGGATACTAGAGGTCGGAATGTCCGCAACGCGAAAGACTTACTGAGCACCGTGCAGCTCAACACCATCAAATCCAGCCTTGTAGCTGTACTCGGCCGCATGAGCAAATCCGTTAATGACCCTCTCAAAGTCGGCCTTCTCCATCGGTCTCGGTTTGGCAAATGTTCCCATTGCAGGAATCACCAGCTGCACATCGCTAGCAGAGATGGGATTGGGCTGAATGGCTTCCTGGACCTGTCGACCCGGGTGGCTAAGTTGCGGGTATACAAGACTGCCGTGCTTCTTGGACACCTCAGCAAGTTCCTTGAACTTTTCAAATCGTTCTCCAGAAAAGGGTGCATCTGAAGGAATGATGTGGGCTCCGTCAATCTCCAGTTGGTCGTACTCGATCATGGTGTTGCCGAGAAGAATGACTCCGTATCCGCCCTCGCCCCATCGTCTGTACAAGTTGACGAGCTCTTTTGATGGGATGCCTCTCTTTGTAAGATCCTTCTCATCGAAACTTGACAGCTGCTCAGACATGGAAGACTTGAGAAAGCGGTTCTTGGCTGTCTTGCCGCTGAACTCGAATGTCAGGGGCTGGCCTAGAGGCGCAGCGTCGACCTTTTCAGCTGAAGTATATCTCTGGGTAGCCATGGCAAAGGCTGAAAACACGGTGATCTGGTTGGAGAATTATACAAATTATATTCTTTTTGGGTTTCAAAGTCCCTTTATTTAGTCACTATGCCAGACGATCTATATTCAAGGGCAGTCCATCTCTTTATACGCGAGCATTTGTAAGTCAAGTGGGGTGATTGACAGTGCCCCTCCTAAAGCCAGAATGAACAACCTATAGCAAGGCAATCGGCATTCATCACTCATGCTCTGCTAATCACGAAACTAGTTTCAAAACTGGTTGATAGGTGGAGTTGCGGAGGGGCGAGAGCAGGGATCTAAAGGGAGAGGTGGCACATCTCTAGAGAATAGAAACACCGCCAAGGACTGCATGGTTCTATTTGCATTAGACGCTGAGTAAAAGATAGGAGACTATATCTGACAAGGAGTTGGACATCGTTGAAGCCTACTTTGAATCAGTGACAAATTCCTAACTCACCAAACTAAAAATAAGGCAGATTCATTTATCGCCTCTTCTCTTTCATAAACTGTCAAAAAATATCATTTTATAGAAATTAGCCCCAAATTAGGTCATAGATTTTCTCGACACTAGGCTGCTTATAATGGCGGAGTTGGAATGGAATAGATTGGAAACGTCGCATTGACAGCCACAAAGCGGCGGGCAAAACTCGTAACGAACGGCAGTTAAGCCTTGGGTACCACATGCTAGTTTTAGTTTAGTACTACCTAGATATCCACACAAGAAAGATCGCAGAATAAGCCGATGCTCTTCGCCCGGGGAACACGATTCGAAGCTCACAAATAGCTACTTAAAGTTATCATTTGTATCTAATTTTAGCAAAGTCTCTAGGAGTGTGCGAATGGAAAATCCTCAAAGAAAGCATGTATATCCAATTTATGCGGCCAATGTAAACCATGTCCAAAGCCGCAGAACTCTTCTAATATGGGAGGGAAAATAAACAACCGATACCGAGGTACTACGAACTGGAGTCAGATCCACAGCAAGGTTTCATCAACGTGGCAAGGTTCGTTTGACTCTGCTAGATGTAGTCGATAGTATGTAGCAATAACAATAATAGTAGTATTCATGCTCATATTATACTAGCAGTAATATTAATTTCAGTTGTATTAAAGCCTGAGAGCCTGGCAAATGCTCTTCCCTCACGCCTGCACCACAGAATTATCTAGTGCGGAGTGTAGCAGCAAAAAAGCTTACCAAAGAATTCCGGATCCTACCCTACATGAACAAGGATTTGTATCAGCAGTTCCTTCAAAGATTTCTTCATTCGATAGCAAGAACAAAAGAAATCTGCTGCCAGTGATTATATTGATGATCAGCAGACAAAACAGTATTGGTCATCATGCAATCTGATTATGATCATTTACCCAACACGGACATCTCACTAGGAATTCCCATTACCGATATCCCGAAGCTCACCTGATTCGTATTTCAATCGACATCTTTGAGGGTCAAATACTGCCAGCACTTTGTCTGTAAATCTGCTCTTGATATTCGCACGAGTTGTCCGGAACTTGTAAAAGTCGTTAACTGAGCTCTTGTACTGGATTTCCTTTCACCAGATCTTGAAAGAATACTATGGATGGCACGCTAGCACGCATGAGCTAAATTAGCATGCGCGGGTGTTGATGGAAAGGGGACGAGGGCCGATGGATTATAAATACACTCTAAGCTCATCCCACTTTCAAAATGGCTGTATCCGTTTTGTAGCCAATCAATCCATGGACACTTGAGTATCTATCTATTCACTGTTCTTACCTTTTCCTATGTAATCCAGGTTTTCTTTGGTAGTATTTAGGAATTGAATGCTTGTAGTACGCGACTTAATCTCCGATGCCACGATTCCCTCATTCGGTCCGGGTCTGTTCAATGCGACGGATGCCATCTGTCTTACTAATTCACGTAGATGGCATCTAGCGCCAAGTCAACAGATGGAGCTTTAAATACCTATTGCTCGGACAAAGAGCGGAGCACGACCTTCGGGGCAAGTGAGGGCTGAATCGGCTATTTCGCTCTGAACAGGTGTTGATTTCAAATCCTTTGTCAATTGCTTGAAGGATTGGCTTTCTGAGCGGAGATATCCTCACCGGTCAGACTATCAGGCCGTTAGTATATTCGTTACGGACTCTAGAAATATTGAGGCACGCAATCCATAAGTCGTATAAGAAGTAATTGGTTTCGGCCAAAATAGACGATAGAGCGAGCTCGTCAACTACCCATTTTTTCCACAACTCCGCCAGGTTACAACAAGCTCCTCTAACCACAACACACTCAACTCGAACAAAACAAAACAAACCATAGAAAGCTCAACCACCACAGCCATGGTAAACTTCCGCATCGACGTCGTCTCAGACACAGTCTGCCCCTGGTGCTACGTCGGCCGCAAGCAAGTCCAGCGCGCCCAGCAAATCTGGCAGCAGCGCTACCCTTCATCCACCGACACCTTTTCCGTCAAATACGCGCCCTACCAGCTCAACCCGGATTCGCCCCGAGGCCCTGGCAACAGCCGCGACAAGCACGAGTACTATCTTCAGCGCTTCGGGCCAGAGCGCACCGCCATGATCCACGAGCGCCTGACCGGCGTGGGCAACGCCGTCGGCATCAACTTCAAGTACGGCGGCAAGCTGGGCAACTCGCGGGACTCGCACCGCCTGGTTCACCTGGCGAAGAAGTTTGGCGACGAGACGGAGCTCAAGGTCGTCGACGGGCTCTTTGCGGCGTATTTTGAGAATGAAAAGGACATTACCAGCTACGAGACTCTCGGGGAGGTTGCCGTAGGAGCTGGCATCTCTGAGGCTGACTTCAAGAAGGCCATTGTGGAGAGTGATGAGGGAGGCAAGGAGGTTGATGAGCTGGCTGGAAGTGCGAGGTACAGGGGCATCAGCGGCGTTCCGGATTACACGATCCAGGGCAAGTTTAAGCTGAGTGGCGCTCAGGATGCTATGGAGTTTGTCAACGTCTTTGAGAGGGTCAAGGCTCAGGAGCACTCATGATGCACAAGGATAGAAGAATTATGATAAAAAATGGAAATAAATAAGCCTGGTTTAACTAGAGATTAACGCTATGGCACTATTAATATCCAACATTCGACATGACCACGGGTATATCCAATAAGCTAGCAATCTCAGATCTATCTATCTATTCTTGCTTCGAAACACCAAGTCTGCCCTCTTCTCCAGTACATTCTCCCACACTCTCCTCTCCCCCAATCCCGGCATGTAAAACAGCACGCCAATCTCTTGACTCGTCCACCAACTGGCTCTATCCATGTTTCCTGAACCCAGCATGAGATACTCTCCGTCCACCATTGTCATCTTGAAATGGCTAAAGACGGGCTCATCTTCAAGCTTCGCTCTCTCGCCAAGCTGTTTATAATAAAATATCTCTAGCTGTCCAGGAGACACCAGCTGGGCCTCTGGATCACGATTTCGAGTGTGGCGCTTACACAGCGCCTGGTACTTTTTAACGAAGCGACGAAGGCACCATGATGTAGTTGTTCCAGCGGTGACGAGTTGCTCAATCAACATCATATTGCGGCCTGTACGCACTTGGACGTTGACTCCACGGGATATTGCTTCTAATAAGGCTTCTATAACCGGCCATGAAGTGAGATTTGGCGTGACCAGGTGGATTTCGTGATGTGCATTGGCGAAAAGAGTGAGCAGCGCGGCGTTGAGAGGAGTCATTGGCGGATCAGACTGAGAGAAGAAGGGGAAGAAGAACTTGAACCGAGGATTTCGATGGTGCGGTGATGGTAGAAAGATGGTCGGAGTTGGGGCAACAGCAGTGAAATGAATGCATTGCGTTGCTGAGCGGTCATCGTCGCCCTCGGTAAGCGGTGATGAGCTCGAGGTTTCATGTAGCAGATCTTCTTCTTCCACGCCTTGATTTTGTGCTTCTCTTATCGCCATCCTATCTCTTCCAGGGAGCTCGATGTTGTCTCTATCAACTCTAGCGCCCCAAACCCGAGCATGGAAATCCAGCAGCCGATCAACAAACTCGCCCTCAAGCTCCACGCAGCCCTCAAACCACCGCTCCCAGCTCACATTGCAGCTCGGAATCCACGCTTTTGTCTCATCGACAATGACATACTTCGGGTGCATGACGCTCAGCGGCGTGAAAAACAGGCTCTTGACCGTCATCTCGATGCCCCCTTTTCTCAGCGTCTCCTCATCCGGCAAGCCCAGCTTCGCCCATCGCGAAGGAGGATACACGCACCCTTCAGGCGCCGAGGTATGGAACAGCTTCTGGAATAGTCCCCAAGACGAGAATCCGATGCTCACATTGAGAGGGGGCAGAGACTCTCCCGATCTTGAGCGCGCCTCGGCCAGCTGGAGGAGAGTCTGGCGGATGCCATCGAGAGAAGGAGAGGCCGCCCAGTAGCAGGTGACGAAATGGATTGAGTGCTTGGCGGATGCAACTGCGGGCAGAATTGCGCGTGTAAATATGGAATGGCCAGTTCCAACATACAGTAAATTTGGCGTGCTGGTGGTTAGGAGAGAGTCGATGGCCTCGTCATTGTGATAGTTGGGAGAATCGCGAGAGCGCTCGTTTTGGTGAGCGAGGAGTAGGTCCTTCCACGGCGTCACGAAAGAGGATGGAAATTCCAAAGGCTGCGACATGGACAAGACAAGACAACGCTAGAAAAGTAATCAACGACGAACAATCTATAAGCTATGCGAGTAGTTGAGAATGAAGAAAACAAGAAAGAAGGTTGGACGAGTGAGAAGCTTTGTTCGTGTCTTGGACGTCACAGCACAGCCACAGCCTGGCGTCACTGAAACAGTGTCTCGACTAACATGTGCAAAGGGTGTATAATCAAATTGGCCAAAAAGTACATGGATAGAATGAACAAGAGTTCAAAAAAGAAGAGGTGAAAGAGCAGAGAGATAGCTTTGGAAGAAAAAGCAAAAAATAACTGTCCTCGGTGAGGCTCGAACTCACGACCTTCAGATGGCCCAGACTAATGTCTAGATCATATAGATGTATCAATATGAGACTGACGCGCTAGCCAACTGCGCCACGAAGACTCGTTATTGGATGACCGGGGCTTAGAAGTTGACTATGAACCTGCTGGCTTGGCTGCGCCGAGTAAATCAATAGCCCTTATGCACCGTACCTGTAATGACAGCATTGCTTTCAGTAATGGATTCTGTATGACTATCAAAAACGCCTGCATCGACTTCACTTTTATTTTATTTTTTAATAACCAGTCCATTGTTGAAATTATCTTGTCTATCAAACAAACCTGTCAATCGAAGCTATAGTCTAGAGGCCCATGTAAGCCGTAGAGCTTTAGAAGACCCTGCGCTGTTAGTCTAGGGGACTGCACCCCTGTAATCGCCTCTCTAGCGCTGTAATCACGCGCCTTGGCGGGGCTCCAGCACGCTCTGCACCTGCAGCTCCCCGAGACTCGCGCACTAATCGAGCTCCAGCCGAACCGCAGTCGCAGTCGCAACCTCGTCTCGACAAAACACCAGCAGCCGCCAGCTCTTGCCACGATCCGGGCTCTCTTCTTCTTCCCCTTTCCCTTCTCCTTCTTCCTTTTTGCTCTCCCTCCGCAAAGATGCTCTCCGGCGTGCTCATCTTCAACCAAAAGGGCGAAAACCTCATCTTCCGCGCCTTTCGCAACGACTGCCGGCCTCGCCTTGCCGACGTCTTCCGCATCCAGGTCATCTCCAACGCCCAGGTGCGGTCGCCCATCCTGACGCTGGGAAGCACGACCTTTAGCCATGTCAAGCACGAAAACATCTACCTGGTGGCCATCACCAAGAGCAACGCCAATGCCGCGCTGGTCTTTGAGTTCCTCTACCGGCTGATCCAGCTGGGAAAGGGGTACTTTGGCAAGTTTGACGAGGAGGCCGTCAAGAACAACTTTGTGCTGGTCTATGAGCTTCTGGATGGTGCGTTGTCTTGAACTCTAACCTATACGAACACTGGCACCGATACTAACGCTCAATCTCCAACAAACAGAAATCATCGACTTTGGCTATCCGCAGAATACCGAGACGGACACACTAAAGATGTACATCACCACCGAGGGCGTCAAGTCCGAGTCGCGCCCCGAAGACACGTCCAAGATCACAATGCAGGCCACCGGCGCGCTGTCATGGCGCAAGGCCGATGTCAAGTACCGCAAAAACGAAGCCTTTGTCGATGTGATCGAGGATATCAACCTGCTCATGTCGGCCACGGGCGCAGTGCTGCGAGCGGATGTCACGGGACAAATTGTTATGCGCGCCTACCTCTCCGGCACCCCTGAGTGCAAGTTTGGCCTCAACGACCGATTGCTTCTGGACAATGACGGGCTGCTGAGCCTGCCCAGCGGAAACAAAATGGGCACCAAGGCGACCAAGGCAGCGGCGGGAAGCGTCACGCTGGAGGACTGTCAATTCCACCAGTGCGTTAAGCTGGGCAAGTTTGACACGGACCGAATCATCAGCTTCGTCCCCCCCGACGGCGAGTTCGAGCTCATGCGATACCGCGCCACAGAGAACGTCAACCTGCCGTTCAAGGTGCACGCCATTGTAAACGAGGTCGGCCGCACAAAGGTTGAATACAGCATCGGCGTCAAGGCCAACTTTGGAGCCAAGCTCTTTGCTACCAACGTCGTCATCAAGATTCCTACGCCTTTAAATACTGCCAAGATCACCGAGCGCTGCACGCAAGGAAAGGCCAAATACGAGCCCAGCGAGAACGTGATTGTCTGGAAGATTGGCAGGTTTACTGGCCAGAGCGAATACGTCCTCACTGCCGAAGCGAGCCTCACCAGCATGACAAATCAACGCGCCTGGAGCCGGCCACCCTTAAGCATGAACTTTAGTTTGTTGATGTTTACCAGCTCGGGCCTGTTGGTTCGCTATCTGAAAGTATTTGAGAAGAGCAATTACTCCAGTGTCAAGTGGGTGCGATATATGACGAGGGCAGGCTCATATGAAATAAGGTAAAGTGGCCTCATATCCCCATCTATCAGTATCTACAGCGCTAACCAGCAATCCACCGTCTAGATTCTAAGGCGATTTGATTGTACGATGATGGATATTTATGGGATGCATGGCGTTGATGGATACTCGGGCAAAAGCTTTAATATCATTACACCTTTTTAATCTTCTTCATAATCGCACGGCTCTTGCGTCTTCCTCCAGCACCGAGGTTGCAGCTTCTATGGGTGTGTGCAATAATGTGGCTAGTATCGCCATGTGACGCTTGAAATCTGCATGATGTCTCTCTGAGAGACCCTGATATTTGAGACCTCAATTGGGCTCAGATGTTGAACTGGAGAATTGTCTCAGGAGCTGAGAGGCTGTGGCACGTCACTTTGACAGCCTTGCTGGTGTGCTGCCTACCCACCGATCCATCCACGGATAACTGCAGATACAACATGTCAGATCCCCTCCTTAGCCGTCTGGTTGTCCAATCTGGGGACGGCAGGCTCGCTCATTTACATCCATTGACTTTATTAACCAAGGGCTTATGATACTGGTCAAGGAGATTCTCGGCTGAGCAATACTGTGCACTAACAGTGTCAACGGATGATGCACGCTTGCCACAGTCGGTCCGAAACAAGATATATCGGCGAGAAGCTGTCGTCAGTTTATTTCCCGGACATCGTGGTCAATAGTCGGAAATAGTACACCAGCCCAGCTGGCAATTTGAGCCTTTTCAGCAGACAATTGATTACAGTCGCCACAGCTTAAACAACAAGCATGTGTGGTTCTAGGCCATGTCCAATCGACAAAACCAACTGGCTTTGTTCTTAGGTTATAATATTATCGCAATCGAGTCCGCACGTGTACCATCCAGGATCGCCATGAATGTTTCTTTTCCACATGTGGTGCGACGGGAATTTGTTTTGTATCGGCCACCCGCGTGTTTTGCTACTCCAACCGTTGTTGTGTGACTGTTTCTTGGGCTTCCACGTTTACTTTTAACTTGAAAGTTTAGGATATACAACGCTTGCGAGAAGAGTTGAGCCACCAACGCATGATCCAGTCGACTTGAGGGTTCTAATCTAATGACAGCTCTGCAGAATGAGTTGGAAGCAGAGAGCAGAGCCAGCCGTACCCTCTTAGACACTATAGTCTAAGAGCTGAATCTTTGGCAGCATGCTTTGTGTTACACCAATTCATCCCCACGGCATGTGCGTGTTCCGAAGCCGAACTATGAAAATATCATGGCCGAGATCCATTAACATCAACGTCCTTTGATCATCAGCTATTAGCTCCATTCTCGACAACCATCCTTTCAGCCTGCTCGATCCACCTCTTATTCCTCATTTGTGGCGCTGGGCGGTCCGAACTTGGCTACAACCCCGAGGCGCTACATAGTAGAGGCCACGCGTGTCTCATCTGGACATGCAACGTTTGCTTCCGCGGCGCTTCCCATCTCGCACATGAACTCTATGACCTAGACAGTATCACGGCAAATCGTGTGTCCTTTTCTATGTGGTCCGACGGCGTCGAATCTTCCCATCGCCCACGAGAGCACGCACGCGGTTTTAGTAGCACGTACAACTTTCCACGAGAGCTTCACGAATTACTGATCCGCTGTAACCTACCAAAAGGCACCTTGAGCGACCTTGTAGATAAATTTACATCTTTTTTTGGGGTCTTTCGCCACGCTAATTCATCTCCCTGAAGAATATCTTGTGCTCAAAACACACATTATGGAGATATATCATGTGAACCAAATACAAGTCATGCAGCTTGATCGACACGAGCAAAGACACAGCTTCATATGGGATATCGTCCCATGAAATACTCTACCAAATCACTCCTCTTCTTGCATTTGTTCATGCTTGTATATGATCTGAGAGCAGGGTGTCTTACTTCCTGTGCTCCCCCTTCTTTTTCCAAGGCAAAATATTAACGATGTATTATCACCGCCCTCAACGCCAATAAGTGCGGAGACATCATTCATTTAGGAGAGTGGGAAATATACCCGCTTTTTTGGAAAAAAGTCTTACGATGGCTTCACGAATTAGCCTGCCGCGGCGATTCGAATACGAGTGGGCTTTCGACTAGTTAGCGAGGACCGAGGGCGAGGTCGTTGACAGTTGATTGAGCAGTAGAGGCACGCGATGGTGCATCGATGTTGACAAAGTATATAAACAGTTGGGTTCCTCCATCATGATATTCGTCAGCATATTAACAGATCAAAGCAAGCACCACAACACTCAACTGGCACCGACATTGCCTTCACAGCTCGTTGCTCCTTGTCGTCTTCCATGGCATAGCATTTGGCTTGTCGAGATCAAACCCCACAATACAAAGACTTATCATCAGACTTTTCCAAGAAGGTTTCTTTCTTTGATCTTGTCATTCGAACATAACGACGTGGCTGAGAGAGAAAAGACCACGGCAGCTAGAAACATACTCTGGCTTCAGCATAGCAGGAACAGCACAGGAAAGGAGAAGCACATAAAGTTTGCGAACATCTGTTTTCGATCTCTCTCTTCCTCAAGCCCCGGCTACTCTCCTGGCCGATATTTACAGACGGAGACTTCGATAAGCTCTCGGGGCAGAAGCTCCCAGCCACCAACCTCGCATACTCCTTGCTCTTAGCTACTCCAACGCAAAGAGACATAAATCAGGGTTATCAAAGCTGATAAGCCACATCATCTTGTGCTACAAGATCGCCAATCATCTCAGGGCGTCACCACATTATCGTCTACTCAAAGAGCCACCCGGGTGCGGACCAGAAAAGGCGCATCTTACCGAGACAGCCTCCCCAAATTCGTACGACCCTCCATTTCCGAAGCCATCGTCGGGCTCGGCCACCACAAGAGGTCTCGGCCAACCCTTTCCGAGGCGAACCCTAAAAAGAGGAGGCGGAGAGAAAGAAATACAAATACTACAAGGCAAATATAGGAAGCATGTGCCAGTACTCGTACATCCACTACCACCACCAATACCCCTGCACGCACCCATCAAGCCTCGTCCCCCGATATTCGTACTGCTCGGGAGCGGCCCTCAACCCGGCCACCAACCACTATAGTCCCTGTGCTGCCACCACTGTGCTCCCGTCTCCTGAAGCCACCGGCGAGAATCCCTGTGCGAGGGGGAGCTGCCTCATCTCGCCGGCCTGCAGCTCGGGAACTTGTCGGCTGCAGGATCTGAATGGGAGATGGGTCTGCTGCAAGTGTAAGCGCGGCGGAAACGTTTACCGGACTTGCCAGCAGCGGAAGAAGGGGTGTCCTGATACGTTTTGCTACCATGATGTATGTGAGAACTGCACTCCTGACATATAAAACCCCAAGACTTGCTCTATTTCGCCTTGTTTTTCTCCGTTTGACTCTTTCTGCTCTGGGCTGGACAACCTTTCTTTTCAAGGCAAAAGGGGGGGCATTGCAATCATGCGGGAGCCAGGGGCGAATATGCAGTCTAGACGCCACGAAAAAAATCAAGGCTTGAAAATCTTGGGGGCGGAAACCAGGCTCAGCAATGTCTCAGTTGGACACGCCACAAGGTTCACAGGTGTAATTGAGCCTGGCACGAGAGTACTGTTACCGCTTTGTACATGCTTGTGAAGCCTTTTGGGTCGCTTCGGATCTTATTTTCTCTCCGCTTTTGCTGGAGGAGCTGTGTATGAATAGGTCGTGACGAGCCTGGAGGGGATATCTGAGTCTGTATACGTTGGTGGGATTTTTCCTTCTTTTTCTTCTGTCTTGCATCTGCTTTTATATTTTGAAGTGCTTGCTTTTCTTGCTGTAGGTCATAGATGTTATCATGCTAATATACATTTACATCTACCACCGAGCAGTTCCATTACACAAGACTGCCTCTAATTTATTTGCGTAATGGAAAGGCAAGTCAAGGTGGCCTCCAGCCAGCCACTCCTCTCTAGAGGATCATTCACCCCTGCATCATTCACAGCTGGCCACACCCGATCTATTCTCAGCCACCCAGCCACTAATATATACATTCACACTCACATTTCTTACACGCATCTGATGTATACCCATGTCAAAAGGGGCTCTGTCAATAAAGTCAATAAAGCCACACGCCCCTCCATGAATCCATGAACCCGGTTTTCGTCACTTCATCAGAGATGAACAAAAATAAAGTGACAGGTTCAGACTCACGATATCCAGTAAATCACAGCCTCAAGTCTCCATCGTTACAGGAACCCATCACGTACGACTAAATGCAGAGATGAAAAACCCCGCTGATTCCTTGTAGACAAAAAAGCAAACAAGATAGCACCATGCAAGGACTATTGCCCCCTCAATATCAGAGAGTGGAGCGAAACGGCACAACATCATCCAACCACTGCTCTTCGATCTGTATGCGCCTCTATTTTTCCACTCATCGCGGTCAATATGTTTCATCGTTCACATGCCCTCTTATATTGATATTGGATAGTACGTAGTACCTGGGACCTTTCTCGGTGTATTTACCGGTGGCTCATTGGCCGCCACAATGCCGTATGCGTATGCTAATTGCCTTTTCGTAGGTTTATTCCTCTATATTTTCATTGATGAGGTTCGAGGGCATATGCACGGACGTATCCTGGCACATGCGTATATTCTTCTCAGGCACGCGCAGGTTTGTTTCTAGTTTCTCAGCTGCACCTCCAGGTTCCGCTTCTAAGCGAGCCTCGTCTCTCAAACATTGTATCCTATTATTTCCAAGCACGTTATATTGAAGCACTTGTGGTCCCAAAAATAGATGTAGAGCCCTCCTAGCTTAGTGTCTCCCTTGCATCTAGAGCCATTTTTTCGGTCAAAAGAGCATTCATGTAGCTGACATACCATACTATACAAACACACTATCAGACCTGAATAGACATAAAAAAAGCAAAGTCATATTTCAATATTGTGTATCAGGGCGTGTACAAAGTATCCACAGAGAGATGAAAATAATCAAGACTAATAAAAAAAAAGACAAAATCCCAATCACAATCACAGTTCACCTGGAACATTGACAGAAGCGGCCACCGGCCCGCAGTCCCGGGACGCAAGGCTTGTGTCATGGGAGAAGAATGACTTCATCCCGCTTAGGCGAGGCGGCGTCGGTGATAAAAAAAAAAAAATTCGTGAACGTGATTCGAATGGCTCAAGCCAAAATGGACAAAATGGATTGGACGGTCTAATAATTTCTATAAATTACTGCAGAAGCGATTCGTGTCAGGCTGGTGGAAAAGATGTCCTGTTACAATCAGACGTGTTAGCTCTGCTTTGTTGACGGCATAAGAAGACGGCTGTTTCCCCTTGTTTTCTTCTTCCAACATCTCCTGCCATCAGTCCATCTCTCCAAGCTTCTTTCATTATTCCACTCGCAGAGACATCCTTCATTCTCCCTTCTTATCGAAAGTGAAGCAAAAAACACCCTCAAAAATGTGTCAACTCCTGACATACGACCTCATCTGCTGCCACTCCTCCCAGAAATGGGACTATTGCGCCGAATCCCAGGCCAACGGCCGCATCCCATGCAAGTCCCAAACCCACCGCGTCGTCTCCTACCCGACGCCGCCAGAGTTCGAGCCCGCGCCCCTCTGCCATCGCCCAGAGTGCCACTTCAACCGCCTCGACGGCGTCTGGAACTGCTGCTGGTGCGGCAAGACGCACAACACGACGGGCCGGTGCAGCGGCATGATGATTTACCAGGAACTCACCACTTGCGACCACATCTGCTGCCCCTTTTGCGAGCGGGGGACCACCAGGGGCTGTTGGGGGAGCAGATGAAGTCGAGGATGGAGAATAGATTGGGGGGATTTCTGGTACTATTTTACGGCTTGAGGGAGATTTGAGGCCATAATGATGATATCGGCTTGTAATTCATGGATATCGCGAGGAAAGCCGGAACCTAGACGGGTGTTGTTCTGCGAGAATTAGTTAGTATTAATTGACAGCTAGATTGGATACGGGATCATGACATCTCATGTGTCGTATAATGAAGTGAAATTGTTGCATTTCAACATGATGTCTCTAACAGAATGTGCAAATCTATGCTCATCCATTTCCCACAACAAGGGCATCCTCTCTCGCAGCCCCTTCAGTATAAGCGCTCTGCAATAACCTGGCACTGTCTAATGGCATCCTTCACAGCATCATGAGTCGTCTCGCAGTATTCCCTGCGCATAAATCAGTCATCCTGTGTCTTGGACATGCCTCAACAATTCGCCTCCTTCTTTCCGTCTCTTACTTGCTCGGATCCTATTTGTTATCTGCTTAGACCCCTGCACACACACTCACCAGTAGTTTGCCCAAACAGCGAAACCAATAGGGCTGCGGATGCCGCCTAGCCTAAACCCAATGCTGTGAGACAGCGCCAGCCTCAACAATCGACTGGCCACCGACCTGTCAAAAGTGTCATGCGAGTCATCTGGAGCAATTATCTTGGGGGGGGGGGGGGGGGGGGGGGGGCGTCCCGGTCTGTGGCCCCAAAGGGCGCCACCCAAGTCAATAGTCGCTAAATCTTGTAATTTCGTCTTGACCAGGATCAGGGCAGTCCACCATCGATGCCATTGCAACAAAAGATGGACAAGTACTGTACAGTAAGAAAGGGAAAAAAAGGTAGGGTGGTATCTCAGATCGAGGATGCAAGGCCATCGGGACGGAATCGTCCCGATGGCTGATCAACACTCGGAAGAAACCCTCCCAGCAGCTTGGTAAAGTAGCACAGACGCAGCTAATATTCCAACCGTAACGCAAAGCCCAGGCGACGCGCTGACTTGCGGAGCCGCTTCGGTTTGTCCGCTTTGCTAACGAGGGTATCAGTGCAGACCGTCAAAGCTGAAAAAAAAGGTAATATGTCTGAGATTTGAAGCAGCCATTGGTCCGTATACGACATCATGATTCATTCGAATGACCTGAAGCTGAAGAAACACATTAGCCAGTTTTTGGTCAATTTCTAACATCGATACTCAAACAATGGCTACCATGTCACACATAGGTCAATTTACGGATCCCGCAGGCTATGCGAGACATTGGATCGATGAATCCTCTAGTTTAGCTCAAGCACTGGTCTGCAAACCGGGATTTTCTGGGGTCCGGGCAAGATCTCAATGCGTCGGGCCGCTCATCTTGCATATGCCTGCGGGCGAGGTATGACGAGCGTACAGTAGGCTTGTATGACTGATGGCGCAGGCTATTGCGTAGGATCTTGCGTTCGACATACGGAAGAAAGGAGGGCTCGTATTCAACATTATTCAACATTTGAACAGCAATATTCAAAACTTAACAATAAAATGAAATTAGTGGCTTCAGTATCACCAAGAGTGGTAGGCCAAGTTGGCACAAGAGATCTGTGAAACGCCAGTGATGTATTGTATGAAGGCAGCCAGCACTGACGCTTCACTTTGTGCCGTAGGCGTTTGTCTATCGACCCTGACCCTGAGGCGACGGCAATCTGTTCGACTCGATGAGAGCAAGCAGTCAAGAGTACAGCCAGAGCCTCTATATAAACTCACAGTCCGCCCCTGTGAAGTGAGAAAAAAAGAGGTCAGAACAATCGATCTTGCTTCCTCTGCCTTCTCACTTCCAATCAACTTGTTAACTTGTTACCAAATATCATTGCCACCTTCTTCTTCCCCTTCGTCAGCTTCCAGACTCGAGACTCCAGACCCAGCGTTGAATCCACCGCTGCTTTTCCTCACAATGTGCCACGGACATCCCCGCTACCACGAATGTGCTCACACTTCGCTTGTCTGGTACTATTGCCCCTCGGCAAAGATTGATCTGGAGACGGGCTACGAAACGCCTTGCCGAAACGCAACATTTGCGCCAGCCCAGTCAAGCTCTCTGTCTTGCCCTCTCAAGAACTGCCAGTTTGCATACAAGGGCGGAAGCTGGATATGCTGTAAATGCAACCAGGGACCAAACACCCAGGGCTGGTGTTCCACTCCCTTGGCTGATACACCAGATGATTTGGGCTCGCTGAGGATAGGAAGTGACCAGCGGACGTGTGACCACGGATGCTGTGACGATTGCAGGAGATTCGGTTCGTCAACTCAAGAATTTCCCCCTCTTTTACTTGTTGAGTTTCGGTCAAGTTAACCGTTTGATGATAGGGCCGGCCCGCAGCCCCTCTCCAGAAAGGAGAGTCACGGAGAGTCGCAAGGGGAGATCACGCAAGTACACGTATGGAACATCGTCCAGAAACCATGGGTGCGATACGCCGTATGCTATGATGAAAGGGCTGTCACTCGACAAAACCTCAGAGTCTGGAAGCGCGGCGGTATCTTCGTCGTCTTGCTCATATGACTATCGATCTAAGAAGTTGAAGTCATCCAAGAAGAGCCACAAGTCAAAGTCTCGAAGCTGAGAGTCAAGAGCTGCGGGCGGATATTTTGATTGATTTTCTAGCGGCTGGCTCGTTGGAGGCACAAAGTCGTTTCTCATTCATGTACTTTTAGACTGGAGTATCGATAAGAATTGCCTGAACAGATGTTTGTTGCAATGTGCACGCTTGTACACTAAAGAAGGTGGAGGAGAACTATAAATAGAATCTGGATACGCTTTGCCGTTTTGTAAAATCAGTGACATGAAATTATATATCTGGACGGTTTCACAATGTGCACTTGCGCAGCACCAGGCAAGAAAACGCAGGCGAACTGGTGAGTTCTCCGTGTCTCTCAAAGTAGCGTCGTGACTAGGAGCTGGGAGTCAGTAAATGGACTGCCAACGACCAAAGATGTAGATGTATCGCCATTTATATCGGTTGATACTTGATGTCATGTTCAAGCCAGTTACTCAGGTTCCAATTCTCATGTCCCTTTGCCGAGACATGTCACGAAATCTAAAGAGCCATCTGTTGAACCCACCTGTCAAACCCCTTTGCTCCAAGGCTTCTTGCTTCCTCGCGACATGTGAAGGACCTGCAAAGACAAATCAGCTGCAAGCGCACAATGGCTTGATGGCGTTGCGCCAGTCAGGCTGCTTATGCAAGCTAACATGTGGGATTAGCGTAACGCTGTCGATCCCAATGTGACGGACTCTTTCCCCTCGGCCACACAGTACACAGTGCTTGCATGGACGGCGCCCGCAGAAAGTCAAATCGTACTCGTGAACACGGACGGTGTCACTGTGCTGGCGGCAAGCAGACTGTCCAGCATCGGCCATGTTTGTCGCCCAAAGACGGCCATGGCCATCGTCATCGCCCCGGCCGTCGTCATCGTCGCGGCCATGGCCAAAACGGCAGCCGCCCATCGTTGCCCTACCACGGCGTTCTCCGGACCAGGCATGGGGGCCCTGACAGCGCTCCAGTCCGTCCTCAGTATGGATCATGGCCTGTCCTGTCCTCAGACACTGGCCCCGTCCAAGCTTCAAGCCTCCCCTGGCCAGCCACGTGCAATGGCGCACGCGCTGCAGGGATAGGCTTCCCTTTTTCGCCGCTTGGCGTCCCCGCGCTGGAATGCAAAGAAGGCCTGCGAAGTGCCCTGCGAGAGAGAAGAATGAAGAGTTTAGGCCGAGCCGGGCAATGGGCCTGATTGGCTTAGCGGTGCGCTTGGGCTGAAGGATGAGGCCCGACTGAGCGGAGAAACGGCCGATAGAAGTGCGTAGAGGCTGAGATGGACGGTTGCTGGTTGCTGGACTGGTTGCTGGTGGCGATGGTGATGATGGTGGTGATGATTGTGATGTAAATGTGTGATTTGGGAATATTGTAAAGCGACGAGTCACTGGAGGTTCGAGTCGTGATGATGTTTTGCTGTCTTGTCTCGCTTCGCCTCGCCTTGCCTTGCGTCGCCTTTGTTCTTGCCGACGAGATTCCAGATCCATGCCCGAGATGGCTGCTGCAAGACCAAGACATCCATGGATATGCAAGAGACAAGAGACAAGAGACAGGTCACCGATTAGGGTTGCTGGTGGCGGAGAGACAAGCCAGTCAGAGGCCGCGAGAAGCCAAAAGTGGTGGCCTGACCATGCGTCTGGCACATGGCAAGAGTGCGCCCCGCGGCGTTGAGGGGTTCGCTGGGGGGACTTGGCGGGCAGGTACCCGCTAACAGCGCTGAAGACGGGCAGCAGACAGAGGACAGCAGCGGGAAGACGAGGATCTACAGGTATTTGCTCGGGCGGTAGTCAAAGCTTGTTTTGGTCTTTTTTTAACCTGTTTCTGTTTCATCGAGAATGATGTGCTGCTTGCTGGTGACGAAAGGACGAGAGAGAGGAAGCGTTGATCAGGATTAAACACTGTTCCGTGTAAGAGGCAGCCTCAAGGCCACATGGGCACAGCACCAGAATAGGTTTGCATGTAGGGAGTATATGCCATTGCCACAATATCCCAGGCTCGTGTCATCACAAATAGGATTTCTATTCTTTGGCAATGACATGCCATTCGTATTTTCTGTTTAGCGACGCAGTACTTACCAGGTACCAGATGGATCAGCAACCCGCTCAGGCGCTTACAAGTACGCTATCCGTACCCACGCGGTGTGATACGATGCCTTTGAAGCCAATGATGAGTCGAAAATAATCGCTGGATGCCTTGAACAGGACCTGCTCCGTCATGACATTGAAATAGAAACCACATCCGCGTCTATCCGCCAAAGAGCGCTTGAGATGCCAGTAGATGCTGTACTATTGACGCCTAGTAAACCGGTGATGGACGGGTCCACGCCAACTCGCCATAAAACCCGCTACGGCACTGCCCCCTGTAACATCCAGCCCACAGGCATTCCCCCGTCTCTTACAGCGTTTGGCCGGTACTTGCCCGCCAGGTCACCCCGCCGTAGCCCTCACTAAAGCGTCCCCCCTCCAGGGCCCTCCTGTCTCTCAAACGCCTAGCACGGCTTCGCATCTCCATCGGCTCCACCAGCTTCTCGCTCATCATCTCCCGTCCGTCCCTCTCTTTTCCCTTCTTCTTGCTCTCCAATCTCTCCAGCGCGTTTCCAGTAAACAAGCGGCCTTTTTTGTTCATTGCCTCTCCCTGTAGAGCCCACTCGCCTTCAGCATCGCATCACATCGCACCTGAAGCCGAACACCGCGACGCAGCCTGCCGCAATTCAAGTTCAATTTCCACTGCGAAAAGAGACAAAAGGAAAAAACCCCCGATTGGCTGCAGAACACAAACGTCTTGCCGTCAACACAGACACGCAAAGAGATAAAGAACAAGAACAGGACTCCAGTCTCCATTGTTTTTGTTTCCAATCATCGCCTCGATCTGAACCCGGTCCAACCTGACACCAAACTTGCGACAACCGCCCAAGCCAAGCTTCGCACCTTAGCTGGCCCCCCCTTGCTCAATCTCCATCACACACCAACTTACTCGCTCCTCTTCTCTCTCCTCTCCATCTCTGCATTGTCTGTCTGGATTGGAGCCCGTCACTCGCAGTCGCCAATCAGTCTAGCACGGAACCCCTGCCTTTGATAGGTCTCAAGTCCTGCCAGCGGGTCTCTCTCTCTTTTTTTTCTCTCTCTGGTTAAAAAGGCTTCCAAGTCTCCAAAAACACCACCGCCATGCCTGTCTCCATAGACTCTGCTCGCCCAATCATGGCTCCTTCGGTATGTCTTTTGTCTCTCTCTCTCGCACTAAAGCTCCCTTCATTTGTAGCTCCATCCATCTAGTATGCTGTGCGTCTCTCGAGTCAGAGCTGCCAGCTTAGCATAGATAAGCTGCTCCAGTGTCGTGTGCGCGGCGCGCTTCTTTTCCCTCAACTCTCTCCTTCTCATCTAGCCTACTTGATCTACTTCAACTTCACTCCTCTAACCATGCGTCTACAGAACCGCGCTTCCCTCCGCTACAGCACCTACAGCATGGCTGCCCCGTCCGTGGCCATGTCTGTCCAGACCAACGACTCCCAACACGCCGAAATCCGCGAAATCGCCACCGGCCTTGATCGCATGGAGAACAAGGCCCTCTCGTCCCAGCGCGTCATCCTGACCGAGGAAAAGTACGAGCGCATGAGCAAGCTCGCCCTCGGCGCAAAGCTGGAGCGCGCCCTCGACCGTCGCATGAGCAGCCAGGACGCCGTCATGCGCCCCCGGAGAAAGACGACTTCGGCAGTCGAGAAGACCATCAGCGAGAAGGCCCAGTAAACGAAAACCAGCCATGTTGGATTATTCGATGACTGTGTCTTTTGATAGCAGCTTTTAATGCACCAAGAAGCTGCTCGCGACTCATTTACACCAACCACACCAAAAATCAGCCCCTATTTTTTGCATCATCTGGGATACAATGGAATATTTTTTCCACTGGAGGGGGGGTCATTTTACTCGTTTTGCGGAATTGATAGAGATGAATTCAGTCCAACGCCACGGCATCCACTCACGACATACTCAAATGACAAATATCTCATTTCACATATACCCCTTGCGTCTTACATGATACACTCAACAACAACATCACATCTCCTAATTTCAATCTTTTTTTCTTTGCTCTGTTATGCTAGGAAGAATGGAAACTTTTGTTTATGCTTGTCTCTTTATTTTTTTCATTTCGTTGTTTGGAAAGGGTAACGGCGCTTAAAGAGGGGGGGCAGCGCGCGCGCGTCTTTAGCAGCCAGAAAAGCAGTCGATATAATATACAGGAGAATGATGATACTGTATTGACCTCAACTTGATTCCACCTATTATGCAATCTTTGGATATGCCTTTTCCAGACATCTCGATCGCCATGTAGGGAGAAACCATGACTTGCGTATTTTAAATTAGTACCTGCATGGCGCTACTCAAGCCTCTTTGCCGCTCTCTATTTTACTCCCGCAGCTCTAAACTCAAAAGCTTTGAGAAATATGACTCGTCTTTTTCGCCCAATTTGACTGACGCAAGGGAAAACAAGAGGCGATTAATCTAATCTAGTTCCCCTTGCGCCCAAAGCTCAAGCTACTGCTAGGAAGTAAATAGTTTGGCCTCAACTGCCGCCACGCACGGAGCAAGCCAACAGACATGACCAACAACAGCTGTGCCGTTTAAGCATGGCCATGTGTTTTTGGCTGTTGGTGCTTCTGCTGAGATTGAGATGCACGTGGCTTGCCGTTATTTCTCCACAGTCTTGTACCAAGTAAAGAGGACATTGCATGATATGGAGTTGACTTATACGCAAGTCAACTAAGCCCACATTGTGTGTATGCAGGTACAGCATGTAATCCCAGTTGAAAGTACAACCTTAATAACACTCCATGGTAATATCCAAGGACAGATTTTGAACACGACCAGCATTATGGGGCAAATGTCGAGTGTCTGTTGTGTGCATGTATAGCAGCCTAGTAGGTACTCAGGTATGTTGTGCCTTTGTTAAGCACCAGCTCATATGACGAGATGCATCTGCCTCTTATATGTCCTCGAGTACTACCAAGGTAGGTCGTAGGCACGACAAGACAAAGAGGATAAATGAACCCTCCCCAACGCCATCTTCCATTCTCGGCACCTCTATCCAATCAAGCATACACGGAATGTATCCAGTAGGCACGCGACACACGCATGCATCCAATCTAGGAGTCGACGTCTTTGTCGTCTTCAAAGGCGTTTCAAAGGCTTTCTGTGAGGACCGTATATGAAGAGGGAATGCTCGCCACCAGCCTATATGTATATAAAAGTCCCGGCCTTCAGCGATGAGAGCCATAGGAGCAGCATCTTCAACCTCTTCAACACTCAGCTCGAATGGCGTCGTTGAATAGCCATGCCACGTCATGGCCTTCTTCGAAAGCTCTTGCGTGACTTGGGGAATACAGCTAGCCCCTCGCAGTCTCACGAAGATGAAGCAAGAGCAAATGTTAAGATCCACTCGTTTCCTCCGAGAGCAGATATGCCACCACCCGAGATATCCAAGATATCCAGTTCAGCGTGTAGAGTTAGTAACTGGCTTCCATTCTGTACTTGCTCCATGATGACCTTATGAAATGCAGTATCATCGCCGTTCATGGACTGGGTGGCAACTGGCTGAAGACGTGGGAGGCCAACGATGGGGCCATCTGGCTTCGAGATCGCTTGCCTCAGCTCCTCGCGGAGAGGAACATTCAAGCAAGGATTCTGTCTTTCGGATATAATGCCAACTTCATCTTTTTAAAAGCCGTAAACGACATCGAAATAGTTGCGGGGGAGCTCTTAAGCCGAATTGACAATGTTAGAACCACGGACGAGCAGAAGAAGACTCCCATCATTTTCGTTGCACACAGCCTAGGCGGCTTAGTGGTGAAAGCAGTCAGTTGCGCTTCCTAGATATCAAATCGTATACGTCATGCTAATGATATCTATCTCTATGGAGGCACTCAACAAAGCCTGGACGGAAAACTTTCACTACCAAAATATTGTTGACAAGGCTGCCGGCTGTGTCTTCCTGAGCGTTCCACATCAAGGGGCAGATTTGGCTAAAAATGCTGCCACCATTGTGACAGCGCTGAGTGGTCACGGTAACAACAAGCTTGTCAAGGCAATTATGAGGAGCTCCGAAGAGTGGAGGAAAGTTGGCCAGGAATTCGTATTTAGGACGGCGAATATATCCATTGCTACTGTTTTCGAGACTCAAAAGACGAATGGCATGATGGTAAGTCTTTGCGCTCCATATATCTCTTATATAGATGATTCACTTCTGACGATGATAGGTTGTCGATCAAGAATCAGCCAGGCTGGACCTCTATGGGGAGAGAACCGAAGGCTTGCCGAGATCAGATCATGGCAACATCTGCAAGTTCGGCGATAGCCCAGATGAAAGCGATCGATTCCGTGGACTTGGTTATCTCGTGACGGAGATGGTCGAATCTGCCTTGGAGAGAGGTCAGTGATGAGATTCTACAAGTGCAGAGCCTTGTCCACTTACGTTCATTCTGATACATAAACTAATATACTTGCTCGTGTATTGTAGCCACCTGATCGTCGTTGACGGAAGAAAGAGCCGCTGAAGAAGGGCTGACTCAAAACCCGGCTTTGGCGCATCCAGAACACTGGCATATAAGTAACGCTCTCATCCCTACCACAAGCTCACGCCAGATCGACAGTGTTGTCCAACATGATGCTTGGTTTAAAAATCAGGTCCAGCAAAATCTCTCTTCTAGCTCTGTGCATGACGAGCTAGCGGCCTCAAACTTCATGGCCGAGCAGCACTCAGTCAACACATTGAAACCACAGCTTCTTGACACTGGAAAAATGCCTTTGAATCCGGTTAACAATATACTCAATTACGACATACGGTGGCTAAAAAAAAAAACGTTTGGAGTTTGAGGACAATATAGATCATCTTTACTCTCCTTTTCACGTGTCTAGCAGCCCTATAAAATAGCCGACATGCTGTGGGAAAGTTGAAATACAAGCAAATCGAATTCCTGGAACATCAGAGAGAAATGGGCGGAGCAAATGTCTAGCCGGTGAGCTTTGGCTATTCGAACGAAGTGATTCTACCTACACTACACCTGAGCCACTTCGGGGCCAACGGCGATATCAAGTGTGCTTATATCGAGAAGCAGCGACTTGATCGCGATACCGCAGATTGTGTGAGGCAATGCGTTGGGCGATTAATGAATTAGATGGAAAATATTGGCGTTGATTTGAGCAACGATGCGGATCAAGATGATAAAGCGGCAGACTACTTAACGGGGCTAGACTTACGGATCAATTTGGGCAAAATAGAGGTTTTTAGAATAAGAGGTGGGCGGTTACTTCTTACACTTGTTGATTATATACCAGATAGCTAGTAGCTTTAATACCGGAATGGCGCATTATTATAGTACCAAATATACTTTATGTCTCAAGATATCTGTATAATACAGCAATACTGTCAACTCTGCATGGGTAGTTGAAATCAGACTTCATGACAACCAGGGTTCATGGGATAAGCTTGTTTATTGTGTATATGTCCTCTATAAGCAAGACAAAGCAGCCCAGCTAACATCGCAAGGAATGCCGCACATCAATACAGCATCGCAAACTGCCCAAATCAAAACTCCAAACGCCATTGTGCTTCCAAAGCCCCTAAACGTACACACTCAAACACCCCCTAAGCAGCCCGCACCTTTTCAATCCTCTCCTCAATATCCTTCAACAGCGTCATCAGATCCGCCTCCTCGCCCTCCATCTCCAACGCCCGCTTCACCCACTCCCGCGCCTCATCCAGCCTCCCCATCTCCGTCAAGCACCTGCCCCTCCTCCACCAGCCCTTTGCATTGCCCACCCGCCTCGCCTCGACGCTCGCCTCGGCATCCACCGCGCCCTCGGGCCAATTGCTCATGCCCATGTGCGCCTGCGCGCGATTCGCATACAGCATCGACACCTCCTCCCTCACCAGCGCGGCAGGCTCCCACAGCGGCCTCTGCAGCGCGGCCTCGATCCCTTGCGTGTACAGCTTGATCGCCTCGGCGTACTTTTGCTTGCGGTACTCTGCGTTGCCGTTGTCGCGCAGCTTGGAGACGTTGGCGGTGCGCTTGGGGTTGACGGGGATCGGAGGAGGGGGCACCAGCGGGATGGCGCCGGGCGGCACTTCGATGCTGAGGATGGCGCGGTGGAGCGTGTTGAGCTTGTCGAGCTCGGCGGCGAGGGCGCGCGACGGCCTGCTGCCGGAGGGGAGGATGGCTTTGGACTGGGGGTCCATGTGGATGGGGAGCATGCTGAAGTGGTCGAGGTCCGACATGATGGCGGTTTCGACAGTCTCTGGGACTTGGTCTATGGGGAGTGTGGCTGTTCAATTTGGAAAGGATCTTTGTCTTGTTTCTGTAAAGATGTAATTGTATGTGACTTGAAGACGAGAAAAGAATCAAAGCGCGCCAATGACTTGCGCTGACAAGTTGTTGCAGAAAAGAAAAGCGACGAAGCACATGTGTCGCCAAAGCATGTCAGTGAGGACACCTCTCATTGCGCCGGCCCCAGAAAGTTGTTTATCTTATCAGCACATGACTGTGGGGTGTTTCGCTACAAGTGCCAAAGCGCTAAGACTTGCGACTTTGAGTTGTGGATGATGAACTTGAAGCATGGCCTTACCCTAAAAGGTTCAATTCATGATTATCAAAATTGGTATTTCGTAGACATGTGATTGTGGTGGACATTAGAGATGCTGTAGATGACGAGTTAGTGATAGTACACATGGATCTACACAAATACTAAGAAATGCACACGCGGAGAGAATCTATGGATTATGTGAATAGGAAACAAATGTTTGATCAGGTCAAAGAGTTGACGTAGAAAATAAATGTGGACGTCATCAAAATGATAGGTAGAACCTCAAAGTCAGTCAAATTACACCATCAATAATGCAACGCAAGACCACGGATAAAATCACACAATCAAAAGAACCAAATTCAATAATCACACGTCATCATTAATTGTTCAAAGCATTTATCATTTCCGTCTACTCCTAGTATTTGTGCAATGCTAGACACCTCTTTTTGCTCAGAGAAAGGGTATGATCATCACTTGCCCATCTCCTCTCCCACGTCCCCCAATTCCTTGTCGCCGACTCACTTTTTTTTTTCTTTGTTGCTCCGTAATAAGCCGGGGAATAGCGTCCTTGAGCAGCAGTAAAAGGGCCATCGCGGGTCAGATATAAGTAGAAAAAAAATAAGAAACCGTTTCCTTGCCCAAGTCCTGTTCCCCAATCCCAATCCGATTGTTCCCTGTCAAGCAGAAACCAAAAACGCAAAACGAGCCACATTACAACGTCGCATCAGTCCATCCGCTGTCACCCTCACGAGGGAGAAGAAGGAAAAAAAAATGAATCATTTTCCCTTGTTCTCACGTTTGTTTCGTGCTGATTGTTGGGGTTTCCTGTGCTTTATTTTCTCTGTGGACTTGGGTTATGGGTTCCGATGACAAAGAGAGAGATTGTTCATAAAGACAATGATTTGAGGAAAAAAAAAAGTTCCCATCCGCCCCCCAAAAAGCCCGCCGCCCTTGCCATCACTCAGCAAATCAAGTATAATTCCTTTGTGAACCGCCGCGCCAATCTAATGAAACGCACGAGAAAAAGACAATGCGAAGTACCAAGGTGTTCCCCCCGGCAGGGGAATCCTAGGAATGGCCAGCTTAGTAGCCATAAGCCGCAAGGGCCTTCGCGGTCTCCTCCTTGACCGAGGCGTTCTTCTTCGCGTCGGACAGTTGTCGTGCAGCAACCTTCTTGCGCTCGTAGTAGGCAGCGCCCTTGGCCTTCCGTCTCTCCTCCAGACTGCATTTGAAAGTCAGTATTTCGATTTCCATCACATTTTCACTCAAACAGCATCAAGGGATATTGACATACCGGGCAACGACGTCCTGGTACTTCCAGCCGACCTCGTGGCTGAGACGGCCAACGGTACAGTACTTGCGACCGGGCTGCAGTCTCAGGACACGGAGGGCCTGGGGAACGACCATCTTCTTCTTCTTATCGTAGGGGGGAGGGACACCCTCGAAGACCTTGAGGCGCTCCAGAGCGGCGGCACCGCGGGCGGTCTTGTGAGGAATCATACCACGGACGGCCTTGTAGAAGATTCTGGAGGGGGCGCGGAAGTGGAAGGGACCTGAGACACATTCATTAATATCCTCGAAACGCAGTCAAAAGAGGGTCGTTGGAGTCGCAAACTCACCACCGCGAGTGGGGTTGTATCGGGTCATCTTGCGCAGGTAGGCGTGGTACTTGACTGCTCGAAATGTCAGTATTCTTGTCTTTCTTCTCAAGTCGATTCGCATGTGTATTCTAGCGATTGCTCGTCCAGGCCGACTCCGGAGAGTGGCTCCAGCTCAAAACAAGAAATCGCATAGAATGGAGTTCGGGTGGGCGGTAGGAGATGATGGACGTACGCTTGGCGCGGAAGAACTCTCCAGAGATGTTGAGGGCCTCGCAGCGGACGACAACAACCTTCTGGCCGTTGAGGAGCTGCTTGGCGACAATGGAGGCGAGACGACCAAGGAGATGGCCCTTGCCGTCAACGACGACCTAGAAGAGATGCATGTTAGCATTCGACGTCCGTATGTGTATGTATGCATGCACATGTTGTTTGTGTCTCGTCTCGTCGTAAATCGAATGTCGTGTCGTGCTAAAGACGAGAAGCGACAGCAGCGATTGCCATCCAGCGCAAAACAAAAAAGCAAAATCATGATTCCATCTCCAGCAGTTCCAATCCCATGCTCCCATTCAGTTGCCATGCCGTTGCAATTGTGCGCAAGCATCCACCTCTTCCATTCCCTTCTTTGGCACTTCGACAAGAACGATTTCGGATTCCCAAGGCGAAGACAACAAACATGTGCGTGCGTGCTCATCACGGGGATTATCTGCTGGTGCATAGTACTCACAACCGACTCGAACGACGACATCGTACCGGTTTCCTTTCGGGGGGGTTGGAAAGAAAAAGGTGGAAAAGAAAGAAAGACACACAAACCCTCACCGGCGAGAATTTGTTGCTGTGACTTGCTGTGGGTTAGTCGTCCCTGGGCAAAAGTTGGTGGAAGTGAGTCGCGATACCAAGTAGGACGGGCGAGAAAATCGGAGTGCCGACTTGGGGCTGGTTGTGCCTTTGGAACCAGGGCGCCTAGCCGCTTCGGGCAAGGGTGGGTTCCGGGGCAGGCGAAGAAGGGCACGCAGGTTGGTGGTGCTTAGGGCTGCGAGACCTAGAGGGCCTGGGCCGACGATTTGCCGGGGCATGGCGGCGCTTTGGCTGGTGACGACTTTGGACGATGCACGTGATTGCGACCGATGTGCCCGTGAATGAGCTTCTAATATGGGGCACAGCAGTGTTGATGATGTAAATGAAGCTGTCAACCTGTCTATCCTACTGAGATGGCGATGATATTTTAGAATATACTTTTCCGTCCTATTGCCCAGAAGGGAGTCAAACAGACAAAAATCAAATAGCCAAGAATAAGCCTGTGGTTGTGAATTCTCATATTAATCGCCAGAAAATGATTCTATATCGCCATGCATCATCGTCAATCTGTACAATATGCCACTCCTCCACTCTTTCCAGAGTCATCTCTCAACACACCCACCCGCCCATTCTTTCAGCGTCCATCTTCTCTTTCCACAACATGCGATAGGATCAGCAGCTTCCTTTCCTTCTTTCTAATTCTTTGTTATACTAATGAGCTGCGAAAATGTAGACGTGGAAAAAAAAAAAAAGGTCTAGTGTCTCGCTCATGGACCAGTGGCTGCGGTATCATCGTCCCAGCGCCCACTCCGCCATTCGTCTCTTTTTGTAAAAAAACAACGCCATTTATCTGCACCCAACAGTCTTTTTTTTAAATATATGTGTATGTTTTGCGTAAAAACAGAGAAAAAAGAGTGAAGAGTTGTATGCAGTATAAACCAAAAGGCCAAACAGGCAACTCAGCGCAAAACAAAACAGAAGGAATAATCATTATAATCGCGACAAGAATAGAAAAGGGCGCATGCGAGACAGTCATGATGCCTTTGCGGTGTCTAGTTGCTTGAGCACCTCTTGGGTCCGTCGAACGAGCTCCTTTCGCCTCTGTCGAATCTCATCGATACCCTCAGTCTCTACGCCATCCAGTTTCAAAATGACTTGCTGCAAGACAGTTTCGGATATTTTCCTGTGCTCGTCCTCCCGCTTCTTGGCGTCTTTGGGGGGCGCGTCGATGTAGTCCAAGCAGAGAGGCAGCCACTTGGACCGGAACTCGTCTTCAATCTCATCCAACTTTTTCGAAGCAGCATTGATGACGGCGCCATTTGCGGCGTCGCCGTTTGATCCGCTGTCGAGAGGGCTGGTCGGGGATCCGGGGTCATTCTTGTCCGATTTCCTCTTGCTTCCCTTCTTCTTCTTCTTGGATTTTGAAGACTTGGAGTCGTGTCGAGACGGCTCATTGACAGTGATGACGTCTTCATCCGACCGATCGCTGTTCTCGTCGTCCCCGTCGGGTATGACGGCCATGAGCTCGCTCTTGTTTTTGACTCCGTATTGGCGAATCGGCAGCGACGACTCCTTCAGCTGCTTGCCCTTGTAGAGGAGCTTGATGCGACGGGTGGTGCGTGATGACAGTTCCATCATGAGGCCGACGCGATCTCGCACATCCTTGACGTACAGCTTGCCATCGCCGATCGAGTAGGCCGGGAAGTGCGCCGGATACGTTATGCCCTTGTGTTTGATGACCAGGATGTCGTCTTCAAGGTCCGAAGGTCCCCTGGATGGCGGCCGAGGAAAGTGGCGAGTGTCGATGTACTCAACCCTGGGATCGTCCAGGTCCTGGGCGGGGATGTAGCTGAAGTCTTCGTTTGTGATGTCGGGCACGCCGCCGGGCATGGCGCCGAAGCTCTGCTCGCGGTTGAGCGACCAGCCGAACCGCGACATGGTGATGGGGAGGGCCACTAGGGCAGCGAGGCCGCTGTAGACGTACGTGGGCGGGACTCCCAGCGTCCCCGAGATGTACTCGCTCGACTCCTGGAAGGCGGCCGAGAGGTTTGTGAGGGTGCCGTTGAGGTAGTTGGCGATGAGATGCTGCAGGGCACCGGAAGATGCCACGACGGGCTCGCTGGAATCCACCTTGGCGTCTTGGATATCAAGGTGGCCCTGACGGAGGACACCTTTGCAGCTGGGAAAACGGAGGGAGAGGGAGAGAAGAAGAAGAGAAGGAAAAAGCCGGTTGTCTGGCCTGGATGCGCCCTCTCGCCGTCTTCTGTGTGTATTGACGAATGACGAATGACCGACGAACGAGTAAAGATTGATCGCGGGGTCGTGTCGTGGGGCGGAAAGCAAGGCTGAGCGAAAACTAAGACGTGCGGCGAATTGGCTTCGTGGGAGGCTGCGATTGGGTGCAGATGCAGGTTGGCCACAGGAACCGGCGGCGATCACGGGCCTAGCCGAAACGACAGGACAGGACCGGCCTTGGAGGTGAGGCTGTTGGACCGGCCAGCGCAGAGTTGTGGCGATTCGCTCTTCTCTCTTCTCGGCAGCACCGCCCAGCAACGGTCCTCGCGATGGCGGCTAGTGGCTTCGGGCAGGGCCAGGCTGTGGTGTCGAGCCGGTGATGCAGGCGAGATGGATTGGACGAGACGGCGGATGGTGTATGGACGAGAAATATGGGGAGGTCAATTTGAATGATTTTCTCGGTCTGGGCGCCAACTTTTATTGGGCGTCAGCGGGTTGGAGAACTGGCGGGGCGCTTCTGGGGGGCTCTGGGGCCTTCGGATAGCGCCTGAGGCCTGCTGGGACCGCTAAGAGCCTGTAGCTGCTGACGTACAGCGCTCTGGTCACTGATCCGTTGAAGCTTTTAGTCTGTGCTGGTCCTTGTTGTACCTGACTCCAAAGCATCGGTACAGACAGGCATACAGCCTTGGAAGTGAACCTCGAGTTCCAATAGCGGACTTGAGCAGCCCCAAGGTTGCCCTGATGCCCTTCCACAGCGAGTCGTGTTGCTGACGCTCGTTGCCATCCTGTCTGTACTAAACTAAACGCATACGCATCTCGTCCATGTGGTCTCGAGACGAATGCCTTGGCAAGCAAGGTTCGCATATGCGTATATAAGTAGGCATCTTGCTTAGCGTGAGACTGCTGCTGAGCCGTCATCACATGTCCCGCCAATGAGGCATCTCGCAGATCATCGCGGTCTGGCCCTTGGCCACAGACGCTTTTATTTGTAGCATCGCCAACACTCAAAAGCCGAAAACCACATCCGAGACTGCGGCTCTCGCTCCACCTCCCAGAAGCGCCGCCCTGCCTCTTTTCTATCCTATTATATTGCTCCTTTGTCAAGTTCCCTGTTACCACCCCGGAATTGCATCTCAGTTACCCCGGAAATCTGCGTCTCTAGCCTCAAAGGGGCAATGATCCAGGTTCCCCGCGAACTTGGCTGGCAACTGACCCTCATATGCTGCTAGTAGTAGTAGATTGTACATGATTCCAGCTATAGTGATGTTGTTGATTCCGTAAATACTTACTACATCTGTAATCTGCGGGGGGCTGGGCCTATCTGCCGTTGGCTGCTCCCGAAGCCATGGCTTGCCGTGCTTGACTCGAAGCAGCCACGGCTCATTGGCTAGCGGACTCTAATACACAGTTGCTCGGACGGACCTTGATATTGGTAATGAGGAGGTGTTGCTTTGGTAAGGGAGGTGTTGTCTTGGTATTCGAATACAGGATGCAGAGTTGTCATCTAACACTGTACTGTTACATGTTGGATGCGTAATCATTGAATATTTGACTACCTCTGGTGTGCCTGAAACGTGGGGGCGGCTTGGCGTTGTCGTACATCTTGATCTAGCCATCGAGTAGTTTAAGCTGTGTTCCAAGGCATATCAATCGCCGGTACAAACAAGGTGAAGTAGCTAAATGTGGATGAAGCGGGCGCCAAGATGGGGGTTCATCTCCAGCTCTGTCGACATGGATGATATCATATCAAGAGCGGGGAGCATGTAAGGGACTGTAGGGGACTGTAAGGAGTACATATAGATGCAAAGGTATATATATACCAGCTCGTGTAAGCATTCCAGGGAATATCTCGACTCCTCATCTCTCTCAACACCCCCAAAGAACCTCGAGCTGCTCTCCTTGCATAAGGGATTAACATTCTTCACAATGACAGTCAAACGAACACTTGACATCACGGTATGCTTGACATCAACACAGTCGATGCAAAAGCAATCCAACAACCGGCTAACTCCATGCTACCAGACTTACAAAGGCAACATCATCAACGGCGAGTTCGTCCCCACGGCAGAGACCCGACGCACAATAGATCCCGCCACCGAAGAGCCCCTATTCGCCGCCCCCCTCGCAACAAGAGACGATCTCGACAACGCCGTCCAGCACGCCCGCAATGCCTTCAAGACGTGGTCCAAATCACCCTTTGCCGAGCGCTCCAAGCTCATGCTCGCCTACGCAGACGCGATAGAGGCCCACCGCGAAGAGCTCGAGAGACTCGACACCATAGAGTCGAGCAAACCCCTCCTCGTCTCCAAGCGGGAGTTTGACAACGTGCTGGAATGGCTCCGCGCGTTTGCCACCATGGAGCTCAAGGACGACGTCTTTGACCAAGATGACGAGCGCATCATCTACGGCACGTACAACCCCGTGGGCGTCGTCGCCGCCATCGTGCCCTGGAACTGGCCCGCCCTCCTCGGCCTGGGCAAGGTCGGGCCCGCGCTGATGACGGGGAACGCCGTCATCATGAAGCCCTCGCCCTACACGCCCTACACGGACCTCAAGCTGGGCGAGCTGGCCATGTCCATCTACCCCCCGGGCGTCTTCCAGGTCCTCAGCGGCGACGACGCCCTCGGCCCCTGGATCACCGAGCACCCGGGCATCGACGTCGTCACCTTCACCGGCTCGGTCCGCACCGGCAAGCTCGTCGCCGCAAGCTGTGCCAAGACGCTGAAGAAGTGCATCCTCGAGCTGGGCGGCAACGACGCCCTCATTGTCTGCCAGGACGTGGACATTGCCAAGTGCCTGCCCAAGATTGCCACGCTGTCGTTTATCAACGCCGGGCAGATTTGCATGCTGGCCAAGCGCCTCTATGTGCACGAGGCCATATACGACCAGTTCAAGGAGGCCCTGGTGCAGTTTACCAAGGAGCATGTCAAGAACGGCGGCGGATTGGAGCCTGGCGTCATGGTAGGGCCGGTCCAGAATAAGATGCAGTGAGTTGCTCTCGAATAACATCATGATAATCGGCTCCAGGTCTGCTGACTTTTAAAAGATACGAACTCCTCAAAGGCGTCTATCAAGACGTCAAAGACTCGGGCTACCAGGTCGCCCTCGGCGGCAGCATCCCAAACTCCAACAAGGGCTACTTCGCCGAGCCCACCATCGTCGACAACCCGCCCGACACGGCGCGCATCGTCGTCGAAGAGCCCTTTGGCCCCATCATCCCGCTGCAGAAGTGGTCCTCGGACGAGGAAGTGGTCGAGCGCGCAAACAGCCTCAGGCTCGGCCTGGGAGCGTCGGTCTGGGCAAAGGACCTGGTGCGAGCCGAGAGGATGGGCCGCCAGCTCACGGCGGGCAGCGTCTGGATAAACTCGCACTTTGACGTGGCGCCGAATATCCCGTTTGGAGGCACAAAGGAGAGCGGGATTGGGCGGGAATGGGGGTTGGAAGGGTTCAAGGAGTTTACGGATCGGACGAGCTTGTGGGTGTGGAAGAAGATTTTTGATTAGACCATGTTGAGTGCCGAGTGCTATAAAGGGGAAGTTGGCAGTATTACCAAATGTAATGGGCTGTGATGGCATCAGGTTCATAGAGTTGTGTGGCAATGAGCAAATTGATGATTACGATACAGAGACAATCAACAACAAGTTTGAAATGTTTTGAAATACCGAGTTAATTCCATCGATATAGATGCCATCAGCAAATTTGCTATATTGCATCTCATTAACAACTGGACCGAGTTGGACCGAAGCAGGCAAAACGGATCAAACAGCGGGTTTCGCCTGTTGCCCGAGTTGGCAATTGTCCCAATTCGGCAACAGGAGGTGCTAAAGCGCGAGTCTTATGGCATCGACGGCCTTGCATACATGCATTTGTTTAGAATCTCCAGCGTCAGATAGAACACAGCTGCTCCTTCACCGTCTACATCACACGCTCCTCATTTGAGAGCGCCATCATCAAAAAGCCACTGGACCTGGAAAAAACAGGTCCAAGTCCCCTCCAAATCGTGCGCCCCAACGCCTTTGGAATCAAGCCAATCCCGTAGTGCCCTGCCTTAGTCCTTGACAAATCCAAGCCCCTCCCCGCTGACTGATGCACAGGTTGCAGTTTTTAGTGGGCTGCGCTCGAGCCAAGGTTCGTCATTCTCACAGGCTGTGGGAAATCTCACAGGTGCCCGCCATCACATCATCTGCGCCGAAGCCGAACTCGTCCAAGGCTCGATTACATACTGTTGCTACACTTATATATATCTCACAACTCCAACACTACACCAATTTCATACTCTTGCCTTGCAGCATCCAAATCCACAAACACCCATGAACTTTATCCGATCCTTCTTCACATCCGCAGCAAGACTCAGTCCCGAAGCAAAAATGGCAAACGTCAAGGAAGTCGAGCGCATCATCAACAACAACAACGTCGGTATGTTTTTTGCCCTCCCCAGCCGGTATACCTCACCGATGGATCTAAACTAACAATATCCAACACAATAGTGGTCTTCTCCAAGACGTGGTGCCCCTACTGCAAGGCCGCCAAGGCCGCCCTCAACGAGAGCAAGGCCAACTACGAAGTCGTCGAGCTGGACAACCGAAGTATGTTGCTTTGTAACCCTCAAAACCAGCCCAATCAGAAGTCTAACATTTTTATTCGCAGACGACGGCGACGACCTCCAGGACGCCCTCCTCGAAATCTCCGGCCAGCGCTCCGTCCCCAACATCTTCTTCGCCAAGCAGCACGTCGGCGGAAACTCGGACCTGCAGGAGCTCGTCAAGAACGGCACCCTCAAGAGCCGTCTCGAGGAGGCCGGCGCATTTGCGTAAGCAAGCAGAAATGATGCAAGAAGAAACATGAGAAAGAAAAATGTTTTGAGCTGACGGCATTTACTGTTTGGCATTTGAGTAGAGAAGAGGATAGATCCAAGTTATAATAGATGAAACGAGAATGCGGCCAGCATTCAGTGGAGTTTTTCAGCGATGCTCCAGACTCGAATAGAGTAGAGTATAGAGATGTCATCTTCTCAGTTTTTTTTTTTTTTTTTGTCTCTGGTTACAAATATACAATATTTTATCCGTCACACACACTCCGCTTTGATGAATTGCTTTCTTTCTTTGACAAGTGAATGCGGCAGCGGTAACCATTCCGGCCGCTCATATAATACATAAGATGTTTCCCCCATCTTGTAACAATCAATATTGCATGGCCAATACTGCCGTCTATACAACTTGCGTTGCCACCGTTCCAATCGGCCTCTCTACAAACTCCATGACGCCCTCAATGATGCTCTCCCGTGCCGGCTCTGAAGCGACCTTGCTACCGGCGAGATAATTCAGCCACAGCAATCGCGACAGCCTCTCCTCTCCAAACGTGCCCATGACCTCTCTTTTGGGCTCATTTCCAATGTCAGGGCTGTAGAGTACCGACAACAGACCCTTTTCGTCGCGGCACAGCAGCAGCTCCTGCTTCTTCTGCACGGAGCCTCGGTTGAAGAGCGCCTTAAAGTCCCGCATGGCAACGCCAAAAGCGTCGTCGTTGTACGCCGCGTTGCGCTGCGACCGCGCGGCAATGGCCCGCACGAAGCCGTCGCGCAGGTGCGGGAAGTCGGTGTCCTTGACGGGGATGATGCGGAAGATGCTGCGGCAGCCGGCCTCTCGCAACAGCGTATCCCACGTCTCCTCGCCTTCTGCCACATCCCGGAGAGCCTTGCGCAGGGCATCCTTCTCGGCGGGTATCAGCGTCGTGGCGCTGGGGTTGATCTTCTTGACCAGATACCGCTGCAGCTTCGCAATGTCCTGTGTCGCAACGTAGAATCCCGTCATGTAGACCTGGATGCTGAGAAAGGTCACAGTACGCACGCCCAGCCCGACAAGTGTAAATTCGTCGCCCTCCTTGTCCGATATGCTCGCCGCAACGGAGTTGCTCTCTTTCGAAGTTGGCAGCTTGACGTTGATTGTTCGCGGGAATGCGGGCACCACGCTGTTCCCCGTGGGGACAATGACCCTCCCTTCCTCATCGTGCACGACTATTTTCCGCTTCTCCCCAGCTTCGGTCTTGAACGTCTCGGTGGGGATTGCCGGAGCGTCGCATTTGACTGCAATTTTCTGCTTCTGCTTCTCGCTCTGCTCTGCCAGTGCCTCCTTCAGCTTCCACGCCGTGTAGATGAAGGAGATGAGGCCAGCCGTGGCTCCGGAAGCGAGGAATATCGTGCGGTGGCGCTCGTAGTCCCGGCGCTGGGAATTGAGCTTGTTGAGATCAAAGTCTTGCGATGCGCGGGTCGAGCCTTTGCCGGAGAAGAGGTTGCGGCGGAGGCATTGCTGGCACCGCGGCGAGGACCGCAGCACCGGCCGGAGGGCTGTTGGACGGAGCATGGTGAGCAGTGGACTGTCGAATTGATCGTGTCAACAACTGACTCGATTCATTGGCAAATGAAGCTCTTGAGAAGCAGGCGTAAAGTGGCGTGATGCTGGATCTGAGGGTTTGGAATTGAACCGCCGTGCCCCACGTGATGTGACATCACTCGGGCCATAGTCGAATCCGAGGCTACCCTGCATTATGGGCGAGATTTCGCATTTACTTCTTTTGGCTCTCAAATCTAACGGAGAACGTAAATTTGGAATCCATGTTTCGTTTCCCATAAAAAGATGGGTAATGACCGTATAGCCCTTCCGTTAATGTTGCGATGGTTCAATAGCCTTTCTGCAATACACGATGTAGTTACCCAAACATATGGTTCAAGCACATTGAGAAAGTCTCTTTTCAAGAGCCACTAACATACACCACCTTTACTTTTTACACTTTATACTAATACTAATTTGACTTGCTTCAAAGATTGAGATAAAATTCTTTACGATAGCATGCCTGCATGCCAAGGCAGAAATTGGATATCATCATTCATCTCATGCACAATCATAATCTTGATCGAGGTAACTGTGGCCGAGATGGTACCAGCGTTGAACACCTGTATTAGCCCATTCAAGGCAGTAAATACAAAATACTAAGAGTTGCATGTGATGCTCATTGTTGCTAGTTTACGCAAGGCGACCAACTTAGTTGCAGGGCGATCCAACGGCTTGCATTAGGTACATCTTTATCTGGAGATAAGGATTCGAGATGGTCCTTTGTCAGATAAAGGTTGTTCTATAAAACAAACGCTTGCCTCCACAACAAAATAAGAGCTCATTATCCTGGTAACTGTAATTTTTTTTGACCATCACCATCAACGTAATGGCCAACTCCCTACAGAGACTCATGCAACCAGTACCATCATGCTTTAACAAGGCATTTTCGGACTGTGGCTAGAGCCCATCATTTTCTTTCTATCAATTCTAGTCCACATAGATATGATCCGCATCATCGATTCACCTACACTTTGCCATTTTGGCCATGAAAACCAAGCACTGCATCCGCTGAGATCGAGTTTCGACGGCCCGAGCCGCCGCCTCTTATCGATAACGCGGCCACTTAATTGGCTAGGTCATCTTTGCACGCTGATTGGCCAGCCTCCCTACCGCCAATTGCCTGGCCGCCAAAATTAATCCAAAAGATGCAAGCTGGATACAACTATTTCACTCTGTTTGTCATCCGCCATTCAACTCGCCATCCAGGCTTTGAGTTCTGCGCCACTCTTTTTTAATTCTTTTGCAAGGCAGAGTCATCCTTTCCGCCTGGCTTCTAGTTAGGAGCCATAGATTGGTTGCCGTTGCCGTTGCCGTTGCATTCATTCCTTTCTCTTTCTTTTCGTTTCCTTCTCTTTTTGTCCTTCTCCGCATTTTCAGTCAGTCGTTTTGCAATGTCCAACTTGCTCCCTGGACTTCATATGAGCAGAAAAATACCGGGCAATGCACCGATAGAAACAGTCGTGAGTTTTTATTCCGGTTATTATCAAAACACATGCGACGCCCTTCTAACTGGCTCCTTGGCAGCATTTTCGATTCGGCACTCGTCACATCACAGCCATCGGCCAGGCCGCCGACAACTACCATCCAAATGTCCGCCGCCTAAGAATCCAACCATCATTGCTCGACCGAGTTGTCAAAGCCATTCTCTACCTGTTCCCCAAATTCGCGCAAGCCTACATGCGAAGATGGTACCCCGAATGGTATCTGCCTCCGGCCATCGTCCTCAAGTCCCAGAAACCAGACTGGGAAGAAGAGTTTGACAACGAGCTGGCATCGTACCGAAGCCTACAATCACTTCAAGGAACCGTCATTCCGCGCCACTTCGGGGTCGTCCAGTTCGAAGGGGTGCGAAGCCACCTCATGGCAGACGTTGGAGGCGTGTGCATCCCATACACGATTGAGACGGCCGAAGAAGCATACACCATTGTTCGCAAGCTGATACACGAGTCGCTCTCTGCGCTTGCCTCGAGGGGCTTTGTGCAAGACGATGTGAAGCTCGACAACTTCCACGTTGTGGGAAGCAGAGTTGTCGTGGTGGATTTGGAGCGTGTGGAGAGGACCAGAAACCCGGATGAGCTGGCCAAGTTTGTTGATTCCAGCGTGCAGCTTCTGATGAAGCAATACCGAAACTACCTGGAGAATTTGAGAGTTAGATACCCTTGATGCCTGTTATACGGCGAGTGCATAGAACGGCATTGTTTTTTTTTTCTCATACAGAAGGCATATTGACGACATATCATGATATACTATATACATACATATACACGCCCGCAGAATGACGACTTTTCTTGCGGCTGCATTTTTATTTAGAACGACGTTTTGTTTCTTCAATTTGAGATTGTCAAAATTCATTTAGTACTAGATAGCTATCTCTGGAGCAAACCATTTTGAGATGATGATAGAGATTTTAATCATGACATATTATCTGGCAAATCAGACGTTGCACCGTTTTGTGAAAGGGTAAATATGAAGAAGCTCGGGCATCAATAATCGACCTGTATTACGACAGCTAGTACTCCGTAGTAGTTGCTCTACTGCACCGGAACTGCTGATGCTGGCTGCCATAGGACTCGTACTACGTCCCTCAACTCGAAATGCGTCAAGAGGCTGATTTACTAGCGATACAACATGACGTTTGGAAATTATGTGCATTTACAAAATGGCTTAAATAAAGCAGGTTCACAATGCATGCTACAAAATTGCAAAGGAGCTTGTGTTATGGAAATGGGGCTACAAAGGCACCGCGCCTGAAAAGGTGGTTAACCCCAGCAGTGAAGAGAGAGGCGAGCGTCGGGGAAGAAAAAAAATGCTGTGCAGAAAGGGCTTTTATAGGTAAGGTTGTCATCACTGAAAATGCAGCCAATGAAATTCAAGGCTTTCTTACGTGCTCTTGAATAGAAGCAAGCCTTGGGGAGCTTTAAAAATGCTGTGAAGATCCGCTGGGCAGGGATTATTGTGGCTTCCTATTGGTTGATCTTTGAGGTAAGCATCCTTGAATAGCGAATAGACGTGAGTCTCTGGGAGATTAAAAATGCTATGAAGGCGGGAGCCGCTCTTTTTGAGGGAGGCAGCCAAAATCGTGCACGTAGCCTTGAAAAGAAGTGAGGCTCGGGTGGATTTAAAAATGCTGTGAAGGAGGACCGAAGGCATGATCACTACGGGGATGCCGACAGTGGTACATGCAGGCGGCCAATTACAATGCTGTAGACCTGAACGTTCTAGGCTTCCTATTGAACGAGAGTGAGCCTTGGGGGTGTTTTAAAATGCTGTGAAGCGGTCGGCCAGACCCTCATATATATATATACTCATTAAAAATGCCCGAGCCTTGGGAAAGCTGTGAAACGCCAAACTTGGATTATCGCCATCTGGCTTAGTCTCCACACTGTGAGCACCGCAATGTCGTTTGCAAGTGCAGCTATGTTCGTAGAAGTGACAATGTCGCCTATATTATTCTCATAGATTGATTCTGGGCTATGATCTACGAGTTTGGCTACCATAATCATATACTGTGCTCATGATATTGTTGCATGTTAATAAAGTACGTATGTTCATCAATGGACATTACATTGCAATCTATGATAGCACAAGTGGTACACCCGGCTCCGACGGGCGTCAAGGCGCGATTTTGTTAGCAATGGGAAAGTAAAAGTTGGGCCTATATGTATTTATGAAATACTACTTAAATTACATCCAAGTTCAAAAATTCAGCAATGCCATATTGAAAAGGAACTAATTCCATGCAGATTCGGTGTAGAGAAGTGGTTGACATGTTGAATCCTTTAGCCTTGAATGGAAGTGACCATCGGGGCGTGTTAAAAATGCTGTGAAAAGATCCGGGAAGTCGGAACAACCCCGTCAGTTTAGCTACTGCATGCATACGTGGGCAGAGCTGCTCGCTCAACCTTTGGGAAAGACTGAGCCTTGGGAGGGCTTAAAATTGTTGTGTAATTGCCTCATTTTGAGGCCTTTTACATCGACGAATGGAGGTGGTTCCGGGAGGTTGGTTATAGATGGTGGTAAGCGTCCTGGTGCTGGAATAAATCGCCAGAGGGGCTTATATGCTGCAAATGAACCAGTCTGCCGGTAGTGATTTGTTATAAATCTTAGTAGATCACTGCTACATGAAGATAGTTGCCATCATAAACTATAGATTTTGTGTAGTATTGCGTCTAGCCTGCGTGACATCGTTTGCAAGCGTCAAGGCACAAAACGTATCAACAAGTGCTAGCAAGGATTTGTAAAGTCTGTCAAGACAAAGATGCCGTCTATGTTATGTTATGTCTTATTTCATTCAAATATTGAATATCATTGGTAAAGTTGAACGTTAGTGAACCGCGAGTGTTCATCTACGGAAATAAGCAACGGTCCATAGCAACTACCGCTCAACTCAAAAACAACCTCTTCAAGCACCTCAAATTTAGCATTGAACTTTTGTCAAAGAGCTTTGTTTCTCCAAAATTTAAAAACAAGTGATATTCATCACACCTTCCCGACGGGTATTTATTCGGCTTCCTCCACAGCACATTCAGCATTAGCACTTGTAATCTGCCGATCACGACCCAGATAGAGTCACATCGGCCCGCCCATTTTATGGAGTTTTTGGCAGCAATGGTCCAACAGCTCTCCTCTCCCCGCATCGTGCCTGTTGCTCCGCCGCTCCAATGACCTCATTTGCACTGGGCTTATGGAGCTTTACAGATTCCCCCGGAGAAACTGGAGACGACGGCATTGGTGCGCAACAGCAAGGCCCGCGCGTTGTTGTTAGCTAGACGCTGTTTTTTTTTTCTTGGTGGAGAAAACAAGCATGAAAGTAGGCATTTTAAGAAGCTTGGGCGAGAGGCTAAGCTAAATATATGTAGATGCTAAAGAAGAATGCGGTTGGACCTTCTGTCTCCTCGGCTGCCCCCCGGCCCTTACATGGAGATGCCTGCCTCCGTCTGAGCATTTGGATTGGATTGGGGATTAGTATTCCTTACAGCGTGGAAAGAGTGGGATGGTGCGAACAAGAGGTCCATATCGTGCCATTGATCCCGGGGGAAGGAAGGAATGCTGCAGATCTCAGTCGATGGCTTCTCGGGGGGTATAAAGACGGCCATGGCTGGCTCTCTCAGACACTCTCCAGCCTTTGCTGGTGCTTCCTCGGGCATAATATTTAGTCCTGGGCTCGGTGGGATTTCACAATGTTTGAGTCTCCCTCTCCAAGGCGGCTGGTGGCTGCTCTCACCGTAGCTGCCAGCTTGGTGGCCTCGGCTGGTGCAGCAAGTCGTAAGTAAAGCACCATCACAGCAACAACAGCTAGAAGCAGTAAACTTCACTTCTTTGTACGTCAGAATACTGACATTGCTTGCAATTCTTAGCCATCTCGGTCTCGGGCAGATCCTTTGCTCTCAACGGCGACAACGTCTCGTACCGCTTCCACGTCGACGACGACTCCAACGACCTCATTGGTGATCACTATGGCGGCCCAGCCACCGAAGACGGCGTCTTCCCGCCCATCATTGGCCCCATCCAAGGCTGGGTAGATCTCATCGGCCGGCAGCGTCGTGAATTCCCCGACCTGGGCCGAGGAGATTTCCGCACTCCGGCAGTGCACATCAAACAGTCGGCAGGCTACACAGTCAGCGAGTTCCAGTACAAATCACACAGCATTGTCAAGGGCAAGCCCGCGCTGCAGGGCCTGCCGTCGACGTTTGGCGATGCCGGCGATGTGTCGACGCTGGTTGTGCACATGTACGACAACTATAGCTCGGTGGCGGCGGATCTGACATACTCCATCTTCCCCAAGTACGATGCTATTGTACGCAGCGTCAACATCACCAACAATGGCAAGGGTAACATCACTATCGAGAAGCTTGCCAGTCTGAGTGTCGATCTGCCATATGAGGAATTTGACATGCTGGAGCTGAAGGGCGACTGGGCTCGTGAGGGAATGCGGGTGCGCCGCAAGGTGGACTATGGTCTCCAGGGGTAAGAAGGTATCTGACTCGTGATGAATCTTCGCGTTGGCTAACATTGGTGTTTTACTCTGTAGATTTGGAAGCACGACTGGATACTCGTCTCATTTGCACAACCCCTTCTTCTCGCTCATCACGCCCACGACGACCGAATCACAAGGCGAAGCGTGGGGCTTCTCTCTGGTGTATACAGGCTCATTCTCCGTAGAGGTTGAAAAGGGCTCTCAGGGGCTTACACGCGCTGCCATTGGCGTCAACCCCTTTCAGCTCTCTTGGCCACTTGGACCGGGCGAGACTTTTACCACCCCCGAGGCTGTTTCTGTCTTCTCAAACACTGGAGTTGGCGGAATGTCGAGAAAGTTCCACAGTCTCTATCGTCAGCACCTCATCAAGAGCAAGTTTGCGACCCAAATGCACCCCGTCCTACTCAACAGCTGGGAGGGCCTTGGATTCGATTACAACGACACTACCATTTTGCATCTGGCGCAAGAGTCTGCTGACCTCGGCGTCAAGCTGTTTGTCTTGGACGATGGCTGGTTTGGTAACAAGTATCCCCGCGTAACTGACAACGCTGGCCTCGGAGACTGGGTTGCCAATCCTAAGAGATTCCCCCAAGGGATGCCAGATTTCGTCAGCAATGTCACCAAGTTAAAGGTGGCCAACTCGTCAGACCACCTCGAGTTTGGTCTCTGGTTTGAGCCAGAAATGGTCAACCCGAATTCGAGCCTGTACCACGAGCACCCCGACTGGGCAATCCACGCTGGGTCGTATCCGCGGACACTGACAAGAAACCAGCTGGTCTTGAACGTGGCCCTCCCTGAAGTACAAGACTTTATCATCGAGTCGCTGTCCAACATCCTCGGCAACGCCAGCATCTCATACGTCAAGTGGGACAACAACCGCGGCATCCACGAAACCCCCTATCCAGGCCTCGACTACGCGTACATGCTAGGCCTTTACCGTGTCTTTGAGACGCTGTCATCCAAATTCCCCAACGTGCGCTGGGAAGGCTGTGCCTCTGGCGGAGGTCGTTTTGACCCTGGTGTCTTGCAGTACTTTCCGCACATCTGGACATCTGACGACACAGACGCAGTTGAGCGCATCGCCATACAGTTTGGCACCTCGCTGGTCTACCCACCGTCGGCCATGGGCGCTCACGTCTCTGCGGTGCCCAACGGCCAGACTGGACGCACCACGCCCATTGCTTTCCGCGCCCACGTCGCCATGATGGGAGGATCCTTTGGCTTTGAGCTCAACCCGGCCAACATGCCCGAAGACGACAAGGCCCAGATCCCCAGCATCATTGCCCTGGCCGAAAAGGTGAATCCCATTGTCGTCAAGGGCAACCAGTGGCGACTGAGCCTGCCGGAAGACTCCAACTGGCCGGCGGCGCTGTTTATCTCGGACGACGGCAGCGAGGCGGTGCTGTTCTATTTCCAGATCAAGGCGAATATCAACAATGCCTGGCCGGTGCTGCGGCTGCAGGGACTGGATGCGTCTGCGTCGTACAAGATTGATGGCAACCAGACGTTTTCGGGGGCGACGCTGATGAATATCGGGCTGCAGTACCAGTTTAATGGCGACTATGACAGCAAGGTGGTGTTTTTGGAGAAGCAGAAGTAGTGCGATGCTTGACCTGCCAAGAGGAATTAATACATGTAGTTGGTAGCGTTAGTAATATCATTTACCTTTATTGTTACTTGATATTGTAAAAGTTGAATATTCTCGGTGACAAGTGATGGTTATCTGTATTCCCAAAAGAATAAACATTGAAGCTAAGATTAGTCAAACCTGATTTGAGAAAATACAATCTTGAATGCAACGACATGCATCTGATAGCTAGACATCCGTGCCTGGTGATGATTTGATTCTCTAGTGAAGCGCATCTGCAATCATTCCTACGAGGTTGAGAGCCTATGGTGCTTTTTTTTAGCATGTGGCGGTACTGCAACTGGGCAGCAAAGCATGTGATGCAGCGCTGGTGCGTGTAGAGGGTACATGCCACAGTCTATTTTGGCCACGCTGCGCGAATCTCAACTCCATCCCATGTCTCAAATCGCTTAACAGTACTATTAAATGTCGCAAATACCACTCAGTGACGGGCAAGCCGTCGACAAACGTCGTGATCATGTGCATGTGCCGGTACCGTCGCCCTGTGATGCAGCTGCACGGCCATCACAAATCAGAGGCGTCACGTGCGCGCGGCGGCTACGGCCGAACCAGTGACATTGATTCAGCGTCAATCTGCCGTCACGGCAGGCAAAACAAGGTAGCGAGTACCTGGGCCAAGCGCGGGGACGGGGGCCGCTAGCGGGCAGAGGACGCTATTTCCTGCCAGGTATCGGGGGTGGAGGTACTTGCAGTACTTGCACAGGCGGCAGCGATAGGGCGCCCGGGAGGTACCGCCCACTGCTGCTGTACACCGAGAGGAAGGATGGGATGGAGCCCAACGCTGGGCAAAGCAGGTTGCCGGCGGTGCCTTGATTATGGAGGGATGTTTGGGCGAATGAGGGGCAAGAAGGACATGAAGAGGCTCTGCATTTTGATTGTAGCGAGCCGTGAGCCCTGTTTGGTGCTACATTGGCCCAGGTTCCGTCTCATCTTTTGCCTTATTAATCCGTCTCCCAGGTGTTTGCTTCACTGCTTGCGGACCCAAAACGTCAGTGCACCACAGCGCCCTCGACCGCTGCAGCAGCGCTAGCGCCCCTGGCGCACCACTTACAGCGCCTTTGTAGCGCCCCAAGGCCCCAATCTCCAGCCCCCACGCGGACCGTCTTGATCTCCGCTTGGGCTGGACGTGAGTCTTCTGCCGCCTTCGACTGCTGACCCAGCCATCACCAGCCTCAACTGGCAGACCAACCAAGACTCTCCAAGCCCGGCCAGCAGCAGCAGCGGCCACCCAGACGTGCAGCTGCGCTCCGCCCTTCCAGCGCCCTTTTGCTTCTTTTTCTGCGGTCCGGCACGTTTCGTGACTTGATTTGATTCGACCCCCCCTGGAGCGCCGTCAACGCAGCAGCGTCCTTGCGGCAGACACTCTCTCGCTCAGCCCGAGCTGAGCTGGACGACGCACCAAACACAACGCCCCGGCCGACGTCATCCAGCGCTTCCCAGACGCTCTCCCTCGCCGTGTGCTGGGCTCCTCGCTACGGCCGGTGAGACATTCGGACGCACAGCCTGAAGTCGGTGTGTCTGGGCTCTGTCCCTTTGGTGCTCGCACAGCAAAGCCTAAATACGGCCTTGAGCCTTGCGACGACCAGACAACCCCCCCCTTTAGCCAGGGCTCCTCCTTCACCCGTTCTGCTTCGCCCTCACCATCGCGACGGCCCCTTTCGTTCTTCTGCTTCGGTTTCGTCCATCGCCAGCACCCGCCCGAGACCGCGGCCGATCGACTCTGCGGACGCAACTCGTTCCTCTTCCTCTCGACATCGTCATCACAGGCAGCACGGCAGACCCTCCCTTGCCGCGGTTGCATGTACCCGACGTGTTGTGAATCCTCTTTTCCCGCACAATCCGAACCTCGACTCGGCAGGCACGCGGCTGTTTGCTGCTGAGCCCGTCAAGAGATAGAAACCAGCCATGGCTACCTTGGAACCCGGTGCCGGCTCGGGCAGAGAGGACTCTCGCTCCTCGTCGTCCACAAACTCGCCCGCCCCGGCCGACAATGAAGAGTCCGACTTCTTCCTGGTGACCAACGACTCCCAGTCCTCCCTTGGCGTGCCCAACTTCCAGGACATGCAGGTCGACGACACCTGCTGGCCACCCATCAACAGGCTGCCCAACGAGATCCTCATCGGCGTCTTCTCCAAGCTGGGCTCGACCTCGGACCTGTACCACTGCATGCTCGTCTCCAAGCGATGGGCCAGAAACGCCGTCGACCTGCTATGGCACCGGCCCGCGTGCTCCAACTGGGGGAACCACCGCAGCATCTGCCAGACGCTGGGCCTGGAGCAGCCCTACTTCCATTACCGCGACTTCATCAAGCGGCTTAACCTCGCCGCCCTCGCTGATAAGGTCAACGATGGCAGCGTCATGCCTCTCGCCGTCTGCTCCAGGGTCGAGCGCCTGACGCTGACCAACTGTCGAAACCTGACCGACACGGGCTTGATTGCTCTGGTCGAGAACAGCTCGTCCTTGCTGGCCCTGGACATATCCAACGACAAGCACATTACTGAGGAATCCATCAAGGCCATCGCCAGCCACTGCAAGCGTCTTCAGGGCCTCAACATCTCGGGCTGCGACAACATCTCCAACGACAGCCTGCTTACGCTGGCACAGAACTGCAAGTATATCAAGAGGGTGCGTTTTTTTTTTCCCCCATAGACACATGCATCAAATCGTTCCACTTCCCGCTTAAATCCTCTCCATGCCGTTCATTATACCTTGCATGGCATACTAATTCTTTCCCTGTAGCTTAAACTAAACGAATGCATCCAAATCCGCGACAATGCCGTGCTTGCCTTTGCCGACAACTGCAGAAATATCCTTGAAATCGATCTTCACCAGTGCGTCCAGATCGGAAACGGCCCCATCACGGCCCTCATGTCCAAGGGACACAGCCTTCGCGAGCTGAGACTCGCCAACTGCGAACTGATTGGCGACGACGCCTTTCTCTCCCTACCGCCGACTCAGCTCTACGAGCACCTGCGGATTCTCGACCTGACCTCGTGCAGCCGCCTCACTGACGCAGCGGTTGCCAAAATTATCGATGCGGCGCCTCGGCTGCGAAACCTGTTGCTCTCCAAGTGCCGGAACATCACAGACGCTGCCATCCACTCCATCTCCAAGCTGGGCAAGAACCTTCACTACGTCCATCTGGGCCACTGCAGCCTCATCACCGATGATGGAGTCAAGCGTCTGGTAACCCACTGCAACCGCATCCGCTACATCGACCTGGGCTGCTGCACGCTCCTCACCGATGCGTCGGTCAAGTGCCTGGCCGGCCTCCCCAAGCTGAAGCGCATAGGCCTGGTAAAATGTAGCATTATTACAGACGCCTCTGTCCTTGCGCTTGCCGAGGCAGCTCATCGCCCTCGGGTCAGGAGGGATGCCAATGGAATGTTTGCTGGCGGCGAATATTTCTCTCCAAGCTTGGAGCGGGTGCATCTCAGCTACTGTATTAACTTGACTCTCACTGTACGTTTGTTTTCCCCCTCCCTCTCTCGACCTTCCAAGCAGGTTTTGTATTGTTAAGCTAACGCAAGAGATGTAGAGCATCATAAGACTCCTCAACTCGTGCCCACGTCTCACCCATCTCAGCTTGACTGGCGTGGCAGCCTTCCAACGAGACGAGTTCCAGCCGTTTTGCAGAACAGCACCACCAGGTTAGCTTCCTCTTGCCCTATTCGCACTGCCAAACAACAGTGTGCTGACTTTGATCCAGAGTTTACACAGCACCAGCGGGACGTCTTCTGTGTCTTTTCCGGCAACATGGTATCCAAGTTCCGCGACTTCTTAAACACTTCACCGCAGTACGAAGCTCTCCGAGAGAGCCTCTATCCGAGATATGCTAGCCACATCAGAGCATTCACTGCGCGTCGAGGTGGTGTATACCCTACTACTGTGCCGACTCCGGATGGCGAGAACTTTGATGACGAAATGAATTTCGAGGACAACGACTTCGAGGGCCTAGATACCAGTGAAATGGTTGTAGATACCCAGCAGAACCTGCCTTTCCACGTGCAACATCCTGGATCCTTTCCAGCCATGCAACCAACGGTGCCCCCGATGCCCGGCGTGCCCCATACGTTAGAACCACCAACCGCCACCTCGTCGACGAGTTTCCTCGCCAGCATGCTTACCCGCCCGTTCCCGCCAAGTCGAAGGGCAGAAATGGAGCTACTACTCGCAGAAAACGATGATTTTGCACCGCCCCGGACATTTGGGTTTGGCAACCCTGCAAACGGCATGGCATCTGGTTCTCAAAGTGCCAATGCCCAGCACGCCAGCGTTGCAGGCCTATCACAACCCTCAGTCTCTCAGCAGAGCAACTTACCCGCTGTAGGCCCCTCAGCAGGTGCCAGTACCGTCACCATGCACCAGCCAACGAGGCCGCCACCAGATGAACAGCAAGGCGGGGCAAATTGATTTTCTCTTGGAGTATCTACTGAAACAGTTTTGCGATTCGCCATGGCCTTGAAATCATTGGTTTATAGGTACAGCAGATAGAAGGGGATGAGAACATGGTGGCATTGGTACCCCCACAAACCAAGGGAGCACTTGCACCGCTCTGAACCCCTGAGATTTGAAGCTTCTCTATTCGCAACATACCCCCTTTTTTTTCAACAATGCATGGGAATAGTATTCTACTTTACAGCGCAGCCACGGAGTTTCTTAGTGTTTGGCGTGCATGATGATAGCATGGGTTACGTGGTGCAAAATCGGTCTTGGTTCGGAATTTCATTTTATTATCAAGCTGTGATGCGCGCTTTCAGACAGGAAGCTCCATCACAAACAAATACACACGCATGGCGCCACTTCAAGTCAGCTACAAGAGCTGCTGTAAGGCCAAGTTGTTGCGATTTGATGAGCTATCCTGCTGGAAATAGCGGGCATCGCGGCAATATTGGCTCTGACGCAAGAGGCAAATGGAGGATCTTTTATTTCATGTTTTAAGAGGATTATTATTTTGGGAAGGGTAACACTGATACTGACTCGGCTACGTCGTGTGTATGATGAAGAGAGAGAAGGAAGAAGATTTGTGTAGACTAAACTAACGACGAAGGCTGTTGTGAGTGTCGGGAATGAGAATTTACGTTGTCATGCTCCGTTTTCACTTGTCTGCCTCTCTCTCTCTCTCTCTCTCTTTCATCACTGTATCATGGAATTGGATGGATAAGGATGAATTTGGAATGATGGGATTATAAGGTACATGCATAGGAATGAAATGAAATCTGTGAAATAACGGATTCGATGGATAGTGAGAGAATGACTGGACCATATTTAGACGGGAGTGATATACACGTAGTAATGCCAATTTGATTTTGATTTCGTCTGGTTTACGGGCTGTGGTGCGTTTGAGTGTGTGTTTGAATGAGAAGTGAGTTTTACATGAGTTGGTTAATGGATGCTAAGGTTATAGGATATACAAGACTGCGATATACAATTCTTCCATCACATTGAGCTTCGCATTGAGCTTCTGGAGTGAGAGATGTTCTTCCTTTAGTCGATTGAGTTGATCTTCTGTAGCGAGAGACAAATTGTATATGTAAGTTTAATTGCAAATATACATGTCTAATTGCACATAACTAAATAGCTATAAAGTGTTGTAAAATGGTATCGATATCATGATTTTCATCCTCTGCCATATCCGTCTGTAAAAAAATAAATAATTATATACTCCATCCCATAAAACCCTATTAAATACGCAGTGTGCATAAAACCGTTCCTTTTTTTCAACTTCAAACCATCCCCACGGGCATCTTCTCCGCAGAATGCTTCTCCGCCGTGCTCGAGCTACTGCTCATCACAGCCGGCGTGTCCGCCAGGGGCGTCTCGCCGTCCAGGACGTGCCGCCGCATCTCGACGTAGTCGTAGGCGAACTCGCCGAGCTGGCAGTCGTCGACGCCGACGTCCTCGTCCTCGACGGTGACGCGCAGGGACAGGCCGGGAATGAGGTTCATGAGGAAGAGGATGATGCAGGAGAGGGTGAAGGAGTAGCCGAAGATGGCGCAGACGCCGGCGAGCTGGTTGCCGAGCTGGACCCAGTGGCCGTTGACCCAGCCGATGGGGCCGAAGGTGGAGCCGTCGAGGTTGGCGATGGAGGAGCTGGAGAGGACAAGTTAGCAATGGATTTTTCACTCCTTCTTCTTGTACGAATGACTTACGTTCCAAAGATGCCGGTCAAGATGTTGCCGACCATACCGCCGATGCCGTGGACGGCGAAAATGTCGAGGGCATCGTCAACGCCAATGAGGAACTTGAGCTTGGTAGCAAAGTTGCAGCAGATGGCGCCAACGACGCCAATGATGAAGCTGGCCCAAGGAGTAACGTAGCCAGACGCGGGAGTAATCGCCACCAGGCCAGCAATAGCCCCTGAGCAGAACCCAATCGTGCTCCATTTCCTCTCCAGACGGTAATCCAGCAGGATCCAAGTGACGCCACCGACCGAGGCAGCCAAGTTGGTCACGAAGCAGGCCATGATGGCGCGGAGGTTCATGCCCAAAGCCGAGCCGCCGTTGAAGCCGAACCAGCCCACCCAGAGGAAGACGGTGCCGACGACGACGTTTGTGACGCTGTGCGGGCGGTAAGGCAGGCCGCGGTTCTTGTTGTAGCCGGTGCGCTTGCCCAGCATGATGCTGTAGGCGAGGGCGCAGGCGCCCGAGGACATGTGGACGGGGCCGCCGCCGGCGAAGTCGTAGTTGGGCAGCTTGGCGAGCCAGCCGTTGGCGTTCCAGGTCCAGTAAGCGATGGGGTCGTAGACGACGGTGGACCAGACGAACATGAAGACGATGGCGGGGAGCATGCGGCCGCGATCGGCGACGGCACCGATGGCGAGGGCAGGACTGGGTGTTTATGTTAGCTGCTTTTCTCCTTTTCATATCATACATATTCATTGGAGAGAGGCAAAGCCAGATGTCTTGAAAGAGAGAGTAGGGGACATTGAGAGACAACTCACGTAATAGCGGCAAACATGCCTTGGTACAGGCAAAACAAGATGTCAGGCAAGTTGGCCGAGCCATTAGGCTGAGCCAGCGTCTTCAGCAGGCCAAACTGGGTGAGATCGCCGAGAAACGCGTTTCCAGTCCGAGAAAATGTGAGCGAGTATCCCCAAAAGAACCACTGGAAGCTGATGACTCCCACAGAGACCATGGAGAGGAGGAGCAGCGAGAGGGCCGACTTGCGACGGGCGAGGCCGCTGTAGTAGAAGCCCACGCCGGGGATCATGAGAAGCACGAGGGCGGAGCTGATGGCGATCCATGTCATGTGGCCAGTCTATATTCATGACAACTCTGTTAGTAGTTGGTTTGATAGATTGTTGTTGTTCAGGTATCAGAGGATGAGAACGTACGTCGAAGAAGATGTTGAGGTCGCTGACTCCGGTCGAGTGGCCGGAGTCTGCCTTCCCTACTGTGCCGTTATAAGGAACGACTGACGCCATGGCGATGCTTTGTTTGTTCCAGTCCGATCGTCTCAATAGTGTTGTCTACCGTCGTTCTCCTTTGGTGCTTGACCGTTTCTGAATTCGCTGTACTCCCAGTGTCGACCACGACCAGGAGAAAGGACGAGGAAGAATTATGACAGCAAGGGAGGAAAGACAGCTGAGATAAGGGGATGGGATGATTTATGTTTCCCCAAGCCGTACTCTGTAGGCTCAAGGCACATGCCCAATCCATCAGCTCTGCACAGGGTCCTGCGGCCCCCCGACTTATTCCGCATAGGTCTCAGCTCGGATAGATTAAAGTTGTATCACTTTGATGCGTAGCAGCCCATCAAGATCCAACGGCGTCCCATCCCACGCCCTGTAGCATAAAGGGCTGCGAAGCACTAGCTCCCCGATGCCCAATAGTCTCCCACATCAGAAAAGGTACGGCCTGGAATCGGGCTGCGAGTTGCGCCTCTCACACGAGCTTATCGCCCGCGAAATGCATGGCAACTTATTGGTGCGGCATCTCTCAGTAGTGTCCGGGGTTGAAGCCACATAGATAAGTGACACGGCTCCCACAGGTTGTCCATGCTGTCGGTGCCATGTTAGGTCGATGCTTATCTTGGACGCTTATCTCTGTGTATCAAGGGCAGGTTTGGTTGGAGTAGGTGAAAGAGTACTAGCTGATGACGGACCAGTTTCCCCATTCAACTGTCTGTAAGGATGGGGAAGCCCAATGACCCGAGGATGAATCCTTTCCTCCGTGTCCATGTCTCTTTAGGACACACAAGCACTGCTCTCGTATAGTACGCAAAGTATAAGTTGCCGTGAGGAAGAGCGTGTCTTTGCCTCTGAGATACTGCCCGCTCGTCGATCGGTCAGATCGGCTGAAAGGTACGCGTACCAGTGGATGAGTCGTGTCTCATCTTGAGAGTCTATCCCGTTGTACCATGAAGACGGTAGTACGAGTATAGATGCACGAACCTGCAGTGCGATGTCGCATTGCTAAACCACTCCATAAAACATCATGAACTTCAGCATGGAGTACGGCTCCACCCGAATACCAGGTAACGCGGGCTACCGCAAAAGGAGGTGCAGAGCAGCATCTCATGCCAGATCTGAGCCACACCCAAAAGAGAGACATGGAAACGCCCCCATAACAGGCAGCCGATAATGAATGCGCATCTCATCGATCAAGAGCAGATAATCAAAAGGCTTTACGCAAAGCCATTTGTGCTTATCCGCCGTTGTCTTACACACCACATGGTTCTTATCAGTGGCATCAGTCTCCAAGCCTCTGGTGTTGGCAGCCACGGCCTCTATTCCCGGTCTGGCGTAGACGCTCACTTAGACGCATGGCACCCCAGCCAGATAATGCCCACGACGCCGCCATCCGGGGTAGTTGATTGGGCGACGTTCCTTATCTCTTGGAGTGGCGCTTGTGGGGGGCGCACTTCTGGTCCTAGCGCGATGAAGCTGTGCCTGATGGCTCTCAGCTTGATGCCTCGATATCCAAGGCTCCCCGTGTTTTCCGGGTAGGCCAGATGCTGCTCGGCATGGATACGGAGCTGTTGGCCGTTTGAATAAGATGAGTAGCCTTGGCCGTTGTGGATGAGTAGTGAGTTTGTAAATGTATAATTCGCTCACGTAGGTGACAGCTGAGTCGAGTAAAGAATTAACTTTGCTTTCACATGCGTCTGTTTGTCAACCGTCCCCGATTCTCGGACCTGCAGCTGTGGCCCATCCATCCGAACAAGCAATATCAACGGGTTCCAGATTGCATCAAACACAGAACAGCGACGTTGCGGATACACGAAAGACACGGCTTCAAATTGGTATATTCGATCACGCAAGTGCGAAAAGAAAAGTGTCGACTAGATGCAAACGGTCGCTTGGTGACATGAATTTGACCGATTCCCAGCAGCTTGAACTTTGCTGAGATCCGGCTATTCCACCTCTGCTCGAGACTCGCTATGCTGATGTGATAGCACACATGATGAAACAGGGATCCCTTGATCTGTTTCTCAATAAACTCTGGCCAAACTTTTGTCTGGCGGCGTGTCTATCGTGCCGGGTGGTTGCTCTACAACGAGCGCTGCCAAGCCTCTATCTGGCAGACATATCCTCGGGATGCAATCACCGTAGAGAGTCAAGTTCCGTTGTTTGCTGGGCATGGCGTCTATGAACGCCACTCATGGTTCTACGTTCCTGCCGAGCCTCCCTGAACCTCGTTTCTCCATTGCTTCTCCAGTTCTATGAGGCACTTTGCAACATCCCAAGGAGTGTCTTCCTCCAACGTTGTCCGGGTTTCGCGTGAAATCTTCTTGAGTACATAGCGACTCACCGTAGCCGCATCTCGTTCCTCGGGCCGGCCAATGCCAACGGCAATGCGAGCAAAGACCGAGTCCGGATACTTTTTCGGTGAGAGAGATGACCTAACGCTCTTGATGCCGTTGTGGCCCCGAGGGCTGCGGTCCCAGGGAATAAGCTTGACAACCCCCATATCCTTTTCCAATTCGTCGTGAACAATCACCAGACCGAGTGACTCTGCGCCGTACTTCTTGATTGTATCCTGCCACACGCTGGCCACAAAGCTTCCCGACACATTCATATAAGTTGGAGACTGCACGAGAATGTACTTTGGCCCCTGAGACACCAGATATGACTGTCGGCCAAGCGTCACCTCGCGGAACGACGGCTGCTGAAGAGCTTTTGTGAGGCCATTGAGGACGAAATGGCCGGCTGAGTGCAGGCTCTCGTACTTAGGCAGTGGATTCCCCAGGCTGATGACGAGGAACCGAGGGTTGAACATGCTTCTCCCGCACAACCAGAAACTCCAAAAAGCCACTCCAATTCCGTCCGGCTTGTAACTCAATCGAATTGGCCGGCTTCGACGGATTTGGAAGAAAAATCGGCGTTGGCGTAGAAGCCGGGCTCACGTGAGAGCGGCGGCTTGCAGGTGTGGCTGAGCCGGTGGTCGCTGACGTCGATGAGCCCAATCGGGCGCAGCATGTCGTGGCTGCGCTGCCCCCGAATCGTCACTTTCTGGCTGCTCGTCGCAAACTCCTTTCTCCGTCACCAGCCGCGAACAGCTCGAAGCAGCGTCCACCAGCGAAGCAACACGCAATATCCCGATATTACCAATAGCGAAGAACGCAGCAGACATCCTCATCAGAACGAAAAACAAACAGCCACCATGTCGTGGGCGGGTACGGAGCTTGCGGATGCCCCGCTGACAGATGCGAGGGGCTGACAGTTTGCTACAGGCTTCAAGAAGAATGTGAACCGTGCGACGACGCAGGTGATGATGAAGACGGGTGAGCGCTGCTTGGGACTTGTACGTATTGCGTATTGGGCGCAAGTCTGACCTGGCATCTTTCATAGGGCATGTGGAGAAGACAAACGATCGTGACTATGAGGTCGAGGAAAGGTAAAGCTGTACAAACAAGATGTCTGCGAGACGACGATGCATGCTGACCAACGTGCAGACGGTTCAGAACAATGGAAACAGCCTCGCTTCGGCTGCAGAAGGAATCAAAAGGCTACTTGGACTCTCTGAGAGGTGCGCAGACATGAGGCTGCCCTGACCGAAGATGCCGGACCTCGGACTAATGCTAATGCTTTGTACAGCCATGACAGCTTCACAGATGAGAATTGCCGAGACGATAGATGCGTTTTACGGCGACTCGGGCGCCAAGGACGGCGTCAGCAGAAGCTACAAGCAAGCCGTGGAGGACCTCGACGCCGAGACCATCAAAGCCCTCGACGGCCCCTACCGAACGACCGTGCTCGAGCCCATTGGCCGCTTCTGCGCCTACTTCCCCGACATCAACGAAGCGATCAAGAAACGCTCCCACAAACTCCTCGACTACGATGCCCTCCGAGCAAAGGTGAAGAAGCTTGTCGAGAAGCCAGACAAGGACGCCACGAAGCTACCGCGCACGGAAAAGGAACTGGAAATGTCAAAGGCCGTGTACGAGCAGCTGAATGAGCAGCTGACCACTGAGCTGCCGCAGTTGATTGACCTGCGGGTTCCCTACCTGGACCCCAGCTTCGAGGCCCTGGTCAAGATCCAGCTGAGGTTCTGTGCGGAAGCGTACTCGCGTATGGCGCAGGTGCAGCAGTATCTTGACGCGGATACCAGAGACCAGTACGCAGAGGGGCAGCTGGACGCAAGGGTGGAGCAGGTTTTGCAGGAGATTCGGGAGCTGAGCATTAGCGGAACGGTATAATTGGATTGGCTAGGTATAAAGACATTTCAAAACAGAAAGAATTTGTGGTTTGTGGAGACGTGAATAGGAAACGAGGGGTTTGCGAATTATAAGCTGCCGGCGTATGGGTTGATTGGAACCTTGTTTATTTTATGTTAACTAGATATTGGTCGCTCAGGATGAGTCTATGGATAGACTAATGCTTGCGTGCTCGAACCGGAAGCATGCCTTTGGTATGGCGCTGTATTCCGTATAATGAGATATTCGTGTTCAAGCCCTTTTAGCATGTGCGAAGAAGCAGCTTTGAGAGAATGCCTCTGGTGTAATCTTTGTAACATTATTTCTTCCTCCTGTAATGGCTCAATTGCTAGATATGCTGGTTCCTCTCTTTCCTGCCATGTAATAACCGTACCTCGCTCAATGCCCTCTTATCGAAAAACAGTCGTCAATTTCGTGTCAGATTAATAAAAAGCTACAATGTCAAATAATTCCTTGTGCCTCAGAGACGTTCAGCTCCCCCCCGCCGCCTGTTGTCTCCCAAATAGCTCGTTAAGCGTCAGAGGACGACCAATAGCCTGCATTGCCGGACCAGCCTCTGGCCTTGGGCCCTCATCTACCACCGTCCCGGCAGCACGGGCAATCTTCCAGCTCTCTTCAATGATGGCTCCATTGGTAGCCCGAGTTCCCTCCTCGTCATTATGGATCCATAGCCCAACGACCTTCTCACCCTCTTCCCAATGGCCCTCGACCTTGAGAATCACCAGCTCCCCCATGATCTCAACATGGCCCACACTCGCCAAATCAACAATCACATTGTCAAGGCCACGACGGCTCAGAACAAAGACGCAGGCCCGAGGGCGGTGGTCGGGGTCCTCTGGCAGCGGCGTCTGCGCGCAAACAAACATGGTGCCCTCGATGCCGGACTTTTCCCAGCCTTGGCTTGCGTTGTCGAATGTGTAGACGACGGCGTTGGCGGCGATGCTCAGGATCCTGCTGATGGACGGCAGGTAGCGCTGGAGCACGGAGAGGTTGAGCTCGGTGTTTGTTCGCGGCGGCGGGGCCTCGTATCTGGATGTTGTGATGGCGGCGTCGGATTCGTAGTCGGAGATGGCGGGGATGCGGTTTGAGGGATGGCGGTTGTGCCGCGGCTTTCTGGGCGTTGGTTTACTGCTCATGATGGCTGTTGTTGTGGTTTTGTCTCTTCGGAAGTAGCTGTATGGCACTCTGCCCCGATGTGATGCGGCGTGTCTATCTTTGCGGGCAATCGAGGCTGTGTGGTTGTCGCAAGAGATTAGATATAGATTGGGTATGGAGATGGTCGAGAAGAGTTTGCTGCAAGAGCTGCTGCTTAAAGGACACTGGATATGGCGATGGGCGTATTTGCGTATGTAAAGCTGTAGATTAGAAGCTGAATGAAGATGATGATGCTGGCGGGAGCTACTAGCAGTGCTAGCACGGGCCTAGAGGGGCCGATGGCTGCTAATGATGCCTATCGATAAGAGCCTGGCAGAGGACCAGCATGACGCGAGCTCTCAGGCGACATTGTCATCCATTGTAACGATACCTCGCTCACCTTTGATTGCTGCATCGTCGGTGCCTGGCAGTTTTGGGGATTTCTTTGTCCAGCTCATACTCAGCACCGAGACCGTTGTTCTTATTCAGCCTTTTACTGTATCGGATTTGCATAATTGCTACAACTACGAATTGTACAGCTACTGTATAGCATATGCGGCCATCCTGCCTTCATTGCCTGTGTCGCAATCGCAACCACTGCCGCCGCACCATGATCTAGCAGCCAGGTGGTGGCAAGAAGATCCACGACTTTGAGAGGTAGCGCCGTCGCTTTCAACGATCTTCTTCTTCGACATCCTCCTACACAATGGAAGAGCCGCCGCGAGACCAGTCCGTCGGGTCTGAGCCGGTGGACGTCGGGGTCCCCCAGTCGCTGGCCAGAGCCGTGCTGTCTCGCCGCTCCGAATATCTTCGTCCAAGCACGGTCCGTATCAAGGTGGGCACCTGGAATGTGGCGGCCTGCACCGGAACCGACAAAGACCTCGCGAGCTGGTTCACCGAGGAATTCGAAACTGGCGAAGCCATCTCGAGGCTCGACATCTCAGGAGACGGCCCCTCAAAGCGTCCAGTCGAGTCGGACGATAAAGGTCACAAGTCAGTGGAATCGGAGAGCGGCGAGGGCTATGATCTCTATGTTCTGGGACTGCAAGAGGTGGTGGATCTCAGCCGAACCGGAGAGTACATGAGCCGGATATACGTGGACAATGGACCCATGGAGAAATGGACTGCAGCGGCGGAAGCGGCACTGCCTCCAGGCTACCAGCTGGTCGTCTCTGAGCAAATGACAGGATTGCTACTCTTGGTGTACGCTTCTCCCACGATTGCTCCCACCATCAGCAATGTGTCCACGCGGCAGGTCGGGACAGGTCTTCTTGGGTATTTTGGAAACAAAGGGGCTGTAGCAACGCGCCTTGTGCTGGGAGAAACCACAAAGCTCCTCTTTGTCAATTGCCATCTCGCTAGCGGCGCAGATACAGCATCGCTTGACAGACGGTGCTGGGATGTAGGGCAGATCATGTTCAAGACGCAGTTCGACTCGGTGGTGATTAGCGGCGTGTCTGATGACGACGGAGACAGGATTGGGGATGAAGACTATGCATTCTGGTTTGGAGACTTGAATTTCCGCCTAGACGGCCTTCCAGGAGATGACATTAGAAGGCTCCTCACGTTACATGCTCGAGGGGAGTACGACTTGAGCAACGACAAGGTCCCGGCGCCCATTGAAGGCGGCGATGGAATTATTGTCACCAGGACATCTGAAAGCGACGACGAGACAACCACAATGTCGTCGATGCATTCTCGCGACCATAGCTTTGATCAGAGTTTCGACTCTGCCAGTTCGTTGCCGGATCCAGATGACTTCCCAGATGATCCCAGCCAGGACCCGGCATCTCTTCAAGCAACCATCGATTCACTGCTGCCGCATGACCAGCTGAGGCGAGTCATTGCAAAACAGAGGCTGTTCCACGACGGCTGGAGAGAAGGACCCATCTCATTCTTACCAACCTTTAAATACGACGTCGGTACATTTGGCTTATTCGATACGAGCGAGAAGCAGAGGGCGCCCAGCTGGTGCGATCGAATCCTTTACAGGACACGCAAGGACAGAGAGGAGTACGAGAAGAAAGCAGAGGCCTTGAAAGAGGTCAAGCGGAAAGACGAAGAGATGAGGGCAAGAGGGCTTGAACAGGATGATGATGTCCTCTTTAGCTACGACCCTGACGCCGATGGAGGAACCCTGCCTCCAAAGGCCCCCACCGCTGATTACAAGGCATATGATGAATACGACGAATACGACGAAAATGATGATGGGGAAGCATTGGATGATGCCTCACAAGAGGAAATCTCTCTAGAGTTTTACAACTCGTTCCAGCGAGTCACATCTTCAGACCACAAGCCGGTTGTTTCCACATTTACACTCAACTACGACGCTGTTGACCAAGAAAAGAAGGCGCAGATTCATGCAGAGATTGCCTTTGAGCTGGACCGAGCCGAGAACGAAGGCCGGCCCGGCGTCACCCTCATCGTAGAAGGCGGTTACGGCCAGACAGACGGCGCCGTCGACTTTGGCGAAGTAGGCTTCTTCGAGACGCATTCTTGCCTCATAACCATTGCCAATACCAGCAGTGCCGCTGCCAGCTTCGAGTTCCTCAACGAGTCTCACTCTAGTGAAGATGAATCAAGTGCAGCAAAGTGGCTCAAGACGTCATTCCACCGACCCGACGATGACGGACACAAGGCCACGCTGGGATCGTCAGTGACCCTCGAACCCGGCGAGACGGTAATGGTTGTGATTGAGGCTCGAGTTTCGGAGATTTCACATGTTCGGGGGCTAAACGACGCCAGCTGCAAGCTTGATGAAGTCTTGGTGTTGCGCGTCGAGGGGGGCAAAGACCACTTTGTGCCGGTACACGGAACGTGGCTCCCGAGTTGCTTTGGAAGATCGATTGACGAGCTGATTCGAGTCCCCGATTACGGAATCAGAAAGTTTATCAAAGATAACAATATCCAAGGAACCATTACGTACGACTGGGACGTGCACTGCTCCGCGCCTCGAGAACTGTTCAAGCTTACTGAAGTTATACAAACCATGGCTGAACGATGTGTAGCGGATGAAGCGATGCTTGAGGAGCTGACCATCCCGCGGGATCCTGGCTGGCCATTGGATCCCTCCACCTGGACGATAGAAGCCGACAAACAAGACGCCCTCAAAGCAGCACTGATATCAGCCCTGGATAGCCATTCGCCTCTAGCGGACGCCTTGCCCGTGGAACTCTTGTCAACGCAAAAGCTGGAGATTTACTCTTCCGTCTTACTTTTATTCCTTGCCTCTCTCATGGATGGGCTCATCCCGCCACACCTTTGGGCTAAGCTCTCAATAGAATTGCCCAACCTTACGTCGACTCCGGTAAACGCATGGCCCGATGTGAAGAACCACATCCTGGACTCGCTTTCCACTTCCCCAAGCCACAACATTGCATTTGTCTTTCTGACGGCGACCCTTTCGCGCGTGGTTGCTGAGCTCAGTCCCGCCACCCAGCCACCAACACCTGCGCTCGGGGCACTGACGCGGCGACTGAGTTTCCGTCCCAACGAGACTGAGGCAGCTAGAACGAGAAGGATACGAGAGAGGAGATATGCCGAACTAGTGAGCCCGCTGCTGTTCCGATCGAGTGATGACAAGGACAAGGCAAAGAGGGACCGAGAGCGAGTTGTGCTGGAAATGTTTCTGAAGAGGGATGATCGGAGCTAGACGCTCAATAAAGGAGGGAGGCTAGCCCGGAAGAAGATGAGATGGCGCTGAATGCTTGGAGTGAACCTTTTTTAGAAGTTGCAAGGATATTTCTTTTCTCGATATGAATTCATGAATTCAGTAGGACGATTCACGTTATTGGCGCCTGGAGGGACAAGCTTGTTGGAGAGAAGATTATATACGACGAGTTTTGAGTTGGGGGCCTTTTTTGTGGGCTTTGGGCATGCTGCTAGCGAAATATTGGAAGTGTTTTTGGGGCTATTCTTCATGTTGATACCTTGCTGTGAAGCTGGGGAGTTTATCTATATAGATGGAGTGGCTTCGTGAGTAGTTTTTACGGGGTGAGGCTAGGAACATAGTTGGCTTCATGTTATTTCACGGCGAGGAATATTATTGGCTCCGTGTCATTTTTACAGCCCGGAACAGTAATGGCTCCAGCCTTTCATCAGCCACTGGCACAGTGGCCAAAATGGAGGCTGGCTTCTCCCCGTAATGACACGCGATTACTTTTGTGGCCTATTGGACGGTGAATGATAATGGCATGTGTGTGTCCCTGCCTTGTATCGGCTGTGTATACCCGTTGTGTTTGCTCAAGTAACATGTTGGTAGAAGTGACTGCACGATAGGGGCGGAAAGTTGGTCTACAAACGGATTCTCTCCAGCCATGTATCGGAATCAGCACACACACAGAGAGAGAGGGAGAGAAAGAAAGAGAGAGAGGAAATGCCATTGCAGAAAGTTTACCAGATGAAGAGCGGTCAGGCTGTGCTTCAACTGGCAGGCACCGCCATGACAAAACTCAACTCGTTCATCACCTCTCGCATCGTCTCTTCTTCTCTTCTTCTCTTTCACCTACTTTTATCTCTTACGCGTACTTTTGCGTTCTCTGTTTGGTCACCTCACTCGCAGATTGCCACTTGCTCTGCTATTCTCTTGGACCCATTACCAACCTTTGCTCTGGACAAGACTTCTGATATACTTTCCGCAACTTCTCCACCGAGGCTATTCGTCTTGACTAGCCCTCTCTGTGTTGCATCGGTTTTAGCTCCGCCTGATGCTCCATATTCCAGCTACTCACGATCGACCGGCGAAGCGAATACCTTTCCGGCAAACGCACAAAAGTTAAACGACGCGGCCTTTGCTAAACCGCCTTACAATAAAATACTATTTCGCCCTTGTCCTGATACATGCACAGTGCTGCCGTCGAAGAGCACTCAACAAGTACAGTTTACCTTACGCGGCGATGTTTTGCGTGGTCTACTGGTCGAGATTGATATCCTTTGGCTACAAAGTCTATTCTCTGTCGGTTTGCAAGCGGCTTGTGCCAACAATTTGTCCTTGGCATCGTTTTCTAACTCATACGCGAAAAGACTAGAACTTTCGGCGTTGCTTTTCCCTCCATGTTTCTTGTTCGCCTGCATAGCATCTCGACTACTCGATCTTGTTTGGAGAGTTCTTCAACAAGTCTCGATTTGGCTTCACCTATACTCGCTATACCAGGCAGATTGACCACGCCGATTCCTCGTTTCATTTCCTTGACGCCTGCTTTTCTTGTTTTCTGGCTGTTCAGTTGACTGGTCTTTTTCTCTTGCTGCTTAGTTGCCCAGCCTTCTGGCACTACATACCTCATCAATTTTGAGACACACTGCAAACAGTGTATTTCCAGATGGAGGAAATGAGAAGGATCTGTCGCACTGCAGCGTCATCGAGAACTCACAGGCGAGTGTATATCTGCATAATCCACCGAAGGCTCAGCTCGTATTGCGAGGTGCGGCAAATCTTTAGCGATTATGCAATACCGTCTCTTCGGGTGTATCTACTCCCAGAGATTGCTTGTCTCCTTCCAGCACCGCCAAGTGACTGGGGCTTAGATCATGACCCATTCCAACCGGTAAGCAGTGCGTATATCGAGAGTCACAAGCTGTTCTACTGACGTGCTTGGTTAGGTCGACACGGCATTCTTCCACGCGACCATGTCTCCATGGAATCGCTTATTCATTTCCCAATTTATGGATTACGCCGAAACCAAGATGCTCGCAGGCATACCACTTCCTCTAATCTTTGCCGCGCCGGCCACTAAGTATGAGGCGTGGAAGATGGATAAGGAGTACAAGGATCTTTGCAATGCCAGTGCCATCCTTGCACAGTCTGTGGAACATATAAGGTATAAGAGTTCCCTCAGAAAGCCTGCCGCTGCTCACGGACTTAAAAGGCGAGCTCAGCGCCTTCGCTCGCGCGGATTCGGAAGTGGTCTTGGAGAGGTCATTTCTGTGGACGAAGAGTGGCCCGAAGAAGGCTGGGCAAGTTCAATGTTGATGCCGGATGCCCCTTACGACACTAGACTTCGATACAAGATGAGAGACAGGCCGTTCCTCCTGGACAATGACCCCACGGATTGCTCTGGCATTATACCAAGGTCACGGGTTTCGAGAATGCTGGAACAGAATTAGTAACGCTTCTAGCACCGATCACCGGTCACCGATCACTACGAGCATACCAAGACGAACGGCTTCTATTAACTCCACGGAGATGGACGGACGTGTACACATAACAAGGAGAGCTTAACGGCGAATACTAGAGATGAACGCGATATTACGGGGTGGAATCTTTCGGAGTGATTTTGGGGTTCGCAATGGAGAATTCAACTTGCATGAGCTGGCGTAATTTTTAGATGATGGCCAAGTCAAGCTGGATATGCATTGGGGAGGAGTTGAAGGCTAGAGAGGCACAAAACAAAATATTGGCATAGAGCTTGGGAGTAAAAGACTGGGGGTTTTTTGCTATTTTTCAGTCATTATTGCTTGTGTGGAACGTGTGTTGCTTTGGTATAACCTGGATATCTACTACAAGTCTAGCAATTATCTAGGTAGCACTAATCAAAGCGACTTGGTGCTTCACTTTTGGACTTTTTTTGCCTTTAAATGCGACACTTTTTCAAGATGATTGCGGATGAGGTTTTTTCTTGCACGGCCACGGCCATACCACTGCCAAGCCACGCTTTGTAGGTAGCTGAAAGTGAAACAAATTACATCATCAATTATATCACTTGACACATACATATAAAAAGAAAAGTAAAAAACATCGAGCCAACAAACAAAAAAGCCTTGAATGCTTGGCAGCCACCAATTTCCATCACTCGATAGTCTATAGTAGTTGGTTTCCAATAGTGCTAAAAAAACTCGGGGTCCATGCGTTAGCTTCCGAGCCGAGACGGACGGGCTGAATCGCGCCGCTGGGCCTTCCCGTCTTTTGCCGCGTCGTTTTTTTATGCGCTAATACTAGTTTGAGAGGAAGGCCCCCCCCCGATTTATATTCTCAGGGGTTGGTTCTGTTTGTTTTTTTTTTGCTTTTTTCAAACATGAATGTTTAGTAAACACTTGGTGCTTTGCCTAGGTAGTAGCTACTGGGGGGGGGTTTAGCTATTCTATATGGAGTATTTCGCGGCAGCATTCAGGGTTTTCTTTTTTAATCTTAATTTGCTCTGCTGCTGATGACAGCGGTTCGTTGCGGGGCTCTGGCGTGGGAAGAAAATGTATGGAGTATGGAGTCGTATAATACGTGTTAACGGTGTTGGCCATGCATGACGTACTGGCTTGTTGCTCTTTCAGGGCAAGCCGAGTCGATGCCCTTTTTTAAGACATGATTGGGGAAGCTAAAATTGGGCATGAGCTGCGGGAGGCGGAAGGTGGAGTTTTTTTTTTTAATCTCGCTTTTTTTTTTTTTGTGGCTTTATAAATGAGTGGAAATGAAAGTGGTAAACTGTTTAGTGAGTTTCATGGGAAGGAAAAAAAAAAAGACGAGATAAAGCAGGGAGGTACACCTAGGTTAAGACATTAGCGGCAATATCATGTTGGTCCTCGAGCAAACACATCGTCCTCGGCGCTTATCCCTTGATACGTGTCAGCCCAACCGCACCCAACACACGTACAAAATCCGCTTACACCAAGACGATGATTTTCCAAGTAGATGGCCGTCATCTTTGTCTACATGCGGGCTCCAAGTCGAGACATCCGGCACAAGTACCGGCATGGTACTAGTGGTATTACTTACTTTATTTGACTCCTTATTCTTGCTGACCTGCATGCGATGTGACACGACAAACAGGGCAGACAGCAGAGCAAAAAGCAAGGATTGCGGGCGTGCCAACACCCATTCTGAGCTACGCATGTGCGGATGCATGTCTATATATTGATTAGGACGATCAGACAAAAGGCTGTATCCCTGCTTTGTAAAGAATGTCCATGGCATACGTAAAAACAAGACGACAAGACTGTGCTCAATGAGCACTGACTAATGAAATTTGAAAGGAGAGCCTCCAAACTAGGCACACGTTACAGCATGATATCCAATAATGAAAACCCCATCGTCAATTTAAAAGAGTGAATTATTACTAGCACTAGTGGCGTTTAACAAAAAGAGTGATTACCTGTACCTTTATATCCCTGTTCCATCAAATCCGTCGCTTTTCTCCGAAATACCCAATCGCTGTGTTCACCATGCAAAGCAACCCATCTGTTTGGATATGATGTCACCTATGCCAGTCCGGATGCTCTAAAATGGGGATACCGGCTCTGTCTGATACGTTGGATGTGCCCCCCAATTGCCTTCAAACAGTTGCGCAATCCAATAGTGGGAATGGTCCCAATCATAATGGCTCTGGCGCCCTTGATACGATCTGCCCTCGATTACTTTCGGAGTTGGACTTTCCACTGCAATGAAACGGGTAAGCAATACTGAAACTCGCTACTCACGGTGCTGTCAAATCTTACCACGTCCGTTATTCTCCTTGTACATTTTCCATGTACCCAATTGTCTCTGTGTTTGAGCATCATCGTAGGCATCCAACACAAGCGCGTGTTGGTCCGAAGTCAGGTGAGCCAGACTAGTTTTATGTCTGTCGGGATGACCAATGAACTCTGTCCATCCGTCGGTGTTGTAGTAATGCCAATGCTGAAGGAGATTGTTGCAACCATCTTGCAGTTGCTCTACAAACTCGGGGATCGAATAACGAAGCTGAAACGAGGCAAAGTCAATAAACATGGCGCGGGGCTTGCATGGATTTATTTCACTTACACTAGAGCTGAAATTGTTTCGCGCGTGGCGATAGCGATCTTCAGTCAACCAGCTTGCTTCGCGCAAAAGAATAAACAAGCAAAGGAAGACCGTGTACCACATCGTCGTCGAGCCTCGTGACATGAAGCCTTCGAGTTCGCTAAGAACTTTCTTTCCATACTTGTGCAGAAGATGGGTGTTGATGCTGTCAAACTGAGCAAGTATCATGCGTGGCACCGATACTTTTCCAAACAATGGATAGGATTCATCTCTCGTCTCGGGCTTCATCTCCAATAATTCCTCGCCGCAGATCCACGAGGACCCAGTCGAGTGACCTGGCAGCTTTTGTCAGCCTAAATTGCATCTATCCATCCGAATTGTGCACACAACTTACGCATGGCAAACCAGAAATGGAATAAAACCTTGAGGAAGTCTCTTTCCTTCTCCTCAGTCAATGTGAGGAAAGGTTTAGCCTAAGGTCGGCCTGTTATTCAACTGAGTCAATCACGAGCGGATCTGAAGTCACTTACCGTCAAGTCTTCATAGTATTCTATGGCTGCTTTGTATGTCGTCTCGACCATGTTTCGTGGAGCTCTCTCCCCACCGGCTCTCTCTCGTCTCAAAGTTTCGACTGCATGTTCTTCAATATATTCCTTGTAGTACGCCGCGGTTTTATGAATATCGGCCAGACAAAAAGGCGCCAAGTCTTTCCTCTTTCGCACTCCATGCTCACCACCAGGGACCGTCCAGAATCGCGCAAGTACATCGCCAACGCGGGGACGGAATTCGGTGACATTCACGATGATGGGATGTCTGGATATGCCCAGAGTGAAAGAGATGGTGCGAATGCTCCTTGGGCTGACCCGGTCTCCTACGTCCTTCATCTCTGTGCCTCTCCAGCGGTTAGTAAGCTGAAGCCCACCGCTGCGGTACAAGACGGCGTCTGTGATCTTGCCGCGATAACATGGCATTCGGTGGATCGTCTTTTTCGACGTCTTGGAGTAGTTTCTGCACCCTACGCAATCTCCCAACAGGTCCGTTGAGTCAGGCTCACACTACCGCACAACATTAGCTGCCAAGAACAAACCAATTGGCCCGGGTTTATGAAACGAAAACGTGGCTCACCTTCATCTTTTGCATCCGGCATCGAACACATGCCTTGACTTTCTTGACCTCATTTGGGTTGGAAGAGCCAAGGAGACTTCGCCTTGATGGCGGACCCGAAGTGATCTGAGATCTTGTCCGCTTAAGAGAGGGCACTGGTTCTACAATTGCTTCCGGCGAACTGCCATTGGCATCCGCATCAATGTCCGTATTATCAAGCTCTTCCGAATCATCTGACATATACCGATGATGATGCGCAGGCTCAGCACGGCCATGTTGGCGAGGTTCGTCATGAGGACTCATCGTCGGCAGCCAGTTATGGTTTTGAATAGCTCCATTTAGCATGTCTCCAAATCCCGTAAAGGGTGGAGAAATAACTCCGGGCGCTTGACTATAGTACTCATTTATACCGGTTTGACGAGAGTCACGGGGGTCATACTGTCCTCCTCCCATGTCGGGGTTATTGAAGTGAGCCGCGTATGCAAGGTTTGTATCTTGGACTTGTTGAGTGAGAGGGTGGCTCTGTTGTGGTGCCTGGAGTGATAGGATGGGTGAGTGGCTAATCCAATTGATGAAGACTTGAGAGGGAAACAGGTGATGAGTCTGGAAAGGGCCAATTTCTTGCTCTTGAAATATGGAGGTGCAGTAGAAGGTAGTACAAGGCGGACGACTATATCCAAGGGGGGAGGGCATGGGACATAGATCTTGACTCACGGTATAAACAGAAGGATGTGGATAATGCTGGATTACACCAGGGTTGGTAGAACCAATTGGTGGCACCCCTTGAAAGTTATACGGATGCTGGGAACGAGGCCGGGCAATGTCGAAGTCACCGGGCTGGCCAGTGGCATGAAATTGCTGAGAAGGAAATGCATTCAGCGCCTCTGTGGAGGGAGGACCTTGGATCGGCATGGTGCTGTCGCCATAGTAAAACCTATTATCAGACCCAAGGGAGTACGGCGGGCAAGGGCCACCGTTTGTGTTACCTACATACGGCTGCGGCTGATATGCATTATAGGCCTGGGGATCAGGTGGCAGACCATTCAGAGGCAATTGTCCAGGGGCGGCCACTGGCACACGCGTTGTTTCGGTGACGCCAGCAGAGTTTGGTGACGAAGAGAGCATGTAAGCCGCATCTATCGGATAGAGCTGAATACTAGAAGGCTGTACGCCATGAGTCGCTGGACTGACTCCATAGGACCAGGAATAGGCAGCCGGGGTCGTATCATTGGAGGCCACACTATTGTTGCTTGTTCTTCTGCGCTTTGGCCGATGGCCGCTTGCCGGGGAGGACTATTCAGGAAACCGGTCAAAACTCAATGTCTTTCTCTTCAGGCTGTCTTGGCCGGTCGAGCATCAACCCCCGGCTCAGTAGGATGAGGGGGCTGGCAAGCTGCAACAGCGATAAGACAGGCAGCGCACCGCCCATCTCACCCGTCATATATACACAGCTGGGAGTAGACGAATACAAGTGGACGAAGGGGGTAGCATTTGGGGGGTGCGAGACTTTGGGTTAAGACAAGGAAATAAAGTAAAACGATGAATCAAGGAAAGGAAAGAATCTCCCGCGTATAAGAAAGCAGCACAACGTGAACGAGAAGCGAGTAGGGCGACAGAACCACAGCGAGTCAGAGTCAAGCGACTCATTCATTCGTGCAATGCATGCCGCCCGCCTGCACAAATCGTACCAGAGATGGGGAGGGACGTCACACTTACGGGGATGCTGGGAGAGCGTAACACAACAGTTGCCTCCATGGTTGCTGCGGCGCAACGCTGCCAGGCCACAGGAGGGTGTGTTGCACAGCTTGATGATTGAGACCGGCCAAAAGAGCCAGGACAAGCAGATTTCTGCCGCGCAATAGGGGAGCCAGCACGAAGCCGGGACGGGGCACAGAGTTTCCACCAGAGAGGAGCCCCAGGAGCGCTTCCGAGGGGACGCAGAAGCAGGAGAGCGGGCAGCGTGGGACTGGCCGCTGCTGCGTCTGTTCAACGGGGGTGATGTGCGCTGGTCGTATCGTATCACATCAAACGAAATGGCCTGACGGGAGGCAGAGCTCGAGAGGCACCGCCCAAAGGAGGAGCTGAGCAGAGATGAGATGGGTGGGAAAGGAAACCGGGGGATTGACAGCTCTGTGATCGCAGGGGGCCGTATTTGTACAAGTACTCGTCGCACACGAAAGGATGCGCTCGATGGCGACGCCTCCCATACCGGTCTATCGGGACGTAGCCTTCTCGATCAGGGAACGGCGTCGGGCGCCCTGCAGCAGACGGCGGTACATTGGCGTCCGCGGCGCTGGCGAGGAGCATGAGGTATCGACGAGGTATCGGCGAGGTGTCGGCCAGGGGATCGTCTGGGGTCTGTCTCGCGGCGGCCGAGCTGGAGGAGCGGCTGAGCAGCGCTGGATTTGCTTCTTCTCAGCTCTTGCGGCGCGCCCGCATCGCCGCCCGCTATAATTCCCCCCATCACGGCGGCTGGCGGCTGGCTGCCAATCTGAAAAAGGCCTCAAACGCAAGGGGACCCGAGACTAGCAGCGCGGCCGGGACGGTTGCAGTTCGTTTCTTTTTGGAGGTGGCCGGCCATTCTGGGTCTGGTGGAGGAGGCCTGGCAGGGCAGGACTGGAGTCTCTGGAGTCTCTGGAGCCGTGGCTGGGGCCTGGATCTGGCACGACATGGATTCGCAGAGACTGGATTGACATGGATTGGTTTGGACTGGAGTTTGACAAGCTTGAAGCGTGTCCAGGTCGAGATACAGTTGAGTGCTACCTATCGGAATGAGTGCCGGTCCGATCCTCTGAGCTTGCATCGCTGACAAGGCAGGAGCTGGATACCTGGATGGGGCACGCAAACGCAGCACTTTGCCAAGTAGCTTTTCTTTCTGCCCGAGGTATCAACTTCAACAGCCTGGAGCAGAGAACTACACGGAGATGGCTTCAGCTCTGTCTGCCAATGTCTCGCCGGCAGAGACAAATGCGGCCACACGCCGATCGCCGCCTCCCATCCTGCCGCTCCTCCGCCGCCTGCAGTTGCTCACGCTCTCGAATCAAGGCAGACGCCCGTATGCAGTAGCACTCCGACGATATTGCTGCCACCGCCGTCATCATCACCTCCGACAGCTGTAGTGGCAGCACCAGCAGCAGCACCAGCAGCAGCAATATAGCAGCAGCCAGCCACAAAGCTCTGCCTGCAAATCGGAGCAAACTGCATCAGCCTCTCTTCCACACCGGGCTGCGCTACCGTGCCCTGCCACTCGTCGGATGTGATAGAAGCAACCTCCAGTACGCCATGTGTACGAGGCCAGTCCAGACCTCCACACCCTGGTTGGCTGTCCTGATGGGGGCCATCATGCAGCAAACACCTTGCCAGGCCGTTAATCTTCCAATGGCGGCTACAAGCTCCAACTCCAGAATCCACTTTCTCGCTCGTCACAGCCAAGGGTCCAATCACAGACTGCGGCCCCCCAGCACGAGACCCAAGCCTTGCTGATGTTCACACTGATGGGTCTCACCGGTCGAGGTTCGAAGCCCCGTCCCTGTCACTTTTATGCACCTCTGAGTGGCCGGCATCGACATGGGAGGAGGGGAGCCAAGATACTTGCAAAGTACGAGTGCGTATGGTATGGCACCCGTATAGCCTGGTACTGCTTGAGATGCTCCACCCCAAGGGATCCCGAGTTGCGATGATATGAGCTGAAAATTTGACAATTTAAACGGCTTTGATCGATACTTGCTGCAACTGGACGACGTGTCGGAAATTATGCTCACTACTCAGTTTCTCTCAGCTCTCTTCCCGCCTGTGGCTGTACAGCTGTGCCGGCGCGGGTCTTCCAACACGCTGTTGCCATGTCGATGAGGCATGACATGCCGCAAACCGGGTATCATCACGTACATACTCTAAGCATGCTTACAGCCAACAAGCTTTATTGCACGTGCTACAACTTATATCTTTCGTATTTCGTAGCAGTCGTCTTTCTGCTCTGGTGAATCATCTTTCAGAACAAAAGAGACGCGAGTGAAGAGGAAAAGGAGCATCATATGAGTCCGTTCCCCTTGGCCAAAGATGTGTTTCCAACGACCTGTGTTTCTCTTTCTCAATTTGCCATCAAGGACGGCAAATGCCTATTGCCAAGCTCCAGACAAGTGAGCCCAATGCCTCATCCAACAACTCTTTGTCCCGGCAGCCTTTGAGACGCTGGGAATTTCACAAGTGTGTAGTTCCCATCAACTGGCACAGATACAGAGTGATGTTCCGTGCTTGAGGGGAGGCGCGGTGATGGGGCGAGATATATATATTTTTGTGGGCTTTGTATGGATGTCGGCTTTGAGTGTGTGTGACAAGGACAGGCACTCCTGGCTTTGGCTCTTGGGCCGAGCGAATCTAGCAATGCAGCAGTTTGCTTGCCTTCACCCGAACGAGACGGAGCCATGCGTCTCATTTGCTCGAGACCACGCCAGATACGCAGAGGCGAGAGGCCATCCAAGCCCTGGTGCCCAGCAGGACCGCAGCGGCTCGCTCCGTATGCTGATGAAGCGAATTGCCATGTGTGGTTGTCAGGCAGGCTCCGCAGACGTGACTCCGTCAGTATGGTCCCCCCTCCCATCACATCCACCCCCATTCACTTTAGCCCAGTCGCAGAGTGTAATGAGGGTGAGGGCTGAAGCTAAGCGAGTCGTGCCGCCCAAAGGCAGATTTTTCTTCTTTGCATTGCTACTACTGCTACTACTACTACTGCCGAGAGTCTTTGTAGCTCACATTTCGTATTAGTGCCGGCAGCCTGGAGTTTGATCGCTACCAGCGCAAAGTTAGTCTCCTTTCGATCCGAAGGCTCATCATGGTTTCTTTCCTCTCATTAATCCTCTCCGGCACTCTCTAGCAGTTGTCTCGCAAAAGGCTGGAAGCTGTATTTCTTCTGCTATAGACAGAAAGAGCTAGTTGATGGAGTTTAGCTCGCTCCCGCTTCACCCATCCTTTGGTCTGCTACGGAGTATTTTTGGCCCGTTGGCATTATGCCCGAGCATGGGAACTATGGCACTGCGTGTTGGACACTACCCATCAATCTTCTACCCACCCTGGGCAGGTCTCTCGACGAGAGGCGTGTCGTAATTGGGTTGCTATCGCGGCATCTTGGTGCGGTTTGAAAGGCTCGCGTTTTTCCACCTCGAACGCAATGCGACAGCCCATCGACTCCTCTGATTCTATCGAACGAGCCACCGGTGGCCCCCTCTCCGGTCCAGTTGCTACCGCAATGTATCTCCGACCCTGGGTTGCTGCAGTCGTGTCCCGAAGGGCATTCTTGCAGTCGCAAGTACCCCCTTTGACCAAGCAGTGCGGCAACGGGTCTGATCGCAAGATTTGCACCACCAGCTCAGCAAAGGGATGCCACTTGTTCTTGCAGCTGCTTGGGCACTCTGCGTCTGCGTCGCGAACTCCCATACGTCTTTTCAAGTCTGATAGGCAATGTCGTGTCGTGTCGTGCTCAGACAGATCATCCGTCATGTCGCACAACGACGAAATATACTACGGGGCCGCGGCCCACTGCCTGCCTCCACTTTCTTGGAGACGTCAAAGCATTGCTGTTCGAGCCCCGAGCTTGCTGGCATCTGTATCTCTGGTGGCAAACGTCGAGCCTGTTGCGTGGCTTGCATTTCAACCCAAGGCCATCCGCCGTCGTATCCCATCTCCTTTCCAATATATATATATGTATCCATCCCAGAGCAGCGGCTACCACTGAGTTCTCAAGGCCAACAGCACGATGAGCAAAGCAGTCTTTTCTGTCAGTATGCCTGGAGCTATGGATGTCATTGGCTCCAAGCAAGCAATGCCAGAGCTCACAGATGTGATCAATGGCCCCTTGGCTTGGTCAGGAAACGATTTCAAAAGTGAAGAGGCATACACCTTGCAACTTCACAAAGAGGAGCTTCAGGAAGTGGACGCGGCTCTTCAGAGCTTTAAATGTAAGAGATACGCTGAAACAAGTTTCGTGGAAGCTAATAAATGGGCATCGCTAACTTTTGAATACAGCTCTCTGCCTTGACGGTGATGAAGTCAGGCAGTACAACTTCCCTCTGCCAAAGCTTGCGTCGCAACTTGCCCAATGCGCCAAAGCTATCCACGAAGGGCGCGGTTTCGTTGTACTTAAAGGTCTTGATGGACTAAATTACCCTGTGGAAGATAGCACCATCATCTACTTGGGCATAGCCAGCTATATTGCTGATAAAAGAGGACTGCAGGACAAGAAGGGAACTGTTCTCAGTAAGTCATTTTTTAGTTCCTATTTTCTCATGTGTTGAGTTCAAGACAGTTTCTAATACAATCAATAGCCCACGTCACCAATTCGAAATTATGGACGGTTCCAGTTGAGAAGCGCCACGGTATTCATTCCAGCCAGGCTCTGGTAAGAGGGAAAAAACAATGTCTTCTCCGTATCTAACTACATACACTTTTACTGACTTTTTTTGTTTCGGTTGAAAAAGCCTTACCACAACGATATGGGATGTGACATCCTAGCTCTCCAGGTTCGGTGCGGCGCAGAAAAGGGGGGGTGTACGTACCTCAGTTCAGCCACCACCGCTTTCAATGAATTGCTCTCGGAAGCTCCATCGGCGGCACTGACTTTATTAACTCCAGAATGGCCTGTGCAAATGTAAGTACACTATTCTATCCAGCTTTTACAATTTAACATTTGAACATTTGCTGATTAGTGTTGACGAACAGTTCGGGCCGTGAGCCGAATTATTACCTCGCGCCTGCTCTCACGATCCATGACGGCAAACTAATGGCTAGCATGGATCCGAATCGATTCGGGCCTCACCCATCCTACGGATCATCCAACGTGCCAAGTTTAACGGCGTCACAGCTGTTGGCCCTTGAGAAAATATCAAATGCCGCCTACCGCACAGAGCTACGGCTTGATCTCAAGACAGGAGACATCCTATTCTTCAACAACTGGGCCCTGCTTCATCGACGCGATGCCTATACAGACAGTGACGAAACTTCCCGCCACATGGTAAGGCTTTGGCTACGAAACTCGGAACTGGGCTGGTCCGTTCCAGACTCCTTACTGCAGCCTTGGAATGCGGCTTATGGAGAAAATGGAGTTCGAGACAGGCTCTACCCCCTGGTTCCAACAGCAGAATACAAACTGCCCAAATATTCTGCGGGATCCGCGGCATTTGTGATTGAGGATTAGCAACCTTTCCGATTCCGAGTAGTTTATTTCAGAGCATGAGCCATGGCTGTCATGGAACATGTCTGTTCCACGGACATGATGCCTTGCCAGGGGCGATGACAGGGGAGCCGATGACACATTCCAGTTATTCTTTTCACAGCTTCAATCTCATAAATTCACTCGCTCTGTGTTTGTCTCGCCACGCGCCTAAGCTTGATTTTGGCCCAGCTCAATGACTCAGTCTAGAGCTCGCCCTCCCTTCAGTGACCAACATGTCCACCAAGTTGAAGCTTCACTGCCGCCTTGCTCTTGCGAGGTGCCACCCGGTGAAACAAATCTCGTGGCTAGCCGGCTCAAGGTCTCCACAGTGCTCTCTATACTACTGACTTCGCTCCGGCACGCGCATCAAATTACTATCCACAACAGCCGCCAACGAGGTTTTAGCCTGGGAACCACGGCGGTTAAGCAAGAGTAGTTCGAATAGGAAGCCGTTCCGGACCCGTTGCCCCCTCCGGTTCAAATCTACGCCGGCCATCGAGGAACTAACAGAGGCTGGGCCAATATACACAAACCCCCCTTGATCTCTTTATCGCCGCTTTTCGCGCTTTATCAATCCGGCCAGCCTCTCGAGGCCGCACGATTCACCACATAGCTTCCCTAAACAGAATGACTTGCAGAAAGGATTGACTCGTTTCTTGAAATGAACCATATGCTTCTTGTCAACTATCACATGCTCCAATGTCTCTTTTTTTTTCCTCCAACCCTTTGAACACACAGGTGACGTGGTGATTTCCGCTTTTGCCATGGCAATCTTACCGATGGATGCCCAGGCGAATGCCCTTTTTGTAATGCACGAAAATAGCCTTGCATTCTATTGGGCGAATTAGGGCGGTAGATCGTATCTGACTGGTAGATGGCCCTGACCGGCAGAGTCAGCAGACTACTGCCACGTTGTTGTCTCTCGTGGGCCGCCCATTCAGCCCAAGTGCCCGCTTTGCTGCCCTTTTCAAGGGGGGGAGGGGAAATGTTAACGCATGCAGTAAAACGGGTCAGGCTTGTACTGTTCTAATAGTCAAGAGGGGAGGAAATATCCATCGACGAGTAGGTATTCCCTGGTGACTGGATCTGGAGAACCTAGATATCGGCATGCGTGGCAATGGTATGCATAATGGGCTCTCCGTAGCTCTCTCGGGCCTTTTGCAGGAAGTGTGCCCCGGTATATGCGCCATGAAGGAGGGTTAGCTGATTTTCTTTCGCTTGTTTATTGTTTATATTGATATACGCCACCTCGCATATCTACCGCCATCTACGAATCGGAGGCTTCTGGAGCACATTAGACTTGCTTATATATGTGTATGATTCTCGCTTGGCGAGCGTGTCCCTGGTTTCTGCCATGTCATATATGTGAATGATACGCTGTAAAGTAGACGCAATGACGCATAAAACGTAACACGACTCACTCATCGCTCGGTCGAACCCCCAATACAATCTAGCTTCTGATATCGCCGACTTGAGACCGGCGTCTGAACTGGTTGCTTTCGTCAATCTGCATTCTCCTGGCGACTTAGAAGGAAGCAATCGTCCTGCAGAGATAGGGAAGAACGAAGAGACTGCTTGAGACCACGCTTTCTTTGCTGATAGGTGCTTTTTCATGCTATCCAAGTGGGAGGCAAACAGCCAGGGACCACTAGGACCTACGGTGACGTGACAAGTGGCACCTTGAGCGATTGCATATCCGGAATGGATGCAGCGTTCCCCAAACTGCTAAACAAATGACTTTCCTGCATGATCCTTACAGTTTCGGCGTCTGATCCTTGAACCTACTTTGAAGCATTCTGGATGCTGTGTAGGGAGAGAAACGACAAAGATAGAAGCGATCGTGTGACTGCAAAGAAGAATGACTTTTTCAGAGACATGGGAGACTTGAAGGAAGAAGTATCAAAACCGCGATTCCATAAAGAACAAGCCCGTAGGAAGCGGAAACTTCGGAAACGCCATCCGGTTCATGTGGCCCATTTTTACGAAAACCTTACGTTAGATTCGTGTTCCTTCTAGCCTCTGTGTGCAGAGCAATGAGGAAGCTAGAATAGCTCTTTGGGCTGCCACACTTAAGTGACAGGGCGATATAGGGTCGTAACGAATTTCTTGGCTCGGAAGCTCCTTACTCTCCCACACTAAAACAGCTATAAGAGTCGTGGCACGGAAAAACAGGGAAAAGGAGGTTTCATTACATCGAGAAGCGTTTGATGTAAAAGCAGAACTGCATTGCCACCTCGTCTTGCATCTGCCATCTGCAAGTCCAAAGAAAGAGGGAGGCATGGCATGGCGCAATTCGTGCCCAAAGTGAAGTCAAGGTGGATATTGACTTGCAGTCTCGTGCCTCTTTTTTTTTTTTTTTCACGGTAGTAGCAATACTGTTTGTCTAGAACCAGAAGACGAACCACCCAATGTTCATGGGAGGATCGTGTTGAAAGAAACGTGTGCGTGGAAAGGAGAGTAAATGGCCTGGAAGCGTCCATGTACACGTCTACGCCCCCCCTCAAAAACACGTTGAACGACTCCACTGGCAAGATACCGGTGTCTTGCGTGGGGTCATGCAATCAAAAATTACCTGTGACGTTCCATTGGATATCGTATTGATGCTAGCCTACCGAGAATAGGTATTTGTTGCATGCGGACAAGCCCTTTGCGAGAGCTTTGGTAGAGAGGTAACAGGCGGCTATGGGCGAGTAGGAAGTACGTTTTAGCTCGTGTAAGCCCAGAATAAAGAAAACTTATACATTAATAATCCCCTAAAAAAGTATCAAACTGAGAGAAAGCCGCTAAAGGATCGTCTCCCCAATAAAGTGATCTCCCCGGCTGTCCCACCCCCCATGCAGTACACAATTTCGTATCATATCAGAGCACCCATCTCTCCCTTGATCCTTTCTGCCTGCTGCATGCCATCCTCCATCCACAAATCACCCCCGGCAGAAGAGTTCCACATTATTACGCCTCTTCTCGAGAGGCAGCCGATGAAAAGAAAAAGGGGGGGGGAAGCAAGGGAGAGGGCCAACGAGGAGGGCAAGACATTCACACATACAACCATGAGCTTTAACACATACAAGGTACCTCTGAATACTTTGGACGATCAGGCCGCGATCCGTCTAAACAGGGGAGGGAGGGCCTGCGCCGGGAAATTATTTCGCCTAACCGTTCTCTCTTTTCTCTTTTTCCCTGTTCCGAGCGGAGCACGCCCCCCCCTTTGCCGTCCGCGATATGGATAATCGATCCGAAGCCCGTCGGCTCTGAAGCGAGACGAAGCGAAGAACGAAGCGAACCGAGACCCATATGTTGGGCTTGATGGCATAACCGAAGCCGTTCAAGGGGCCACTCTCCGGAGAAACGAAGACTCTACCCGGACGTCGTGGAGGGGTGGGCGAACGCGAACGACATGAACTAAACTAGACTACCTGACCGAGAGAACAAAAAAGGCTGTCTTGTTGTTATTGGATGGGCAAGCAAAGACGAAAAGTGAACCAACTGACAGAATGGTGCAGGGGGTCTCAGAGCAGCATGGCAAGCAGCGCCGCTACGACACCGAAAGTGCGGAGTTGGGCTGCTTGGGGAGCAGAGCGTGCTCCTCCTGTAACCACAGGCGGAGTTTCCTTCCCGCTGGATGCTGTCTCTGTTGTTGTTGTCGTCGTTGTTGATCCTGATGTTGAAGCTGGACTTTTGCCTTTGTCAGTTGAAGGCAGAGGATAGGCAGTGACTTCTGGCGACCACGTCACCGTGACCATGTTCTTAGACGACGACGAAGAAGTCGATGACGATGACGATGACGACGAGCATCCGCTTGCATATACCGAAGCATAGCCGGACGCGGTTGTACACTCTGTGGACGTCGTCTCCGTCACGGTTGCTGCCTCGACCGGGCTTTCGATGTCCGTTAGAGTCGAGTAGTACGTCTCGAGGATGATGCTTGTGATTGTCGTCGAGCGGGAGAGGACCCATGTGCTTGTTCGGACGGTTACGATGGCTGAATATTGAGGATGAGGCGTGGGCGAGGAGACGCTGGGGACGGGATATGCTGTGTCGTAGAATGAATATGGCTCGAGAGAGGAGTATTCGTCTGCGGAGGAGGTTGGAGTCTCGTAGGCGTTTGAGGAGGATAGGGCTGCTGATCCTCGCCATGGCGGTGGTGCGGCAATGGTTGGTCTGCGTGGCGTTTTGATGTCTGGTTAGCTTGACTGGGATAAAGAATGTAGTGAAGCAAGCTGATAGTTTTCTCATGTAGAGTAGACGCCGTGGGATATACTGCTGCCACTCTCGTCTGCCGATATAGATGTCGTTACCTTTCCACGATGTCATTGTTGATTGCATTGGCAAGGCATGCCAGGGCAAGCCCAACAAGAAGAAGTCTCGGAACTAATTCCATTATGCTGTATGTATGATGGCTGATGGTATGATCGTTATGTTTCCGTTACGATATCTTCTTTCAAAAAAAAAAAAAAGTATTAATAGATGGTATCAGTAGATGGCAAAACAGCTTCTCAGCGAGATCAAGCACTTTAGCTCCCGAGATTCCATCCATCATGGGAGTTCGAAACGGCACGACGACGGGCCAGTCCCGGCTTCAAGTAGTCCATCACGCGTCACAGCATCACTGCCGCAAACACAGGTGCCGCCTCTCTCTCTTTCTTTGCGTATCTGTGTAATTGGTTGCGTGATGTCACCCGTACGAGCGTGTGTGTGATTGGGTTTTATATGTGAATTGCTTTTTTTGCAAATGTGAGTGAAATCTTTGCGTTGTTTGCCGATGGTTGTGGTATCAGATTGGAAGGAGAGGTCTTGATTTGAGGGATACAGACTGTGCGTGTTTGTGGAGAGATGTGATTGAATGAGGTTATATTTGAGAGTATGAGGGGATGTATGTTTGGGATGTGAAAAGGGTAATAGTTTGAACATCTTGGGAGTAATGAATGGATGATAGTTTGAGAAATGAGAAGTCGACATTTGGCGAGTGATACTAGGCGTTGAAGATCTATTTGGGAAGTAGGTACTGTTTTCCCTATACCCCTTTCTTGGGATATATGAGGCGGATATTAATCTGACTATGAGACTATGTTTTCTATCTCACCACAAGACCCTTTCTTCCAGATCACAAGAGTAATTATTACTGAATAGCCATTTCAGGTAGTTATATCTGGGATTATTAGGCGATCTGATGATAATTAAGTGATGATTGCGAAAAGTCTTTGGTGTTGCCCACACTCCAGGCTAACAAATCGCAATGCTAGACACGCCATGTGAATGGCCGCGAAGCTGTTGCTGTGTACAGTCGCAAACAGATGATACAGTGAGTGAATCACGAGATCATGGCGGTTTGCTCAACTCATATGAAGCTGTCATTGAATATGCATGATTGATATCTTGACGTGTTTTGTTCCTCGTCACGGAACAGCTAATACAATACCGAGAACGGGAAGCATTTCAGGAGAGGCCTAGCTATTTTAAACCAGCTGGATAAATATCTCATAAAGTTTGTAGAGTAGTGGTATACTCAATTTTAAGTTTGAGAATCATTATTTTCAGGTATGGCAATGATTTACCTCAACAAGAAAAGCTCTGCTTGCCTGCTAGTTGCAACGCCCACGATATCACACGTTTTTTTTTTTTTAAATTATCCACTCTATCTCATTATTTATGTTTCTGTTCGCATGATCAAAGTTCTAGATGTAAGCCTAATTGAGTCTTTGAAGCGAAATGTTACTGCGCTTCACATCATGTAAGTCTCAAAATCTGACTTGATATTGGCAAAGTGTCTGAGCCGATGCATCGTGTATAAGCGAAATCTGCACTGAATCCATGAAATTTTTTTACAAAAGGCCCTGGGAGATGGCCTTTATGATTGGAGTTTCGCTTGTGTTACACTGTAGCTGAGCATTTCCTCTATGATATTTGGTGATACGCGGCTTGGCGTTGTGATTGCCTCTATCAGAGACATTCAAACTGGGCTGCTGCCGAGGTTCCTCAAGGCGCAACACGAAGTTGTTTGCTTCAAGAGCAAAGAGATGTAGTAACCGAAATCTCGGCTATTCTTCCAATCATAATGGTCGTAGGTTGAGCCAGCTGGAGTAGGGTTGTGGAACATTTGGCTACTCCAGGCCGAGGATCCGGCGCAGTCATTCAAAGCCGAAGCCCTTGTGTGCTTGATTTAGACGTAGTACAAAAGCTTTATCAAGATGATGCTTATTCAATAGTTTATGAACATATATCAACACCATGGTGGCATTTGGCGTGATGACATTTCCGACGGATCTAATACACGTAGTGAAAACCATATGGCCTGGCCAATCAACAGATGACTACTTTCACTCTAGTCAAGGGAATCCAACAACCATTCATTCGAGACCATTAAAGAACCATATTCAATTTGTTTGGGAGTCCAAATAGTGTTCTTCGGCAGAGATGTTTAAAGAAGGACTGTTTGGCATCATATCTGGATGGTGGCTTACCCTGAAGAATTGACAGAAATGATTTGCCATGTTGAATATAATGTAGATATGCGCTTTTATCTCACAAGATGTGTATAAAGATGGATATGACACTTGAAATTTTATGATGGCATTATTTAGATATAGTGGTATATCGACGGACTTGTGTCGTCTGTCACCCACTTACAAGTAACGCATTCTAAGTTGGTGCTTGGTGATATGGTGGAGAGTGCAGTTTATGCTTGAAATAAGAACAAAGGTTGCGAATTAACTCAAACAATAACGCCATTCAGGAATACGTATCAGTATAATCAATAGCTCAAACTTTCTCAGCCTTCCACAGCTGGCATCATCACAGCATCACAGCCACGAGGCCAGCCCTGGAGTTTATACAGCCTCGACCCACTTACCCCAGACAAACACGTCCACAATAGATTCCACAAAGTGACTGGAATTTTATTGCTGGCAGTCTAACGAGAAATGCGGGCGGAGGCGCATCGATAAGGGCAGGATTGCCATGTTGTTTACAGTTAAGAGTACATGTACGTTATACGCGTTTACGCGAGTATGCCTTCATATCTCACGGCAAACGGGAGATGGACACATGGATCATAGTACCCCTGCAGGTTGCTGCCGAATTCAAGCTGTTTCCCCAAGCACAAGCCGTCCGTCGCGAGCGCATTCTTCCAAATCAAAAGTTGTCGTTGCTCCAATATGGCTTCGTATTTCAACTACCTACTCAGCCCGACATATCCGGCCAAGAGGAAGACAGACAAGCATTTCAAAGTCGGCATGGGGGATACATGTAGTTTATACAGCCGCGGTAATAATAGCAATAGATAGTGGCAAGCCTGCTGACATGCAACGATTACGAGCATCGCCTCCTTGGATAAAGCGAGAACAGAGACGTCTTTTTTGGCAACAATGCCCTGCATCTGAAACGCTGCCTGGGCAGGACATGCCATGCCATGCACGGCTTGAATCCGCAGCATCCGCTGGGATTTGAATACTGTAGTACCTATTTCATGTTCCCTGCGCACATCGAGCTGCCTATTCCCGTGATCTCACTCCATGGGGGGGGGGGCCCTTTTTCGATTTGAGCGCTTCTGGCAGAGAAGAAAGCTGCGCGTAAGCCGGCAGAGATTGAGCATGGGTTACAGCAACTTGGCGTTGCGCTACTTGAATCCTCCTCTGCGGTGCCCAGAGCCCAAAGTAGCAATTGCAAAAGTGATGAGCAGCGTAGAATACTCCGTAGAGCTAGTGCCAGGCAGTAAGACGGGTGCGAGTAGCCGCCCAGTGAGTGCCGGTGTGCCTGTCCAGGTCCTATTCGGTGGAGGGATCCGCATGTGCCGGATGTGGTGAATGCTGCAGAAGGTTTTTCTTTTTGCAAAGTTGAGTGTGGTTTACAAGAAGCACATGTACATGCTGATGGATGCCATGTTGAGCAGCATGCGATAAGATGTTGTAACGTTTTGCAGACGCACGGAACTGCCTCTGGGGCGAGCGTCCCAAGTATGAAAAGACAATCACGGAGACTGGCGGAATCGGAATTCTACACGACGATCAAGGGTCCTACCCAAGACACATCTCACATCTCGTCACCACCATCACCATCACCGTCCAGCATCCCATATCCATATCCTGGACGCCACGATTCAAGGGCCATGCTTCACCACACATCAATGCCTGTGCCCCGTCGTTGCAAGCGAGATAAAAGCGACGCATCTTGTCGTGGCGCTGGCATACATACTGTACAGCACTGGCCCGTCTAAAGTGTGTGCATCCAAAGGGCCACCAGCACCACAGGCGTTGCCGGGTCAGTGATGTGATGATGGCTGGGTCTTTCAGATCTCCCAGCCCCTGAGATTACCACCCTGCCATGTGCATGCGCAATCGAGGGCCAGCAGTTGGGAATACCGTATACTGTACGCATCTCTCTGCCGTCGCTTTGACCATCTCGGCTAGCGATGGACATGCAAAACGCTCATCGTGACCGCCTACAGTATTAGACAACTTGGGAACTTTTTGTTTAGCGCAGAGAAGGAAAAAAAGGGAGACTGCTAGTGAGCTGAGTTGTAAAGCACTTGGCCGGGGGTCCTAAGTTAGTGCCTCCAGTCGGTGAAGCCTCAGACATGCTTTTGGTGCATCATGACGCAGCCGGGAGCGTGAGAGGAGCACAGACCAGCGAGCGTGGCATGTTTTGGATCTGTGCGTCTCTGAAGAGGGTGATGGACGGATGCTGGTACAGATGCTGGTACAGATACGATGAGATGAGAGGAGACAACAAGACGTGGGATTATATGCATCGTCATGAGATGGGAGATGCAGTGGTGATTTTCACGTGATGATGAGATGTCAATATTGGCCCACTAGAATTGAAGTTGAAGGAATGGATTCGCGAATACGCTCTGGATGGGCATCGGTTTCAGTGTGCCGGGCGATGCTCCGCGGCGAACCGAGACCGTCGCAGCACCAGCCACAGCATTATTGTTGCTTCTATCTTAGACGAGTGACTACACGTAATACGCATTGCATGAAACAAGATCCAAAAGCTGCATTAGACGGCCACGCAGCTCGAGTTGCGAGTTTGTTGTCAAACTGCGCTACAAGTAACAAGATTGAACGAAACTGTGTGCTGTCAGCCAACTTGTGCCCCATATCCAGCCCATCCCCCCTTTCTGCGCGGCACCCCCTTTATGCAACGTTGTCTCTGGCTCAGCCTTGCAGAAGAGGAATGGCCTCTTCGGTCCGATGGAGCCCTTCTCCGCATTTTGTATTTTCGTACCTGCTCGTCCTGGCATACCGCAGAAATTGGCGGCGGGAAGAATATTGAATCCCGAGAGCAAAAGCAATAGACACTCATAGTAGTGTGTGAATTCATTTAAACTCATCGAAAAAAACAAGAGACAAGAGGCCAAGAATTGCCCATTATTTCGTGACATGCGAGAGTTTGGGCTCTCTCCATCATCTCGTCTTGGATCGGCTTAGTCCACTCGTGTTGACTGGAGCCAGTTTTTTCTCTTTCAAGTTTTTTTCTGGAAGCCGTCAGCGCCGTGCTAAAATCAATCTCTGTCAGCAGAACTGCCTCCCTCTCCGGACTTCCAGTATGTCCGCCACAAAAACTAAGCCTTTGCCGAGGTTAGTGCCTGAGGCGCTGGGCTTTTGGCGTCTTGTAACCAAAACTCTTTTTACTTGCACGAGGGAGAAGAAGAAAGACGGCTTGTCCTGAATGGGGCACTGTGGCCGACGAAGAAAGTGTCAGAACTTTGGAGGAGCGAGTCTTGTGCTCAATGTGAAGCAGGCCATCAATCGGGCCCCCGAGATTAACGGATCGTCGCTGTCAATCTCAAATCGCCGCAAGACGCAAGACTCCGCGGCTGCCGATGCCAAGACGATGCTGCCGGTTGTAGTAGTGATGTGATGCTATTTTCATTTCTCAGCCGCACAAGCTGTGCGTCGCAGATGACGAAGATTTCAGTCCCCTGTTTCAAAGGACGTGCAGCGAGGCAGTAGAGCAGAACCCCATACAGTCCATACAGTCCATACTGTACAGGACCTGCTTCCACCACCGTGGAAAGTGGCTTGTTTCTTCTCTCTGCGCTTTTCGGCTTGTCCCCATTAAAGTCAGCTCATCGGAGCAAGACGATTGGCTCAAGTCAGTCAAGATTTTTTTTCTTTCGCCGTGGATGGCTGAGGCGATTGGCTGGTGGAGCGTTTATTGTTCCCACTCAACCAATCCACCGCCAAGACCCTCCTCAATTTTTTTTTCCAATTCTCTCAAATCTGGGGTACAAAGGGAGCCTGGGCTGGGCCTGCGTGTGGATGGCCTGAGCTCGTACGTTTTGCAGCGCCGCCTTGCTGCTGCAGGTGAGACGTCGCTTTCCAAATCTCACGATGCTCTTTTTTGCTTTCTTTCGTTCTTCTTGCAGCAAGGCGAAAAGGGCACGCCGGTAATACTCCGTCGACGGAGATTTTGCTCAAATTTTTGAAGTGCGGGTGTGGTTATTCTTAATTTTTGCTTTTCTTCTTCTTTGTTCTCTGCGTTTTCTTTTTTTAGATTTATGCCTCATTTAGAATTGAAGCCACCACGTTGCGCGAAAAGGCTGCCCCAGGTTGTTTTTTTACGCCGCCCTTTATTTCTTCGTTTTCATACCTAGACAAAGAATTTGTCCGCTCTGCATGTATTGGTACCCTGCTGCTACTGTAATCAACAGTATTGGCTATTTGCATCGGGGAAACAGACGTCGCCATTTCTTCTGCGCAGCGGTTAAAGACAAGTCCAGTTTTCACCTGCAGCTCGCATTCCTCGATACAGGTAGTAGTGACGCCCAGAGCAGCCAGCATGTGCAGCGTCCTGGGTCCCTTGCAAGATTTGCTGACACCATCCAAGAGCTGTCAGTTTCGCTTCACGGGAATCTCGTGTGAGCCATGGCGAGTCAGATTCCAGGCCATGTACCTGTACCTGAGCCTGCACATGCGAGCGCTCACTTGACAAGTCGGAGCTCTCGCCACAGACGTACGAGACGGTATCGACTCTGGAGAAGGTCTTCGCCAAACGCCTCTAACGCTGATTCCTCGTTTTTGGCTGAAGGCAGCAGTAGTATGCGGCGTTTGATTCTGTTGGACGCAAACTCAGGTACAGTACAAGGCAAGTATCGTGTTACTCCTGTACAGACCACTGTCTCGTGATACCCTCAACCCTCGCCCTGTTCCAAATCTTGCCATGGGGCCCCTTTGCCCTGGCCGGCAGCGTGATACAGGTACCTGTACGCCCTCGCACAGTCAGGCCACCACAGTATTGCCTGTAGGCATTCTGTCATACAGTACAGGCACCGCCGCACCAGTCGCAAGTACGAGCACCAGCTCAGCAGCCTCAGCGCACTTATACGGCCGGCTCGTCGACGCTCCTCTCTGGAACCGCGAAAATGGCTCGACAGTCGTGATTAGCGGGTTCATGCGCTCTTCGTACCTGTACTAATCGGTGTCTAGCACTCTAGTTCGCTCCAACTGTGCGACCTGCTTTGACGGACGGCTCGTTTAGGATGCCGCGGCGTGGCCGAGAGTTGCGAGTTGAATATATAGCCTGGAGTCTCTTTTGGGCGCTGCTCTTTTGCCGGACGCTGTTAGGAGTGCGTGTGACTGTCCAACAGAGACACTGTATATACCATCATAAACTCCTCAGCTTGCACAGTGTCTTTTTGCCGCGTCTGAGGTAATCCGCTAACAGCGCCCTGCAGGCTTCTGGCAAATTTCGTCGTCTTCTTCTCTTCCCCGATGCCTGCACCCCGGCACACAGTGCGAGGCCGCCCACAGCAGCGCGGCTAGGGCTGCCGTCCAGCGCAAGCCCTCTGCGAGCCCAGGGCACTCGCCACTGCGCGCAGGCTGGCCGCCGGGCTAGCGACGCCGCCAACTCCCCGACGCGTTAGGCCAGCGCCGGTAGCGCACAGTGCGCGACGCTGCTCCCCGGGGCTCATTTCCACACGCCTCCAGCCTGCATCCCGCATCATCTCGTTCTGCTCGTCCATCTCCAGGCCCGTCGTCTCCGCCCACCCAACCCAGCCAACCCAGTCCGCGAATCCTCTGGCGCCGCCTCAGCCCTGGCCCCAGCCCAGTTTCTGGCGCCCTTCCCCGTTCTGGGCTGGTGCTCCGACCGCCCCAAGCCACGGCCTCATTCCAGCAGCCAAGTTGTTTTTACGTACTTTGGGTCCGCCTCCCCCCCAATAATTCCTCGCTTCTCTGCTGACTATCCGAGTCCCGTTCTTTTTCCCTCTCGCCGTTCGACATCGCTCTCTATCGTCTGTTCAAAGGCAGCCGCGTGTGCAAGCCATCGTCAACCTCTTGCTTCCACGGCCTCGTTTCTCTCCCGTCTGCGAAATCCCCTTCATCTCGATTCTGTGAGCCGCCATCCTCCCAGTCCCAGGCGTTTGGGCCCCCAGACTCCGCCTAATAAGCGACTCTCCCCGCGTTTTTTCCTGGCCCGCATTCGAAAGGGCCGAATAACATACATACGGCCTACATCCCAAGGTCGACTATCACATCTTCAGCCATACCAAAGATACCCTAAGCTCGCGCCAGTCGCTGCAAAGCGGCCTGCCAAATCGTTCTTTTCCCCGCGCTTTCCCAGAGGGAAGCATTATCGATCGTGCAAAACCTGGGGCCCCAATCGATTCCGTCCTTCAGCTGCGCCGATAAGTGTGAGCGTTCCCCAGACTGCGCGCCACCGTTTCCTGCCCGCCGCCTCTCCCAGCACGAGCACGAGCACGATTCCACGAAAGCTTCCACCACGGCTTCCACCACGGCTCCTACGGCGCGATTCCATCGCCGCAGACGCCTGCCCATCATGACCCAGGCCGTCAAGAGGGCGTGCGATGCCTGCCATCGCCGAAAAGTCAAGTGCGACGGCATCAACCCGTGCCGCAACTGCTCCTCCGCCGGGCTGTCCTGCACCTACAACGCCGTCCCCCAGAAGAAGGGCCCCAAGGGATCGCGGGCCAAGGTCATCAGCGAGCTGCGCGAGACCCAGCGACAGACGAGCCTTTCCGCCAGGGTGCAGAGCCGCATGAATGGCGTTCCCACCGCGCCCGCAAACATGAGCCTGGTCCCGAGCCCGGGCTTGTTGACCAGCGACTTTGTCAAGGAGTGCTCGCAGTATTTCTTCGAGCACATGAACGCACAGGCCCCCATTCTGGACCGGAGGCAAATCGAGGAGGAGATTCTCTACATGGAGCAGAACCGAGATGCCTACTGCTTGATGTCTTCCATGTGCGCCTTTGTCATGCTGCAGCCTGGCATGACCATGCCTGCCGGCGACCCGTACAACCTCGACATGGTTCCCGGAGCAAACATCGTCTCCAGCCAGCTTCTTTTGGAAGAGACGCTCATGGTTCGCAAGGGATACGAGTACCTGGACCAGATCACGGTCAATGCATTGGCCACCAACTTCTTCCTCTTTGGGTGCTACTACGGGCAGCACATGCATGACAGGGCATGGTACTACCTTCGCGAGGCCACCACCATGATCCAGGTGAATGGCATGGACAAGGAGGAGTTTTACCTGCAATATGACATTGCTGAAGCCTCTCGTCTCCGCCGACTTTACTGGCTGTTTTACGTTGTTGAGAGGTGCGTTTTGCCCGTGACACAATTGACGTGTCATGTTTTTTTTCCCCATCAGAAACCCGTACTGACATTGTAACCAAACAGAGCGTATGCTATCCGAGACCAGCGTCCCTTGACTCTCCAGGCGACTATCAAACTCCCCACTCTTGGAGATGATCCCACCGATCCTCTCTCCCATCAGCTCAACGGCTTCATCCTGCTCATCAACCTCTTCAGACCTTTTGATGATGCCTTTACAACCAACTGGAACAAGACCCGGAGCCTTCTCTCCCCTCAGTACATCAGTGGCCTGCAGAGGCAGCTCAGCGAAGTTGTTCAAGCCGCCTTCCATGACCCCGCATGGAACGACATCGGCACTAACCAGCAGTGGCTCAAGAACACTGTATGGCAGCTGAGCAACGGCGGAGGAGTCGTCGCTCCCGAGGGAGGCATAACCTTTCAGCTCCCCGTGGACGTATCTAGAGAGATGCTCATGAACATGGCCTCGCAGTTCCCTGGCCAGGGTATGGAGTTGCTAAACTCTGGACTGCTCGAGAAGCTCGTCGAGGGCACCTACTCGATGACTGAGTATCTGGCTATGCAGCCAGCGTCTCGCGACCCCTTTGCAATTGGACCTCAGGAGCACCTCACCCAAATCATCAACATTGTTGCAGCCTCCAGAAGCGGCGACTACCGCTTCCTTCCCCTTCTCATGAGCAAGGTTAGCGATGTGCTTCCGCGCCTTGCGAACCCAATGCTGCAGAACGCCCCCGAGACGGCGGCCGCGGCCATGGCCAATGTCGACATCTTTGACGGATTTGGCAACGCCGGCATGGCCCAGCCTGCGCAGCTGCAGATGATGAACAACGAGTTCGACCGCAAGTTTTCCGTCGAAGAGTACGAAAAGAAGTATGCCCTGGATATGACTGGAAACACTCCAGATTCGCATGCCACTTCCAACTCTAGCAACACGCCGCCTGTGGCTCGCCAGCCTTCCGAGATTGCAAACTCTTTTGTCGGCTCTCCTCCCATCATGTCCCCCACTCTAGAATATCCTCATGGTATGAACGCCTATGCTGTTACACCAATGTCCGAAATGGTCATGAGTCCAATGGGAGCCCACCCGCCTCCTCCTCATCAACATCAACATCACCAGCACATGAACCAACAATCACCTAATCATATCCACGACCCAATGGGCCAACAACAGCACATGGGTATGACGCCACAGGACATGCGGCCAGGCGGGATGCAACCCACTCACCATATGAACGGCATGATGAATGTGCGGCAATCGCCGCAGAGACAAGACAGTTTTGCCATGGCTGGCCAGCCACAGCACTTTCATAATATGAATGCGATGGCGGAGGGGTTTGATTTCAACACCCTGCGGTAGTACCAAGGTATTTGAAGACACCTCTTTTAAAGACACCTACCTCGCATACCCAACCTCCTTGACTCTTCGGCTTTTAAACGAGCACGTGTATTTTCTCACTCTACTTCTCCTTCTCGTTACATAACCGAACTTTTTTACTCAAGGCATGACTGAAGGCCTTGCTTTTTTTTTTCCTTTGTCGAAGCTTTTGATCTCTTGGGATACAGGATCAAATATACGATGATGATTACCGAACATTAAAAACCTAACCGGGATGTTACGTCTTTCGCTTTATTATTATTTTTTGGATTGGGCCTTGCTATAGCGCATGGGAAAAAAAACGGGTTTCCCTTTTTCATTATTTATCATCATCTTGGAAATTATGGCGTTTGTTGCCCTTTCCGGTTTACCCCTGGGAAGGTGCTCATTTTTTATTTCTCTCGTTGGGATGCGGGAGTTTTAATTTGCGGATGGGCTTCTCCTCTTTGCTTGGTTAGGGAAGAAACTTTTTTGGTTTACTTTTTTTCTTTTCTTTGCTTCGCGCTTTATTCATGGCTGTCAGACAGTTTTGATAATTCTGTGTTTTTGGAAACAGCGGTAGTATCGTTGGTATCTACCTTGTTTTAAAATCTGCTCAATTATATAGTAGATGAATATGAAAAGATTAGATATCTTGACTAATATTCGCATCTTTGATGTAGTGATACTTGTGAGATGTTTGTGTGAGGCGTTGTTGTCTAGATGTTTATTATTGACCTATGAGTATGCAGGTGCTGCGATGATGTCTGTTGGAAGCTTTGTGTCTTTGTTAATTGTGTTTACTAGCAATGAGGCTTGACGTTTTCACAGCGGATATGATGCATCACTTTAGACAAACGAGATCTCTCTAGTGGTCGTTTGTTTACTTGGAATCACGGCCATGCTGATATTTGATCATGCAAAGACTTACACGTAAATGCCCATCCGGAGGTGAATCATCTGCCTACCTATGCTTGCAACTTTCCCATCTCTTCCGTTCCTCCAGAACCCCCTTGTAAAGTGGTATTACTCAACTATTGAAAGCATTTCATGACGTTAAAACAATGACTGTTAATTCCAGCTCCTTTTCCTTCAGCCCTTTACGGAACTAGTCTCCTAAACGGATGTGCCTCGGTATTAAACACATATTCATCCAGACTAATCATATCAGGCTCACTGAAAATCAGATAGAAATACTTGAGCGTCTCGCCGAGCCAGAAGGACTCCATCGAATCTGCCCGTTCAGGCTGCTGGTCCCGAGGAAGCGTGACGTCCCACACGGCCGAGTTGGCGAGCGTGGTGCTCGTCGTGCTGTTGATGGCTTCGAACATGGCCCATGCCGAGTCGAGCAGGTCGGTCCGGCCTGTGGCGCGGTAGAGGATGAAGACGCTCTCGATGGCTTCGGGCCGGAGGATGTAGCGGCGATCGGGGATGGAGGTGAAGCCTTGCGGGAGGCGGTCTCGTTTGATGATGGCGTCTGCGCTGACGGTGTCCTTGTCTTTGGCGAGGCGGAGGACTTGCTTCTTCCAGGCTTGCTCGTCCCATTCGCAGTCGGCGAGGGATGGGCAGGGCAGCATGCGGAATGTTTCGGGCATGATGCCGTGCGGGAGGGCGTTGTATGTCCAGATGCAGCCGTCGACGAGCTTGGCGGCGGCGGAGAGATGCTGGGGCCGGCTGAACAATTTGCCTCCGAGCGTGAACAGGCCGCCTAGGAAGCACACGAGGTGCTGTCCCGACGGGTCGAGGGTGATTTCGCCGTTTTCCGACCGGATGGCGCCTGAGATGAGAATGTCGTCGTTTTGGGGCGTCATTGGCCGGTAGAGGGCGTGCTTGATGGCTGCTGTGGCGGCCTTTTCGTACATGGCCTGGTATAGGGGCAGTTGGCCGCCCATGAGGGCTGCCATTTTCGGCAGATACTCGTACGCGCTGTCGGCCATGGCGCCCAGCGTGAAGGTGTTGCCGATGTTGAAGATTTGGTCCTTTGCGCTGACAACGAGTGGCCAGAGACCGGGTAGTGCTGTCGAGTCTTGCTGGTCTGCCATGGCGTCCATGATGCGCTGCACGGCGTCAAACCACTTTGCGTTGCCCGTAATGATGGAGAGCCGCGTGAATTCCATCGTCAGGCTGCCAATCTCGGCGACGAGCAGTTTCGGCGGAGCGGTCTGTCTGCTGCCCCTGATGGCGGCGTGGATGTCCCACCTGGTGATGGGCATGCGGTTCGGCGTGTCAAAGGCCTTGTAGAGCATCTCGCCGACCTCGATGGCCTTGAGGAGGAGGCGCTCATCGCCGCTGAGGTCAAAGGCGGAGATGAAGCCGCCCAGATAGCGGATGTTGGTCTCAAAGACGTTGACTTGGGCGAGATCCGTCTTGGTGAAGTCGATGGTGATGGCAGCCTGGACGGCCTCGTCGAATTGGGGCCTCATGTCCATGATCCAGAGGGTGTCGAGGGCGTCGACCAGCGTGGCCGCCCAGCCGCCAAAGGGATTCTTGCTGCCGCCGGACACGGGCGCGAGCTCGTCTGCCTTCCAGGCGTATTTGCGGTAGGATGTCCAGCATTTTGAAAAGATGTCTTTTACGGCGTGCTGGCGGTGCTGGCGAGTGGTTTGCGCTTCTGGCGTTTCTTCGCTGAAGGATGCCTGGATGTCGGGATATTTCACGGGAGTGGTGGTTGGTAATGGGCGGATTGACTGTGGAGGGTAGTGAGTAGGGAGGGCTTTCCAGAAGTAGGAACCATGGTGAGCTGTATGCAGATGTGTGTCTGTATAAGACGGAGAGATTGTCGAGGTGTTGTACAAGTAGAAGAGGATGAGGGTGGCGACTAGGGCAATCCAGGCGATGCTTCTCCTGCGGATGGGGGGCATTGTTGCTGTTTAGACATTTGTGATGTCGTGATGGAATACGAAGAAGGGAGTGGAAGAAAAGAGAGGTGGGTGGTGGATGTTGTGATTTTGAGAATGAAATTCGTGTTGCTTGAGGGAGCTGAGATTTGGCGGGGCGACGATTGCCGTTTCAAGACGAGGCGTTGACGTCAACCGACGTTTGGAGAGCGCTAGAGGCCGCTGGAAATGCGTGTCATGGCGGGCTAGATGGGCGCTACAAGGCTTGGCGATGCGCTGTAAGTCGGTGAAGCCTTCATGTTGGTGGTTGGGCCTTGATTTGGCTGAATCGAGAGTTTGTGGCTTGAGCGCGTTGCCTATGGAGATGGAGATGGTCGTGCAAGGGAGTACAGATGAGATCTGTGGGTAACTGTGGCCAAAGGGCCTTTTCAAGTGTGCAGATGTTGTGTAAGCCGATGATTCTTGGCTCCCGTTATGAAAGGGCTACATGTATGTATGAATGCAAGCATTCATGAGTTGAAGGCGTAAAGTCAAGTCACTCATTTATTGAGCCCATCTTCATTTTTACATCGACTTGTATTGACGTCTACAATCAAGCCCTAACCAACTTTATAATCTTTGCGCTCTTCCCATTCACAACCTCTATCGTATCATCGCCCCGCAGCTGTATCAACACCTCCAGACCATCCACCACAAAGTTCATCCCTTCTTCGCTACCCTTTTCTGCCATCGCCGCCACTACCAACGGGAAAGGAAGCAGCTCGCCATACTGAACAGTTGGCCGACCAGCCTCGTCAGCCTGAATGCCCCAACCGTTCTTCCCGCACGTCCAATTGCCCAACCAGCGCCTCCACCCGCCATCAACTTGTTCTTTTGGAGCCCCTAGTGGCACAATCGCCGGATAGCCCATAGGTAAAGGAATTTGTGGCCACTTCTTCAGATACGGTATGGCTTGCAGCAGTTTCCATATCACAAAATCGCCTTCTGCCGAATTGGTCATGATGGAGATGCCGCAGTTGTTTGGCACTTTGACTTTGCTCCCGCCGGCAAGATTCGCGTATCCTGCAACATATGTTCTGAAGCCTGGCCAGTTGCTGCCTCCGTGCGAAAAGACTGTTCGCGAATCTCCTGGTATGAACCACGAGTGAGCTACATCTAGATCTACGACCGTCAACATCGCCTTTGCCGTGTCTTGTCGAAGAAAACCGCCATTGTCAGAGCTCCGGAGAGATTGTTGTACAGCTCTGACAAGCTTCAGGAGATCACTGGGCGTAGTCCATAAACTTGCTGCTGCTTGTTCGGGGTTGACACGCTGAGCGTCTTCGCAGGGCGTATAGCCTGTATAATGTGCCTTTGCCGAATTCTTCTCTCCAGGCGGTAGTTGATTGTAAAAAGACCGTGTCATGCCTAGAGGCCCAAGGACAATGTCTTGCATTGCCGCGGCAAAGTCCTTTTTGGTAATTGCCTCAAAGATGAACTGGAGCACTGTGAATCCGCCACCGGAGTAGGACAGCGATTGGCCCGGAAAGCCCTGCAAGTGCACGCCTTTGGTATTGACGGGATATGCGCCTGCTAATACCTCGCGTGTTGTTGGAATCCGAGCATCGTCCGCAACAGAGTAGCCTGGGAAACCGCCTTGAGAGAGCCCAGAGGTATGGCTTAGAAGCTGCGAGATGGTGATGCCTTTGATGGCAGATATCCGAGCACAAGTTGCACCTCTGGTTAACATGTCCAGAACATCCTGTGGCAATAAATCGCCAATGCGGCCATCGAGCGTAAGTTTACCTTGGTCGACGAGTTTCATCAAGGCAACTGCAAACGTTGGCTTCGAGATGCTGCAGGCTTGGAAGATGGTCTCTGTGTCATCTTTGCCGGTCGAGAAGCAGTGAGATGATATTGCACCGTCTTCCATGATGGCGACTGAGGCGCAGGGTGTGCCCAACTGGGCTAATACAGAGGCAGCGCTGGCATATTCCTCATGCCCAGAGCGGATGAGGTCCTCCAACTGGCTGAATAGGGTTGACATGATGTATGCGAGTCCCGTTTTGTATTTGAAACCAAGGTAATTTGTAGCTGCAATAGTGAGCCTCTGATAAATGAAGCGATTCTGACACTTGAAGTCAGAGAGAAATTTGTATATTATGAAGATGAGAAAGCAAGTCTAAGCTTCCAACATTTGATCATGAGCGTCCTCTTTCTCATGGTTGTGCTTATATGTATAAGTGCTAGGCCACGCGTTGATTCGTAACTTGTATCGCCATCTCCACTAAATCGTAATTCGTCGTAATTCGTATCCGTCGCTTAATGCTAGTCGCAGCTAGCAAAGGTGCTGATTTGCGTGTTGGATTACCGTGACTCATGATATTGCAATTAGCCGTCAAGGTGGCTTATGATTCTGGAACCTGTACCCGTTCATTCGACGTCGTTTAGTTGAGATACATGTCAAATTGATAAAATAACGTGTGATTATAGCTTTAGTCAATGTCTAACGTTAAAATTGCACATTGAGAGCGAGTATAGCACTGTTTATTATTATTCCTAATTGTACTACATCTATTTTGTCGTCAAATCCCACAAACTCTCCACCGTCACCTTTTCAGTCCACTTCCCTCCAGTAGTATCTTCCTGGAGCGTAAACCCAACCTCCTTCTTCTGTCCAGGTGCCAAAACAAACGCATTGTCGTCAAAGAATCCCAAGACTCCAGCCGGATGCGTCAGCCATGTGTACAAGGACACACCGGCCGTGGATTCCACAGTGAAAGTCTTCTTGGATTTGTTATACGACAGCTTCAGCTTGGGATCTGATACCTTGGCTTGGTTTGGCCAGACGGGGAGGAAGTGGTTGTGATGAGTAAACGTCGTCGTCTTATGGCCGGCTGAGTTGGGGAGTTTGCCATTGGCAGTCAGTTCAATGATCAGGACAGCATTGCTGGTGTCTGGAATCTTGAGATCTGACGCCACGTTGGTCGAGATGATTTGCGTAGTGTTGATGGCTCCGACTTCAAACTTGATCGATTTTGGCATGCCTGCGTTGTTTGCAATAGCTTTGCCCTTTAGATCAACCCAGGACAAAGATACTTGACCAGATGCAGACTCCCAGAGATCCGATGTAACCCAGATTTCGAGCTGGTTAGCAGTGTAGTTCCAGAAAGCCGACGCAATAACATGATCGTAAGTCCGGCGAGCAACATACGGCAACACCTTCCATCGCCCGTCATACTCCAAGCCCGCCCAGGTTGGGGCCTGCCAGATATCGTTGAGCTGCCAATACAACGAGCCAAGCTGCCTCTCCGGCATGCCGCTACCCCGTCTGTAAAACTGAATCTCGGATTTGTACATGTCGGCTTGGAACAGCTGGGTAGCGTGGCACCAGGCGCTGAAGTTTGCGACAGAATCCGTTTTATCCGGCGTTGGGTAGTACCGCTCTACAGCAAGAGTCATCTCGACTTGACCCAAGGTGCTGTTGCGAACGTTTCGGGTCAGTCCACCGGCGGGGTAGTGATGGTTTCGTAGAATGACCGTGGTTGAGTTGAAATGGAGATCCTGGGGCTCGACAGCCTGCTGCCAGGTCTGGATACTAGGCATGCTGATGAAGCCAAACTCATTGGCGAAACGACCGACTGGGTAAGCGGAAGTATCAAAAGACACCGACGTGTCATAGTTGTAAAAGTCGGTATCGCCATAGATGTATCCAGAAGTCGTGTTGTAGTATCTCTCAACGATGGGAACAGGCAGGCTTAGGTCAATATCCAGCCAGCCATTGTTTGCACTGCAGGGGCTATATGAAATGGAGTGGCTGTTGGCAGCCAAAATATTGAATATCGTCACGATGAAAAGATCCTCATACTGTCCCAAAACATTTGGGTAAGTTGCTGGATCAGCGCCCTGGGCTATTGGCAACATGAGGTTCTCAAATTCATTGCCGCCCATCCAGCATGCCAAAGAAGCGTGATGGTTCAAGCGGCGAACGTTGTACGTAACTTCGCCAATAACATTCTCTTTGAATTCCGGACTGTCAGGGTACAGAGTATCGCTGAATTGAAACTCGCTCCAGAGCAGCAACCCGCGCTCATCGGCGATGTCGTAGATCCAGTCTGGCAAGTATGCGCCAGAGGACCAAACACGGAGCATGTTGAAGTTTTGTGACTCGACAGAGTCGAATAAGCGGTCCATTCTAGCCGAGGTAACCCTTGGCCAAAAGGCGTCTGGAGGAATCAAGTTGGCTCCCTTGGCATAAAACTCGTGGCCGTTGATCTCAAAGTGCCAGTTGTTTCCTGGCGTGATGCCGCTGGCAACTTGCGCTTCTGTGACGTTCCCCGAGCTGAATAAAATGGTTCGGAAGCCAACTCGCCGTTGAGAGACGAGAAGAGGCGTCTTGGACCCTGCGCTGCTGACAGAGACTGTGATGTTGTACAGCTGCTGGTTGCCCATGTCTCGAGGCCACCACAGCTTCGGCTTGCTGGCATCAATCGTCACAGAGCCGGTAATGGTCATCTCAGACTGCGTGACGCCCTGCAAGCTGCCAGAGTACAAGACTGAACGGCTGTCCTTTGCATCTGTAATGACGACCGACATGGAGGCATGCTTTGGCAGCGTTCCCACAAAGTCGAGACTTGCGTTGACCACCCATGGTGCGGACTGATCGGGGGCAAAGTTGTTGAACTGGCCCTTTCGAAAGATGTCAATGTCTGTGTTGAGAGAATACACCTCGCCGCCCTTGCTGAGCTGGACAATGCGTCCAGGCAGCCAAGGTCCTACGGGAGAGAAGGCTGGGCCCCAGTCCCAGCCAAAGTCGTTTTGTTCTTTGCGAACCCATTGGCGATTGGGATACTCGAAGGGATAAACCACCGAAGCCGGCCAATCTGATGACACGTTAAACCGTGTTTATAAAACAAGAAGCAAGATGCGTCACTCACGCTGCACTTCGCTGCTCGCATTAATGGCATTGATGATGCGAGGCACGCTCCCAAAATTAATGCTCAGAACGGGATCGCCCTTGCAGCTCGCAAACACGGAAGAGACGTCGTAGAACCATTGTCGGAACTGGTTATCTGGCGTTCCAACAATGTGGTCACAGAATTTGACGGTTGCGAATGTGTCCAGGCCGTCAAATACTAGCCACGTAGCAGTGTTCGATTTTCTGCTCCTTGGGTCATTGTTAGTTGTCAGGTTTACACACGAGATGAGCAACCTACAGTCCGCCAATGGGCTTGCTGGTATAAGTCCAGTTTTGGGCCGCGATCCATCGCAAGTCAAAGTCATTTAGGCCAGAGTTTCTATCAGTCACTACATCAGTCTTGTCTATTCAACCAATCTGGCGATGGCCGTCAAAGAGGGGATTCCTCACGGTTCATCTGCACTTTATTGGTTAGCATGTTGAAGAGTAGCATTTGCTTCTGTGTCTGGACTTACCAATCACACCAGCTGCGTGGAGATCTAGGTGAGCTTGTGAAGGATATTTGCCAGGAACAGTGATGTTGCCGTATTCATTTGTTACGGTCCATTTCAAAAGGCCCAGATCGTGAATAGCGGCCGCGTTGGAGCTTTCGGTAGTTGCCACCGCAGCACTGGCAAAGATGCCGAGCGCGGCGAAAAGAGGCCTCGTAAACCCCATCACTACAATATGAGGCTACAAAATGTATTCCTAATTCTCTCAATGGTGGCCACACGCAAAAAGCGCAGAGGCTGTGGATTATACTCTGACACCGCCAAGCAGGTTCTACTGAGCTGCCAAAGTAGAGACAGAGCCATTCCCCTTCAACTGCCGCCCCTTGCAGCTTTTATATCCCCAGAAATCCTCAATCATACCTGCCCGGAGTGAGACATCAATGAGGGGTCCGGAAGAATGCTCGGCCATTGTTGCACAACGCGCTTTCTGCATCATGTCGAATGGAGCCCTAGTCGCGTCGATCCAACGCTGCAAGTTGCAAACCGAGCAGCGAGGCCGGACTGTATGTGTGAATGACTTCATTCGACGAGAAACCATGGCCTGACCCCTGGACTGCGAATGCCGCCACAACCGGTAATCGCCGGCAGATGCTTCCCCACGATTCTGGTGTCACCAATGGCGATGACATCCAAGCAGAGGCCCCATTGCGGAAAGCACCAGTTCCCTTGTGAAGCTAGATCAGAACGATGTGCTCTCACTGGGGATTAGATCGGGAATACTGAAGGCCGATGCCTCTGTGGTTGAAATCTTTGGGCAATTGATCTTCTAATCAGATGATGGTGAATCAATCGACAAAATGATCCTGATGGTATGATGCTGGGCACTTTTACGGAACCTGTTCGACCGAGGATCAAGAAAAGTAAAAGTGCGGGGAGAGCGTTGGAGCTACATCCGAGTGCAACGCTGCAGCTCCATATTGCTGCTTTTCCGATGGCGATTACGACACGGCATGCTGCATACGACGTCTATGTGTCATGAAGCACTTGAAAAGCAGGAATTTGAAAAGAGGAGAAAGCAAGCCGGCGAATTAATAATCGCAAAACGCAGTGAAGGATGGGACGATTTGGTGGGAGCGCGACTTGGAGCGGGCATTGGCGCCTATATACTTGCAAAGAGAAGCATAGCCAGGTCCCGTCTGAAATCGTGATGTGAGAAAAAGAAAGATCAGCAAAAGCTACACCATGTTGCATCCGAGATGCTTCTGTTTCAGAGAGACGCAGGTACCAAACAAAGCCACCACTCAGCACACAAGATCAACATGGGCCGATAAGCTTAAATCATATACCAACGTGGTGGCGTTTGGCAAGATGATCTAAGAACTTTGACTCGATATGACATGTCTGAGACCAAATCATTGCTCTCGAAAGGAATCTGATTTTTATTAAGCAAATTCAGGCTAAAATTAAGTATCAATATGTGCAAACGCTCCGCCCTTTCCCTATAACATGATGCCCAAACCATTACTTCAACTTGTCAAAACGATCTTCCTGCCAACGCTTATAGTTTGGCGGAGGCGTATACTCTGTCCTCACAGCCTGCAGTCCGAAAAGGCGCCCGATCCAAGACGCGAGCAGCAGCAGCAAGTGAGACACGAACCAGTCTGCCGACAAGCCACTCTTTGCACCCAATCTCTTTGCACCCCAATAATTCGACGTGCTCAAAACCACAGGGATATTGTCCAGCGAGTGAAAGATGATGAACAAATTGAGCTTGATCCAAAAGTCGATGAACAAGTCCTTTATTGACGCGGGAAAGAAGGAAAATCCAGGCACGTTTGTGCTGAGCACCCTCCCAGCGTTCAAAATGACTCCATTGAGATTCCAGAAGAAGATTGCCTTTTCGCCATCCGCAGGGTCTGTCCTCTCCACGACGACGACCTCCTCGCCCTCTGGCTCTGCGCGCTGCCATTCGTGCCAGGCATATCGCTCGACTCGCAGTTCTGGCTGGTTGTCTGGAGAGGCTGTGAGGATTTGCTCCGTGTCGCCCAGGCGCACTTTGATGCTGCCTTTGACCACTTTGAGGTATTCCGTGTGCGTTTCGTGCCAATGGAGGCCGCTTGACCAGGTTGATTTTGGGGGGAGTGTGACTGTGACTTGATCTGGCTGCGAGAGATTGTATATGACGGCGTTGGGGAACTCTCGCTCAATGATTCCTGTTGTTTGATCCATGATGGCTGTTTAACACGTTTTCCGTAGGAGCCGAAGACGGCGCTCGTTAGTTTACTGTCTATCTCGTTGAGCGCAGAAAGTTGCGTAAAAAAGGAAGAAACTCCAACTCATTTATTAAAACGGTTCGCACGCATCACTTATCTGGCTTCACTATTCGGGATGCACCCGCTGACAAATTCACGTGCCAAACTTAGGGCGTGTCTGTCAGCAGTCGCAGTCATGAGATGTGTTCAGTTCTCGAGACTTTTGATGTTGCATCATTTGCGCCGGGCGCTAGCTACACAGAGCTAGACGAGCTCAAGAGGAAGTGGCGTGCGTAGAGGCTCGGTGTTGCGAGTAATGGCTAGCCAGCTGATATTCTTGTCTCGAATTTTCATAAGTCTGCTCTTCGGTTATGTCTTGGTGTTTTTGACTTTTATTTGCGTGAGGTGCCTGTAATTGAAAGTGGGGGATACTTGAGTGTTGCCATCTAATGCGTCAACACGAATGAGCTACAAGTACATGTACTCTTAATGACACGAGACGACATGGAGGATTTAGTCAATAGTCCATTTTAGACACGGTTCATCCACATCTACAGCGATTATTTCAGTGTACTTGCAGTTTGGATACATCTATCTGCTAGCCGTGTCTACGTCATTCGTGTCTCGGGATTGGCAACCGCAAGGATGGAAGAATCTCAACCAACCTTCAAACAGAGTAGCTTAGCTAAATTCAACAGCTGATATGAACATGGTACCGGAAGAGGCATTATGTTATAATAAAAGATTTTGACTTTGTTAGGTTCCGGGCAAAAGCGCATTATACGTTTGCATCTACGATCTGACTTGTACCAAAACTTGACGAGATACAGTAAGCAGGACTTGTACCTTGAAAGCCTCAAATTTCTTTTTATTTTGACGCAATTACAAATCTGAAAGTACATCTCTTCTCTTCCATCAGGGAAACGTTCTATATAGACAAAGAATCACAAATTATATGCAAAGACCACGCAATATATATGCACATTACATTTACTATTCAGAAGCAAATGCTCTCACTCTCCAACCATCTAAGAGGTGTAGCGACCAATGTCTGCACCAGGGCTCCAGCCTCCGGTAAAGTCAGGCTGGGCATTGATCTTGGTGCCGTCACCCAGGCGGAGAGCAACGGAGGTGTCCTTGGAGCACATGCCGTACATCTGGAGGTTCGTAGGCGTCGCCGAGATGAAGTGCATGTAGTCTGCTTAATGTCAGTGAATTGCAACTTGGAAATTGTCTTCGTTATAAACGCACCTTGGCACTGATAGGAACCAGCGCAGCCCTGGTATCCGGGACCACTGAAAAAGGCCCACGAGGCAGAGCCGTAGTAGTAAATGTCAGAGCCGCCGTTGACATAGTTGGCGAGGCCCATGTGGCAGCGGGCAGTGCTGTCGCACCAGGAGAAGTCCGGGTCGCCCCAGCCCTGGACATCGGCGGTCCAGGGCGCAGGAGGGACCTGCTTGGTGTTGTCGCCCTGGTCGTAGTTGGTCTCGCTCTGCAGCAGAGTCACGGCGACGTTGCTGGCAGACTTGAGGTTGAGCTGGTACAGCCACCAGTGCTCGCTGCCCAGGCCGTTGAGCCAGGTGCCCTTGGTGGACTCGACCAGGGCGCCGCCCTTTGCGGCAATGTTGGATCCGCCGCTGAAGCCCTCGGTGATGTGGTCGGCAACCCAGTTCCAGGTGTTCTCCACGTAGGCGGACGAGCTCTCGGTGAAGTGCAGGCCGATAAAGGCGGCCTGGCACTCGTTGCTGGCGTCGGTGCAGGCGTTGGTCAGCGCATCGGCGCCGTGGGTTCCGCCGACGGTGACGAGGGAGTTGAAGAGCGCCACGTCGCCGGGCTTGGAGCCGGCGGCGTTGAACTGCACAATGATGGCGCCGGGCAGCACGTCGGAGACGGTGAAGCGGAAGTCCTGGATCTGGGCCACGCCGACGTCGCCTTCGTTGCCGACTTGGACAACGGGCTTGGGGCTGGATGCGTCCTTGAAGAAGTCACCGCCGCCGGAAATCGTTGCCCAGGCCTCTCCGACCAGCTGGGAGCCGACGGGGACCAGGAGCGTAGACTCAACACGGTAGTCGCCAAAGGGGAAGTAGGCAATCTTGTTGTTGGTGGCGGCGAACTGGAGGACTTTGTTGAGGGCAGCAGAGTCGTCGGTGCTGCCATCGCCCTTGACGGTCTGGCCGCCATTCTGGCTGGGGTCCTTGACGTTGACAAAGTCAGTAACATGGTTGTTTGCGTAGTTGGGCACGGCGACGGCTGGGATACGGCCACCAGGGGCAACGCCGCTGGGGCGAGTCGTGTTGCCGTTGACACCGCCGTAGACGGGGTTCGCCCCAACAGTGTTTCCGTAGCTGTAGTTGACGACGTTCTTCGAGGCGCCGACAGTTGTTGTGCCGCGGATCACGGCAACGTCAGAGTCGGTGTCCTTGGTCAAGTTGTCAATGACAATGGAAGGATAGACGCTGGTTGTGAAAGTGACGCCCGAGTTGATGGACGTGGCATCGACGATTCCGATAAAGGGGCTGCCGCCGGTGTTGGAAACGCCAGTGCCAACGCTGTCAAAGGTAGGGTTCAACAGACTAATGGTGTTGCCGCCGCTGATGAGCATGCCGACGGTGTTCTTGTAAAAGTAGATGCTCTTGTAGAGGGCCTGTTGGTGGCCGTTGTGCCAGATACCCGTCTGGCCATTCTCAATGCGGATATCGGCCAGTGCAAGAGTAGATCCACGGCCCAGCTGGACTCCAGTGTGGCCCTTGCCGTTGACCGAGGGCGCAAGCGTGATCTTGACGTTTTGCAGCTGACAAGCCTGAGCAACACCCCAGTAGAGAGCAGAGATGCTGGAGCTTCCATCAACAGCAGTGGTGTCCAAAACAACATTCTTCAGTCCAACAGCAAAGGAAAGTTCGCCGGCATCGCCCGTAGAGGGATCCTGGCCGTTGACGAGGTAATTGTCGCTGAATCCTGCCGCGGCCTTGATAACGGGAGGGTTGGTGGCGTCACCGAACAGGATGGTATCGGTACGCATGTTGAGGGTGCTTGAGAGCTCGTATGTTCCCGATGGGATATACACAACACGAGGCTGCGATGCTAGCCACTCATTCTGTCGGTTGCCGCTACCAGCTGAGTCGATGGCATTCTGAAGAGAGCCGGCGTCACCAGGGCTGACGGCAACAAACACGTTGTAGGAAGCATCTACATAGGGAGCGGAGCCCTTGAATTGGCCGGTGTGGTCCATGGCAGCATACCAGAAGGAGCTGTTTGCTCGAGGCTGGAGAGCAGAGCGGCCATGATGGCGGACAAGTGCTGGCGAGGCTGTCACGGCGCCCAGGAAAGCCACCACAGCGGTGAGAGACTTCATGGCGTATCAAAGGAGAGACTAAAGCGAGAGTGCTGGAACCAAAAAGGCAGTGTAAAAGGAATGAACAACGAGACGAGGCTCGTAATAAGAGAAGCAGTATCCTGGTGGCTGGTTACACCCACAAGCTACCGCGTGATCAAAACCATGAGCGACGCGCCCCGGAAGTCATCGAAAACTATATAAAGAATCTCGCTTGTCTCGCTGCTGCGATTACTCCTCTGACCGGGCCTTGATGCCCATCGGCCCGGGGCCTTTCGCTTTTGCGGGCTGTCCATTGTGTCCTGCCTATACCAGCCCGTCAAGAAGCACATCGACGCAGATCATTTCAGGACCTCTCCGCTGATCTCTAACAACTAGGCAAGGCTCGCCCGAGACCAGCTGTGCTCGCAATGGTGGAAATTGGTCACGTCCGTGATGGAACGGGGGCACTGCCGTCTTACTGTGGCCTTTTACCCAAGTGGTCCTGTTCATCAAAGATGGTTCGGATTCATTGGTTCAAAGGCAGAAACTCGCTACTCTTCCCCCACTGCGTTTCACACCGATCGGCAGCGAGCAGTCCACTTTGAGCAGCTATTCTTAGGGAACACCAAGAAGCTAGTAAGCACTGCTAAGATTATGATACAGGGGCGAGCCGGCGGTCCTCGGCGGCTTGACCGAATATATCTGAGCCAAGGTCGAGGACGGAGCATGTTGTAGAGCTGAGATCGAATTACTACTCCTTGTTAAATGCTGACACGGGCCCGAGCTTGAGGCTGAGACTAATACTACCGTGGCGTGGGGCACTAGGGGAGCCTCCAAGGTCGTGATGAGATAATCAAGATGTATTTTAATATCAGTGATACGTTTGTTGTAGTATTTCTGAAAATAGGGGGCACGACAAAATCAGCTTGAATGCTGGGCTGATTCTTGGTCGCTGTAGCAGCCATAATAAGACATAAGTTGCCTCGCACGACTGAAGGCGCGGCACTCTGTTGACGATTCGAAACGCGGAAAAATCTCGTAGCTGATGCGGGTCCTGTCTTTCCAGGGTGATCCATGGTCTTGGGCATTTGGCTTCTTTAGCATACTAAAAAAAAGATTGAGGGGAAGAGACTATAGAAGACTTGTTGTGTTGGCGGATCCTATGTCAGCCAGCAACAGCTCTGGTTGTCTCCTTTTTCACTTTACGAGCAATACTAAACTGTTAGTTGGCGGGTGAAGCTATCTCGACACGATTGCGGCTCTGACATCATGCGAGGACCCAATCTATCATGTGTCTAGCGAGATTGTGCCCATCACTATGTGGCTGCGCCCGCTTCCGTTGCGTTCAATCGTGGATCCCCTTTTCTTAGTTTGGATAGTTGCCGAGGGAAGCGATAGGGCTACAGAAGGCTAGCAAGAACGAACCCTCTTTATTCCAGCTGTGGAATCATGGAATGTTCCGAAAATAAGCTTACCGATTCCGTTCATTACACTGCGTATGAAACATATACTTAAGTAGGGTTTATGCCTTTATTTATACAGCGCTATCGATGCAGGAGATACATATCTACTTGCTGTAGGATCGTAGTCATGGTTACTTGGTGTGTTAGTTCATTTGCTGCGCCTTTGCATCAGGCTCTTGGTTCTTACACTTGACATCGCAGTTACAAAGAGCATTACTAACTTGAAGTCTTGACGTTAGGCTTCCCGTGGAAAGCAGAGCATGCACCTCTCTCCGGGAGGATTCCAAATCCCGCGAGGCAGGATAGCCCCGGTCGATCTGGGGAAGATTTTCAGCCCTATAGTGACGTTGACCCAGATAGTATCTACCAATAGCCTTTGTGCGTTCAGGTGGTGTGTGAGGGGATATGCGAATACCATTTGGAGTGGTTTATAAGTATCAAGTATAACGGGTGTCGAATTTTGGTGCGGAAGGACTGCGTCCGATATGTCAGCCAAATAGCCAGGAACTGTTACAGACACGCCACCCACATGGGATTCCTTCAGCTTGGCTCACACCCCATCGGCACACTGCATGTCTCGTGAGCCATCTTATCTCTTCGAATGTGCGACAGCAGCGATAGATGGACACTATCTTCAAGGATCAGGGTTCCTGACTGATAGAGTGACATACCATAGGTGACGTCTCAACCCTCCTATGCATTTCGTATATAAATAGGTGCCGCGATGATCGTTTAGCCTATAATTTTCTACTATAGGAAGATCAAGTCATACGTCAGTGCTGCACTAGCCATTTATGTTGTACGAGCATAGTGTATTCCAAATGCGATTAGCTTCCCATCGCAAGGATGGGGTGAATATAGTGATGTGAAGAAATGGCTTTCTCGAGTGACGCTCATCGTTTGCCGTTGAAAATACACCCATCAAGACGGAAATGTGTGGTGACTGATCATTTTTGCTCAAAGCAATCATAGATGCAACAATTCATGCTGCATAATGTTCCTAAAGAAGACAGTAGTACCTACTTACTTGTAGAAATGGAAAAAAACAGAAGGCTATGGAGCACGGAATAACGGTATACAAGTAAGCTCGGGAAAGGTCGGGGAATAACAAGGGAAATTTCAGTATATGACTTCAGACTGCTACCTCCGTCTCGGTCATTCGTCATTCAGCTAATGTCAAGCTGTCTTATGAGTAGCACGCATCTGCATGCTTACGAGGGGTTTCTCTATTAAACGTAAGAATGAATAGGCTTATCAAGTATGAGTAAGACTATAGAGTAAGCTAGAGGTATAGAAATACGACTTTGGAGGTATACTAGAGCGAAAAGGGAGCAAGGTAATACGTGTATCGCCCTATTGCTATGGTATAGACGTTATATACTGTGTTAAACTTGCAGATCTTAACCCATTGACTAGTAGGACTATTTGTTTCCAGACGTAAGCCATCGTTGTCTTGAAGGAAATACTCTCGAAATAATAACCATGTGCAAGTTATGCAATCGGCTTTTGTCTACACGTGTGTTGTGCTCTCATTAACCCCACAAATTTCTACCAGATGCAAATTCGCTGTTTACACATTGGATGTTTTTTTTCTCTGCGTATAATCCTGCTACTCCGGATGTTGAATACGCAATTATAGCTCTGCTCGTCGTCGCAATCAGTTGCAGTCTCCTTCATTCCCCAAGACTGTGGACATGTGCGCTGCTTACCTCGGCTAGATCCGAGCAGCTTACAAATCCCTGTCTATGCCAGAAGAAGTCGTGATGCTACCTACATGTAGTAATGTGCTCAATATAAGCTCTCTGGTTTAGCATCTAATCCCGATTTCCGATTCTCACGCGTCTTACAGAGCTTATTTCCGCCTCGGGGAAGCGATAGCCAGATCTAGCACGAACTGGGGACTGCGCATGCAGTAAACATACTATAAGAACTTAAATGATCCTTGGACTCAATTCCTTCTGGGAGGGTATCGGTTTATTATATACTAGTGCCGTGTTGCAGTCGCCGCTTTTGCCTATATATTACGTCTACTCCCTTAAACGCCGAGCTTTCACCTTTATCCTAGACGGGAAACTGCCAACGAGAAAACAGGAGGAAAAAAAAAAAAAAAAGGTCGAAACTAGTCTGCTGACGGGAAAACGCATTCATGATTCAGGAACTGGATCCTTGTTCTCCCGAAAACGCCGCCCCACGGTATTTGCCGTTCCGACAGGGACCGACTACATCTCGTCAACCAACCACTGCTTCATCAGCTCGTCAACGTCAACCGCGGTATTGGGCCCCATAAAGTCGATTGTAGTCATAAACGACGGCGAATCATCCAGGCTCAAGACTGCGGCTGAAGGGTCGGTCATGTGGTTGCCACTGGCACCGTCATTCTGCATTGCCGTCACATCGCTTGGCTCACCGGCAGGCATTTTGCGAGCAATGGAGATGACCCCGAAATAGGGGATTGTAAAGTGAAACCGGTCGCCCTTTAGGCTTCTGGGGTCGTTTTCGATGGCCTGAAGCAGCTTGAGGACGTCGCGCGCCTGCAACGCCACGCGGTCGTCGAATCGTTCAATGGCCGCGTCCAAGACGTCGATGATGGCTGCAATCAGAGCCCAGTCTCCAGCCCTCTGGCCGGACAGGACTTCGAACTCGGCCGATGATGACTGTAGAAACATGTTGAAGATGATGGCCACTGCGGCTGTGAATGCCTGGAAGTTTGTCATGCAGCAGGAGAACATGCCAAAAGTCGTTCGCAGCGGGATATAGACCTTGATGAGCTCGCGTGCGGCCCTCAGGCACTGGATTCTGCTGTACTCGCTCCGCCGCTCGTCGGTTACATCGAGCATAAACGGCAGGTGATTGGACATGTCGAGGTGATGGTGCCATAGCTGAACGTTGTATCGACTGTAGAGCATGCCCATTGCGTCTGCTTGGCTGCCTGAGACCCGGTCAAAGGGGTGCCACCACGAGTACGGCATGGCCTTTGCCAGACTGCCAAGAGCACTGTCGATGGACACCATCAAGGGCACTGCCAGTGCTGGAGAGCGCTGATCTCTCTCGACCAAGTGGGCGGCGATCCGGTCGAGCTGCCGTTGGTAAAGCATGTCTTGCTGGCCTTCGCTCAACTGCTGCATAAATGTGAGGTTGTCCAACACAAACGGCCCGTATGAATCTACAACTCCGCAGGGGAATCCAAGGACCTCGGAGAGATGGCGGTCGTGGTGCACAAGATGAGGCCAGATCCCCGCTATGCTGCCTTCTTCCTGGGCATCCTGCACAGACGTCTTGTGGAGATCCATAAGCTGCGCAACTGCCAAAGCTCTTCGATTGTTGAGCCACGCCCGCCGCGGCCTACCGGAGTTGACAAAGTAGATGGATATGAGCAGTAGGCATTCCAGCCCCTCGTTTGTGGCAATGAGCTCATCGTCAGCCGTCACCAGGGAGATTATAGTAGCCGTAAGATGTTCTATGAAGTCGTTTCGCGAAGTTGGTAATCTGTACTTGTTCATATCTGTACTCTTTGGGAGCTGTTGTAGGCATATGACAATGACCATTAAAGCCCTTGCAATGACTGTCGGGTGGCTGGCGGACATTGGTTCGATCGGCAGCATTCTGAGGAGCGAGAATCTGATAGATTGACGAAGAGACGGTAGAGGCCGCAGGAGTTGACTGATCCAGGGTGAACTTTCGCTGTCGATGAGCTCAACGACTGCACGAGGCGGTGTAAGCTCCAACAGCATATGAGATACTCTGCTGAGTTTCGGCCATGCTGCTGTGCTGCCGGGCACCAGCGCTCGACTGGCATCTGGCGTCAAAGTTGAGGCGTCTGTGGGAGATATTCCTTCACAACCAATCTCCAACATGAACTAGAAGAAAGAGGGAGAAATATTCAGCAAATGTTCCATGCTAGGATCGACCAAAAAAAAAAAAAAAAGAAGTAGCCTACAGAAGCGTTGCGAAAGACAGAGACCACGTTGGATGTCGAAGAGGGCGCTGATATCGAGGCCGTGTTAATTACATCGATTCCGGTGCTATCCTCGGTAGTCGTCGCGTGTTCCGAGGGCTCCGTGGTCTGTGTATGCCGAGTTCCAGTCTCCAGCTTCTCAAGAACTCGTTCTAGCAAACTCTCTACACGAAGCATCCGCTCCTCCATGTTTGGAGAGCGCGAATGATCGCTGCCGTCATCTTGGTATTGCTGGCTGACACAGGCTGAATCGTGTGCAAGACACCACACGCATGTGGCCGAGTTTCCGCTGGAGAAAGTGCACCTGATCTTGCGACGTTTGCCTAGAAAGCCACCATGATTAACAACTGGATGGCAACAGCCGGGAGAAGCTGATTGCAGGACTATGCTGGCCGTCTCAAAAACCTACATTCCCAGCAGCTTCGCGTGCCTTTGCGGATCTTTCGGAGCTTCAGGTGCGAGAGTGAATCGCCCGGGCGATGCTGGACGGACGCTGGAACCATGCTGCAGATGTCTCGAGGTTGGTTCTGGAGTGTCTCGAGCGCTGGTGGAAACGATCAACGGCCGTGGGCGCGAATGAATGGAAAATCTCCCAGTTCTGCTGGTGCTTAGCACTCAGCCCGATTACATGTACTTATTAGTTATCAGGAACAGCCAACACTCAACAGAGTTGGTGATTTATGATACACTAACCCCTCACTAGCATCTGCAGTAGCACATCGGGAAACCATCCAAGTGCGCCATGCCTCGAGAACTAATCATTCGACGGGAGAAACACTGCTGGATGCTGCCCATTGGCCTGGTGCTCGGCGGGGCTGCCCGGCTGGTCTGTCAACATTTCAACGTCCACAGCACGTCGACAAGTTCGCCTACAGCACCGCCAGGGCGCAGGAACCTTCCCACTTCCCACAACTCCCAACAACGAGCCCTTTGAGTCGTATCAAACCCCGAAACCAGTGGAAAAGGCAGCCGAAAGTGGACCGACCAGCTAGCTTGGCGGTGTTGAGCGGGCTACGGCACCCTTGCTAATGCAAGCAGACGGTTCTGGAGGCGTCAGCTCCGAGCGTATGATTGGCCTGCCGGAGGGGGTGTTGCTAGCGACGGCCGGCTTCTCGCTCAAGTTGTTCGAGCTACGATGCTTTAAGGCTTACATGACATCGCGATGGGCGTCCCGACGACCTGGTCGCCAGCGCGGCCGATGATCTCTTACATGTACCCCGTAGTCAGGTGAACAATGGCCGGGTTTTTTGGGCCAACCTTTGGGCACTCGTACCAGGGACATGAATGATTCCAGTCTACTGTACATGTTTTTAGCGAACGTGGCGATGAACGCACATACACGTCCGAGAGCAATGCTGCCAGTAGCAATATGGATTGAGCCAGTAGCAAGTAAAAAAGACAGGCGGTTCAATTGTAATACTTGTATGTAATGCTCTACATCCCTCCCCATCGCGGATGTCGCCCGTGGGTGGCCTAATATACAGGGATGAAGGATTCTGGGCAAACTACTCAAGCAGCTTTTCCCGGTTCTGGTAATAACCGTTTCCCCAGCCTAGGGACTATTTAAGCAGCTCTGGATGGAAACATGACTAAATATCCGAGCTACATCTCTATAAAAAGACGTTTTATCCAGTATGTGATTATTCCACTTTGCCAAGTGTTTTACAAGAGGCGAAGAAGCCATGGCAATGGGCAATAGCAAAGGGCCTCTGTCGAATACGCCATAACAAACATTGCCATGGAAACACGCTTAAATTCTATATACAAGTGTACATGTGATAAGTGACCAAAAGGCGTCCACGCCACCTTGGAAGACCAAAGACCGCTTAGCATTGGGCATTTTCCGTGAAAGAGAATTCCATGTTTACTATCCAATAAATCGATTAGCAAATCTTTTAGTGCAATTACACTGCAGGTAATCATTTGTGTTCGGAGCCTTTTCCCACTTATTATTACTCCGACACTTGGCTACAGGCACATCAAAGTATTTGCCCCTAGCCCAACATATCGAACGAATGCCCGAAACCCTCAGCAGATTTTAATAAAAATTACAGCCGTATAGGCTTAAATTAGCCCACAAAGGCCAGTGAAATAAAGAACAGGAGCCTAATTTGCCCCTGATGAGTACTCTAGTCAAGATAAAAGCCTCGCCACTTCTCGTTGGACAGTGGCATCCAGGCTTTCTTCCAGCTTCATCCCTAGCTTTTCGTTCATCACGACGCCCTCCACATCGTAATTGCCGCCAGTACGATAGATGGCTTTGCTAAGAATATAGCCCAGGCTGCTAGTGTCGCCTTGGGCCAATTTATTCCGCGCCTCCGAGACTTTCTCTTCCAGGTCAACATCAATAATCTTCCACTCCGTGTGGTCCTGGCCTCTTGCGATATCCAGTCTTCTCGTGGCCGATATAAGCGACTCCAGAATTTCATCTTGGCTTGCATTGAATGATCTTACATGCACGTATCGGTTATCCACGATCGGAAAGTTGCTGGAGAAGAGGACATGCGACACAGCCTCTGCGACATTTGCCAAATTCGACCAACTGAGACGGTGAGTATGGTGCCCAGGCTGGTGGATATAAGCTGTTCGGGTTCGGACATTGAATGAGAAGAATCCTTGCCGTAGGCTCCTGTTGGAAAATCTGGTGTCAGCATAACTCTACTTGAAGAGCTCGATAGGAAATGCGTCCAACGAAAATAAATGTACAGGACGGCGGATTGCGTACCAGTCGAAAAAAGGTCCGGTTATAATCCCCGTCCAAGTTATCTTGTCTTGGATAGATTGGAGATACTGTATGATCCGAGGCTTCATCTTCAAAAAAGTCATAATCTCGACCGTTTCCTCCTTGGAGGTATCGATGCCAAACTCGGCCGGTATGAATCGCTTCACCCCAGCCAAAACGGCAATGTCAATCATTTTCTTCTGCTCTTCAAAATCCGGCATTGTAATTGTATTGACGACAGCATCTTGACCCTTGAACGCAAGCAAAATAGAAGAGTCCGAATAATCGGTACGATAAACCGTAGTTCCGCCGGGAGGCACAACGTTCGAAGCGTCCCTGACCAGAACAGAAACAGCAAATCCGTGCGACTGCAAAGACGAGATTACAACGGGGTTCAGGTAGCCCCCAGCCTATTCGCAATTAGAATGTGTGTAGCAGCGGATTGATGTTTTGTGATGGGAATCGACGTACCCCAACTACTATAACCTTTTTTATTTCGCTCATGTTGGATAATTGGTATGATGGCAAGTAAAACTCCTTGATCAGTGCCTTGATTGAGTTTACGAGATATTTCTCCTTCTTGTTGACCTCATCATGTTTTTATGCTGCTGTATCTCATATGTTAATTCATTCGGCCGAGCTCGGCGGAAGAGGTTGAAGTACTCCACACTTGGCTTAGATACTCAACCATTCAGCAGCCTTCAAGTCTTGTCTCCTATTGTAATTCATGTAAAAAATTAATTAGCCTACTCGAATAAGCTGAATGTTCGGCCGGAGCACGGGCGAGTGCGTGCTTTGTAGTTTTGGAGACTAGGTAATAGCTGACTATATATATCGACAGCAACGAGTGCCGTGTCAAGACAGTCATGGTGACTCCATACAATTTCTGGTGTTAAACATCTTGTCAAAAAATCTGGGATCAATATCCTACCACTCGCGTTACTTTTCCTCATTATGGGCTCTTCGTTATACAAAATCTGTTTCATCAGACGCCGGCCTGATCTCACCGAGGAACAGTTTTATGACTACTGGAGGAATGTCCACGCTCCCAAGATTGCGTATTGGTCCAAGAAGCATGGCATAATCGGATACACACAGGTAAAAATAGCCCTTCTCCGACTGTTTCTCTATACTTTAACCACTAATTGACTATATTGTGTTACTAGATTCACACATCTAGCGCTCTACGCCAGCCATTGACCGCGACGCCGCTTCCCCTCGCAGTCATGGACTTTGATGGCGCTGTGATATGGGAAATTCCGAGCTTGGAGCACTTCTTCAACGCTTTCAATGATCCGTACTACTTGAACGTTATTGCTCCGGATGAAGACAACTTTCTCGACAAGAGCAAAGAAGTGGCAACAGTTACTTTAGGTCACTTTCATAACATTGTTGCTGGTGGGGAGCCTCTTATTGACTACAGCGAAGCGGCTGAACCATCAGGGACCAAATAAACGGCTGTCCATCAAGACACGTGCTTGAAAGCGCACTGGGAGTAAATGGATGCGGTTATTTGGGACGGCATATAGTTGGACATGAACCTGAACCATTTACTGTGCTGTTAGACTATCAGCTGTACGGTGCAGAGATAATTCCAGTATTATGAACAAAATCGTGCAGATGAGCAGTAGACTGCTTACAATCGATATCTAAATCCCACCGTTTTCCAGTCCGTCACATCTTCATAGTCTTCTGGTCTTAGCTGAATACCCGTAACTGTTTCCGCAACATCTTTCCCATCCACAATATCGGATACTTTTCCTGCAGCAACTACACCAGCTGCTCCCGCATTCCCAACAAAGCCCTCTTCCTTTGAGCGCTGCGCATTCACCCACTGCAGATAAAACCTCAAAACAACAGCCAGAAATATGACGAGGCAGTAGCAAATCATGATTGTCTTGAAAGCCGTCTGATAGGTTGGCGCTTCAGACGTGCGGAAGAACTGAGGGCCAGCGATATTACCAGCACAATATGCCAGGAACAGCAAGGCCGTCACAGTCATCTTCTTCGTGACGCCACGGTAATTGGACTGCACGAGAGCCATGGTGAGAGGCATCGCGGCAGGACCGGGGGATAGCAGGAAATATGCAAACAATTGAACGCCGTGGGGTACTGATTCGCGGCGGTAGATGACTGCAGAACCAACGACACATGGTACAAGGACAAGAACGATGAGTATGCAGTTCATAGTCCGGTAGCGGCCAGCAAGCCATCCAGTGCCTGCGATGATGCTTGCAGAAAGAACAGAGTAAGGGATGTTGATGAGCGTCGACTGTAAGGAGGTGAAGTTGAAGGAAGCAATGATGATGTTGGAAAAGCTTTGCGTGCCGCTATTAGGCATTTGGCCAACAAGCTCAATGAGAAAAATGAGCCAGGTCTTTGGGTCAATCAGACATTCCACTAGCTGATCCCATCTCCAGCGCGTATTTTCCGTAGTTCCCGTGCCTGCAACAATCGTGCGGTTTGCTGCAATCTCCCGTTCTTCAGGCGTGAGGAACTTGGCCTTGGAGATGCTGTCCGGGAGGAGGAAAAACATTGGGATACTCCAGAGGAACGTCAAAACCCCGAGAAGGATATACATCCATCGCCAAGGATGCACGTTGTCATGGACGTGTCCAAGCCCAAAGGCAATGAGACTGGAAATGATGCCGCCGATGGAGTTGCCCGCAAACCAGATGCCTACTCGCGTCGGCATCTCGTCTCGAGTGTACCACGTCGACGTGAGAAACATAAAGGCCGGGGTTATGGTCGCTTCTGCCATGCCCAAGAGGAATCTCACGGCCATGAGGCCCCCAAAGTTGGTGCATGCTGCTGTCAACGCCACGACAGCGCCCCATACAAGAGTGTTGAAGGTGAGATACTTGGCAGTGGGCAGGCGGGCGATGAGCACCGTGGTTGGATACTCCCATATGAGATAGCCAAAGTAGAAGATACTGCTGACCCAGCTGTATTGCTGCCCTACAAGGTGCTGTATATAAGTGAGCCAACAGATTCTCGTTTACACGCGGCTATTGCCCTTGGGGGTTGTGTCAAGTTTCTTACGGTATCTTCGCGCAAGCCAAACACAGCAGCACTCGACAAGATGACCTTATCCATAAAGTTGAGCATGTAAGTGACAAACAACAGAGGGATAATAACTCGGTCAATCTTCTTCACCACGCGGCGTGCAATTGCAGCGTCGGCGCCCGCCTCAACAGGAGACGCTTCCGGCATTGGAGAAGTCATGTCGCCGTCAGTGATGCGACGCAGCAACGGCTCAGTCTCGCTGGATGAGCGATCATTCTGGCGATTCATCGAATACAGGTGCACAACAAGTATATATGAGCTAGTCCAACCGCCGATCTAGCAGATTGTCTCTGTTATCACGGCGCGTTTTCCCCTCACGCTTATCTTGTAGTGTGATTGATGGAATGAATGCAGCGAGTTTGTTACCCGAGATCGGCCAATCGCCAAAACCAGGGCTATATCCGGCTAAAAGCCTAATTGCATGTATTAAACTGACTAACTAGTTAGACGATCTACAACACAGGATAGGACTGAGAGAAGATGATGCTTTAAAAACATGAATCTTGACTTACGGGAGCTTTTGAAGGTTGCAAACATCAGGATATATGGTAGAGTTTATGGGCCTTGTCCTCTGTCGAGAATTCCCTTTTCGCTACGGCCCGAGAGTTTGATTCAAGCAGCTCCGCAGAATCCCTTGACAAGGATTCAAGTGGAGGAAATAGCTAGTGCTATTGAGATAGGAAAGGAAATACTAGTAATAAACAATACGCCGTACGTTAGTTGGAAATCCTGGCTACGCGCATGGCATACGTTGTAGGGTGGTTCTAGTGTAAAGCTTTACATTAGGTTAGTTGCATCGTAATCAAGGCTTTTGCGTATTACGTATTTAGATGGTTTAGCATGTTCAAATATGACAAGGGTATATATTATGACCGTTGCATCAACCTTATAATATGCCTTATTATGCCTTATTGATTGGTAAAGTTGACATGTATTGATCCTGAGGACAAGCGAAAAGATTTATCGAGGTTTCTTACGTCTAAGAGAACAATACGGAGCGCTATTTCAAAGAACGCATAGAACTGTAAACTTGTGCTGCTGTATTATAATCTGACTTCAATATGTTTTCATGCATTGGGGGTATTTGCGGTTTGAGATACAATCTTCTTCCTCATTAATAGCCGCAAGTAACCGAGGTTTAGACGCTTAATTAGTACATATATATGACTTTCATCATTCTCTTGAAACACCTATTTCTATGTACGAATTATTTTTACACTTAAGCGCCATAAAAGATCTTTTGCATATTAATGTGACGTCCAACACATGAAATCCTTCTAGTCAAAGATGATCTACTATGACTGACACTTTATGAAATTCAAGTCCTCTTTCTACCTCTTACTTGCAATAGCAGCAGCGAGAAGCACAGCAGAGCCGCAGACTACCGAAGTAATCCCAAATATTTGGGCATAGAGAAAATTTCCATTATCAAGGTCAATCAGGGCACCAGCAATAGGCGGACCAGTAAGACAGGCAAAGCTGATGATTGTAAAGATCATGCCTACCCGGACGCCCATCTTCTGAGGGTCTTTGGTCAGGCTACCCACGCTGCCGACAAAGAGACTCTGCACAGCATTCGCAAAGAAGCCGTAGACGATGATCCAGGCAAGAAACCCATTGTAAGAAGTGACATACTTCCACAAGTAGAGCAACACGCCGGCACTAAACGTGATGGGAGTGAGGACGTATAATGCGTTGCCTACCACGCGCGTGGCAAGATATGCTGGGAAGATGCGACCGGGCAAGCCGATGCCATTGATGGCGATGATGAGATAAAATGACGGTGCGGCTGGGACATGAAGAATCTTGGAGCCAAAGATGGAAATCTGGTTACATTGGTGTTACAAGTTAGACAAACGGAGAAATCAATGGAAGAAGAGAAACTTGCATAGAAGTAGGCAAAGTAGAGGCCCCAGAGGCTCAAGAATATGCCAATGGCGTACAAGAGATAAGGCAACTCTTTAAACGCCTCCCACTCAATGAAAGCACCTGACTTGCGTGGTGCTACCTTGGGTCGCACGACGATCAGAGCAATGACAGAGTTGAAGGTAAACACAAAGCCCATGACTCGCACCGCCCAAGGCTCGCCAAGTGTTGGGATGAGCTGCCGAGCAATGGAGGGAAACACCATTCCTCCGGTAGCAGCGCCGGCCGCGGCAAAAGACACGGCTAGAGCCCGATCTTTTTCATAGTAGGTGCTGATCAGGGAGATCATGGGGCAGAAAATGAGGCCATCGCCAAGGCCGACGCAGATGCCCTGCGAGAGGAGGATCTGCCAGTAGGCAGTAGCAGACGCAGTGGTGAAGATGCCAATGATTTGGAGGCTGCAGCCAACAGCCAGAGTTGTGCGCAGGTAGCCGGCATCAAGGACTCGCCCTGAAAACGTGCCGACAAAGTAGATGAGAAAGATTTGGAGGCTGCCAATCCACGAAACGTCTGATTGTGAACGGCCCAGGGCAGAAATGTAGTAGGATTGGAATAGACCCCATGAGCCGATGTAGCCAAAGGTATCAAAGATCATCAAGTGACCAGCCAAGATTTGAAGATAGCCAGTCCATGGCGAAAGAGAGGTTGATGACGAAGGCGGCGATAAGGATTCAGAGGCAGACTCAGAAATCGGTATAGCTTCAGTCTTCTTGTCGTCGACGGATTCCATCATTTCTTCTTCCTTTCGCCGCTGGTCTGCCTCCCTATTCCTGCTTTGTCGCCCCTGAGAGAGCTGGAGGTTAAGAATCTCGTGGCCCTCTGCAATTTTCCTGATACGAGATGATGACAAGGGATTCCTCCACGTCTTACTTGTTAAGTGATGTCAAAATAAGGCGGAGCGTGGGGTATCAGAGATCCACTAGCTTAGATCCTGATTGTTGAAGCGGAAGGTGCATGTGAATATACCCAGCAATTGCCTAGTAGGGGAAGAAAAAAAACTCTTTCAAATTCAGGGAATATCGACCTGGATCGGGGACTTGTTACGAAAGTTCTCTGAGCGGTAGGTTAGCTTTGCAACTTTACGAGTGTGGGTAAGCCCTATTCTTGAATGGACATTACGTACATGAAGAGAAGAGTTTGCCATTAGCTTGTGATTGGCGGTTTGACGAGTTCAGCGCACATGCCACACACCACCTCGAATGCTACTTCTTGGGAAGCAAATCAGGCTAAAGCGACCGTCAACAGTGCATCACAGCAGGATTATGAATAAAGGATTTGCTTCGGTACTTGTGCAGAGTAGGCACTTGCTCAGTAAACAAGTACTTGTTAATCCATGTAGCCATTTATAATATACGAATATACGACAAGGGAAATATTGTTACAAGGCTAATAGATTTACCGCAAGTCTGAGTAAGTCTTTTGAGTTGTGACGGACAGTTGATAATTCCAAACACCTGGTGGAACTTGCAGGTACAGGTACATGTACATATGAGTCCCGTGTTGTATGTAAACGGGTTGAGTTATTCGATTCTCATATATTGTAAACAACTGAAATGTATTCAAGTCGAATCACCAGAGACTGTATCTAGGAATATAATAATATTATGGTGTAATAGATTATCTGTATAAACTTGATTAATATATCTTTGAATCTGATTTATTACCGATTCCAAGCACAACCCTCCATGGAAATCGTAAGGCGGTGTTGCGGTGTCAGCGCGGTGTAATTCTGTATGCAGTTATGTAAGAGAATGTTACGCCGGTCTAGTAGGTTCCTTTCCGATCAAGGCGAATACTTTGACTTGGTTGAGAGACATATGCTCAGCTTAGTATAGCACACACGCTGTGGCTTATGACGATTCAGCTTTGCGGCAGATCTTTACTAGTCTCGGGGTTTAGGGGATTGGTAAGGCTGTAGGAACTGGATCAACGGCACGTGTCTGCCTTGACAAGGTGCCATGACGCGCCAGTATTACAACAGCAGCTGAAGATATCCCGGTGGATACCATGGAGAATACACAGGCTGTACCTGGCAAAGAACCATATGGAAGGTAGTAGCAGCAGCATGGACTGAGGAAACGGGATTTTCCGTACTAACCTTTTGCAGTTTCTCAGCAATCGAGATTTGCCAGTGGGTACTATGGAGGATACCCAGCCTATTTATACACTTGGTGAGGAATCATGAAAAAGGTACGGAATTTGCCGTCCTATCCAAGTACAATTTCGCGGCATCTATGCAGATCTTCAAGTATGTACATGTACCCCGTTGCTAGTCGCCTGCTAGTAGCCGGCGGGCACGGCGCCATCCGCACAAACACCGCAGCGGACTTCCATCAACCCCCACAAGGCAGCGGGGAGATTCAGCTCTCGGACGCTAATCACGCCGGGAGTCAGCGCTATAAAGAGGAGAGGCAGGTGTGTCGGGGGCTAGAACAGTGCTATGGAATGCAGTGTGGCACACGATGCAGCAAACCGGTTAGCTAAACGGAAATGATCTGCCGAAGTTGGCTAATGTCGCCCTGCACTTCTTATCGAAGAAGCTATATCCATCATTTTTATAAACAATTGTTATAAACCTGCGGGCCGAGACTCAATAACAAGAAAATAGGAAGGAGAGTTTTACGTTACATGCTAGTCATGTATGCTTAGCAATTCTGTATTGTGTCAGGCGTGTCGCTCAGTTCTTGGCTTTTGTACTCCATTGTTGTTGAAAGGTGCTATTCTGTCAACGGTAGTTACCGATTCGATGATTAGAATAGATCTGTATTGACTGACACTTTTCTCCAGTTCCATCTGATCTACCATTAGCTTAGTATAGCAAGTCTTTTACCTTGTTGTCTGCTTTGTGTTACGGCTAGTGTGCGAGGCTAAAAGCTTGTTTTGCTTGTACTACAGGCAGCGGACGTTCCCCGTTGAGGCAGCATTTTACTTGAATCGAGCTTGACATTGATCTTAGCGTGGATGCTAGCTTTCAATTTAGGCATCCAAAACAATCGTAGCGCTGACAAGTTGGATGTGGCGCATCGCTCAAGGCCGAGGGTGTCTAAGAGCTGGAAGAGGATGGCAAGGGATGGAGATCAACCTCCACACACATATCGTAAACCCACTTTTGGTAGGTATAGTTATATAAAGTAATTGGTAATGTACATATTACGTATTTTAATAGCATGTAAAACTTTGACCTATGTTTACTGCTATTCCTAATAAGTTAGTATTATATAATATTAGTATAACTTTGTCTTTACTTCTTATACTTTGAGTTGTATTCTAACCTGTGATTGAATACTTGAACTATTAATAATATTGTAAATTACTCATGATGCTTGTTATGGCTATTATTATTTATAACTATATTACATATATGCCGAGGATTTTAATCGTATTTCATTAGCTGGAAATGTTGAAGTAGAACAACTTGTAAGAGGCAGTGCAGGCAAAAGTACATGTACCGGCATTGACGAATCTTGTTGACTATTGGCCCGGTCAACAAGCCTTACAATTTGTTATATCCTGCTTTTACTAGTTGAGCCTCAGCTCCCCCGACGCATACATAACCAGGTAGTTTCCTCGTTGCACACATCTCTCTTCTTTCATCAACACCACACTCATCTCCTTCTGTTTCTTAGAAACTCGTTTTACATCTATTTTGAAACCGCAACCATGTCTATTCTTGCATCCAAGTTGATCGCTATCAACATTGTTGACTTGCAAGATGGTAGCCATGTCATCACGGATGCCCATTCTACCCCCAACTTTGACCGGTTGGCCAAGCTTGAAGCTCAAGTCACTGAACTCTCTCAGTGGAAGAATTCCATGACCCCCATCATCTCCAACTCCATCGCAGGATCTGGTACTGCGTCCAATTCTGGATCTGCATCAGATTCTGAGTCGGACTCTAACCAATCCATTGGCTCCCTCGACCCAAACTCTCTCATGGTCCGTCATGCAGCTCCACAGAAGAAGTCTACAACCACAGCCAAGAAGAGCAATCTCCCCAAGAAACAAGATACCGATGTCACATCACGTATCATGACCATCATCCAGGGCTACGGCCAGAACGAAGAAAACGACGAAGGCTCGCCCTGGTTGGGTCGTATCAAGTTCGAGCCTCGTGTCCGCAAACATGTAAAGGCGAACGCGCCCATTGAGCTTGTTCTACCCGCTTTCCCTTGGAAGAGTGTCAACAAGGTTGAGAAAGTCCTTGGCGCTGTGCCCGACTTGGGCGAAGAGTTGGGTTTGGGTCGTCTTCAAAACCTCTGCGAAGATATCCAATCCATCTACCCGCCTGGAGCGTATGTCACCGTCACCTCAGACGGCCTTGTCTACAATGATCTCCTAGGTATCTCCAACGAGGAGGTATACGAGTATGGTGGTGCTCTCCGACGAATGGCTGAAGAGAAAGGCTATGATCGTCTCAAGTTCATCCGTATTATGAACCTTTTGGGTCTTACCGACAGCCCGCACATGACCAAGGAGGAGTACTTGGCATGTGTTGATGACTCGCGAAAGATGCTTGTGGAAAAGTATCTCCCTGCAGACTTTGACGCTCGCGATGCCATCCTGAACGACGCCGATATCAACCTGACCTACTGCGGCTACATCATCTTCTTGAGCAAAGATATGCGCCACAGCCCAATCACCGCTGGTGTCACCACCAAGCGAGAATACAGAACGGTCGTTAAGCGAGTTGCGCACGACATGATTACTCGAGGCAAGGTACGTTACATCGCTTGATCTCTCTTTATGACTTTACCTAACTCTTATGTAATAGGCCTTTGCTGCTGTTATCGAAGACCGTCTCCCCGACTACGTTCGCCTTTCCATCCACCGATCTACAGGTCTCAATAAGCTCTCTTTCCCTCTCGTTCCACAGCCCAACCACTTCTCCATGACTCCTTGGCACTGCTGCATTGCTGTTACTGCCAAGGGCCAGTTCCGCACTGCTCACGCCATTGAGCTGCGCGAGACGCACGACGTAATCGAGCAAAACGGTCGACCTTACTACTACAGAGATCGCTCTGATGTGTGGAAGTGGAATGTGCCGGTTGAGTTTGAGTTCTTCTATCCCAGGGGCATCTACGTGAGGGCAAAGACTGCTGAGGGTGAAGCTGCTCCTAAGCTAGGTCCAAACGAGCTTGCCAAGATCAAAGAGCTGGGCAAAGGTTTCTCTCCTGTTATTCCTACAGGTTTTGCTTAGATTAGTTATGTCATGAGTATTAGACGGAAAAGATATCAGAGCGAAGTGTCATGTTACACAGATAGGAAAATTGAAAGTCAAGTTCTTAACTATTCATGCTTTCTCTACGTATAATGGTCCCTTATTTCTTCATACTAACCTAGAATCTTTATATGTGTACTTATTATGAGTAGAGAACTACATGAATAATAATGCATGCTAGCCTAAGTAATATTTCTACTCTAGTAGAAGCATCCGATATTTCTATTTGACGTTATTATCATTCCACCTTATTGAAACAGGAACCTTGCTGCAAATATAAGGTCTCAAACCAATAGCTCAGCATTGAATCTATATAACCATCGGGTAGTATAACTAATGAAATGATTCAGGTAACAAAGTCAATTGATGTTGCAACATGCAATGTGTCGCTTTGACTGAACCGACTAGAATTATATTTATATTGTTCTTTACAAGTCATAACTTCTCTCTGTTCGCCATACGCAGTAATCCTTTTCCCTCGTAATACTCTCATCTTCATTCACACTTTCACTATTTAGTGATATTTACTAATTGCATTCAGATATGCCTGGCCCGACTGAGAGAGGCCCCCATCGCTATTCACCGGAGGCCACACCGAGCCCAAGCCGAGGCCGTCAGTGTACGCATACGCCAAAACATGCTCGTTGGCCTCAAACAGATCCACAATATCGCTGATCCACTGGTTGATCTGGTTCTGATCCGTGCATGGCGTAAAGTTGTTTTGGTCAAAGACGCACGCAAACTCCGTCACCCAAAGCGGCTTCTGATAGGTGTTCCAGTAGTAGTCGATGTCGGCCTGCACGCCCGCCATGTCCGGTTTGAAGATGTGAATGGATGTAAAGTCCCAGCTCTTGGTGAGTTGCTGCTGGTCGAACTGCTTGAGCCAAGACTCGTCCTTCTGGCGACACATAGCCGGGCTGCCGAGCACAGCACCTTTCTGGCCAATGGGGGCAATCAGACTGTTCCACAAGCTAACCCCTATATTGACGTCAATGTCTGCAGATACATCAGCCCCTGAGCAATCAGGCTCATTGAAGCCCATGACATAGGCGGGCGTGGAGTTGAGATGCTCGAATTGTTGCAGCCTCTGAGCGTCTTTCTGTCCATTGTTGCCGCCACCCCAAAGCATAGAAACGGGAACGAGGCCTGCGCCTTTGGGGCTTGAAGGGGCTGGTGTCCAGTCATGCCACCAACTCAAGTGATCTTTCCAAAAGGCGAGAGCGGTGTCGCCCGCCGATCCGGCTTTTCTACCGTTGGGAGTTAATGGGTGCTGGGCCATGGCTGAAGCCAATGCACCCAACAAGAGACAGTAACTTTTCAGGGCCATTCTGTATGATATCGCTTCGGGCAATAATGGTTGTATTTTGATTTCCAAAAGTCACTGCGATGAGACGCAATTTATTATCTGGAGTTCTTATAGACGTCGCAAGTGCCGAGCGCTGTGGTGCGTAAGCTGACAGCTACAAACACCAGTTATGCTTAATCTAGTAGGCAACAGGATCTGTATCCGGCAGCTGCTTTCTTAGGGGCACAAGTTATTCTGGTAGCTGTTTAGTAATACTGAATACGAACAACTCACATTCGTATTCCTAATGGAATAGTAAACAAAAATCGTACGTTAGGAAACTACTTGCTGGTATCTCCTATATGCGAAATTCATCTCAAAAGAAGCGATGTTGCGACTTTCGGTTCCAGAAGGAAACCAGATCCGAGTTTAAGATTGAAACACGATCAACTTACCGACATTCCGCGCAGATTTAGTACCTTGTACGAAACATATCGGAGCCTTCGGTCCTCATAGCTGTGCAAACCGGGTCCACTTTAATATATCTGACATTCAGAAGAAAATAAGGACCGGGGAAGTGGAGGGTTGTATAAAGTCCGGCCGGTACCCGTTTATAAGAGCCAAGTCCACTGTAAGTCCACTTATCCTTCTATTGGAAAGACTGTCACACGGAAAAGTTGTTTGGTATACAGCACTGGCATAAACTAAAGTTAAAACATCAAGCATAAGCGCAAGTCAGCTAGAACGGCAGTGATCGGCACGTATAAGGGGTAGCGGCACTTCAACTTGGACGTTACCATAAAGAGAAGCTTCTTTTCAAGATCGGCATTCGGTCCGAATGACATGCTTGTTGCTGTGAAGTACCAAACGGGCAAGTGTGTTGATACTATAACTTTACGATATCGACGTCTTCACATCATCACACATAGCTTTCATTCACAATTGATGCTAGAGCTGTTTGATGTAGAGTATGTATGTCGTCAAGACTCTCAAAGGCTCTGAAGAACTATACTTGAAGATGGAAATTTGGCAATTAATGTATTAGATATTAAGATATTTCCAGCCGTTATGCATGCGAAAGCCGACGGATATTTCATATTGACTGAAACACCTTCAGATAAGATGCTTGGTAAATGATCGACACGCCCAGAAATGTCGATCCCGAGAATTGTTTATTGCCTATTCAGCCCACTACTATATAGAGCATAGAAATCTCCCCAGATAACCGCAGTTCTTCAGGCCATCTGCCACTCACTCCAAGTATTTCTTCAAAGGGGCTATCAACATGTTGTCTGCATATGCCTTTTCGCTGCTAGTAGCTTCAGCCAGCGCCTGGACTCCTCAGTCCAATGCAAAGGGTCGGTAAAGGCTCGAATCACAGCTAGTCTATTGGACAACCAGCTTACGAATGACACAGTCTTCAGCCGAGATACCGAAGGCGTCATGAGATGGCTGCCCGGCAACGACAAGTTCCGCGGTGTCAATCTCGGCTCGCAGTTCATCATCGAACCATGGATGGCTTCTGATGAGTTCTCAGGCATGGGCTGTGGCGGACTCAACGACGAATGGTCTTGTGTCCAAAGCCTCGGCCAGGATGCTGCTGACGCCGCCTTCCAGAAGCACTGGGACAGCTGGATCACCCAAGACGACATCACCCAGATCAAGAGTCTGGGGCTTAACACAGTCCGTATCCCAGTTGGCTTCTGGATCCGTGAAGATCTTGTTCAACAAGGCGAATTCTTCCCTCGAGGAGGTATTCAGTACCTGGACCGTCTAGTCGGATGGTGCAATGACGCAGGTATCTATGTCATTATGGACCTTCACGGCGGCCCTGGAGCGCAGTTCCCTAACCAGCAATACACTGGCCATGTAAGAGAAGCAGTTTGGTATCTTCAACCTTCCAAGTTCTCAACTAATAGTACATTCATAGGGAGTCTCACAGCCTGGGTTCTACACCGAGGCAAACTACGAACGAGCAGCCGACTTCCTAGAGTGGATGACTGAGCGCATTCATACCAACGCTACCTATGCTTCCGTCGGCATGCTAGAAGTCATCAACGAGCCCGTCCACTCTGGCGATTTCCCCAGCCAAGCTGCTGACATGGTCAACACCTACTATCCTCTCGCCTGGAACCGCATCCGTGATACTGAGAGCAAACTGGGTGTCTCTGACGATAAGCGCCTTCATATCCAATTCATGGTTCGTCCTCCCTAGCTATCAAATCTCTTTAACCAACAAGACAAGCTGACAAACTGGCAATAACAGGCCTCAGCCTGGGGCTCCGGGGACCCAACCAGCGCCCTCCCCAGCACCGACTTCGCCGCCTTCGACGACCACCGCTACCTCAAATGGGACACCAGCGTCACCGCCACCAAAGACGGCTATCTCAACGCTGCCTGCAGCGACAAGCGCGACGACAACGTCATTGTCGGCGAGTGGTCCATCTCCGTCGCCGACAACGTCCAGGACAACGACGAGCTCGGCATCAAGAACCGCTCCGACCAGGCCGACTGGTACCAGCAGTTCTGGGCCGCCCAGGTGCTCGCCTTTGAGAAGTCGGCTGGCTGGGTCTTTTGGACGTGGAAGTGCAACTGGATCACGGGATATGATGATTGGAGGTGGTGCTATCAGTCTGCTGTTGCGGCGGGAGCGATTCCCAAGGACGCGGGCAGCGCGGCTAGCATTAACCCATGTTAAGTAGCCATTGAGTTCACGTTGATATATGAAATGGAAGCTTTTGTGGGCGATTATGGCTTCACTATTATATAATTTGCTTCTTGCATGTAGATGTACCTGTGATATAAGCACAAATATGAAAAGTATCACGAAGCTTTGCCTTTCAAGAGCACATATGAAGTGAAAAAAACCTTTAGGTCAATTAAACAAAGTTAATCTGTCCGAAAAATCTCAAAGAAACCCGTGGGGTGCCTTATCAGCCACCCAGTGTTCAAACCATCGTGTCCAAGTAACGTTTCCAATCTCCAAATCATGGAGTGCCGTTCAAATATACCCACAACTTCTTCTAGCTGTTTAACCACCCAAGCCCAGAAATATGGTATTCCTCATATTTAACCTCTCTGAGTAGTGGAATAGGCTGGATCGCCTGGGCCTTGATCGCCTGGGCCTTGATCAGTTAGGGGTGGATCGGTGGGTAGAACAATGATAACGTAGTGCTCCTCGTCGCAGTATGCGCACTTGTCGGCATTGCCTTTCTCGACCACCTTGACGCATCCGCATGGGCAGTTGCAGACGTGCATTTTGATGTGCTAGAGATGGGTGGCAACGGATGACAATGGATGCCAAAGGAGTTAGAATTAGATTGAAAGCTGAAACGTATCTCGGGAGTGAATTTGTTGCTCTGGCTGCGTTTCTGGAGAAGATGTGGATGAATTACTTCGCATTTTGGATCTTATACTGGGCATCCACGCTCACATATATAGCCACAGCCGGTCGTGAGTCGGACCAGAGATCTAGCTTCGCTCGCACTTGTTCACACAGCTTTGAGGTCACACAGTCTTTAGGCGAGTGTTGAATTCCTTAAGCACAAGCTATAAAACACAAAAGCTATCCTTTGAAACAGTACAACGCCGCATATTTACATGTAATCAGAGTCGAGTCCATCAGAGAAATTTGCGTGGCGTGAACTTGGTGTTGCAATCAGTGCAGCACGATATTAATAAAAGCCGAATTCCCAGCGTCATCTTTGCGATTCACCAAACTCCAAGTCCCATAATCATACCATTATTTCCCCTTCTCTCCCACGCGCACAATATTTTCAGTGCCCAAAACAGCATACCAGAAGATATTCCGCTGCGCTTTGGCTTCGACATCACGCTTCGCTTCGTCGTCTTGTTGAGAACCCTGGAGATCGTTAAGAAAGCGTCCAACAAAGGTACCAACAAAAGGCTTGCGATATAGCTTATACAACATTTCGGACTCGGGACTCCTTTGGCCAGGAGGCTCGGTTGTTGCAAAGTAGCGCAGCGCAAGGGCCAAGGGGAAAAGACCCGAGGCGCCTTGCATCGCACCGGCGGCAGGTTCATACAAGAGGTGTACCATGTGGGCGATTTTCCTTGCGTAGATGCCCGGGTTTTCCATCCTGGGCGGAGGAGCAGTGTAGAATGGCCCGGAGGACTTTTCCGACGCCTGCCCCGGCGAGGTGGCCGGTGTCGATGCCGTGCCTGCGGGCGAAGCCGGAGAGTCGCCACCCAGAGATGGAATACTATCAGCTCCAGGGCTCACAGCGCCGGCCGAATGAGCCAATGTCATCCCAAGGGTGCTGTACAGCATCAGGCGAGCGCCCCAATAGCATCCCGAGATATACACAAGCCCAAACTCAGTGTCGTCTTTGGGCGTGGGTAGAGGAGAGCCGGCAAACGTATAGTCGAACTGCTGGAGAATCGGCCCGGCTTCCTGTTCCCAGATATCTAAGCTTAGTGCAATGTGGTGACAGTTCAGCATCACGGTATGGCGCAGTTCGTCGAAACGCTCGGGATCCTGACAGGCGCGAAGTTCGTCGTAGGCGATCAGCATGAATGGCACATCCTCCAGGATATCAATCAGCTTGTCTTTGGTTGACTTGGGTATATCGCGCCATGGAATTGTTCGCCAAGCGTCTGTGTGAAGCGGGGATTTGGCTCGTCTTCCGATTGACAACATGACCTATTCGCATAGTTAGATCGACTGCAGAGGGAGAAATGGGGGTTAGGATCGCACAATCAGGATTCGACCGTCGACATATAGCTGGTGCGATTGACCAGATACAAAAGATTCCGGGCCTCTGGCCAAAAAGAGAGCCAGCTGGCCCTCTATATGAGCGCGCCAGTCGGGTGCTTTTCCAAAAAATAGCTACATGTACAAGGCAATGCGGTTAGTTCCCAAGATCGTGTTAATCTGCCAAGAGCAGCCGTCCATACCTCGTAAAACTGTAATATTCTGGCGGCGACGATGATGCCGTTGTTCTTGGACCGCTCTGAATGCTTCAATCCCCGGACCATTTCGACAACAGCCTTATTGTAAGCTTCAAAGCCCTGGAGGGTCATTTGGCTGGATTGTTTGATTTGCTTTTTTCTCTCATCAACACCCATAAAGCCCACGCTCATTGCCAGCGAAGCAAATCGAATAGCCGGCTCTTCGTCATAGTATGCCTTGACTGCCGAGACCCATCCGTTTGTCAATACATCCGAAGCCCTGGCTGATAGTAGGTGACCGTAGGGAAGTGCTGTGGAGATTAGTTTGCTAAAGTAAAGCTCCTCTCGAGCTGATCGAGTGAGCGAATCGTGGAGAGTAATGTTGGTGTTGTTGTTGTTATTATTTGCGCCTCTGGTTGAGTAAATCACTCTCCAAGGTCGCTGTTGAGTCACCGATCTTGACGGGATTGCTCCCTTCAAGTGAGGCGTTTGCGATGGAGCTTTGTTAGACTCATCCGGCGTGCTGTTGACCCACACAAGATCGCGTTCATAGCCTCCGCATTCTAGGCCAGACCGTATGCACTGGTGACACGACGGGACGTTTTGATCGCACTGAAAGACAAGACCGAGTTAGCAACACAAGTCCGGCATGGCCATACCACAAGGCTGAAGATGAATGTGTAAGTCGAGCGAAACCTGTTCAAGATGCCACAGATGGACTATAGCAGTGTCTCGCAGTAGTGTTCACGAACGCCTGTTGATGGGGGCGAGTTAATATGCTGGAGCCAAGGCTTCTGAACTTACGCCCTTCTTGCGCCGGCGACAAGTGACGCATCCCTTTGATCTGCCAGGAACGCCCACCATCTTTATCGCCTGCCCTGCTTTCAAATCCCAAAACCTCGGTCTGTGTTGGTGGTTTACGGCCAAGTTTGAGTAGCTGTAGCCGACCCTCGAGCACGCGGCCGCCGCAGAGTGGTTGTATGTTGACTAGTATGGTGGTGATGGATATGCTTTGCTGTCGCGGTGTCTCGGCTCCCCGCTACTCGTTGTTCAGAAATGTCCGGGGCCGCGATGGCTGTGACAAGAACCCGAATAGGGTTTATGCGACAGCAACAGAACAGCTGTGCTTTGCTCCTGCTCCGGTGTAATGTAGGCTGACGGAGGAAGTCCCCTGTCCGCTGCAACCTCAGGGAGCGCGGTGCTGACTGTGCGTTTTTTTCGGCGCTGGGGGGATATAAACAAAGTCTCGAATTAGCGAATCCAAGCCGTCAAATTTATTGAGCAGTCATTATCTATTCGGACGGCGATCTGTCCGATATACTCGTATATCTCATGCGACTCCTCCCCCGCCAAGCCAGCCCCTCACCGGGCTTCGCCTCTCTCGATCGCCGGAGATCAATAAAGATCGAGGATCTCGGACAGGCTCCATGTCCTTTCCTCCTCCTGTGGGTTTTTCGGGATGGGATCGAGGTGCTTACTGTGGGCTGGACTAGTGTAAATGAGCCTTTGAATTCGACACGTCGCAAGCGCTGCAGATCCAAGAGTGATTTCTGCCTACATTTCCTCTGCGACAATCCTGTTGGAGATGGTCCAGATACATATAAGTCGAGCTCCTGTGGGCCCCAAGCTTTGGTGCTAGCAAGGCATACACGAGTAAGCCTTAGGAAAGCCAAACGACAAGCCTCTCTGGCTTCGGCTTCTGGACCCGGCGCCGCCCACACCAGATTGTGTCAGTCGCCAGGTTGGGGGCCAATCATCGGCTTGTGCCATATCATCCTCCGGAACTGCGCCGCTGAAACAGGCTTGGATTCTCTTCCTTCAGCAACCAAAGAGCATCAATACGGCTATTTTAAGGACTCCGAGAATACGGCCTCGGCTTCTGCTAGTGGCTGGTAGTTGTACTACTACCAGCAGTAGTACGACAAGGACTTGGAATTGCTAATACCATCACTACCGTTGATGCATTAGTGGACTCCGTCTCTGCAAGCCACATAACGCAAACAATTCTTAACAACGCGGGGGAATGCCACACGCCGCGGCAATCGGCGGCAGTGAACAGATGTGGCGCGCATATTCGTTTTATAAAGTCAAAAGTTGTCGAGTCAAGCCATGAGGTAATTCCCGGAGCTTTCAAATCTCCCAACATCAGTGCCATGCTACCCTCGTCTTTTTGGGAGCACGTACCAGTACATCTCGTCTCCTACCTAGACGCACTTTGTGACGGTTTGCTAGCTTGTCAAGTCCCTAGCCTAGTACATGAAGCCAGTCGAGAGGGGCCGACTGAAGGATCAATCTTGGACAAATCACGCACGGCCGTACACCGGATTTACACGGCGCCACATGGAAGTCTAGAATTGGCCACAATATCAACCTCATTCGTAATAGTGAAGAGTTCATGATGGCCAGGGTAGCCCAGTCAACGGTGTCCGTGGTTCGCCGACGTGGCTCAGAGTTTCGGGTTTTTATTTCTCTACTTGACAGCCAAGACTGGATCAGCGAGATGGCATCATTTAGGAGCCGGCGCTCGGTACCTAGTTTATAAGCAAGACCAATCGCGAAAAGGGGTTTGCATAGCGCCAAAATAGCACATTAAACGTACGATTCTTGACTCAGAATAGTGGCAGGTCAAGCGTGAGCTTCTGCTATTCTACCACAAGGCTAGCAAAGACGTCCTGCAGGTGGACGAAACGGGCTGCACGCCTTTCCAATCTTGATAACCCCGAGCAGAAGCCGCCGTCTTAGCTTCTGAGATTTAAATGACGGATATCTGGCCAGCCTATCGAACCCGAGTCAGTGGCGCTATAAACGATCCACATGATATCAATCGACCTCGCCAAACGATAGCAAGTCGCTTGGACAAATGGCTTTTCATGGCGTTTGTTCCCCATAAACGATTCTCCAAATTGGTAAATCGAAAAGAAAGAAAAGGAAACAAGAAAAAGAAAGAATATTAACTAAGTGTCTATAAGAGCTTGTTTGGCAGTATACCCTGTACGAAGCACAAATATGATTGCCTTCGAAGATGATCTTTATGGAGATACGAGGAAGATTAATCTAGCAAGACGGGGAATAAATCTCTCAACTAGAGAACTCAGGCCATGGGTGATGTTAACTTGACGGCATTAATGCGAGACAGTTGCTGTCAAATATTTAGCCAACATCTTGCTAGCAGTGCTCTAACAATATGGCTCCGCACGTCAGAGCATCGACAAAGAGTAGAGCCGATATTAAATGGGTTCGGGCCCACCCTCTTTTCAAGCCCATTCATCTGCTGTTCTGTTTGCAACGATCCATTTGCTCTTGGTCACGCATTTCCCTTCCCTTTGCGACAGTTGATGCAATACAACCCTCTTCGCCCTTTGTCAGGATGCAATACTGACATCAACCGCACCGTAAGACGGAGAAGATTTAACCTTATGAGTGGATTTAGGAATTAGGGCGGATACAGACGATCCCCCTGAAAACTCTCCTGCTTTCAGCAATCTCAGATGTGAGAAGTTAATTGTCGGCTCTCGCCATCTTACAAGATGCAAATCGCAAATAAGCAGCAGGGGCCTAGACCTCTGATCTCCTATCATCGGAGTACCGGGTACCCATATCTCGGCTCCGCCTCTACGGAACCCGAAGTAGCTGGTTCAAGCTAGCGGCAAGCATCCAGGTACCACATTCTCAGTGACTGCGCCGTTCCAGAAGCAGTGCTGGGGGCAGCGCTAGACTGGCCGGCGAAACACTTTTTCCGTCATCAAGATTGCCCGAAACTTCAGAGGCGAAGTTACGCATTTTGGCCACACAGGCCTTCGCCAGACCAAGTCTCGCACTCCTTTGCTTGCAGTATTGCCTTTGCCGCAGGAAATCGTCACATCCGCCGAAATGTCTTGGAGGTCTCAAGGAATCACAGGCTCGAACAACATCCCGCTGGGGAAGCCGCGGCATTTTGGCGCCGAGGAGGAGGATGGCATCATCGAAGAACGCGATCTCAAGCGTGGCCGCGATCCTGAGCCTCGCAGCGAGGCCGACGGCCCTCGTCGTCGAAAGAAGCGCAACCGATGGGGCGACGCGTCGGAGAACAAGGCCGCCGGCCTTATGGGGCTGCCGACAGCCATTCTGTCGTCCATGACGAGCGAGCAGCTCGAGGCCTACACTCTGCATCTTCGCATTGAGGAAATCAGCCAGAAGCTTCGCATCGACGACGTCGTCCCCGCGGATGGTGATCGGTATGTGTCTAGCATCTATTCTTCCTGTCTTGATTACATATTCTGACGCTAATACGACATCCCACAGATCCCCCTCACCTCCTCCCCAGTACGACAACCATGGTCGACGTATCAACACTCGGGAATACCGCTATCGCAAGCGTCTCGAGGACGAACGCCACAAGCTGGTTGAAAAGGCCATGAAAACCATTCCCAACTATCACCCGCCCCAGGACTACCGCAGGCCTACAAAAACCCAGGAGAAAGTCTACGTGCCTGTTAACGACTACCCGGAGATTAACTTCAGTATGATTGCTAACCCTTTAACCCTAACCACTAACCCCCCTCGTCTTTCCTTCAACTTGAAGTACAATCAGACTCTCGTTACTATGCCGACATGCGGTGTCTTAAGAGACTCTGATTTCTTCCGTCGATTGATTGTGCCTATCTAATTCTAAAGTCTCCGATTTCTGTTTCTTTTCAAGCTCAGTTACTAACACATAGCTCTCCCCCAAAGTTGGTTTACTCATCGGACCCCGTGGTAACACACTAAAGAAAATGGAGAATGACTCTGGTGCCAAGATTGCCATTCGTGGCAAGGGCTCCGTGAAAGAGGGCAAGGGTCGCTCTGATGCAGCTCACTCCAGTAACCAGGAGGAGGATCTTCACTGTTTGATCATGGCAGATACCGAAGAAAAAGTCAACAAGGCGAAGCAGCTCATCCACAACGTCATTGAAACTGTACGTCTCTTCCCTATCCCTGTCCAATGCATTTAACACCTACTGATTATCTTTCTCCCATAGGCGGCTTCGATCCCCGAGGGTCAAAACGAGCTCAAGCGTAACCAGCTTCGAGAGCTCGCGGCGCTCAACGGAACCCTTCGAGACGATGAAAACCAGGCTTGTCAAAACTGTGGTAAGATTGGACATCGTAAATACGACTGCCCCGAGCGACAAAACTTTACGGCAAGCATCATCTGCCGCGTTTGCGGTAATGCCGGCCACATGGCTAGGGATTGTCCAGACCGCCAGCGAGGCGCCAATTGGCGTAATGACGCTGGTGGCCGTCCTGCAGGTAGGATCGGAGGTGGCGATGCCGTCGACCGTGAAATGGAGGTACGTTTCCGTTCCCTACACCGCTCTCTTATAGACTGTGATATTGACTCTCCGTTACAGCAACTCATGCAGGAACTTGGCGGCGGCTCAGGAGCTGCCCCTGCGCAAATCGAAGCCGGCCCGAGCAGCAACAATTACAACGGGAACAGCGAAGCGAAGCCATGGCAGAGAGGACCAACCGGCGGACCTGCACCCTGGAGATCCCGCAACCAGGATTCTAACGAAGGAGGCAGTGGAGGACCGGCACCTTGGGCTCGAGACCGCAATCGCGGCCATGATCACAGCAACGGCAACGGCCATAGCAACAGCCATGGTGGCGGCGGCGGCGGCGGTGGTGGTGACAACAACTACTATGGCCACAACAACTACGAGTCGTCCTCAGGAGGAGCAGCCCCTTGGCATCAGCAGCCTCAACACGGAGCTTCGCAACACCAGGCTCCTGGAATGGGTGGGTATCCCAACTATGCTGCGTACGGCGCATACGGTGCTGCACCGGGTATGGGTGCGCCTCCTGGTCTCCCTCAAGTTGGCGGTGCCGGTCTCTCGGCTCCCCCAGGTCTAGGCCCCTTGAATGCCCTCATCCAGCAATATGCAGGATCTGCTCCTCCTCCGCCACCGCCCTCAGGAGATGCTCCTCCGCCTCCTCCAAGCGATCAACCCCCTCCACCTCCGCCCCCTGGCGCGTAATCATCGGCAGCGTATTACTTGGGTAGCTACTGATGCTCAATTACTTGCAACAGACTGTAGTAGGGCATTAAGGTAATACCAGACCTTGACTGACGAATTTTCGACGGATTGTGTTGATTCCAGCTTCTCAAAACAAGAAAAGAATGAGAGAGAGGTACTTACTTGGTCCGAGGCTTAGGGTTTTCATATAACGGCTTCTCCAGACTGTATGGCTTCGTAGTAGGCCTTGTTTATGTTTTGTCCGTTGAAGAAGCAGACTAATCGCACAGGCTCTTGCATTTCCAATTCTTAAAACTCGCTTAATATATGTACCAATTGTAGCTATATGGAACAATGTCCTATTTCTTAGAATGAGTGCGATTTAACAACCGTCGCCAAGTATCCATCAGCGCGTGGGGTGACCCATGCAAAACGATGGTCATTCGTCTCGAGTAGATGTGTATGCGCAGACTCGAGACCTCGTTCAATGATTGGACGCATAAGATCAGTAGGTCTTGACTACAAGAGACGCTACATCGAACGAATTCTCGCCTTGAGCTTTCCATGGCAACACGTTGTCAAGACAACACCATGATACCTACATGATACATGCGCCGGTAGTAGCCCAGCGAATTGTACCTGCCGTGCCATATCAGATGGAGCAAGAATAAGTTTGAAAACTTCGATCCAACTTGGACTGCGGTTGTCTGTCTTCAAGCATTACATTATCGTGACATACGGATACAGCAAGCTTTACACTCTTTTGACGCCTGCATCTTCTATCGTTAACAGAAATAAATGGATCACCAACGGCATTCTGAACACTCAGATCGGGACAAATCTCAAGCTCTCGTCAGGTTAATACCATGGCATTCTTTTGCTCCGCCGCTTAACCCGGTCCGTGGTCGAGGCCTGGAACCTCGAAGGAGACTCAGTTTGTGCTCTTCGTGCTTCAAAAAGTTTCATCGCAACCAGCTTGTGGCATGTTACTGTTGGCACAACTACTGTCACAAATGTGTCGTTGAAATGGTGGATGCTGCGCTTGCCGTTGACTTCATGTTACCCATCCGTTGCTGCGAGATGATGATTCCCCTCGAATGGGCGGTGCTCAAGATCCCGCAAGAAACAGCCGACGCGTATAACCGCAGAGCGATGGAAGTTGAAGCACGAGGGGTGGTCTACTGCTACCAAAATGACTGCAGAGCGCCTATCCACCCACAATTTGTCATACATCAGGAAGCGATTTGCGGCAAGTGTCTGAGCAGCACTTGTGCTCGCTGCAGGGGCGCTTTCCATAGGGGTCTTGCTTGCGGAGATTTACAAACGCCGGATGATCAGAGACTGCACGATCTGGCAGCCACATATGGCTGGGGGAAATGCTATGAGTGCAATAGCTATATCCAGCTCAACCCAGGTCGCAACCACTTGCGTAAGTCTTTTGATATGAGATGACACTCGGGGGCAAAAGAGAGCACTCTTTGTTTAGCTAACGGAAACGAATCAGTGTGTCTATGCGGCGCCGAGACTTGCTTCTCATGCGGCAAAACGTGGCAGGCTTGCGACTGCATCCGGCCCAATCGCAACGCGGTTACAGATGAGCTTGGTCGAGCAATGCAAGCACAGAGTGATGACGGCCGCCAACTTGACCCGATACCGCAGGAACTACGCCTACCACTGGACAAGACGAGGATGGAGGTTTACGAAAACTATTTGACGGAGCGGTTGGAGCGTCATCTTGCCGAGGCAAAGCGCATACGCACAGGCATTGGGGCAATCACTTCGTTCAAAGGTCTCATGAGGTCGGAGCGCTGTAATCATGAGCGGTGGGTTCTTCACGAGGTGCGCTATGAGTATTGCGACCTTTGCGGGCGACAGCCGACGGCTGGCTGGGGGCGGAGTTGTATGTATTGTTTGATTCATGTGTGTATCAACTGCAAAGCTGCCGCAGATGATGGGAATGGGCAGGATGGTGAGGAGGACAGCCAGAGCGAACAAAGTGATCAGCAGGACGAGCAGGACGAGCCAAACGTCGAGCAGAACGTCGAGCAGAACGTCGAGCAGAACGTCGAGCAAAACGTCGAGCAAAACGTCGAGCAAAACGTCGAGCAAAACGTCGAGCAAAACGTCGAGCAAAACAACGAGCAAAACAACGAGCAGAGCGAACAAAATGGTCAGCAGAACGAGCAGAACGGCGAGCAGAACGAGCAGATCAAAAAGAGAGAGCAGAATAGAGAGCAGATTGAACAGAATGGCGAGCAGAACAGGCAGATCAAGCAGATCAAACAAAATGAACAGAATAGTAAGCAAAGCAAGCAGAACAAGGAGTGGCGCAAGGAGAGGTCCAGGAAGATGCGGGAGCGCCACAAGCTCCAAAAGCAGATGAAGCGAGACAAGCGGAGCAAGCAGACACAGCCTGAGCAGACTGAGCAGAACAAGTCTATGCGCAATAGGTATAAACTGAACAGGCTGAGGAAACAGAAGAAGCTGAAGAAGCCGGGGTTAAGGAACAAGCAGACACAGACTGGATGGACTGAGCAGACTAAAAAAATTAAGCCGACTCAAGACGTTACGCAGACTCAGCAAGCTACGCAAATTCCGGAAGCTAAGCAGACTCAAGAACCTGAGAAGTCTGAGCAGACTCAGCAGAACAAGTCTATGGGCAAAAGGTGCAAACTGAAGCCGGAGAAGCTAGAGAAACTGAAGCCGCGGAACAAGCAGACGCAGACCAGGGAAACTTGGCAGCATAAGCAGGTTGAGCAGCCTGAACTGACTAGGGAAACCGAGCCGACTGAGCAGAGCAAGGATACTGAGCAGACTGAAGAAACTAAGCAGAATAAGCAGCCTGAGCCGGCTGAATCGACTGAACAGAGAAATACGCAGAGCAAGGAAATTGCACAGGCTAAGCGGAGCGAGCAGACTGAGAAGAATTAATGTATCAGTATGGGATAGGAAGCGGCTGTGACTACGAAGACAGAAACTAAGCGAATCGCCTTAGGCCTGGAGTTTGCTTGATACTGGCTGGGTTTGTATATAGCGAGGCGCATTATTCATAGGAATTATAAGACCTGAAGTCTTCTGCTACTCCTGTGTGACTTGAATAAGAGTAGACAAAGATATGGATCAAGATGTTACATTTCTCCTGGGCTAGATGAGAGATACTGATTGAACTCGATAGTGGCTCTTTCGTTTTCATTTCATTTCATTATCAAAGTTGAAAAGGGGGCAACAGCTTAACCCCCAGAAATGGGGAATCACTTCCACAGGCAGTTGTCCTGGAGGCCTCATCCACTGCATGAGTGATACTGAATGAGCCTTGGCGTGGCTCTTTGTCTCTTTTTCGTCTAATATCAAAGTTGAAAGGGGAGCACAGCTTCACCCTCCGGTTTGGTGTACTACGTCTACGTGCAGTTGTCCTGGAGGCCTCAAGTGCTGCATAAGTGATACTCACGGGACCCAGGAGCGATTCTCTCGTCTCCTTTCATTCCTCATCAAAATTGAAAAAGGGGAACACAGCTTTATCCCTAGGCTTGGTGTACTACGTCTCCGTGCTGTTGTCCTGGAGGCCTCAAGCACTGTAAGATGGGAAATTAAACCGCATTGGCCAAGAAAAGTCGAGTCACAGGCCATGCCTCCTCCTTTGTCCAATCAATATACTGCTGGTCGCGTACAAGGACGTTGCACACAGACTTTGCTGGCGTGCATGAGGTAACAGGCGTAGTGGATTCATGAGAAGGATTCAGACTTTTCCCATTCCTTGGAACAATCTAGTAACTGCACAGCCCATCTTGAGCTGTTGAAAGAAAGATGTGTACTAATTGAGAGAAAAGAGATGATCGTCTGTGTCTGCCTTCGGCCGGATTCCGGTATACAACTACTTGACTGGGACTGGTTCGACGTCTTGAGATGATTTGGTTGGCTAGGCAGGTGGGAACAAGGGCTTGGACGGTTTAGCTGGGCCTTTCGGCAACCTCGGCAGGGCCGCTTGATGTTGAACCCGCCTGAAGCATCGTGGACGGATTTGAATGCCGTCTTCTGATAGATGTCGGCTGTCCTATTGGTGAAAATCCCAATGGCAGATGTGGGATTCACACGCGCAAGACCAAAGTGCCCAGACTGTAACCTTTACTGCAATCTTTTGTGTGTCACGGCAACGCAAACAGCTGCCTGCAGTCGGAATTGGCGCCACGGTCCCCGCGCATTCCGCTGCGGTGTGTCCTAGAAACCATCAAAGCAGAGCCAATGGATCCTGACGTCTGGCGATTCAGGTGAGTCCTGAAAGGAAGAGACTCTGGGCTAGCAACGGTGGAACAGCGGCAGTCTGCGGAACCGAGACTCGGCCTGTGTGTATGTGGACTGACTTGTTCAGCATTAGCCGGAGCGCCATGTGGACTGTCTCTCTTCTGTCACTTTTAGATGCTGCGTGTCTTGCTTATTTGCCTCCGTTGGCTATGCTGCGTGGCTGGCGGGCTTGGGAGTTGCAAATCGTGCTTGGCGGCGGAGACGGGGCAGGGACGGAGCGACAAAGGACAAGGAGCTTGCGTTGGGCACTCGAGCAGTTTGATTGAGGCTTGATGTTTGTTGGCTACGGCACGTGTCTATGTTGGTGAGTTGGATGATGTTCCATGATAGGTGGCTCGTGCGAGGTCTCATCTCAGAGGGAAGGAGCATTGGGACGAGGTCCTTTGTAAGACTGCAACTTCAAGTTCTTACCGCATCTGTGTTACCGCCTGAGGCACCAACTGTAATGTCAAATACCCAGCAGACTCGGCCTGCTTCTACAACTTCTGTCGTCCTCAGACTACTACTACTACTAGTAGAAAATATATCGTCTATTCTTTGCTGACAGATCGAGTGTCGAAGAATGAAACCCAAGTCGGCGTCCCTCGAATCCGTGACCCTCTTTGGGCATCAAACGGGCGATAGATCCGATAGCTCTGGGGCTAAGAGTGGCCCCTGGCCACCGCACAGAATCAGATTCCACAGGTCCCTGCAGGGTTTCGAGTGCCCTTTCAGGCAATGGACACGGGGCCTCGAGGGAGGTGAAACGTCAAAGCTGCTCACGGGAACCTCATGACGCTGTGCCTGGTGTCCCAGACGTACAGACGGTAGCAGTATGTTGCGCTCATTTGCTCGCCTTTGTCGTGGGTTGATTGCCAGTGCGACCTCCTAAAACACGGTGCACTGACTGGCTTGCTTTGACCAACGACGGCAGATCTTGAGGAATCGAGCAGCCTCCGCGGCTGGCCCGGCGCGACGCAAAAGCTGCCGCAAGAAGGTTATGGCCCAAACACGCGAGGGGCGCAGGAACTGGACGCTAGAGCCCGGTCAGAAAGGAGTTAAAATCTACCTGACAAACATATTACAGTATTCCATCCATCTATAGGTGGCTTCAGGGACCCCAGCAATAAGCAGCAGGGCGACCGTCATTTCCGGCAAGCGCACGATGGCTATACAGCACTACTGCTGTGAGGGTTCGTCCCGCATAGGGCAAGGTAAGCTGAGAAAGTGCCGATCTAGCAGATGCAATAGTGCTGCTTCGCACCAGATGAAGCTCCCGAACACCGTTTGGCGCCCTACGCCCGTACGCTGTTGATGTTGGCACTGCCTCGCTCCTTCGGCCATCCTCCCTGAAGGTCTCAGTCTGTCACAGTCACTATGCCGTGGTCCCATGCCAAGCTCTTGGTATCCGTGCAGCGGTTCGATTGGTGGCTGGGCGGGCAATCCAAATTTCAGATGCCCGAGTCCCACGGTTGGCGGCCGCTCGTTGACCTCATTTCCCACGACACTCGGACTTTTGCGGTATGAGCGGCGGATACAAGAGAATTAAGCGCCAGTCGGGCTTTTCTTCCGAAGCAAACGATGCCGACTGGCACGTCTACCGCCTCTTGGAGTCTTGCTCATGCTCTAAATGTGGACTTTTAGTAGCTGACGCATGGCGATGGGCCCTGTCGCGGATCTACTCGCTGTCGGGTCCGCAGAGTGTGTAAAAAAGGTGAGATGATCTAGCGGAGCCTATTTGTGGAGGACGGCCGTCAACATCGACTAAGCCACCGCATCGGGTCTGCTCAAAGGGCTATGTTACGAATGCTTTGGTGCTACAAGAGTGAATAAAAGTCTCCGCGGCTCCCTCGTTTGCTCCCGTTCTTGGCATCCGTGGTCCAAGCTGGCAACGCTCCATCTCGGGTCTTGTTCAATTTTCTTTCTTTTTCCTTTTTGTTAGCTCCTCTCATACCCTCCTCTCATACCCTCCTCTCCCCGACCAAGCCGATTGCTTTTCTTCCTCCCCTTCTCTTCTTCCACCTCTCCTTCCTGGGGATTATTGGCATTTCTGTAGTTTGCCGTCAGTTTTGATTTGAAACTGTATCACGTCTTTGGTGCTTCATATCTTGATCGTTAATATGAGCCGTTTGGCGGCTTTGCTCGCGGCGGCGTCGCTATTGGCGCCCACCGGAGCCTCTGCAGGTACGGACCGATTCAGCTAGAACCACCACCATTACGATGCCCGTTGGGAAACACGACGAGACTATCATGTCCGTCCGTTTTGTGTAAAGGGGCATATTAAGTTGCAGTTTTGAACCCTGGCATCTATGCTTGAATCTTGATTCAATATCCCTCTTTACGAAGCCCCCAGATGCAAAAACTTGTACATGAATTTTACCTGATGAGAGATTCTTTCGGCTAACTCGGTGTTTGTGACATCTTCAGTTCCTCACGATATTGAATATCGTGATTTCAATGAGCTTCCTCGGTCTCTCGGAAGCCGGGCCACCGATCAATCTCCCAAGGGCTATGCGCCCTCTACTGTTGATTGTCCTAGCGAGCGTCCTGTGATTCGTCTTGGCTCTCATCTGAGCCCCCAGGAGAAGGAATGGCTGCCCCGGAGACGTAATGAGACCATTGCGCCTATTCGCGCCCTTCTGGACCGCATCTCCATCCCTGGCTTCAGCAGTGATAGATATCTTGCCAACGTCGAGAAGGATCCCACGGCTCTGCCCAACATTGGTTTGGCTGTCTCTGGCGGCGGCTACCGTGCCTTGCAAAACGGAGCTGGAGCCATTGCCGCCTGGGACGCTCGATCGACGGATGCCAACTCGACCGGTAAACTGGGCGGTCTGCTGCAGAGTGCAACCTACATCTCTGGCCTGTCTGGCGGCGGATGGCTGGTTGGCAGCATCTACACAAACAACTTTTCCACGGTCCAAGGCATAATAGACGCAGGTGCCTGGCAGTTTGACGAGTCAATTCTTGCGGGTAGGTAAAAAGCTGAAACAGGTTGAGAATGAAGTTAACGGGTAATGTACAGGTCCCAAGTCAGTTAGCCTGACAAGCTATTATAATGAAGTCTTTGACGACGTCGATGCCAAGGACAAGGCTGGCTTCGATCGTTCCATCACCGACTACTGGGGTCGCTTCCTCTCTTACCAGCTCGTCGACGTCACCAGCGGTGGCCCTGGCTACACCTTCTCCTCCATTGCCGACGACCCTGACTTCAAAAACGCGAGAGCGCCTCTCCCTTTCCTAGTCGCAGATAGTCGCCCGCCTGGAGAGACCATCATCTCCAACAACTCGACCATCTTTGACTTTAACCCCTGGGAGATGGGCTCATCCGACCCGACTCTGAATGGCTACATCCCGCTCAAGTACGCCGGTTCCAAGTTCAACAACGGCGTGCTGCCCAAGAACGAATCTTGCTTTGTGGGATTCGACAATGTCGGCTTCATCATGGGCACCTCTAGCACTCTCTTCAACCAAATCATCCTCTACCTCCAAAACGACAATGGCACAAACTCCATTGTTCCCAAAGGCATCCCCGATTTCGTCGTCAAGATTCTCACTGGTGTTTTAACCGGGCTCGGTAACGACAACAACGACATTGCCGACTGGACGCCGAACCCCTTCAAGGGATGGAACAACAAGACCAACCCCTTTGCCGACAACAACCGATTGACTCTTGTGGATGGCGGTGAGGATCTGCAGAACATTCCCTACCACCCTCATCTGCTGCAGGAGCGCAAGGTAGACGTTGTCTTTTCTGTCGACTCGTCGGCCGATACCAACGGCTGGCCCGATGGTGCCTCTCCCATTGCCACGTACGAGCGTGCAGTCAGCAAAATCTCAAACGGCACTGGATTCCCCTATGTCCCCGGGAGAGAGACTTTCCTCAACCTCGGACTCAACACCAAGCCCGTCTTTTTCGGCTGCAACTCGACCAACGTGACGGACACATCGCCCCTGATTGTCTATCTGCCCAACTACCCCTACCAGTTCCAGTCCAACCTTTCGACTTTCCAGATGTCGTACGCAGACGATGAGCGCAATGCCGTCATTACCAACGGCTGGGACGTTGTCACTCAGGGCAATGCGACTCGCGACTCCAACTGGCCAGTGTGCGTCGGCTGCGCCATGCTGTCCCGCAGCTTCGAGCGCACCAAGACTCCCGTGCCCGATGCCTGCAACAAGTGCTTCCAGCAGTACTGCTGGAACGGCACGATCCAAACAGGAACACCGGCAGACTACCAACCAAGGATCTTGGACACGCCCATCAAGATTGACAGCAACATGGGCGCGAGATCTGCCAGCGGCGCGACGGTGATGACGGTGTTGGCGGCAGTTACGTGTGCTGTGTTGCTCATGTAAGGCATTTGACCTTTATGAATTTGGAGTTTTCTTTTTTTGGCATTCATTGGATGGATTAGAAAAGAGATGCATAATGATACTATCCATCAAGGCGATGGCGCATATAGTCGTGTATTTTGTCTATTTCTTTTTGGTTTTGACGTTTTAGCCTATACTTTTGGTTCGCAGGCTGGGCTTGGTTTGGTTGGGTTATGCAAGTAACATGCTGATTTCATTAATTTGAATGACTATTCTTTTACACACTTTGTTTGCTCATTTACATGTTGTTTGTGTGTGCTCGAAACCGGCTTCTGATGTAATACTTTACAACAACCATGACATTCAAAGAATATAACAACACACAATCTCAACATCTTTGCAACTTGCTCAACTTTTGAATTCAAAAACTCCTATTTTTACTTTCCATGCAAACGGCTGGTATATTTATCCACAAAATGTTCAAATCGTAACCTCATCCACACATGTACATTCACATGCTCTCCCCTCGTCCCCTGATTTTTCAACTCGCCGCCTATGCCAGAACAGCATCCTTGCCAGTCTTTGCGCTCTCCAAGACACCCTCAATGATCCTCAGCACATCGCGGGCCTGCTCCGCCTTGACGGGAACGTCCTCGGCCTTTCCGCTGACCAGGGCATTGGCAAACTGGCTGTAAAAGGCGCGGTACGTCTCGGGCTCGAGCTGCGGGACGGGCACCTCGCTGGCCTTGCCGGTGGCCTCGTCGACGGCCGTCAGGCTGCTGTTGGCGGTGCTCTCCACGCCGTATCCGGCATCGGTGGGCTTTCCGCCGGCGCGCAGCTGGTCCTCCTGCGGGTCGAGGTCGAACTTGCGGAAGCTGCCCTTTGTGCCGCGCACCCAGTAGCGCAGCTGGCGCGTCTCGGCGCTGAGGGCGCTGATGCCGACGTTGACCAGCAGGCCCGAGGCGTAGAAGAGCTGCGCGGACACGGCGTCGGGCGTCTCGAACTCGGCGCGGGCCTCACGCTGGTTCAGCAGGCGGCCGCGGACGGACTGGGGCAGGCCGAAGAGCACGTAGGCCTGGTCGATGAGGTGCGTGCCCAGGTCGAAGAGGGCGCTGCCGCCGTGCGAGACGCCCAGCTGGCCCTTCCAGTTGGTGGGCGCGTCGGCGCGGTAGCGGTCAAAGTGCGTGTTGAACTCGACGATGCGGCCGAGCTGGCCGGCCTCGATGAGGTGCTTGGCCAGCAGGAAGTCGGCGTCCCAGCGGCGGTTCTGGTACACGCAGATGAGCTTGCCCGTCTTCTTGGAAATGTCGGCGAGTTGTTGGGCCTCGGCCGAGCTGGGCACAAAGGGCTTCTCGGTCAGGACGTGCTTGCCGGCCTCGAGCGCGCGCTTGGTCAGGTCGAAGTGGTTGTCGGGCGGCGTGGTGACGACGACGACGTCGACGTCTGGGTCGGCGATGAGGGCGGCCGAGTCTGTGTAGTGCTTGAGGTTTGGGTAGTCGGCGGGGGCCGAGTCGTTGGGCTTGGGCGAGCGCTGGACGATGGAGTGGAGAGCGAGGGAGGGGGTGGTGGTGATGAAGGGGATGTGGAAGACTTTGGCGGAGAGGCTGGCGAGAGTGTTAGTTGTTGGTTGTTGGTTGAGCTTTGACTTGACTTACCCGTAGCCTACGACGCCGACGTTGAAGACTTTGCTGGCCATTGCGATGTGGTGATGCTTTGGTATGGAATAGGAGAAGAGAAGATGAGCTGTGGGTTTTAGATGTGGTATGCCAGAGGAAGCTTGGAATCGTAGAGGGGATGCATATTTATATTTCTGCCAATTCGCCTCTTCTATCATACAATTACCAACAATCTCCACTCAATCGTTCATGAATAATGCAAGCCTCATCGCGACATTCTTCTCAGCAGCCACAAACCAGACACAATTATCAATCTACCCAAGAGGCCATTTCCCAAACAAAGGCAACTCCTGCCGCACTGAGGCTTTTGCTCGTACGCAGGCAAGTCCCTCCGTGCCCCTCCAAAGAAACCTCCCCCACCATGGCACGAGTCGCCTTTTGTTATGACGTTTTGGTTGGAAAAAAAATTGGGGAGGTTACAGGTGGTGGGGTTTATGGGCAATAAGCATACTTTTGTATGGTGAAGGGGTTTATACTGGAATGGGCGATTTTAGGAGTTTCGTCGGAGTAACTGCGATTTTTACGGGGCGAGTGTTGAGGGCGATTCCGGAAAGGGAAAGTTTAAGAGTTTGGTGGATGGGGGGCTTGGGAGAAGGCTTCTAAATTGGTTTCGAGAACCAGTGGCGACGGCTTGGATCTTTAGTTTTCTAAGTGTAGCGAAAAGGATGTCACATTAAGACACAAAGTTGCATCTTATGGTTATTTATTCTAGCATGTTTCCCGCTGCTTTTGTGTCTATACCCCGGCAAGTTGTCATAATGGACAGGTCTTGCAACCACTGCCAGCAGCACTGAATCGGACCTAAGTAAAAGACAAGCTCCACACTCCAATGCTTGAGAGAGCATAAACGCCAGCGGCGACAAAGAATGGCAGGCCCAGCCATATCCCGGACAATTTCAAGCCCAAGTTCAACGTTTGGGCAATTAACGGGGCCCCCAATATCCCACCGATGGCGCTAATCGTAGCAGTGACTGTGTATAATAAGCCAAGCTGGTCTTTTTCCACCCTCGATGCCAGGAAGAGTTGCGCTGATTGTGTGTAGCCGTACCCAAGAGTGAAGACTACCAAGCCTAACATCATTATTAGAGTGAGAAGAGTAAAATCAGCTTTAAGATCAAGGTCAGCTTACCAATCGCCAACATCCATGGTGTTGAGCTTAAACCCATCATCAGCAAACCCAAGACCGACAATACTGGGCTGACTTTGGCAGCCACCAAGTCTGCATTCCCGGCAGAGAGTCCCAACCGCATCAATAAGAATCTGTTAAAAGTCGGTAAGAGGAGAGTGTACAGAAGAATAGTAATGGCTGGTCGCATGGTGGTAAGAATGGTGGCCTTGAAAAGTTAGTCTGGCGTCTTCTAAAATGGCAGCTTCACTTACAGCCGCCAGAGTCCAGCCAAACTTGGTTGAAGTATATTGCAGCAAAAACGCCATCAACTCCTGTGCTATGATTGGCAGTAGGAAAGATGGCAAAGCGAAGAGAATGTTTCGGTCTTTGACAGCAAATTTCGCAGCTTCTCCCATGCCCTCCGTTATCGCTTTTGTCTTTTCCTTGATGCGTGTGCTCAAGGTCTTTCGGGACGACAGTAGTTGGTCGGGTACAGGTAGGGCAACAGCCTCATCTGAGGGTTCATCTCCGCTTAAGGTCTCATACTCGGCAGCGGCGTGTTGTGAAGCTTCAGAGATAAATGGCAAAACAAAAATAGAAAGAAATTCAACCATCGTTGCGACCACCATTGTCATGAGCGGACTGGATTTAATCATAATCAGGCTTCCGAGAGGAGGCGCCGCAAGCTCGGATACGAGTGTCATGGTGCTAATGTAAAACAATATTGCGGTTCTGTCAATAAAACTGTTTATTAGCCACGAAGCTCACTATCTAGGTCTGTTTAAGAAGCATGTGATTGAGAATAGTCGAGGACTAGCCTTTTGCCTTCGGGCACAGCGTCAGTGACAGCAGCCAGCACGACCGCGTTCATGACAGAGTAGCCGCCTCCGAGTAAGCGAAAGACTGCCGAAAACAATATCGCCCTTGGCTGAAATGTTTGCCAAAAATAACCTGCCATTGCTCTGTTAGATAATCGAGACTTGCATGCAGCATTATTCTGCTCATTGTTTTGCCTTGACTTACAAACCATAATTATCCATGTTTTGGGGAGCGTAATGCTAATCAAGCTGGCCGCTACTACTACCTTTCGACCCATCGAATCTGCTATAACACCATACGGAATTGTGACCAACATCCCGACGAGCAGGAGCCAGGAGAATACCCAGCCTCGAAGTACGCTGAGCTCTCCCTGTATCACGTCAAGTTTGCAATATCTCTCTTCTACATTTCCATCTTCATCAACCTTGGACGGGTCGTGCTCTAGAAAATAATGGCGACAAACGACAAGTTCGTAAATGCGCACCTCGGGGCCAGTTTTAATGTTGTCTCCGAAAGTACTGATGAGCAGAAAGAGCCCATACAGGTATACCACTTTCCAGCGGCTCCAGTGACTCGCCATCGGTGATTGGAACTCGTTGGGTGCAGTAATGGTATTCTCCAGTGTCATGGCTAAGTTGAGAAATGATGAATGCCCAAAAGGCGGGAAAGGGAGCAGCATTGCATTACTCAGGTCGCAGCAGGCTACAGCGTTGTGAGACACACTGATCTTAGCGGATATAAGATCTCGCAGTGCCTCATGTTACACGCACATTACTACTCATGTGTATCATGACCAATTATTACCTTCACTCGTGTCACTATATGTTTCCTAGGGCATAATGTGTTATCTCTATTTGAACACTAGACTTTCGCATATACTTACATTCGTACGTACTTGAATCTGAATTTTCAGCATTTTATCACGTTTCTATTCCGATGCCCTGTAGTCCTTCCGCAAAGATCATTTAGCCCATATGTACTTCAATTTCTCGACAAACTGTACTACTACTACTACCTATATGTAGGTACATGTAGATTTTTTAGTAACTTTGATGCACGGGCTGTTAGCCTAGGTCGCCGCTCCGGAGAGGAATGTACGTAAGCCGCAAATCTAGGAAACGATTCTTTCTCTTTTCTTCTTCCATTTTCGCGCTCTCTGCCTCCTTTTCTCGTCTAGGAAATCAATCCTTTTCTTGGTTTGACCTAGAGTTTAGGCTCGATTTTACCATCAACATGGGGGACACGTCTGAGTCTGTCGTTGTCGATGAGAACGTCATTGCGCGTAAGTCATTCTTAATTTTTTTTTTTTTTTAATCATTCAGTCTCCCATTTCCCTTGAGTGCGTTCATCATCTGCTGATTGCCAGATAGACCTCCCGACTGGAGTGGAAATTATTTCCATCGTGCCCACTTGGTACTCTTCTTTTTCTCTTCCACGCTATGTATTTTGCACGGTCTAATTTCCCAAGTCCCAGCAAATATGTTTTTACTGCTAGAATAAATACTCGTGAAGCTGATGGCACTTTGAAATCGTATTTTAAAAAGGTGAGTCTACGAAACTTATACGCTTTTTTTTATGGCTTGAAAATGACAAAGACGGAATTATAGGAGAGCTCAGGCGAAATGGGTCGGATTATGTTGCGAGGTGCTTTTGAAAGCGAATCTACGTTTTACAGCTTTGCTCCTCAGAGTAAGTGATCTCGCCTAGTCTGTAATATGAGCGATATTTAAGTGTTTCATAGATGTTCCTCAGCCCGTGGGGTGGGGTGCCTGTAAAACAGCTCCAGACACATCTTTCTTTCTGGCAGAATTTCACGAAATGGACGACAAAATTCCGGAGCTACATGAGTTATGTACTCTCACAGCAAATATCCATCAACAGTCAGCCGGAAAATCCCCTAGAGGGCAATTTGGATTTCATGTCACTACTCGTAAGTAGACCGAAACATCTCATCCTTCACAGTATCTGATGATTAGCGACTAGATCTTGGGAATATCCCAACAGATAATACTTGGTGCTCAACCTGGGAAGCCTTCTTTACTCGAGCAATGAAGAATATGCTAGACTTGGAGATGAAAACCCATCGGGGTGAAGACACCGACAAAGAAATGGAGGATTTGTCGAAGAAACTCATTCATTTCGTCATCCCACGGCTGATTCGGCCAATGGAGTCTGAAGGGAGAAGCATTACGCCGGTCCTTGTGCACGGAGATCTTTGGCCTGGCAATGCCAAACACGACACTTCAACTGGTCGCCTGATGATATTCGATTCAGGAGCGTGCTGGGGACATAACGAAGGTGAACACATCTAGAAGATAATGGCAAGGTGGTAAACTTTCATCAAATTAAGCTGACATTGGATACAATAAACAGCGGATCTCGCCGAGTTTCGTGCGCCGCGTTATAGGCTTGGTACAACATATATGGTAGAGTATCATCGACATATTCCAAAGACTGAGCCAGTGGAAGACTGGGAAGACCGAAATCGTCTATATGCATTGTAATTTCTTAGATATAACCTGTCTATTTGGTGTTGGTCAGCTAATCCGAAGCAGGCGTTACGATCTTCTCTGTTCAGCGGTATTCCGTCACAATTCACCGTACCGAGCGCTGGCAATGGCGGAAATGAAATATCTGGTTGACAACTATGCTAAGGAACTTGAAGAATGAAAACTTCAGGAAACATTGAAGAAATTGTTATTCTTGGTATTTTTAAATGGTCTTTCTGCTTAAAGAATGCCAGTTTATATATAATGTCTCCCTAAGGTATCTCTAACAATTTAACCCTTCATACAAACTTCAGATTGATCTTTGTTCACGACCTCTAGTTTAATACCCATCTTTTGTTCTATTTTCATCAGAGAGCTTGGTCATAACAAATGCTCTTACTTCCAGACTTTCGCGTTTGGGTAGATTAGGATCTGAATCCGCAAGTACGCAAGACGCGTGAAAAGTGACTGAAGGACTGATAAGCGTTTATTAAATGACATTCCACAGTATACACTTACATGGAGGCTCATATAGAGGATGTGAGTCCCAGCTTGTGAATATAAAAGCCTCGTCGACTTCTTGATTGCTTAGCCAATACCACTGTTGACCTTCTGAATACTTTACAAACGAGAATCCGCCAAGATAATCTGGAGAGACTAGGTCACATGGTATGATCTGAGCTTCACTTAACGTGGCTCTGTCGCAAAAGATGAGCGGGTGGTTCTTGACGGTGTGATGTATAGGTTTCCAGAAACTGTAGACCGATATTAGTAAAAAGACATTTGAGATTCGAGATTCCATAGTACTTTATTATCCGTATGCGCCAGCTCCCATCGTTAAACTTTTGATACTCTTCTGGTGTGAGGTGCCTGCCAAGTCTCGACATACCGCTTTCGATCGTGAAGTCTATATGCATGCTTAATTTTTGAAGTTTGTCGCTCAAATTCGTGAGCATACCTGCATGGGGATTGTTGACTGGAAAGCTATAGTCTTTATGCTGAGGTACTTTAAAAATGTTTTCTCCGTCGATATGTTCTGCTTTTCGGTGCTACAGATTGCATGTGGCCAAGATCAGCTTTGATTAGCGAGAAATGACAGACAATCTTCTTATATTTTTCCTTTTTTTTTTAAGTCCCCCCTTTGCCGGTAATATATGGAAGATAATGTTACCCTTTGAGTGAAACAAAAGACTTGTTCGGTTTCGAATCTTTCTTTCAGAAGACTCTCTACATCCTGCATCTCACAGATCGGTGCTTCAGATCTGAAATAGTCATGTTCGAAACTAGACGCAGTATCGACCACCTCAAAGCCATGCTCCTCGAGCCTGATCTTCTCCTTTCGGAGCCTCAGGTCACGTATCGATACGATGCTAGACTCAAATTCGAGATTGCTACGGAAACTTTCATTTTCAAGAGGAATATCAAATTCGATGGCATATGGCTTCTCAAGATCATATTTCGGTATATCAGCCAAGTACGCCAGAGAAACATGCTCCTCAGGCGAATTTTTCCCGATTTCATATAACGATTGGACGTCCGTAGCCATCATTTTCGCTGATGAAGTGTCATCAATACTCAATTTTTTTGCAAATCATGAATAAATTAAGGCCCCTTATTCTTGCCTCGTCGTTCACACATATCTGCTACTGGCTTAGACAAACAAGGATGCAAGCCGGAGGCGCAATACAATCCGAAATCGCGTGAGCACTCGCGAAGCCTCACATGAGCCTCGTATTGGCGCATTACCTTGGCAACCTAAATTTCTGAACCAATACAAAAATTGCCGCTTTCTGCTAATGCGACTCTCACGGGCAGGCTTGCATGTGAAGGAATATTTTCCCACGAAAGGTAGGCGTCCAATTTCCGAAAGATTGCCAACACTTCCCCCTCATCAACAACGCCACAAATTTGACAGCCAATCACATGAATTTTTAATATCAACAGGATGCGGCAGCCTAATATTGGTGAATTAAGCGATACATCCCCTCAATTCGGACTCAGCACCCTCCGGTTTCAACAAGCCAATGGAAGCAAGTGACACATGCAACTCGTCTTGCAGAGGTTCATCCAGCAATGCAATTATCCTGCGGACTTTGGGGCGCGTGACGGCCGTTGAAACAGGTTTATGCAATCATCACACCACTTCATGAAAACTTGGGAATTCACAATCTCATGTTTGGTTTGATTCTGGCCTCGAGTATTTCAAGTGTCACTTCCATTATAGCCGGACCATGAGTCTGCGTCTTCGAAACCACCTCCAATTTAGCCGCCTCATGAAGCTCGGCGAGATATTTGCAGATTACCCCCATCTACAACTTTCTTACGCCATCCAGTATGATATGGCAAAGGTGCAGGTAGCCTTAACGACACAGACTCTCACGGACTTGAGATTCGTAGATAATATCATGATCGCATACTTGTACCTACGTTATTACCTCTTTCCCAAAGAAAAAGAAAAGACGCAAATTTACAAGTATTTTATATAGATTAAAATAAAACAAATATAATCAGTATTATATTGGCTCTTTTAAAATAATAGTTCATACTGTTCATTTAAACTCCATATACAACATCTAGTAATGTGTGCTAGTAATAGTCAAAGAACCACAATTTTACTTGTATATTACCTACCTAGGTATATAAAAATTACCCCTGCGAGCTAAACAATTATTGTAATATCTTCAAGTCTTAGCAACCATAGCCAAGTATAAATAGGACGCTCTAACCGTCTGCACGCTTAATAAAATTGCTTTCTAAACCGACCCGTATACTCGCCTAATGGTCTAAAGTGAGAAAATGTTAGTTAGAACTGCTTCACCACTCTCTTGTACACTTCTGATGAAAGGGAAGCAGCGTTATTGACACACCAAGCTCGTGAACTAGTATCATATACACTTTTTTTTCTTCTTCTTTTAAAACAAATCTAGACATTGTTATGTCTTCTACCGCACCGCTCTCGACCCAAGAGACCGAGACAAAAGTCTCCGATGCCGAGACCCAAGTCAACCAACAAGCCACAGCACCCGCACCGGTAGTTCAGCCATGGAAAGGCTATGTTCAAATAAAGGCTCCAGAAGCCATCAATTTCGCCGGCGACACCGGAAATATTCGCTTGATCGATGGTCGCGTTGATGGAAAGGTGGTTGGAGGTTAAACGTTTTCTACCTATGCTAGACGGGCGTGGCATGAGGCAGAGGCGCTGAGGGGACGGGCGCATGCACTGGAAATGAACAAAGACAACAGATTGTATTCTTGCCAAGTAATCAAGTCGCGAAATCAAATTATATTCTTGTGCATACGATAGATCTAACTTCAATGCTGCGTCTCTGGTAAAACCCCTCCGCCAAGGGATTATCAAACGATGCATGCGGTGTGCTCACTATATTTGTATTTTTGTCATCAGAAAGCGCGTACAAATCCATAAGCCACATCTTCGTCTCTCACCTTCTCTGATACTGGCGCCATCTTTAAAGTTTTCTGAATCAAAAACAACGAATAATGTCATTTCATCTCGAGTTTGATTCGAAAGCCAGTACCATTGATGGCCTGGGCGATGTCTGAGATACATTGACTCGTCAATCCTGTCTTCATGAACTTGGTCGCAAAGCAGCCAGTCGCTTCCTTCTACGCTGCGTATGTCGCATACAGTCAAAGGCGAGTCGTAAACTATATCCACGAGGGGCTTCCAGATGCTACGAAATGTATGAGATCAATATTCAGAGACAAAGGAAGATGAGTAGAATTAGAATACTTGACTATTCGCAATCGCCATTTTCTTTGTAGATAATTTTCCTTCTCGGCGGCTGTTAAATGTTCCAGTATAATCCTGTGGGCGTTGGAGCCAGATTCGTCTAGGATACTCAGCTATTTTTTTTTTTTTATAAAAAGAAGAGATGATTCAAAATTAATTAAAAATATATTGTGAGTCAAGGAAATAACACGACTCACCGGCGTGAACGTGACGAGCGGGCGTTAAGACAAGACCTCGATCTGCTCCTTGAGCTATCAACTCTTGTGGTGCTGTTTTTTGATGCTGTCGCAGCTAACTACATATCAGCATTAGCATCCCAGCACAGCGAAATGGTACGAGCTTACTCTCCAGTCATATATTACGACTTTCTCAGCGCCCAAGTCTCGGTGAAGCTGGGTCTGTAGTTGCTGCAGGTATTGTAGAATGCTGTTGCTATCTTCCTTGTTCGAAAAGACGGCAGCGTCCAGAACTGCACTGTCTTCATGTTGTCTGCGTAGAAACTGGAAGCCATTCACATCCAGTGCAAAAGTGTCTATGCTTTCTCGAGCATCTTGGATTTGGATTGCCGGCGTTGTTCTGAATCGGAGATTTGTCCGAGGATATTTACTCACGTCTAAAGGAGCGAATATCTGGTACGCTTTTTCCTCTTGGAGATTATCCGTCATAGTGACGTGAGAAAGCGATGCTCGAATGGATGGCATTTTGATTCAAGGTTTTTAAATCACCTGTTCATTTCCATGACTTTTCAGAGAGTAATTGTAGATCAGGGAATGATATGGATCCACTCCTATATATATACGTGGGATGCAGCACTTGAGGCACTGTACTATAAGCCCAAGCAATCTTGGCCTACCCCATAGTTGCCAGATCCCAGTAATGCCTTGTAATCTGATATTTGTTTTGGATTAGGCCCTTTTCACTATATTTAGAGGATGTGGCTTCATTACAACAACATGTATGCAGCTGCTTCAACACCGTCGTAGCACATCAAACGCGTTGAATTGCAGTTGGATCATCTCGTTAGACGTATTATTACTGACCAATTCAATCAATAGAAAATATAAATGCTAAATCCAAGAACATCTGCCAACTTCAACCGAGTTGAAGTCTTTTTCACATAACCTTATGGTTCAAGATGCATAGAAATCCCCTCAATGATGCGTCATTAAGCGCCGTATGTACCCAAATACAATAGACCATGCAGTTTAAGTTCCTCTTTTCTTTTCTTGGCCGAAATTTTAAAAAAAAAAAAAAAAAAAAAAAGAGGCGATGTACTTTTTGTAAGACCTATTGAGGCACACTACTAGCGGGGGTGTAACATTGATGATACCCGCAGACATGTACCGACACGTACATGTATTTATTCATTGGAGCCCAGTGGGTGTCTACATGTATGATACTAGGCAGCATTGGGCATAAATCCAAGTGTGTCAGGTCGAACTTGGTTACATGTAAGATAAGAATGATGTGATCCCTCATACATGTAGGGGGAAGCCGCGTGCCTAAACTTGGCAAAAGACGGAGTGACCATGGTGCAGATGTGCAGAACTATCGCCATGCCATCAAATTCGGAAGCTATGCGGTCTTCACAAAGTAGGTTGTAAGTCTAGTTCGCGTGTTATATGTCATACTAATGCAAACAATCTGCTGAACGCGAACTAGGGAGAAGAGATGGTCAGACGCTGTCGCATTGTCGGAAAACGAACTCGGGAAAGAAGATTTTTTTCGACTTGGCGAGATCAAAGACTCAAAAGAGCTGGTGTCTCTCATTGAAGAAATGTGTAGCACTGAGTACAACAAAAAGATCTGCTACCATTTGAACTTTTACATTCCAAAGGTTACTACCTTGGGCGCAGCTCTCGAAGTCGCTCTTGGTAATAAATCCAGATCCTATCTCGCATACTGGGGTGTTGTGCACCTGATGCTCGAGGTAAGCAGCAGTTTGTCGACGGCCTTATCTGAGACGTTGGTTTGGAGCTGATCAAGTTTGGAATACAAAAGCTGGCAGCTCGGTCTGAAGTTGTGCTTTCGCGGCTTACCACGTTGTGGACTGATGTTGCCAATCATCTCCATGCATTTGAGGCCTATAGCCCCATCATTGAGCAAGACACGCACCTTAGAGAAATCGTGCTTGAAGTGCTACTGGAGTTTTTCTCCGCGTCAGTTGCAGCTGTGAGAGTAATTAAGCTTACTCCGACTCGAGTCAGCTTAGGTATGTTTCTTGATTTGTCCCCTAACAGACTGAATTCGCTCTAATATGCACAGATTACTTGGACAGTCATGTGGAATGGATGCAACTAACGGGGAAATACAAATCGATTTCGAATAGCCTCTCGCAAACGGTGCATTTCATCAAAGAATCGTCCGAGGCAAAGATCATCCAAGAAGAGAAGAAGAGAGAAGAGATTTTCGGTCGCCTTACTCATCTGCCGATAGAAGCTGAGAGCGATGAATCTTCCATTGCCAAACTTTCAATCCAAGAGTCAGATACGCCACAGGGTTACTACTATGTTCCCTTTAGGCACAATCAAAATTTCTTTGGCCGAGAAGAGCTACTGCTTGAAATCGAGCAAAAACTGGAATCCCGCGACGATGCTCTCCGCTCACTCTCAATCTGGGGAACAGGAGGGGTAGGTAAAACACAGATTGCGCTGGAGTTTGCATACCGACAACATCGTAAAGGGGTGAAATATATTCTCTGGATTCCCAGTGAACATCATTCTGAGTCTGCCAAAGCTTTCACTCAGGTTGCCGGTTTATTGAAACTGAGTGGGGCTACTACGTCCAAGGGCCATGAACAGAACAAATTGCTAGTACTTCATTTTTTGCAGCATACAAGTAAGTGCCTTGTTTATCTTTAGGTTGAGATTAAAAAGTCGCTAACTTTCTAAAGCTGACTCATGGCTGCTTATATACGACAACATTGAGAACCAGAAACTGTTGGAAGGCTCCCTGCCATCATGTGGCTCGGGCTCTATCCTCATAACTTGCCGAAGCGAAATTCTCGCATCCTCAGTTGCAGATGAACAGATTGAAATACCTGTGCTGACGGATCGTGAAGGTAGCACACTGATGTTGAAACAATTGGGGATAGCTAACCCATCTGCTAAAGAACGTGAGCTTACAGAAGAATTCTCTAGCGAGTTGGGTGGGCTCTCTCTTGCAATCGATTTGATGTCGAGGCACATGCGGACTCGCAAAAAGGGTGTTGCGCAATTTCTCCCATACTACCGGGAGAAAAGGGCGCTATTACATCGAAACCCTCAGAGAGGCATCACAAATATTTATTACAACGGAGATTTAGAATCGTCATGGACAATCGCGTTTGGCCAATTGGATGAGCAATCTATAAAGGTCTTTAGAGTTTTATGTATGCTTGCACCGGATCGCATTCCATTAACAGTGCTTTCACATGAAGCTGTTACGAGTTCAAATCCAGAGCACAAGGAAGGCGAAAAGCTAGACGAAGAAGAGTACGTGTTACCACTACAAAGCCATTTACAATTACTGACGATCTCATTCTCAAGTCTCGAGAACATTATAGTGAATCTAGTCGATTTAGCTCTTGTACGAACTAATGACACTTCAACGATGCTTTCCGTTCATCGTCTAACTCAGCTTGCGTTTCGAGAACACCAAAAGAGCTGCCAAGTTGAAACATTCATCAGAGTCTGTAAAATACTTCGCGATCTGTTTCCACGGCAGGATAAAGGCTTCGCGTTATTCAACCACTGGATAGACTGCGAAAAGTTAGCTGAGCACGTCCAGATGCTCTGTGAAAGATACCAGTCAATGTGTCAAGCAAGTCAGTCGCTTTATCTAGAAGACTTTTCATACTTGCTCTCAGACTGTGGAAGGTAATAGAAAGAAAACGATGTTCGCCGATATAAAAATATGAGTTGCTAATGATTACGAAAGATATTTATGCGAAATTGGTCGCTATAATGCTGCTAAAGCCGTGGTCGCGACCGGATTTGCTCACTGTGGCGATCGAGTCACACTCCCCCTCTCCAATCTCTGTACAGATATGGGCGCAATACTAAACGAGCAAGGGCACGACAAAGAAGCCCTCCTAAGCTTCAAGCGAGCGCTTTCCATCCGCGAAGAACTTCTAGCTCCGGATGACTCTGAGGTGGCCAACGCGCTGAGCAACTGTGCGATTGCTCAGCTGGGAATCGGGACAGAGCCTGAAATTGCGCTAACCTGGCTACTACGATCTCTAGAGATTGATGAATCTAAGCCTGACGAAATCAAGCGGAAGGTTTTGCATCTGAAGCATTTTAATCTTTGCTTCGCATACAAAGCGTTGGGAAATTGGGATTTGTTCACCAAGCATCTCACAAAGGCGACGGAGTATGTTTTGGATGAATTTGGAGAAAATTCGCGATATTTGGTGATGTAGGTATTATTATAATATCGCTCTTCCTTGACTAATGGCCAACAGTTCAAACAACCATCTCTCTGATCTCAGAAGACGAGAAGGAAAATTAGCAGACGCTTACGAGCTGTGCAAGCGAGCGAAAGAGATTGCCAAAAAAGAAGTCGCCACGAGTCCCTGGGTCTCTGCATCGGTCTACAAGATGGGCCATATTAGACTACTACAAGGGAGAGGTGAAGAAGCTGTGTAAGAAGTCTTTTTTTTTTTTTCTCTCCCTTTTTTTTTTCTTCTTTTTTTTATAAATTAGGTCTACCTGGCTAACTTTTATAAAGGGAACACCTCCAGGAAGCACTTAAAATTACTAGCCTCAACGAGCATGAGAAAGATGACCAAGGTGATAGAGCAAGGGTCTTGGATAAACTGGCGCGAGCCTTTACCATGCTTAAAAACCACGATCTGAGCAGCATGTACAGATCAGAGGCTGACGCGATCTATACGAAACTGACGGCCTCTGGAGTGTATGATCCCATTGGCGATGAAGACGAGAAATGGGAATTTCTAGTCTGCATCAAGTTCCGCTGATTTGTTTGCCAGCATCGGAGGAGGCCTTCGAGGATTAAAAGTGATGTCCCACGCAGAGAGAAATTTAATAAGAGTCGCTTCTTGATGCTTCCTCGCGATAGCAACTAAGCCGAATGCTCTTCCGTTCATTTGTAGGTAGCCAAGTGGCATACCTGCAATAGGATAGCCTGAAATATGATGATTAACATGACAATATGAAAAGCTATGGAGAGTTCCTTACCACTTCCACTGGCATGGGTAGATAGTCCACTATCTGCCGGTCCAATTATGACATCAGCGTCATATTTGTCAAGAATATAGTCAATTCCTTCATCCCTAGAGACTTTGCGAATCTTGTCGAGATATTTTTGGTACTGAGCCTCTGTCAAGTTCAAATCCGCGGCTTGCTCCAAAATTTTCTGGTTTGAATGGCCTGTTCATCAATTAGATACAAAGATGGGAGACTAGCCGTGGTCAATAGGTAAAAGCGCACCTGGTGGGAGTTCAATATCAGCGTGTTCCCTGTTGTAATCGATTAGTTCTTGTAGATTTTTGACTGGTGCGAACTCGAGATCGTCAAGATACGCTTGAAAATCTTTACGAAAATCCGTCACTACAGAAAGTCAGAACAGGGCTACTTTTTGCTAGAAACAATCGGTATAATTACGCATGATCATCAGCTTGCAGCTTTGTCCATCGATAGCGGCCGCTTCTGGCTTGATAAGAGGCACTTTCTCGGAGAACTTGCGTGCTTTGAGCTTTAACGTGTCGTATGCGTCTTGAAATTTGCGATTCTAGTATGGTATTAGCTTCAGACAGCACTACATCCAGTATATGGCTTACCATTTCAGCTGTAGCACTCTCCTCTGGTGCCATATACGCTGGCGGAAATATCCATTCCGTGTAGTCCACAGCAGCGACAGAAAATTCACTCATAGATCCAGGAAGCACGCTCGTATACCCACCAGCCGGACACCCAGGGGTATCTTCTTCCCTGAGAACGTCTAGGAAGGCGGCGATATCATAAGGGGTCTTGGCCATTGGTCCCGCAGAGTCCATGGTATGAGAAACTGGAATCAGTCCTTTTTGAGATATAAGGCCAATTGTCGGCTTGATGGTGTACACCGAAGCACGGCCGGCCGGGCAAATCAGCGATCCATCCGTCTCTGTGCCCACACTGAGCGGCGTATAACCGGCAGCCACGACAACAGCTGGCCCAGAAGAAGACCCTGAAGGGCTCTGTGGAAGATTAGTAGCTAAAACATGGGCCTTGAGATGGATGTTTCTCACGCTATGACCGTCTTTTGAGTCGTTTGCAAGCACTCCGCCACGAACATACGGCGATTGACACTGGCCGCCTAGAGCAGACCAACCGCTGGGCAGGCGCTCTCCCCTAGTCGCTAATTAGTGTGCATCACTTGTCTTGCAGAGAAGATGAGTATACCGAAAGTTGGATAGCTCCTAAAAGAACGGCGGTTAATAAAGATGGCGCATGGCTAGAAATGGAGGCATCATGACTTACGCTCAAATTTGCTTTGCCCAGAATTATCATACCAGCAGCAATAATCTGCCAAATTTTAGAAACTGACTTTGCATGGTCAATGCCGGTAAAGCCATACCTTATCCACTAGGCGCGCATTTTCTCGAGGTCGAGCATCTTGAAGCGCTTGACTCCCAGAAGTGCTTTTCATACCAAGCTCGGGATGCGTATTTATGTTGTCCTAGTAAGGATCAGAATGTCAGATGCTTGTCGGCTAAAGGGATAGTGACCAAAAAAAAAAAAAAAAAAAATAGAGGACTTCACCTTCAGAATGACCGGGATACCGTGAAGTTTGCTTCTGACTTTGCCAGCTGCCCTCTCCGCATCCAAAGCCACCGCGATTTTTTGAAGCGCCTCCCTCGACGGCATCGAGAGCATGCCGTGAAGATAGTCGTCATGGCGTTGAATTTGATCTAGATAGAGGTCGACGAGATGAGAACTTTTGATCGATCCCTCTTCCAAAAAGGCCTGCAACGTTTCAGTGTCGACAGTCAAGACGTCAAGATGAGGGACGGCCATGTTGAAGTCAGCGCGTGGCTTTGCAGAGAGCATCCACCCAGAACGAATGAACCAAAGAAGCGAAAGGGGCGCGCAAATCAACAAGCAGACTGCTATCTTTTTGATTGTCGCGCGATACATGGAAAATGGAGGAGAAAGCTCGGCGCTTTTAGCTGCAGGCATGGTAGCCAACTCTGAATACCATCACCGACGTCGGTAGCTATCAGCGCACAGAGTTGTTAGGAAAGCCCAAAGTCATATGATGCAAGTCGCAGTGCTGCATCCCTAGTTCGTAAGCACGCACGGGCTATTACGGCACACAGGGCCGTGGCTGTCTGCCTTGCGAGGGCCACTGGATCAGCAATGTGTGCGTGCTGTTTGTTTGTATGCAGAGTCGGGTACATGGTTACACAAAGGGCATTACGAGAGGGCTGTGCCAAAGAGGAGAGGGGCTTCAGTACGTACCAGTACCAGCACAGCACAGCTCTCGTCTTATAGAGTGTCGATATTTTATTATAAAATATTCTCTTAATAACAGGCTACTACCTATCAAAACTTGTACATATAGAATGATATCTTTAAAGGAATGTTTATTTTAAAATGCCCATCTTTAAGGATTACATGCTAAAGCTTATGATATTACCATTCATCATATCATCCTCACCATTTATTATATCTATTATACATAAAGTCGTGTATTAATAGGTACATGTATTCATAGTGCGTCTCTATGCAGCATAATTGTTCATTCATCCAACACTGTGATAGAGGCTAGGCTTATCTTGCAGGTATTGTACAAGTGGTATGGGTAAATGGGTGTGAAGCTGCAACCTCCAAGCATTCCTATCACACAAAGCAACCAATGACTGGGACATGCACGAGCACAGGCACCAACACACGAGGGAAGCCTGAAAACAGCCGCAGCAGTGTTGTCGCATTTTACCCCCGAGCGAATCAGAGTCCCAGGAGATGGAGATTAGAACCTCTGGCCAACCTCCTTCGGACCCATCACGTTCAGTGCGCCTTCAAGTTGAAGCACTCCGATGGTCCAAGCCCCCCTCTTTCCTGGCGAGGGGGTCGGTAAGTTGGTGCAGAATGTATCTTGGTTTTGTGAGCTACCTCAGTGCTACTAGTACTTGTAGTATGTTTTTGTATTCCCTATGCTGGAGTGGGCATCCCACAGACGAAATACTGGACGTCTACTCGGCACCTTTAGAGCCAGATGGGCATTGAGCGAGGTCGGAAACACGTCTTCAAATTCGGCCAACAGATGCTACTGTTTCTAAAACTGGGCCCAAAGCGGATTTCAGCTTTTTGTCAGTCTCTTGTGAGCATTGGCTCGGCTTGCCACGCCCAAGTCTTTGCTACCGTTGTCGCCATCAAGCAGCTGTCGTACAGTTGATGGAAGATCCAGGTAGACTGGCCGCCGGTTCGTCCCCGAACAAAAGCGTGGCGTGGCGTATGACAAATTAAAACGCAACCCGTCCATTCTCCTTTTCCTCCTGTGTTACAGCCTACATGTACTCGAGCTTCGTCAAAGGAGAGCCAATGGAACGAGCGATGCGACGCGCCTCACTTTGCCCTCTCCCCAAGGCGCAAGTCCCCCAGCCATGGCCGCCTTTCCATCATTGAAACTTTGGTACCTCTCTCTCATTGACTCGACCACATCCATGCCCATCGCATCCGGGCTCGTAAAGCGCTGAATAAAAGGGAAGCTCGTTGGATATAAAGGGAGTCAAGATGGATCAGCGCAAGAGCTCGGTCGGCATCTCGCTGAAGCATCTCTACGATAATTCCAGCCGCTTTCCACCGTCTAGTTTGGCAAAAACTGGCAGTCATGAAGATGCTCTTCGTTCAGGTATCCATTTCCAACCTCAGCAAGTCGCCGATCGCGCTGACTGTCCACAGCGTATCTCGAGTTTTTCTCTGCTTCCACGGGCAATCCTGTCACATCGTTTCCGACTCCTAGTAGTGCTGCGATACAAGCATGGCACATGAGCCTAACGAATGCTCTATCCGAAGAAATCCAAACGCAAATCATTGATAGCCTCGACCCCAATTTTCATATCGGGCAAGAGAAGCGGATACGCGTCCTAGGGTTCGTTACCAAAGTGGCGGAGCTTTTACGAGAGAGCCCGCATGGATCGATACAGTTTATCGCAAAGAAGCTGGCCGATGACACTGTTTCAAATGCGTCTGAGAACTCTCGAGTCCCCTACGCCGCGTGTATTTTCGCGTGTGTCGGGTGGGCAACGTCAATGTACAAGGCAGACCCTCAGCAAGGCAAACCTCTGGCCATTGATACACAAGGTGCGCCTTGCTTCTCAGCGCCAGATCTGCTTCCGTCGTTTGTTACTAGATCCGTAGGAGAGATTCTAGGAAACATGGGAGATGACGTGCTTCCGAGGAGCAGCTCAACATCGACACCTCTTCTAGAGACGAAACCTCCCAGCAAGCTTTATGTTGCGCGCCTGAATTTTGCCACGCTATCTCAGTTAGCCGATGCCAAGATTGTTTGGATTGATACTGTCAGCGGGCACTTAAACTTTGACATGGCCAGCCAGACACTTTTTCTCTTTCGCTTTCCGTCGTTCTGCGAGCTTCATGCTTCGCGGAATTCTGTCATGGCAGGGTGAGCACATTCCAATAGAAGCCATACACTACTAGTACTAACCGACCACAGTATCCTCAATTCCTACTCTTCTGCTCAATTTACCGTTCAGGGCATGATGGGAGAAATCCTCATGTCGTACGCTCTTATATTCAAGCTAAACACGCGAGCTCAACAACTATACAAGAAAGAGAAGGCGAAGCCGAGCAACCAATTGACAGATCCTCTTCTTGATAGCCTTTGCCTTGACAACTCGGAAAATTCGTTGAGAAACCTATTGCTCGGGCTTTTTAGCCCGAAGAAGGAATCATTCGAAGCGGATGCGGAATTTCCCATCTTGTCTCAGCGTTTATTACGAATCCAAAACTACATTGACGGTATTCCGACAAATCGAATATCCTCTTTGTGGAAGGACAGACGTGACATGTCAAGATGGTATACGTTTTGGGCAGTCATTTGGTTTGGCGGTGCCAGTATTTTCTTTTCCATCATCCAAACGGCCCTGGCAGCCGAGTCAGTCAAGCTTGCTCGTGAGCAACTGAAAGCTCAGATAAATCCTCCACAATCTTGAACGTAGCTACCGCTTGCCTTCCTTAAACTTCATCAGCACATGTCATTGTTTGATATCTGAATACTTAATATTCGTTTAGAAACCATAAATAGCAATCTTGTTGATAATGCCTTTAACTACTTGCCATCTCCTTGCACTCGGTCTTTCCTCAAGCTTGTGATTGCAATCAAGCGGACCTCAATACTCGCCCGAGGCTCGCAATTTTCTTTCGCAGCCGGATTCAAAAAAGCCGCATGCGGGGTATGACCTTGTGATTTATCAGCACTGCACAAGATGAGGCCTTTTTGCCACTACATGACTGCCTACCTTGAAACTCTGGAGCTTCTGAGTCCCAGCTCTGGAAAAGGATTATATCATGTTTCGTCATTTGCGAATACCAGTACCACTGATGCCACTCTCGTTGCTTCAGCCACAGTCCTTCTCCTGGGCCAGTATCGTCTATTCGGTCGTACGGCAGCCAGTCCGCAAGCTGGACACTCCTTCGATCGCACATTGCAAGAGGTACATCTTCAACCACCGCGACTAGAGGTCTCCAGCAACTAATTCTTCATTAGGCTACGAGAAAAGACTCTGATTGGTAACGTAGTGTAAGAAGAGGAATATAACCAGTTTGTTACTTACTTGATAATACGACACCGGCTGGATCCATCATGTAGATGGCGAAGTTCTTGCTCGTTCAAGTACGCCTTCAAGGCCTTGAGACCGCCTTCATAAGAAAGGTCTATCGCGTGAATCAGGTTCGTACAAGTATACATGAATTGCAATTAAGCATGAATTTACCGGCATGCGCCTTATAAGCTGGTGGGATCGGATCAGTCCTGGCGAGGGAAATGTCCTCCTCAGAATGGCTACCTTTGTTGTTGTAGCTTGTACGAAGCTGTAGAAAATTAGAATCAGAGTATAAACACCATCGATTGCTCCTGCTTCTTTATTCGTATAATAAAGATTGAAACTGGAGGGATAAGGAATAGAGGGTGAGAGAGAAAGAATCGTACTCTCCAGTCAAAACAAATCGTCTTGTTCGCCTTGAAAAATCCGTGCACAAACGTCCTCGTCTCTTCCAAATACTCTAGAAGCTCTCCCGATACATCACTCGATTTGAACTTCTCCATACTCAGTTTCACGCCCGACGGAACATCAAGGTACGCAAAACCCTGAGAATCGAAACCATCGGCATCGCGCAATCCACTCCCCGAAGCGCGTAGGTCGCGAATAACTACGTTGTTGCCAGCGGTGAAGAAGCAATTCGTTTTTGGTATATCGACGTCGCCGGCTGAGAGGATCATATAGGGCTTTACATGATCATATAAAGTGCTCTCTTTAATATGAGCGATTGGAGCTACAACGTAGTGAAGAGAATCTGTTTCGCAGGAAAGATTTCCTGATAGAAAGAGTTGCGAGTGTTGGTCCTGCATGATTGATGTCAAGGTGAAGAGGGATAAGTGATTGCGAAATGATGCGTTAATCACGAGATCTTTTGTTTTGGGGGTTCAGTCGAGTTTACCCGAGGCTGCGCCCATTTGCTGATCTAAAGTTGAGGTTTCTCACATCACTAAAAAGGATCTCGAATATTGCGAACAAGAAGCTTTGTAATTTTCGCTTCAATACATTCTTATCGAAAATTTACCTTAGCACATGGCCAGATATTAATTAATACCTAAGAATATAAAGATGCGAGGTAAAAGCAAATCTAGAAAAGGAAACGCACAGTTTGTACTTTTTCTCTCTTTAGAAGCAGATTCCCATTGTCTTGTCTTTTCCTATATTTCATCCCCAATCTCTTGTGAAATTCTGAGTTTACCTTACTTCTGCCGCAGGAGCCTTTAGCAATTCCGAATACCTTGCCTCCTTGAGAAGCACAAAACATTAATCATATAAATCTCATACAAATCTCACACGAATACGAGCAAAAAAAACAAACCAATCCGACCCTCTCTCCTGAAGCACAAACTGCTTGCCTCTCACTCCGAGATCCCAAAAGACTTATTCAGAAATACTCGGCACTTACTCCAAAAGTCTTATTCAGAAAAGCCCGACACGTAACCCTCCGCCTGCTGAGGGGAATTGCCTCTTTACAAACAACACCGTCTTCACCACGGTAAGCACGAAGCCCCATCGGCCGCTGCCCGCAGTACATCCATTCCAACTGTGGAAGAACTTTGGCGTATGCCTCGGCCTGCACGAGCATGCGATTTCTATGGGCTCTTTCCCAGGTGCACTGATCAGTGGCGCCTGGACGTCCATAGTCAACATCGTCATATTCCACTGTCTTGTCAAGATCGAGTCCATAGTCTTCGCCAGCATCATGACGTGGCCGTGCATCTGCATCCATGTAATCCGAATCTATAACAAATATCTCATCGTAATATTTTGTTGGAGATAAATGCTTCAGTTCAAGACGGTAATATGTGTCGTGAAGCAAGGCCAGCGTCTTGAGACGACTCAAGCCTTTCAAATGTCGTCGTAGCTTGCCATGATCAAGTAGCCAATTAGATCTAAAGCCAAAACGTAGGCTGAGTTGCTCGAGTGAACCAATTGTGCCAAGAGCCACCAGTGATGGTTCAGGAAATTCATCCTTGTATTCCCTCAGATAAGGGTATTCCTCCGGATAATAAGGCAGCCTCTTGCCGCTCCATGATAACGAGAGACAGCGAAGGTCATTAAACCTGCCAGTTGCTAGAATAGGGATACAAAGGCTGCTTATTTGATCACCTTTGACAATTATCTCGTGTTCCTCGCTCAGATGAAGTTTCTGCACATGATTATGCCGCTTGATAAACTTGGCAATGGGCATGCACCCCTCGCGTGTAAGGGGCAGATCAGGGACTTCCAAGGTCTGCAAATATGCCAAGGGCTTACAAGTCTCGAGACTCTCGAGGATAAGAGAGATATACCGTCTCGGTAGCCGAAGATGCCTCAACGAAGGACCCATAAATGAGGAGAATGACTCTGGTTTGAAATATAAACGCTCCAGACTAAGACGCTGTAGTCTAGGGAACGTGAGCTTTGAATGGTCTAAAGTGACCGCAAGTTGATCTTCTAGGCTTGCCGTATGCCACCAAGTCAGAGACTCAAGCGTAGAGGAGCAGCTTTGGAAGAGCGTATTGAGGAAAACAGAGGTGGGGTGATGCATCGCCATCGTTGGTGGGTAACCCGGGACTGCATCTTCCCAAGAATCATAAGCAGAAGTTATCAAGTTTACGTCGAGGTCAAGAGAACAAAGCTTCCATTGGACAGGGACCAGAGGCGGTGTCATGGGCCAATGCTTGCTAGGCCGTATCTTTTCGAGCTTAACATGCTCGGCAGAACAACGAGAGATGGCTTCAAGAAAGTCGCTGTCCAATTGAACCTTGTCCTTCCAAACGAGCCCAACAAGGTTAGGCATTTTGGAGGCAATCACTGTGAAGATGCGCTTCCGTTGATTGACGTAGTGTTCCTGAGCTGCGCTTAAGTTCTCGACAATCGTCTCCCGTAGTTGAGTAAAAGGGAGGGAGTCATTAAATCTATCGATATACATGGCGTTGGACAGCTTTGGGTGAATAGTAGAAAGGAAATCCTCCAGAGGTGCAAAGGTAAATTTGCGCACGAAAACGCCGATAGGTAACAAATTTGTCTCGTTGTCGTCATCCAAAGATTCAGTTGCCATATGCAGGAGCAGCTCGTGTGACTGAGGGCTGTAGTCGAAATGAATCTCCTTGAACTGGCACGCACGAGCGAGATATAAACAGATGCTGCTAACGAGCGCGAGAGAAGCCAGAGTTTTTTTGTCGTCTTCAAGAAAATCTAGGATTCTATCCAGCAGCTCAGCAGGCAACTGAAAGAGCTTGGGCTGCGGTTGATGCTTGGATGTATATTTCCGCTGGCGCCTTTGCATAGAGGTATCAAACTCAAGCCTCCGCAATTTGGGCCATCCTTCACATTCTTTGTAACGTCCATTTCTGCTGGAGAATCTACATGGGAATTTCGCAAGCGAAGAACGATCGCTCATGATGAAGATCAGCCGCCAAGGTGAAAGCAAAGATGCGAAAAGAAAGGGGTGATGGAGTGATGAGGATTGGAAGAAAAGTGAGTTTCAGCGCAAATCAAGGACGGTCCTGGAAGATATAAATCCACCCGCTCTTTGATCACAGCTTTTATATATTAACAAGCCACGTAGCCTTTGATCAACCACACGTTAGAAACAAGAAGTGAAGCGAAAAAGCGAGTTCAACTCCTCCTTGAACCAGTCATGAACCAACATTGAACATTGCGCAGCAACCAAGCTGAAAGAGTGAAAGACCTTTCGGGGCAAATCTTTGAGATTGGGACACATATTGTCATTTTTTCAGCGGCACTTGGTCCATGTTGGGGTTTGATATGCGTGGATGGGAGTTGAGCAGTTCAATAAGTGAACAGAGCCAGCTCATGAACCTGTGAACAGATCAAGCACAAAAATGTGGAGTCCATAGAACATCTTGAACATCTACTAAGCCAGATAAAATACAAGTACAGATAAATTATAATAGTCATTTAATTATTCTCTTAATTTTAGTGATTTTTAAGTATACTCTATAATAGGCAGCGGCATCGTAACCTCTGTGTTGAAGATGGACGCGACGATCCGCCACTTACACCATTCACCCATCTACCCCATATTCAACGTCAACTTAAAAAGACTACAAATCCACATTCACAGAGAAGCCATTCATTCACCAACGCACCTTCATTCTCAAGTTAAAAATGCCACAATCCTACATCATGCACTCTAGCAGGATTTCCCCCAAATAAACCCATCAACACTCAGGTCAAGGGTAGGCATATACATCACGCCACAGGTAGCACAATCCAATACTCACCCATCTCAAGCAGTTTCAAAGTAATAAGTTGCTCTCTACCCAATACGTGCCAAGCCAATATCTCCCCAAAGCAAAACAAGAGCCAGCACATCCATCCCTACATGCAACGTATCAAGAGGAACCTAGCGCTTGACTGACAGCTAGCAGTTAAACCATCACGGTCATACTTGTAATTAGACCATCTCACGAGATAGGACGATCAGTCATGTCTAATTCAGATGGCATATTTACAGAAACATTCGCTCACATTGCAGTAGTCACGCACTGACACAGGCCAAAGCGTCTACACAAATACACTCCGTTCTCTGCATATACGTATACAGCACAACCCTGTCCGCTGTTTCAGACACGCACGTCTAAGCCTCTAAGGTTTGCCACCCACGAGCTATATTTCCGAGGCTCAACCCCCTGCGGAGCATCAGTGAAGGAGTCATGGCGTTTCAGCTCTGCGTCAATGGTGCTTACCTACACGTATGCACATACACCCACGCTATTCAACTTCAACGTACTCGAGAGTAAAGATTGTCACTTCAATAGTTGATTGGACCGTGTACAAAGCATGTATACTTACCACGACTTCAAAATGGGTGCATCCGTGCGTAGGTCTCAATACAACCACACCTATATGCCGACACATTTCGTGACGCCTCTGATCATGACCATATCCATGACGCAAGGAGAGTTGCATAAAGTCTCAAGTATCCAGATACTGAGACAGCATTACCGCCTCGGAGTGCGGCAAAAATGACACTCCCGAGCCAGAAATAAAGTTCCCGGGCGAGATTGACAGTCTTACCTTGTACCTGCTTCGTCTCGGATCTCAAGACAAGCATCGCCTGACGGTAGCTCTGGCAGCGGTTGCTCACATGCATCCCGCGAGATAATCCAAAGAGAGACAAGATCCGCAGTGAAAGTCATCCGCGGCCGCGGCTATCCCGTCCTTTGAAAAGAATACCTTTGTATTTCGTCCAGGTACAGTAGGAGCTGCAGCCGTCCTCAGCTGTGGCTTGTTTGCCACCTGCAAGGTGCCAAAACAAACCGACGTCCCGTCCATCGAATTCCAGGAGAGCTGAGAGCAACCCAATTTCTCAGCGCGCGCCATTGTGTGCAAGGGCGGGAAACCATGACAAAGACACTGCAAGCCATCGATATCCCGCGCCGAGTGATGATCCATCAGGGTTAAGACGCTATATCGAATCGCACAAACACGGGTTCCAGTACGCGCAGGGAGACATTGCTCCCCGGTAAAGCCAAATAGTCCAGCTCGTAATTGTCCTTTGCCTTTGTCTCAGGACAGGCGGCTAAAGGGCGAGTCTGCTGGGCCTTCGTATTCCCAGATGCCGCCCTGCATGTCCAAAGCCAGTCTATAAGTGCCTCGAACTTTGTGGAAAGCCAGCCCGCAGACTCTGCAGCCCACTACGCACGGACGGTGGTGAAGAGCATGAAATCCAGTCGTACTCGTGCAGCAGTAGGTGTGCTGGTATCCGTCACCGTTAAGCCAATGGTTGCAGCTCACAGACGTTTGTTGAATGGAAGTCGGTTCATCTCCTAGGCGCTTCAAGATGGGAAGAGTTGGAGTATAGACTCAGCCGCAGTATAGACTGTCGATCCTATTTCCACGACAGACACGGCAGAAAAGTCTCAAACAATCTCTTTCCTCGCGGAAACCCACACTATAAAGCGTAGTGTAAGTAATATCCGGGCTTTGTGCAAGCCAGAAATTGAGAATTGAGGCACAGCACAATTAGTGCGCTCCACAAGAAGCTTCTTCCTCACGCAGCACTGGGGCCGTGCCGTCCGGTCCCACAAGACAGCCCAGGATATCGCAGCTTCCAAAGGCGGCCTGCATCAAGTAGAGCACGTTCAATCTCCGAGCGCGTAGTGGCAGTCGTAGTGGTTGCCGGCAGTGCATCTCGATGGGCAATAACCTTTCGGCTCAACAGCGCTGTAATTTGGGATAATAATAGCATCCAATGCGAGGGAAGCAAGCACCTTGATCAAGAGCCCAAGACGGTTGTTCCAAATGCTGCAAGGACGGCTGGTTGGCAATGGCAACGTTCCCGAAGACAAGCTCCGGCCACATGTAGGCACCGCATACCGTAGCACTTTTGCGTCTCGTAAGATTGGCAGACTACTGCAGCTACTGCTGTAGAACCTTGTATTAGTGAGATCGGGAAGACCAACAGTCTGTAGCACCGGGGAATGATACCTCACGGCGTAGACTCGGTCGCACGCCGTAGCAAAGAAGAATCCCTCCAAGCTGCCCCACGGATGCATGCCTCCATCGTCTCTGCATCTCAATTGAACAAACACTTGGCTTGGCTTACTCGGAGCGAGACCGACTCCGGATTACAGCGCGATGGTGGTCTGACTTTTGTTAATGCTGGTTTTATTACGGAGCACTGTCGCATCACTTCATCATGTATAGCAGATTATAGAGGGGCCCTTGGGCACTGCGACGTCTCTGCCATGTTTCCTCTGAAGCATGCCCATGGGCTGTTCTTTTGATCTGGGGCACTGGCCAACTCGATGCCAGAGCAAGGGGTTCAAGCAAGTCACAACTGCCCACCAGCCTGTACCATGGCATGGCCTCATGGCAGGCTGGTCGCTTTTCGTCCGCAGCATTCTCGCCCACGGAAGTCCTCCGTAGATCTGACTAGCACTGACTGGACGGGGCCCGCCAAATTCATCTCGGTCCATTCTGGGTCTGTATGCACGCGGCAGGAGAGCATAATTTGGATCAGATTACGATCAATGTCCGACTATGCTTTTCGAGATGACTTTCAAAACGGCATAGAAATTGGTGGCGTTTTTTTGGTTGGTTGTCGCCCCTATTACCGGCAGCCAGAAGACAAAAAGACCCTTTGCAACAGGACCAATACAATCACATGGCTGACGGATTTGCGTGCACGCCATTGACCTCGGCTCGGCGCGCCCAGGGAAGAGAGAAGCTGGTCCCAATAGGCTTAGATGAGGGCAAGGCATGACGACCAAGGAACAGAACAAGCAGGCAGGCAAAAACCTTGGTTGGCCAGCAGCTGCAGCCAAGCGCGTCTTCGGCACACATATTGGCATATTAGTCGTCGTACAGAGACGCTTTTCTGCTCTTGTGGCAAGGCTAGAGCAGACTAGCCGATGGACCGTGGACCATATGGAGATCCCATCGGATCAGGCGCCTGGGATAAGCAATTGGCGTCAGGGGGGTTGCTGCGGGGGAAATTGCGTTGTCGAGAAGCGATGGCCGGCGATTCCAGGCAGGCCGCTGAAGCGCCCATTCCCCGGACTTTTGTGACCGATTCGCTCGGTTGTCAAGCTTCCAAGGATGGCGATGCCTGTCCAGTCCTGGCCGTGGACAAGGGGCAAGAAGAACTTTTCGCAAGCACGGACAGAGCACCTTGTGTCGACGGCGTGGAAGAGGAATGGCTGGTCGGCGACGCTGCTAGCCCTTGAGAATTTCACGCCACTCTTCCCGGTCGACGCTCTGGGTAAAGAGCAGCAGGGCTAGCCAAGCACCGGCGATGCTCAGCTCAGGTGCCGCTCTTGTTCCTGCGTTGGGAGTTTTTGCCATGGACGAATCCTTTTCATGAATCCAATTCCGTCGCGTCTGAGTCAAGAATCCTGTCTGGTGGAGCACAATGTCATTCCAAGCTTTGGAGCTACCAATTGCTCGCCTCCGTTGCCCTGTGGCTTCTCGAACGCACGAGGAAGCTTTCGAGGCCTGTAGTTTTGTTGGCTGGGCTTGGACCTGAAGTCTTTTTGTGGTGTGTCCCGTCGGACGTCTGACAGTCGCCATCAAGGAAAAAGGCCGTAGTACCTGGCAATGCTAGCAGAGGTTGTACACACAGACATTGTACAGTAATCCTCGATTTCCCCGCAGGTTCACAGTACCCAGTAGTACAAGCACACGCCATTCGACAAAACAGGCTGAAGAAGCTGGGGCATCGAGGGTGTCTGCCTGCAGAATCGAGCAAGGCGCGTAACTAGCACCGTGCTCAATAAGGCGTAGCCTGCTGCTCTGAACTCAAGTTGGCAAAATCCAGAAAAGGCACACATGACGGCGCGCATGGGCAAACAGAGGGAAAAAAGCGCTCCATGACATGATGCTGACGAAAGGTGATGGGATTTGGGATCGGCTCAAGAGTTGAGATCCGCATTCTGCGCATAAGGTAGGTACCTGCCCTGGACGCTGGCGGTGGGGAACAGCAGCTACAGCTATGCCCAGGCAGGTTATGGCGGCCGAGACAGGGCCAGGAGCGCTGTAGCGCTTTTGCCACGGACGGTCGGGCGCTGAAGACGACGTTGGAGCTGCTGGAATTTGAGCACCGAAGCCGTGCTGAACAGGTTGTAGGCTGTCCAATGCTTGCCCCCAGCCAGCAAATCGGCCGAGCCAAACCCGACGTACTCAGATCAATGTCTGGTGTGTCTACACGCACAAGTACTCGTACGCTGCACCGACGTTATATTCTTGCAAATAGTATACGGGTTTGCACGCTTTGAAACACAGACGCCGTGGGAATATCACACTGGCAAGATGATGTCCGTTTAGTTGGTTCGCCAACATCGCTGATGCTGGCCAGAGTCACAGCGTTGCGGCCCCAGCCACAGCCACAGCAGGTCTCAATGCAAGGTTACGTCTGGTGCGCTTTTTTGCAACCCATCCATCATATCCCACACCACCTACGAGGGCAGAATAGCGGCCGCACCACGAAGAATAGCCCCAGGCAACGCTGGCCAACCACGATTGCCATCCAAAACCCCAGATCTGCGCGCAGAAGAGCAGAAGATACTTGTACAAGAGAAAAAAAAGGGGAGGTGGCTGGGCCAATAGTGTACCGCGGTGCATAGTGCTGCTTGCGGTTTGCGGTCTCTGCTTGCATCCGCGAGGCAATAGACACTGGATCTGGTGAACCAAATCGACAACCAGACTTTTTGCCTCTGCAATTTCCGGCGGCGAGGCCAATGGGACGGACCAGTGGCCTGTCGGGCCATGGTGCGGCATCTCCGCGCTCGTTTAGCTGGTCAAAGACAGGGGGCCATCGAGTCAAGTCGGATGTCCAGCTCGAGCATCCAAACAACGACTGTATACTGTATGAGATGACTTCACATGTCGGTTGCTGTAAACCATCGAGGTCAGCAGGATGTGCATGTACCAATGTAGGCAGTACTCGACACAGGCCGGGTTGACGGCAGCGCCCAGCCGTACCTGCAACCAAGCCAAACTCCCGAGGCTGCGCAAAGAGGCAGAACCAACCATCACCATCACCATCACCATCGCCCAAATGCTCGTCGATCGCTGCTTTGCCCGGCTCGGCCGTGTGTAGCACATCTGGTTAGATCGGCGCCCATCCCTGTTTCCGGCCATGGGTCGCTCCAACGGGCTGCTCCACCGCCGCTGGAGCCACGCTTGCAACAGCGTCTGCCTGGCGGCGAGGTAGCAGAGACGGTGGCGCACCGCAAGAGATGCTGCGAGGATCAAGTACCGTCTACTCGGCGCAGCTAGGCTCTTCTCCCCTGGCGATGGCCCGTCGGTATACTGTAGTCTACTGTAGTCCACTGGAGTCCACTGGAGCTGGCGAGCCTCTGTGGCTTTTCTTGCCGCTGCTTGGGGAAGGCTACTAGCAATATTGGAAATGGTGTAGCTGCGCTGTATTTGCCTCTCGTACCTGTATGGGCATGTGTCTGGCGCCAGAGCTACTTGCGACTCTCGTATCCGTGACTCTGCTCTGCTCGGCCATGACGAGTTCTGGCTGTCGGGCCTCTTCGCTCTGCCGTACCCAACACCTCTGCGTCGAGTACAGAAACCCAAACTCCATTCGACTCCATCGCACCTCGTCTCTAGTGCTATTCAGCAACCCTGCTGTCTCTCTCTATTCGCCCTCTCGGCCCAATTTTTCCCTCTCATTTGCAACCCCCGGCCCGACGATCGAAATGGGGGGGTGTGCGCGGCCCCAGCTGAGACCTTGGCTAGCAGCGTCGCACAGGAAGCTATTCCGTCGGGGCCAAGTGACTTTTGCTTGCAGTGCAGTCCTTGTAAGCCAGGAGCAGGGAAGGGAACTTGGAAGGCGTGGTGATGATTGATGCATGGATGGATGGATGGATGGATCAACGGGGCATCGGGGAGCGGCCAAGCTGCTGCCACTCCAGAAATTACCACGGCTGCTGGTTGCTAGTGTATAGGACAGGACAGGCACGCCAACAGCTCCCGCGTCAGTGATAGGTACATAAAGGGCTTCAATCCACCTCGTCTGCCCTTTTTCCCTTTTCCTCTTTTTCCCTTCTCCATCCACTCGCTCGCTTTCACAGTCCAGCCACATTCGTTGTTGCTCAACAAAAACCAAAAAAATACCAAAACATTAGCCCTTAATTCATTCCCCGGAATCCAAATCTTAATACCGTCAACATGAAGGCCGCCACCGTTCTCGCTGTTGCTTTCGCCGCTCTGGCCCAGGCCCAGACCCGCGCTGATATCCCCAGCTGCGCTCTGCCCTGCCTCGACGATGCCGTCAAGGCCAACACCAAGTGCTCTACCACCGACTACGCCTGTATCTGCAAGGACTTCAGCGCTGTCCAGACCGCTGCCACCTCCTGCGTCATCTCCAAGTGCGGTGCTGATGTCGCCCTGAGTATGTTTCTCTGCCATGAACTGTCTTGGAGTTTGGTGTGATCTAACAATGACTACAGACAAGGTCCTCCCCGCCACCCAGGCTCTCTGTGCCAACCCTGGCTCCGGCTCCTCTGCCGCTGGCTCTTCTTCTGCCGCTGCCACCAGCGCTGCCCAGACCTCTGCTGCCCAGACCTCCGCTCCCGCCAGCTCTGCTCCTGCCAGCTCTGCTCCCGCCAGCTCTGCTCCCGTCAGCTCTGCCCCTGCCAGCTCTGCTGCTGCTTCTTCTGTCCCCGCCGGCACTGGTGTTTCCACCACTGTCATCACCAGCGTCACTCCCGTTGGCACCGGTGTTCCCCCCGCCGGCAACCGAACCACCACCGGCCCTACTGGTGCTCCCACCAACGCCGGTTCTGCTCTCCTGCCCGGCCTTGCCATGCTCGCCCTCGGTGCCCTTGCCCTGTAAGGGATTTGAAAACTCAAAGATACCCAAAGGCGAGATGTCACGAATGGAGACGAGGTACGGGATGGGAGGAATCAGGATGGAATGGAATTGGAACAGTTAGTGCGCTGGAAAGGCTTTATGGTGTTATGAACTACGAGCTGGACCCTATACGACATATGTTGTTGGATTTGGATCATCCGCCCCCTCGCGGGCGTGTAATACACAAAATATAACCAGTTTACTGGCTTTAATGCTAATGTCTGCGGACGATTTTTATTTTTCAATGCTTGGTTCTTTTTGAATGTGACTATATTCCAATCGTGATTTCATAGTACCATTTGATTGCGTTTCCTGAGCCGTAGCAACTCCCATATGCCAAAGGTAGCCATGTGTCTGCCATAGCTGTTACACAGGCTAAACCGCGGCCTATAGCCAAGACTCTTGGTGCCGCCGTCTGCTAGTCGCATCCATGGTGCCAAAGCCCAGGCAGCCTGTAGGTAATAGTAGTACATAAAAGTAGCAGTCAGAGCCTGGAACACTCAGAATCATACAATAAGGGTGGTTGGAAGACCCGCCATATCCGAGCTTCCGTTTGCGACAGCGAGCCGTGACTAAGAGAAAAGGGGCCCTGGTCTGGAAATCTCAGTGTACCTAAGCAGTTGACGCTGGGAATTCATGCTACAGAATAGAGACTTGTACTTTGTATATAGAGGAGCTTGCTGGGCGGATATCCGGTGGCTCCGCTGGTTGGGACGGCTGGGATTGGGTGTCAATTTCTATGGCGCGGTTGAGGGTTTGCATTTATTCTCTTTTGGTTTGTTTCTACGTATGTATGCTTAATGTTTGACTTTTTTTTTTGATGAGGTGGACTTCTTTTTGACTGTGTTTCTTTTCATGTCAGACGATGGGAGCAGGTTGTTTTTTTTCCCCAGTGGAGTAGACAAGGAGGAGTGAAGACAGGGTGGAGAACTGGACTGGGAGCTACTACAAGTACAAAATAGGTGAAGCGAGGACTGGGCTAGAAGCGGGAAGAAAAATGGGAAGCTGGATGGAGCTGTTGGAGCTCTTTCTCCCAATGCAACGGTTGCTTTGCGAGTGCTGTGATGCAGAAGATTGAGTGGTGTGAGTTGCAGCCACGTAATGGACCAACCACTAGACACCTCGGAAGAAAAGATGACAGGTAGTACTTGTTTCTACTTGTAGCCCTGTTACGTGTATTGAAGCAGAAGAAAAAAAAAAGTTGGAATTAGGCTTGTTTTGCGTTTTTCTGGGCGTGGCACCACTTGGCTGCGGTTTGCTGCGGTGTTTGTTAGAGCTATGCTTAATGCGGGAGGACGGGACGGGGGGGATGGTAACTCTGTTTTTGGTGGCTAGTCCTAATGAGAGAAAGAGGAGGAAATGAGAGGTAGTTGTGGAAAGAGAGAGAAGAGGATTGGTGCTGCTGTTGCTGTTCTGTCATGGCCGTTGTAGAATAAAGGTGGTTGGCACAAGCAAAAGGACGAGGAGGTTGGTGGTGGTCATTGTGCAGGGCGCTAAGGCGGGATTTTGAGGTACGAGATGCAACGCGGTGCGGAGCGTCGCGTCTAAGAGTTTTGGTGTGCGTGTGGATGTGTGAAGCTTTCTGTGCATGTTGCTGGATGGATGTAGTCATGGCCATTGAGGCGAGCGAGAGTGAATGGGTGACTGCTGGGGCATGCAGATTGACGGCCTGACGACTTTTTTCTCAGCATGTCATGCCCCAATACGGATATATGAAGATGCTGGTGCCAACTGGATACCTTGACTGAGAGGCAGCAGCCGTATTACATGCATCGCAGCCCCAATTCACGTCAGCCCAAATCAACACACCACCGCAAAAGAGACTCCAGCGTCGCATGCTCGTGCAAATCCGGGGCAACATGGTTACACAAGATTCAATAGCAGCAGGATGAACAAACGAGAAAAAGAAAACGAGGAGACAGGCTCTATACACACACATTGCATACGTACTCTGCACTCACACCACATCCCCTCTAGCGGCGTCTCTGCAAGCCAAGTTTTTTTTTGCTCTTTTCGCTCTGTGGCTTGAGCGAGAGGGCGAGTTTAGCCACATTGGTCTTTTGGGAGGGTGGCATTCCTTCGTATTGGCGGAGGAACTAATGAGTTTTCTCTTTTTTTTCTTTTCTTAAAATAGGATTTTGAGGAGAAAAGAACAGACGCAGTCAGTGTGGCCGACCAAGTTGTCAACGCCTTTCGAACTGAAGAAAACCATCGACAGCCAATTCACCACAATTGCGGCCCAATCTTCAACTTCAAACCTGTATCAATAGCGCAAAATCCTCTCTTCTCTTCTCACCGCTCCCCCCTCCGCTGTAAATCGTGCACAAAAGAGACTGGAAGAGCTAGAAGGCTATACGAGGTACAAAGACGGTACAGTCGTTGCCTTTTAGTGCCCTCTGGCTTTTGGTGTGGAGGGGTGGAGATTTGGGGAGTTATGACGCCTCTTTATGGGGTCGCCGGTACGTACCTGCAAGTAGCTTCTTGAGCTTCTTTTTCTCTTAGCGCAGGATTTTGGACTTGCATAAGGTGTTTTTGAGTCTAAGTGCAGTGGCTGGTGCATTGATGTGAGGAAGAGTGTGTGTGGCAGTGACAGTGAGGGTGACAGTCGGTGACAGCAGAGTAAAAAGATGATGACAGGAAAAGTATAGGGAACAATCTTTTGCCCTCTGTTCTGAGAGTCAGCATCGTCTTGGTGCAATATACCACGTTTTCTGTATGCTCCGAGTGTTGTGACCAGAATATCATGGCGTTTATTCCACAGACAAAAACTAAAGACGGAACCTGAATCATACACCTGTGAAACATTTTTTTTTTTTTCAAAGAGCAGAACAACCAGAATAAACATAAAAATTAGAAAGAAAAAAACCCAATCCTACAAACCGACTGCCCATTCCGGTCCCCCGGGAAAGATGACGTTTGGGGCGCAACCCCTCACACAGCCAATCACGGCCGAGAAAACGCGCTTATACACAGAACGACACCACGAAGATGCAAAGTTGCTGAAATAGCATAAACTTTGGCAAACTTCTTTTCCTCGCCCCGGTAAAGTGAGCATTTTCAATAATCCCTACTTCGCTTCGGGCCATTTCACGTCAAAAAAAACGTCAAAACGTCACTGTCAAAAGTGTCAAGCTGTCAAACACCTAGACAATCATGTCATGATCGACAAGCGCTTGCCTGCAGGGTCCGCCTGAACTACAACTTACGAACCCAGGCAACTGCCGTGATGGATAATTCCAGTTTTCCCCATAATATTCTGCCCCGGAGTGTGTACTCGTTGTGTGAAAGTCGATCTCTATGCATGCTGAGATATTTTTCTCCGTACGAGCCGTGCCAGATGGGAAACTCGACGATGAATATCCAGAAACGTGTTTTGCCAAGATGTCAGATCCAAAGAACTGGGAATTCACAAAGACATTCGTGACGTCAGAGGCTATTACTATCCCTTATTCTCAGTAATGAACCTTTGCATGCTCACGCACCTCCCTTGGCTATTGTGTTCTCGACCAAGGCTGCTTCTGGACTGGTCTGGAACTCTGATACATACCCTCTAGAAAAGAACTTTGAATAGTTTCAAAATAAATGGCTACAACACGCTATTGAGCTCTAGAACTCTTCCATCCCCCTTTCGGCTCTCGCGGGAAATCTCAAGCCATGAAAAGCTTGACAATGACTTGATGCCTTGAATCATCTTCCTTCATCAAGCCTCAATCTCAGCACTCGGCACCACCACCCTCTTCACCTCCCTCTCCCTCACCCTCGTCCTCTGCTCAAACCCATACGCCAATCCCAGCAGATCATCCTCGGCCCACCTCCTCCCCAGAAAGCTCATCCCGTACGGAACCCCCGGACCCGTCTCCACCAGCCCGTTTTCCTCGTGCACCGGCTCCGTCTCCTTTAGATGACCCATCGGCACCGTGATGCCCGGGCAGCCCACCACGGCGGCCCACATCGGCGCCATGATGGACGGCATGGCCACGGCGACGAGATTGTGCTGGTCCAGCAGGGCTGGTAGACCGCCCGGCCCGCCGAGTTGCTGCAGACGGTCGTATTTCTCTTTGAACTCTGGAGAGGTGTTGTCCCACTTTTGCTTGTCGAGGATGTTGTCCCAGATGCCCGTGTCACGCTCGGGGAATGATTCCAGGGGATGCTTTTGCGTTTGCTCGCGCAGGTCCTCGAGGGTGTGGATGTTGCTTGGGTTCGTGACGAGCCGAGAGAGGTACGATGCCAGGTTGACACGGAAATCGGCTCCCATGACGGGCATCTCGAGATCCCGGATATCCTTTGTAGCCGAGGCGTAATCGGCCTCGACGAGGACCGCGCCAGCAGCCTCGAGAATGGGAAGAGTTTGCTTGAAGCCTTCTACTTCGGAAGCGTAGCGCGGATTCTTCTCCAGGCCCTCCTGAATGGCCTTCCAGGGGACACCTATACGAGCCCCCTTGAGAGTATCCCTACACGCAGCGACGTAGTCCGGAATGCGTGGGATCCCAGCCGTGTACTTGTCACAATCATCCTTTCCGGCAATGACCTGCAGCAGATACGCCGCGTCCCTGACGGTCCTCGCCATCGGCCCAACCGTATCCTGATGCTCCGAAACAGGAATGACCAAATCTCTCGACGTCAATCCCACCGTCGGCTTCACTCCCACAACACTGCTACGCTGAGCCGGACAAATGATGGATCCATCCGTCTCCGTTCCCAACGCCGCCCACGCAAGGCCCAAGTCGGCCGCCACGGCGCTGCCGCTGGAACTGCCCGAGGCGTCCTGGTCGGGATGGTAGGCGGCGTGCGTCTGGCCCCCGTTGGCGGACCAGCCGTTGATGTTGAAGCCGCGGGCGCGGAAGTTTGCCCACTGCGACATGTTTGCCTTGCCGAGGACGATTGCGCCGGCGTGGCGGAGTTTCTGGACAACAAAGGCGTCGCGAGGGACCGTGGCGCCAATGAGGAGGTGTGAACCGGCTGTATAAAAGCAACAAGTTTGTGAGAAATGAAGCCATTGTATAAATGAAGTAAAGGGAAAACAAACCAGTCGTGCCCATCTTGTCTTTGGTGGCAATGTTGTTCTTCACCAAGACGGGGATTCCATGAAGAGGACTATGTTGATGATACTTATGAGCATGTAGTGTTCAGATGCATGATTCTTTGGTGTTTGACTTACCCTCGGACTGAGCCTGATGCTCTCTCATCGTCGAGCGCTTTTGCAACGGCGAGTGCATCGGGATTGGTTTCGACAACGGCGTGGACCGTCTCATTGACTTGGTCGATGCGTGTGAGATAGGCCTGTACGCATGTCAGTAAAACGCTCTGCGTATTGGAATAAATGTAAAACACCGACCTTGGTCAGCTGGACGCTGGTAAAGTGATTCTTCTCCAGGCCCTCAAGCAGCTGGTCCAGCGTGGCGTTGAGCAGACCTGGCCTACAGGATCAAGGTTAGACAGCGCCATCATCTTCGTCTCTTGCAACAACATACAGATGGCCTCGCACTGCCTGCAAGTCTCCCATTTTAATCAAACTCAATCTCTACTTGTCACGATATCGCCTCTCTCCTTTTCTCCCTCGAGATATTCAAGGTGGGCTGCCCTCTCCGAACTGCGGGGCAGATCCCCGACAAAAGTGCCTGCGAAAAAGAAACGAAGCCCGGCTGCTGACACGTTCTCGCCGCAATGAAATCGCTTGGCTCGCCTTTGCACGCCCGCTTGTAGTAGCGCGAGTCTAGCAATTTTTGTTTTGAGGCGATGGAGAGGAGCTGTTCTATACTGCCTGGTTGTTCGGCGAGTGAGTAACAGCCATCGGTGAGTGAGTAAGAGGGACTTGTACTAAACACCACGTAGTGCGGCAGGCAAAAGTCTAGAATATCACAGCTGCCGTCTATATCATCCATCTAGTTAAGAAAAAAGAACAAAAAAAAATTCACTGCCCTCCCTCAATCTCCCTCACCCACTCATGAACCTTTTTCGCAACCAGCCAACTCGTATCTACCAGCATCATCGTCAGTATCATAAACATACAAAAGCAAAAAGGCAATAAGCAAAACTCACGCTCCCTCACGCAAAACGCATGCGGAATATCCCCCTCATCAACCAAAATCCTCGTATGCCCCTCCTCCCTCCTCCTCCGCTCGATAAACGCATCCCGCAGATGATTTGCAACCCAATGATCATTCCTCCCATAGAAGAGAAAAAACTTAGGCATCTTTGCTTCTCCCTCTCCCGAGCGTCCGTCATCCTCAGTCGCCTCCCACAACTCCTCCTCCCACCTCTCCTCGCAAATCGTCCTCATCTCCGACCCTCCCAGATAAATCGCCTGCCAGACTCCATCCCGACTCTTCAGCCACCGCGCCGTCACCTCGGCCGTCTGCGCCGTAAAGCCCATCACATGCGTCACGATCCACAAGACGCACACATATGGAATACACCCGAGAATCAGCTTTGCTATGCGATGCGCATTCTTCTCCATGCCGGGCATCTTCGTCAAGAGCGCGACTCTCCTCCCGCTGGGTGAGCTCGCAATGTGCGTCAGCGTCGGGAAGAGCAAAAACCCATGCCGCAGGTTCAAATGCGGCGCTCGCTCCGCGCCGTCCTTCATGTGCCGATGCATAATCTCAACCGAAATGTACGCACCAACCGAATGGCCCATCAACACCACAAAGTCATACGGCCGCGATCCCTTCCCCCGCTCGCCCTCGGCCCCAGCATCGTCCGGAATGACGCTCCTCGCCGCAACGTCCTCGTAGATGCCCTCAATCTGGCCATCCAGATCCCACGGCCCGTTGGTCTCGCCAAACGGCTCATGATCATCATCGCTAAAGCCCAGCAGGTTCCGCCCATAGATGTCGTACGCCGTCCCGCCCTCGCCCTCGTCTGCCGCATCCAGCATGCCGCGGAGACAGTCGAGAAAGGCCACGTAAAAGTTGACGAGGCCTGGGTTGCCGCAGATGAAGTAGATGAGGGCGTGTTTCTGGTACGGCTGGGCACCGCGCTGCCGCGGCTTGGCGAGCAGCGAAATCACGGGAGACATGATTGAGCGGGTTCTGAGATGTGCTTATGATGGTTTCATTAGTTTTGGCGCTGTATCTTTGTAAACATGCCCAATTGGAGTGTTGTTGACGATGGTGATGATGCATGTCGATACCGATGGCTGATACCCACTGCAATGACAAACTAAACTGTGGGTCGCAGCCGAGGCTGTGATCCGTCCATCGATGGCCGAATTTCAAGATACCGCAATGCTGAATCTCCTAACTCTGCAACTCTAACCAATTACATCCAACGAATTCAACAATTGATTGATTGCCACTCTCAACATCACGTGCTAAAGCATCTCCATGCAAGTTTAACAAAATGGCTGTAAACTTCACTTCACCAAAGTCATCAACACCAAGTCTATCATCTCAATCCATAACACCGCTACCATTAATGCTACACAAATACAAATAATCTGACAACCTGCCTGCCTGCCCGCCTATTCAAGAAAACTCAAATCATCAATTGTCCCCCACAGTAAACTTCTTCCTCACTTCCACGAGCCCAACCGCCGCCTTGGAAATGACCGCCCACTTGGGCATATACTGATACAGCTCACGCAGCACCGGAATCGTCTTTTCGTCATTCATGTCGCTGTACGCGCACTTGGCCGTCACATCAAATGCCTTGGGGTCAGTCTCGCGGACATCGCGCGTCAGCTGCAGCTCAACATCCCACGCCCCGTCCCATTCTCGCCTGAAGAGAGTAATGCTCTTCATGCCGTTTTGCGGGCTGGACCCGAACCGCTCGTCCAGAGCAACGCCCTTTTGCAATTTGAAGCCGTATGCAGGCCGAGAGAGCTCAAGGATACACATCTTGGAGTCTACTGCGTCGATTTGGAGATGTGCAGTTCTTCCGTCAGATGAAAGAGAGCCTGTCACCGTGATCAAGTCCGCTGGCTCCGTGCCGTCGACGAGATGCGGCGAGAGCGATGATACGGCATACTTGCAGGCAGTGAGGCCAGCCCTCGACGACTTATCGCTACAGTTATAACCTTGACTAGCAGCTGAGGGAATCGATGAAACGACTGCCTCGACGTATTCCGGAAGGCCAGACAGCGACACGATGTCCGTTCCAGCATCTACATCAATGACTTCTTGGAAATACAACTTGTATCGGTAGTTGGTAGAAAAAGGAAAGGCAACGAGATTGTAGATGAACGTGGCAGTAAAGACCACCAAGAGGAAGAGTGGCACGTGGCGAGTGATTCGGTGCATAAATGGCGTCAGGGGAAGTAAAAGGAGAATCGTCATGATTCCAATTCCCATTAAAGGAGCCAAAAGACCACCACCGTCGGCACCAGTCATGTTCATTGACGAAGTCTGTATCAGCCCCAAGTTGCCTACGATGATGACGTGGACAGGAGCAAGGAGCAGCAGCTGAATGAACCAAGTCCAAGTGGGAAGTCGTCCAGACCACGCCTGTTCGTGTTCATACGGAGGATAGCTCTTTACGGGCGAGGGAGCTGGCGACTCATCTGCCTGTGCTGCTCGTCGGTATGTGCTAGCAAAGGTTGTTTGCTCGGTCGACCCATACCCCGGCTCTCCAGATGTGAGAGGTGTTGTCTCCGTAGCACTCTCGGCTGCGTACTCATGATCTTCCTCTTCGTCTTCATTGCCCGTAATGGTGTTGTCGGAGCTGGTAATTCGCACATGCTCCGGGGCTGGATCATCCTGATAGCGGTTGGCAAATTCATGCTTTCCGGGCAGCGTAAATAGTTCTAGCAATGAGATGAAGAGCGCCAAGAAGATGGCCGAGTGGAAAAAAGCGGCAAAGTAAAGGCCGCCAAGGTGGATGCGGTCCTCGACCAAGGCCGCAAAGACTTGAAGGGCCCAAGACAGGATGAATAGCCAGACGAGCGCAAATCCGCGATGGAGAGCGGTTGGCCTGACAAAGTTGGCGCCTCTCATGATGAGCCAGAAGCTAAAGTAGAAGAGGGACACCGTCATAGCCCAGCTGCCAGATGTGTTAGCTGAGAAGAAAATGGTAGGATGTTGGTAAGACTTACACTGCGTATCCGCTGCTGTAGACAATGAGAGGATTGACCTTGGCGACAAGCAAAATCGACGCTATCGTCAGGCCAATTGCAAAAATCAGCGCCAAGGGGTATCGGAAGAAGCCACGCCAGCCATTGATTGCAACCGGCTCGTCGTGAATCTCGGAATGCCTCCAGATGTCCATGGCAAAGTAGTAATACTTGTCTTGGCGGACGAGCAGATACGTGACAATAAAGAGCACCACGGGCGTCACGACGAGCAGCGTCAGCGACCACGCAAACAGCCCTTTCAGCGGGAAAGCAAGCCATCCACTGCCATACCAATCAAAGTAGACACCCTCGGTGGGCTTGCCATTCTGGACCAGGCCGTCATCACCATCTGCGCGATCGCCATTGAAGACTGTTCCAGTAACCTCGGAGAGCCTCTCCGTGGACGCCAGAGCGGCAGACAGCATATGCCAGATGCTGCGGACAGAAGTGTGGCGCGAATCGTCATCTTCGGTGTGGTAGCGCGAGCGAGGTTCGTAAAAGGCAATATCCAGCCCTCGCTGTCCGAATGCCGGAGCGAATACCTCGAAATCGGTGCCGCTCTTGATGACTCCTCGCTCAAAGGCGTTTGCCGCAACAACGGAGCCAAACGGATGGGGACTCTTGGCATAGGCCTCGGCGGCTTGGAGATCGGTGGTTCGGAAAAGCATCGCTCGGCCTCCAGCTCCGGCTCCTTCTAGGTTGACAAACGTGTGGCAAAACTTGAGAAGCGGGCTGTAGCCAAAGGCGCGAGCACCGAGGAGGCCATCCTCTTCTGCATTGTTGAAGAGGAGGACGATGCCATGCTTCGGCTGGCGGCCCTCTGTGGTGAAGTAGCTGAGCAGCTGCAGCATACTTACGCACGACATGCCATCGTCTGTCGCACCATAACCCGTCGAGACACTGAAATACGTTAGCCAATTGGTGCTTTACTTCAATCGCTTGCTGGCTTGGACCTACGAGTCAAAATGGCAGTTGACGAGAACGCCTCCGGGGTTGTATTGCGCGTTGTTTGGAGATTTCCACCACTCGCCCTCGGGATCATCTTGACCATGGATATACACATAGAAGTTGTCGCCCTCAAAGTAGTAGCCCTGCCATGTCTGCGCGCCGCTCTTGGCGCTCCGAAGCAGCGAGTCGACCGTCCAGGTCACGTTTGAAGTGCGGTCGTCGAAAAGGGTAGCACCTCGCGGCCGCTTCGCCCTCACTACGTTGGAATCATCATTACTCGAAGATGTATATCGTTCGATACTAATGCAGGGTTAGCTTCCTCCAGAAATCAAGGTAGATATCCCGATGAACGAACCTGGGGTTCCATATCACTCCCCCAGTTGTATCCGTCTCATAGCCAACATCATTCCGGTCCAAGATTGCTTTGGAACGGTCGATCAAATACTCGCGGACGTCTGCGTTTGCCTTGCTGTTGAACGGATGGTACTGCTTCGTAATGACCTGCAAATCGTCCCATGCCTCGCTCAAGTTCAAGCCCTGCTTGCCGAGAGAATGCGCCGATGGCGCAGGCGGCACCGTCTCGTGGACATAAATCAGCGGTATCGTGACGGCGAGATAGATGGCGGTCGTCCAGAAAGTAACCGGCCCCGGCCGGAAGCCAAATGGGTTCGGGAGCCTCATCTTGGCTTTGCGACCAAGAATCAACCAACGGCTTCAGCTGGCGAGCGGCGCTCTGGTCATGGGTCGGATCGAGACGAGCGCGAGAACAAGGATGGAGCTGGTGGCGAGAGGGAGCCAAATTCGCGATATCAATATCGGCTCCGGGACAGCGTGAGATGTGAACAGCCCAGGCTATGCTTGCATGCGTTATTTCTCTGCCAGCGCCCGTCAAGACGCTCAGCTTAAAGGAAAAGGAAAGGAGCAGAAGAAGAAGAAAGGAAAAAGACCGGCACGGTAAAGCAACAGGCCAGGATTATAGGTCGCTAGAATGCAGGATGCAGGATGCAAGACGCGCCTGGCGATGCGATAAGGCAAGGTACGGGCTATCAAGCCTGCTGCAGCTGCGCCTAGGCACCGTGGACAGCTCTGCCAGCTCTGCCAGCTCCCTACAAAAGTCCCCATAGGTCCGCTACAGCTCCCCATCGGCGGCTCCTTGGCAGCTGACGTCAAGGCTAGCGGCGGCAAACGCCTGTCAGCTCGCCTAAACCCCGCCATATGGGATTGCGCTAACCGGAGGAAGTATTTGGGTTGGCTCATGGAAAAGAGATGGCGATTCTTGTCGTGTTATGCTTTACATTATTTATTTTTACAATAGTATTCAGCTCTTAATCTGCCAGTTTCCCCTGGTTATGCCTAGATGACCCTGAGCTGGAATCCTCAGCTGCGATGCTTGGGCTCACGTTTACGAGCTGTTCAGCCAGCCATGGCCACATATTCTTTGCCTTTGCTTTTGAGCAGGATGGATGTATCATACGGTCGATAGTAGGTAGAGGGTATCATTTCGGCGTATCCAATGTAGATGGCTATGGAGGGCATACACGAGGCTCAGGGCCTGTACCACTAGTCAGAAAAGTCCTCGTTGGGAGGCTCTCTGCCAAAGGGGTGATTGAACTTAAGGAGTCCGTTCAGTCCGCCAACCCAAGGATCATCATCCTCGGTGCGTATCACGCACGGCACTCCGCCATGCCATTCCTCGCCGGGGCCCGCTCGCCCTACAAACTCGCCCTCGACGTGAATCTCCGATCCGGGCAGGACACCCGCGCACCGTCTGCCGTCGATGCTAAGGTCCAGCTCGCGGCCCCTGTTCTTCGGACTCATCCGCAGCGTGACTTTGGTGTCGAGAGGAAGCACCAGCGACCGGAAGCTGAGGCTGCAGGGGCTGATGGGCGTGATGAGCAGCGACTTTACCAGCGGATGCACAATCGGACCTCCGGCGCTCAAGCTATAAGCGGTTGAGCCGGTTGGCGTGCTGATGAGGATGCCGTCCGCCGTTGTTTCGGTGAGGAAGTGGCCGTTTTGATAGATGTCGATGATGGCAAGGTGCGGGTGAGAGCCGCGGTGGACGGAGATTTCGTTGATGGCGCGCAGCGGAGGCGAAATCTCCTTTGGACTGGCGATGCCCGACTTGGGCTGGCTGGCCAGCGTGTTGGACACCTCGTGGTTGATGTTGTTGCCCGCGCGGTCAAAGATGTCGGCCTTGATCCGGTGCCGCAGCAGAACCCGCGATGCTCGGTTGATTCCCTGACTCTTGCCCTTGACTCGCTCCCATCCCTCGCCAGACGCTGGATTCGCGCCCACGCCATCGTCGTTCCCCCGCGGCACGGCAGCGTTGCGCCCCGCGCTGACGTCGCTGCCGCTCATGTACATCTCTCGCCACGCCTTCTTGTGCTCTGCAAAGTTCCATTCGCCCAGAAAGCCCAGCGTCCCCATGCTAAAGGACAGGATGGGCGGCACCGACCCGTGCAGCTTGAACAGGCTCGCGGCGCGCAGCACCGTCCCGTCGCCGCCAAACGTCGCAATCGCATCGATCTTGTCGGCGATGCTCGTGCCGTTGTCGACGACAAAGATGGAAAAGTCGAGCTGCTGCTGGATCGGCACGGCGACGCGCGCCTCGATGGCGATGTTGACGTCGGGGTAGTCGCTGCGGATGTGCCGCGCAAACGACACCACCGACTCGGTCACCTCGGGCGAGTACAGCTTCTGCACCAGCAGCAGGTTGCGCGGCGGCCGCGGCCAGTTGAGCGACAGCAGCGACGAGCCCGGCTTGGACACTTGCAGGTATCGCGGGTGCGTGCGCTCCGGCAGCTCGGCCACGCTGCGCGACTCGGCCAGCTTCAGCGGGTGCGCGACGGAGAAGCATCGACGGCTTGGAGCTGATGGCGGGAGCAGCATCTGGCGCCGATGCGGCCGGGCGTGGGCGATTCGGCGCCATGGCTCCCGGAGAGCTCGAAATTGCGTGGCCATGGCTGCTTAGGCGCAAGCGGCGCTCATCGTGTGTAGCCTCTGCTGTTTGTGTTTGTGGTTCTGCCTCGACGTGGGATCATGAGTCATGAGTCATGAGTCGAGGTCTGTTGTCGAAGCCATGATGCTCGAGGCAAGCTGCTGTGGAAGCTGTGTTAGCGTCATAGCAGACTGAAATAATTTGGCGGCAGCTGAAAATGACGGGACTTGTCAAAGTGGGTTTACTGCTATAATAGGCCCATCATACCCGCTCTTTAACCGTAACCAGTAGTAACGGCCTAACTTGATTGATAAAAACAGGTCTGCGCATATAACTGGAGGACATTGTGCCTTGGAGACTTTAAATCTTGATTTAATACTGTAGATGTTGTATTCATGTATATCAAGTACATTAGGGTTATATACAGACCGAAAGCAGCCTATACCTTAGTAAATAGGTACAGGTAGGCGGATCCTACACAGATGGTAGCGCTCCCGCATCTCATAAACCACAAAAGTCAACGTGTATTCTCTATTAAAAGGAAAATTGTCTAAAAGATTATAACGACAAATGAAAGTCTACAGTCTACAAAATCACATGGACCTGCTGTTTCGCACAAACAGCCCAATAGGATGCGAAGAGATAAAAACCTCCATCCCCTGTTTGTCTACCCTCTCGCATCCAAGAATCATCAACAATCAGTCACGTACTCCATACTTCCCGCTGTTATACTTCCATGAAACCCAAATAAATATCCCAATAAACTCCTCTCAAACAATCCCATCCACCTAAATCACCATAACTGCGTCTTGTGTCCAACTTCCCGACATCCTCTAAGCACCGGCCTCAATCATCGTGCGCTCCGTCTTCATCAAAAGACGACGAAGCTTGCCCATGGCTTTCTCATCATTGAGCATATTGGCAACTTGAACGCCGGCAGAGAGGATCTTGAGAATGGTTCGGTCGTCCCTCAGGGGCTCCGCATGCCTGAGCACGGCGTCTACTCCCAAAGAGGCGTGCAGAACCGCCCTAAAATGAGCAGCCAAATCACTGTCCAATGCCTCGAGAGGGACCTGCTGCTCTGCAATGAGGAATTTGAGTAGAAATACAAACTCACCCCATCCGCAATCGGGAGCTCTCTTGCGCCCAAGGTTTCGCGCAACAAAAGGCCGTTCCCGGGGCTCCATGCCCTGAATGACGGTGTTGGGCAACTGATGCCTGTTGCAGAACTCGAGTGCGCACTTTGAGAGATGGCGGCTGGCCTGTCTCAGAACCTTTTTCTGCTTCCTCCTTGAAAGGCTGGTTGGAAGAAGCGGAAGCTCTTCTCGATTCAAGGCAGCATTTTCTGCCGGTGGACCACTGACATGAACCCTATTGACAGGCAACGGTGTTGATGCACGGCGAGTGTTTTGGCGGATTTCAATGTGCTGCATTATTTGAAACGAGCCTTCAAGTGTCTCTGCAGTCCGGAAGCCTGGGGGTCTCGTTGGAACAGGACTGAGAATGGAAGCATCTTGATCATAGGCACGTGCGTCCATGATGGGGTTTCCGGGAAAGATTCGGTGCCCATATGAATTGATTGGATCGTTGTCAGCCGTAATTGGCCAACCGTAAGAAGGGGGCTTTGTGGGAGGTGGTCTTGCAAGTTTTTTGAGAGGAATATCAGAAAACTGCCCGCGTCGGTTGTTGACAAGAGGTGCGAAACTGTCCTGGCTACTATTGCCTCTATATCGATGGATTGCCCTGAGAAGAACCCAGATGTTAGTGTTTCCATAAAATATCCTACATCAAGATTCTAACTCACCGGGAGCCGTTATGCCCATGTTCTTCTACATGGTCGATTCTGGATGGCGTACTATCAAATTCGTTAGTATGCCTTCAACAGTAGTCAAGGATGACGGATGTCGTACTCGCTGAACTTGTTGTTCTGATTATAAGCTGCGAAGCCATAGCGTGAGAGTTTCTGAATTGACGGCAACCAAAGACTGCGGACTCCCATCTGAACATAGTTCCATCCTCCAGCACATTTTGCGCGCAGTTTGCGCAACCAAGCGGGCCGTCGCTGCTCTTCCGCCCTGATCCGCGACCAAGGTTGGGAAAAGTAGGTCATGAGCATCCCAAAGTCCGGCCCCTGAGCTTGTATGGGTCGCTGGATCTGTTTGAGGTTCAAGAACAGTTCTGGTCTGACATTGGGAATAGACACCGTTTCTGCAATTTGCTGGAGAACTAGGCATAGTGGCATCACGTATAGCTCCTGTACGCGATTGACCGCGATAACGTATCCGCAGGGTTGACGTGTGATGGTGTCAATAACAAGAGACCCGCTGTCTCCCATCCGTACATCTCCATCAGCTGCATGGCGGTCAGCATCAATCTTACAAAGGTGAGGGTAGAGAAGGTTTCATACTTAGCCCGGTAACGGTAACGGTCCAAACCTCACACAAGGGGCTATCGCTGCCGGAATTGGTGATAAAGGTGAGTGACCTGCGAATCATGCCGTGTAGCCAGCCCCGTGGTGTCATTATTTGTACCGCACGCTTTTCGTCAGCCAAAGCAAACACTTGGCATGCGCCATCAGCTGCTGTTCTTCCATGGCTTGGGTTGATCTCTACCAAAGCCCAGTCCAGGTTGGGAGTATTAGACTGGCCTAATCGACCCCAAGCTCGACTCGGCGATATAATTTGAGTCCCAGGACGTAGCAAATCGCCCTCGTCACGGCTCTTCGCCAGCTTTGAATTATACTCACGGCGCACAATGGCCTCAGTTGTGGCTTTTTCGAGCTGCTTGAGTTGGTCCATGTCGTACTCCACATCTGCCAATATGCATGTTGCTTGGGGCTCACTTGGCGTAGGCGGCGAACCAGATGTACCCTTCTGAATACTCTTTACGCTACCGAGCCCAATTCTTTTGAGAGCATGGGCAGGCGTCAGCGCAAAGATTGTATCATCAGTGTTGGAAAACCGGATACCGCAAGTAATGGTGCTGACATTATCGCAAGTGTCACCTGAAGTAAGGACAGCGCCGGGAAAATAGGGGCTCTTGATGCAGATGTTGAAATTGTCGGAAGGGGACGCAAGATACTCAAACGTGGGCCTGAGGGAGAGGTATATTTGAAACCGAGTCGTTGAGTGAAGCTCATACTGGTCCCTGATTTGTGGCTGGGTTAAAGTCTTGAGGATCGCAAGGCCAGTATTTGGATCATTACACGGATGTGCTATGACAATCGACGGCTCGGCGGTTAACCTATGACCGCCGCACATCTTGAGCTGAAACTCTGTCCGAATTGAGTGCTCAAGAGACACCTCAGAGTGTTTGTGAAGGTGTTGTTGGAAAATCTCCACAAGGATGGCGAACTGCTGCCGGTGCTCTGCACTGATGTATTCATCTGCGTGAGGAAACACATAGGTTGCTAGCTTGATGCCGACGATCCTTTCAGCATCACGGAATCTCAACAATGACGCTTCCACGGGCTCGGCCTGCATGGTGCTGGCGGCTTCACCTTTACAGCAGAATTGTCTCCGAGAGGGTCACGTCGCCACAGCCCGAGATGTTGGATGCTGCCGAGGCTGCTGTAGAATGCGGACTAGAATCTAGTCTTCTTTTTCAATCGTGTTGAGAGGAAATTGACACTGAAAGGTTCGTGAAAATGCCTGCTTGGTCTCAGTCAGTACAGTGGTTCGATGACCACCACTTTCGTCTTTGCTATCGAATCAATACGCACGGCTTACCAACATCGACAGGGGAACTGAGCGTCTTGGAATGCAAATTTAGCGGCAGACCGTCTCCAACAGCATTGAGAAGAGTTCAAGGGACATGATGATTAAAATAGAAAAGATTGCATGTCAGAAACGTCTTACCAGACCATCCCTATACCAGCTCGATCTACGGGAACCTGATACGAATTCTGGCAAGCTGTTTGCTCGCGTCTTGCTGCAGCTTTGCTTGCTTTAGTTATCTCTCCAGCCCTCGATGCTACCTTTCGCTTTATGACAGGTCTATTGGTCCAAGTGTAGAGTGTTGGTGGCTGCATTGCAGAAATGGATGTGCGCCGCCTTGTTATGAATCTGTAAGTCGAGGTCATGATGGCTTATCATCGACAAACAAGAAACGACAGTCCCTTTTGCAGCCATTTTATTGATGGCTCTCATGATTTGGCGGTGGCACAAAAGCAATCCATTTCGAGACAGCGCCTCCTCGCCTGTTCAGGGCGCTTACATCTCCGATTTGGGCTTCGGGCATTATGTTTGCTCTTTTTCGATCCACTTCCAGACCTCCGTTAATTGATTCCCAAGGCACTGGCATTACCGACTTGGCAAAAGCTATTTGTGGGATCAGCAGATTTGTTGCATCTCAATCTGCAATCTTCCGGCCAATATAATTTGAGGCGACTCATGCTAGTCGAGCCAGGGACGTTCCAGTCTCGATCAACCCCTTTACCAATCATCTCATGCCGGTATGCCCCAGGCACCGATTCAGTCCCCAACATAGTGACACATGTGGAGATCCGTAAGGATACCTTTTCGAGCAGTCCGTCTAGAGGTAAGAAGCGGCAAGAAACATTGTGCGGCTAGATTCACGGTTGATGACTGTTCGCGGGATGGCGTGGGCAAGGAGACCATTTCCCGCCAAGTGGCTGCCATGTTAGTATTTCATAAAGCTCCTTCAAGATACTCTCTTCGTTGACTCGCTGGAAATTCTGGCGCCTTTCAGCTTAAGAAGCACAAGCCAGGAACCAAGACAGACTTTCCAAGCCGCGGGGGGAGCTGTTGTGTGCTTCGTTTCTAAATGCAAACTTTGACTGTCTTCAGCTAATAGCTCTGAGTGCCCATCTTGTAGCTCGCATTCGATAGCCCGGATGGAAGTCTGATAGACTGATGGGACGTACTTGATCTCTCTTCCTTGAATGGGGCCAAAGTCCTTTGCTTTTCTGTGCAGCCTCCCGTCGAGGGCCCCGTCCAATCTACATGTACTTTGTCGTCCCCCTGTGTTGAACAAGATGTCGATCAAATTGGGCCAAGACTCACACGGGCCGTACCGCTTAAGCAATTGGTAGCAGTATGTGACGAATTCATCTGTCAAGGCTGTGCACTGCGACCCAAGAGACTGGAAGCTCTGCCGCGAGTCATCTACATGCAGGCAAACAAGCGTCATTTGGTGGTTAGAGGCATGGACTGAGTGCCCTGCCAATCGTAGCTCTGGTGTGCCGCTTCTTGAGCCACTGTTTTCTTTTTGTTCAGTCGCAGACTATGCATCTTGTAAAACTATGAAGGCGAGTATGTCGATGCGGCAGTGGCATTCGAATGGCGGGTGTTGCATCAATATGAAAAGAATCCATGGATACATGTAGGAGCTGCATTTGCCTGTGGCTGATTTACGGATTGCCCCATCTCGGGAGCGCCTCCGGTCTCCACCGCCTGCTGCTTCTGGTAGGCGGGGTAGCTTGCCAGGTCCAGGGACCTGTAGCGGCAGTGCACTGATGGCCTGGCTCCAGCGTATACGAGATGTGACTCGGGCGAATGACCTGATCAGCGGCACAATCAAGTCGCCTCTCAAGTCTCAGGGCAGGTTTCATCTGATAGCGCGTGGCCGTAGTGCAGAGCATGTGTTGGCATGGAGCATGGCGGAACAATGCCAGGTACGCTATCCGATGGCCTTGTTTGCGTCCAAGCCACCGTGGGAGAGTAGCAGAGAAGCTGGAGAGCACAGAAGCTGGAGCGCACGACTCGCACCATTTGTCCGGCAGACTGGCCGTGTTCAGTCACCGCCCTGGCAAATAGGCAGTTGAGATTAGGCAGTCGATAACACTCCGTCGATAACGCAAATCCACTCCACCATCTCCGCTCCACCACTTCAATGGCACAGCTTCTGTTGACAGCGACTCACGGGCTCTGGAGAAGCCCGAAGCTTGCGCCAACCGCCCCCACAGCGCCGGGGCTCCAGGGCAGGGCTGAGCGGCGCTGTGGCTGCTGCTGAGCGAGCTAGAGCGCTAACTCCATGCCAGACAGCTCGCAGCTAGGCAGACGCAGGGAGCGAATAAGCAGCCGCGGCGCGAGGCCCTCGTGCGTCATCATGTGCTGCTCCCAGCCGTCGCCGGCCAAACCTTGACCTTTCTGCACCGTCTGCCTGACCTCGAATCTGCAGAAGCAAAGCCCGTTGAGCACGCGCCTGGAAAAGGCGAAACCGAAGCTTGTGAGCGCAGAGCTGGGGAGACAATCGTGGACAGTCGTGGACAATCCGCACCTGACCCGACGCCCGGCATCTCAGCTGCCCTGTTCTGGCCCTCGTCCCAGCCAGGCTGGTTGACGCTGCCGATTCGCATCCGCGCCGCATCCTTTTAGGGACGGCGGTGCCTGGCCGACCGCGCTGTTCTGACTCTGCCTTCCTGTCTCGTCCAATAGCTGGCGCGAGGCTACCTGGCATAACCACCGAGAAGCCACATCACCGCCTCACTCTTCCTCCGCTGTTTCGAGCCTCATGTTGGGGTGCTAGGCTTGGCTTCCGTTACATATTAGACTCTTCATCCGTATACTGCAGAATATACCCATCGCAAGATACCGCGGCTCGTTCATGGCTCCTAGCAAGGATACCGACGGGTCCGAGACCAACATACCAGCTCCCGCAGTCGCCATGGGACTCGGCCAAACATCCAAAAGGGCCTCTGCCAGCCTCAAAGATGCCCACCCATCAGGCAAACGGGGCCATGGTAAAGCCATGCAGATATTGCGAGGGCTGGCTTTTACCATTTACTTCCTGACTTGCTGTGTCACGTACGTTTGCTGTTTGCTTTGCTCCATGCCCCCCCTGCTCCCGGCTTTCCGCAATACACGCTGTAATGGGATGGCATCTCACTGACACTCTGGTGCCGCAGCATTGTCATTACGCAGGTCCTTGGCTGCTGGCTCTACTTTGTCAACCGCGATTTCTACTATGACTACATGTCAATGACCAAGCGACTCTTCGCCATCACGACCATTCTGATGACACAGATCTGGGGTCCGACAACGATCCGGATCAGTGGTGATGAGACGGTGGCGGGAGAAATCCTTCCCACGGAAGGTGGTGGTGTGCAATTCAACTTTCCGGAGCGCATGGTTATGATAGCGAATCATCAGGTAAGACGACCGACCGCCAAGGACAGCAGTGGTCTAGCGGATTCCCACTGCAGCCTGACTCGTTTGCGAGACTACCTGGTTTCATCCCAACTTTGGCGAGGGCTTGTTTGTCAAAGCTGAGCTAACTGGCATCGGCAGATTTATACTGATTGGCTATACCTCTGGTGGTGCGGTTACGTGAACCGGCCTTCTGCGCATGGCCACATATACATTATCCTCAAAGAGTCATTACAGTACATTCCCATTGTTGGCTGGGGCATGAAGTTTTACGGTTTCATCTTCATGTCGAGGAAAATGGCAAAGGATCAGCCCCGGCTTGCCTATCGGCTGGGGAAACTGAAGCAAACCAAGACTGATCCCAACGGCAAGACGTATCGCGTGCCCATGTGGCTACTCCTGTTTCCTGAAGGCACCAACATTTCTGGAAACGGCCGACGAAAGTCTGCGAGCTGGGCGGACAAGAATGGATGGAAAGATCCCGAGCACATGCTGCTCCCTCGCAGCACCGGTAGCTTCTTCTGCCTAAACGAGCTGAGGGGAACCGTAGACTATGTCTATGACTGCACGGTCGCGTACGAGGGTATTGAGTAAGTGTCTCAATGTGGCATGGGCAATCAAAAAGTCAAAGCAGCTACTAATTCGTGTTGAAACAGCCGAGGCAAATATGGTGAGGACATCTTCACTCTGGGTAGCACCTACTTTCAAGGCCGCTCGCCCAAGTCGGTCAACTTTTTCTGGCGCAAGTTCAAAATGTCAGACATACCTCTCGACAACGCCGATGAATTTGACCTCTGGCTGCGCAACGAATGGTACAAGAAAGACGCGCTGATGGAACAGTACCTGACAACTGGACGCTTCCCCGCCATGGCCGGATCCAAGGTTGATTTTGTCGAGACCAAGGTCCGTGCGAAGAACCCGTTTGAGATCTTGCAGGTATTCACCATTGTGGGCATTGCTGGCCTTTGCTGGCACAACGTTCAGAGATTTGGCGGCGTGGTTGCCCAGCGCTTTGGCTTTGGTGCGTAGAGACTGGGGGATGAGGTGCTGTTATCTCATGTTTGATGAGAAACATCAATTTCCCTCTGCATCCCCAAGGGCTCATACGACGATTTTGTCGGCTGAGCCTCATTCGTGGTTGTGTATTTTTTCATCAGCGTTTTCACAGCATGTTTTTTTTTTTTTGGAATGGTTCGGGATTTTCTTTTCTTGGATAGTCGATCAGGGCGGAATAACGAGGTGACGAAAGCACAGAATACCAATAAGACTACAGGCGTCCCTTTGGTGCGGAGTTTTTGAAGGGTGTGTTTCTTTAGATGGGCTACTTGCATCATCTGCGAGGAGGGGCTGTACGGACTGGGGTTCCATTTGGCCTAGTCTGGACAGACCCCGATTGCTTTGATTAGGTTGTGTTGGATGCGTTTAGTTGATATTATTGCAGTAAACAAGATTAGGTATAATCAAGCGTCAATATTGAAACACTCTGCTAGGCCCGTGTCTGCCTTGAGAATTGGAGCTGGCTGAAGAGTAGTCGAGATGGATGAAGGCAAGATGAGTGACGAGATACGTGCGCCGAACCATCAGCAGTTGACACAAAGAGACGGCAAGCTTGCAAAGTATGTAGAAATAAGGCCACCAGAGATTGTCAGCAAGATACTAGCGAATCGGGAAATTCCCGTGGCGTCTGCATATTCTTGGCATCGCCCACCTCACATGTCATTTGCTTTTCAGGATTGAGATTTGATATTGAAAAGCTGGAAAGCTGGAAAGCTGACAAAAGAGTGATGAATCCTGGTCCTGGAGAGCGGAACTGGCCAGGGAAGGCCAGGGGAGGGTTGCAGTGAGCCTCGGCAAATTCCCAGTCGGATCGACGTCTTATTGGTGGCGGCAAATGGGGAACGCGGGGGAGGTGCTCGTCTCTTTTCTAGACTTGTTGGTTGTTTTGTTAGGTTGAAGTGGCGTTTTGGAGAAGATGGGATTATTGAAAGCCAAGACGACTATGCATATGCGGTGTATCCCAATATCTGGGGTGGCAGGCTGGATCTGGGGTGGGTTTTGTTGATAGTCTAGATGCTACGGTTTGAAGTAATGGCATGTCTTGCAGGGCGTAATTTGGCATGACTCTATGGTGTTTTGAACCAGAGGAAGTATTGGGCCTTTGGTGATGTCTTTGCGCCCTACGCCGTTTTATATGAACTAGCAAATTAAAGTTATCTGGCTAGAGGGTTTAGAGTTGTTTAGCTTCCATGTTCCCCGCGAATGAAGATTTTACCGCAAACGGGATGGATGTTCTATTCGCTACGAGAATTATGGCGCTGTTAGTCTGTGCTGTAATTGTGGAAGATTCAACACGCAGAGAGACGAGATGAGAATGCTGGAAGATACGTATGCAATGAGTAAGTTCGTCACAGCAGGGAGCTGTAAGTTGGAGCGTACCGTATAGTCTAGCAGTCAACTGATGTCTCATCTCGCCCAGACATCCGTCCACTCACCGCAATTCCCAACCACCCCTTTCAACTTTCTGTATCTCTCAGAAACTAGGCATCCATCCTGGAGGCTAGTCGGACCCCGAGACTTTGCCACGACCAAACCTTGTATGTATGTATATACCGCAGTATCATATATCTCTCTGCCTTACAAGTAGTAGCAGCCCCCTGGTATAAGCATAAAATAGGCTATATGCCAAGAGAGGGGCCTAGAAACAACCCCCCACTGAGTGGATAAGCAACTGGGGGCAACGTCTGGGGAAGATCTCGCTCATTTGGTGATTCTGGTCTTGGCAAAAAGGGCCGATATGGGGCTTGCGGAGGTGATACTCGTCACTTTCCATGGCGTTGCATGAATAACAGGGAGGGGAAAGGAGCAAGGATCTCGGCTCTTGGGTCGTTGTTTTTCGGCTCTTGGGTTTTTTTCTATGTGTGTGTCTAGACTGTTCAGGGCGAATCCCATGATGCGGCTTAGACGCTTGGCCAAGATTGCCTGGTAGCGTAGTGATAGGAGTAGACTTTTTTTTTTGTGTAAAAAATTGAGCATTCAAGCGGCAGAGCTGGGGTAACTCGGAGAGGCTGGTGGGTTCCCAGTCTGGGCAGATGGGATGAAGACGTGTCGAGTCTAGGTATATATTGTCCATGTCGATCCTCGGCCTATCTCCCTGTTTTCGAGTTTACCTAACTTATCTCTTAAAATGAGACAGAATCAAAGACATTTTCTAAATCTTTAACTCTTCTTTTTTCTTTTCAAGAAGAAAACTTGACAGTAATCCAATCATGAGTAAAGAAACTCCTCACCTCGAGTCCGAAAAGCAGGGGCTCGAGTACAGCCACATCGACCGCCCGATAAAGGACTCTGAGAGCAACAAGCATCATGTCGCGGCCCTCGAAGACGACGACTTTGGCTTCACGCAGGCTGAGCAGCGCAGCATCATCCGCCGCATTGACCGCCGCCTGGTCATAACCGTGGGGGCAATGTACTGCGTTAGTTTGATGGACAGGACGAACATGAGCGCTGCGAACATTGCGGGCATGAGCGTCGAGTTGAATCTCATCAATAACCGCTACGTGAGTCTCTATCTGCTCCAACTAATAAATATGTAAAAACTATATGATGTGACTAATTCATCTCAAACTCTAGAACATTGCCAACCTCGTCTTCTTCACCACCTATGTCGTCTTCCAGCCGCCCTCGACCATCCTCATCCGCAAAATCGGCCCCCGGCTGCATCTGGCCTTTATAACTCTCCTGTGGGGCGGCGTCATGATTGGCATGGGCTTTGTCAAGGACTTTGAGCAGCTGGCGGCGCTGAGAACCGTGCTTGGTGTTCTCGAGGCTGGCTTCTTCCCGAGCTGCGTGTACCTGCTGAGCACATGGTATACACGATGTAAGTGGGAGCACCCGTTTGCGTTGCTTGACATTAGTTACTAATGCCGTGTAATTGTGCAGACGAGGTTGGCAAACGGTACTCTGTATTCTACCTCGTCGGCTGCGTCGCCTCTGCCTTTTCCGGCATCCTGGCCTACGGTGTAAGTCAACCTCATCTCCTCACCAGTATCCACACAACATCTCACAGGGCCACAGCTCATGCAACTCAACGGCCGGCAAGGCATCTCGGGCTGGCGCTGGATCTTCATCATCGAAGGCACGCTCACCTGCGCCCTCGGCATCGCCGGCTACTGGCTGCTGGTCGACTTCCCCGACTCGACGCGCCTGACGTGGAACTTCCTCGGCCAAAAGGAGCGCGAATGGATCGTGCACCGCATCCAGCGCGACCGCGGCGACACGCAGGTGCCGCCGTTCAACCTGAAGCAGTTCCTGGGCTCCGGCCTGGACTGGAAGGTCTGGGCGTATGCCATGATGTTCTTCAACACCACGACGCTGACGTACGCGCTGGCCTACACGCTGCCCCTGATCCTCACCAAGGAGCTGCACTTCTCCGTGGGCCAGTCGCAGTGCCTCGTCGCGCCGCCCTACGCCTTCACCGGCCTCGTCATGTTCGCAGCGGCCTATGTCGGCGACAAGCTGCGCGTCCGCGGGCCCGTCATCGTCTTCAACATGGTGCTCTGCCTCGTCGGCCTCCCCATCATGGGCTGGGCGCCCCACGCCGGCGCGCGCTACTTTGGCATCTTCCTCGTCACGGCCGGCGCAAACAGCAACGTGCCGGCCGTCATGGCGTTTCAGGCCAACAACGTGCGCGGGCAGTGGAAGCGCGCCTTTTGCAGCGCCACGCTCGTGGGCTTTGGCGGGCTGGGCGGCATTGCGGGCAGTCTGGTGTTTCGCACGCAGGACGCGGCGACGGGGTACAAGCCGGGCATGTACACGTGCATCACCACTGCCTTTCTGAACATTGTGCTGGTGGGCTTGACGGGGCTGGATTTCAGGAGGTTGAACAAAAAGGCGGATGAGCAGGGCGTTGCGCTGGAGGCTCATGATGTAAGTGCCCGATGTACCATGTTTACTCTTGATATTGTGAAACAGAAGCTGACTCGATACTAGGAGGACGCGAGTCCCGATTTCCGATACACTTATTGATTTGCTATGTACTTGGCTTGACGCTCAGATGCTGGGATGGAATGTGTCACGGCCCTGTTGTTTGTCTGGATAGTCTGGGAATCTAGCTATTTCCATCTCCATGCTAGTGCTATCCCGTAAGGAAACATGAAACGTTGAATTCAGCAAGTTTTGACTCATTCACACATCAAGTGCCTGAATCAGAGGCTGCAGAGGTACACATGGTGATCATAGCTGCCGCCCAAGTGTCATGTCCATGTCATTGCGTAGCCCTCTGGTGCTTTTTGACACTGAATCGGAAACATGCCAGGCAATCAAAAGTTTTCTCCTCTGATTTCATGTCTCCACAGAATACCTCAGCCTCAGAAGGCAGGGGTTGCCCAGATGGGCGGCCTAGTACTGAAAGTTGGTAGCAGGGCTTCGTATATGCAGGGGGCCTGTTTTCCCTTTGTTTGTTTGGCATTCTAATTTCGGATGTGGCAGCATCAACCAGGTGTGTTTTCACATTCGGTATACTCTTTTGGTGAAATGAGTAGGCATTGCGTTCTACGCTTATTGATGCTACGGTCTTCTTTACAAAGACCGCTGTGTAGGAGGGCAAAGGTATTCATGTTAACATTGTAGATTTAGACGTGTATCTAGATATGTGATTCACGAGTTTCTTGTTGCGAGTTGGAATCGGCTAATTCCTGATTCTGTTCTTAAAATTGCTGCAGTGATTCTGATACATGCATTTCGTCGTCCATCAGGATACAATTATATAGACAAATACAGCATATTATTCCCATCGCATCTACACAACTCCGCTTGTCAAGCAGAAGCGACCAAACCAAAGGCTTCCTCTCCCATACCGCAAACCAAAATGTTCCCCGATGACTTCTGGCCCATTCTCTTCTTCGGCTCCAGCTCCATCTGCATCGGCATCTTCGCCTGTCTCACCTTCACAGTCTTTAGCATTCTATATGAGCGCCGGGCCGCAGATGGGGTGACTCACACAGTCGAAGATGATTCTTCCGCGGAAAGCTACTATACGTTTGAACGGTCTTTCGACGGGTCTTTTGACGACTTTGCCTCGGCAAGTGGACAAAGGAGGGCTTCCATTACGCCCAGGAAACCTTTGAAGCAGCAAGGCAAGGTGCTACATACGGCCACTACTGGGCGCGATTTCCGTTTAAGCCACTCTGGTAGTTAACTACAAGGTTCGTGGGAGTGACAGAGAGCTAACATGTACAGGGCCGTCAATTTGAAAGAGTCGTGTCGATTTGATTAATCGTTATGCAAAAGAGACTACTGAATATGCGACGGGAAAGTAAAAGAATACAAACGCTATATCTAATAACCATTTAATCTATGCGATTTATGCCGAAAACACCTTTTGCACCTTGCCCGTGATTGTACCAATCTTTCCGATTCTCTTCTCCAATGCATTCTTCAGCGGCGTTTTAGCCTTGATGTAATCTACCAATACCTCATCCAGCGTATCTAATACAACAAAGTCATCCCTCTTTGGCACAATATTGTCTCCACCTGTAGCAACGAAATCCACAGACACAATGATATACTTTGTATCAGGGTCGATTCTCTGGCCAGAGATCCTCGCATCGACGAGCATATGCCCAGGGCCTTTTGACGGATCATGTTGGACCTGGAGATTATGCGATACTTGGATCCCAGACGATAGCTTCTGGTTGTTGAATTGGTTTACCCCGGATACAGCGCCTTCGAGAATCTTGAGCAGGTCGGCACCCGAGTATGTCAGTTGAACAACGGCGTTACTAAAGGGGAACGACGTAATGACCTGGCCCCGGGTGATGTTGCCGGCGTCAATGGTTGCTCGAACGCCCTTTGCATTGAAGAATGCAAAGCTCGGCCTCTGTTCCTCTTGTGCATTCGCGGTGAGATTGTAGACATACTCAAATGCAGCATCGGCCATGACTTCACCCAAGAGGCAGTCGCCGCTTTGACAGGCCGTCTGGTCAAGAGTGTTTTCCGTAGTTCCCACAACCTCGTTGGCGTAATCCTCAAATGGGCCTCGCCACGCTGTAACCTTGGCCTGAAGATCAGATTCTAGCTTGGTCGTGTTGTCCATGTGGATCGGCGCGCCATGGTAAATGAGCGCCTTGCCGTCGTCATCGAAAGAAACATCAATGGAGCCAAGATATTCTCCCCAGCGGTACGACGTGACGATGAAAACTTCATTACCGGTAAGATCCTCCACAATGGTTGGATACTTGCCCTCTGCGCCATCCATGTCTCCCAGGAGCGTGTGGCTGTGCCCCCCGATGATGAGAGACAGCCCTTCTGTCTGCGCCGCCAGCTGCTGGTCCACGTCGTAGCCAATATGTGTCAAAGCCACAATGCGCCTGATGTTTGTCGTGTTGCGAATCTCCCAAATGGCCTTTTGAACCTCTTGAGCGGGATCAAGAAACTTGGTCAAGGGGCCGACGTGTGAAATCGTAGGCGTAGTCGGAGTCGATGCCCCAATGATGGCCAAGCCATACTCCTCAAAGATGTGATAGTTTTTTATCGTGTCTTTGAGGTCAGAATACTCGCTCTTCACATTACAAGACACCACCGGAAATGTGAGGTTCTTCAAAAATACTCCAAGCTTCTCATCCCCGCCATCCCACTCGTGATTCCCCAGCGTCATGGCGTCGAACTCGAGATCATTCATCGTCTCGGCAATCTTCTCTCCGCCGTAAAACGAGTAAAACATGGTGCCCTGGAATTCATCGCCGGCGTTCAGCCACAGATGGCTGGGATGCCGAGCACGCAGCTCGCTGACTTTTGTCTTGATGCGGGCGTAGCCACCGAAGCAGCCTTTGCTGGGATCCGTGCAATCTGTTCCCGCTTTCACATATTGGTCAAGATGAGCGTGAACATCGTTGACGTGGAAGAAGGCTAACACACTGATGTGTAAGTACGATATCGTTTGATAGGTAGGTAGAAAAAGTGTAGAGGAGCCTTACAGACGTTGTAGTGCCTTTCATCATCGAGAGCTCTCTTAGCCAGCCGCCTGCTATAGAGAACATCGTCTGCAGCTGCATATCCCGCCGCAAAAGCCGACAGTAAGAACGACGCCTTCATGATGTCTATAATGCTGCTTCTTATTTTCTATGCATTCCACCACTCGCAGCTTATCAGGCGTCTCCTCTGCTTATCGCGATGGCAATCGGCCAAGGGAGACCCACGACAAAAGAGCAAATGTGCGCAAAACTCACTCACCAAACAAGACTTCTCCAGCCTCAACAACAACAAGAATCGTGTAAGAGATGAAATGAGAGAGCCATCTCTTCTGACCCGCGCCTTTAGAAAGGCTGGACGGCCACGAGAGGCTTAAAGAATGGGGCTTGTGTCGCCAAAGGCCCACGTGGGTATGTCACGTCACAGTGCGTGATACAGTGTCAGTTTGGACTGCGCATGTATTCAGCTGAGAGCGATATCAGCAGCGCCACCATCCATACGTATTTTTTTGCCTCAGCATCATCCATCAGATCGTAAGTAGCTGAAATTTAGTAGAGATGATTTAAACAACAGCGTAATCTCAACCATCAACGGCGTTTGCCAAATAGATGATGGTAATCCGGCACTGTGTCAGATACGACCAATATACGCATGTCTTGGATTTGCCTTTGCGCCAGCACTAGCAATCTAGCCCCGCAGGTTGGATAAGATGACAGTTCGGTACATGTACTTGGTCTAGATAGAATCAGTGATCAATTTACATGCTGATCTGGGCATCTCCTTCAAATGCTCAGAGATCTGGAGCTGATATGGTGAATGCTTTTCTAAGATGAATAGCCCACTTCGCCCCACCCGGCATTATGATAACGACACCACCGCCGGGCATAATAGAACAATGATAAAGCTTGTATTCATGCTTCTATCCTCCTAAATGCGCAAAGTCTTTGGAAAGTCGTGAGCTAATAGGCCATGTGCGTATATTCAGCAACCTGATATACGGAGTCTGGCACATGAGTCCAGTCGTTACACATCGCTCAAAGCCGGTTGTGTCTGCATCTCCGACATGCCCACATTAAACAACCGCCACACTGATATAGGAATTGAGGCATCCACTGCTCGCATATTTCACATCGGCGATTGCCATCAATGCTTTGCCAAGAAAGATGATTGCAATCAGCAGGCTCAACGTACACTGGTCTCAGTCGTTGGCGTGGTGCTGCCCGCAGTAATCGATGCGTGTCGACTAATCGATGCGTGTCGACTAATCGATGCGTGTCGACTAATCGATGCGTGTCGACTAATCGAGCTTCATGCCAAAGGGGACAGCTGCATTGCCTCCATTGCACGCCGCAGTTGTAGCAAAATTCGGCTTTGCAGCGACAAGCTGGCAGATTGTTAGCTAAATAGAGCCCTGCAGAGATTCAAATAGCCAAAGCTTACTTATATGATTGCATCCTGTCGTGAGCTCGACCATTCTGCGGCACGAGTAGCATCTCTGCCACCTTTTCTCAACTGCTGCATTGAGAAGCTCTTTTGTCTCTTTATCGTCAGGGCAGTCTAAATTCTCATGATATGGCTCCTTGCAGATGGAACAAGTCTTGCTGTGGCAAATTTTGCATGTAGCCACATCGTCTTTAATGTACTGAGGAGGAATGAACTTTAAGCAAATGGACATGTAACAGTATGTCCTGTCCGACGTATCGTACTCCAACACTTTCTCTCGATACTGCTCAAGTAGCTCCGCAGGCAAAAAACTCTCGGTAGCTTCGAGAAGCATATTCTGGCTGCAGCATCGGGGCGGGAACAACGACTCGTCGACCATGGCAGACTTGAAGAGGTCCATTACACATTTGTGGCAGTATATATGGGAGCAAGGGGACTCCATAGTTCTCAAGAGAGGAACATCCGTCATGCAGGCAACACATTGTCGCTGCTCACTGGGTGCTTTCGGCAAGCTATCCTGAACTTTCAGCTCGGGTGAAGGTGAAGACTTATTGACCAAAGGCTTGACATCATCGTTCCAGGGTTTTGCAGGCGATGTGGTCGTCTCGTCAGCGATTTTAACACTGGTGCTAGTGTCTGAAGTGAGGTTTTTGCTGGATGGTAGCGATGCAGCTTTGCCATTGGATTGTTTGGCTGTCTTTTTGGCTGTCTCTTTGGCTGTCTCTTTGGCTGTCCCTTTGGCACAGTCACTGACACTAGAACCAGTCGCGGGAGTCAAACTTTGGCTGGATCGTGCTGATGCAATCTCATCGAGGGCTGTAGTTTTCGGCTTCTTTATAGCTGGCTGCACTTCAGTAGCACGATCTCTGAGGGGACCATCGTCCTCCAAGCCCAGGCCACCGAGGCGACGACAAAGAGCTCGATCAGAGTAAAACGTGTGTAGCGACTGAAGCTCACATTTGTAGAGCTCTGCGGCAAACTCCACGTCGGGTGGCTGCTCGTCCTCCCTCTGCTTTCCCTTTATCAGGGCGGCGGCATCTTGTGCTTGAAGGTAGATGCCTAGGCGAAGGGATTGTTCATCGATGCCGGCAGCCATATCAGGCTGCGTGGCAGGCTTGGACAAACAAACCTATGATGACGATGGGCAGAAGAAGAAAGATGATGATGTAGAAGAATGGAAAGAAAGAAGAGAAGATATCCACACAAATCAATAATGTGCTCATGTGGCCCGTGCAGCGAGCACATTAGAGATATTTCCTCATGTGAAGTCTTCTTGCACATATTTTCATCTGCTAACACCTGTTCACAGTGCAGTGTTAGAAAATTGAGCGGTGAAGACTCCGAACCAGGACAAACCGTCGGTCTAGACAAGCACGAAGCTCTCTTTCACGCTGCCATTCCAAGATACATACACATGGTAACGCATTAACTCAGTCGAATCCGTGAAACTGCAAGAAATTTGATACTTTTGTTCAATGCATGCGTGGCAAAATGACTTTGTTAAACCACGGGAAGCTAAAGTGGCCAGCGGCCAGCTGCCAGCTCACGAGCCAGAAGAAGAGCATAATTTGACTCATTATTCTCACCTTCTCTGCAAAGTACATGGAGAGAGAGAAGGGGTCATCAAATAAAGATACTAGGTGCTTAAATCGAAGCGTTTGATAAGGGTATTCACATCACGAGACCTCAACTTGTGTAGGTGTGGCCGTAAACTGCACTTGCCCTCAGTGCCCATCTACGTCATCTAGCTAATTCATTTCGCAATATCAAACATTCCAAATACGCTTCTACAATCATCTTCTTTCATTTACGCATCTTAAACCCTGGCCTATAAAAGCCTCAACGCCATCAGCCGCCATCAGCCGCCATCATGACGACTCCCGAAGCCGCAGCTCAAATCAAATCGCAGCCTCGTCCCTCAGCCCCCGGGCCAGTCACCGCTACAACAGAAGGTAACTCTTCAATCCCTCCTGCATCATCATATTTCATCATCCATCAAGGAAACGTGCTAATTGCCAACTCAGCACCGCCCCAAAGCCTCCTCGCCAAGCAGCAGAACCTCATCCCAATGGCCGTTGGCACTGCAGACGCTCAGCAGAACACAATGCCCTTGGAGGGTGCCGAAAAGGAGCTGTTGATGGTAAATCCGATGATGGCTGTCGTGTTTTGCGGTACAATGGCTGACTCTCTGCTACATGTAATTAGGAGAGAGTTCACAACACCGGTGCGCAGACGCCGTCGTCTCTCGCCGCGCAGATTGAGCGTGAGCTGCAGCAAAAGAGTTCAACCTAAAACTACTGCCATTTTGTCGAATTCTTTTAACGCACGTCATGCCGTAGAACGAATATATTGTTTGAAATGAATACATGACGCTATAGCTAACATCTGTGATGCATTCTCATGATAACTCCCCCAGCAGTATAAGTATAAGAACCCATTCTCTTCATCCCACGTTCATATTGCTTACCAGCCATCATTATTAATCGCCCTTCCAACTCGCTTCTTACCTAGTATCTGGACTCGCACTTGAGATAGATCGTACCCGTCATACGCCTCGGCTGCAAATCATTGCAATTATAGCCCGGCAGCGGCTCGGTCCTCGGCTTCCCAAGCTTATCGACCGCTTTAAAGTTGAACATTGCCACAAACGTGGCCGTGGAAACAAAGAGTTCCATTTTCGCAATCTAAACACCACAAGTTAGCTCTTCTTTCTCTAGAGAAATATTTAGCACCACCGCTGAGGCCTACTCTCATGCCCACTGTGTCTCAAGTCAGCACATAAAGATCATCAAGAGTTTAGGCGGAAGTCTTCTTACGACATGGGTGCAATCCAGATCCCCATCCAACATATCCGTGCTGCTTCGCCTTGTCTTCTCCTCTGTCGGATAGATATCGGCCCGGATCCCATCTTCCTGGGTTCTTGTATACCGTCTCATCCATGTGAACATCCGATATGCTATAAACCTACATGTCAATCGCAAGGCATCAGTACCCGCTCGAATCTCCCAGTCAAAACGATTCAAATCAGTCAACTTACTGCAAATGCATCTTTTGGAATAATAACGCCTGTATCCCCAAGCACAATGTCCTTGCCAGAGATATTCTGGCGCATAGAAGCTCCCATCAGGTTGAGCCGGATGCTGTCTTGCACTCCCAAGTCAAGAGAAGGAAACTCAGACTCCCATGTATCAACAGAGAGCGTTTGCAGGACTTCAGCCGGGGTCTGATGCTCAGAAGTTCGGTGTTTGGCAACGGCTGCATCAACCTCTGCTTGGACTTTGGCGTACCAGACCGGATCATAAGCAAGGTAGCAGATGATCCACGCTGCTTGAATGGCAGTGTTGATCAAGCCAGCGAATAGCGCGCCAATGATAAACTGTCATATCATAAATCAGCCTCCAAAAAATACATGTAAAAGCAAGATACTCACTGCTGCAGTGACCATGTCGCTTTCACCCTTATCCATGAGTACCTGCACGGTGTCCTCTGCTCTCCGACCAGTTCTTCTCCTCTCCTTGATAATGTTTAGAAACAACATATGCAGCTTTCCTCCTCCCCAAAGCTTGTTCATCTTCGTAGGAGTTGGCAGCCAGGGGAACATGATACTAAGAGCAGAGCTCGCATCCAGCATGTCATAGTACTTCATTGTTTTCGCCCGCAACTCAGGATCTTCAGCAACGTCGTGGCAGCCGACGGTACGATGCGTCATCTTGCAGATGAGATCACGCAGAACCACGAATGGATCCATGGGAACAGATGTGTCGATGGCAGAAAAGGTACCGTGGGCATCCTGGTTGAGATAGGGGAGACAGGTTGCCAAATGATCCTTTCCGGTGAGACGCTTGAACAGCGTCACGAAATAGGTGGCCATGTTACGGCCAAGGAGGCTGTCAACATCAGGGCCTGCTGAGAAGAGTTTTTTGAATCTATTGCCTGGTCAGTCACTTTTTCATCCCATCATAGATAATATGTTGATGCGAAAGGTTCACGCCATAAATGACATTCACACATACCCAGCACTTAGATCAAGCCCGCGAGTAGTAAAATATGCCGACCGCGCAGCCTCCCCCGAGATGGCAACAATGGGATACGGCCCAAAGAAGAAATTAAAGTGCCCGTTAGCACTGCGCTCTTTGCCCTCCCTCAAATAATCGCCTCTCCTTGTATAAAAGGGCAGCGAGCCGAGGATCGGCACGCCTCTATCCGTCCATTTTGCGCCGGAATGGAAAGCAGCACGCTTCGAAAGGCGAACAATAGCAAAGATTGCGACGCTTGCCACCAGCAGCAGAACGCTGGGCGACCAATTCTGAGGCGAAAGGATTACAGCGACGAGGCTGACCATTTTTGAAAGACCGCGGTGTTGAAGACTTTACAAAGCAGAAGAAGTTGAAGACGGGAAACGCATGTACGAATCAACTCTTGAAATTGAGGGGGAAGGAGCGGTACTTTATAGCGCCAACATGTCTCAATTATACTTTTTACCGTCCTGTCAATCACGCATTATCAGATTGGCTCGGCATTTAAGACATGTCCGTTATAGGAGGGGGTTGAACTGCCAAAAGGGGTCCAGCCAACACGTAAACTTTGGACCTGTAAGACTATAGCTCATACTCTAACTTAGAAGCCACTAAAGCAGTAATACGGGAACGAAAGCATCCGTTTATATTACGTTAATTTGGTACGTAGGATTGTGGTGGCTTGGAGCTCGGTGCGACAAATAGGCTTTGGACTAATGCCGTTGGCTCATCGCGATGGCTCATGCAAGGGATGTCGTAAAAGGAGTAATGGTCCTTTTTTTTCCTGCGTAATAATTTACCACTAAAGTATTGCACCAACTGTTAAGTGCTAAGAGGGACATGATTCAGAGAAAAAAAGAGTATTTCGTTTATTATATATTTACCAGAATAAATGGAGAAATGAAAACATCTGTACTTTATAGCATAATCACACGGGCCAAGCGGGGAGTGCGAAATAACTACTCTATATGATTCCCGAACTGTTCATCTTTATGTTGCATTTTTTATTGTAACACGATTAGAAAATTAACCCTAGAATGCGATTGAGAATAAATGGCCTTCAGTGATGTCTCGACTCTGAGGTTTGATCAACGCCGAAGATGTCCTACAGAAAACGTCAGCACAATCCTAGATATACTCATCCGGCAGCAATCTTACTAGCAGTGCTTGAAACCTTTCAGACATCATGTCCTTCTCCTTGCTAAAGCCACCGCCCGCTAGCTCAAGCTTTCTTCTCTGGCGAGATAAAACATTGCTCTGCGAATCGTCAGCACCTTGAGTTAGAACGGGAGCGAGTGCATACCACGGACTTCCTCGACAGTATGCATCATGACGTATCGGATAATGACGACTTGATCCTTCTGGCCAAGTCGAAACGCCCTTCCAATTGCTTGGGACTCGATAGATGGGTTCCATTGTGGCTCTAGAAGGTAGATACGTGATGCAACCGCAAGGTTCAAACTGTAGAATCTCATCGATTAGCCTTCAGATTGTGCATTAATTATAGACAAGGGACATCACACCCAACTGCACCAGTGCCTAGTGTCATTAACAGAATATTGGTGCCTGTGGGAGATTGAAAGTCCTTCAGCACTTTGCTGCGTTCAGCCAAGGCAAGTGAGCCATCTCTCATGGCGTGTTGTACGGCATGGCTATCCAAAAGTTGACTGACAAGGCCAAGCGTCTTCTTCCAGCACGAGAATATTATGCTAAAGGGTTTAAATGGTTAGCTCAATTTAATATATGAAGATCATCAATAGTCATTACCTCTTGTGATTCAGGCTCTGGCGGACATCGGACAATAGCTCTAATAACTTTGTAGAATAATGGCCGTGTTTCGGAGCTTCCTAGTTTCCGAAGCGTCTGCCAGGCGGAATTTGACCTCTATTCGGTTCCAAGATAGCCAGGGATGTCGGTTCGTTCCCTGCGGCACATGCTGGACAACCTTCCTTTTGTGACCGATGGTGTGGCATGCAGCTGCGGCAGACTAAATGGCGACAAGACGACATAAAAATACCTCCATCAGCATCAGCCGCACTACTAATAGAGTATATGATTCCAGAGCAGTAGCAGCAAATGTTCTCATCGCATTGCTGGAGAAACGTTAGTGCTTCGTCTGAGTCTTGTGGAAGACCATTCGGCCCCGGGAGTAGCACAGCGCTTGCAGGGCCGTTGTTGCAAAATAATCGTAGCTTGAGGAGCGACTCGAGCATTGCAGAATGGGCTTTGTTCTTTCTGTGCCCACTGACTGCCATGTCGATCTCTCTTCTGCCCTGTACAATAAGTCTATCATATTCAGCCTGTTCGTCAGATGTAAAAGGCAATTTACGTATTTCGGACTTGGGCTCTGATAGGTCTAAGACCTGTCGCGTTCTTCGAAGGCATACACTCTGGAGTAATGTCTGGAGGTTCTGAAAACGACGGTCCGAGGTCGCGTTTATGGGGTTCGTAATAAATTTTCGAAATGTTTGCGTCTTTTCCAGTATTGGCACTTTTAGAAAAGAGACAAGTGCCGCAAGACCCTCTAGGCTATTCTGAATAGGAGTGCCGGTAAGACACCAGCGATGCTGTGCCGAAAGACTGGTCACTGCTTTATACTGCTTCGTGGAACAATTTCGGATATCATGAGCTGGAAATAAGTCACATCATTTATGAGGTTGTCCTTATGCAATAGTATGAAGATTTTCGTACCTTCATCCAGAACTATTCTGAACCAGTTGATCTTCTGCAGCGTTGTGTCACCGCGACGAAATTCGGCCGCTACTGTAGCGTATGTGGTAAATACCACCAATCGTTCTCGAAGCAGATTTGCTTCTGCGTGCCTTGACGAGCCAAGATGCTTGTGAAACGGAAGTTTTCCGGGGTAAGCATGCCTTTATATATGTTAGTCAAGAGATTTAAAGCTCCATCGTCTCTGTGTATACCATACTTGTGAATTTCGTCCACCCAAGTATCGATCAGAACTAAACGCCAATCAGCTAAGAAAGTCGATTATTTTTATTCACACATACGTGATGATGGTGTAATAATGAGCGTCGCTTTTGACGGTGGTTTCCTTGGCGGTTGAGGTGTAACCGGCTGGCTTTCAGCAGCAACAAAACTCGACGCACGATCATGAGAGCTAGCTACCGTAGATAGAATGATAAGCGACTTTCCAAGTCCCATTTCATCTGCAATGATGCCGCCCTTGGCCTCAATTCGTTCCGGCCGCTTTGCTCCAGTGAAGACATGCTGGTAACTGCAGGACGACGAAATTAATTGGGTGTCATAGAATTGAATCTTAACTTAGGCTCTTACAAAGGTTCCTCTGCGTCTGTATCGTTGTACTTCCATAGACTTCGCTCGGGAAGAACTTGGCCTGTTTCTCTTCGGAAAATAAAGTCGATCGCTTCTTTTTGATGCCTGCGGAGAACGAAAAGAGGTCAAGATCATCACATTCCGAGAAAAGAAGAAGAACCACCATGTCTTACAGTCGAAGTTTGCTTTTTATGTCTAGACTGACAGATATTGCTTGTTGATGGACGTGATATGACAGCGAATCAAAGAATGGTATCAACTGTTTCGGAGTCATTGGCTCTTGTGGTCTCCTTCACGCCTGGGTTTTGAGTCTCAACAGCATCTCCCATAGAAGCCGAGATTTCAACCGGAGTTGTTTCTGAATATCTTTCTATTCGGAGAAAGTGCGGGTTATGTATTCAAAGCCAATATGTCCGTGGCGAGGATACTGCAGAAAGATACCGAATCTCGACAAGATGTTGTCAATGTCTTTGGCATCTGATCGAGCACTGTAGATGTTGATCTCTGCAGGAAGAGAGGGAAGAGTTAGGATGTGCCAATCTCGTGATACTGCCATGAGATCTTCGTTAGACGCATATGCTTGGATGAGAGCTTGTCGCCCAGCGACGACTGCAAGAAGGCTTCCACACAATCCTTTATTCAAACATCCGAATTTGTCTCCGTTGTACTCCAAGGCAAAGTAATCGCCTTCTTGCACGATAGTGAAGTGCTGTGCCGCTTCTTTGGGCCAAACATTGTAGGGTAAGCCAGGTAAATGATGGCTAGATAACTGTACTTTTACGTTGATGATCTAAACAAGACTTAGCTATCTAGTGAATGTGTAGGAGGCAAGAATAAAATGTTACGCGTCCCAAACATATATTTTTGTTTGATTCAAAGTATATCGCTTCACTGAGGTATTGAATATCTGGCAGTGTGGAAAAGGTTGACAGAGGGTCGTAGATTTCTTCCCCAACCCCGAACGGCCACGCTTGTTTCCATGAAGATCCTGTTTCCTGTGATGTTTCGTAAGCATCGCCGGCAAATGGGTCCATTGATATACAGGAAGGAGAGATACAGAGTAGGTCGTCAAATGAGAAGTGTTGATCCGTACTGAACACCGCGTCGAGTTCTTTAAGCCAAACTAGGTAGAAGTTTGAAGCTTTCACTACAAGACATACCATTCAACACGCTGTGGCTCACCTATACTACCTAAGTACCTGAGTAAAAAAGTAAAAAAAAGTGAGCGGAAGCCTAGTCAGTGACGTGGTTTCTTAATGGTCTAATTTCGTGTTGCAGGCGTCGCCCACAGCTTCACTATGATTGTCCGTTGACTTATTGGATAGCTTCAACAAACGCGGTCCAGCCCAAGTTCCCCCACTGGATTCTCTGCCCCAGGCTAGTTGACGCGGGCGGCTACATGAACAATGAACATAGCATAGCCACATCGGGGCCGCGGCTGACAGGGGCTCTGCGCGGCAAAGTAGAGCCGTGGTGGGCTCTCATTGCTCATCTGTAACCAATCTAACTGAAGACGGCAGTCCGGCCCTGCCTTTTGTGTTGCAGTGCAGAAAAGCCTGGCCTATGATACTATCAGCATGGTGCACACGCGGAAATCGATCAAGCTCGACTGCGGCACGAGGATTTATGGCGATAATGAGACAGGGGCTTAGCCGCCTCGGGATGGGGAGGGGTAAATTGACAAGCCGGAAGCTGGCTCTCATCATTCGAGCGGATCTTATTTCGATCTATTTCCTTTCTAGTTATTCACCTTCTGAGTCGATCTCAAGGAGGAGTTGAAAAGAATGAATGTAGCATAAAATGTCCGCCAATCATCGCCAATTGGTATTCGACAAGGCACTTGAAGAATTCAAAAGATACCTAAAACCAAGAGAGTTAGAGGACCTCAAGGCAACTACATCCGAGAATCTGTCGAGGATCATCGGGGAGATACAAACTAGGCAACACTGGGAACGGCGGCCACAAAACCTGAGCAGGCTAGATCGTTTCCTCGAAGCCATTAATCAGTACGAGCAAGTCGTAAAGACATTTTGCAACAACAATGACGTTGTACCTTTTCTCCGAGTGCGTGGTTTCCTAAGTGGAACGATTTGGCAGATGGACTTATTCTTTCACAGGGACCCATTAAGTGGTTGTTACAAGTACGGTCCATGCAATGGCTTAGTACAGCTTCAACGGCTAACTACCATGAACAGGCAACGAGTGCAGATCCCGAGGCGTTCAACGAACTTCTGGACACATACAAGGGCATTGGAGAGAGTTTGCCCCTTCTTACGCAGTATCAGACTCTCTTCCAGGCCAAGCCTCACATGGTGCAAAATCTATGGCTCATATACGACGACGTACTCGCATTTCATTCTATAATCTTTCGTTATTTTCAGCAACCACGTTAGTCTCTCTCTCCTGAGTATACTTCTATATGGGTGTTCTTTCTGATCTCACTGTGCAGAATGGCGGTCGCTATTCGCTGAGACCTGGAACACTTGCAAATCTCGCATCTTTACAATTATTGCTAACATCTCCCGACGCCGAAGTTTGATTGAGAGCCAAGCCAATCCCTCTCAGATCGAAGACGTGCACAAAGATGTACAGAATTCGAGACAAATCGACAAACTTGCGTGTCTCTGTATCGACTATTTAAACTTGCCTGCATTCCGAAACCCACCTACCAGAGAAAGGATATTAAACGGGGACTATTGTTTCATGGATTATGCTGTTGTACACTGGCTTGGGCATCTTGAAGCAGGAGTTACCTTCCAAAGCAATGACCACGAACATCTGATGAACCAGCTTGCAGAATCGCTGGAAATATTTACCAACCACCATTGGAGTGAACCTAGCGCCAACCTGACATTAGCGAATCGTCACAAAGAGAGGCTTCAATTCTTTAAAGTGCTTGACTTTTATGAGAAACTTGATAAAACGGCAGCCTCGACTAAGAAACATCTCAAATTATTTGGGGAAATGAAGGAAGAAGAGGTCGCTCTGAACCACGTACACGTTGTTGGCCAAGTGAGAAAAGCTTTGGAACAGATGGTGACTCGACCGTCAGAGGCTCCTCTTCAGAAAATGATCCAACAGGTGTATGGGGCCAATCTCTTCAAATGCCCTAGATCCAGCTGTGAATTTTTCACTACTGGGTTTTCTTCAGACACTGAGAGGGTCAAGCACGTTTCGAAACACGACCGACCTTTCCGATGTAGAGATGAAAGATGCACGGGATTCTCCTGGGGATTTGCATCACTACCTGAGAGAGACAGGCATGTGAAGGAGACGCATACCATGGTAGTGGCGCTGGATCAGGAGTTTCCAACTGATCAAGACGTAGAGCTCAGCATTCAGGCTCACCGACCAGCTGTCTATATAGGACAAGGAGTGGAGCAAACCGTCCCGAGTGAGGCTGTAGAGTCACAGACCATAGCGGGTTCGACAGAATCCCCGCGTTCAGAGCTTGAAGCTGAGATACAACATATACCCCGGCAAACACGCCCGAGACGAGCGGATTTCCAATGCGAATTTTGTTCCAAAGTCTTTACGAGGCGATTCAACCTGAAATCACACCTTCTCACTCATACGACCACGCGGAAGCATGTATGTGATGCGTGTGGCAAGGGCTTCATCAGGTTCAGTGATTTTTCTCGCCACGAAAGCAAGCACACGAAAAACAAAAAATACTTTTGCCGCGGGTCTTTGAGAAATGGTGAATTTTGGGGTTGCGGAAGGGCTTTTACTCGTGCAGATACCCTGGCACAGCACCACGAATCCAGAATTGGCCGAGCGTGTATTCGACCTTGGCGGGAGGAGCAGGAACAGGCACGACAACAGCTGCGGGAGCAAACAAGTTGAACTGCAGGAATGAATACTTTGCTAGTGTCGATATTTCCTTCTTCTTTTTTTCTCCCCCCTATTTTGCGGGGAGGGGAATCGGGGTGTGTCTACTTTATAAATCTTTTGCTGTATTTCTGTTTATATTGAAACCTACATTCAGCCGTAAAGGTTCCATTTTCCCACCTTCCTCACTGGTCACAAGGAATACGAACAATAGTAAAGCCTCGTTTTTGACAGACCTAAACATTATGTTAGGTATATGGCGATGTAGCAAATAGATGGTGTTCATGCTACGATAATGCATCGGTGAGACGGTACTAAGTTACTGCTACTATGTAAACGATCGTTGACAGACTGATTAGAGAACTTGCAAAAGCCAACAATAATAGGACAAGAATTGCCCCTGAGCCCACAGTATTATCCAAATTACTTTTGACAAGTGAAAAAGTCACAATATCCTTCGCCTCTTCCGATCTTGCCGCTCCAAATTGTCTCGCTGCCCGTCATCATCTTGGTCAACTGATACTTTGAGCACGTATTCCCGTAACCTGGCAGGCGTTGCACCACCTGATGGCATTTTGAGCGTCCTGTGTAGCGGGGGTCGGGGAAGAATAAAAACACCAATAGCAAGACTTTCTGTTGCTTCCATAGCAGTCATGGGATATACTGGCTCATTGGGTACTTTGTAGTGCAGATACTCCGCTAATGCTTCGTATGTTAGGCAAGACTGCTTCAGTGGATCCTCGAGCCTTTTCCATCGTTCCAGGTTTCTGCTCATGATCCCAGCAGAAGGATATCCGGTCTCGGTGAGATTGATAATGACATCAAATTCAGACTTGATGCCTTCATGTCGCACTTCAATGTTGATGAATACCAGTTGGTTCGGTTCCATGAGCAGTTCATCTCGCTTTAAACCACGATCTAAATGTGTGTCATCCAATAACTGCATCTTTGCGCCGAAACTAGATGAACAGAAGTCGATGAAATACTTGGAGCCGATTTTGATACACTCGGGGTATTCTAGTACAAATACTGATCGACAGCCGAGGAGTTTCGAAAAGTTACTTGCCCGTATGAGAATGGATTCTGTGTCAAACTCCTCATTCCAATCCTCCGGCTTGATCTTCTCCATGTCACATAGCTCATTGATCCGTAGTCTATCGTAGGAATCATCAACATGGTTGAGAAATAACCCGACATGTGCGCCATCTTTAGTGCCGCAATTTAGGCGGACAAGGCACAAGTTCGGGTTGTCTTTGTTTCTCCATCGCCTCGCTTTAATTTCCAGACCTCGGTTTGTCATGGAGAAGCTGTCGCCATAGTGACCAAACGCTTTGACTTTTGGAAGCGTCCCAAAACTGTCTAATTGATGGCGCGAGGATTCCCCAGTTCGAGCCGTTGTCTGTGACACAATGTGAGTTTCTTAGCACCGTAGCTGTCTTTCTCCATGAAGACCATCATACCTTCCCATTGTGGCCGATTAATGCGGCTTCTGGACGTTTGCTCTGCTTTCCAAGCAAAAATGGAATCGTCGTTGTAGACAGTGATCAACTCACGTTGGAGTCTGTTGAAGGCTCGCCACCTTCCTTCGCCATATATAAGGGGTAAGCTAATACCGAAGAGACCCAACAGTGAGTATGTTTCATCTTCTTCAAGGGTTGTGTCACGGCCGGACGCCCAGGAGAGCCTCATGGCGATGGAACACGAATTAAAATCCGTTGGGCTGAACGCTGTCAAATACGGCGTCTCGATCCCACTAGCTTCCTTGATTTCATCTGCCCAGCTCTCTCGAGTCCCGATACGACGCCATGCTCGGTCCACAAATACCAAGTAATGGGGAGCAAGGAGCTCCTGTAAAGTCCACCCTCGAGTGAACCACTTGGCTTTAACGACGAAGGGGCTAAGGGCTTTATGGCGAAAGCTGCAACGGTTGGCAACATTGTCAGCGCCTGCGATATTGTCAAGATCCACGTCCTCAAGGTCATTCACACCTGCAGAGCCTACAGTGCTGAAGATTATGTTGGCATCCACGTCATCGAGGTAGGCATAACATATGCCGGCGTCTTGATACCATTGGAACATGGCATTGATGGCTTCTTGAGTATCATATGGGTTGGTCTTATCGATGCAGCATGTATCCATCCAGGCCCAGTCCCAGCCGTCTCTTGCCGCGCGGTCGCAGTATCGTCTCAATTTCGCCCAGCCTTTTTGCTTGAAGAGATCATTCTCAATGTCCTCTTTTCTTTTTTTGATGTCCTGATAGGTGATCTCATCCTTTGGAGAGATCCATGTATGAGAAAGGATGGCATACTGAGGGAAGGGTTCAGGAATGTCATTCGCTTCAACGAGCTCGTACCGGTCCGTTTTCAAGAGCCGCATGTCAGCCGAGCAACGTGTTGCGTGTGGGAGACTGAAGCCTAGACCGACTCAGTTGCCGACGCTGACTTGGAAACGAACTACAAGTATGTAGTTAATCACATGTAGTCAAGGTTATGGGATGACGGGCAAGTCGACACGGTAGCCTAATAATATGCTCAAACACTCAAGAATTGGTACCTACGTACGGAGTACGCGATGCTGTCTTCCTAGCGTTTGGTAACATGGTGGCATGGAGATGTACATGCATTTTCAGGGGTCACAATGCTGGAGGCGCCACATTTCATGCATTGGCAAATGGCTGAGTCGGTCCGCCTAACCCCTCCTTCGATGTGCAAGTCTCTAAACTGATCCCTGGCTAGAAAGCTTTCTCTCCCACCGCTACCCTGCGGACTCTGTACAAAGGACTACCCATCGTACGATGCCTTTCGACTGTTAAGCTTATGGAAGAGCCCCGAGATCATACGCCGCAGAATATCGCTTCCCCTTTGCTCAACCCTTAGCTATATGTGCCTAGCACTTTAGGAGTTGCCTTTGGAAGTAAACACCTATTTAAATCGTGCTGATGCCCTCGCCAGCAGATTAGACTCGGTTGCTTTGCTAGCATATCTTTTTAATCCCGTCTATATTCTGTTTTGCTTGACGAGCAAATTGAAACATTCATGTTCATCTTCTCTTCTGGGCAGGGGGCCATGCTGGCGAGCTTCGGCATCAACCCAATTCTTCCTTGCCCGCCACATTGAGGGGCTTAGCCAGGCTGCTGCGGAGAGGAACGAACGTACATGTATTTAGACTACGCAAGCGCTAAAGGCGTTCCTAGCAAGACAGCCTCAACTCCAGTAGAATATACACTAATGCATATATAGGAATCGCTAAATGTTTCCAACTAATAACGCCAAAGGTAGTCTATTCTCCCACAGTTTTCCCACAGTTTTCAAGTTATAGATACAACGAGGCTATGCCAAGTAGCTGAGCCGTTATTTACTAGGGGGGTCATGTTACTGATTATAACAGCCTCGACTCTCGTATCCAGTAAAATATGCGCTGACGTGTATATAAGAATCGCTTTTTCTTTCCTTCCGGCCAATAAAGCTGGAGATAGTTCATCTCCCTAGAATTATGATTTGCAACCTACGAAACCATCAGCCCTGCTGAGCCTCATTTACGCCGCTAGCATGGAAGGTCGTAGATATAATCTGGCGGATGGGGAACTAGACTGCCTCTAATACTTAAAAATGAATATTCAAAAAAGCGGCAGAAAATACATCGCAAGTTTACATTTGAAAGAAGTAGGCGTCTATCATTCATCTTAGTAACATGTAATAGCAATGAGTTTGTATATTTTAGCTATTTCATGAACCTCCTAGCTATTCAACAGGGTCTATAACTAATACTCGAGAGGCCCTTCACGCTCCCGCTTAGGCTTATATGAAGGCGTCACAATTGAGTAAGCAGCGCGATTAAAACGACAGAAAGCATTTAAAGCGCAGTGCAAGCTGCATTTAAACAAAAAATAGTTAGAATAACCCCAATTTCTAAATTGACTCATGGCGTACAGCTATAAAAAGACCACCGATCTGTAGAGCCAAAGCCAATCTCGCAGATCTTAGTCACGGTGGCGACTGCTGACCTCACCATTCCAACGAACCAATCTCACTCACAGCTTCTTTACCGTTCGTATTATAGACTGAATTACGCTGCGTTTTATAACCGTTAAAAATAACCCAGTCATCAATGAAAAGTCCTTATATCATATCGACCATGACCGCAAAGACTCTAGAATCGCTGCCTCCAAGGCGCAGCCTCCGCAACATCAAAAGACAAAGCCTCACCGAAAGCATCAGCACAACCACCATCAAAACAGAGTCCAAATCATCACCATCAACAAAATCCGAACCATCCATCAAAACCATTTCTATAACCCAGATCCCCGACAAAAAAGCCTCCATCCTCCAAGCCCGCAAGCTCAAATCCTTTGCAGCCTACTCCCAATCCTCACCATTCCCGTCATTCCCCCATCCCACACCGCAAGAATGCTCCCTCGCTCATCGCATCCTCGCCTCCATCCACGGCGAGCGTCGTCGTCCTGACAAAATCATTGCGCCAAACAGCGTTGCCGGCTGCGGAGATTCCCCATCCGTGCTCGACGCGCTGGTGCGCACGATTCTATCGCAAAACACCAGCAACAAGAACAGCACGCGGGCAAAGCTCTCCATGGACAAGACATACGGCCGGAGCGATAACTGGGACGCCATCGTCCAGGGCGGCACCGACAAGCTGCAGCAAACAATAAAGTCTGGCGGCCTCAGCGTCGTCAAAAGCAAAGTCATCATGAATATCCTGCGCCAGACAAAGGACCAGTACGGGACTTACTCTCTTAATCACCTTCTCAACGCTTCCAACGACGAGGCCATGCGGGAGCTTCTCTCTTTTCAAGGCGTAGGGCCCAAGACGGCGAGCTGTGTCTTGCTGTTTTGTCTACAGCGGGATAGCTTCGCGGTTGATACGCATGTTTACCGCATTTCAGGCCTATTAGGATGGCGGCCAGGAGAGGCGAATAGGGAGGAGGCACAGGCACATTTGGAAGCAACAGTTCCGGATGAGGACAAGTATGGACTGCATGTGTTGATGGTGACGCATGGGAGAACTTGTGATGAGTGCAAGGCTGGAGGGAAGATTGCAGGGAAGTGTGCTCTACGGAAGGCGTTTGTGAAGGGGAAGAAGAAAGCAGATGATGAAGATGTGATGGTAAAGGAAGAAGATTTGTGAGATGCCATATAAACGCGTGTGTATATATTCGTTGTAAGCGCAGTTCTTCTATGTATGAAAGATGCTCAAAACACTACCCAATAGCAAAGCCATTCAATCATATCTCGCCTTATTCAACTCCAATGCTCGCTTCAAGAGACAAACCCCTGTTCAGCAGTTGCAATACCCAATATGCCCATACACCTGAAAAGACTAAACCAAAAACACATTCACGGCTCCAAGTCCATAGGGTCCGCCATCATCCACGTCCATGCATTATCACCGTCAGCGCCACTGTGCGCGTCCATGTCATTCCCAGCGCTTCCATGAGCCTCCATCTTGATCTCCTCGACCCTCGCAGCCGCCATCTTGTACGCGACACCCAGACCCTCAATGATACGTCCTATGATCCACGACAAGTCATACATGCCCAGCGGCGTTGTTTCCCCTTCCGCCGCATCTTTCCATCTGTTGCGCAGCTCCTTGGCCTTCCACAGCGCAGAGTTGACATCGCCTATGCCCAGCGCGCTTCTCAATGGATTGCCGTCCTCGCCAAACGCCAGCAGCACGTTGTGGTGATAGCTATGTGTTGCTTGGCCTCTGGGCCCGCCGAAGCCGCGGGGGACGCTGACGCCGTAGACGAGGAGGACAAGCACCAGGGCCTGCTCGATGCGCATGTAGAATTCGTGAAAGTCAATCTTGAAGTTGACCTCGGCGTCGGAGGCGGAGAAGCCGCTGTGTTCCGGGGAGTGTGCGCGGTGGTATGAATTTTCGAGATCGATGGCCGTCCATCGGAGGCGCTGGCAGGTCTGGTGGAATCTCTGGAAGGCTTGCGCAGGCGAAAGGGAGGCTGCGGTGGCGGCAGTAGTAACTGTTGCAGTGGAGCTGGGGACTGCTGTCGTCGTCGTCGAGGCGGATACTGGAGGCACAGATCTGGATCTGGAGTCGAATCGATAGCTATCGGAGGGGCGGCTCGGCGCTGCTGCCCATATCGAAGCTTGTAGGCCACTTGATCCCATGCTTTGTATCTTTATGTTTTTTCCAATGTTTTCTGCTCTCTATACAGTATTATACAATAACGCGGGCGTAAGAGCGACATTCGAGAGGTGCGACGAGTCGATTTCGAGACCGTTTAACAAGCGAAGCGTCGAGAGCCGCACGATTGACCCCGCGGCCCTCTGCGCAGAAAGCTTAAGAAAAAAAGAGTAGGCAGAATGCTATCCAAAAGGAGAAAGTGAGACGGGAGCTCCTAGGGCACCGCAAACGCCATTGTAGGCTGCGCCGGGAGTTGTGGTCGCGGGTGAAGTTGCAGAGTGAAGTGAGAGCAAGAGCAGTGCGATGTTTTTTTGGAGTTGAATCCCAAGGCTGTTGGTTGGTGGGCGCCTACTCCAGTCTGGAGTGACGGCAGCTGGCGGCAGGCTTCAGCGTTCGTTCTTCAGGCAAACGCCCGGCAGTCAGCTACTTTGATGATGAAAAATTCGACATTTGTAGATGTTCAGATTTGTACTTGCATAGAGAGCAGAAATGCTAATTTCTCAAAGGTCCTGATCGTGTCCCAGCATCTTATGCTCGACGCGGAGTAGCTGTTGCTGACTTGCGGAATAGCATGAATTTCTGCTTCTGAGCAGCACTCTACTGAGTTGACCGCACTTTTCTCAACCAACGAAGGCTGCACTACGCAATTACCAAATCTATCGATGCCATTAATTCGCAGCAATGCAAACACTACTTTTTTCAGTTTTTCTCAGTAATTTCCTCCTTCCATTGCGATGTTTGGTCAACAACGTGTTGGTTACAGGGTAGGCAATCACAAAGATCTACGAGCTCGATACAAAGTACAAGCGAATGCTCATATGGGTTTAGGTAGAGAAAGCCTTACAAGCTGCCTGCAGGTTCGAGGCGAAGCTTCTGCTATCCGAAGCACCTGGCGGTACAACGATGTACACGCAGACTCCAACCATTGCGCCTAACGCCCAGTTACTGGCAGGTAGTCACGGGAGTTTGCCATCGGCCGTGCAGATGATCGGCCGCGGTGGGACCCGATCCGGTCAGCCGGCGCCGAGTCCAAGACTCGCGATGGATTCAGGTGGCGGGATGCACCGCAGCAGATGACTTGTCTATGGCTAGGAGTTGCGGTCAGGCATACTCTGTTCGTGGATGAGGATACAAGTAAGTAGCTGGCTGTGCATGGCAGATGGAGGGATCATGTGTTTGGGCTTGGCTTTTTGGAAGGATTTAAATAAAGCGGTGCTGCACTTTTATTTGCTGGCATGGTTTACAGCAAGCATTCACATCTTAACAATAACAGCATCACCACCACAAAGCAGCTAGCACAGTACTGTATCTCAACTAGCTACTCACTCAGGGCATACACAAACTTGGTACTGTCTATCCATATACCGACAACGACGGCAACGGCAACTCTCTCATCCAACGCAAGATTACAACATAGCTTCGGCATCACATACCCGTGGCACAGCTGTTCCGAGCAGATCACCGTTCGCCATGCCCGAGCTCGTCTACCACAACGGACACTACCACGAGGTCCCCCGCCGTGATCGGCGTCACAAGAAGCGCGACGACTCCTGGAACGTCATGAAGGTTTGGGACGAGGTGCTGTATAACATTGGCGATCTCTACTACAAGGTGCGCAAGCGCTACTAAGGTAGCTTGTGCTATGTATGGTACTGCTTCAAGCTGGGAAGACAGCAAGGACAGATACGAAAATAGTATCTACGTTGCCCTATACGGTCGACATTTAGAAACGGCAGCTGGACAGGCTATGCGCTTGTTGGTGCCATTTTGCGGAAAGCATCTCATCTTACATCCCAGCACCTACCTATACGGTACATGTGTTGTGCCACTTACGAGCACGCACCGCCACATTCACTCGCTCATTTCATCTCAAGGGAAGAAAGTCCAAGAAGCAGCAGCACCGCCCGGATAGTCGGCTCCCAGACGGCCCGCATCTGAGCTCTTCTGTCTGTGCCGTGGCTCCGAGAAAAAGGGAGACGGGCCTCGCGAATCAGTGACTGGAGTCTGAAAGGGCGGTTGATGAGCAGCCCAGGGCCATCGCTTGGAGCGCCGCTACGCTACGGCACTGGGCTCCCGAGATATCGGACTGGAGAGCAGTAGCGGTAGCAGATCGCTGGCCGGTTTCCGTTTGACAGCACAGAGAGGGAATAATCAAGGTGAGACGATGGGCTTGGGTGGATATCTTGCTTGTTCCTAGTTGGCGGATTTCAATGCGAAACGGTTTGACCGTCGGTCGGCCGGTCGGTCGATTGGAATGCCGTCCACGCCCAAGTATGTTTGTATGTATGGGCAAATAGCTAGATATGGAGCAGAATTCAACACAATTACACCACGAGTAAATGATCAGCATGTGCCGACAAGGCTGGCCAACCAAGGCAGAGAAACCAGAAGCGAGCACGGGCTGTTCCTGGTCCAAGTAAAACAGTTGCTCGTGCTCATTTTCAGGTGGGTTTGAGGCCCTTGACGCGTCAGCCGAAAGGGAGGCCATTGCGGCGAGTACCTGGCGCTGGGCGACGAGAGCACGGAGATGCAAGTACCTCGTAAAGAAACACTGCGTCGGTGCGCCTTGGCAGTGGCAGAGTGGCATGGGCGGCGGGTTGACATCTCGTAAAATACATGAGAAAAATATTGCCAGAATCGTCGATGAACAGAGAGACGACAGCGCTGCCTCGCCTTGTCCGCCAAGGCTACCTACTAATACAAAATAGCAGCCAGGACAAGGGAAACACGCTCTTGTTCGAGAAAAAGATGAGCATTGAATCCATAATCATTGCAAGGAGCGCCAACATAATGACGATCCATCATCCCTCGCCTGCGCCGTTGCCGCCACCCGCAGCGGAATCACAAGAGAAGACCAAGATGCAGCGCCAAAATCAATTTCGCCAGCCCTTGAGGCGGGTGCCTTGCATTGGCAGCGCATTGTGAGTGCGTGTGGGCTGCAATCAGGGGAAATTTCGACGGTGGGGCGGCCTATTTTGGCCCCTATTCCCTCTTTTTTCAGGGCCCACCCCTAGACGCTCGCCTGCGGTGCACAGTGCAGGAAAAGGGAATTCGAGAAGCTTTGATGCCGTAGCTGTTTAGCAGGAGGCTGCGTGTATTTGCGCCTGTGTTTGCTAGCTGCCGACCCGATGCCACCGTGAATACTACAGCGTATTGCCGTTATTCGCACGGCATTATTGCTCTAGCTCGTGCAGCAACCCCCCCTGAACGAAGCCGCTATTGGCTCTGATCTCCCAGAAACAAGCTTCGCGCTGCGCCTCCGACAGAGTGCCAAAAGGCCGCGAAGGCCCCCAAAGCGGACTGGCTCCAGGGCCCGAGCACGCCCAGGGATCCAATAGTGCAGGGGAGCCCCCTGGTCCCGAGACTTGGCCTGTCGCAGGCCTCAATTTCCCCGTTCTCCTGGAGCGCAAACAAAACACTCGCCGTCTGCTCTACTGGCGGCGCCTCTTTTCCTTTTTTCTTTTTTGGATTCAGAACCTCTCTTTCGTTTGACGTGATTGCATTTTTTTTGCATTTTTTTTTCTATTTACTTTTGAAGCAATAGCTGCTTCAGACACTCCTTAGAAACACAAACAGCTTTTCTCTTTCCGTTCCCTTACGTGAACAATTACAATCGCTATAACCACCTTGAGAATCGCAAATTACCGCTTTCGACAGCAATAAACTTCAAAAACTCCGAATATCATTCACATCCGCAAAAATGGGCTTGTCCAAGCTCTCCGTTTCCCTGCTCGCCCTGGCCAGCAGCGCCATTGGAGCTGATCTTCCCGCCATCACAGCCAAGGTGAGCCACTTTTTGTCTCCAGAACACCAACGATCTCTCTCCTTGTAGGAATAAATCGTGGAGAAGGAACCCAGAAGATGATCAACAACGTCGAATCTCAATCTCGGGAGCAACCGCTAATCGACCACTTTTTCCACGTGTAGGGCTCCAAGTTCTTCTACCCCAACGGCACCCAGTTCTTCATCAAGGGTGTTGCGTACCAGCAGGATGTTGGCCAGGCCGGCACCACCAGCTCCTCTGGCAACTCAACCTTCATCGACCCCCTCTCCAGCGAGGCCAACTGCAAGCGTGACATTCCGCTGCTGCAGCAGCTCGGCACAAACGTGATCCGAACCTATGCCATCGACCCCACGGCCGACCACTCGGCCTGCATGTCGCTGCTCGAGGCTGCCGGCATCTACGTCTTCTCCGATCTGGGCGAGCCCTCGCTGTCCATCAACCGCGACTCCCCCAGCTGGGACACCGACCTGTTCGCCCGCTACCAGGCCGTTGTCGACGAGATGCAGAAGTACTCCAACGTCATCGGCTTCTTCGCCGGTAACGAGGTCTCCAACGCCAAGAACAACACCATGGCCTCTGCCTTTGTCAAGGCCGCCGTGCGTGACACCAAGGCCTACATCAAGTCCAAGAAGTACCGCTGGATGGGTGTCGGCTATGCCGCCAACGACGACGTCGATATCCGCTCCCAGATGGCCGACTACTTCAACTGCGGTGACGCGAGCGACGCCATTGACTTCTGGGGCTACAACATCTACTCCTGGTGCGGTCAGAGCTCCATGCAGAAGTCTGGCTATGACACCGAGACCCAGTTCTTCTCCAACTACTCTGTCCCCGTCTTCTTCGCCGAGTACGGCTGCAACCTGCCCAGCGGCGCTGCCGACCGTATCTTCCAGGAAACCGCTGCTCTCTATGGTGACGAGATGTCTGCTGTCTTCAGCGGTGGTATCGTCTACATGTACTTTGAGGAGGCTAACGACTATGGTGAGTTTGAAGCGTAAAATCAATTCCAAAGAACAACAGAAATGACTAACAGTTCACAGGTCTGGTCAAGGCTAGCGGCAGCTCCGTCACCAAGTTGAAGGACTTCAGCGCTCTCCAGTCTCAGGTTGCCAAGGTCGACCCCAAGGGTGTTGACTCGGCCGACTACAAGCCCACCAACCAGGCCGCCAAGTGCCCTGCCCTGACTTCCAACTGGCAAGCCTCCGACAACCTGCCTCCTACCCCCGACTCTGGTCTCTGCTCTTGCATGCAGGCTTCTCTGTCCTGCGTCCGCGCCTCCGGCCTCGAGTCCAAGGACTACGGTGACATCTTCAACTTCATCTGCGGCAACAACCCCACCGTCTGCGCCGGTATCAATGGCAACGCCACCACCGGAGTCTACGGTGCCTACAGCATGTGCGACGACGGTGCCAAGCTCGACTACGTCCTCGACACCTACTACAACTCCCAGAAGAAGGCCTCCACTGCTTGCGACTTCAACAGCCAGGCCCAGGTCGTCAGCGCCAAGCCCGTCGCCACCTGCTCTGCTGCCCTGGCCTCTGCCAGCAACATCAACAAGCAGGCCGCCACTGCTACCGGCCCCGTCAACGCCGGTGCCACTGGTGGCAGCTCCACCAGCGGCGGCTCCAGCACCAGCAGCAGCGCTGCCGTTGCTGGCCGCCCTGCTGCCTACCTGCTCAGTATGGGCGAGCTGTCCATGGCTCTGTACATGGGTGTTGCCGTGCTCACCGGTGCTAGCATGATCCTCCTGTAATTTTGAGAAAAGAAAAAACATTTAATTAGAAATGGCCTTGATTTGTTTTTAATTTTGTTCTTTTTCTTTTTCTGAAACTTATTTTTTGGGCTTGTTGTATGTAGAAAACGGTCAAGTTATTTAGAGGAAAGTGAAATAATTTATTCATTGTTTTTTTTATTATATATACTCGACCTACAAGTCATTTCCCGGACAAAGACGCACAAAGTCTGGGATTATGAATGACTTCCCCTCCCTCCTTCTATTATATATATTTGCACTTTTCTTTCTTTTTCTTTTCGGGAGGAGAGAGGTTTACTTTTCATGTTGGATGTATTGAAGGCATCTTATATCCTTAGAGTTGTGTTTGCGGCTTTTGCTGTTAGAATGGGTTTTTTGTTGTCGTTTGATAGCAGTATTGACTTTTACGATTCTTATTTATACTTGTGAAATACTCCTTTAAAAGGCTCTTGTTCACTTTTGCGTCTGTGACATGGTCTATTGCAGTTCATCTAGGTACTGTTGTCAACATAAAAACTTGCCATGTTCAGCGTCAGAAATCGCTTATTGAGGCAATGTAAGTATGCTGCAGGGGCTGTGTTTTCACCGTACGTCTGACCCCGCTTCCATTCCTTCAGCACTTCTCATGCAGCAAATGCAACCCCGACAGTATGAGTGAAGAGAGCTTCTTCGAGAGATCAAAGAAAAAATGGAAAAAGTTTCAGCAGCGTGGGCAATCTCCGCGGGCAAGCTCTCTGCCAGCTACAAGCCAGCCTTACGCACCAACTCAGCTGTCCACGTCGTTGGACATTTTGCCAGCATCAGCATCGCCTTCTCCAGCTATCGAAGCGTCAAAACCCATTATCACGGTATCGACGCCGGAAATTGCAACCGAGCAACAGGAGCCTCCAGTAAGCCTTTGGAACAGCGTTTTCGAAAGGTCAAGCAAAGAAACCAAGAATTGGATTCGAGGACATGGTCTCGACCTTTCGGAACAAGCGAAGCCAGAAGACCATATTAGAGAAATCACTCGCCTTATTGAAAGCAACACACTATGTACAGATAAAAATGGGGACTCGAAGATTGATATTAATTATCAAAAGATTGTTTTCCGTGAATATATTGCCGACGTTGCTGCATTTCTTACCATGGCGGGCGATATTGCCGTCAACTTTGCGCCGCCACAAGCCAGCGCGCCTTGGGCTGTTGCAAAAGCCATGCTGAGAGTAAGTATAAGCGTCTATACGCATAAAGACCCCAAATTCGCTGGTTGTAACCGTGATATTGATTGAAGCCAGATTCCAGTCAAGCAAAGCGACCAGATGGCAGCCCTTGCCGGGACCGTCCAGTGGTTCACTCGCATAGTTCGCAGAGGCCAGCTATACGAGCTCTTGTATAACGCAAAAACGACTGATGGAAACGCGGTGCTAAACTTGCATGATGCACTATTGGACGTATATGTCGCGGCAATAGAGCTTCTTACGCGATGCGATAGCCTGATTGAAGGCGGGATGGCTAAGCAGACACTTAATGCCATTCTTAGGCCAGAGCAGGCCACAGGGCTTGTTGCAGACTTGTTTCAAAAGGAACAGAAGCTTTTACAAGAAGTTGCAGTCTGTGAAGCTTCCCGAAGTGAAATTGCCGGTAGACAGGCCGATGAGAAATCAAGAGACTTGCTCTTTAACGTGAATAAGCTCTCCTCGCCGCTAGCACGAGTTGACGAGGGGGTAATGGACATTCGGGAAATGATTGACGAGGACCGATTGCGAGGGCTTTTACAATTTATCAGTCCGGAAGGGCATGGGAAAAGCCACGTCGATATTGCAGATTCGAGAATCGACGATACAGGCAATTGGCTGATGGAGCACGAAGGGTTTCGCGCCTGGCAAGCTATACCTTCATCATCAACGATATTATGGCTCAAAGGAACCGGTAAGCCCTACGTATATTTACATGCACTTCGGAAACTTGTTAATTTATGTAAACATTAGTTGGCACCGGCAAGACATACCTCACCTGGCGGGCGATTGAGTATGTAAAGGCGACATTGGAAGAAGGATCTGGTAACGAAGGATTTGCCTTTTTCTACTGCAGCCGATCAGCAACTTCGTTGCAAGATCCTCTGGTAATTCTAAGAAGTTTTGTTCGCCAGCTGTTTGACAAGGCATCTGAAACCGGTTACAATCGCTTGATCCAAAAACGCAAAGTAGCGGAGAATGAAGGGCGGAGTCTTGGGCTGAAGGACTGCAAAGAGCTAATTTTGGAACTGATAAATCTCTATTCCAAGTCGACTATTATTCTCGATGCTTTAGACGAAGCTAGCTCGACGAGTACAAACCAGAACTTGGCGGAGATTCTCATCGGCATACTGGACAAGGCCAAGAAACCGGTTAAACTCTTTATATCCAGTCGTCCAGACCGCGAATACCTGCAGGCGTTTAAAGCTAACGCTACAATCACTATCGAATCCAACAACCAGCAGGCAGATATTGAAAAATACCTAGAGGACAGACTTTACTCGACTTTGTCGTTTAAGCAACGTCAAAAGGAAACCCAGACATTGATCCTAAATGTCTTTTCTTCGAAAAATAGCACCATGTAAGCCAAATATTAAAGACGGCATATTACAATTCAAGCAATAACATGAGTCTGGTGCGCAGGTTTCGGTGGATTCATCTACAGGTCCAAAGACTCAACAACTACACCTCTCATGATGCAGTCAGATCCTGGGCCACTACACTGCCCAGTACTCTGACCGAGGCATATGACCAGCTATTTGATGATATGAGAAAGCATGACGAGCACGACATAGCCTTGGCCGAGCGTGCCATCAAGTGGGTGCTATGCTCTATTTTACCACTTAGCTCCGAGGCTTTGTTAGAAGCCATTCGCTATTCGCTACATGGTTCAGTAGTGGTTCAAAAAGACAAACAGACTGAACAACAGATATTATCCCTCTGCCGAGATCTGTTGACAATTGAGCCAAAGCGCAAGGTGTGGGCACTGCCTCATGCGTCTGTTGCTGAATACTTTGAGCTAAAGGGCATAACGCTAGCAGAGTGCGATTTATTCGCTTCCAAGATATTAATTGATTGTCTTGTAAACTTTGAGCCGGAGACTTTGAAGCGTGTGGCAAGGTTGTGGCCAGTTCGGAGCTTTGAGCAGTATGTTGTCTACGCATGGTTTCTGCACGTCGAACGATATGACAAATGGCTCGGTTCAGCAAAGGGCGCGAATGCAGATCCAGGACTTGTTATGGCTCTCAAGAGATTTCTTGGATCGCCAGAAGAAAGCAGCGATTACTATAGACGATGGATTGATAACGCTGATACCCTCATTGATAAAGGACGCCGATATCATGATGGGCGAATCGGCTATTCAGTAAAGACGGAGCTATTGCCTAGCGACATGGCTTTGTATACTGTATGTCGATATGGATTCTACTACACCTTGCGAGACTGGTGGGAGGGAACCGCAATTAGCAAGGAAATGGCGCTCAAAGAGTGCAAACTCGGCTACACACCGCTTGTTCATGCAGTCAAGAGCGGGTGCATACCAATTCTCAAACATTTGATCAGCTTGGGTGGCACAGATTACTCGCCATCTGAAAGATGTAATGCCGTGGACAAAGCCATGGCTTATGAACAGTGGGACATCGCAACCCTACTGATGGCAGAAGCGGCAATCGACATCAACGACGTATATGACGGATATACCGAGACTCTTGTCCAACAGGCCGCGAGAACCAACCCTGAAAAGCTGCAATGGTTGATAGATCAGGGCTGGGTAGACGCGAATAGGGAAAGCGTCACAGAGTTTGGCAGCCCGTTGATTGCAGCCGCCTGTGTCCTAAACATACAGTCAGTCGAGATTTTGCTCAAGGCCGGTGCAAACGCAGACGTTTCTGTGGAATGCGGCAAATACGACACCGCTCTTGATGCAGCGGCTTCGAGTTATGTCTTTGACGAGCAGGAACTTGTCGAAATTGTCCAGTTATTGCTCGACAGCGGCGCAGACGCCAACAAGCCCTTGAAGAAAGGTCGATATGGCAGCGCACTGGAAACGTTAATCTGTCTCAACTTTGACGACATCAACATCCTGAGGGAGCCGTTGGGCATGTTGCTCAAAGCTGGTGCTGATCCGACAATGGTGTTTGAAAGGGGGCATTACGGCAGTGCACTCGCCGCCGCTGCGTTTCATGGACTTAAAGAGCTGCTCGTTGCTATGATTGGGGCTACGAGCAAAGAACGGGCAGTTGAGTGCCTTCGCTTCGGTAGACATCCTGACAAATGCGTCTTGGGATTGAAGAAGACGGCCGAGAAATGGAGGGATGGGAGAGTGGAAACTGTAAAATATCTTGCTGATGAAGTAGGAGTGGATGAAGAGACGCTGCATAAGATTGGTCTGTGGGATGTCACGCCTGAAATGAGGCAGGGTGAGTATTATATAGCCATATTCTAGTATATAGATGTAATTAAATACATGTTGAACGCTTTATTTAAACCATTATCGAGTTCTGTTTAGACATGCCATTTTGCGTTTACCTGTCAGTCAAGACGATTACTGCCAAGGTGAAAACATTTGACACTGGTGTACCCCAGCTCGAATGAAATAAACACTATGAGAAAAAAAATCGGTACAACGATTGAAGGATTATTTAACATGAAGTAAGCTTATGGCACACTCATCTTATGTATACCGGCAATGATGGAGTGAACAAGAACTCGAAGGTAGAGAGCTTCACATGTTAGTGTAAACGGTGACACGAAGAAGAGCGAAAAGTGAGAGCATCGTAAACTTGCTCGAGACGTTGTACCATTTAGCATGAAGCGAAGCTTATTCTTCTTTACGGATAGCGATTGACGCATTCACTGCATGTGATATAGTATTCAATATGGAATCATCATCTTTCCCTTTTTCTTTGACTTTTTGTTTTCGGGGATCATTTACAGTTACGGGCTAAAGTGAATTTTCATGAGCATTTCGTACATATTAAGATGTTTAATGTTCTATACTCAAAGAGAGATAGATAGCCAAGTTCAAAAAACATATACATACCAAGACGTATAAACATCTTTCTGCCCATCTGCTTGCAGAAACTCACAGATGCAGCTTTGGTCCAGCGGAGGCTTATAGTCTTTTCTTGCGCGGCCCACATCATCAAAGAGTCTTCGTGGCGCAGTTGGCTAGCGCGTCAGTCTCATATTGATACATCTATATGATCTAGACATTAGTCTGGGCCATCTGAAGGTCGTGAGTTCGAGCCTCACCGAGGACATTCTTTTTGCATCTTCATATTATGATATTTTTGCCTGTTGCCGCATATTGTTACTTGTGGTGACTTTATGACGGTTTTTTTTATACCCGTCTTACTCGGTTGCTACTCCAGATGTCAGCAGTTGTGGTTGTGTATCTAGCTAAACTCTCTTGATGTGAGCGGTGGAGTTAAGACGGACTCGCATTTCTCATCAAGTTGAAAGACTTTTTGCAAGCGAAACGATGGATGTGTACACATAATTAAAACATGATGCCAGCAATTATGAGACATGTTGCAGCTATGCAAGTCATTCCCCGCCTTGAAGAGAGGTCTTACATGTGTCAACCCCGCAACGTCATAGCCTTATCTCTACATGTACGCAGCTAAGACGAAGCGCTCCATTTCTCAGCTTGCAACATCACCTAGATAGCTCTTTCTTGTCACTTCCACAATCTCGCCAGTCTCATAAACAAGTCTTTATTCAACTTCAAAGAAACAAGAGGACGGCGTTATGGATGAACCCGCCCAAGCCATCCACGGAACGCTTATTCACTCTGTTTCTCCCACGCAACTTCAAGTCCTTCCAGATACTCTCATCATTCTCTCTTCGTCCGGCATCATCACACATCTAGAGCAAAATATCCCTTCTTCGCGGGTGGCTGATTCTCTCGCCGAGAAACGCATCGAACACATTCGTCAAACAGTACTCTCCCCTGGTCAATTCCTCATCCCAGGCTTTGTTGATACACATAACCATGCTCCGCAGTGGATGCAAAGAGGCCTGGGCCAGGGAATGCATATTCTAGACTGGCTTGATGGCATCACTTTCCCCAATGAAGCCAAATTTGGGGATGCATCTCATGCGGAAAAGGTGTATGAGAAGCTCGTTCGAGGCATGCTTAGACAGGGCGTGACGACGGCATCTTACTATGGCTCTTTACACGGGGAGGCGACGAATGTGTTGGCATCAACGTGTCTCGGAAAAGGCCAGAGGGCTCTGATTGGAAAATGCAACATGAATCGCAACTCGCCATTCTTCTACTGCGAAGCCTCTGCCGAAGAGTCTATTTCTGCGACGAAATCATGCATCCGCCATATTCGAACCATTGATCCGAAGAGCACTCTCATTAAGCCCGTCTTGACACCCCGCTTCGCGATATCGTGCACAGCGGAATTGTTACAATCTCTTGGCGACATGGCCCGCAATGACCCTTCCCTGGCGATACAGACTCATTTCAATGAAGCACAGCAGGAAATCGATGCCACGCTGTCTCTCTTTCCGGAGTTTAACAACGAAGCCGACTTGTATTCTTCATTTGGACTTCTTACACCGCACACTATCCTCGCTCACTGCACCATCATGACAGAGTACGAGATTCAAGAGCTTCATGATTTAAAGTGCGGCGTCGCGCATTGTCCCACGGCAAACATGACTGTAGGAGGAGGTTTCATGGCCGCTCCTGTAAAGGAGTTTCTTAGACGTGGTATCAACGTCGGCCTGGGAACAGATTCGGGAGGCGGCTACAGCTCAAGCATGTTGAATGCGATGAGACACGCTCTCATCACGTCGTATGCGAGGGACGCGCTGTATCCAACATTTGAACAAGCAAAAGAGATGGGCACTGGCGGTGGCAGAGAAGCCCTGAGTTTGGAGGAGACTTTTTACATGGCTACCCAAGGAGGCGCCAAAGTTGTCGGCCTTGATCACAAGGTTGGCGAATTTGCGCTTGGAAAGGAATTTGATGCTTTGGTGATTGATTTGCGGGATGAGAGAAGCGGGGTGAATGTGCCGTTGGATGAAGACGACTCGATGGAGAGGATGCTGGAGAAATTCATCATGACGGGAGACGATAGGAACATTGTGAACGTTTATGTTAAGGGAAGGTTGGTTCACGGTGAATGAATTCGGTTATTGATGTTTGGTTAAAGCATTCGCACAGGCTTGGATATTCTAGACCAAAGTTGACTGCCGCTCAAGAGGCAGTTTATGCTGCAATTATTTGATACTCATTTTCTTTCCCCCCGCGGCTCCAGGCGCTGTATAATGTCAAGACTCCATGTCCTCTATAACGCAAAGCTGTTTCAGCGCCTCAACTGGCGGCTTGACAAGCTCTTCATCCTCGTCTTGAGCCCAATAACTGGAAAACTTGCGCACTTGGATAATCTCATCTGCTGGAATCGCGTTGCCGTCTTTATCAAAGAGATCACGATCACGGTATCGTTTTCCTCGAGAGCGAGCAAAATCCGCCAAATCCGCCAAATCCATCTCCCTCCCTGGGATAATAACTCTAACAGCATTTACCTTGGCTGTTCCAAAATAATCTATGTTGTAATCCACCAGCACAACAAATCTTTCCGACGTCTTGCCTCGCGTCACCAGTTCTATGGCAAAAACATGCTCCTTTTTAAGCAGCGGAAACCCTTCCATGTCTCCCGTGACTCCGCCAAAAATGGCAGGAAAATGCCGACTCTCAGTTTTTGCCTGTGGTGGATACGCCAATGCCGTTGTATAGTTTTCCCATACTGCTGGAGAAAGGCTGAATCCGTCGCGACGACGTTTCATGTCTGCAGTTTGCGCTTGTCTGAGGAGACAAACCAGTCTCTCGTCGCCGGGACCGACAAACCGTTGTGCGACCCAAAGGGGGTCTGAGAATCGAACGGCTTCTAAATCTTCGCCCAGCTTTGATGTTGCTTTGGTGAGCAATAAGGGAAGAACCAGCATGTTGGAAAAGGGGCGGTCAGAGTTTAATAGAAAGGCATAGCCGAGCGCCAAGTCATGTTGATCGATGTGGACTCTCAGTGTAACTTGGACGCCGCGGCGTGTCAACGTGGGACTGACTGTAGCAAACTCAAAGTTACTATTGCTCATCTTGTCTATCAACCTGGGATACTGGCGAAAATGGTCTGGCGAGGGGGCCAAGCCATTAGGTGCAAACTCAGTATCCGCATCTACATGGCTCCATGCTAGTATAGATGCGTCTTCATAAACTCTGAGTATTTCTTCTTGCAGACGTTGAAATGACCGCCCCCCTTCGCCGTACATCATGGGTAGATTGACATCAAAGAGTCCTAGCAGCGAGTAGGCGCGGTCTTCGATTCTAGTTGTCGACCGGGTTGCGGCCCAAGCCATGCACTGTCCCACTTGGAAAACCTCTGACCTTTTACGACCCAGATGCACATGTCTTTGAACTTTGATACTTGAAGCTGTTTCGATCAACTTTTCCAAGTCATAGGCTGTGCCAAACTTTTGCCAGTTTTGATCAACAAAGATTAGAGCTCGTGGAGCTAGCAGTTCTTGAAGCGTCCACCCACGGGTGAACCACTGAGACCTCTGGAACGACTCAAGGTCCGTCGGCTTGAAGAGGAACCTGCCATCTGAATCGGTTCGATCAGTCGGAACAGACACGTCAGAAAGATAGGCGTAGCAGACGTCAGAGTCCCAATACCACTGATACATGGAGTTGATGGCCTCCTGAAGTTCTGAGGAACTGGACTTGTCAATGCAACAGGTGTCAGCCCATATATAATCATAACCATCCTGTAGAGCTAGGCGACGAAACTCGATAATTTTGCGGTAACCTTGTTTTTGCAAGAAATCTGTCGGACCAGGCCACGAGTTGTTGCGCTCCATTTCTTTGAGCATGTCCTGGTAGGACATCTCATCGCGTTCCCATCGGTGCGACAGAATGGCGTACCGCGGGATACTAGTCCCGAGGAAGTCGCAGAATTCCAAGGCTTTTGTGCTGAGTAGACGCATCTTTCTGACGGTTTAAAGACGATTTTTATGGCCAATTAAGCTTAATTGACGGACACATCTAACAACTGAGCGGTTTACGGCTGGATTAGATATAGCGGTGACACAACCCTGGGGCACACTAGTGCTGTTAGCATGCATACATGATGGATACCACTGTCTGTGCCGACCTGATAAAACGAGCAAAATGAACGAATACCACTGAACCAGTAAAGATGAATTCCAAAATGGGAACGTCTATGCCCCTTGGATTCTCAATTGATAGAATACAGGGCCATTGCCAAGTATGCATAACCGAGGCCAATGGTGGGGGTGCTACAGCAATCAGGCTCTATAACAGATCTCGGGGCTATAGAAACAAATTTCTACTCGAAATTGCCCCTAGCATTTATTTTTGCCTTGCGCTTGATACTTGAAACCTCTATTTTGATGTTTGGTTTTGGAATGAATAATAAGGGACGCTGTATTTGCCTTTACCACCCTCTTATATACATATTATGCTCTTCGTAGACATAGAATACAAGCAGACTTCGTAGGGCATAGCGTTGCTCCAAAGGAATTGACTATGCAGAGTATAATCTCAATAGCAAAGTCTGAATGTTTATTGAAATACTGAGTATACTAGCTAATCAGAGAGTATTTCCAAGAATATGGCGGAATGTATATTAGCCACGCTTCTCAGCGCCAACAAAAGCGTATCAAAACGAGTCCCGATATTCTCAAAGACCCCCAAAGACTAACAGGCTTTGAACATTGACTCTGCCAAAGCCGCGTCTGTGCAGTAGTTGGCGCCCACCATGAGCAGGAAACTCGGCCACAACCATAACACTCACGTCTCCAGGATTAACACCATTTTTTACTAATAACTGCAAGACGGCGCAAAGCGTCTCCCCTGTAGCAAGTACATCATCCATCACCACCACCGAAGCCCCTCTGGAAACCATATCCCGGTCCATCGCAATCTTCTTCTCCCCTGAACAATGCGATGAGATGTGCGACGGGGACTTGTCGACGGAGATGGTAGGTGGCGGGAGCTTTCCATTCTCGCGAATCAGCAACAAGGGCACATCAACCTGTACAGACAAGGCTGACGCAAAGACAAAGCCTCCAGCCTCGCAGCATGCTATAGCACCGACTTTGGTCCAGTCACCGCTGAAGTGGGTTTGCAGTAGAGAGGAGCATAAGGCCAACCCACCTGGCTGCTGAGAGATATCGAGGACGTGCTGGAACTCGATGCCCTGGCGGGGAAAGTTGGGTATTGGACGAACCATGTCGGCTAACCGCTGCATGTCTTTATGAAGCAAGGGAAACAAGTGTTGTTTGGAAAAACTCTCTGCCGCTTCATCTCCAGCTGCGTTATTGTCAAATATGAGGCTGGGGCAGTCCAACTCTTTCGCCAATTCTTCAAAATCTTGATGGCGGTCAGTGCAATCACCATCGTCATCGCAATGACCACCTCGACGAGCTCTTTTTGTCTCATTGCTGGCCTCGACGCGAACCTCGAGAAGCCTGCTGTCCGGAACCAATTGTGAAAAAGCAGCAACCGGCGCCTCATCTCTCATCCCAGTGATTAGTAAAACATCCACATCTGCAGCGCCATAAACCACATTCATAAAATGCTCCTCTGGCAACTTTGCTCGCTGCCGTACCTGTTCCTGGAAGAACTCTGTCAATGCTGGCCGGTGCTGTTCTTTGTATGCACGATCATTAAGCAAGGCCAGCAAATCAGCTCCAGTAGCAGCTGCGTATTCTCGCTTCGTCTCATCGCTAATGCTGACCGCCCGCGCTTTGATATTTCTGTCAGCATCCTCGGAGAGCACAGAAGCCCAAACATTGGCGCAATAGTCTTTGCCCGCGCAGCTTTCACCCGTGACAAGAATGATGAGCTCCGGCTCCATTGGAATCTTTGGGAGTGGGCAGGCAGAGGCCAGCACATGTTGAGGATCCAAGTCGCGTTTGAGACGAGCCAGTCGTGGCAGGTTTGGTCCAAATGCATTGGTTGCTAGAGCAGCATCTCTTGGATCTGGCCCAAGATCGGCTCCATAAACTCCGCTGCTCAGGGGCAGCAACTTCTCAGCAACGCCGTAAACCCACTTCACGGCAGATTGAGCAGCATCCGTGCCGTATTGGTCGCGGGGCCAGACCCCGGTGATGACACAGGCAAATTCCCAGTCTCGACAGCCGAAAGCGGTGGCATTAGCAGCAACGTTGGCGACTGCTCCGCCGCTGTGGATGAGATGGAGATAGCTGAGTGCTGAGGGACGAGTCGCTATAGCCTCTATCAAGACATTGGCGATGTCGACTGCTCCGATATCCTTTATGAAGAGGCATCGTTTGAACGAAGATGTCTTGCCGCCGCCGTGTCCGCCATGCATCGCAGACATGTACATCTCGGTATCGAATAGACCAACGCCATCCACAACCTTGAAGCTATTTTGAGGTCCCAAGACTTCATCTAATGGCGTACATGTAGGAGTTTCGACGTTGAGGTTGACACTTTGGGACTCATACATGGTCACGCCAAGATGCAACTGATCAGCCTCCCAGTACAGATACGCGTCTGCAGACCAGATATCGGGTAGTTTCTTAGCGACTACATTGAACTGCTTGAGCCATTGCTGCGGGTCGAGGTTATCGTCATCACTTAGGGGGACATTCCAGCTTCGCACCGTATACGTCGAAACATTGAAAGCTTTAAAGGTAACGCTAACGACGATGCCAAAGTTAGTTCCAGCCCCTTTGATGGCCCATAACAGGTCAGATTCATTGTCCGGACGCACAGCATCGTCTGGACAATGTTCACTTGGTACTTGGCCAATGCACAGGACCTTTCCAGAGTCCAGGCTAACCACCACAGCGCCGACAATAGCGTCACTCGCGAGCCCATGTTGGCGAGCCAAATGTCCGATGCCTCCTTGAAGCCATAGTCCTGCTCCCACACTTGGACGAGAACCCAAGGGCACAGTCAGCCCTACTTCCATAGCATTGCGAATGATGTCCCCAGTCTTGCAACCAGCCTCGGCAACGACCAAAGAACCTGAGCCGGATCCAGAGCCTCCAGCCGTGAGAATGTGTACTTGGTCAAAGGCTTCCATGTCGACCGCGACGACATCAGACCAGAGACATTGGCCGCTATGGCCTCCGCTAACAACAGTTAGACTCGCTCCATGCTTCAAGGCCCATTGAACACACTGCTGGACATGCCGTATCTGTCTTGGCCTGGCTATGGCAGCAGGACGGTGAAGACGTACCTCCCTGTTCTTGACTTTCTTTTCTCCTTTCATCAACGGCACATCCGCTGCCAAGTCCGGCAACGCAGTGGCATGTCGAGTAAAGGCCATCATGACCTCTGGCGCGCTGAAGTGGAGATGATATGGGTGGCCTTCCTTGCGGCGACCCAGGGCGCGACACACTTCACGCCACCTTTTCCGCACTGCAATGTCCTCTCCAACGTTCTTCATGATGAAGCCGGCGATGAAAGGAGCAAAGGAGTCCAATGCTTTGTCTTCATCCGCCACGAGGATATCTCCGGTAGGGAAAGAAGCTGTGCGGTGGCATACTAAGCCGTCAAAGTGCAAGACACCAGCTTGATGGAAGACAACCACCATTCCATCGCCAGGCTGCTCAACAAGCATTTCCAGTGCTCGTTCGATAAAGCTGCGTTGAGGCTTCATGCCGTACATACTATGGCAGAACAAGACGATGTCGAATTTCTCGTCGCCATCATTCGTAGGAGCGTTCATGTTTGCATCGCTGCCCAGAACAAATGGTACTCGCCGGATGTCTGAAAGACTCTCGAGGCATGGCAGTGGAGGCCCTCCTTCCGCACTAAAGGAAAGCCACTCTTGCAAGTTTGTAGCAAACAATTTATTCGGCTCGTATGCAACATATCTTTTAATCTTCTGCCTATACTGGCGAGGCAGATGTGCAAGCACGCTCTTTGGGCCCGGTCCAATCTCCAGCACCGAGACCCGGCTGCGCGACTTGAAGAGCGGAGCTAGAACTTTGGATAGCTGAGGGATGATGAACTTTTGGTATGTTGCCCACCCAGAGCCTGTAGTGAAGAAGCTGAGGCCGGCGCTGTACTGGGCGTCTGATAACGGCTGTTTCTTGGACGAGGCTGCGGTGGCTACTTGTCCAAGTGCCAGCTCTAGAGACTGGAGCGAAGCCATAGTGTAGTTGGGTTTGGCCGGATATGTATTTAATTTTTCTTACGTCAAATGATTATTCGACGGGTCTGTGGGGATGGAATGAGGAAAACGTACGCTATTTACACCTGAAGAGGAGAAAGAGGAGAAGACAGTTGCTTGTTGTACAGTGAAACCCGAGTTCCTTGGCGTGTGTCACGACCAAGGTGCGTTGGTTATCGCAGCTCTCAGGCTTGTGCTTTATTCCTAATGATTACGATACGATGTACAACGTAGAGTATAACCTGTAATCTGAGCCAACGCAGTGTCTTTATCGCCGTCCATAGGGTTGATACCTACATGTAGGTACATATGTACCTGTTAGCCAGGCCTTGCTAATGTACCATTGGCAAACGACTGGACATATGATTGAGCACCGAAGGAATATGAACACCTTTATTCAATATTTAGTTGATGCGATATCATATTACTTTTTGACCAGTATTCTACCATCACCGAGAAGTTTATCAATCTTCGTTGGTGGACCCTGAGAAGCCTTCATATGTTCCCAAGGTACGAGATACATATTCTTAAATGCATGAAGCGTTCAATGACACGGCATAGGTGCATAACAGATAGCAGGATACATTTCTACCGGCATAGTTGGCATTAGGATGCATGCGTAACATCAACATGGAACAAACAAAGTCTCGTGGCTTAGCTTCGTGTTCGTGGCCAACACATACATGTAATGGTGGTACGAAGGACATAAATTAGCTTCACGACAGAATCGTCCCAGGTCGTATTCTCAACTACAAGCTAATTTGTATGACTGAGCACCAAATCCATGCACTATATCGGACATCATTTGCTTGAGCATCAGAGAAATCCCCAGTGTCCCGTTGAGTGTATCGTAAGCTATACGTCAAAATCCATGGATCCCCAGACTCTAAATCTCATCGCTAGCGTAGTAGCTCTCTTTCATCCAGCCTGCCTCTCCAATCCAAGATTCCCGACAGGCGGGCCACGGTAAAGAGATGGCTACAAGAAAGCCCAATTGCTGAAACCGGGCATCGTCCAGGTACTCACTTACCATTTTCTTTTGGCGTCGAGTTTAAGCTTCAATCTTGGACAAAAGAATGTTGCTGATTTGGGAGATTCTCCATGATTGTGATGCGTCAGTTACGGTAATGAGGCGGGCTATTTAGAGTCGATGGACGAGGCCCGGTACCTGTTCAAGGATAGTTCACAAGTTACTTTGGATATTCGCAAGAGCAGCAAGCAAATAGCTTTAAGCCACCGGCGTTCCCTGGTCACTACGTCAAGAGAAGGCTTACTTATGAGCGAGACAGATTAACAGCCTTGTCTGGCCTCGCTAGGGCTTCGGCCAACTCGTTTCCCGACTTGGAATATTTGGCGGGATCCCGGAGGGCTGATCTTTGTAGAGGGCTGTTTTGCGTATCGACGATGACACAAAACTACAAGCATTACATCAGGCAGCGTCAATATGACTATTTGACATCTTCGTGGAGCTGGGCCAGCCGTCCAGGCCCCATCCAGTGGTCCCTGGGCGACCACGATCCATGTCCCGAATCTGAGCTGCGAGTCGCCAATGTCGTCACTGATAAACTGAACCGCCACGGCCGTGTATTCAATACATATCTAGATTTGAGCGCAAAAATGCATAAATTAACGCCGCTAGAAGAGGAGGGAGGGGACAGCAGCAGGAAGAGACGCTATGTCAAAAAAGGCCTCGGAAGGAGAGAAGCGACTACCTTTCTTCTACGCCATGCCTTCCGAAAATGACGACTACGTGGCTAATCTCAACTTTGACTGTGATTTGAGAGGCCTTCTTCATGATGGCTATGGATGTCCGTATGCTCCTTTGGGTGAGATGCGAATGCTCTTGATTTCAAGTTTTACTCTCGGGGATCGAGATGTATGCTGAGGTAGTGAGAAGCTCTTGGCTGACAGGACAGTTATGGCTGGTCTCCTGCGTATGCCGACTCAGAATGCAGAAGAGTTTGTTAGAGTTGGTACGTGGTGTTCTGTGGCAGAAGAATTTGGTGGTAGGAGGTTCTGGGAAGGTGCTCAACCGCAAATTACTAGACTTGTCTGATTGCGATTTACTTGTTAATTCCATGTCTTGTTGAAGTGACTTTTGCGAGCTTGGTTATGTAGAAAGGGGGAAGTTATTCATTATCCAACACCTCGGCTGTAGCGCAACAAGGCAGCCACCACTATGAAAATACATGTACACAGCTGCATAGTTAAAAGTAGCAGCAGTAGTAGCAGCATTATAGCTGAAGTGCTGGATAACTTTTCTCATGTAGAAACATTAGACCTCAGTCAATCCTGTCAACTCGTACCATCCACTCATATATGCGGGGGATAGAAAGGAATAGCTACTCATACTATCAGAAAGTTAATGAGTGAAATTGACCGACTAATTAATAAGAGGTATTCATGTGGATGAAGGCAGTATTGCAGAATATTCGCGTAATTGTCATTTGTATATGCTAAGCTCAATCTATGTATAAATCTCATACTATATCGGTGTAATCTATTATGTTCATAAACGCCTGAAATGCCATGCCATGCCATATAAACATCATGCCATCAAATGAAGAAGAAAAGTCATTCATCGCCCGTATAAACACAAGTTGCTCAATCAACTCATCAATGCAACATTGCAATTGTCATCATCTCATTCATCGCCCACCCACAACAGACCCATCATCCCATCCCACCCAACGGCGAATAATGTCATCCACAGTCTTGACGCCATCTCTCGTGGCCTCCACCTCAAACCACTCCTTATGCTCATGTCCACAGGCCTTGCAAGCGCCGAGATCAGCACGCAGCCCCATGCCGCCAAGCTCCAGGTGAATGAGGCGTTCCACCTTCTTGACATGAGGCGTGGGATGAACAGCCGCAGCGGCAGCAGCTGGCGAAGGGGCTCTTCCTCCAGCACCGCGTCCATTAGAGTGAGAGGACGCAGCGTCGAAAGACGGAGGGGTGGATGAGGACATGTACGGGTAAAAGCGCAGCAGCTGGATGGAGTGGCCGCACTGGCGGGACCATTGCATCATGCGGCGCTGGACATTGGCTGCTCGGCCAATCTTGAGAAGCATAGTCTTTGACTTTTGGCCGTTTGTGTCTGCAAACGAAGAAACGACGTCGCTGGGTCGTCTGCTGCGGGCGCCGCCGCGGGGAGGAGGAGCGAGGAGCTCTCTTGCGGCGTCGACGGGGACCGGATCAGCGGCCGATTCGGGGGTCAGCCAGAACATGTAGATGTAGCCGGGCTCGTCGGCATCAGAGGGCGGCTTGGCGACTTCCTTCATGAGCACCGAGGACGTGTGGGCGTCGAGGTTGTCGGGGATGAGGGACTTGAGGTGGCCTGCCGTGGGGGCCGACGAGCTGGAGGGGCGAGAATGGCCCTGGGGGTGAGACGTCTGTGGGCGTGATGGACGCGCCGACGAGGTCGATGGCCGACCAGCCTGTGGTTGAACGGGGTGAGGCTGCGGCCGGGGCTGGTGAGGCCGTGGCGCCTCGTCAAAGTCCTCCTCGGGCACGGTGAAGCAGAAACAGAACGTCGTCGACTTTGGCTTGGGCCTGTACTTTTCCGAGCTGTACCGGCCACTGGGCTTTCCGCCGCCGTTGATATCCACGAGCCCCAGACGATCGGCCAGCGTGTCCAGGCTCGAGCGGCCCTCCTCGCGGATGACGCCGCCAGAGGGCCGCGCCGAGCCCGGCGTCGACTTGCCCGAGCGGCCGGCCTGGTCCTTGTGCTGCCAGCAGTAGGAGTCCTCGCTGCCGTCGTCAGGGGTTGGCGGCGAGAGCTTCTTGCGCGAGGGCGGGAGGCCTGTAGGGCTGACGGGGCGGCGACAGGGCCGGCCGTTGGAGGTGATGCCGCGACATGTGGCTTCGGGGTTGAGGGAGTCGTTGCGGGCGAGGAGAGACTCGGGGGTGGTGCCGGTGAAGGACGGCATCGCAGTGGAAGGTGTAGCGTGTGTTGATGTGTGTTTTTTGGTGTTTCTTTTTCTGTTTTCGAAATGGTAGGTATTGTATCGTATCGAGACCTGCTGCCTGTTTTGCTCTCCTCCGTGTCTTAAATATCAATTGCTTGCCGCTAAATCCTGCACGGTCAATGCCACGTCCATCAAACTTTTTTTTCTCTTCTTTGTTGTCCAAAGGGCATCAACGCATTTAAGAAAAGCTGCCCAGGGCCCAGGGTCCAGGGGTGGTCCCGTGAGTTTCTGTCTCTCACCTCGCTCATTTGACTGATTCACCTCTGCGTCCCGTTTAGTGCTGCGTTAGTGACCAGACCCCTACGGCCCCTACAGCCCCTACGGCAAGCGCCGAGCCCATCGTTCACCTGGCGGCAAATGGTTGGTGGCTCGGGGGGCTGACGGCCTGACCAGCGCATGAGCCGGGGCATCGTGGTCGCGTGGCGGGGGTTGTGACTGAGAACTGCATCCCATCCATGTGCTGTAGAAAACGGGGCGGTGGGCTGGAATGACGACGGGCCTGCAGGGGGGTTTGGGCTGCAGATTGAGGAACGAGGTTGGCGGTTGACGGTTGGGTTTGTGAGACATCAGCGGTGGTAGCGGTGGTTGCGCAGCGGCTGTTAGGGAGCTATCAAGAGCATCCATGGGGATATTCTCTTCGTATAGAGAGTTTGAGCAGCGATGGCGGTTGCATGTAATGGAGGGGGCTGGGATCCATTCGTTGGGCTGAGCAGCAGCTGCACCGCCATCGTCAGCACCGCCACAGCGGCCTCTCACCATGAGAACGTCATACTGCGACTCATGTAGGTACTCTGCAATACACAAGGCGGAGAGGCGATTTACATGCAACTCAGTTCCTGTGTGAATCATTTCATTAAGAATCAAGCAACTCAGTACAGTTGATGCGTCCATGATTTCAGCTGCCGAACTGCACTAATCGCCTTAGTCCTGCAGAGAACCGATAGCGCCAACCAAGAGGCTACTTCCATGCAACACAATAGCCTCTTTTTTCTCCTTTCTATACTTCATATCTACAATGTCTAATCTTAGATGAATTTCTTTCTCCGTCTTTCTCACTCTAGTTGAGTCTCTTAGACATGGCAGCATCGTTGGCCAGTTCGTCCGCAACCAGCTTGACCCTGTCCACCATGAGAATGTCCACGCCAGCATCCGCTTGTTTCTATTCAACAATGTCATCACAACACGTTCAACCCAAAAACATGAAAAAGGCAGATATATCAAACTTACTCGTGCATGAATAGGCTCATTATTCAACAGCCCATAAGACGCACAAACCAGCCCTGCATCCTTCACAAACTGCACAAGCCTGGGACAATACAGCAGCGCCTCGCACGCAAACACGACCCCGGCCAGATTCCAGAGCCTCGCAAACTGCACGCCCACCTGCAGACTTGCGACCCTGAGCTCCTTGTCTGCCATGGGCACTTTGCCGGCATTGCTGATGAACATGACCGGGTACGTCTTTTGCTTCACCGACAGCAGGATGCAGACCTCGGGCGTAAACGACGAGAGTATTATCGGCCGCTTACCGGCCAGGCGCTGGATTTTTTCGAGAGCAACGTCGACGAATGTGTTGATGTCGATGGTAACGGGAGCTACTCCAGCGTCTACCGCTTCGTGGAGGCGCGGGTACTCTTCACAAGGCGATTAGTTCATGCCACTGCTGATTTCGTTGAGAGCAAAGACAGACGTACTCAGTTCGATGTTGAACCCAATATCCTCGGGCAAATCCACAAGCAGCTCGTCCAACGTAGCCAGCGAACCCTGTATAAAATCCCCTCTGGTATTAGGCTTGAAGCCCTTGTTCTGAAAATCTACAGTGTACCGCAGTCTATCACGCAGCTGCAAAGTTCTGAGGCGAGACTCTTCACCTGTAGACCAAGCACGTCGCCTTTGTGGGTCACCATGCAGCGCCTCACTTCCTCTGTCTATAGTTGCTGGAGTTATGCTCTGCGGCTCCTGTAAATCGCTTGCGTGCTTATACTGAGAGAGGGTAACGTCGTGGATGGCAACGTCTGTGCCGGATTCGCTTAATGAAAAGTCGTGAAATATCACGGCTTCGAGGTCGCGAGTAATCTGCAAGTCTGCGAATCTGTCAGAGCCGTCACATTGCGCGAGGAGAATCCTGTGATACCAAACTATAGACTGTTAGTAAAATTGAAATCAAGACCAGCAGGCAGAAAACCAGCATACTTCAACAAACGATGCTCCCAACTTGTAGGCAGACAGAAAAGACTGTGACACTCAACGTTAGCGCCTGAGCATGAACAAAAGATGTCTTGTATCGCACCATGGCTGTGTTCTCTCCCAGCTGCAGATACGATCGACTATCAGAATTCTGCCCCAAGCCTGCAATATCGTCAGCTTAATGCGAAAACGAAGTGAGTCACCCAAAAAGATCAAGTCGAAATACCTCTATGGCCAACAATTTGCACTGGATCCCCCCGTTGTCTTTGGTAATTTGATGTATCAGGCTGCTGAAGACCTGCAAACGGCGTAGCAACGACATAGCTCAGCAAAACAGCCCCTGTCGAGTCCATAGTCTCTTTATCCATCATACAAACGGTGACCTCGCGAATCATGCTTTCGCGTTTCTCGCCAAACAACACTTTCCCATGATCTAGCATTGTATTTCCACGACTCAGGAGCACCATCGAGTCTATAGATTCGCGGCGAAATAGGCGGACAGATATTTGAAGAGGTGCTCCATTTTTGGCTTGGAAGATAAAGGGCTGGTTGATTTGATCTTCCAGTACTGGCAACCGCACCAACTTTGGCTCGGCCTCTGTTCCTGGAGCAGAAATCTCAAGTACAAGAGATGATGGCGCGTTGGAGTCACAGCCCTTCTCGATACCGTAATGAGAGAGCTCAAATGCAGCGCGATCATGTCCCCCCTGAGTGCTCCCAAGGTTAACGACGACTAACCTTTCGTTACTGTTGCTGAAAGAGGTCTGGGAATATCTCTTATAAGCCAGCCTACGAGAACCTGCAGGTCCTCCGTACATAGCTTCTGATGGAGTCGATGTAAAAAGCTCCGCAATACCAAGGTGTCCTCTGAAGACTGCATGTTCCCGAGCGGTCCACCCCAAAGCATCGCACCTCTCAGGCTCAGCCCCAGCCTCGAGGAGACAGCTTACCACCTCGCCGTGGCCATTTGCACATGCAACCATAAGCGGAGTCCACCCTGTAGCCGCTGCAATGTTTGCATCAAGCCCCCGTTGAGTATATGTGAGTAACAGCTTAACTAGATCCAAATTATTTGCTTGAGACGCGCAGTACAGGGCAGTCTCCCCCGGAGGCGTTGCGTAGTTGATGTTAGGTTCATAGTTTAGCAAAACCTTTACGACATCATCTTGGCCGCTTCTCACAGATAGAAGAAGAAGATCGCCAAGCAAAGTCGAAAGACCAAGTTTTGATTGCTCCATCTCGTTGAAGCCAACCAGCCCCTTTAAAAGAGTGGTTAGGATTGACGTTTCGCCAGATAGAACGGCATAGTGTAATGGCGTCATGCCATCCTCGTCTCTCCGGAATAAGACATCACCAAGATGCCCAGCATCAGAACCAACTGCGCAACGTACCAAAGCTTCGCAAAAGCTCTTTAGCCCGTATTTGGCGGCGTAATGCAGCGCAAAGCGCCCATGGCCATCCTTATGGTGCAGCAAGGCAGTAGTAAGAGCGCAAGGTCCATCAAACAATTGGACGAGCCAATCTTCGGGTGTATGCGTAATTGACGAACCGTTTTGTTTCATCATACCGCAAACAGTCAAAAACAAGGGTATCTGATCTGTATGCATGACGCAATCTTTCTCCTTGATATACTCCAGAAGAAAGCCTGCACTTTCTTTCGCCTCCATCATAATCGCAGCAATGAATAAGCTGTAGAGTTGTCTTTCAAACTCTGGCCGACGCGTGCTTATCGGAGGATCACGCGAGAGATAATAATCTCTCAATGCAGCAACTTCGTCGTTCTTGATCCAATCATAGGAATTCTCCAGAGCAAACCCATCCCGAACAAGCGCGCTCATGTACAAGGATCGTGTAGGCTGTCGAGTCATGGAGCTTACTCGGCGAATATCAACCAAAACATTAGAAATTCTCTTCTTGGCATCTGCTAGAAGAGTTTCGAGGCCTTGTTGTTTGACAGGCCATGATAACTGAAGATCATGGTATTCGCTCGTCCCTTGCAAGCCACTGCCGATTTTGTCAAGAATTTTAGTTATAGCTGTCTCGTTCACTCTACCAAACCAGTCAACCTCGTCTACTTCGCGCAGTACGCCTTCGTAAGCACACAGTAACAGATCAAGTTTGGATTGTTCTTCAGTATCGATATTGGGGATAGCCTCAAGCATTAAAGGCAGACCAAATATGGCACAGAAGTCGGCCTCTCGTCGAAAGATGGATCTGCATTTGCTCGAGTAGAGCGTTTCAAATCTTTGCATGCTCCGTTTCAGACATTCCATGACCTCTAAATAGAGGTTAGTTAAAAGAGGCGACGTGAATGAACCGAGAATTGCGCATTACTGACCTGCTAGAGGCTCCCGTCGCTGCGATGCGAGCCGCATCATCTGGCGGAGGCCATTGTAATCGACATAATCATCAGCCCACTTGGCCACTAGAAGCTGGTGGTAATGCAGGCCAAACTTCATGATGGAGATGCCGGAGATGCTGGAGGATTGGAGAGAATTGGAAGGATTAAGAAACGCTCAATGGCATTGATGGTTTCTTAGCCTGCGTGCGCCGACTCAAAGTTGATGTCCAACGCTCAGGTCAGGTGTTATTGAGCAACAAAACGTACGTATGAGATCAAAGCGGGGTTGGCAACTAAACTGTGCTTGAAATGCAAAGAAAAAGTCAATCTTGGTTGGCACACATACATGCTTTCGCCATCTTGTAAGAAAGTCAGTCAGCTTGCCGTCTGACGCTACATGTACTAGACTGGGAGGGAATCTAAAACTCATTAAAAAGAACCGTGGAAAGCTGCTAAAGCTTCCGAGTGTATTTCCAGCAATTTTGGGTCCGCTACATGAGCTTTTTATGCAAAACCAAGGTACAATTAAAACTGGCAATGAGACTCAGAAATTGAATGCAACATGTGATTGTATTGGTATAGTACGACTATTAAACATTTGCATCACAAGCTTTGATTCCGCAGCACGAAGCTACGTAACCTAAGCTTCATCCAAGGGTATCAACAAAGAGGCCAACCGGCCACTCTTTCCATCATATCTCAACCACATTATCATTATCACTCAAGATGTCTCAGATGATAAACCCTTTCTTTACTCGGGAGGGGGAGTCTTCTCCTCCTCGTGAGTGTGGATCGGAGGCTTCTCATCGTGACCAAGCTTGGCCTCCAGATCACCGTGCTCGGCACGGGCAACCTGGCTGGTGGCGACCTTGGTCTTCCAGGCAGGAGTTCCCAGGTACTTGATGCCATTGGGATCCTCAAACATGGCCTCGGTCTCTTCCAGCGTCTTTCCAGCAGTCTCGGGGAAGAGGAAAAGGACGTGGAAGAAGGCGACGGTGTTGAAGATGCCGAAGATGAGGTAAGTCTTCCACTTGATGTTGGCAAAAGCCACTGGGGTGAAAAGACCCAGAGCGGTGTTGAAAGCCCAGTTTCCAGAGGTGGCCATGGCGACACCCTTGCCTCGAAGACGGAGAGGGAACAGCTCTGGGGGGTAGGTCCAGGAGACGGGACCCCAGGTAGGAGCAAAAGAAGCCACGAAAAGATACGTGCAGGCAATGAGACCCTTTGCAGGGGCACCAGTTACCCTCATGGACTGGGCGGCGACGTGGTCAATACCACCGGGGACGACTACACCGTGAGTAGCGAGAATACCGGCGTTGGCGAACATCCAGAGGGCCATGAAGACGGAACCGATGAGCAGCGTAGGGCGGCGACCCCATCGGTCGACCCAGAGCAGAGCTGGAACGGTCATGAGGACGTTGATGATGTACTGAATGGATGAGGCGAGCAGGCCAGCGTTACCAGTGTAACCGGCCATGGAGAAGATGTTGGCAATGTAGTACACTGAGGAGAGAGAAGTTAGCCTGATTCGACGCTGTAAAGGAGAGAATAGCACTTACTCATGACGTTCATGCCGGTGAGCTGGGACCAAATCTGAGTGAAGAGACCAATAAAGGTACGGTGGATCATGTTGGGCTTGAACAGATCCAAGTAGGTGACATGGGAATGCTGGCGCTCAAACTCGCACATGTCCTTGATGTCCTGCAGCTCGTAGGCAACAAAGGGGTGGTTAGGATCTCCCTTGCCGTGGACAAGCGTGAGCACGGCACGGCAGTCCTCCCAGCGGTCCTTGCGGGCGAGCCAACGAGGGGACTCGGGAAGAAGCATCATCATGAAGAAGAGGAAGAAGGCGGGAACCATCTGGAGACCCCATGGGATACGCCAGGAGGCAGTGTTGTAGCCGACGGGGTTCTGCTCGCCAATGAAGGAGCAGCCGTAGGAGATGTAGTACATGATGAGGATACCCCAGGTAATGGCCCACTGCTGCATACCGATGAAGCGGCCACGCTTGGAGGGGGGAGAGATTTCGGCAATGTAGACGGGGACCTGAGCAGACTCGATACCGACGGAGAGACCGTTGATGATACGGGCGACAATGAGCATACCAATGTTTTGGGAGGCGCAAGAGAGAGTAGAACCAATGACCCTGAAGAATAAATCGTTAGCATACAATAACGAGAGCTGAGCCTAAAGCATTGGCTGTTCTGTAGCCCTTTACTCACCAGATGATACAGCCAACCATGATGGAGTACTTTCGTCCCAATCGATCGGACAGAGGACCAGAGATCAAAGCTCCCAGCCAGGAACCAGCAGCCATGGAGGCGGTGATACCTCCCTGGACCAGCGAACGGGGACCACCACAGGTGCCGTTGGCATCAGTTGGCGGGTTCTCATCTTGGTTGAAGTAGCATAGATACGACTGCTCAGCCAGCTGGGCCGAGACAGACGAGATATCAAAGCCGAAGAGCGCGCCGCCAACGACGGACACGCCGGCAATCACGTAGATGTTGCCGATAGCCATGGCTCACGCAATCACCCTGGTGTTTACTTGTAAGTAGGGGTCTTGACCATGAAACGCGGTGACAATAAAAGAAGGGGGAAAAAGAAGAGCCAAAAGGAAGAGGAGAGAGGGCGGTAGGGGGAAGGACCTACCTATATATATCCAGATGAAGTCACTTTGGAGTAAGCCCATCGTTACGCCGGAATTGTGCGAGCAGCTGCCAGCTGGATATTGCTGCGGGCACATGTCCGCGGCTTCCCACCAGAAAAAAAAACAAACGAGGCGTTTGTATACGATGGACGATCCCTCGAGTCCTCGGCTGGCGGCTCTTGGTAGGGGAAAGCTTGCTGGAATTGGGTTGGCCAATCCATCGGTCAACGAACGAGGGGTGTGGACTGATTGATTGATGGGGAGAGGAGGTGGGTGCCTCTCCAGGATTTTGCGGCGTGATGGGCGTGGGTGCGTGTATCGAGGACATTGGGATGTCTCATCGCAGACTCTTTCCAGGGACGAATGGCCGCTGGGAGCCTGTACCCGGCTTGTATTGGGTACTGCCGCTTCCGGGGGGCTGGAACCAATGCAACCCCAGCAGCATACAGTACTGTACACATCCAAGCGGTAGGCATCAAATGACGCTGCTCATAACAGCAGCAGCAGAAGCGTATAAGTCGCATGCGGGAGGCGATGATGGAAGCAAGGAGTTGAGTGCTTGGCGCAAGTACCGGGTACACCAGCGCTGAGGCATGTCATCCGGCACTCGCAGTGTACCCGTTACCTCGAAACGGCGCTCGCTCCCCCCCCTGACCCCCATAAAAGCAAGCCACCAAAAGCAGCCAGGAAAAAACGACCCCGGCACGAACAACTTGATGCCCCAATAAAGGGCTCCAGCAAAGTTGTATTTCCCCACACCCCTCCTCCAACTCTTTCTCCTCGTCCCCAGGTCCGATCCCCTGGGGAAACATACTGTACGCGTTTGGAAGCTGGGATTTGCGTTTTGTGGGTGAATCTGGGGGAGCATGGAGAAGCGTGATGAGAGTGAAGCCAACGCCAGCAAGGAAAAAGAGAGGAGGAAAAAGAGAAGCCAACGAGGCACTGAAGCAAAGGTACATGTGCTTCATCCATTGCTTGAATCGCCAATAGTGTGCAAGTACAAGCAGGTAGTTGCACAAACAGAAAGTCAGGGGTCCTGTATGCAGTGCAATTCCTTGTCCCTCTCGACCTGCAACGGCTGATTGGGTTACGTACAACGCCAACCTTGAGTTCCCCGAGCAAAGAAGCAGACCAAGAAATCGTCAGCTCTTCCAAGGCCAATAATGCCACTCGCATATCCCAGTCTTGTCATACTCGTCCGCAGAGCAAGACACAAAGAAGACAAAAAAACCCATCCCCAGCAGCTCGGTAGCACCACCCGCCGCTCGCGTGGTGACACGACCGTGCCGTGCATACGACTAGGAGGCCTTGCAAGACTCGCGCGTATCACCATCACACTGTTTTTTCTCTTCCCCTAGCACGTATATCGATGTATCATCTGGCGGGAAAGATACGCGGTGTATACCAATGAGAAGTACATACTTGCAAATATCGAAACAAAATATTGGTTTCTGCCACCCCGGTCCATG